GGGCCTATGGAATGTGCCAACTCAGCTGCCTATCTCCACCGGCGATCATATTGTCTTAGAAACCAGCGACCCTGTCAATCTCCCGCTCCCGGAGAGCAACTTGCTGGAACTTCACTGGTTTTTGCAGCGTGTTGCTGCCATGGCTGGTGGTGCAGAACCCCAAGACAAAACTTGTAAAACCGACGATGAGGATGGTGGAGATTCTGATGTATCTAGCTTGTCCATTCCACCAAAATCCACCGTGCCGATGTCGAATGGCGCCGGGTCTCCATTCCCATTGGTTCCATGACATCTCTGATGCGCTTCGCTCCCATGCTTAGCTAGTCATACGAGTATGAATGTGATGAATGTGTATATCATATTGGGCGTTTTCATATGGCGGTCGGGGGTTTGTTTGATGTTTGAGAGCCTCTACTAAGCTACAGTTTGTCCTCTGCGTGTTTCCTCCCCGTGCATATTTTATTCCCCTATTCTGTATTTTTTCCCCCGCCTCAAAGCCGTACCGGTACGATTATTTATTTGATTTTTACTGTCCTCTGATACACACTTATGCTGGGATGTTTACTTTTTTTTTTCCCCAGAAGTGGATGCACAGTTTTGGAGACTGAGCCTTTTCAAGAGTTGCTATCTGAATTCTGTTCTCTTTCATATGATGTACATGTACATACATAGAGATCTCTTCAGCGTAGCACGTCCTCATATAAGCCCTTCAAGAGGCTCCAAAGGCGCAGGCGTTGCCCACACCCCTTCTAAGATGTTAAACAAATACATACATACATACATACATACATACATACATACATATGCTGGGATGTCACTGCAGACTTTACTTCAAGTTTGATTTTACCACGCTTGATACCTCGCTTTCCGCAACAATCTTCAATCTTCTATGTTCCAATAAAAAAAAAAAAAAAAGCTAAGCTTCGCGAGGACACACAATGTTCAAGTACTAGTAGTTGAAGCCAACCGAACCCTCCAACAACCATTTCGCAGACCAAACCAAACCCTTCGCCGAGCGACAGACCCTGACCCTTTGCCTACGTCTAACTGGGGGATCCATACCGGGGCCATTTTGGCTTCTGGCAGCGGAGAGCTGGGAGGTGGGCGTGATGAGGCAACATGATGAGGTTGAAACAGAGCAATGTGATTTGAGTATTATTTTCCTCTGGCTGAAGGAAGGCAGGAAGGGAGTGAGAAAATGAAAAAAAAAAAAAAAAAAAGCTGAGACTGACTGAAAAAAAAAACACAGTTACTGAAGAATCGCCGAAAGGTTTAGCCGAATCTAATAATATAAGTTATTCTAAGTATAGGTATATCTTGAGATGGACGATTCGATTCTACATTGCTTAAAAGAAGACTGTGTACTGTATATATATACAGAATTATATTCTGAATGAGCAGAGACTGTAAAAAGTGAAAACAGACGGGGGTTCGGCTGACTCTCGTCGTTATCGGTATCATTCTCGACTCTGGCTTCTCTCTCTCTCTCTCTCTCTCTCTCTCTCTCTCTCTCTCTCTCTCTCTCTTCTTTCTCTTCAACTTTTCCTCCTAACCCATCGCACGGGTTGACTCGCATGTAAAAACACCGCCACTCACCCACCCACCCATTCACTCACGCCTCGCTTATCAGCGGCGGGAACAGCGTGCCCGTCGTTCCCTGCTTGAGATCCACCAGCGGTACCCCGTAGTCACCGTCCGCCCCGAGTCTGGCGGCGGCGAAGCTGCGCCTGCGCGCGTCCCGCGCGACCCCGAGCATGTCCAGCAGCTCGGCCGCCTTGTGCGGCATGAACGGCTGCAGCAGGATCCCCGCGATGCGGAGCGATTCTGCCGTGGTGTACAGCGCGCTGCTCAGGGTGGGGTTTTGGGGTTGCGTTTGGGGTTGCGTTTGGGAGTTCACGAGGGACCATGGCTGCATGTCGTGGAAGTATTTGTTTGTCTGCGTGGATAGAGAAAGAGTTTGTTGTTTTGTTAATACCGTTATGTACTGCGAGAAGATGCATGCAGAAAAAAAAAATAGAAAGAAAATGGGAGAATAGAATTTGCTTTCCTCACCTGGTATATGATCTCCATGATGCTGTTCAGCGCCCTGCGCGGGTCGAGCTGCTCCATCTCCGCCTTGACTCGCCCCGGCATCACCTCAAGAAGCTCATGGTGTTTGTCCCGCGCCAACCCGCCCTGCGCCGCCAGCACGACGCTGTCCCGCACGCTCCACTTCTTCCCCCGCAGTAGCCGGCTGGCCAGGTTCCCAATGCCCCACTGCAGGCCCTTCTTGTACCTCTCGACAATATACGAGTTCTCGTAGTCAGAGTCGGACGTTTGCGCGCCGTCGATCGTGAGGTAGAAGCGCATCGCGTCCACGCCGAAGCGCTCCATGGCGAAGTGCGGGTTGACCACGTTGCCCGTGGACTTGGACATTTTCTCGTGGTTGATGGTCCAGTGCCCGTGTGCCAGGATCCGGCGCGGGAGCGGGAGGCCCACCGCCATCAGGAACGCGGGCCAGTATATGCAGTGGAATCTGTTTTTCCCGGGGAGGAGAGGGGGAGTCGATTAGAATCGATTAGCTCTGAAGTTATCTTTTCTTGAAGATTGGGCCTGAGTATTGACTGTGCTTTCTTTCCGTGAATCCGCGGTTCGCGAGGAATTCCACTCACCGGAGTATATCTTTCCCAACCACCTGCACATCCGCCGGCCATATCGACTGCGCGCCGGGCGGGAACGGATATCCCGCATACGTGATGTAGTTCACCAGTGCATCCAGCCAGACGTAGATGACCTGCGACTCGTCGTATGGCACAGGGATCCCCCACTTCAGCCTGCTGGCGGGTCTCGATATTGACAGGTCTTGCAATCCCGACGTGACAGCGCTGACAATGCCGTCCATGTAGTTCCTCGGCGTGATGAAGTCGGGGTTCTTCCTGAAATGCTCGAGCAGCGGCTCCTGGAAAGCAGAGAGCCGGAAATGGTAGTTCTCCTCCGAGGCCCACTGCACTTCCTTCCCGGTTTCTATAGACGTCTGTGGCAGGCAAATACAACGTCAGCCAGGGAATAGTAATAGTCATAGTAGCGGTAACAGTAATAGTAATTGAAATAGATAGAGAAGGGTCAGGGAAACGAACAATGATTTTGCGCCCCGTGGACGGGTCTAGGGTCGGCTGGACGGCTGAGGGGGGGTAGAACGCCTCGTCGCTGACAGAATACCATCCTTCATGCTTCGACGTATAAATATAGCCGCGGTGGTTAAGCATGTCCTGCCCAGATGTCAGTATAGCCATTCCATCCCGTTGAGATTTTAGATGCGACGGGCACGCCTCATACCCAAAAGTATCGCACCGCCTCCTTGTGCTCTGCGTCCGTCGTCCGTATAAAGTGATCGTAGCCCACATTCCCCTTCCTAGCAAGATTCTTCAAATCCAAATCCTGAGCGTCAGCCCGCCCCAATTGCCATAACAGTCCATCCCCACTTCTTCGAATCACACATACCTGGAACGTTTTGCAGTTCTGGTCGCATAGCGCTTGCGGCGTCACCCCAAGTGCCGCTGCAGCTTGTTGAATCTATTCACCCGAAATATAAAGGCGTTCGTTTGTTAATGAGCCCTGTCTCTCGAAATACAATACGCCATGCACATGCCTAACCCAGTCAATCAATCAATCAATCAATCAATCATACCTTCAAGCCATGCTCATCCGTGCCCGTAAGGAGCTTCGCGTCCGTATTCCCAAGCAGAATCTGCCACCGTTTCAAAACGTCCGCGAGTATCATGGTATACAGATGGCCCACATGGGGAGCTGTGCGCAATGGGGGGGGAATCGGTTAGCATCTTTTCCAGAAACCCAGTTAGAAGTAAACAAGATAAGGAAGAGGAGGAGGAAGAATAAGATGATGAAGAAGAGGGGAAATTGCCAATCTCACCGGCATTGACGTAGAATATCGGCGTGGTAACATAAAATGGCTTCTTGTCGGGATCTCGCGACGGCGCCGTGCTGAGGCCGCGCGATTGCGATTGCGATTGTGATTGCGATTTCCGCAGAAGCGCGTTTCGACATGGCGAACATACCCAGATTCGCTCGGGCCCCCTGGCAAACCTCGCCGCTCTGGAAGCAGTGCGCAGCCCAGATTCAAGCATCGTTGTCAGAGCACCTTGTGAGCCAGGTTGCAGGATACGCAACTTCGAAAGGTTGGGGAAAATATTTTGGCCTTCAAGGGGTTGGTTTTGATTGGTTGGTTGGTCCAAGCTTCAAGATGGAACAAAACAGCCTCGGCGCGAAAAACAAAAACCAGAAAAAGAAGCAAAAAATTCTTTATTGCCATTCCAAGTCAAGTCAACTCTGCTGTTCGTTGCCTACGGCTTGATCTCTGCTGGATGCCTCTGCCTACCAGAAGCTTGCAATATTCTTATTTACCCCCTGCTCTCCCACCGATGAGTAAAATCAACTGACCGAAATCACACCCGCTTCGTCCACCATGGCGCAGGCGGCAGAGGATGCCATCAAGATATCCATCGAGGGTACGTCCCTCACAATTCCCCCAACTCCCCTCTCCAAGGACAAAGAATCAAAGAATCAAAGAATCAACGTAGCCCACCTTCCTGCATCTGACCCCCTCGAAAAAAATACAGCCGCCACAGCCTTCGTCCAATCTTTCTACCCCGCCCTGCAGTCCGCCCGAGACACCATCGCCTCCTTCTACGCCCCAACCCCAGTCCTCTCCAAACTCCTCTTCAACGGCAACATCGTTGCAGATGGCCCCTCCGTCCAGGAAATCTTCACGAACCAAATGCCCCCCACCCGCTATGACATCCAGTCCTACGATTGCCAGATCATCAATACGAATTACCCCGCGCTGCCTGCGTCGTCATCATCCGCCGTAACTGCAGCTTCGGCAGCGAGGAACATGTCCATTCTGGTCCTTGTGAATGGGTCTGTGAGGTTTGGGGTGGAGGTGGAGCCTGGTGATTCGACGAATCGGAGGTTCAGTGAGACGTTTGTTCTTGTACCGAATGCTGCCGCCGCCGCTGCTGCTGCTGCTACTGGCGGGGCCCCGAAAGAGAGGGAGCAGGAGAAACGTTGGTTGATACAGAGTCAGAATTTCAGGCTGGTTGGGTGAGTGTGGATGTGTGGATGGGAGGAGAGGTGACCTAGTTTACGGATTTCGACGGGCTTATATACTTTACGAGCTGTGGCTGCGACAAGATCTGGGGCTACCTGATCTGCGAGACGGCTTTGTGTAGTTTGTTGCGAAGTGGATACGAGAAGGGAATACAAGAGGGAAGAAGATACGGTGGGAAATATCAAGGGGCAATTTTTCCACTAGATCTTGTTGTACCCCGACAACCCTGCTGGAACCGGAATATATAACATGGAATGCCAACGTGGAATTCCAACGGGAGATGAATCAACAAAACAAAACTATGTATATATACGGCTCAACCACCAACACTATCGCGTTGAATGTCTCAAATTCGCCTTCACGCGTTCGACCAGATCATCCCTTGACGCAGTCGAACTGGGCAGGAGACCGCGCTGTGCGAAGGAAAATTGGATAAGTTAGATGGGACGCTTTACCAAAATACAAACTGCATCCAGGACTTATTTGGGGGCAATGGAGAGCAGAAATGATAGCCGAAATTGGATCTGTGCATACCGAACTCAGCCACCGTCTCAGCTCCTCTGTCGTCCAGTCTTCTGGGTCTTGGGGGGATGGATTAGCAAAGGGCGATAATACAGTTAAGTTACCCGGCATCAAAAAGAGAAAAAACAACATACTCCCTGCCGGGTCTGGTTCTGCGGGAAACATATCGCCACCCCAGATGCTCCATACTGCTGCGGCTGTTACAATGCCGGCGAATCCTGCCAATACGGTCAGCCAAGCAGCCGTGGGATGATTTATCTTGATGTTTGCATTTACCAAGGAATAGATTCTATCGAGCATTAGAAATTAGCATGTGGAGTATAATTGCATCTCATAGTATGTTTTGGGTACTAGTTAACTATACCTTTGAATTCAAAGCTTTATCTAATGGGGTAGGCATCTCGGCTGCTGTATTTCCTTGTTTCCTTGTATAGCATATATATTCATAAGGCACCAAAAGTATATCAGCTTAGCATTGCTATCGCCACCCAGCTACATAAACTCATTCCCGCATGTATATGTAGTATTATTCAAAAGGACAAACATTCCATTCCATCTCCTCAAACAGTGATGCCTGCTGTCCTTACCTAATCAGCGTATCTTCATATGCCAAGATCCGTGCACGGACCATTTGCCCGATTAGGGTTACAACAAGCCCTTATCAATCTACACCGCACAATCAGAGCAACAGCAGAGGCCAGACTGGGTTGAAGAAGCTCTGAGAGACAGACTGCCATCGCACCTCCATCTCCCATATCCAACCTCACTCACCGATTCACGCCGCCCACCATGCCTAGCGAAGTCTCAGATATCAAGCAGTTCATCGAGATCTGCCGGCGGAAGGATGCTTCATGTCAGTACCCCCTCCCCTCCCCTAAGAAAAGACATTTTCAATCCCGCGCAGACCAAAGCTGGACCTGTACAGTGTACAGTGACAGCGTCACTTTCAAAGAGTGAAAAAAATATGCGATGAGATGTGTTTAGAAACTGGAACGAATGATGCAACTTTTCATATCCATTTGCTGACTTGAATCTTTGCCTGCTTTGAATACATATAGCTGCCCGTATCAAGCGCAACCGCAAGACTTCCCAGATCAAGTTCAAGGTCCGGTGCCAACGATTCCTCTACACCCTCGTCCTAAAGGATTCCGACAAGGCAGACAAGCTCAAGCAGAGTCTACCGCCCTGTACGTCCCTGTTTCCCCTTTGCCACTTTTCCTTCTTGAAAAAAAATTTTTTTTTTTTGGTTCTTCGCGGGGAGGTCTATGGGCAATGGAGCGTTTGGTATTTGATGGGAGGGCCATATTTCGAGAATGCCGGAACTAACATGTGTCCGAAATGACGATATAGCTCTCAAAATCGCGGATGTCTCCAAGGGAAGCAAGAAGTCCACCTAGACGGATGGTTTTTGGGGTTTAATGAAACGGGAGGGGGGTGGTGTTTGGGGAGGGTGTCTAAATAAAAATAATATTTAACCAAAAAAAAAAAAATGAAGAAAAAATGAATAACAAACATTTTGTCGGACATATGACTGGTTTAACTCAACTGGAAATAGATACACTACGATTGAAACTGTGAAGCTATAGCTCATTTTCATTCTTGCCGAAGGGACGCGGATTATCGGATGGAATGGAGAAAACAACCCCCTTTTCCCGTGGATATTCAACAGGGCAAATATCAACGGGAGCAAGGGTGCTAGCATGCCTCCTACTTTCTTTCTTCGTGTTGATATAATGGCAAAGCTCGTGTTGAAGCGTTCCAGCCACTACTTAAGTACTCTCTTCTTGGGGACCTGATGTAGTCAATGGCTTCTGTGTTCTTTCGAATGAATGATAGACTCCAGAGCTCGATAGCTTTGGCAATAGTCTTTTTGTCCTTTCCATATACCTCTTAATTTTGATTTCCTTTACTTCCTCTGTTTATGAATTCGTGGACCACGATATCTCGGGAGAACCCTCACGAAACTAACCCCTAATTGCTTCATCCCCGTTCATAGCCCACCCTCCATATACTCCTCCACCCCACATCTTCTCAACAACTGCCCTCCCTCATCCCCACCCAATCCTCCCCTCCTTAACTCCACCTCCCCAAACACATTCGGCTCATCAGACACCTTCGTAAACCCCAAACTCAGAAACAACCCCAGACTGCGCGCATTACCCGCGCCAATCTTAGCAGACAGATATGCTAGTTTCCCCTCTCCCACTACCACTGTTCCTAGTTTTGTCTCGTCCCGTCTCCCGTTATCGTTAGCAACAGCGCCCCCAGCAGCAGACGATAACGAAGAAACAAATCCCTTCATAATTTCCACCTCATGGTCCGCAATATACTTCAAAAAACATACCACGTCCAGCCCTCCCATACCCCTTACCCTGCTTCGCTTTCTCTGCTATCATAAGTTCTATTTCACGACGACTCTGCGCTGCTACCAGCAGCAGGGAGATGGCCATTACCACATTCTTCATCGTTCGCATCTAGATCTTAGAAACAAAATTCACGTCTCCAGCATTGCTGCTGAGGCATCGATACGTGGATCAGTCAGCGGTGCCGTAGCTCGCAACCTCTGCTGGTTGGCTGGCGTTTTACATCCTCTGCAGCTGCAGCAAACACCAGCCACAGCCCCAGCTGGTAACGATGGTGAAGAAGAAGAAGAAGATGATGATGATTGTAGCGTTTGACGAAGCGGTAAACAGATTATAAATGTTAATTTATCCGCATCGGTGCGCCAGCTGGTTTGCATGGCGTATTCCTCCTCGAGGCTTAATGGTTCGGAAGCGGTGGCTTGTTGGATCTCCTATGTGTTTGATATTATCATTTGTTATCATCATCATCATCATCATCATCATCATCATCATCATCATCATCATCATCATCATCATCATCATCATTACTATCATTATTAAGTTTTTGCTAATGATAATTACAATATGTAAATATATATAGACCTACGGGGTCTTTCATCCACTCATGGTACTGCGGCACATGGTGCTTGCAGTATGGGACGAGCAGGACACGGGAGGACGAGAGTGCTGTAAGTTTGTGTCAGTTAGCTCATATCCAGATCTGGATTTGTGTAGCTATGTTTTTTGTGGGATGGGTATAGAAATAGATGATGATTGCAAGGTGGGATTGGCATTTCTTCAACATCGACACGAACAATGATATAATAAGGAATTAACAATTAACATGTTGCATGTCTGAGTTGGCTGAGCGAGCTCGGTTTGTTGGCGGCAAGCATGGTATTTATTTATCCATGGAAGTATTATGTTGCATTCATTACATACCGGTCTTTTCGTTGATGAGCATAGTTCAATTGCCAATTCGTTACGGAATAGATCAAGGCTCTTTTCAAACTCGAAGTGTCCTTGTGTGATATGTACGGTATGTGTTGTGGCTTATGAGGGCGAAAACGGGGAATGAAGCGGGATGGGGTAATGATTGAGATTGATTTTTATATAATTCTAATATGATGGCGGGGATTTATTGCTTCTTCTCTCCCGTTCCTTTGTGCAGAGTGATATCTAGAACATGAACAAAAAGCGGGAAGAGTGCGTTATTCAAGATGGTGTTAACTTCATGGACTGGGAGCTTACCAAGATAGGAAATTAGGGTCTCCATCCGAGAGGCAATTTGGTTAAATCAGTGCGAAAGTACAAGTCATCGCAAATTTGAATAACATGATAAAATGATTTTCTGATTGCCGAGAGAGGAAGTTCTAATGTGCTTCGCTATATCTATTTGTTTATGGTGATTATGTCGTTCTGCAATCATAATGAGGCTACTATGCCGACGTCTCAGTGTTTTCTTTAAGCATGGAGGCAGCAATATACCCTCCCTCCAACAGCTAGCCGTGATACATAAGACGTGCGTGAATAATTCCCAACAAATTATTAATCATGGACTATAAGAAAAGAAGTGCACGCCCTACTCCATTTTCATCTCGCTATCGCCATTCGCCTCAAGGTTCTCCTTCTCAAAGGTACCAAACTTCACAACTTCCACTTCCAGCGTTTCCGCATCAACGAGCACGATCTCGCCCGTCTGGCTGAACTTCGGAAGCGCTATTACGCGCACGCGGGTGCCTTGCTCCTCGCCATTATCTTCTGAAGATAAGGTAGTGGAAGCTTCGACAATTCCCGTTCGGAAACTTGGTTGGTTCCCTGCAAAGAAAACGTGCGGACAGGATTGGAGAGTAAATGGGTCGTGAGTTTGATAAGGGTAGCACCCTGAACAAAGAAAAAGAAGGTTAATGGGGGCATCTTGTAGGGGATACAAAGCAAAACGTCGAGGATAACGGGGGGCGGGGAGAAAGAGAACAAAACAACAAAAAAAAAAAAAAAAAAACTTACATAACGTATCCGGAGCAGTGGGCACAGCACACCGCCATCTTAGCATTGCTTCCATTAGTCGTAATCGCGCCTCGCCGTCCTTGTCACTTTCACTGCCCTGAAGAGTATCCCCTTCCACTTCCAAATCTATGTAGCGAAGCACATCGTCAACATTCTGACCACTGCAGCCCCAAAACCGCCAGCCTTCCACATCGCCTTCCCAGGGGTTCGTCACGTTATCTAGCCAACCCGGTTCCGCGGCGGGCTCAGCCGCTCCCGGGCGCGCTGCAGAGCAATAGGCTTTTGAACGCGGAAACATGGCCCTGTGGATTTCCTGCTGGGGCAATGAGAAATTCGCAGGATCGGTTTCGCCGGGCATGAGGGTTATGGGAATACTAGGGAGGATCTCGGCAAGGAATGTATCGAAATGATTGATGGGCGAAGCGTTGTAAGCTGTGGCATCGTAGCCATACTTTTTAGGAGCGTGGCGCTTTTTCGCCAGCGCGGGATCAGCATTCTCGGCTTCGGATTGAGAGATGATCATGCTGCTTCCGAGGGAATTCCCAGCAATTATGAGGCGGGTTATCTGGGATGAAGATGAGGGGGTATTGTTGTTGTGTGTTTGAGTGGGAAACTCGTTATATCCGAGTAGGTACTCCGTTAAGAGGGATAGGGCCACTGTATCTCCAGACGTGCCGGTGATGTTAAGACCGCTGACTAGAGCTATCTTTTTTCTTCTTCCTTCAATGCTGTCACTGCTTGCTTCGAGGGAGCTGTGCTTCCGCTTCGCAGACTCTTGAGGAACAGATGACCTCTCCCAGCGCTCGGGTTGAGGTGGTAGATCAGGTACCTTAATATCGATCACCTCAAAATCGCCATTGGCGTTCTCCGTGCCGAGGACCGCAACTATTGCCCCGGTGACGAGAAGAGACGATTGAAGTAAAGTTCCGGTCAGCTGCAAACGGCCAGACTCATCTTCTAGCATTGTCTTAGTCAATGCTTGATTTGAAGGGTCAACATATGTTCTTCGAACGGGCGGAGCGGCAGTCCAATGCTGATGATATCGTTAGATTGAATTAAAGCGGGAGGCATACGAATGATAAAATTAATAAATAAATAAATACGAGGTTCCAAATATCGACTGGCTTACTTCTTTTGAGATGTCGTCTAAAATGTTAGGTTTCAGTGGAAGATCCATATAGATCGTGCCAGCGACCCAACACAGTTCGCCTTGCCGTACGTCAAGTACTCTGTCTACTCGCTTTGCATACTCTCCCGCAATCTGTCGTAAGAAGCCAACTTAGTACACTGAAATAGAACGGTGAGAAACACTCCAGTTCGTAACCTATGATAACGTGCCTGAAGCATTCAATTCCACCCGAACAAAAGGCCAAAGTCCTGATTAGATGAAGAAAATAACATTTACATACATTAAACCCTTCCCATGCCGCGACTGCGATTTCAGAAACGGTAGGTTTCAATCTCGCCAACCGCAAAAAATAAATATCAGCATACTGCTGCTGATAGTGCCTCATTTCACCCCTTGGCAAGACGAAGGTAGAAAGCGGTGAGTATGCCGAAGGCTGCCGATACACCGGCGCAAACTCCTCATCATCACTGGCACGGATCAAGTGTCAGCTTGTAAACCATTTAACAGTATCTACCACCTCCGGCATGCTACGCAATGGGAAGGGGGGAATTTTTATGTTGGGAGGGATGCCGCATACCCTGGAGGGCGGAGGAATTGCTCCGCGGGATCGTCCAAGGCCATCTTTGTCAATCTGCGAGAAGACCTCTTGGGCTATGGACGAGTGGCCAAGAGAGGAAGTGTGCACATTATTTTCTCAACAACGGAACGTCAAGATCTGCCGTCCTTAATCATGCAGATTCGGCATCGCCAGAGATGAAAAGCGACGCGACGACTTGCCATCAACGCGTTTTTGCGAACGAATTAACACGTGAGTGAGAGTAAAGTGACATGTGACTTATCCGATAAGCGCGCAGCTCTCGGGAATTGGCGGCAAGTCCACCAATAAAATCCAGAATCCATGGACAGCGGCACCCTCAAGCAGCAATGCCGCTTTCAGTGTTCAATGGAGTTCGCAACATTCTGTGTCTGCAACTGCGCAATGTATGCCATGCTAGATGATAGGGAGGTTGATCCGGCTATGAACCCAATAATACTTCCCGCCAGGGTTAATAGTAATACTATTACTAACTACTGGCAATTATGGCGTGACAGATTGCTACAAGCAAACCAGCAGGAGAGAATCCAATCCTCGATTTCATTATTCTAGCAAGACGCAGCACGCCATGGACGCTATATTATATTGTTCTTGGTACTAGTATTTACGCTGCGTTAAGGGAGAAATTTATTTTTAGTGCTTAGCCGATCCAGACTCCTTTGCCGAGATTCCATCGGATTTGCGAGTGGACAACTAAACTTAGCACGGCAGCATTCGTCGGGCACCACGTAAGCCGTCCGGAATTATTCATTATATCCAGAATCACACAGAATGGAGGGACTTGGGCCACCACCTCTAGCGTGACCAAGTTCATCAAGGAGGGACAATCCTCAATAAACAATGGAATATGCGCAGACTGACGAGTAGCCGGCAGCTGTTCCTCTGCTCTGCTTGCCAGTCGAGGTCCGGCAATCGGTACATGGAGATGCCGCTGAGCCGCCTTCCTGAGCCGCGCAATCCTGGCCCCGGCCCCGGCTAACCACGATAAACGCCGCTGCCGTAGCGGTTTAGCTGTCCACAACACGTTGACACCAAGATGTGACTGCTAGGACAATTCAATGGCGTGGAAATCTCTTTGACAAACATTTCCACACCCTTTCGCGCTGAGCGATACCATCTTCTGGTGAATGGAAACTACTTGCGGTGTGCTGTTCAATCCGTGCTGACTGTGCTCCTGATACACGGTATGCGATCCATGCTGATAAAGTGATCCCTGCCGACCGTCTGATGTATCCCTGAAACAGCTCCTCTCCTCCACCCATGGCAGCGCTAGAATGCTGGTAGTCATCAACCTGTCGCTCTTCACCATCTGTCTCTTCAACCTCCTCACCCTCACCACAGCTCTACCGACCGGACAGCAACAATTTGACTCAATCAGCACCATTGGACGTCCAAAGGGCCACGACCAACCACAGCTCTACCGACCGGACAGCAACAATTTGACTCAATCAGCACCATTGGACGTCCAAAGGGCCACGACCAACGGAGTCTACCTGGTTCGCTTGTGACGGCTCCTGAAGGGGCAGTTGGAGAGCACCCCTCACCGGCTTCCGGGGGAGAAGGACACATTGAGAGGTTGTGATTTTTCTTTTCGTTAACTCTTTTTACTCTACCGTGTTTCTTTGTGTCATCGCTGCTTTCCAGTCTTTGCTATGAGTTTTCCCATGTTTTATTTTTTTAATTTTTTTTATCTCTTATGCCTTATGGATTAACATGGCGAATCAGTGATGGCGTCAAAGGCAATGACGTCTCTATGAAATAGTATAGGTAGTATGTAGGCTTGCTCTCTGGTCAAGTTGTGGATAGGCCAGGGCTACAATGGACGTGATCTCTAGCATTGAGCCGTCATGAGCTTCTCGTTAGCAACCAACTCTTCCAGTGCGACATGTCGTCGAAAAGAAACAAAACAAGAGGTGTTTTTGCCGCGGCCGCATGAGGCCATGTATCGGGTGATCAAAGGGAGCCCACGTTCCAAACAATTGGGAGTAGTTTCGGCCATCCTTTCTAGAATTTCGTTATCGATTACTAGGTTAATCTGTTTTATAAACGAAATTTTGGTTTGGGTGACATTTCATGTCGCCATTGAACAAGGGACAAACAAAACAACAGTAGTCTGAAGTCTATACCAGCAACAGATCCAAGAAGGTTTCATGTACACAATGAATTATGATCCATCATCCAGAACCGTTGGTGGAAGCAAGTTGACCAGTCCCTGATCGTCAACCAGCAGAATTTAGTTTCAAGGCAGTTGAAGCTAATTAGAGTTTCAACATTTTCAACCTCCAACACCACCCCTAGAGCCTACAATTTGATAAAGGATGTTGTTGATAGTATTCCCGGATTTGATGCAACGGAGGAGAGACATTTTCCGTCAACTCACTTAACTTCAGCTATTGCTGCCGAAAGGGCAGATAGCGTATCAGTGCAGTAAGCTGCAACTAAAATCACTCGAGCTATAGTTTGTCTATCCAGCAAGACGAAATATTCATTGAATGGACTGAATAACATGGCCAACTCGCCATACTCCTTTGAAAAATGGCGCCAACACGTCGCAACAGACCCGTTGGAGGGACACGAGATATCCTCCCTCAACGACTCGGCAAGCGCAGATTCAGCGGAGCCATCCTTCTGCACAGGAACAGGGTTGAGTATCCTGAGCGACTACATCTGTCCAGATATTGAGACAGCGGAGCGGGAGGTCGTCTTCGTGACCTGTTTCTGGGCTACCATGTCGAAATCTCGACTACGACTATGCGACGCCCTCCGTGCCCTGTCCGAAAAGGTCGTCAAGAAACGAGCAGACGCCCCCACGCACACTACCATTGAAAACATCAAAGTCTACATCTGTCTTTCGTCCGTCTCTCTTTTGCAGAAACTACGACACATCAAATCAAAAGATGGATACGTCTACGACCCGACGGAGTGGAACGAGAAGCTCAAGCTTCCCGCCCCGGATGAAATCCCTGGACTAGATTTAACCGTCAAATCCATCTTCATTCGGCCGTTCTCCGTCATGCATCCGAAATTCGTCATTGTCGATCGTAAATTCGTCTGGGTACCCAGTTGCAACGTCAGTTGGGAGTCATGGTACGAAGGCGCTTTTCGCCTGAAGGGCAGCATCGTTGAGAAATTCCATAAATTCTGGGCTGAGGTCTGGAACCCCGAGATGCTGCGGCTACATAGAGTGGCCGGAGATGTAGCATTTCCGGCTACGGCTGATGTGAATCTCCCACCACTCAAGGACCCATCAATGAAACTCCCAGGCCGACTCTTAAAATCGTTCGCCAACATCCCCGTGAACCGGGAGATACAGACACTTTTCCTACCGTCATCGCACCATCAAAACCCGGCGTTCCGGCCGGGTATGTGCCGCGCGCCAAAGTCAGAGCCACGTACGCCGCTGAATGCGTTCACCAAGTTCCTGTTTGCGAATGCGGAACGCAACATATACATCACCACGCCAAACATTACCGCGAAGCCTGTGATCCAGGGGTTGGTGAGAGCGCTGGAACGGGGCATCAATGTCACCGTTATTACGAACACGAACTTAATGGTGATGGAGCAGCTAGCCACGTCAGGGACGACCACAGGGTGCTGCATAAAATCACTGAGCAAGCTACATAAACGCGTGTTGGGTGCATGGGCGGCAAAGGCAACAGACGGCGGGGAAGGAAGCCCGGATGTGAAGAAGCCGGGGAAACTGTCCATTAGGGAGTGGAGGGCCGCGAGGAAAGGACGGGATATTAGCAGCGAAACCGCATTTGCCAAATCGCATTTGAAGCTCACGATTGTCGATGAGAAGGTGGTTCTCTTTGGCAGTGGAAATATGGATCGTGCCAGCTGGTTTACGAGCCAGGAGGTTGGGGTTGCGCTATACTCGGCAGAAGTGGCGAAGGAGATTCTCCACGGGGTGCTGCTGAAGGATATTGAGAAATATACTAGAACTGTTTACGAGTCATGAGAAGCTTGAGCTCGAAAGGGATGAACTTTGTTTTAGTTTTTACGGAATTTTTGTGCGCATGTCAATGGCGTTCCTCCTTGTTGGGATTCGGCTTGTTTTTGATTGTTTTTGATGGCGGGACAAGGTAAAGCCATGTTTAATATGTAATTAGAATTGTTGAATTGCCGTGAATTTTGCTGGGTTCTAGTATCTCTGTTTTATTCTATCCACGATGTTGTTGTTCCATTAGAAGCAATCTCCAAAGGTGAAATTCTCAACACAAACCAACATAAGAGAATTGTTTCTGTGGACTTGCAAAACAAACAGTATTTGAGATATCGGCTTTCAAAACAGCCTATACTATGCGCTCACTCCACCAAGAACTTCAATTTCGCGGACTGTTCTTCCTACATTGTGACGACGTCGCTTATAGAAATCGGCCGAGGGTCGTAGTTCAGATGATTTCCGCTGTCCTCATTTATTCCCCGCGTCTCAATGAACGAGTTTGTTCGCTTTTCGAGATATCCATACTACATTTGAAGAATTGAAGCGGTGGTTTTTCCTTTGCGCGGATGCTCCCACTAGTTGGGCTCCAACAATGCCTTTACTCCTTGAAATTTTTAGGGATAGCTACAACTTTGCAGCCTCTTTCCCCTTCCCCCCTCAATTTTCTTTCTCTTTGTTCAAGCTAAAACCAGAACATGCTTCATATGGAACCAGGAAGCTAACGAACTTAGCCTCGGTGCAAAATAGCTTTAAATCCCAGGTGAACGTTGAACCGCGGTCCAACAACTCCTCAATACTGTGGGGAAGCCCAAGCGACTGGGGAGGAGAAGAGCCAAAACACCCGGGCAAAGGAGAGACAGATAAAGAAAACATAAGAAGAACAGCAATGTCCAACATTGCAATTGCTATCTCATTAATCTGATAATAAAACCCCTTGGTATTTCGGAATCGGGACGAAAGTCAGCAGCTATATATAGCCATTGAAAGCTCCGCCTCCGAGTGCTCTTCATTTTATATTCCCATTGATTTCCCGATTGATAAAAACTGCGAGCTCCCACGTACAACCGAGCCCTCCAAATAATAGATATATCTGAAAGCTTGACAACTTAAACCCCCCCCTCCCCTCTGGAAACTGTCTCCTCTCACCACATATTTACCATGTCTCAAATAACCACTCCGCTCACAAGCCTCCTCGGCATCCAACACCCCATACTCTTGGCCGGTATGGCCCGGACATCAGGCGGTCCCCTTGCCGCCGCAGTCTCCAATGCAGGAGGCCTGGGCACTGTCGGCGGACTGGGCTACACCCCTGACCAGCTCGACGAGATGCTCACAGAGTTAAAATCATACCTGAAAAGCCCCGACCTGCCCTTCGGCGTTGACCTCGCGCTGCCTAAGGTCGGCGAGGGCGCCCGCAAGACGAACCACGACTACACGCACGGGAAACTCGATGAGCTCATTGAGGTGACCATTAAACATGGGGCGAAGCTGTTTGTCTCTGCCGTCGGCGTGCCGCCGGCACACACTATCAAGCGACTGCACGAGGCGGGCATCTTGGTTATGAACATGGTCGGCGCGCCCAAGCATGCGGAGAAGGCGCTAGCGGCCGGGGTGGATATTGTGTGCGCGCAGGGCGGTGAGGGCGGTGGGCATACCGGAGATGTGCCTTTCTCCGTCCTGATCCCTGCGGTCGTGGACGTAGCGCGCAAGTACAAGAGCCCGCTGACTGGGCAGCCCGCGCTGGTTGTTGCTGCTGGCGGCGTCAGTGACGGGCGCAGTCTGGCTGCGTCGCTGATGCTGGGTGCTTCCGGGGTGTGGGTTGGTACGCGCTTTGTGGCGTCGGAGGAGAGCGGGGCCAGCCGGATGCATAAGGAGGCGGTAGTGGATGCTGGGTTTGGCGATACGGTTACCACGCTTGTTGTGTCTGGGCGGCCACTGCGGGTGTTGCCGAATGACTATATAAAGGCGTGGCATGCGCAGCCGGAGGAAATCAAGAGGCTCACGGATGCGGGGGTGGTGCCTATTATGAAAGACTTTGACGAGGGGAAGGATGTTGATATTCCGTTTTTGATGGGGCATGTTGCAGCTGTTGTGAAGGATATTAAGCCTGCAGGGCAGATTGTGGAGGAAATGGTTAAGGAGGCGGTGCATATGTTGAAGGTAGGGCATGGATACTTGAAGGAGGGAAGTAAGTTGTGATTGCCATCTGCGGTTTACGATTTGGTATGTAGTCCCGGTTTTTTTTGACACTGTATATAAAATATTTTTAGTCTTGTTTGTGTCAGTTTAATTACGAGGGAAAGAGGTTCATTCTTTCATCAGATTATCTAGAGAGGTATGGCTGACGGAGGAGACATGCTCGGCGACCAGGATGCTTGATATGCTGTCTACTTTGCCAGGAATTCAAAGCAATATCCGACTCGAGCTAGATTCTTCGAAGATAATGCCATATACACGCCTTGGATTTTAAACCAAAGCTGCTGACATTTTGGCCATCGCTAAATATATCGTTGGCAGGAATCATTGAAAATTTCTCATCTATACCGTGTATCTGACATGGTCGTAGTACACGAAAGTGGCATTGAATAAATATGGGGAGGAAACAGGAACAAACAGCCGACAAGACGCAACTCTAACAAGTAAAAGAAACAGAAGCAAAGGCAGTACAGAGATGAGGCGGCGGGAGTAACAGAAATAGGAAACACCCGCCGTATCACTAAGAAAATACCGAAAAGTTATCCAACCAATTAATTGCCATTTCAACTTGTATAGAGACAAGTAATCCTTGATTGAATAGCAACAATGCGGTAGGATATATAGATACCGTTTCTGCCACCTCTCCTTGTTATATTTCTGGTTTTCTGGGGTTTTGTTTTTCTTTTTCCTTTTTTTCATCGATTTTTTTTCAAATTTTTTTTCCCGTGATTTGTGATTTGTTTCATCCCTCTAATGCCTGTACCCATTTACAACACCACGATGCCCATTAGATTTTGTCTCCACAAGTGCTGGTGGTGGCGGTGGTCCAAAAAACGGTTTGCCGTCCGGAGCTCGGTTTATCGCTGGTGAATTTTGATGTTCCCCATTATGCTGGTGGTGGTGGTGGTGATGGTGGTGATGATGTTCCTCATATACTCCCTCGTCACTCGAGTTTTCATCGTCCTCTTCATCTTCATATTCATCATCGTATTCACTTTCTGTTCCTTCATCATCTACCGCATCAAGCTCACCGGCAAGGGCTTGGCCTCTTCCCTGCTCTTGCATACGTCGACAGAGAGCTTCAAGGTTGTTGCTCTTTTTGCGCCATCTTTCGAGCTCTTCGTTATTTCGAGTTCGTTCTTCCGCCATCTCTAAAATGTTACGGTTCGTCTGTTCATGTTTCCGAGTTAGTGTCATGTTTTCTTTTTCCAGTCGCTTGGTCTTCTTTGCCATTTCCTCCATTTCTTTGCGGAAGGTTAAAAACAGTTCGTTGCTATTATTTAGCGTATCTTCAACCTATTTGGTTTGTTATTAAATACCACATAAGTACACCAGACAGGAAGACTCCAGGATAAGCTCACTTGTTTGAATTTTTCGACATAGATGTTGAGTTGGCTTCTTAGCTCAGCTTCAGTTTGTGAAAACGTCGAGACTTGGCTACTCAAAGCACGGCATCTGTGCGCTTCGCTTTCCGCCCCACGCCTTTGTTCTTCGTATTTGGCAGTTAAGCTTTGGATTTCCGCATCCTTACTGCGGAGGAGAGCTTTATAATGCAGTTCTCGCGCTTCAAACTTTTCCCCAATGGTCTTGATTTTCGCACGAAGACTTGAGGAATAACCGTTAGAAATGTGCACGGGAATCGATAGTGACGGAAGATTTGCTAGACTTACGCGTCGTCCAAATCGATATCGGCTTTTTCTCCACGAGCATCACCCCGTGCTGTAACGAAGTCCTGAATGTCAAAGAGTAGGGAGTCGAGTCGTGCGTTCACGACCCCACGAGCTTTCTTCTCTATCTCTTCAAGTCTTTTGTTTTCATCCTATACCCATAATTCATCCCATCAGATATGTCGTATTTTTTTTTTTTTCGGAAATGATAGGTCCCACAAACACACCTTGACTTTTTTATTCTCCTTCGTCAATTCTCGACACAGCTTTTCAAGTTTGTCCTTCATGGTAGCAGTTTTGTTCAGCTCAGATTTCCCCTTATCTTGGTCCTTCTGTAGCTGATCAGCCCTTTTCTTGCTCTTCGCATAATCTCGATCCAGCTTCTTCATATCGGCAAGTAGTTCAGTGTACTTTTTATGGACAGTCTCAAGGCGTGTCATGGGCGATTCTATATTGTTCAAGAGTTGATTTAAGTCACGAGTAGCTTTTTTAACTTCTCGTTCTATAGAGCAACACGTATATGTAAGCTATAAGTTGTTTTCCGGGATTCTGTCTACCCGAAGAGGGCGCTGTAGACGCCAGGACAAAGAAAAAATACACGATTACGGTAGAGTAGTCCTTTAGAATAACATACCAATTTCAGCCTCCTGGTCCTTTTCTCCCGCCGCATCTTGCTCGAGTTGGGATATTTTGGCTGCCAAGAGCTTTGATGTTTCGCTGGGATCCGCGGGCTTCTTTCCCTTGGCCTTCTTTGCCATGGCGGTTGGGGCCATTGCTGGGTGGGCGGATACCGAATGAGTTGACGAAACTGGGCTATCTGGGTGTCTATTTACGATGTTCGAATGGTTTGTACGGGAGGAAGCAGTGTGGGCACTAGAGTTGTTGTGACCTAGATAAATATGCGAAGCAGCTGCTGCCATAGCTAGCCCACTGCGCAATCAACCCAACGATGCCCTCGCAGTTTCCAGGGGATTAACCCGTAGAACTGCTTCTCGACCTCCAGCCCAACACAGTCAACGAATGGAAGATGTCCAAAGTCTCGTGCTCGGAACCCGAGGCAGACCCTGCGAATTTTTCAATACCAACACCAAACGTTCTCTGGAGACACAGCGCGGAACGGAGACGTATGAAAGGGACAGGAGCAAGTCGTAGCACCAACATGTGACAGGAGAAGACCTCGATATCTAGTTCCGAAATTCCCGGGCGTGAAGACGAGACCAGCGAGGAGGCTGCTTCATGCCGTTTGGAGGGATTGACGGGGCAGAGTCAAACCGGTCGAGTTCAGGCTCAAGACGTAGAGGGGAGAAGCCACACCAGCCAAACAACGCTAGTCCTAGCCGGGCCAAGGCTGTGGCTAACGGCTGGACTACGCCTCGACAAGCGACATGAAAATTATATTTCTCCGACTGTCCCAGCTTACTTTGAGGTTGCTCTTGTGCTGTTTTCTTTTCCTCAGTCATACCGCTTCTCAAGGAAAACAGAGCAGCTGTCCCTTAACCAGCCGAAAAGTTCTCATCTCAGTTTGCGCCGTAACCAGAAAACTGGTTCATAGCGTTCGACCGATTCTTGATCTGACGGAATAGCTCTCGTTGAGCTGTTATATATATATATATATATATCGACTCTGTCCGCTCATTTAATGGATGAGATATAATTGGCAAATGGTGTCTAGGAACTAAAACGTGTTTCCGGTATTTGCATTCTAGGGTAGCGTTTCTCGCCGCCAACTCTCCTCCCGTCAATATGCTTCGATCAACCAACACGCTATTGAAATATGGGTCCTTTTCGACGAGATCTCCCGCTTTTTCCTCCCTGCGCAATAACGTGAATCGTGGGTACTTACTTGGGAAGAATCGGAGACTAGCTTCTACCGTCACACAGCTAGATAGCTATCCTGCAGTGGACGAAAAACTACACGGGTTCGCCGTCCAGGAGAAGAAGCATGTTCCGGAGCTGCATTTGACTGCGGTTCTATTGAAACACGATAAAACAGAGGCAGAGTATCTCCATGTGGCCAGAGATGACAAAAATAATGTTTTTGGCATTGGGTTCAAAACCAATCCTCCCGACGCAACTGGCGTGCCTCATATCCTTGAGCATACAACTCTATGCGGCAGTGAGAAGTAAGGAAATCTCAGCCCTTCCGGTTTCGTGGGTGGGATTTATATGTTGATTCTTTTGCCTCATTTAGATACCCTGTTCGCGACCCATTTTTCAAAATGCTGCCCCGCTCTTTATCCAATTTCATGAATGCTTTCACTTCCTCTGACCATACGACCTATCCCTTTGCCACAACCAATAAGCAAGACTTCCAGAACCTCCTATCTGTCTACCTTGATGCTACATTACACCCCTTGTTGAAAGAGGAAGATTTCCGACAAGAAGGATGGCGCCTAGGACCTGAAGATCCGCGCGCATCCATGGCTCCGAAAGATGGAAATGAGAGCTCAACCTCCGGAGACGATATTGTTTTCAAGGGAGTGGTCTATAATGAGATGAAAGGGCAGATGTCGGATGCCAATTACTTATACTATATTAAGTTTAAGGAACATATATTTCCCGCCATAAATAACTCAGGCGGTGATCCGCAGTATATAACAGACCTAACCCACCGGCAATTAGTCGAATTTTCGAAAAAGAATTACCACCCAAGCAATGCGAAAATTTTCACGTACGGCGATATGCCTCTAGCTGATCATTTAAAACAAGTTGGGCGTGTCTTGGATGGTTTTGAAAGGTCAACTCCTGATAGGGAGGTCAAACGTCCACTTTCTTTGCAGGACGGGCCCCTTAGCGTCACGATTCCTGGTCCCATCGACCCATTTACCAGTGAGGACAAGCAATTCAAAACTTCAGTATCTTGGCCTGCAGGTGATTCCACTAACATCGTGGAGACTTTCTCAATGGGGATTCTTTCATCCCTGCTTCTTGACGGATATGGGTCACCTATGTACAAGACTCTGGTCGAAAGTGAAATTGGCTCCTCGTTTACACCCAACACCGGCCTGGACACCTCTGGGAGAATTCCTATCTTTTCAGTTGGTGTGAACGGAGTTGCTGAAAAGGACGTTGCCCTCGTGAAAGGAAAGGTGCAAACGGTTTTTCAGGAGTTCTCGGCTACGGGATTCAACGATGAAAAAGTAAAGGGCATACTGCATCAATTGGAACTGGCATTGAGACACAAGACTGCCAACTTCGGGATTGGAATTATGGAAAAGACGCTATCATCTTGGTTTAATGGCTCCAATCCGATGAAAGAGTTGGCTTGGAACGAAGTGATCAACGAATTCAAGGAACGCTATGAGAAAGGTGGCTACCTGGAACAACTTATGCAAAAATACTTTATGACCGATAAGTCCATGACATTTACGATGGCTGGATCACCGACTTATAACAAACAACTGGACGAAATGGAGGTAGCGCGAAGAGAGGCAAAAATGGCAGAGTTGACTGAAGCTACAGGTTCTCTTGAAAAAGCAGTTGACAAACTCAAGAGAGAGGAATTTGAGTTACTGAAAGTACAGGAGGCGGCCCAACATGCAGATTTGAGCTGCCTGCCAACCCTCCACGTGAAAGATATCTCGAGAACGAAGGAATGGAAAAACGTGAGGGAATCCAAAATAGATGAAGTCGACGTGGTTTGGAGAGAAGCTCCAACAAATGGCCTCTCCTACTTCCAGGCAATGAACTCATTTGAAAATCTGCCCGACGAGCTACGACTACTTCTACCTCTCTTTAATGACTGCATAATGCGACTCGGCACCGCCGGACGAACAATGGAACAGTGGGAAGATTTAATAAAGCTCAAGACTGGTGGTATTTCATCGTCTACTTTCATTGTATCTTCCCCAACATCCCTGGACAGATACTCTGAAGGCCTTCAATTTTCTGGTTATTCCCTCGATAAGAACTTCTCGACCATGCTTGACATGACGTCCAGTTTGGTAACCGAAACTGATTTTAACAATCCTGTGGCTCCGCGTATGATACAAGAATTACTGCGATCATCCACCAACGGTGCGATTGATTCAATTGCAGGCTCAGGTCATCGATATGCTATAAATGTTGCGACTTCCGGTCTCTCTAAAAAGTTCTGGGCAAGTGAACAATTATCAGGTCTAGCACAAGTCCAGGCTACCGCTAGGCTTCTCCATGATGCGGAAACGTCGCCTGAACGGTTGCAGGAGCTCATTCGAAAACTTCAGATGATACAATCCTTTGCGATTTCGAAATCCATCAAATTCCGGGTGCGAGTGGTCTGCGAACCGGAAAGCGCCAGTGCCAACGAAGCAACTCTTCAAAGTTGGCTTGCCTGTCTGCCCCGTAATCCTAACCCCACCTCAGCAACCGAAGGATTTACCTCTGGCCAATCTGCCTCCAAAATCCTCTATAATCTCCCGTACAAAGTATCTTATTCTGGGCTTGCCCTCCCAACAACAACTTTCACCGATCCTTCTAGCGCATCGCTCAGCGTACTCTCCCAACTCTTGACCCATAACTACCTCCACCAAGAAATCCGGGAGAAAGGAGGTGCATATGGAGCGAGCGCCAGCAGCGCCCCCATCCAAGGCTACTTCGCCTTTTCAAGCTACCGCGACCCCAACCCCATGAATTCCCTAAAAGTATTCAATAACTCCGGAACCTTTGCGCGAGACCGATCCTGGACGACGCGGGAGATAGATGAAGCGAAACTCGGCATTTTCCAGGGTCTTGACGCTCCGATGAGCATTGATGAAGAAGGTCAGCGATACTTCATGACAGGTGTAACCCAGGAGATGGACCAGCGCTGGCGCGAGCAGGTTCTTGATGTGACCGCCGAGGACGTGAATAATGCCGCTCAAAAGTTTCTCGTTGATGGATCGCGACAGGTATTCTGTCTCCTGGGAGAGAGGAAAGACGGGTCCGATTTTGATGGCTGGGATGTGAGAAAGCTTTCCATGGGCCCTGAAGAGGGTAATGCCGCCAGTTCTGAAGAACAAGGTGTGGCTACCGGTGCAGCCTAAGTATATAGAAATCCCCTTCCTACTTTTTCATTCTGGCTATGGTTGTCCTATTTTTATGTCGTGTCATATTTGAATATATCTTCAAAACTTTTCGATATAGACCGGTTGATGTGCCTTCTTATTGTCTAAAGGGGTATGAATTTCACAATCCATGTATTTTTAGATGAACGTGTATTATAATCGCATCTCCCTTGCTTGCTTTCATCCGAAGTGGGCGCTCTCAACTCCCCCCTCCCCGACAAAAATATTTGCTCTATTACTAACCTTCTTCCATCACTTTCTCCTGCATCAGGCGGGTGTGATGCTTTCACTAATACCTACACCCTGAAGGGGCTCCTAACATAAAGGGAAAAAAACGCGCTGCTTAAGAACAGAGCAAACATTCGTCTGCCAACCTTCCATCCCCATGGTCGGCAGATCACAAGTCTCTCTGACGACCACTCGCTGTCTTCACCGACAGTGAGCTAGGCCATGAGAAAAGCGCAAGAGCAATAAGAGGAGAAAAGCGCAGAGGAGTTCTGGTGGAAAGCGAAAGAAAGGAAAAGAACAGAAAAGGCCATGTATTCCAGAGGGAGAATGGCTCACGTTATCCAATCCCCTCTATTTCCCTTGCTTGCAAGGGGGTAGAGGAGGAGGTACGATGTTTTCCTGGTATGATCTTGAATCAGTCTGACTGCTTGCTTGTTCCTGATACAGGGAAGAGGGTTCTTTGCCCGCTCCGTCAGCACTCGTTTCCTGAAAACCCCCGATTCGTCGGCGGCGTTATCATGGGGGCTGTTAGTGCTTTTGGCGTGTGGTTCCGTTCTTCTCTTTTATTGACGGGCTTGTCTGTTGGTGGGGTGGTTTGAGTTGTTTCGGGATTTCGTATCTCTTTCCTTCCACCTGTGGTGGGGTGTAAAGGGACCACTTTGGTTATGTGGGCTATGGTTTTTCCCCCTGGATGAGGAGTTCTTGATTTTTCTTATTATTTTGTTTTTCCTGGAGTTCTTCTTTGTTCCTTCTGTTAGCCTTTTGTCTCCATCTCATTTCAGAACTGCTCTTTTCCTCAAGGTCAATGGAGAGCGGACTAGGGATGCGAGAATATTTACTTTTCTAGCCATTTTTCGGACGGTCGACTTCACAAGTCGCCCTAAAGCTTACCATCTCTAGTTTCTGATACTGAATGAAGTCATAACCCGTTTAACTCACATTCGATTTGGCGCTAACATAGATAGAAACAGGCGCTCTGTCAAAGATGCTGAGGCAAAACTTCCTGTTCTCTCTACAAATTGCTTTGAGCCGATTCCAGAGCAAAAGTAAGTGTTGCAGTTTGACACGTCCAAACATCAATTAAATAGTCATCATGTCTTCACAGCAACGCCTCGAAGACGAACATATCCCAGCCATTTACTCCCATCCTCTTCCCGCGTGATAACAGTTTCCAATACCTGAGAGACTTCCTCAACCGCAGCCTCTCTGCGGTCCGCATCCACAATGTCTAGAATCTCGGATCCCATTAACCGCACCCACCCGGCAAGACCACCATTTGCGTCAGCGGTAAGTCTGGTGGGCCGATATTCGACTTCCAGCTTCTCGACGCGAAAGCCAATCTTCTCCAATTTCGCTCTCATCCAAGCCTCAGATGGGAAGAACCACGGGTCCACGGCGCGTGCTTGCTGAATTGTTGCTCCCTGATGTATCACCGCGGCAAGCAGCGCGCTGTGGACCTCGGGGACGTTTCCATGGCCTCCCATTTCGAATACAAAGGTCCCATTTGGCTTAAGGCACCGATGTATTGCTTCCAGCACGCCAAGCCTTGTGGATGCGTCTTTCAGTATCCAGTGCAGCGCAGCATTGGAAACCCTGTTGACTTTTCCCCTCAGTTCTAAGCTCCTTTTGTTGACAAGCCATCGGCTACGAGTATTCAAATAACCAAAGGAAGGAAGGAAGGAAGGAAAAAAGAACCTCACACTTTATCCCATGCCCCATTAAGAATATCCTGTTCCCGATCTAGATACCTGCAATCCACAACTCGAAAGTCGGCTTTGGGAATGCCGTAATGCTGTTTGGCAGAGCTAATCATCGAAGGGGAGGCGTCTACACCCAGCACCGATTTTATGTGTGGAATGAAACTGCTGGTGAATTTCCCATCCCCACACCCGACATCCAACACCCGGTCCGTTGGTTGGGGATTGAGATATTGCAACACTTTGTGCGCCAGCTTTGGAACAAAAGCAGCCGATTCTTGATATGCCTGACTGGAGGGTTAGACATTGATTTTCTGATCCCAATCTCTATAGGTGAGTATCGAGGAAATGTATGTACAGTACATACCTCTGCAGACCAGTAATCCTTGCGCTGGTCTGAAACCTGTGTCTGTGTCATGTTTTTAATTGCCCTTTTCTTCAATGGTTACTAGTAACTTCCGCTCGACGTGGCGATTCACGAAATATATTCCACGTAGGAGGCCAGAAGTATTAATACTGATATTGATAACTTTAGATTTCGGACTTCTCCTGTTGACTGTCTGGGGACCAAAATTCAAAGGTTTTTTTTGTTGGAGGCCTATCGATTTCAAATAAGAAAAAAACAACCCAGCATCTTCACTGTGGAGAACATATGAACATTTGATCAAAACACTGCTCCTTAAACCCACAGCCTAATATAATACACTCAGCAGCGCATTAGAATCATATCGATGTGTGTGTCAATGTGGGTGTATTTTAGATGGTGTGAGCCTGTTGTGAGCCTACATAATAACCCCGCAGCCGATATCGGGTAGGGCCTCTTGGCCAATCCCTTGATCGTGTGGCATGTTAGACTAACTCTGAAGAGAACCAAGGATCTCGTTAGGAATAAAATCTTGGATCATAGACAATTTGATTCCTGTGCCGAGGCTAGGCTCCGCTAGGAAGGATGAAGGACAAGGCATATCGCTCATATTGGTGTCCTGTTGTGTTCAGGAAAGTCAGTATCACAAGTATCCTCGTGCACTACAACTCTATGTTGCCGGAAAGCCATTCGCATACCCACCCACAACCATGCTTAACCTCCCATGAAACTGCTGGACGGGAATGCACGGACGCCGCAAGATAACATCAGTGGACCCTGATCGGATCCAATCCGTCGACAAGGAACACAATGGCTCTCTCAAGTGTTTATGATCAATTCAAATTAAAGAAAATTCATTACGATCAGCAAGAGATGCGGCTAAGCTAATAAGATCTAGTAACTCTACATCATAGAACAATGAAGAGCTTTCCCCAGGCCATTGCGATTGATCTGAGGCAGGCGGTTGTTTCTTGTGTAGCCATACTAGTATTGACTTCAGTTCGGAATTCGCTGTCACAAATACCGATTCCAGGCTTGCACAATCTGTCCAGCGTTGGTAGGAGTGAGATTGCTTGGAGCAATTTTACCCCTGACAGTGCTAGTATTGTAACTCCGTTTTCGATAACTAGTTATACCTTATCGGAGGTAACATCTCACATATCGGAGATTGCATATCACCTCTTGATTCTTGAAACCTGACCGCTGCTCTCTCGCTTTGCCTCGCTTGTATAATCGAGCATTCCCTTCCTTATAAATACTGCCTTTTTATCATGTAACTATCAGAATTATCATAGTCAATTCAATATTCTTTTGATGTTCAGAATTTGGGTCAGTATTCGGACATTCCATCGTTCCGACAGTTATGAGGAATAATTTTGATGAAGGAATGGGAGTGGGGGACAAGGCAAAATTTGGATATAATATCCAGGCCTGGTCCGGCGGATGCCACGTGACCACCCCTATTTAACCAGTGCTACTACCCCGCCAGATTGTTACAATGAACCAACCTTCCACCTCCATCAGGTTATGGGCCCTTTGGTGCTTCAGCGCCATCAAATGCTTAAAATTTTTAACCTGGTGGTTGGTTCCGTGTTCCCTACGATAGTGGGTAAGCGGTTTTGGAGCAGAATTACCAGATCAAGTGCCTTGAAAAGGCCTTCAGTTGTCTCCTCAATCAAGTTATTTTTGCAATCATGATGTGGATGCCTCTAGTAGGCATGCTGTCTCTCATATTGCATCACCCTCTTTACCGCGTCTTCTATCCTAGTTGAAGGCGCGTTTATCTCACATCTTAACGGAAGCCATCCATCGAACGATCGATCCTCTCTCTTTTCAATATTATCATCCTATCAACTGCCAAGAACCTACCCTACCCTATATTTATGAGGTTTACCACAAATTCTTCGAAAGGGTCGACTAAGACTACCTGCCATAAGCCGAGCCAGAGCAAAAGGCCAGCGCCAGATCTTGTGAGATGGGGAAGGAACAATCGTGTTCCATGTTTTTAGGCTTTAAAAGCAGGATATTGTGGAATGTTTTCAGGGAGGATAGGGGCAAGAAGATAGATGAAGATGATGATAGTTGAAGTTGAAAGGTGTATAGAATCTCAAGAAGAATGCCGACGTTTTACGACTCCTACACGCCCTATATGGCCTAAGAAGATCACCTCTCCTTTGGCTTAAGAGCTATCTGCTACTCTCAAGAGGTTAGGCTGTGTTCCGGTCTCTGAAGATAAATGCCTGTTCACCAACGGCCGGATAATCCTCTTCTATGTTGATGATACAGTTGTATTTCATCCACATGATGTGGAAGAAAAGGATCAACTGATCACAGATGCCAAGAATATGTACGAGTTTCGACAGATGGGAAACCTGGAATGATTCCTTAATATGAGGATTACTAGGGACCGAAGCTCCAAGAAGTTGTGGTTCTGTCAAGATGCCTATATGCATCTATGGAAGAGCTACAAATTAGTGACCGCGAATCCCCTCAATCTCTGGCAGGGTGAAGTGTCATCGAGTCCATTTCACCGGTAACCAGTGATGAGGCAAAGTTGTTGCCCTTGGTTAAAGATGAGCAGATCGTGAACACAGCTCTCATTCTACTTTTGCGAGGATTATGTGTGCGGATGCCTGGTCTCATGAATGCAAGATGATCTCTTGAGCGGAAAGCATTTCGCATTAGACAACACAAATCTCTCGACAAGGAATGCCTTTATGAGGCACGAACGGACGACCACCTCGCATTCTTTACTGAAAATACGCCACGATCATTAGCCATCCTGGAAGTTAAATCTCAGGTTAGAGAAGATGCAGAACCATGGATGCAAGAAAGTGCGCAGATGGCTGCTTGGATATACGATGAACCAAAAGTGATAACAACTTCCACCACTGAGGCTGGGCTTCTAGCTATATCACAAGTAGGCAAGGAGTCCATTTGGTCGATCATCTAGGATTTGATCCAGGGTATAAGATCTCTATCATGTGCGATAACCGACAAACGATTGGTATCCTTAATAAGGAAGATTCTTCAATCACCACCAAGCTACGCCATGTTGATATCTACAGCAATTGGTTGCGAGAACGGATACAATCCGGTGATATATCAGTGCAATGGACACCTACAGCTAGCATGCCAGTGGACGGATTAACCAAGTCACTATGACATCAGAAGCAAAAAGAATTCATCAAACAGATGGGATTAGTTGATATAACTAATCGCGTCAATAAAATCGCAAAATAAGGTATAAAGACACAATGTGCTTGGACGCGAGGAATCCACCATGTTCTCTATGCTTTCCTATTCTGGTAATCTAATCCAGCTTCATTCCTTGCGCTATTCTGCTGAAAGGGGTATGTATGTATGTATGTATTTGTTTAGCGCCCCAGAGGGGTGCATGCAACGCCTGCGCCCCCCAAGCCTTCGGGCATGGGGATGTGCTACGCTGAAGAGATCTCTATATACACAGTAAGGGAGAGAACAGAATCCAGATAGCAACTCTTGAAAAGACTCTATCCCCAGGACTGTACATCCACTTCTGGCCGAGAAGGGGGTATGTCAGAGACACTATCTCATATATTAGAGATTTTATACCACCTCTTGATTCTTGCAACCTGAGCACTGCCTCTCGTATAACCGAGCATTCCCTTGTAAATACTGCCTTTTTATCATGTAATTATCAGAGTTAACTATCATACGGAGGATCCTCTCAAAAGTTTTGATTAGCGCAAAGAATTTAAGTTGTAATATTGTCACCACTCTCAAAGACCTTCATTCCCAAGCAACCTTGAGATTTAGGCTATATTTAGTTAAGTTGTAGTGGTTTATTTCGGTGCCACAGGCGTTAACCCCCCTTATAACCCAGCTGTAACTCTTGGAAATCCTTAATGCCGGTTACAATATTACAACTTGAATTCTCAGTGCCAATCAAGACTTTTGAGAGGATCCTTCGTAGTCTCAGTACTTAGGACAATATTAGGACATTCCGATACTGGCACTCTTTAGCTACACAAATATCCGGCTTGATTCTTCATGATATCAAACGTCACCAAAGAGCCCTCCCCTATCTTTCTATCTTTCGGAACCATGATGCTGGAAGCTTTAAAAGCCAGCATGAACTACGTTCAAAACCTCAGCTTTGGGGGCCTTATCATGCGGGCTCTGGAATGCAGCCCCTCAAACGACAGACAGTCCGGTTCCGAAGATGCGCCCTTGGAGGGGGAACACAATATGAGAAAGCATGCTCTCACCCACCTGGTAAATCACGAAATCTTGACGACAAAAGCCCATCAAATGCACTTTGATTCAGCTCCGCCCACAAAATAACTGCCGCTTAATACATAATGAAGGCGCCTAGATTCCCTCGAATTCCGGGTTTTCCTCCCGGCAAATCGTAACCTTAGCCGATAGCCGGTCTTGGCCTATGGTATGCCTGTTTCTCCGCGCCGAGCCGACATGCAAACATCATTAAAATGTAGACTGAGAACTCGAGACGTTGTCGACTTCTTACAGATCCTGGGCGATACTAGGACTGAAGATTCATGGAGAGAGATACTGGTAGTAGTAACTTACAGCGCTAAGATGGATTGGCTGCAAAAGTCCCGTCGTGAGTCAATGAACTATTGGATCCGCCCGCCGGTTCACGCAGCGTTCCACCCAATAGCAAGGATACAACCACACCATCGGAATGTAAAGCAACAGCAGTATTGAGAATCTGGGGAATTCTTCTCCTCTTCTGGTCAGTGGTAGGTTTGGTGGATCGAATCAAGTGCTGCCGTACTTTGGCGGGGGAAAAGGAAGAACCATGGATTTGCAAAGAGCGTTTCTCTTGTCAGCGGCGAAAAAAAAAAATAGTTCAGGTCCGGCGTTTTCTCCGGGTCCATCGTCGCTCCCAAGCATCAACAAGCAAAAACGTCAAATTCGGTCAACTCGCTGGCAGCATAGAAGTGGGCGAAATATATACACAAAAGGTCGAAAGTTTTGTTATACGAAAATAATTAAATATACTATCCTGCACGACAGCTTCTCAGGTCTCATCGCGCTCCCCTTGCCCAGTAAGTCAATTATTGCCATTGGGGGCGGCTGTCCCCTTGCTGCATGCTTTCAGAAGAAGAGACATAATGTGTCCCCGTCATGGCCAGTCTGCAGTCTACTTCTCCCAATAACAATACGACCAGCAGCAAGGACAGTAATAATACTCCTGATATCCATCCCAACTATACCCTCCACAGCTCCACCTCTGCACCCCTAGCGACAGCAAGGGAGGACGAAGCTACCCCCTCCCGTTCCCGTCCAACGTCCACCGTCAACCACCCCAGAACTCCCAGCCGTGACGTCGTGAAGTCAAAGGAAGCCTCCGACCAGCGCCAGCGCGGCATAAGCACCTCATCGAAGACGGCAGCGGCGGCAACCGCTGCTGCAGCGATTGCAATTGGCAATAATGATAACGAGAGCTATGAAGATGTAACGGAACTCATCGACCTCGCCCCGCTCCCGGCATCAGATCACAGCGACGGTCATGATCGTGACACCGCCCGCCATTGCAATAACAATAATAATATTGATATTGATAACGATAATGGCAACGGTAGTAACCACAGCAGGCCATCTTCGGCATCATCGATCTCTTCAGGCTCCGTGCGCCTGGTTGTCCAACGTACACGAAGCACACAGCGGTCGGGCACATCCGGTGACAGCGTGGAAAATAGGGGGAGCAACACGGGCATCCTGGGGGGAGTGAAGAGATTCTGGTTTCGGCATGTTTCGATGACGGTGCCACGGAGACAGAACAGGGATCATTTTGGTGAGTTTTTTGCTCTTTTTTTTGTTTCTGTTTTGGGGAACCTTTTGTGAGTGTGAGTGAGTGAGTGATTTTTTATCTTAATATTTTTATATTATATGTCTCAATGGGGGTGGGGGGTCAGTTATATGTTTCTCTCTGCGTCCACTCTGCCTAAGAGGGTGCATTGCGATTGGAGGCTGGTCAGCTTTGGTGATCCCCAAAAATGAGCCGGCCAGCTCTAGTAGCAAGCACGCCATCCATCAGAGCATAAAAAGCAAAGAACTCCATTTCATCCCTGCCCCTTGGACCATGCCCAAAAGTTTGGTTTTCATGAGCTTTATGTTTTGGCTTCTGGAGAAGGTATCTTCTTAAGCTATCTCCAGATGAGCTTGGGGTCTGTCCACTCCATCCCACTTACGGTCCTTTAACACATCTTGTAACAATTACAATATCCCACCCGCAAGCCATAACCCAATATACACACACATATATATAATTGAAAATACCTAATGAAACGCCCCGCCTACAAAATTTTCTAACCAACTGACTAAAATACCAAAACACGAATAACAGCCCTCGAAAGGACTTTCCTAGCCTACATCCGCACATCCCTCGCCTTCGCCTTCCAAGGCGCCCTCATAGCCCAGTTATTCAGCCTGCAGAACACGCACGATCAAGGCGATACGCCGTTCGGGTTCCACGCCGTCGGCAAGCCGCTGGCCTGTGGGTGTCACGCCTGTGCGATAGCGGTTGCCGCTGTGGGCTCGTACCGCTTCTGGAGGCAGCAGAACGCCCTGGCGCGAGGCAAGGTGCATGCCGGCGGTTGGGAATTGGGCGTTTCTGGTGCTTGTGCGGCTGGGGTGCGTATTTCCTTTCTCTTCTTTTCTTTTCTTTTCAACCCCACTTCCTCTTTTTTGGGCTGTCACGGCGGGAGGTTTTATGCAGCCGTTGTGCAAGGGCAGTTATCGTTCTACAATATATGGCTCAGCACGATGAAGACCCGGAATAGGCGAAACGAGACGCATTTTTTCCTCTTCCCTGCTTTCTTTCTTTCTTTCTTTCTTTCTTTCTTTCTTTTTCCACGAACTGTTATGTCCCCAACAGCTGCTGACACACAAACCCCTAATTTTTATATACAGATAATCGCGGCGGCATTTGTGCTAGTGGTATTGATAACTGCCAGAAAATAAAACCAATAGAAGGCCATAAAATAACCAATGTCTCGGTGATCGCCTTGAAGATCTTGTTGCCATTATCTCGTTATTTCCACCTGACTGCTTCTGGTGCCATGCCAGCCTAAGCAGACCCTCATCGGGCGTACAGTTGAACGGGGTTCAAATTTTTAGACTGGTAAAAACTTTCAGTGTGGTTCAAACTCACCATCATCACAGAATTCAAAGTTGGAAAGTGCTCATTTGATACGTACAATTTTTGTGTCTTGGTTAAACCCGCACTCCAGTATTCTTTCCTCTCTTAACTGTGTGCTTCTAGGGGGGTGTTCTCTATGTTTCTCAAATTCTTGACTCTCTACGGATAACTAATACTCTAATCTAATCTAATATCTAATCCTCTACTTAATTTTCTAATCCACCTCCCTTTTCTGATTCCTAACCCCCAGCTGATTCTATCTTAAAATTCTTCGCGTGAGATGCTACTCACTTTTGACAGCGTCCTCCGTACTCTGTATATACACATGCAGAGCTCCCCAAGATCAATTTGATTGGTTTCAGCTCTGAGTACGACAAAAGGATGCTGCTATCCTTAAAAATTGCCAATGCAGAACCAGGTTAACTGGTTCAATCCGCTCATTTGTGTTTCTGAGATATATCCTTGTAAGTCAAAGCAATTGTTTTGGATTACAGTCATTAATTAGCCTGGCATCTGAATCTTCTCTCCCTCCCTCCCTCCCTCCCCCTCTTTTTTTTCTTCTTCTATGATTACATAGAAGAATCATCATTTCTGTCATCGCGCAACCAACTGTGGGGGGCGACTCTTAAAAGATCCATCATTCCCGGACCAAGATCTCCATGGCATATATATATATAAACTTTTCCATATTGGTTGGAGTTTAGGATGGTAAAATCTTCTAAACCGCCACCATATCTAGCGGCCGCAGCACTGCTTAAATCGGGGTGGTCACGTGGCTTTCTAGCGAGCAATAGGGATGCCAACATGTTTCCCAGGTGATAGTCCCCTAACTAACCCTATATATATATATAATCCTAACCTAATCCTGATCAACCCCTAACCCCTAAATCCTCGTCCCTAATCTTTCTACCCTATTCACCTGTTTTCATCTGCTATCAACCCAGGGAGTTTTGAACATATTGAGAAAGATACCACTTAAACAATGGAGAATTGCAATGCTTTTCAGCCTTCACCACTTATTGTTCAAGTGGGAATTCAATCCCATCGAAGAGCGTCTCCCAGCCTTCCCATTGGTGACACATCCGGTGAATACTTCTCCCACCTTCTGGGAAAAATGCTGCTCTTTCCCAGTCAATCACACCCGCTACGGCATCCAAGTTCGGATGCAGCACAATGTTTGAAAGGTCCCAATCCAGATGCGATAACACCGGCTTGCTGAGTGGGTTGATCTGGTGAATAAATGGCACATGCTCGTCCTCGTATGCTCTGAGAAAAGCCTTCGTAGACTCGAAAGGTCCGCGGTGAGGAAGTTGAAGGTGGATGATCTCGCCTGAAACGCTCAGCGACCGAACCCCTGCAGAGGGGTTGGGAACCTTTGCCAGCTCCTTGATATAACTCTGCACTTGAAGCTTAATCGCCTCTCGTTGACGGGGGGAAACTTTATCCCATGTTGGACTCTCATTCACTGTAATGCCAGGGATCCTTTCAAAGACATTGAATCTATATATAAAAGATGAAATTTGTTATCAGCTGCCGTGACTTGGATTGGAATACTGCCCTACTTACCCATCGCCTTGATGTATGAGTTTTGGCACCGGTATGTTCGTGTATTGGCGAACGAGCTCTAGAGTGCGCACCTCGTTTTCGTCCCGTAAGGAGATAGTGGAGAACTCAGGCTCGTAGCCATCATAGCCCAACTCGCCAGGGATAAGTCTCTTTTTCACGACGTGTTCGTGTAGTAGATATATGTACCTATCAAACGGGGGAAACGGCATATGCTCGTTTCGGCATCTCTTAAGCCATTCTTTATCTGTAGAGGAAGACATTGCGAAGGTCAAGGCTAGCAGGAGGTTTGAGATGAGAAACAAATATAACAGGGAGCAAAGAGTTGTTTGTTGATTCAAGAATAACTGGTCGATTTCTTTGAGCGTCCAGTTGAACGAAGTTCAAAAAAGCTGGATGGGGTTCAGATTTTTTGGCTGGAAAAAATTTCAAGTGTGATTCAAACTCCCATCCCCGGTGGAGGTCAGAGTTCTTTGTCGTTCAAAATTTCTTAGTCAAAAATCTAAACCCCAACCCGTATCCAACTGCAACCTGCCGGATTTGGTTGTTTGTTTGTTTGAATGTCAAGACAATAGAACAAATTATCATGTTGTCAAGGATTCCACCGCGCTCCCTACGGGGTATCTGCAGATGTGCATAACCAAACCGGATTCAAGTAACCTCTCATTGGATACAAGAAAGCGAATGTCAAGCCTCATGATAACCCTACGGATTGAATAGAGGCCTTGTTAAAGTACACAGGAATTGAGGGCACTGCTGCCTACTGCGTAGAACCAAAATGGCTGTTTTCTACAGCTAGCAACATCATGTCTCATCGGCTCCGTGCTGTAATTTCTATTCTCTCAGAATTGGCTACCACCCCTTCCAGGAACTTCAGGCCGCGTTCGCCGTGGAAGAGTTGACAGACTCACATATTTAAAGCTCGAATGACTCTCCTGTTTTTGGCAGGACAGTCTTCACCCCTTCAAGCCTCCTCATACATGAAGTTAAAATCGCTTTTCTTGAATTATCTTCTTTGATTTCTATCGACCTCTTCACGGACAATGGTCTGGAGATGCCTGAAGTGTGGAAAGTGGAATGAGTTGTTGAGGGGGGTTCCCTGCGTTCGGTGCGTGCAGGCCATCCATATTGCATCGTTTCCCCCCTTTTTGGAGCATGTAGATGAAGGAAATCTTTAATAATGGATAATTCTGGGGCGGCGGTATATGTAAATCAATATGAATGACCAAATAATATGAGATGAAATATATGCTGATTTTTATTTCTCTTTTGGTTGCTGTGGGATGGGACGCAAGCAGAGGATGAAGTAAAGACAAAGATTAGATAGAGTAGGTTAAGGTGAGAGGGCGTTCCCACTTCTCTCCCGCCCTGTCAGATAGGGAGGATAATGATGGGGGAACAAAAAGGCGTGAACATCTATGAATTGGCCTAGATAACAGTCAAAAATGAGAGGGAATTCCACCAATATAACGCCATTCTTATGCAAATAATATGATCTAGTGGCGCTGAATAACAGGATGGACCGAGAATAGCAAGTAGAGATGAGAGGTAGATCGCGTATGTTCGTCGATTATGCGTAACGGGGAAACTGTAAGGAAAAAGAAAACGCGGATTCAACCATGTAGAGGACTGGCGACAGGCGCATTCTCCATCGCAGGTTGTGGGTGTGCAGCAGCCATGTTCATATCCATCAAGACGGCAGTTGCATCAGGCCCAAGATTCACATTCCCGTCGCCCACCGTGGACGTACCGGCCGTCTTCTTACCGGCCTTATCCCTTCCCATTCTACCACCAGGAACAGGATACGCATTGCAATCACCAGCACTGATGCCCGCAGCCTTGGCAGTCTCATTCGTCAACATGGCCCTTTGGACCGCGGGACTTTTGATCTTCTTATATTTCTTATCTGTGTTCTGCTTCTTCTTGTCACTCACCGAGTCATAGTCATCCTGCACAGAAGCAGCATCAGCAGCAGGCGTCCGCCCGATAATCTCATCCACCTCTCTCGCCCGGGCAATCAAGTCCTCAAACCCCAGCACCCGACAGCAGTCCTGATACGACTTGGACTGCTTCGCGGCATTGAACGCCCGCTCCTTGCCCGGAATAAGCATGTTGAGCAGATACTTTGTATTGCCCCATTTGTTCTCGCACTGCAGGCAGAGATCCATATAATCGCGCACGATTGCGCGCCAGGGGAGGAGGCTGCCGTCGGCCGCGCTACGGAAGCAGGACGAGTTTGCCTCTGCGCAAGTGGCGATCATGGCACCGTCGACGCCGTACTCGGCCATCAGCGCCAGGCCGTGGTCGCGCGACTCGACGTCGCCGTTCACCAGGATGGCGACGCCGGCGGCGCGGCAGATGGAGGCGATCATGGGCAGTTGGTCGCGGATGGCGCGCTCGCGCGGGCGCATCGGGGTCGTGCGGCAGTGCACGGTCAGGCCTGTGATGCCTGTGGCGCAGAGGCGGGTGACGAGGTCACGGGTCCGTTCTGGGTCGGCGAGGAGGCGGATTTTCACGGATATGCCGATCTGATAGGGGGTGCCCACTTGCTGCACCAGGGCTGTGAGGATGGAGACGAGGCGATCGGGGGTCTGGAGGAGGGCAGCCCCCATGCCGCCGGTGGTGCTGAATGGTTTAGGGCAGCCGGCGTTCACATCTATGCCGGCGACGTCTGCCGCGATGATTTTGGCGGCCTGGACGGCTAGGTCGGGGGAGGCGGTGCCGATTTGGAAGACCAGCTTCCCGCTTTCTCGACGCGGGTCGAGGCGGTAGATTATGGATTCTTTCGCGGCTTGGTTGTTTTCGCGCCCACCGTTGGAGGGCAGGCGGGTAAACTCGACCATGGAGTTGCGCGGGTTTATGCGGCGGGTGCAGCCGATTAGGGCTCTGTCGATTGTTTCGGGGCCCCAGACGAGGTCCGCGCCGTATTTCAGGGCCAGGAGACGGGAAGGTAGTTCCCCTGAGCGGACCATGGGAGCGAGTACTATTTTACCGCGATAGTCCACACCATTTTTAGGGATGGGGACTCGGGGTGTGAGGGAGGACGCGATGGTGGGAGGGGAGGGGGAGAGTGGTAGTGGCGTTTTAGTGATTGAGCCCATGACTAGTAGAAGGAATCTTTTGAGCATGGCATCGCTAGAAGATGTGGATGAGAGGGTATGTCGGGGTGCGAGCAAGGCCGGTTCTACAGCATCATGCGTGGTTGGCGTTTGTGGGATATTAGACGTCGTTGGTGATTCATCTGGAGTGGCCGAAAAAGGCAAATTTCTATACATATCACGTGGAGATAACGATAACAAACTTCCACGGGCACTCTCCACCGCACGTGATTACCCTTATATCTTCCACACATCTTCTTTTCCTTCCTTTTCTTCCTTAGCGATTAGCTACTATATTATTGTTATATTCTTACTATTCTTATGTTACTACGCGCTACATTACTATCTTCTCCTATTCACTCTTCACACTGTCATCACCCCTCACACACTCACAGCAATCTTATATTGATTAAAGAATGCTTTGAAATTTGAAAATGTCTCACTGAGTATTCTGCATGACTCTGAATCATCAGAAACAACTTTTATAATTCATTATTATAATGTTGAAAAGTTGCTATTCAAGCTATTGACATCAGAGGCTGCTGAAATATGCAATGTTATTTTGACAATTAAAATGAGATACCTTGCAGAAAATGCAAATATCTTATATATTAGAAAGTTCAGTGGAAATCAGTGGATCAATCTGATCCAGTGACATCAAACCCTCATTGATCACCACTGTGATTTACTCACAGGTACACAACATCCAATCACCAATGGAGACATTTTGGCGATTCCTGTTAATATGACTGTCAATTCTTCAACTAATACAAATGCTGACGATAGAATTAGCTCCAATATCGAGCACCAAAACCCAACTGAATATACTACCCTTCTCCCAAAGGTAGCTGATGCAACGGCGTATCAAGTCATGATGAGAGATAGATTTTCAACCTGCAAGATGAAGGTCGGGGGGGGTGGCAATTGATCACGCGTGAATTTACCCTACTACCGAAGAGATCTATACCTGTCGTCCTGGCATATACTTTGTAAAATAGCAATAAAAGCTTTTATTTCATTATGGCCTTTCGGCCTAAGAGCGTCTAAGCTCAGAAAGAAACAGAAGACATTTCATATGGCACCCAGCCCACTCCTTTTCCAGCTGCTCCACCACAGCAGGACGGTAGCCAACGGTGGTGATGGTTCAGCGGCGTAAACGGCAAGGCGAATTCATTTCATTTAGCGAGCGCGTAACGGAGCTTGCCCGAGCACGACGGGACTTCGCTGCTTCTGGAAACCAGGAAGTCGTGCTTGGCGGTCAACAAGACTGCGGAGTTCGCGACGCTAGCATCCAACTCCTCTCTGATATGAGTAAAAGCCCAATGCCTCCTCATCTAGTCCAAGGCAAGTTTGACCATTTGCTCCAGGTCGCCACGGTCGAGAACAATATCACATTCCCCGTTGCCGGCCGGGGGTCGCAAAAGAAGGTCCTGGAAACGGATCACCATTGGGGCACTGGCAGAATAACCACTGGCGCTCTTGGTAACAGTCGCCTCCTGTGTCATAACAGGACGGGGGCGAGCAGCTCCATCACGGAATTGCCACATCTCAAGGTGGACTCGGTGATTGCGGAATACCTTTAACGTGATCACCACTCGTACCTCCCCCTGGGATTCTGTTAACCACCAGCTGGTGTCTTTCTTTAACTTTGAAGCAGACTCGGAATACCCAACCTCAAGAACCAGGCTGGGCCATTCATCTGATCGGGCGGCCGGGAGTAGGCGTGGCCGGAATGATGTATCGGGAATTTTGGTGCGTGTTGTTCCATGCACATCTTTTGATCCACAGGCTTTCACTTCGAGAGAAAAGTCTGTTCTCATTTCGTCCAGTTTGCGTTGAAGAACTTTGTCAAAGTAGCGGATAGCACTTTCATGATCGCCAGAAGGCATATTGATGATAAGGAGATGATTTGTGAGACTTTGATCTTTGATGCGTCCAAGATGCCTTTGGTTGGAGAAGTCTCGCATTGTATCTGGAGCTACATTCTTAAACACAACATAGCTGTCCAAGATTCGTTTTCCATCACTGTCATAGTGTTCAGTATGAGTGAATAAGCGATCCCTTTGAAGAAGCTCCTCAAGGTCCTCTGCCCCGAGACCTTCAGCATCATATTGGCTGCTTCCAGGAGGCAGGGCTTCAATCATCTGTCTAACTTCATCGTTGTGACCTTCACTCATGGAAGTGTTTGACAAACCCATTATTGTGTATTCCCCGCTCCTTTCGCTGTGTTATGAGAAAGCTAAGATAAGAATAGATGGATGATGGCATGTTTAAAAAGGGTTTTACGTGAATGACATCATTCTCCCGTACTGAAAGCTTTGTATATTGCAGCGCCCTCAAACTTAAAACCTGACAAACTACTGAGGCTCACCAGTAACTCTAGATTTTTAGAAGGCGTCGATGATGTACAGTACTGCATAATGGTTATCCTCGTAAGGAACCACTTCTTAGATGTGGCTATCAAGATATTAGACATTTAACCAGCAGCCAGGCATATGCGTATTCCCCATTTCTAAAAGGACATTTCTTCTAATTGCTGTATTTCCTTGTAGACTTGAATGTAAGGATTCGGCCATCACATTCTGGTTTCTTCTAACCAACCTCCATCTGATATTTATGAATGAATTGAGAAACCTTTAATGATAATTGTAACATTTTCTTATATTCTAATTTAAAGATTAAAGATAATCAAGAATTATTTATAATGAATTTAAAAAGATTCGTCAAAAAATAAATAAAATAAATTTTTAATACTCTTAAGATAGTAATGATTTTGAAATCTCTGCAGCAGTCTCAACAGCAATTTCATCAATTATACTATTTTTATATACAAAGAGCTCTCTATTCAGAGAAATAATATTCAATTCATTCGATATTATATCAGTCACAGTATATTCTAATTAAAATATCTCATTTTTTATTAAAAATCTGCTATCTGAGCCATAGTTCACGGGATGGTTAATCTTCTGCTGGAGGGATTGGGTTGGGTGATTCGTACCCTCTATATACCACCATGGCGCTGGTGGTGATTTGAGCTCTTTTGCCCTAGTAACAACTATCCCACACACGTGATATCAACGCCAAGGCCATGTGTCACATGACCATTCCCGATTGTTCCCGATCTTATTTTTTTCCAAAAAATTTTTCTGTTGTGTTTTGTGGTTTCGGTGACGACATTTTTGGCGGATGTTCACATATATTTTCAGACTTTGGTGTTCAATGTGATGGCTAACTTATATATGTATATATATTTAGCTCAGTCTGCTTCCCAGCAGACTTTGGATCCGCAAACTTGCCTGCGTAGTTACCACGGAATCGAAGGAAATGATGAAAATGATGAGAATGTAGCTGCCAGGATACGTAGGAGTGAGAATGAAAGTGCTGTATATCAAACCCTCCAGACGGAGTAAACATGTGCAAAATGTGCTTTCGGTTCCTCTCCGGGAACCTTTCAACTATCCCGAGGTCCACCTACTATCATTGTCTTTTGCTGCTTTCTTTTCTTCTTTGGCAGGTATATTTTCCACACCGTACCAAGCTCCAGCAGCCCTTCAGCCAGCGGTTCGCGACAAAACCCCTTCCGACCCAGGGAAGCGTCTCACCAGTAAACCTAAATCCAATCTCAAATTGCGAAATCTCATCGACATCGTAAAAATCCTGCGGACTTTTTGATCCACACTGGAGGCCTGTTTCTTTTGCTCGCCACATGTCCAAATTCCCGTCGAGAAAACTCGCATTTGCACTGCGCACACCAAGCCAAGCCGTCTCTCCCCTGCTCCCAACACGCTGCCCGAAGCCAATAAGCCCAATTGCTGCTGCTGCTGTTGCTGCTGGATATCTGCAGAGTGGTGCTGTTGCTGCCGTTGGCGTTGTCTCTACCCGTCGTCATTCGTGTTTGGCTGCGACCTCGTCAACTAAGCTGGCTCCCCCCACAAGCCACCACCCTTCGATTTCCCCCTCCCCCTCCTCCTCTTCACCTTCATCTTCATCTTCGTCGTCATTTTCTGCTCGCCCCGTTCCCCGCCACCATCAGTCTGCTTCTCTCCTTCGCCAGTCTGCTCCTTCGAACCGTGTTTCCATTCTCGCCAGGCATTTCTCGTCTTCCCCTTCCGCAATGTCGTACGCAAAGGCGCCGTCCGAATACTCCGTCCGCAAAGTCGGCCAGCCCAACACCCTCGAGTTCCGCGCGTACATCGAGAGGGATGGACACCCCGTATCGCCCTTTCACGATATCCCACTGTATGCCAATGAGCAGCAGACCATTCTGAACATGGTTGTTGAGATCCCGCGCTGGACAAATGCTAAGCTAGAGGTGTGTGTTTTGTGCGCTTCATTATTCTCGACTTTTAAAGTTGTACAGGGGTCTTTTCACTTTACAGCGGGGTTGACTGTTGTTGGTGGGGGTGGGAATTTCTAACATATCCGGGAGACAAAAAGAGGAATGGACGAATGGACGAATGAAATGAAAAAAGAATAATATCCCGCTGACTCCAAACCCATTCTTTGATTTATTATTCTTCCAGATCTCCAAAGAGGAATTCCTCAACCCCATCAAGCAAGATGTGAAGAAGGGCAAACTGCGATACGTGCGCAATTGCTTCCCACACAAGGGCTACCTTTGGAACTACGGAGCACTTCCCCGCGTAAGTGCACCCAATTTCCCATCTATCTCTAGTGGCAATCATTAAACAGACTTTTCCCTTTTGCCAGACGTGGGAAGACCCCAACGTTGTCCACCCGGAAACCAAAGCTAAGGGCGACAACGACCCCCTCGACGTCTGCGAAATCGGAGAGCTGGTCGGATACTGCGGCCAGGTGAAACAGGTCAAGGTGCTTGGTGTCATGGCCCTGCTCGACGAGGAGGAGACTGACTGGAAAGTCATTGTCATCGATATCAACGACCCGCTTTCCCCAAAGCTCAATGACATCGAGGACGTTGAGCGTCATCTCCCGGGCCTCCTGCGGGCGACCAACGAATGGTTCCGTATCTATAAGATCCCCGATGGAAAGCCTGAGAATCAATTTGCGTTCTCTGGTGAATGCAAGAATAAGAAGTATTCTTTCTTCCCCTTCTCTCTGCTAATTTTATTTTCTTTTTGTTTAATATCATTTGTTGCTAACCCAATACTCCCCCCATTAGGTACGCCATGGAAGTCGTCCACGAGTGCGCTGATGCATGGGATAAATTGATGAGCGGGAAGAGCTCTCGCGGCGACATCTCCCTGTATGCCTCTCTCCCCCTCTCCCCCTCTCCCCCTATCTTTTTTTCTCTATCCCTTTGATGCCCCCTTGCCCAGGCCAGGAAACGATCTATATAACTGATATCTCCCCAGCGCAAACACCACCTCGGAGCAATCCCCAGACCGCGTCGACGCCAACCAAGTCAGCGCCATCCCACCCCACCAAGAGCTCGCTCCTGCACCCATCGACGGCAGCGTCGACAAATGGTTCTTCATCTCCGGAGCTGCTGTCTAAAGTTTCCTGTTCTCTTCTTTTCTCTTCTCTTCATCTTTCCTTTTCGTAACCCAGCTTTCCTCCTCTCCCGGCTCCAGTTTGTCACCTTAGCAACCCAGTTTTTCCCCCATTCACAAATTAAATCACGATATTAGTTTTACTTATTTTATTTACTTTTGTTTATTTGGTTGAAACTGTCTCAATCCCTCAAGGCACATAAATTGTGAAGAAGAGTGCCTTTCTGTCCCCTTCTTCTATAATGTCATGTCTGCCTGAAGGCTTAAAGGCAGTTTCAACATCTCAACCTCTCCCTCCCCCCCTCCCCGCTAACCCCCTAAAATTTTTCTCCTTTTCTCTTGCTACGCAGGAAGGCAAAAGCACATATACAAAAACTTATTGTTTATGTCGAGGCGTGTCTGGGCTCAGTAGAGGTGGAAATAAGAAGAAACTCACACATCCTTGGGTGGTGATTGGTTTGATTGGGATTTTGATTTGATTGATCATCGATGTGATGTTTTTTCTTCTTTTTTTCTGCCTTCTTTTATTTTGCCAAATACCACAGGTTTAAGGGTGGAATAGACGAAAAAAAAAAATATTATTAAAAAATACCCAAAAAAAAAATCCTTTTTCTTTTCTTTCAACTTATTTTCTTTAAGAGAAAACATTTTCATGTTTTGTTTGAAGCATGCTATAAAGTGGAACGGTTTTGTTGAACCTGAGCTTTTCTATTGTTGATGCTGATATACATACTAGTATTTACAAGCATGCTTCTCTCACTACAGAGGTTGCTTCAAAAAAAAAAAAATCCATTCAGCCAAGCTACTATCAGTGCTGCTGATCTACTAATTGGAACACCTTCAAATATCACGAATTAGGAATGTGCTCAAAATGAATGGATCACAATTGCCATTTCTATTTTCTTTCAAATATGACACTTAATATAGATATCTCAGTCTACACTGTAGTTAATATAAAAAAGAGAAATTCTATATATTAACATAACTGATAAACTCAGAGTATAGCTATCCTTCAGTGGATAATACATACCCGCCACACCCTGCTAAGCTTTAGCCGCCAGGAAGTGGCGCAACTGAGAACCATGCCACAATTCAGTGTATTCTTTACAACACTTTTAACCATATAAGAATCCATATTCAAGGAAAGGCCTACAATGTGAGAAGGCTGGACGCAAGATATTGTGCTAGGTTTGTAAATTCAGGAAAATTTCTCAAGACAAAGGTATGCAGGAATTGTGCTCGAGCGGAAATAGCGACAGCTTCTGTCCTGGGAATGTATTTCTACACCTCTCGGGCTTTTCCTGACCTTCGATTAATTGATTGATTGATTGATTCTCACAGACTGTTGCAGCCGCCCTGATGGCAGCTATGCAACGTACGACTTTAAAAACAGGTGTTCCTACCCTCCCCTTTGGAAATTCAGTTATCCTTGCTAGAAACTCCCAGTTGGCAGTCCGGTTTATTTCTGCAACAATTACATCTTTCCACTGGAGCTTTCTCTATCCGAAGTCTTCCTACCTGTATCTCACAAGCTTTCGACCCAACGAACCCTCAACAAATCACAATTTTCCTTAAATTTTATCTCTTCATTATGAGTGCATATGCTATATTTTAATGGAGCTTGCGATTTCCTTCTCATTCAAACAATGGTTAAATCACAACACTGACTTCAGCAGTATTACACAAGAATAAATGACATTTAAAAGCCCAAGAGATGAAAGGCCAAGGAGTGAGGACCTGACCCATGGAGTATAAAAGGGGAAGAAAAGAAGAAACAAACATTCACAAATTTTCAATAAAGATATGAAAACGGGGTTGTATAGAGGATTGAAACAGTCTGTGGTACATACCCATTAACCAGTTGACTAGAAGAAAAAAAATCCTTCTATCCTCACACCCAACAGTACCTCTCTTCACACAATACAGCGTAAGTCCACCCGCTCAAATCCTGGATCTCTCCACCTCTGAAATAGTCTAACCTAGATGGCCGACCCCTGGCGGTGCAACCCGAAATGACCTTGACCATCATATCGGCACAGAATTTAGCATTGAGTTTGCCGGATCTGTTATGAGTGTTGACGACGCCGACTTTGACCGGGACAAAAGGTATGGGAAAGGTTTTGAACACGTTCCTGAACCAGTATTTTTTTCCAATGTCCCCCGACCGTGTAAATTTATAGCCATTGTACTCATAGCAAAATTTCCCCGCAACATCGTATATGTTCTTTTCCTTAAGATCATAGTTCTTGCCAACTTCACGGATGGGAGTTAGCCCATCAGCTGCCCACTTTTCCGTACGGGAGTCATAGCATCTCAACTTGGTTGCACCGCGGGCAACGAGGTTGTGCTCAGTTGTGTTGACTGAGGGAATGAGTTCATCGACATCGATTTCTGCTTTTGGCAGAGGCCTGGAGACTGAAATGTTAGATGGAAGAAAGTAAAAAAAATAAAGTGTAAAAGAGAAGGATGGCACATACCCGGGCAACGCATGGGTGCTGATAAGCATCCCAGCAAGGGTGACCAGAGTGAGAGATAGGAGCTAGAGAGGAATGGTCAGCTCTGAGCTGTGGAAAGCTATATCAAATATATATATATATATATGTCTTTCGATTTCCATTGTTCACGTACCTTCATTGCAACGCTCAATTATTACAAGCTTAAAGGAATGAATGAATGTCTGACTAGATCACTTGGTGGGAAAGGAGAGATCAACCACTGCAAGTTTCAAAAGTCGAAGATATTTTGACCAAAAGAATGAGGACTGAACAAATTGAGGAGAAAAAATTAAGAAGCTACTGCCATTCAATTTATATTTCTCGTCATCTCTCCTTTTTTCCCTCCGGCTTATGTTTTTTTAAACTGCATGTGTTTGCATCACATCTGACCAGGCTCCAGGCTCAGCATTGATGAGATTTTGAACTGCTAAAAGCCAGCCACTTGTGATCTAAATTCATGGGTTATTCCTCGGAAAACACCTCCCATGAAACTTAGCTGGCTTAAGAGATTGTTCCCTGTACTCTCGTAGTGTTTATCTCTTGTCCAATACCGCCCCTGCCAGGCTAAATTGAAAAGATTTAATTCTGCGGGATGATCGCTGCCCTGGGTGCGGCTCGGACATTCAAGCATCATGATTTCAAAACTTCGATGAATGTCGTAGATAAACAGCTGTAGTTATAGTCGAGCGTGGCAGAGCAGGACTTTTGAGAAGCAAAGTATGATTTATCTAACAGAGTTCATCTGAGAGCATGATCTGAAAGAATGACCTTTAAACATTGTGAATAATTGACTTAAGGTAGTTATACGCTGTGTAGGATAATTATCATTTCTGAAGCTGAGCTCCTGCATATTTGCAACCACAGGGAGGGTTCAGTCTAGGCTAGGGCTGAGTTCGTTCCTGGCACCAAGTCCCGCTAACCCATGCATGATCTCTCTTCTAACCGCGTTTGGCGAGATCCCGCGCCAGGGTTACTCCGTAGTTTGCCTGACAAGTCACAAAGTAGAAAGGCACAAACATCCATCAATGTTCGGGAACCGAGCTCTACTACTAATACTCCCCGAGTCCACAACATGGCAAACCGAAGACCGTCATGGTTGAAGAGCTTACTTATTTAGTCAGAACATTGAAACAAGGCCGAACTCGCTTCTCTCGCGCTTTACATTGTCAGCCCCCTGGATCTTCAAAACCTTTTACCAAATCGGAGGATTGATAATTACACATGGTGCCTGGCTCCTTCCACACAGTCAAGGGCTGCGAATTTTTTTTAAAGAATTTAATACAAAATAACAAGTGTTCAAATGTAGACTAGAAGTCAAGAAGAATTCTGCATTTGACAGGTCAACATACTCATTGATCACAGTTAAGTTACATCCCCTTCTAGGAGAAGAACTAATATACTGTCATATTTCATCACTCACATATCTGCACAACCATCATGAAAACCTTTACTCTCACAATTACACTTTATAGTTGTGTGGTCTCTAATATTCTTGCACTTCGTACTTCACTATGATACAATCTTCGATATTCTGCTGACTTCAAGTCTTCTCGTATAAGAATCTCTTTATGAAACTCTTTAATCTGTCTTCTCTCCTTTTTCTTTCTTAATTAAATTATTTTTTGTTTTTGTATCTAGAAAGTGCTAAGAACTTAGTTTATAACTAAGAATAGATCAAGTTTCTATACTTAAGTCTCTATAAACGATTGTAGCACTTTGTATTATATTTACAAAGAAGTTAGAGTGCTCAAAGATTTACGACTGTGTATCTGTAAAGCGATCAGAGTACTTTAGAAGAATTTCTAAGTTCTCGAGAATGCCGCGCCCTTTCTATCGCAAGATCACATCTAAAAGTAAATGAAGCAAAAGAAGAACTAGTTAGCTTTGTCTATTCCATTAGCAATGTATCGGATATCTAGGTAGCTAGCAATCTTTATCCAATAGCGATCAATCAAATATCAAGCAGAGGGTTGATTTCTCTAAGAGGATGGAACCATTTCCTCTCAGAACCTCTACGAGAATTTGATGGTGGAAGATGTAGATGATTATCTGATTGATTGATAAGATGGTGGCTGTTGGATTGTTGATCTGGTGGCTGCACTAATCCAAAATCGAGCAGGAGTGGCTGAGCATGCTGAGATAACCCTCATCCAGCGATCTCCATTGCGCATCAACATCATCATCATCATCATCATGAGACTATTCCTTTGATTTCCGGTTTGTTTCTCTCTTATCATCGAATATGTCTTTTCGCACATACTCTAAGACCACCATTGCGTTGATATCGTTCTTGGTGGTGTCTTGCAATGTTCAACTCCACGATTTGCCAAACTGAAAGCGTTACATGCTTCAAGTACTGTACAGGTGGATTGATGGTGTAGAAAGGCTGGAAAGATGCCAGCCCGGTGGCTATCATCCAATACTCATTGAGGATGTACTTCCAGGCAGATATTAAGTTATTCACAAGCTGGGTGATGGGACATATTCCGCCATCTGGCTCGCACATGATAAGCAACGGGCAGCCTGTGTCGCTGTCAAAGTCGGCACTGCAGATGCACCTCTTTACGAGGCTGAAATTCCACATGCCCTGGCAGGCTCTCAACTTGATCATCCTGGCCGGGCTATGATCCCTACAATCCAAGCTCAATTTGAACGCCAAGGTCCCAACGGACGCCATCGATGCTACGTGACAGCCCCAGCTCGTAGCAGTGTCGCTGCAGCAAAATTCTCATGTTGCTTTGAAATTGAGGCTGCACGCGCTCTGGCTGCATGGCTGGTTTTGGCAGTTGCATATACGCATGTTCGGGTATTCATTCATGGAGGCAAACTTGTTCGCCTGCTTCCCAATGGCAAAGTTATAATCAAAACAGGCCTACGCTTGATGTATAGTACAGTACATAGACACTACGCTAATGTCTCTCTAATACTGCTGAATCAAATATCTCCCTCCATCTATTTACAAACCGCCCTCCCCACTCCATTGCTCCAGAGAAAACCATAACATTAACCCAAAATACATCACCATGACCCAATGCAAATGAAAAAAGAACAACCCCCTCTCCCACTTCTCTCCAAATACCCATCTATCCATCCATCTTACCCCTTCAAACTCTCCTCCTTAGCCAACACCCTTCCCACCCTCCCCACTTCCTCTACAACATCCTTGACCCCAAGCCCCAACCTCCCCACCTCCAACCTTAACTCCTTGCCCCCCTTAAACCCTACCGTCATCTCCGGCAGCTGCTTGGAGTCGCGTGGTAGGTGCGTGATGTCGATTTTGATGTGTGAAGAGGAGGCGGGTGAGGCGGTCGCAGGGTTTTGGAGGAGGGAGACGAAGAGGCGGCAGGGTTTTGAGAGGCGGCTGAAGGGGGAGAAGGTCGTGCGGAGGCTGGTTATGGTGTGGAGGGGGATGGACATTTTTTATTCTTGTAGGCCTTTTTTTTTTGGTTTCTTTATCCCTTTTTTATTGGATATTGAGGAGTTAATTAGGGGTTGGCTTTCGTTTTTGGGGACCGCTTGGGTAGATAGAGAGGGACTTGGAGGAGAGGTCGTTAGTTATGTATTGATATTGTGTTTGTTAGACGAAGCGGCAAAGTTGTAGGATGGCATGAAGGGGGTCGATAGGGAGTATATATATGCACCTTTTTCCCTAGCGGCTTGTGGCGTTGTAGTACGTTCCCCTGTCTTGCAATTGAGGTGTTGTCTTGTATTGAAGCTATATAACGGGCCGTTTTTTCGCTTGAACGTTCGGGGTCGCTGATTGAATGGCTCAATTGGGTTGAGAGAAAGGCGGATCGGAAATTTAAAAAGAACGCGGATTAAACTGTACGTGGCGCAAGCGGTATATTTACAGGGAAAAGATGAGGCATCGAGGAAGTGAGTCCGTTTTTCCGTTCTCTTTCCGTTTTACCTGTATAAGATGATGGATGTGTTTTGCGATGCCACAGGCGAGTTTGAAATGCCAAGACATCAGAAGTGGTGTCTTGTTTGTAATGTTGTCAAACAAGGTGTCCGCAATTCATAGTTGCCAGATTCCACATCCAGCGAAATCTACGAATCTAGATATTTGTGCTAACCAGACCAGCTCCACGAGGCGGCAAAGAAGCACGCGAGGTGGGCGAGGTTGCCATATTGTTATGTTGAACACAGTACTCTAATCCCCAGCAAAGTGCAAGCGTTGTCGCAGCTATATAACGACCTACCTACATCTACGACGAACATGATCTCCCCGGGTCTTCAAACCCGCATAAACTCCCTCTCAACAACCCACAAACAAACCACTCCCCTAATCCAGCGTTTACAAAACCTACCCGTAGCCCCCGGCTCCGGCGACGATGCACGTCTCGAGCTCGGTGCGGAAATCCATCTCCGCCTAAAGGAGATGGAGGAGCAGATGGAGTTGCTGCGTGTTGAGCTCGAGCAGTTGGAAACTACGCGGAATCGGAAGAGGGAAAGTGGAGCAAGGGAAGCGGAGAGGGAGAGGGTGGTGGTTGTGATTGGGAAGTTGGAGGAGGATTTGAAGAGGTGGGTATATAGCCATATGATAGTATTATTTGGAGGTTCGGTTGTGCGTAATTTCGCTGACCGGTTTACGAAAATAGTGCTCGGATACAATTCCGCAAAGCACAGTTACAGGCGAAACGAAATGCGGAGGCTGCACGGCAAAAAGAGAGACAACTGTTGTTTGCTGGGGTTGAGGGCGGAGAGGGCACGGAGCATATACGGCGAAAGGGCCGTGCTGGCCTTACGCATGATGCGTTGGTAGCCAGCGCTTCGGAGGATGTTACTGCTGCGCTGAAGCGGACGCATCAACTTATGCAAGCGGAGCTGTCCAGGAGCCAGTTTGCGCAGGACACTCTAGGTTTGATCCCCCCCCCTCTCTTAATTTGTTCAGGAAGCAAGTTTATGTTGACAGATCCGCTCCAGAGCAATCTACAGCGGCGCTTAGTTCGCTCTCCGAGTCATATAGTACCCTCGACACACTCCTCGCCTCATCTCGCTCGCTCGCCGCATCGCTGCTCCGTTCACAAAAATCAGATACATGGTACCTTGAAACTGCATTTTATTTGCTAATCGGAACCATCGTCTGGCTCGTGTTCCGGCGCATACTCTACGGGCCGCTCTGGTGGATGCTCTGGATGCCTTTGAAGCTGATGGCTCGGATAATAGTACCGATCTTCGGTGGGATGGGCTTGGCAAATACATCGAAATCTACCCAGTTATCAGGTTCTCTCACATCGATATCACTGGGCAATTCGGGAACTAGTTTGCTTTCAGGGACACCGCCGACAGTAATTAGCGGTGTTACGTCAAAGAGCACAGCCGAACCACCATTGTTGTCATCAGTGCATGATCAAGAGACTGGAATCCCGCAAGCGGAGAACGAAAGTATAGTTGATGAAATAGAGAATATAGTTAAGAAGGAAAATGATAATAGCGAAAAAGGAACGAATGTGGATGATATATCACCTGAAGAAAGGCGGAGACAGGAGCAATTACCTCGGAATCCGAAGAAAAGGATGCATGAGGAAACGATCATGGATGAGCAAGGAAAGGACGAGCTGTGAGATTTTGGCTGTATTTGTTTGTATGGCCCTACATAATTAGTATTATGCATTGAGGAGATATGATATCACCCGTTATGCTCTAAGTTGAATTTTATTGTCCAAGTACCTTCCCATACGATTTTGTTGGGTTGGTGCTTTACAAAATCACTCTGGAAATCTAGATTGAATCGCGTCCACACGTGATCCACGCGTCGTGGCCTGGCTTCAACCTTTTCCGAAGCATTATTGTATGTCAATTCATGTTCTCCAGACCTTGTACCTCTCACAATTAAATTTCCTCAACCTATATTATGACATAATAATATCTCAGCTATTTTCACATTTGATTGATTTGATATCCCACATGGCATCGAATTTCTTCAGCAACAAAGCTCGCGCAGCAGCTGCGGGGGCTGCCATACCTAAACCAAAAGCTTCAGATAAAGAGGGTGATACCACAAGGCTACAGCCATGGGTTGAGAAATAGTATGTCAAATCAAATTCCATGTCGAGTTAACAGCCCAATTGCTAACCATACGCGCTTCAGCCGGCCGAAAACTCTCGACGATGTCGCTTCTCAGGAACATACAGTCACAGTTCTCCAACGAACCTTACAAGCTTCAAATGTATATATTTTTCTGCCCAATAACCAAAAATACTCCATTGCGGTTCAATGTGCTTACGAGTTCATATTTTGAAAAATGCCAAAGCTACCCCACATGCTCTTCTACGGCCCCCCAGGGACTGGAAAGACCTCCACAATCCTCGCCCTGGCCAAATCCCTCTACGGCCCGCAACTTTACCGTTCCCGCATCCTAGAGCTTAACGCGTCCGATGAACGTGGCATCAGCATCGTGCGTGAGAAAATAAAAGACTTCGCAAGAATGCAACTATCACATCCTCCCCTTTCGGACAGCGCCTACCGCGAAAAATACCCTTGCCCGCCCTTCAAAATCATCATCCTCGACGAAGCCGATAGCATGACGCAGGATGCGCAATCGGCGCTTCGACGCACTATGGAACGATATAGCCGCATCACTCGCTTCTGTCTTGTGTGCAATTATGTCACGAGGATCATTGATCCGTTGGCGAGCCGTTGTAGTAAATTCCGCTTCAAGGCACTGGACGGCTCGGCGGCGGGATGTAGGTTGGAGGAAATTGCGAGAATGGAGAAACTTAGGCTTGCCGATGGGTGTATTAGGACGTTGATTCGGTGCAGTGAGGGTGATTTGCGCCGGGCTATTACGTACTTGCAGAGTGCGGCGCGGCTGGTGGGATCTACGGAGGGAACAAAGCAAGGAGGAAAGGATGAATCTGGAGATACGGAGATGGCTGATGCTGGTGAAGATGGGATCATTACTGTGAAAACCATTGAGGAAATTGCTGGAGTTGTTCCTGATGATGTTGTCGATCGATTGATCAAGGCGCTGCAACCGAAAAAGGGCCGTTCATCGTATGAAGCTGTTTCGCAGGTGGTAACTGATATCGTGGCGGATGGCTGGAGTGCATCGCAGATGTTAACCCAGGTATGTGGGTAAACTTGTATTTTTTCGTGTGTTCTAAGGTAACCCGTGACTGACGGGATGAAAAACAGCTATATCAAATCATAGTGTTCGACGACTCCATACCGGACATCCACAAAAACAGCATCGTCATGGTATTCTCCGAGTTTGATAAGCGGCTAATTGATGGAGCGGACGAACACCTCACCCTCTTAGACCTGGTGTTGAGAATATCGGAAATATTAGGGCGGCCTTCGTAACTAAATAGTCGACCACAATGGTCACTTGCTTCTTCCATACTCATAATGAAAATGCAAATTATGATCCATGATTTTAATTTGTTGATGTAGCTGTGTTACATTAGAATGGCAATATTGTCAGTGATGACAACGGGGCCTATATTTTTTGATATCAATCCACTTCAACTCCCCTTAACCTAGGCCGTTGTCCAATAACTCTAAAATAGCGAATCGGCAGGTTATATACAGGAGCACTGTTTTACTAGCCAGGCACTCAATCCTAACCACCCAGGCCAAAAGACCAGAAGGACGGCTAGCCGCGCCCGACATTTATATTTATCATCGTGGTGGCCGCCAATGGCTTGGGGCCTTCCGTTAAATTTACTGAGTTTGGTAACTTCAGACCACTCTCACCTCGCTTGCCGCTGTTGACGCTGAAACTGAAACGAGATCGCTTCTGCGCCATTCAATCCCGTGCTGCACATTATCAATACGATTGAGGCTGTCCTTATTGAATTGAAAACCTTCCTGGAAACATTAATCCCTGGGAACAATGGTGGATGCGCCTAAATACCTCACGGGCGATCCTGCGGGCATCCAAGAATTTCTTGATAAGTTTGATGTAAGTAAGATGCGCCCAATAATGTTGGTTGCTCGGCCGTCCGCTTCCGAAATTTGCTGCGAAAATTTGTAAGAAGACTCAATTCTTCAAAGGCATATACTGAATTGCCCTTCTACAGGTCTTTCTCTTTGACTGCGATGGTCTGTAACCCCACCACATATCCCGCCCCGCAACCCCGCATCATTACCCATGGCTGAATTCCACCCAAATGCAGTCCACACACTGAGAAGACAAGTTGATATCTAGGCGTATTATGGTCAGGAGACATTACATTTGAGGGGACGGTTGAGACATTGGAGATGCTAAGGCAGAAAGGTGTGTAAACAGATGTGTGTATGCCCGGACACACATACGGTTTTCCGCCATGTCGAATCGCACTGGATTTCCCAACGGAGACAGGAATATTTAATAATAGACGGACAAAACTTCGTTGGAAAGTAATTAGGAAAGCAGATTATCTTCGTTACCAACAATAGCACCAAGTCTCGCGCGGATTATAAAAAGAAACTGGAGAGCCTGGGAATACCGGCTGATATCGTATGCAACTTGAAATCCCTCCTCTCTTCTCTTCTGACAGATGCGATATATAATTTCTAACTACCTACAGGAAGAAATCTTCACTTCCTCCTACAGCGCCTCAATCTACATTTCCCGCATCCTCACCCTGCCCCAGAATAAACAGAAAGTCTTCGTCCTTGGTGAAACGGGCATCGAACAAGAACTCAACGCTGAAAACGTCCCCTTCATTGGCGGCACAGATCCCACCTACAGACGCGACATATCGCCACACGACTTCGGCCAGATCGCCACCGGCGATCCCTCCATTATCGACCCGGAAGTCGGCGTCGTGCTGGCCGGCCTCGATTTCCACATCAACTACCTGAAACTGGCGCTTGCGTACCACTACTTGCGGCGCGGAGCGGTATTCCTTGCGACCAATACTGATGTCACACTTCCCAATGCCGGCTCCTTTTTTCCTGGCGCGGGGACAATAAGTGCACCGCTTATAAGGATGTTGGGTGGTAAGGAGCCGGTTGCGCTGGGGAAACCTAGCCAGGCTATGATGGATGCGATTGAGGGGAAGTTTAAACTGCAGAGGCACAGGGCGTGTATGGTTGGTGATCGGTTGGATACGGATATTAGGTTTGGAATCGAGGGTGGTTTGGGGGGCACTTTGGCGGTTTTGACTGGGGTGAATACTAAGGTAGATTTTACGACGGGACCGTTGAGACCGACGGCCTATGTGGATGGGTTGAAAGACCTGCTTGAAGCTGCGTAGCATTGGTGAGGTTGAGATTTATTTTGCTTTCAAGGTATGATAAACTTCGATACACTCGTGGTTTAATCAGATCTGTTCTATTTAGATACGGGTAAGGCAAAGGCACATATATAGACCAGCAATAGATTAGAATATTATGTTCTGGACACTGGTTGTTACCTCTAAATTTATTTTCATGGATTGAAACCGTTTCTATGAATATTGTGTTATACACTCTAATCGGGTATAAACTAGGTATCTCAGGATCTATCCATCATATAGATTTTAAGCTTCCAGAGCCAAGATATTATGGAGACGGTTGTCCGTTGACCTGGCCGATAAAACACTGCAGGGTGCTGAAATATATCGGCATGGTGACGGAGGGTTTCGACTTGTTCTTTTGTCAGGAGAGTCGTGAGATCGAACACTGGGACTAACGAGCCTGTGGCAGGCAAAGCAATGTATCTAGGGAGCTCGGGGGATGTCTGGCCCGATTCCGAATGAACTCCTAGAACATTACTGGAGTTTGGAAACATTGACTCATCCGTCGACCCTGCTATGGAGGTAGAAGGTATTTTGGGAATATCTTCACCAACTACAGAACCTTCTCCCGATGAAGATTTGAGACCGTTCACCCCACCCGCCCTTCTCAATATTAACACCGCTCCCCAGGCTGCATGCTCCAAACCCCCCAATTTCTGCAAACTTTCCCCCAGTCCCTCTTCTCCAATAATATCCGTCCTCGTGTCTAAAGCCGTCCAACCCCCAGAGATTTCCCCCAAGGGCCGTAACCTCTTCGCCTTCTTCAGCCATGCAAAGACCCTCTCCCTCAACCGTGCCAAAAAAAATTCTGGCATGTCCTTTCGAAAAACATAAGACATTTTCCGGGGCAAAGGCCCCTTGGGAACTTTCCAATTGTTAGAGATAAGGCGACCGGGCTGGGACCCTTTCATTTTAGAGATCGCACCCAATAGCTCTTCGTCATTCGTCATGTAGAAGCTAGGAAAGCTGGATCGTGGAGGTGGAGATGGTAATCCAGGGTCCACCTCGGAAACATCATGGAATGACTCTGATGCCTCTGGCACACTCTTCAGGCTCACTCTTTGAAGTTCCTCTTTAACCAAGTCAACAGGCATGAGCCATAGATTCTGTGTCTCTGGGTGCTGAACCAGGCCCCAGCTCCCCAGCAGCTTTTCTGGTATCCGGGCTCCAGTCGCAGCGCACATGCGCACGGGGCTTGCTAACAGCTGGGCCCATGGGTTGTACTTTAGGCGATCAATATCTTGTTCGTTGGCGCGTTGTTTTAGTTTTTGCGCCCTTTGTTCTAGTCTTGTAACAATGGGGGATTTGGGAAGGAAATTCGAAAATCGCGTATGGGTTTCTGGTATGTCTTCCGGCTGTCTGGACAGGTTTGATATGCTGTTTTCTCTTTCACTCGGGATAGACGCGCCAGGCGATTGCGTAGCTTGTGGTTTACTTTTTAATTCTTCAGCCAGTACGGAAAGTTCGGTTCGCAGGGCCTCGAGTTTTGAGAGCTCCTGAATTCTTTGTCGTCTTGTATTCCCACGTCGTTTTTTCTGGTTAGGATTTGGTTTCGGGAACTGGCAGCCAGAGCTTGTCATGAAGCTCCGTTGCGTAGGCAGGCTGGCAGTGACTTCAACGGCCAGGAGATGGAAGGCTTTTAGACGCCATGATGCATATGAAACGTGGCAGTATGGACATCTTGTAGTCATCGTTCGAGCTGTCCAGCTGCTGTAGAGGCAACTGGGTCTTTATGTTTGTTGTTATCGGCATTTCTACTGTTGGGCGGAAGCAGTTCAAAAACGCAGCTGACAGAGTCGGCGGGCTTGGCATCGATGCATTCAACCTAGACACACTAAATATCCTACGCCTCTACCTCATTTATCCTGTATATAGCAAGGTTCACAATGAACTCCTTTAGATGGCTAAGGCCGTCAGCCCGGCAGATCTTCCGCCCCACGATAAGGAATTACTCCAGCAGACCAAGTCTAACTCCGCCGCGAGGATGGACACCCACTCCCTTTGTGACTGAAACCGTGGTAAGTTTCCAAATATTTTCGACCGCGGAACAAGGCTCTGAAGGCTAACTGATCAGGGAGGTGGTTGGCATACATGTACGCATTGAGCGCTTCTGGCAATTTTAATCTCCATCGGAGGAAACGGAACGCTGACAATATACCCATAAACAGATGATATCTTCTCCCGACTTTTGAAGGCATGTTATGTAACACCTTCACTCCAGCAATAGCTGCGAGAAGCGCCTTACAGAACGCTAATGATATATATAGGAGCGCATAGTCTGCCTCAATGGCGAAGTCGACGAAAGTCTCTCTGCTTCCATCGTCGCCCAACTGCTATTCCTCGAAGCAGACAACCCGGAAAAGCCAATCCATCTCTACATAAATTCGCCCGGGGGATCTGTAACGGCAGGTTCGCACCGCCTAGACATTCACATATAATACGTATATCCCATTAACCTGACAATTGCAATACCTTTCTTCTACCTAGGCCTTGCCGTCTACGACACAATGACCTACATCTCCGCCCCCGTCAGCACTATCTGCGTTGGCCAAGCAGCGTCCATGGGCTCACTCCTCCTCTGCGGCGGCCACCCCGGCAAACGATACTGTCTCCCCCACTCCTCCGTAATGGTTCACCAACCCTCTGGCGGCTACTTTGGGCAAGCGACAGACATCGCCATTCATGCCAAGGAGATTCTCCGCGTCCGCCGCCAACTCAACGAGATCTATAAGATGCATTTGACGAAGGAGATGTCGCTGGATGAGATTGAGAAATGGATGGAGAGGGATTATTTCATGGGAGCACGGGAAGCGCTGGAGATGGGGATTGTGGATGAGATTTTGGATCGGAGGATAAAGCCCAAGACGGATGATGGGGGGAACAGTGGCGGCGGCAAAGAATAGGGGAGTTCATAGGATTTCGTTTGTACCTTTTTGATTGTTTGTATGACTATGTTTGTGTGGTAATGCCTATTCCCTTCCCGCTCTCTATTTCGAGATGGAATTATGTGACTTCTGAAATTTCCACCTCATTGATTCGTTTCTGTCTCTGACAGTAGTTACATACCAAGGCGGGCGCAACGCAATTCGGGCTCTATATGTACAGTATGACCTAGGGAAAAGGATTATGCGATACATATTTGGTAAAGAAGTATGAATATAGAAAAGTCAAAAATACACTTCGTTAATAAAAATTGAGGATAAAAGGATGAGCATGTCCAACGCCAACGCCTTAGAATGTCTAAAGAAATCATGTCCTAAATGTATGGTATATAATGATATGGGGTTTCACGAAATAGCGCGCAGCTGAAATCGAAAGCGTCGTTGCAGGAAGGGTACCACTATGCCGTTCTGAGTCGATGAAGTGGGTTGAGAACCAGTTGATCGACTAGAGTTCGTTGGCGAGACATTGTGCCACTGATCCCGAATGGTTTGAAGGATATTTATATCCGCAATGGCCGTCTGTGCTGATAGGAAATGGTCCCGAGGATGTCTGTCCCTGGTCAGCATGGGATTTCCACTTCCATCCTCGAATTCAAACAGCCTAGCATTGCTATCATCCGCCGAAGCTCGTCCGGGGGATGACAGGTCCTGCATTTCCATATGGTCTGTAGTGGCTTGATCGTTCATTCCTGCTAGGTGATCGGGAGCGACACCTCGTTCTTCGGAATCGTGGTCTTGTAGATTTGGAGGACGGCTTGCCGCATCTGTTGGCGTCGCAAGTAGTTTCGTTTTTTCCTTCTCCAGAATGACACAAAGCATGACAAGTTGCATCGAGAGAATGAGCATGTCGAGGAGGAATAAATGGAATTTAGAAATGGGACCTTTTTGCCCGATGAAGTCAACAAATAAGCCACCATGTAGATAGCCTCGAGACACCTCGCCAGCCGCAGGAGTAGATGATACGTAGTGGAGGAATATGCACAATATATTGCTCGCGAAAACAGTTACGATGGGAGGCTCATTCGTTGATGATTCGGATAATGGCCCGGCCTTGGGCGTGAAAAAGATGAATTGGACTATGGCGCGGATAGCGAAATGGAAGATTGAGCAGCTATTTGCGAATTAAACACATCAGCACCAGGTAGTTTTGAAATAATAATCATAGAGGAGAAAAAGGTGACTTACTCCATATAATAAACTGCAGACAGCTCGCAATAGATCAACATATCCAGGTCGCGCAACAGCCTCTCGAGCATGACCATCTTCGAGTTTGCATAAACAGCCCTCCGGTAGGACCTCCCCGACACCCCGGGCCGATCTCTGTCTCCGTCGTCATTGCGGGGGTCATAGGGAATGTTCGAGACGTCGGCGATGTACTGCGCATCTCGAAAGACATCTGGCGTGGTCATAGAGGGGACATGGGGCCTCCTAGGAAGTGCGGAGTGACCTCAGCTTGGCAAATTGTATAGCTGTTTCGTAGCCAACTGACTATTTTAGAGAATAATAGAAACTGGCTATTTAAGAAAGTCGCACCAAAAGAAAGCCGACTTCGATCAAGCAAGCTCGTGGTTACATTTCTCTATGGACGTGGAAGTAAATAACTAAGCTATGTACGGATCTTCTTTCCCCCGAACCCTATCGAAACCTCCCAGCTCAGCCTGATCTGATAAATACCCGACGACATGTCTGTCTCGCCTCTTTTCCGCTCTCCATTTCATTCGCACCGGGATCCCAGGAAAGACATAAGGTTCCCATCAGTTTTCGTCGTCTTCATAAACGGTTTCTTTGAACCCAACCCTTTTCTTGCCGCATCTCGCCTCGAACTCTACAGACTTCTCGTTTACCAATATCTTGTGCCCAATCATCACATTCTTGTCCCCCTTGGAGTTTCGAGCCGGAATACAAAGTCTGAGGGTCTCAAACTTCTCAACGTCTATCATAATAGCTAATCGTTAGCGATTCTTCATGTGATTTTCATCAGCCCATAACGGCACTTGCCTTCGTCATCAATTGAATTCCCTGGGGTTGAACTCTTGGATTTGTACAACACCAAATCGCCAACTGTGTCTCTAAGCCGTCTAGTCTTCCCCATTGTGATGTATCCGTGGATCCATTTCACTTTGTCTTTAACGCTTTCGTCCTGGAGAAGCCGTTAGCCTGTCTAACTTACACAGTGAGTGAGATGTTCCATTACCCGTCTAATGAACCACTCGACTTGTCCTTTAGTACGCTGTCCTCTACTTGGACAGTGGTATTGATCTTTCTCATTATCACGTTCCGGATCAAAGGCTCTATGCACACCGATGCCGTAGGACCATCGGCTCTTGCGGCTTTCCACTACAGGTGGCCGTAGGGCGTGGATTACCGCTCCCTTTGCAATGGCTGGCCAAGCTTCGTGTGGCACAATTACATCAACCTTATTGTCCAGCTTTTGTTCACAGAATTCATTAAATCGCGTCTGAACATATTGGGATTCGGCCATACCGCCGCAGAGGATTATCAACTGACAAGTTCAGCCGTCAGTCAATTGGCCCCTTCATCAAACAGGTTTGGAAGCTCTTACATTCACCGGATAGTCATTCTTTGCTTGAGTCAATTTTATTTGCTCGGATACCATTTCGAACGCGCGGGTAATGACTTTTTCGAACATTTGCGCAAGCTCCTCACTGTGGACAATGGTTTTAATGTTTGAAATGTTCACTCAAAGATGCATGAGTGGGAACGAACCTGGTGATTTTTATTGTGCCCGATTCGTTCCCGTCCATGACACCATTATCGTCAATGTCCATAATTAGAGGGAGTTCCCACTCTTTTCGGTGTTCGCTGCCGTGACCTATGAAACATTTCTTGGCTGCTTCGAAATCCTTCATAAAATCACTGCCGTGACCTGTTTCTTTAAACGGGAGGTCGGAAAATGCAGCTCCGTATCTTGATGCCATGAGCCTATGCAGTTCTCGATCAATAGTGGTAGCCCCGCACTTTGCGCCTATGAAGCTTTTGTCAGGTATAGATACACCCATACTCAAAGGCCGAAGTACACCTACTAGTTCCGGTACAGGCTTCAGCCACTTTGAGGGGATTTCGTTGAATGATTTCGTACGTTATGATATCCTAACGTTCGCGCGTCAACTTTGTCGTAAACACTCTAGGTTGAGGCACTTACGATCGTTCCTCCGCCGATATCAACTACCACAACATTGTTGTTTACCTGGAAGAATCGACAATTTCAATTGATTAACGTCCTTCGAATCAACCTTGGAGTCTGGTGGATAAGAATACGAATATAGATTCTTAATCATACCTTGAAGATCGAATTGGTTTTCTGCCCTTGAGGGTCCTTAAATGCAGCAAGAGCAGCCGCTTCCGGTTCATCAATCGTCAAAATCGAGTCGCTCGGTCTGGATGCAATACCTGCTTGGTATGCCGCTTCACGTAATGTTGTTTTATACTTCCGATCCCAGTCAGCCGGGGTGGTCAATACCACCTTAATTGGTACTGTTTCCACAATTGTCCTTCCATATATCGTGCGGAGTCTTCCCATAACGTGCTTATAAACACGCTGAAGATATTCTTTACACAGAGTCTCTGGTGATTCCCCCTCTGGGATTCTCAGTAAGCTAGGGCCCACACTTTGGGATAGAAGGGGGTCGTCTTGGATTGATGACGTATTTTTCGGAGCCATGTGCAGCTTGAACCATGATGAGCAGTCCATCGACGACGATACTTCATAACCCCATGGCCTAAATTCCGATTGATCTGACTTGTCAGCAATTATTGAGCTGACCTTATTCCTGGTTTCTACATTCCCTGGCCAGTTTGAGATAACATAGATAGTTTCCGGGTTCTCAGAATGCCCAACAGCAACCCCTGCAATCGAATCAGCAATGTCAGTCAACATTTAGTTCTTCCCGATATACCTACCTGAATATGTTGTACCAAAATCGATACCAACGATTAGATAGGCAGTCGCCGTACTATCTTTGCCTTTCTTTGTCGGTGAGCCGAGCTCGGACTCCTCATCGTCTACTTCCCCTGCCGTGAAATAAATCAATTAGCTCGTTTCAAGTCATAATTGGCTTCACTTACTTTTGATTCCAACTCGTCTTTTGACTATCCTAGGCGAAGTACCATTCCCTCCCTTGGTCTTTGGCTTCGGGGTTCGGTCTGGTTTTGCAGCGTCTAAAAATTATATTAGTCCTACCATGATGTTCAATCTTTTCTATATTGGTCAACTACCATTAAGGCCAAATTGGAGAATGGGCGCCATTTTTTCCCCTTCACCCTTTGAATTTCGAATTTGAAGTTTGTTATCAGCCTTAATCGCGGTGGTTCTTCAGCCTTTAGCTAAGTGACGAGATTCCCACTGATGTCAAAACAGCTTCTCGAGGGTTTATCTGAGCGGGTAACTTTATGTGTATTTCCGCTCATTGGTCTACCTTGTCCTTGAATCAGCTAACAAATCGCATTTCTCTGATAAGTGATATCACAATCATTTATGCGCTCACCTAACCTCACGTTTTGATGAAACTCGCCACGATCTGCAACTGAATAGAGCACCTTATTCGTCTTGTGCCAACAATGCCTTACCAGATTCTCAACGAGATTGCTGTATCCCGAATAGACTTTTCTCGTTGAGGGTAATAGCGGGTTGACCAAACTTGTGATGATATTTGCATTTATGAGTAGCAGAATGGCAGCGTTTTGCTCAAGCTTTACTGCTGTTCGTTTAGTCTCAGTTATTTGCTATTGTTTGGCGATAGCCAGCTCACCTCGGTTTCAGTGTTTGTGTTGTTGTCTGGTGTTATGCAGCTTCTCTTTGACCGTTGCCTAGGCTCTCTAGTGGCTACATCACTTCAGATTTGTCTTAAGCCTTTAGCAAAAAAATTAAGTGTTGCTTACCTTCTCGACATCAGTCATCGTCATATACTTCCCGACTGTGAAGAAACTACATCGTTGCCCCATAACCCTATAGCGCAGCCATTTTCGGGATGGATTCTAGAGACTCTGCAACTGGGATGGGTGGCCAAGGCCAAAGTGGACCAGCCGGATGTATCACTCAACGAGAGCGTTCCAAGAGGCCGCATGGAAACGAGTCGCCGAATGCTCCGATAAAAAAAATCCGCATTTCCCGAACGAAGGTTGATATACAAAACGATCTCGAAGCTGCGAGGAAACAGATTAAATCTCTGGAAAGCAGCATTTCCCGACTCAAGGGGAAAAATTCTGGCTTGAGTGCCCAAAATATAGAACTGCAAAAGGAGATGATGAGTTTGCGCAAAGAACGCAATCTACAGAAGATGGACGATAATGACATCCGCTGTCGACTCCGGAATCTCATGAACACATGTCGTGACTGGGCACAAGAGTATTCGGTGGGAACACCCTTTGACCTCGATACAATCGAGGCTCATGCCCAACAACTTCCTCTGGACGAGGGTAATTTCATAGATGCGGTAGTTACCAGAAACTTGAACTCTCTCAGCAAATTTACATATGGGAGTTATATACTTCTAAATACGTTCTTGGCCCATTTTGCCTGTTGGTTCATCATTGACAATCCTCTATTCTTTTTGAATCGAGAATTTGCTGAACCGGGAATCTGGCCTCCTCGCCAGTTACTCTCCGAGCTGCTGGAGTGTGTACCTACGCGTAAGTTGCATTCAATAAATAATTGTCTGTGCTTGTGTTGATCAAACTTCTACACTTAGACAAGAAAGATGAATGGATCGGGCAAACATTGCGTTCACTAGAACCCAACCTACAAGCAAATGGCCACAGCTCAATCATTACATATAATGGAATTCTTAGTCGCACGACTATTTTCTACAAGAACGCTGCACACAGCTTCATTAGAATTGCACGTCCTCTACTTAAGTTTTCAGGTGAAGGAGCAATCGCCAAACGGCTTCGGGACCTGATAGACATTATGGCCACTGCTGGAAATTTGGTAATGAAGCTCAGACAGCAAAATTACGATGTCAAATCCCTTTTCTACGATTCTCAATACATGCACAGCCTGAGTTTCAGTCGTGAATCTCATATTACGGAACCACATCCCGCACTGCGATTAAAACAAGACGACACGAGCCTGGATGGTTTAGAGATAGACTTTGTTATCCAGCCTGCAATCCTTGCTTGTTGGTTTGATGAGCATACGAATGAGAAGCGAGAAAAAGTGTGGGCTAAGGCAGTTGTCTGGGCTGGCAGATGTGAACAAATCCGTACAAAGAGAAGGGATGGCGCGAAGTGTGTTGATCCTTCAAATTCGAAGGGGGGCCCTGGTGTTACTCAACCAGCTGTAGATAAACGAACCGATGAGCTGCCCACACCAACGAAGCGCTCACATTCGACAAACAGAGCTGAATCACCCCAACGGGAACGGCTATCAGCGGTTGTCATTCATAATGGCAACGCGCCTCACAAAGCGCAGTCGAAAGATTCGATCGATCCGGGTGAAAGTGCTTCTTCTATGATAGCCCTCCCAACTCAACCAACATCAAATCAACCCAGGAATTCCTTAGAAACGCCAAGTAGACCAATGGATGGTCTTGAGAGCGAGGCGATTGATGCATGCCCAGTTGGTAAAGAATTGCCTAATCCTGCTTCCTCTTTTGGAGCAATGTCGGCCAGCCTATCCAAGCCAAACTCCCAGACCAGTGACAAGTCGAAATGTCCACTTCAACAGAATGCTATGTCTGCTGGCCAGTTTGGTGATGTTTCTATGTCAGACGAAGTAGGTGGCAGCGACGATGAACTCCTATTTCAAGACCACGCCAAGAAGAATAACATGCCACGTTACGGGGCTTACTCAAAATATCACGGTTGATAGTACACCAAATTCCACTGTCCCTAACTGAATGGATTTGCCAGGTCCAACTTGGTATTCAATAACCGAAACGCTCGCAAATCCGAGTTAACCTTATTTCTCTTCTGCATTCCGAAGATATCGACGGACAAACCAAAGCTCTTTTCGCTCAGTCACAATAGAGATAGAGGAGCGCCAAATTGCTATTTATTCCATACTTCCAGAGGAAGAAGATAATAGAAGTATCTGAAGCCATTATATACAGATACCAGTGAATCGGATGAAATAAGCACACGTTTCCCCTTTTGTGTTACTATTTTGTTCCTTTTCTGTTTCGTTTTCATTTCAACTTCCTTTGGTCAAAACATCATCAGCTTTTGGGGTGAGCATAGGCATTTTTGGTCTCAATCCAGCCAACATGATTCCTTTTCAGAACGAGCTATTTTATATTTCTTCCATGTGTGCAAATTGATAGGAAGAGGAGTTGTCTTTGGGAACGGTAGGATCACGCAGATGGATAAGATGTTTCAGTTGCGCTGAATATCGGAAGACACTGTGGGTTGGCCAAAGGGAGTGTGGTGGGATTCTCCCCCCTCCCCTTTTCCTCTTTTTTTTTTCTTCCCCTATTTTGTCCATTTTACTCCTACCCACAATAAACTCTTCCAAATACGCCAAATAAACAATAGGCCCCTGCATCGTTTTTCAAATTCCCCATCTTGTATTGCACCACGCAGTGTTTCGAATTTGTGCACTTGATTTTCTCGCTGGCTAGATCTTTCCTCCCCTGCCCCCAAATTTCCCCAAGTACTAATGCGCAATAAAGAAATGCGAAATAGGCCATGTCCTCTCCAACATATGCCCGTCAAGGTTTGTTACTGATCTTGGATAACTTCCCACAGTTTCAATTTATATTTGGTTTCGCAATGGTTAATCGCGTATGGTTCCGAAGATACCTGAATCAGTGCTGGGTAGGTTATGCATGGCAATTCACCTCGCTGTCCCTAACTGGTGTTAGGGGTTCAATTCATGCAGGGGTGATCGTTGTCACTAGAGCAACACAAGGGCCAGTAGGAGGAACAGGCAATACCTGCACCATGGTACTCTTAGCAACTAGCGAGCGCGATCGTTTTGAGGGCAACAAAATATAGATCTAGCTCATCCATCGCCAAGGGCATATTAACATCGTTGAGTTTTTATTCTCTACACCTAAGTAAGCAGGATGCATAAAGTAATTAAGGCCGATCAAAATCGAACTGACATTCTCATTCTTTCTATGGAATGATATATGATTAAGTATCGACGGAATGGCTGTTAGTCTTTCTGCCAAACATTGATCTTCCCAAAACAATCCTGAAAAATATAAATAACATGAAAGTTGCGTTAATTAACTAAAATCGTCTCCGCCAACCGCGAATAATTTTGGAAAAAACTTTCAAACAGCTTAGTCGCATAGCCCACGTCATAGGTCCCACCCGTCTCACGAATACTGTGCATACTCAACTGTGGATTACCCAAATCCAGCGTCCGCACGCCCAGCGCAGCGGAGAGCATGGGTCCAATCGTGCTGCCGCAGGACGAATCGTTACGGACGACGAATAACTGTAACGGGATCCCCTGGAGTGACGCTCCATCTGCTCCCGCACTGTTGCCAGCGGAGCGGGCCAACTTTGCACATTCTTGCAAAAGGACGATGCCAGGAGAGTTCGTCGCGTAGCGGGCATTCGCGTTGATTTTGATTACAGGGCCCTTGTTCATCTCGGGTTTATGGTCTGTCTCGTACTTAAAGGCGTAATTGGGGTTTACGGAGTGAGCCATGTCGGCTGAGAGGAGGAAGGAGCTTGAGAGAGATTGCTCGTAGGCTGTCGACAGATCGGCTGATGATGGTGATGACCCTGGAACAAGGCATAGGCGGCGTAAGATTGCGGGGAGTGCATTGGAGTCTGCACCTTGTGCGGTACGACTCCCAATCTCTTCATGGTCAAAGAGGGAGATGAGACGGATACAAGACTCATTGTCAAGAGCTTTGGGGTTTGCGAGGGAATTTATTAGGCCCATTGTGGCGCAGAATGTCATGTTGAGGTTATCAAGGCGAGCGGAGAAGATAAATTCATTCAGAAGACCACCTAAGCAGGCTTTTTGAGCGTCGTAAAGGAGCATTTCGAAGTCGACGATATCTTGGGGTTGGGCGGAGAGCTCAGACGCGATTAACTCCACCAGGTAGGGATGGTGGCGATCTGTTGCAGCCCTGAGAGGAGAAAATGGTGAATTGAACTGCGTGTTGCTCCCGCTACCGTTGTCTTTCGCCCGGATTTCCAAGCCTGCATTAGAATCTCGATCTCCCGATTTCCTGGCTAATTCTGCAGCGACCATGCCAGCAATCGGGAACAGCTGGGTTTCCTTGTTGAAGGAGAATGTTTCCTGCCGGTCAAGGTGGATGGCGAGTGTTGGGATACGCAGAACTAGGGACCATTATTAGAGAAATAACCAGACATAACATTGTTGAGAGTAATATCATACTTGGTCGATCGATATGGACCAATTTCGCCTCGATTGAGCCATTGGAATTCCTAACCATGGCTCTTCCCGCAATGCTCAAGTCGCGATCGAACCCTATATCAAATTTAGCTATAAATATGTAAGTTAACACGTAGAGGGGAAACATACATGTATGCCAAAGACCGCCACCATAGGTTTCCACACCGACTTGGACAAAGCCATCTCCAGTCTTCTTCGAGACTGGTTTAATCCTCAGGCATGGAGAGTCAGTATGAGCACCAACCATAGAAATGGAATTGCCAGGCTGCGGAAATAGGAATGTATCCCCATTAGCAAGCGTATATGATATGGATGAAATCAAATCATCAGTGAATACCACTAACCTTCCATTTATGGCCAATTGCAAAGGCAATGACGGTGGAACCATTGCGGGTCACATAATACTTTCCACCCGGCTTGCAAACGGATGTCCACGAATCTTTCTCCTAAAATACCCAAGGCGATCTTGGTTAGTATAGTTGGCCAGTGACCACGGCTTCAGGGATCGGGATTTATCGACCTTCACTTCCTGGAACCCAGCACCAATCAAACGTTTACAAACTGAAGCAACAGCATGAAATGCTGCATATGCATAGATATATCGTTAACCACATATTCGTTCGAATAGCTTAAAATAAATCTATAAGCTCATGGGATATGGGCAAGAAACTAGGAACTTTACGTGTTGGAGAAGCATTGACGAAGGATAAGAAGTCATTCGCTTGATCTTTGAAGTTAGTTGCTTCCATTTTAGCTGAAATAGGTGAAGATGGTAATGTCGACGAGAATAGTCTACGAGAGCAGCTGACGATATGTCGCTGGCTCAGAGTTTGCTGGGTTTGAGATTGATACCGCAGTGAGGCGACGTTCTGGGCGTGGTGGGGGAAGTGAGTGGTGGGTTGAGCCACAGATGCACGACCCAGTGAACGAATGCTATGGCAGGCGAGAGCAAGCGATTCTCCCCGGAGCTTTGGGATCATCCGCGGTGCTTATTAGCAGATAGGCGGACGCAGCCTGTTCTGTTTCTGTCGGAGCGTAGCAATACGAAGGCAGCTGAGAAATTGGAGGTTTGGAGAAAGCGGAGGGCACGAAGTGATGTTGTGATAAAGTTGGGACAAACCCAACCGCCTGGGTCTACTACTAATAATAATAAATCGGGAGTGACTCAGCAATACCTGAACACTAAATATAATTAAACCCATCCATGGATGGGAAGATTCGTGTCGAGGGTATTATTAAGGTATCCCTTCGTCTGGCCGCCAGGCACAATTAGCGCCGTTTTTTAGCGTGTACATTAGTGTATTAAAACCAGAAAATCTACTGGATTATATGAGAGATTGCCTGTATTGGTATGTTTTTCTGTAATATATATAATCTATTTGATCTAGTTCTAATTAAGATATAGAATAATAGAGGGGGATATTATTACATACAGCACAATCAGATCTTGTTCTTGAAGCTCTATTCTTATTCCTCTTCAGATACAAGTTTGAGTAAATGACAGAGAAATTCAATGATGATTCAGATCTGAATGAATTAATATAGTTGATAAGTGAACTGTGAGTGCCACTTTGTATCACCACACTGAAATTTGTATGGAGTATATGATGTTACTTTCTCATGTTTGTAGTGTTTGTTTTATAAAGTAGCATTACATACAAATTTTGATATGGTGGTACAAAGTGGCTCATTTGTCTGTATGACTTGCTTGAGATAGTGGATCTTGTATCAGCAAATCAGATTACATAGAGTTTAGTATGAGAAATTATTGGTTGGTACTTCTGAACTAACAACTTAGTTAATACACTAATTGTATTGCGCTAATTGTGCCTGGCGGCCAGACGAAGGGATACGGATTAATTATTAGTTCTACATTTAGGATGACAGAGGACAGGCTGTTGGTTGTTGTGTTTGTTTGATACAGCTTGCGACTGAGAGTTTGCTCCCTTGAATTTATTTCAAGCCTTCCCCCATGGATAGAAAGCAAGTTAACTACTTCAATGCTAAAGCCTTCGTATGGTATGTCTCGTGGTGGAGGGATGCCCCACTTGCATGGTTGAGGGGATGAAGCGGAATCCTCATCTGAGATCCAATCATCCCCCGCTAACCTCACATCCTCCAAACCGTTTGTTATTTATAATCTTCCCCGCGCGGGGCGGGAAGAATAACAGACGGTGTAGTGGTCCAATAAATACTTGGCGCCCGCTCTCTTAGCCAGTCAAAAGAGGCTCATGTCCTGTGTTCGGGATGTTGCGATTTTTCCAGAAATAGTCGCGACTTTTCGCGATTGTTTGTTTTGAGAAAACTGGGGGTTGGGATCAGCATCACGCTAGCAAGCCACCCGTGAATCCTCCCCGCACGATGCCTGAATGGTAAGGCCAACATGAATGTACTCAAGTCAAGAGAAAGGAGCCCGAAGCCAACTTTGAATCAAGTCACCAGATTTAATTATGCCGTCGACCTTTCAAACCGTATCGTACGTAGTATGGCTTTCATTAGGCTTCGCCTCCACGATCTCCCTTGTTCAAGGCTGAGTTCAAGCAAAAAGAGATATTTTCGACAAAAGGGCAAGGAAAGTAAAACAACTTTGTCTGACAACTCTAACTTCATTGTTCAGTCTCTGGATAGATCCTGCATTGTGTACGGAGTATGCTCTGTTGCATGTCTCTTTCATGACTCAATCACTTGCAACTTACCAGAAGGAAGTGTCTTCCCACAAGCAGTGCTGCGTCTTCATCAACTTAACGGCACGAAATACCTATGTACTGTACCTCCAGACAAATTTCGGGTGGACGGCTATTGTGAAACCCCTTGGAATCAGATACATGTGCTTTTACTTCGTTCTTTGTGCATATCTTCCAGAGTACAGAGGTAGATAGATAAGGAACCGTTTCAGATCTGTGTGGGAATTTAGCCCAGACTGGACGTCTGTTCTTCAACAAACCCAGGTTAAGCTGAGGGCCGAGACAGGCATGGGAGGATATCCATGGATGCAACCTGGGGTGGTGACATTTACGGCGAAGAGTTACTTCCTGCATGTGAGAATCAGCTTGTTTGTGGAGAGATGGGGAAGCAAACCACGGGCGATATGACCACAAGCGAAGAAGGGCAATATAGGAACACTTTCTTCCTCGTAATAGGCATCTTTTAAGAAAGCAACTTGGAATATAACTGTAAAACTGAACTGCGTCGCGAGGGTGCTGCAACTGGACACAATCGCTGGACAAGCCGCTAGTCCTGAAACAGAGTAGTGTTTCGCGTAAAAGTCGCGGTGGCCAGGGCTCCTCCTTCCCCCTTCTGGAAACATCAACCTCCAGAGCTGGACTTCGCTGGATACTCAATCCATCCCACTGCGATTCTCACGGTGTCTCCGTCTCTCCTCAGTCTGTCGCGGATGTTGGTGCTTTCAGGAGTGAGAATTCATTTTCGGATACCGACAAATACCTTTCCTGTTCTTGTTCCACCGGTTTCCCCTATCCCTGTCCTCCTCCCTTGTCGCTAGGATTGATTGTTTTGCAGCAGTTCGTTGCCCAGCGGGTAAACACCGGGACGAACAAGAAAGCCGCCCATGCCAACATCGCCCATTTTCCCTATTGCCAGCCCCATATATTGTCATATTTTCTCTTTATAAGCGGTTTCCTTTGGCCTCAGACTACAATTCCACCAAAGTACTCGGGCCCAGATTACAAAGCGGATACAGAGCAGAGTCGGACAATCAAACCACTCTTTGATACCCGTCAACAATGGCGGAAACCGGGGAAGAGGAAGGGTGTACGATAAATACACACCTAGGGGATACGAATGATTCCTCCGCGATTGCCAAACTTGCTTCTCCGCCGGGCTCCAAATCCCATACCCCGCCCATTACTACAAAACCTCGAGCCGCTATTTTCAATCCTTCCCTTGACTCAACAAAACTTCGACATAGACCCGGCTCAGAGTCTCTAAATCCAGATGCTCTTGCCCGTGCGCTCAAGGATTTTGAAGAGGCCGGCCGCCCCCGGGAGAGAACACCAGGTACGAGCCCGAGTCGTAAACGGCAACGGGTTTATGGAGATAGGTAAGTCATTCGCTTTTCTTGATGTGAATGAATAGCCCCACATCGGGAAAGACATGGAATAGGCGGTGTAATAGCTTCCGTACCGTGTGGCATGTTTATTTCTTCGTTACCCGTTTGGGACTCGGCTAATATGTTTCCATTATCCAGGTTCATTCCAAATCGTGAAGGACAGGATTTACAAGCTAGCTACAGCTTACTCCATGAAGATGGCTGCCCGACAACCCCATCAAAAGTGAAAAAGAGAGCTCCCCATGGAGAGCTACATTTTCAAAAGAGTAAGTCCGGCTGTGCATACTCTATTGGTGGCTGAATTATACTAATAAGTACTCTCGTTTTAGCTGAAGAAGCAAATCGCACATACTCCAGAGTACTTCGAAGCGAAGTCTTTGGAGACACTGTCCCGCAACCTGATCTACATTCTCTATCGCCAGATCCGATTGCTGGATATTCGACAAAAATCCATGATACTGCAAACTCACGCACCCCACCCTCATACAAAGCCGCTTCTTCATTACCTCCCGCAAGCATAACTCCCTCTACTCCCAGCAAGAACCTTTTCTCTTACGCCTCTCCTCGACATATATCCGGAAACCCTACACCTTCTCGAACTCCTCGCAGTGGGCATGGCCCAAACCTCAATGTCCGATCTGAACTTTATAGTTTGTCCCCCATTCGATTCGATAGCCAGCGGATTCTGCAAAGCATGCGCAAACAGCCGCGATATGTGAACAAAGTTCCATTTAAAGTTTTAGATGCGCCTGATCTAGCGGATGATTTTTACCTTAATCTAGTGGATTGGGGTAGTAGTAATATACTGGGTGTGGGATTGGCATCAGCGGTTTATATGTGGGATTCCATGAATGGCCACGTTACCAAGTTATGCCAGCTGCAAGATGACACCGTAACGAGTGTCAGTTGGATTCAAAGGGTAAATTAATGATTTCATTATCCTATCTTGCTAAATTGTACCAAATTCTGACGAAAGCTCTCAAGGGGACGCATCTTGCGATCGGAACTGGAAAGGGATTAGTACAGATCTGGGATGCTGAACATTGTCGACGACTACGAACAATGACGGGCCATACGCTTCGAGTTGGCGCTCTTGCTTGGAACGACCACATCCTCACATCCGGGTCCAGGGATCGAACCATCTTCCACCGTGATGTGCGATCTCCAGATCAATACCTACGGCGGCTTACAGGACACAAACAAGAGATCTGTGGCCTCAAATGGAATACTGAGGATGGACAACTAGCATCTGGCGGGAACGACAATAAACTCATCGTCTGGGATAAACTGAATGAAACACCCCTTTTCCGCTTTTCAGACCATGTAGCCGCAGTCAAAGCTATCGCATGGTCTCCACATCAACATTCCCTCCTAGCATCCGGTGGTGGTACCGCAGATCGAACAATAAAATTCTGGAACACACTCACAGGCCATCAAATCAAGGAGGTCGACACGGGAAGCCAAGTGTGCAACCTCGCCTGGTCGAAAAATTCCGATGAAATTATCAGCACACATGGGTACAGCCAGAACCAGATCGTTGTTTGGAAATACCCCCGCATGGAGCAGGTCGTGTCTCTGACAGGCCATACCTTCCGTGTTTTGTACCTGGCCATGAGTCCCGATGGACAAACTGTCGTTACAGGTGCTGGGGATGAGACGTTGCGGTTCTGGAAGATATTTAATAGGAAAGGGTTTAAGGATGATGGAAGGGAAAGCAAATACCACTCCTACGCGACTATACGATAGTTTGCGGAAGTTTTTTTGGGGCCCTACCTGTTTTTTGATCATTAATACCTCCTCCGGTCCCTCCGATTAACCAGAACAGACTCAAACTTCTCGCATTCTGTGTTCCATACTTCCTGTAAATTTTTCTTCCATTTTCCATTCTCGATCGAAACGAATATAGCCCATTTAATTTTGTTTCCTTTTCGATTTGCTTGCTTCTTTGTTTACTGTTTTGAAACAGAATCTTCGAATCTTTGTTATGCTTTTTCATTCTTTCGACCTATTTTGCCCCCTTTTCTTCTTTTTTCTTTTCCTTGGAGCATTTCGGGCAATTTTTCGAAGCGGCCCGCTACTGGAGATCTTTTCATGTCATGCCTGCGTTTGTTTCAGCGTTGGCGATGATGGCGGAATTTGGGAGGTGTTTCGGGGTGGACAAATAATGGCGTTTGTTGGCGTTTTGACTTTCTTTTTTATTTCCTCTTACTCTCCACCACTCTGATGTTTACGCTTGCTCTGCCCGTGAGGGCGATCTTGTTTGTTGTTTGGGGGCTTTGCTTTGCGGGGCAATCATTAGAATACGGCTTCAGGAAACGGAGAACGTGCAATAGGGATGGCATATGGAGGGCTAAAGGAAGGAAAGCGGAGGGAATGTGATGACGAGTTATATACTATTAGTATTTATTTATAACTGAATTTTAACGTTGACTTGTTGAAAGAGGTTGCTTGGCATTTGTGTTTGTGTGTTCTTGTATTTTTGTCAATTTTTGTTCTAAAATACAGAGCAGGACGGGCAGTAGCTAATATTCCAGCCCTTCCTAATGGATATTTATTTTCAGATAAGAACGGCACAAGCGTCAATTAATAGATGGGAATGGGAAGCTTGTGGAATCAAGCGCGAAATCCAAAGTACTAGGTCGAGCAGGAAACCCGTGTGTGGCAATGAAGAAAACAATTATACATTTATAAGCAAGTCAGAGCTTGGTAGGCTCAGAAGACAAAATAGGACCTGATGGTACAAAAACGAGAAAAGATGGAAAGATATACATATACATACATATATATATATATATCAGACAGGTAATGATTTGTTTGTAAGACTCGCCGACATCTTATGTTAAATAACATTAAATCAATTTTGTTAAAACACCAAACTCTCCGGCTCGTCTTCCAACACGTCGCGCAGGCGTTCTAGGAAAGTCTCGCCGCGTAGTCGATCGGCTGGGGGGACTTGAATGCTGAAGATGTTCGTGGCTAGGTCGAGATCTGTGGAGTCGAAAGATGTGGATTCTGATTCTCCACTGCGGGTGGAGGATGTTGATGTTGATGTCGATTGCGGGGATTTCCCGGATAAGATGTCGATGATATCTGGCTCCTGATGAACTCCGCGCGGAGAAGCAGGTAACGTGGGATCCATATATTCTTCCGGCGCAATTACCTCAGGGACATAGTTCCCGCGGGAAGTGCATGGGTTCATGGCTGTGATCTTGGTTGGGGATATGCCGAGTATTTCATCGAATAGGGCATCGGAGGACTGTGTGTGGGATGTAGACTTGGACGTTGGGAGGGCCTCGTTGGCCACGTCTGTAGCGCGTGCGAGGAAAGTAGATAGGGGAATTGTAATGCCCAGGGTCTTTTGGAGGCGTTCCTGCAAACTAAGGACGGAGGAGAGGGATATTGGAAGCGATACTTGGGCTGGTGTGGATGAAGGTGGTAGTGCGGCTACGGCTACGGCTACGGCTGCGGCCGCGGATTTAGCTTGAGGCTCTGTGGGAGTTTGCTTGACTTTAATATTGCTCAAGTCTAAATGCGCCAGCTGAGAAATTTGGGCTGAGAGATTAGAGGAATAGTCTCGAGGTATCGCGCCAGTGAAAGCGAGTATATCGCCTTTTAGGAGCCTGCCTTTCGGTCCGGAAGCAGGTATTTTGGAGACATCGGCGCCGGATATGCCTTTTTCATGGAGTAGCTGGGAGACAGAGGGGAACAAGGGATATGGGAGATCATGGAATTGAGTTCCGGAGGAGGTCTGGAGATCTGTGGAGGGAAGTGATATACATCAGCCATATTGTGTTTGAAGGAGTTAAATGCATTTTCCTGTTGAGCTGGGAATGTATCCTTTTGAACGAGGAAGCTCACATCTAGTAGATTTGTAGGGATTGAGACGGCATCGTGAAATCCGACATGGCATTCGAGGAACCAGAGCCATGGCACCCGAATGTCAAAGTCCCCTCAATGACGATAGCTCCAGCTGTTGGCACGATGTTCAATGGTTTGGGTCTGAGGTGGTCTTTGCAACCTGCACCTGACGCCTGATACGCCAAAAAGTGTAATTAGGTCGGAACGGTTCTCTCAGTCGCAACATGAATATACGGAGCCTATCCGCAAAGAGTCGAAGAACAATGAAGCTTTGAAGTGTTTGCCCTGATTTCTCCCCAACTGTGGTGAGGTTGAGGCGCCTTACTGCTTTTGGCTTGGTGCCGATGATAGCACGCCCCGATCGGATAATAGATGTTCCGTAAAGAGCTCCAACATCAATCGTTTTTCATCGTGCATTTTGCGGTACGAAAGTGACAGGCATCACGGTTTCAATTAATACATTCCTTGACTGTAAGTTCAAAAATAGGAGCTCCTTCGTCTCGTCTTAGATTTAACTTTCCTCCACGATGTTTTGGGGGATTGTAATCCTCACCCATTACAAATCGCAAATCCCAAAGTCCAGCAGCTGACCATGTTTCCACTCTATATGCAGGTACGTTTCCGCCATGATGTTTCGAAATTTATTGCCCCGCCACTGTTTCCCGCGATTCCCTTCCACTGGCTGCCATTCTTTGAATTCTTCCTGTCCGCCAAACTGCCACTCCTTCACTTCGAGGTCATTCAGGCGTTATCTATCGCGAAAGCCTCCACTGCGTCCGCTTAAGGGTGCTCTGGTTCTCTCACAACCACAGCGCCCAAGAAAGCCATTAGAAGATCTTTACCTCAAATTCAATCAGGCCATTTCGAAAAACAAAGAAGCTACGAAGCTTTATGAAGGGACTTCCCTCGGTTCATATGTTGTGACCACCCGAACTACAGCTATATTTTGCTTTCTGTATGCTGGCTGGAACTTTTACACGACTACGTCCGATCCTCTTCTGAGTGTAAGCCACTTCACGACCTATGCTCTGGGCGGTATATGCATTTTGATGGGTGCTATGGGCGCTGTATTCGTTCGCCGTGGAACAAGTTTAATAACTGGCATAACTGCTTCTCCTACCCATGGGAGTATACCGGAAATTCGAATAAAGATACGGCGGGCAATTGGGTTTCTGAAACCCCGCGAGATAGTCACTAGCCCATCACAAGTGAAGCTATCTAGCCCCATATTTGTCTCGAAGCAACAGCTACAAACCCACGATATGAGGCGAATACGTGAAGCTTTCCATGAACGCGCCATTGGGCCGCGGTTATCGTTCTTCAAAGAGCCCTTGAAGAAAATAAGTTACTTTACCTGGAAAACTCTTATAAACATGCGACGCGCATTCACGCAAGAAGGATTCGTTTACGTTGAAGTCAAGGGCATGTCTGGTACCTTTCGCCTGGACATGACGGGCTATTTTGGAGATGAATTTCTCGCTTTTGAAAGGTGCATCGCTGAGGCATCTCGGTGACATGGAGACTACAGACCCTGTGTGGTTTCCAACTTCCACCTGTTGAAAACGGAACGTCATTGCTGGTTTTTCTTCCGTATTACCCGCGATTTTCTTGCCCGTTGCAGCCCGTGTTCGTTCCGTCACTTATGTACTTTTTGTTATAATGAAGCCTCTGGCCAGTTTGTTTTTCTTTTTTACTGTCCCTGCTTCCATTTCAACTTGTGTTGGAACACTACTAAGCTTATGCCGGAAATACTTCTCAACCACTCCCTGCCTTCTCGGATGTAAGACGTGAAGGAGAGCCGGGTTTGGCAACTACTCTGTAAGTTAGTTATTGGTGTTGGAGACCTCACCTACTGCAACCGGCAAGTCAATGAACAATGTCGCCCCAAGTAAGTCTTTAACTGGTATCTACAAGCGCGAACTAACTCTGTCTCGTGCTCAGCGATAATAAATAGCGAGTTTCTGATTTGTTTACAGATGGTTTCCTTAGTATGCACGTCTCGACTCATTTCATCTCCTTCCAGGTATCCTTTTTTCCATGCCCGGCTGTTCCCACACACAGAATATTGGTAAATGAAACGGTGATCAACACCGTGGTAGGACAAACCGTTTAAACAAACCTGGGCCTTCCTCTCGAAACAATTTTGCGTCCCTCCACTTCAATCCTTAAGGGCAATATTACAGACGGACGGCTGGCTATCCTGCGAGGTATCAATGATGTGTTCGTCCTCTTCGTCTAGTGGCTGTTCACCCTCTCGTTCTTCGCTTCCCCATGGAATCGCTTTTAAGGCAATGCCTTTGGAAGACAGACTGGTTCGGAACAAAGTTCTCGGAAAAGAACAGAATGAAGTAATAATCCATAGCCTCACTTTTGACGAGGTCAAGTGGGTTATGTGCAGCACCCTGCAGCGAGATGGTTCGATGCTCCTGGTGTGTAATTTGGTTGCACATCCGATGACTAGGACCTTGCTACCTTGAAGCCATCAGGCCTCTTTACGTTGAGTTGTGCAGGAAATTGCAAGGATTTCCAAACACCCAAGCCAGGATGAATAAAAGGTGATATGCCACGCATTTGCGTAGTAAAATGCCTTATCATAAACTTCGTTTTTGAGCTTAACACATCATTAAGCCGCCGTCCTTCTTTCTCCGCTTCGCCAAAGGGCATTCGCGGGAATATGTCGAAGAACAGTCACCTTTTGGACGGCGACGTTCCTTTTACTAATTCTCCATTACCATCTTCCATTCTATAATTTTAGAGTTTGCCATGTGTGGCTTGGGTGTACTAGGATATGTCCATGTCTACTTCCTAACAGGCCCATTTTCAGATAGACAATCGACAATGAGACAATTGTGGAAGCTTGATTTGTGCATGTCGTTTTATTTCTACTATTTTCGACTGTAATCTTCGTCTCTTTGCCATTTTCAGCAGCTTGTCTTCCATGCTCTACTATTCTTGGACTTATCGTTATCACGTGATCATATAACGGTCAGGGGGAAAAGGGGCACCTTCTTAGCGAAGCGAGGGCGTTCGCCATACCCAACAGCCGCGCCGATATCTTAAATATCTTCTCAAACGCTTGTCGCTGTCCTCTATTGCTAGTATGGGGAAGGCTTTGTCTATCTCTTGACGGATTGTTTTGTTGCAAATGCCTTGCCCTGCGAGCTTGCAAAGGAAGCTGCTCTGGACATCCACATGCATACATCTTCACGCCCCCAACCGACAGGAAATAATGACGACATTTTGGAGTCCCTTCTCTTAAGCTTCGGGCACACTCTTCTTTCCTGGTTCGGGCCATCATTGCCCTGGGACCCTGCGAATTCTATGTTTCCCCGAAGCTTCTATCGGCCATGGTAAACACGGCGACCGTTTTGACGTCATTTTTCTCTCCTGAGATCCCCTGGTGAATCTCCCACCCCTTTTTGTTCCAGACGCCAAACGATAGAATCGGAATTCACGCTCAATATCTATCATGTTTGTCCCTGCGATTCAATGCCTCGGAGGCGAAGAGACCCACGAAAATATACGTCGCTTTAACTGGGAATGCTACGGGGAGGACACTCTGATTCCTTGTCAATCCTCTAACGACCCTATTGGCTTCTGGGTTCGCCATATCTTTGATACTCCTCCTTGCCACCCGTGGTTAAATGTCTTTCATTGAATGTACTTCCTAGCTAGGTTTCCCCTCTAGCTTCCATCGCGTTATCTAGTGGCCCATCACTACCCGAGTGATTTGTGTGAGCTGTCTGCTCTATCCATGTAGGGAAAGTGATCCTCAAGCATCTCGGTAGTCTAATCTTCATACCAAGGTTTAGCAGAGCGTATATAATGGTGCTTCCCCATTACCCTTGCTCTTTCTACTCTTCTCCTTCTCCCTCATTCTTCTTTCTTACCGCAAACAAGGTCCCTTCTGTCTTGATTCTGCTTCCCCTATTATATTTGCGAAAGCCCAATCGAAAGACCTACTTCCCAAAAGACATAAAATTATCCTTTTTTATTTGTACTTACAAAAAAAGCGCAAACCACAGCACAAATAACTCAAGGTATTTACCCCATAGGTTATTATTTGCGCATCATTCATTCTCAGCTTTCCCCTAGGTAGCATGTCCGGAAAAGTGCAGAAAGCTCCTGCTTCAGCTGACGAGAAGATCCAGTACCTTGGCAGTGCTGTGCTCTTGCCTGGCTCTTCCCCAGACGCACCGCACCAAGGTCCCTCGTCTGCTGGTACTATTGGTGAGCCTATTTCGAATTCGCGTGGGCTCTTGGTGGAGTGTTCCGAAAAATTCCCTCCAAAACCAACCCATTTATCCAGAAAAATAAGCATACAATCGCTCTGCAACCCGTAAGGTTAGCCCTCTGCAACAAAGTCGGCGCCGATAGATTTCCTTTTCATATATATCATAAAACATCTGACACTTTTCTCTCAAGGGGAAACTTGAAATCCAAAATCAGGCAGCTCGACAGCCAACTGCCCAAAATGCGTCCACCTCCCCACCACGATGAGGAATGGGAAGAAGCCGTGGAGTTTGGGGATGAACCGGCACTCGTCCTTGCTCGATGTGGAGAGTACTGCGGATATGGGCGTTATCGCCTCCTGCCGTGGGTCTATTACCCCGGCGATGCTATTCCAGATTTCGATTTGCTCAACTTGGAGCAAATCCATCGGCTCCGCAAGAAGCTGTATCTTAAGGAGGATGGACGGCCACTGCTGCGTGCACCACCACACGACGAATTCCGCATTCTTCGACAACAGCTTGGGTTTTTTCTTCGGGCGTTCCAGGAGGTACTTTGCTGATATCTCTGTTATTGATGGCTTTTATATCTGGCCGATATGCTAACTAGTGTGCAGGCGATTTTCAACCTGCTGAAGCCAGCTGAAATTACAGAGTGGGATCCGATTTCCGCTCTCCTTAACGATGGGCCTTCGCCAAATCCTTATTGAATGGCCCCGTTTATAGTGTGATCGCATGCCCTCATGATAAAATTTTGGTCTTTGGATTTCTGAGTTTTATTCTTTTTATTATTTTTGGATATTTATATGTTTCACTTTATTCACTTTTTTTATGAATTTGGATATACCCTCATATATGTGTTGATGTCACCGAGCAGCATACTCTTAAATTGGAACACGATCTCCCTTGTTGAATACTCCCCCAAATGTTTCTTTGGATACATTTCCCTTCTTTCTGTCATGGGTGGGTTTTTTACTTTATGTCTGTCATGTTCCGATGTAGTATCTGTTTTACTTTGTTCTGTCATCTACCATTTCACCTCCTTACTAGCGCCTATATCATCGAAAGCACCATCATGTATCCAATACCTCCAATTTTGCTATACTACTTGTTTCCATTACCCCTTCTAATTTCCATTTAAGAGTCCATTCGAATTACGTCCTGCTTTCCCTCCATGTATCTGTACGAGAAACTGTCATATTTGGAATAGAAACAATGAATGAACCCCTAAAGCCCTGCTTTCAATATTGTTATGACGAATTTAGAATAGGAAGGGGTCAAGGCCAACAAATAAACAACAAGAAATAAACACATCATATGCACCGCCCTTCCTAATATAATTAACCTCTGTAAACAAAACTAAACAAAAAAAAAAAAAAGCGATACAGAACCCCGGACTTTCTGAATGTAGAGATACAAGAACAGCATAAGGATGCACTGGCCATGCGTGACCCGAATCCAACAAGAAACTGCACCACACCCGCCTGACGCAATGACAGCGATTTTTAGTGAACAAACCTATCCACTATCCTCCCTGTATCGTTCGCTATCATTAGCTATCTATTTTCAATCTACTCTGTGAGTGGAATTACGTGTTCTTGCGTTGCTCGGCGGTCCATGGCTAAGAGGTGTTGCCAACTCGTGGTGCCCTGAAAAATATTACGGTAGCGCCCGCCATAGAGAGCTAAGCGGAATGGCAGATGATAGTATTCTTCTTCACACTTAGGTAAAGGGTAATGAGGGGTTTGGGATGGTTTTACGAATGGGACTGGAGCGATAGGTTGGGCTGGTTCAAGAGCTGATGGAGAGAAAGGAGGAGGGAGACGATATTCGCGGAAGAAGGAAAGGGGATAGATGATACTATGGAATTGAAGAAGAGTTTGAAGAAAGGAACTGACATATTTGAATTTAGATAGCTACGGCAGAAACATTGCTAGGCTGTTGCGAGACGGATATGGACCCACAAGACCTGTAATGCTACCACCCTGCAGATTATAGGAACGGAATAATAGTTCATACATGTCCGAATGTTTAAAACAGTTTCATGAAATGTCTTGGATGTCTGGTTATTTGAATAGAGGCTAGGTTGGCTACCTCGTGGTTGGAAAAATGACGCTCGTTTCAACGGATTGCAGACACAGCAAGCGGATGAAACGAAACCACAGAACAGGTCCTGCTAAATAAAAAACACGAATGATATCACCGATATTTCCGAAGCTAGAGTGGGTTTAACCAAGAGGTTAGTTTATGAGCACAAACAGAGAGGGATGGATAAAAAAAGGGATGGGACAAATGCGTTGATGAAAAGGACATACGTCGAGAGTCAAACACTTGCTACTGTTGGCGGTCTGATCCCTGTAAATGCCCACCAAAGCTTCGCTGTTCTGAAAGAGGCCTGTCTTCAAGCTGATGACGATAAACTGCATACCAGGGGCAGCATGGTCGCGGATGTAGTTGGCGATCCGTGCTACATTGGTATTGTCGAGAGCAGCATCAACTTCGTCGAGCACGAAAAAGGGTGACGGTTGGTAGGAGTGTACAGCAAAAAGAAGAGCAAGAGCTGCCATGGTTTTTTCCCCACCAGAGAGATGTTCCATGTCTCTGAACCGTTTGAGTGGCGGCATCGCGTGGTATTTGATACCATCGAGATAGGGTTCCTCGGAGTCCTCAATGTCGAGATAGCTATCGAGAGGAGTTAGATAAAATGTCTTCACGAGAGGATAATCAAAATCACTCTGTTGGATTTTTACTCACGCTTTTCCACCCATGGGGTAACTAGCTGTTTTGGTTAGGTCGCGATATATGGGCTCGATCTGCTCTGAAATATGCGTGAATGCTTTGTTGAAAAGCTCTGAGCGTTTCCGCATCACGGCCTCGAAGTCCTCCTTGGCCTTTCTGGCACGTTTCCTCGCATCTTCAAAGTCCTTCTCGGTGCTCCGAAGCTTGTTCTCGACGCCTTCTAGTCGTTCCATGGCCCGCATGTTCGGTGCCATTTTGTCTAGTTCGCTGTTGAGGGATTTGATCCGGTCCTGAAGCTCCTCTTCCACCTTGTCATCCGAATCCTGTAGATAATGATTAGGTTCAACAAGCATAATATTAAAGATGGGAGTAGTTAGCACATACCTCCTTCAGCGAATCGCCCAAGCTTTCGAATTCAACTTCGATGCCATAATCGTGTATAGCCGAAGCTTGGAAGTTACCCAAGTTAGGATCCTCGTCTACATCCATCGCATCCTCATCATTTTGGACTAGGTCATCGATAGGGAGGGCAGAGAGCGGCACGGAGCCTTTTACGAGAGGGATATCGATATCTTCCAGTTTGCAGCGGCGCAAAAGCGCGTACTTATCCGAAGCATAACGCTGTCTCTCGCCATCCAGTGAACTGATGGCCTTGAGCGTAGTCTCGATATTCCTGGAACGTTTCTGAACTTGTTGTCGCTGAGTAGCCAGGTGTTCTGCAGACTGTGAGTAGGCCTCCTTTTGTTCCGCGAGGTCCTCGCCTAGTAACTCCAGTTCAGCGTTCAGCGTATCAAGCCGATCCTTGATAGCGTTACGCTCAGCCTCAAGTTCAGTGATGAGAGCACGATCTCGCTCTGCCTGCGAACGGAGTCCTTCAATACGGTCGTCGGTCGCTTGCAATCGCTGCCTCTCAAAACTGAGTTGGTTCTCGATTTTGCTCTTTTGGGTAGTAAACTCGAGCTTCTTCTCTGCTGCTTCTTGTTGCAGCGACCCTTGTTGGGCTTCATATTCTCTGATATTGCTGTAACCTAGACGACGACAGAAAGCTTGGTAGACTTCATCTTCAACCCCGCTAACTGAGCTTTGGGCATCTTTAATAGATTCGTCTAGGGCTTCGAGAGCACGCTTCTTCTCGAAATATTTAGGCTGGATGCTCGTCATTTGGCTTTTAGAAAACTGGACCTCACCGGATCGGCTCTCAATATTTCTGTTCAAAGCCTTTAGTTCATCTCGAGAATATGCCAGACGTTGTTCTAGTCCTGCCAACTGGCCTTGGAGATTCTCCTCCTCTGCACCTTTGCGATGAGCCTTAGGAAGGCTGCCCAGGTCTGCAATGAGCTTATCTTTCAGCTTATGCAAGTTGGTGATATCAGTATCTTCCCATCGTTTAGCTTGCTGATGGCCAGGGCCTCGTCCACCAGTCATGAGACCACCCTTGTGGATGACCGTCCCATCAAGCGTAACCGCCTTAGCATCGACACCTTTCTCATAGCAAAGATACTTCGCAGTGGCCAAATCATCACAAACAATCGCGTTGCCGCAGGCATATGTAATGGCTCGTGAGACGGAATTGTCATAGTCGACGGTTTCGATGGCTGGTCGCATTCCCCGATGCATGCCTTTCAGGTTCGAATTGAAAGCTTTCACCTGGATTGTTTCAAGTGGGATGAAGGTTGCTTGGCCCGCCCTTTGGTCCCGGAGATGCTGGATACACTCCTTCGCCGTCTTCTCGTTGTCCACTACGATAGAGTCAAAATGCCGGCCCAGGATCGTGCTGACAGCGTCTTGGTATTTTTTCTGTTTGGGTTTGCAAAGCTCACTGATCCGACCCTTCACTCCAGGAAATATACGCTTCAAAGTTGATATCAGTTCTTTGGTACGCAACTCCTTCTCGCTTTGCTTGCGGCCATCGTCTGCTTCGAGCAGCTTCTTTAAAGTGACCTGAAGTTTCTCCTCGAGTTCGGTCCGCATCTGTGCAACACGAAGTCGTTCAGAAGTAAGGCTATTGAGCTCCTTTTTCTTCTGGCTAATTTCCTTAGATGTGGCATCAATAGCATCTTCCATACTAGATTTGCGCTCCAACATATTGTTGACATCGGACTGGAGATTTTTGACCTGCCACTCTGTACTTTCGAAATTGCTCTTCAAACTGTTAACTGTTTCAGCATCTGCTTTCCTCTGGCGTTTTAAATTGGCGAGTTTTATTTGGGCAGCAGAGGAGCGCTTATTTACGTCCTCTCTGAGCTTGTTATATTCTTGAAGGTCAGAGTTGCTGAGCTGAATTCCTCTCTTGTTTGCGGTTTTCATCCAGTCATCCTCCCATTGCGATTGAGCTTTTTCGACAACTTTAAGGTCTTTTTCAAGCTGTCTGACGGTTTTCAATTGGGCGTTACTTTCCTTCTCAATTTCAGAAATTCGAGTTGCGTATCTCTCCACTTTCTGTTTTGAGATTTCAATTTTTTCGTCGACAGGTACTAATGAATTTGTCGTATCTTCGATATCTTTTTCCTTCAATTTGATGCTCTTTTCCACTTTTGCTACGTCTCTACCGACTCGAGCATGTTCCTTTTTCGCCTCCTCGAGATTTTTTCCGTATTTTTCTACACCACGGCGGAATTCCTTCAGCTCGTCTTGGTGCTTCTGTATCTCCGCGCTTGACTCTTTGATTAGGCGCTGGAAGTGGAAAAGTTTCCAAAGTATGTGAGTAATGATAGCCTGATCGCGTTCGTCCGCCTTCCTTGCGTAATTTTCTGCCTCTCTCTTTTGTTCCTGATACTGTTTGATTTCAGAGTTGATTCCCCTGCGGCGGTTCAACTGAGCGTTTTGGATTTCCGCTGTTTCTTCTTGTTCCGCTTTGAGCCTTTCGTATTCTGCCTTATATTCGAGACTTCCGGAGATTTGCTCTATCAGGCGAGTCAGGTCCCTTGGTGATTGAGAAGCAATCGATTCCACATCTCCTTGGAAGACCAGGAAGTTGCGAGCCTTGATCAGAATATTTTCATCCTCGAGAGACTGGTTGTATTGTTGTGCGGTTACAATGCGATTGTTGATTCGATATTCGCTAACTCCTTGGCTTGTAATTGATCGTTTCCACTGCTGTTCCTCCCCTGCGTCATCTTCATACACGGCCATTACCCATGCGACCCTCGGGTCATTACGTTCAGCAGGCTCCTGAGTTGATTCTACGTCGCCATCGCCGTTTACCCCATTCTGGATATTATTCGAAGCGGAGCCATCATCATTGATGGTCGATGTACGAAGCACGCGCCCACGGTAAACCAAGTCGCGTAAATGCGTTGAGCGAAGGTGGGATGACTTGATTCCCAGAACAAATGAAATTGCATCCATCCTATCTATTCGTCAATATCAAACAATAAGCATTAGGAAATGGTGACACCGACGAATTCGATTTTCCCGAGCCATTTGGCCCAATAATCGATGCGAAGTAGGCATCGCCGAAAAGAAGCGTATGATGCCCTTTGTACGATTTGAAATCTATTACGCCATCGTACATTAGCAATTACAATATAATATATCGTAATGATAGTAGATGAGGACAGAACATACTGAACAGTTCCAGGCGGATTAATTTCCCCATGGTCGCGGTCAGGTCATACCTAGCAACAACGACAGGCGAGCGGAGATTCCGGTTCGAATTAAGGCGTACGACACGGAAAATTGAGATAGTCCTAAGTAATCTGGGGGAAATTTCAGATTAACAATCGCGTCGATTGCAGAAATTGGAGTTACTTGTGGGTTTCAACTTTAAGATTCTGTGTACTGATCGCGACGCGACGTTGACGGATTAAATGTTATGTAATTTATTAGTCAGATTCCCGACCGGCAAACTCCCATAGTTACCAGAAAAATATAGGGTTGATTTACGCAGTGATCTCACTGTTCCAAGCTCATCATGTGTTGCTGATCATAATACACACTACGTCATTATATTCAATGATATATTGTGAGTTATAGCCATTATATTGATGTTGCAAAAGTAATGTAGCTCTATCAGGTGCTGCGTATAAGTTTCAGTGTTGGGCGCGATGGCTTCCCGGCAGCTGTCATACTATGGTAGTCCTTTTGACCTAGATGGTCAACACCGTATGCCCAGCCGGGTGCCTCGTCATTACAGGAAATGCCGTTAAAATATTGTGGATGTCATCTTCAAAGATACCAATCAAGCCTTTTCGTTCGAATTTGAAATTCATACGACTCTCGTAGAAGTGGTGGTTGCACAGTGGTTGATTACATAAAAATATAAATACATGGCATCCGGTAGTTGCTAGTATGCTTTTCCATTGAAAGATACTGTACAACTAACATTCTGATAATCTTAGTATAGAAACAAAATCAGAGCATCTTAATCATCACTTTTCAGAGCCCCTACGGAGTACATAACTTCGAATCCATTTGTTGCTATCAAAGGTCAGTGCCTTCCTTACACCTGCCACTCTCATCCCATCCAAACCACACACAGGCGGCCCATCCATCCAACGGGAGTAAGTGGGATATAATTTTGCGCATGATAGAACACTTTTTTCTAAGAGTCGAGGCGCCAACACTAGGATCATCACAGCATGGGGTGGTTTGTTCTCCAAGCTCAAAATCCGAACCAAGTGGACTCATGAATCATCAATTGCTCATCAGTACTCCATACTAATGGACATTATGGGGGCAATATAACTACCAAAAATGGTAACTGTGTCCTGGCTCAATGTTGGAGAATTCAAATGTCGATTGTTTTCACATTGACACCTGACTTTTCTCACATCAATACATCAAGGGATGCAGGACATTTTTTTCGGCGAACAAATGAGTTTCATTCATTTGAGAGTCTTGGGAATTCATTCCGCAGGGGCGACTTAAGCTTGGGCTTCATTAGCATAGGTGCCCTGTAAGTTTTCGACTGCGAATGAGATAATGCATTCCAATATCAACCGCCTCCTCTGGTCATCGCATTTCAGCTGATAAAACAAATGTGACAAGTAGAATCAGGTGGATGGAGGAGGTATACCACAGACAATATCATTAATTAGCTACAGACGCAACAATGTGAAATTGGGAACTTTAGAAGATTGAGCATGGAGCATGTGTATGGCCTTGAAATGGTTGGAGTGCAGTGTTGTATCAGGCGTAGGTTCTGGCATCAGACAAGTTCAGCAAAGAAGCCAAAAGGTTCGTATACGTCCAATGACTGCTTCAATGTGAACAAGTCAATCTACCTCAATTTCCCAACAACTTCAATTGAACAGGCCTGCCTACCTCAATTGCACAACCTGGTATTTCTCACCCTCCCGTATCAAATGAGTCATCATCAACCACCATAGCCTCATCAAATTCAAGCCACCAACAACAGCAGATAAAAGTTCACTACTTCACCCATTCTTCTCACCCAAGCCCTTCATAAGCCATTCATCATACACAAGCTCTCCAGCTGTTGGCCGCTCCTCAGGTAGCCAACGCAGGATTTTCCGCAAGAAGGTTAGAAAGCCATCCTTGTCATCACCTTTTATATCTTTGGCGAGACTACCAAGTGATATGTTTGGGATGGGGCAAGTGTCCTTCCACCTCCCTAGACAGAAAATCATGAAATACAAGTTTATCAGTCAATATGGGTATAAAAGATTTGAGGGGGAAAAGGCGTGTCACAAGTTTGCTTTTGACTTGAATGAAGATAACATACCATCTTCATCCCAGAATATGTTGCACACATCACTTCTTTTGAGAAATTCTTTTGGTGGGGGTCCCATAATGGCAACCATCTCTGCAATACGTTCGGGTTCATAAATATCCCAATCTTCTGAAATCCGCGCGGGGAAAAGATAGCGGGATGATACGAAGTTCCAAGACTAGGGAATTTCCCTACCATTAGCGAGTTGGGTCAATCAAGCCAATAGGTATCCACTCACGAGTGCTGCGATACTCCAAATATCAACTTTGTTGTTCCACTCCATCTGAAGAATCACCTCTGGTGCTCTGTAATGATGAGGCATGATAAGCTTGTTTGGCTGAGGCTTACTCATGAGCCGGGCCTCCCCGAAATCAGTCAAGATGGGGAGTGTTTTAAGTCCAGGAATGCGCCGGGTCATATAGATGATACGATCATTCAGAATCTTCCTTGGTGCTGGCTCATTCAATTCAGCTTCTTCAAAAAGTCTAAACACAGCATCATCTTTGATCTCAAGAAGCAAATTTTTGGGTTGAATGTCTAATCATGTCTTCTCTATTAGCATAACTATACAACGAGCCAATGGTGTCAGAAACCAACTAATGCCATACCAGTATGAACAACATCTGCTACATGCAAAAAGTCAAGGCCAATTAGTAGTTGGCGTAGTACAGGTTTGAGAACATCTGTTGATAGAAGTCTGGAACGGTGGAGATCGACAACTTGGCTCATACTCAACCCTAGTGGCTGATGGACAAGGCATGTGTGGGAGGTACCATGAGGTGCAATAATCTCAAAGGAATCATATAATTGTCGATAGAGAGTTTGTCCAACATGATCTGTTTTTGAAGCAACGGAATCTAGCCGTTTGTAGATATCGATTTCATTATTTCGCCTCGAGGAAGCAGTGCATATCTTCAAGGACACATATCGGGATTCTCTAGTGATGGGCGCCAAAGGAAGCTTAGATCAATCCCAATTGCATCCATAGATTTGGTCAAAATTGCAAGGGAAACGACGTACTGAAGATCACGGCCGAGCCACACAGTTGAGGTCACTCCATAGCCTAGTTTCCCAACAATCTGGTATTTGTCCAACAGTACCTGGCCGATGTGGGCTGGGTAATAGTTCTCTGGATTGTAGACTGGAATGGTCTCCTCTTCGAGTTTCTCAAAGGTGTCAACAATCTCAAAGCCAGTGTCTGCAAATATGAGGGGAGAAAAGGTTGTGTACAAGTATTTCATGGGGCAGGGTTGTAACATGAAAGATGAAAACTGGAGCTGTGGGCGACTCAAGAAAGTGCGTCGCAGACTGGCTTGAGACGATAAAAGAATGGAAGGCCACATTTCTGTGGCATCTGGGGGCCAGCTATTATGCTGTATTGATCCAGGCGGTCCAAGGCGTTTGCAGATGACATCTCTCTCAGCGCTGTGGTTGTTAATTCTGGGAGGTTGACATGGCAAGCGCGTCAAAAATACTAGTATTCGTATGGAGTATAAGTGGTGAGTAATGGTAACGGCGGCAACAGAAACAACCATCCTAGAACTTACATATCCTTCTAATTATTGATTGGATCACTAGAATCCAATCGCTTGAAGCGCCCCGAACTTGAAGCGAAGAATCATTGTGTTCCTGGCTAAGCGCGTAGCTGCTGCTTGAAATACTAGTAACCGGCGCTCTCACAATATCTATTAGTGACCACAATGGTAATATTTTGAATTCTCCTCATTCTTTATCTTCAAATATTCATTAATCACAACAATCATGTCTAAATCATTCAATTACACTGAAGTTCATACAAACGCGCTACATATATGAGTATATATATCAACAGTAATATATGTGTTGGAGATAATATCTCATGAGAAAGATATCTGGTATTTTGAGACCTCTCTCTAGTATTTTGAAGCCTGAGCACTGCCTCGCTCGTATAATCGAGCATCCCCTTCCTTATAAATACTGTCGTTTTATCATGCAATTATCAGAGTTAGAATAGCTGATTCAACATTCTTTTGATACTCAGTTTTTGGGGCAATATTCGGACGTTATCCCGGTCTGACAATACGAAATTGCAATAGTCGCCGTTTGCACTTTATGCTCCCTGGCTCAGGACACTGGAATGTTGACCTTCGCGTCACGCGCTGGCTTTTTTCTTTTTGGCAATTATATACAGGGTCAAGCACGGCGTTCAACAGCCTCGCTTCCACTGTCCGCATAGTTCAAAGATGCAATATCTCCACCTACCTAACGAAATATTTTTGGCCCTTGGTAAAATCTTACCACTTGCTGATCTAAATTCTTTGTTGAAAACAAACCGCCGCTTGTTCTCTCTTCTCAATGCTGACTTATATCGATACGGCGCTAGCTCCGCTCTGCTCTGGGCTGCAGAATATGGAGATGAAGATATTGCACGAAAAGCATTAAGCGCCGGCGCTTCGTTGCGGGCGTTGGGCACTGATGATAAAACGGCGTTGATAATTGCCTGTGAACGCGGCCATGTTAAGGTCGTCGAACTGCTGCTTGCTCAGAACAGTGTCGACCTGAACGGCGTTGTCAATGACTGGTCAGCCCCGGATCCCAAAATTGCCGTCAGTCGGCTTTCATGGAGGACCATGTCTCCACTTTTGTTTGCTGCTCACAACAATCATGCAGATGTGCTGAAGTTGTTACTTGATCAACCTGGCGTCAATCCACACTTCACTGACAGTGGGGGTTGGTCAGTGTTGCATTATGCGACCAAGAACGAGTGCGAGGTTATATTGAAATTGCTCCTTGAAAATGATCGTATCGCGGCCACCGGGGTGGATGGATCCTCTCTTGTTCTCTTCGCATTCCAGATGAATCGGTATTCCGCGATGTTGTCGTTTCTGAGCACGGACAGGCTTGAAATTGATCTCCACCGACATGAAGCGGACGACATACTGCTCCACTCATTGCGTATGGGTTATTCAGGCATTGTCAAGAAGCTGCTGGTGCTTCCTAACTTCTCAGCAGAATCGGAGCCGCTCTACCAATGGACAACTCAGTTGGCATTTGCCGTGGTTAATGGCGATAAGGAGGCTGTGTCATCTCTTCTTACAAATTCCGCAGTGGACCCGAACAGCCAGGAAGATTTTTTTGGGTTTTCGCCGCTGCTTCTGGCTGTGTGTATGGAAAAGGAGGCGATTGCCCGGCTCCTTCTTGCAGTGGATAATGTCAACCCAAACATCCCAGATAGGGATGGACGATCACCTTTATGGGTAGCTGCTGCATTTGGAAATGTGGAGCTTGCGAGGTTGTTGCTAGGAAAAGACATGATCGATGTCAACCAGAGAGACCAACACAATTGGACTCCACTCACCATAGCTTCAGAACTCGGGCATGTAGCTGTCGTCAAGTTGTTGATTGAACGTGACGATATCGAAGTCGATGTTGCATGTACCTCTGGCTGGACACCCCTAGGGGCTGCTGTCGGCAACCAGCACTATGAAATTGCGAGATTATTACTGGAGACCAATCGAGTCGAACTCAACGGGGAAATTACAGGGCCACCGCTGTGGACTGCTGTCCGTAACAATGATCTACCAATGGTGGAGCTTCTTCTCGCGACGGAAGGTGTAAATCCAAATGGCATTAGTAATGTCCTCAGGATCCATCCATTATCGGAGGCTATTTCGCAAGGAAATGTTGATATCGTGGAAAGATTATTGAGGAGAGAGGACGTCAATGTGAACTACTTTGATATCGGAGGCTACACTCCACTGGAATCTGTAATCCTGCAGTTATCTGGTGATGTGAAGCAGCGTATAGTCGAACTTCTGTCCACCAGAGGGGCCGTACGTGGGCAGGAGCTGCTCTCATTACACGAGCAAAGAAGAGATTGAAGTGGCATATCTTATGTATGAACTTGTAATACCGAGATCTGTAGCCAACCCATAGAATGATGGAGAGACAAAAAGGATTTACAATTTCTAATATTTGCTTTGCAATAATTATATCTAATAAGACCAGCAAGCGAAACGTAATGTCTTTCTCAGTGATACTTGATACTGAAATGGACCAAGGAACAATATCCATCCATGGATCTGCTCCTGGCCATGTGACCTTGCCGCTGCAACCAACCCTAGTCCGGCTAGCACAGATCACCAGACACGGCTGGAGCTCCAACCAAGCCAACCATGTGGAAAGAAAGCTTCACGCGCGATATCTGCCGGACAGCGAGCATGATGACCTATTTTTTGTTATTAAGTCCACCAAAGGGCCGGTTTACGTTGTAGTCCTTTATTCATTAACCTCGTGAGTTAGCTTTATCAGATGTCTCTACGTTGTGGTTTATTCATATGCGTCTCTTGACTGTTGTGAGTTTGGCCGCAACCCAGACGCTTGGGACTGATATTCCCACCATTTCCAAGCATTTTTCCTCCCACCATATCCCACCATATCCCTCCGGCTGATTCTCCTTCTACAACCCCGACGGCCTTGGATCGAGATGTCTGACCCTATTTCGATACCGAAAAGCAAGTCACAGCCAGATCATTTAGAGGAATACGCCACAAAGCCCAACGCCGACATCCTCCACGCGATTGCCAATGACCAGGATGGATCTTCAAACTCAGCACTTGACACTTCCCTGTCATCCAGTAATGGGCTTTCACGATCATCCTCGTTTGGGACGAGCAGCTCTTTCCAGGAAGATTGGGAGCCCTTTCCCCCGCTCGACAAACTCACGGTGTTTGATCTTCTAGGGAACCTTGATCTTCCCCAAAAGCTAGAAAAATGGCAGAATACATTGACCTTGCAGAAGGAGAAGGTTAAGAAACAACAGGAAAAGCTGAAAAACACAGGCATCCATGCGAAGCAAAGGGTTGTGGGGGAGTGGCGCAAGCGTGTCCCGTCTTCAGATGAGCAGTTGGAGAAATACCGGAAACGGATGAAGGATTCTGTTGAGCGGCTAGGTGCTCGTTGGAATGATACTGCAACGGTTACCGCCCGAGAGAAAATTTCCTTTATTGCGGGTGTCCTCAATATTCTCATCAGTGGATATTTGCTTGGTGCTTACCCGCATCACTTCTTCTACTGGTACACGGCCCAGTTTTTCTATTTCATGCCAATACGCTATTACACCTATCGCAAACGTGGGTACCATTACTTCCTGGCTGATCTCTGCTACTTTGTCAACTTTTTGACGGTCTTGGCTATTTGGGTGCTGCCGGGCTCGAAAAGATTGTTCCTCAGTACATACTGCCTTGCGTATGGAAATAATGCTATTGCTATTGCTATGTGGAGGAATTCATTGGTGTTTCACAGTTTTGATAAAGTTACCAGGTAAGCAAAGTTGACTGAAATATTTAGCATTTGTTCTTTACACCTTTCTAACTAATCGATATCTATCTAGCCTGTTTATTCATATTATGCCTCCAGTTACCCTTCACTGCTTGATTCATATGACTCCCCCTGATATGCTGCTCAACCGATTCCCTGCCATCTACAGCATCAAATTTAGCAAGCCAGGTAGCCCAGAACATTATTCGCTGGCCGCAATGATGATATGGGCTACCGTCCCTTATGCTGTCTGGCAATTATCGTATCATTTCCTCATCACGGTTCGTCGCCGTGAGAAGATTGCAGCAGGACGGCCAACCAGCTTTACTTGGCTTCGAAAGTCTTACGCCAAAACCTGGATTGGAAAATTCGTTCTCAGCCTCCCGCTATCTTTGCAAGAGCCAGCTTTCATGTTTATTCAGTATAGTTATGCGCTGCTAACTATAACGCCATGCCCGTTGTGGTTCTGGTACCGTTGGGCTAGTGCTCTTTTCTTAATGGGTGTATTTTCCTGGAGTGTCTACAACGGCGCGACATATTATATTGACGTGTTTGGCAAAAGATTCCAAAACGAGCTGGAGCAGCTTAAGAAAGATGTTGCCAAATGGCAGACTTCTCTCGAAGGTGGCTCGACTAGTCCCACGTTAGTTCCAGGCAATGGCAAACTATATAGTCATGATGATATGGAAATCAAACAAACTGATACTCCAGCCCACAGCGCAGTCAGCCAGATTCCGCTGCTTGACCCGCAGTCCACCAGTACAAGTGTGGAGCCTCTTCCAACTTCTGGCCTCTACTCTAGAACCTGAGACCGCGGCTCCAAATTCCTCCAAATTCCTCCAAATTCCTCTCCTTTGCCCAGTTTTCGCCTTATTTCGTTACATTCCTTCCTTATGGATACCCCGTCGAAGCGCTCCCGTCATATTTGGGCTTTGTATTTTCTGTGTGTTATCTGTCGATACTGCGGTGCGATGCAAGCTTGTCCATAGACTTTTTTTCACCTCCTGAACTGCCCTCCAACAAACCGGATATGTGGTATCCAACTTTTCTCTGTCGTCTCTGGTGTTAATGTTCTTGATGATTTTGGACAAGGGTCGTCGAATATTTCTGTCACCGTCGATTTATTTAGGATGATGAACGATATTTCTAATTTAATAATGATATTGTAACTCTACCCTTTCAGGATTTCTTCGTGATATGCCCAGGCTTGCAATCTGCGATTGCCGAATTAGTCCCTTCACATGGGGATGGTGATATCATCACGTGATATCCAAAAACTTTCTCTAGCGCATCATGATAACCTCCGTCTTCTTTTCAACATTCAACCATACCAATCTTCTTCACCCTACCAACCCCTGGTACCATATTTAGCACATCCTACTGATACATTTATTCCGTCTACACAAGCTTCCGCTCAAATTGTTCTCATACCCTCGACGCTGCAGTATGAAATCAGTTGCCCTGACCCGCAATGCGGTGTCAGCACAGAGGATGGCCGCATGTACGCCGAGCAGCAAGACAGCACTCCAATGAATAACTAAGTTAACTGACTCTGAGTAGTACGCCGCCACTCCCCAGGAAATCTAGGCACATATTTGACTGCGACTTCGCGTTACCGGCGCTCCCTACCCCAGCATGTCCATGCCCTGGCCATTCTCATACCGCTCCAGCAGCAACAGCAACGCGGTTATGCTACCCAACAGACCCCTTCCACAAATCCTTTAGAGCAATCACCATTCCCTCCTCCAGGATTTAGCGCGGACCTGGCGAAGAAACCACTCCCAGCAGAGACTGCACAGAAACCCACACCGGCATCATTACAGTCAGAGAAAACTGAATGCGAACCCCGCGAGCAGATCCAAGTTACGGCCGCCACGGATAGATCGCCAGCGAAAGGGTTGGTTGCGGAAGGAAGGGATTTAAGTTCACATGATGTTGAAGCTGCAGAAATAACGGCTGTTGAGGAGAAGAAAGAAACTAAGAAACTTACCCTGGGTCAGAGGATCAAGAAGGAGGCCCAGCATTATTGGGATGGGACAAAGCTGTTGGCTACGGAAGTCAAGATCAGTACACAACTTGCTCTAAAAATGGCAGCTGGTTATGAACTTAGCCGCAGAGAACATCGACAAGTTCGTTTTTCATCTTCCAATATATCCTTTTTTTTTTTTTTCAGCTCTCTCCCCACTGTTCAAACCGGAATGACATCGCTAACTTAGAAATAACAGCTCCGACGTACAGTTCAAGATTTGGCTCGACTGGTACCTTTCTCTGTCTTTGTTATCGTCCCATTCGCTGAATTCCTTCTACCGGTCGCACTAAAGCTCTTCCCAAACTTGCTTCCCAGCACTTATGAAGGTCAAAAGTCCAAAGAAGAAAAGGCGGCTATACTTCAGGCTACGCGGAGGGAAATGGGGTCTTTTCTTCAGAATACCCTTAAGGAGACTGGCCTTCCAGTCAATTCCAGATACTCTAAAAAGGAAGAGTTCACTGAATTTTTTAGAAAGGTTCGAGCTACAGGAGAATCTCCCTCCGAAGACGATGTTATAAAGGTCTGCCAGACCTTCAAGGATGATCTCACCTTGGACAACTTGTCACGACCCCAACTGGTGGCAATGTGCAAATACATAAATCTCAATACTTTCGGTACAGACGCAATGCTCCGGTACAATGTGCGTCACCGGATGCGTCAGATTAAGCGTGATGACAAAGCCATCTCATTTGAAGGCGTTGACACTCTTTCCGTTCCCGAACTTCAGATGGCTTGTGCTTCGCGTGGACTACGCACTCATGGTATCTCTCCAGGCCGTCTGCGGGATGACCTGTCCATGTGGCTAGACCTACGGCTCAAGAAGGGCGTGCCTTCGACCCTCCTCGTCCTCAGCAACGCCTATATGTACACGCAGAATTCCCAGGACTACGAAATTTCTTCCCAGATCGATGCTCTCCGATCCGTCCTGTCCAGCATCCCCGAAGAGCTCTTCCACGAAATTGAGCTCGAGGTGCATAATGCCGAAGGCGCGGCTACCAACAAGCAACGTCTTGAGGTTATCAAGGAGCAGCAAGAGCTCATTGAAGAGGAAAACGAGCAAAACACTGAAAACGAAGAGGCTGGTGTTACTGCTCCGAAGGATCATGAGGATATCGATGAGACGGACGACAAGAACATGGAGGCAGCGGCTCCAGGTCAGGAAACCCAGAGTTCGGAGGCTCGGGAATCTGAAAATGATACCGAGAAGCAGCAGGAGAAGGAGAAAAAGGAATAAATAATTTGTGGGACGCAGGCTTGGGAGTGAGCGCGCAACGTTTCTTTCGCTTCCATTGTGGTCGTTATGTTTTTAAACGTCCCCCAGATGAGCTGCGGCCTGGGACTAACGTTTTCCATTCGGCAATGATGACATCCGGGAATAAATTTGCTTCTGCTTGGTTTCTTCTCCCATTCTACTTTGTACTATTATTAACATGCCTCTTCTAGAGTCTCCCATGTCATTTTCGAGTCTGTTTGAATATATGTTTTTTTCTTTCCTAACTGTATTAGGCAATGAATGAGCAGGGCCTTTTTATTTCCTTTGTCGGTTTCAACCAGCCCCCTTCCCCTTGTCCCAGGTTTCTGAATTTTGCTTTGGGTAGTTTGTCCAACTGCTACCATTCATTTTTTTTCACCGATGTTCCCTTACGCTTTCATTCCCCGCTAGGCACCCCCACCCCCCCACTTTCCTTTCAAATTATTTCTTATTATTTGGCACATTTTTACTCTACTTACTATTAGCTTATTGGGATATATGTTGGTGTTTGGATATAACGAGGTTTTTAGTAGTCGTCTTAATTCCGCGACTAGATAGATGTGACGACTGGGTTGGGTTGGTGAGATTGTCTTTTGTGGTTCTCCCAATTGAAGATACTGAAATATAAGTAAACTGGTTTTTGAAATGTACTTGTTGGGCCATCTTCTGTGGCCAATGCTAGTTCAAAATATATATAGAACAACCGTGTTATCGAATCAAGAATGCGAGCGACAGAGCAACTCCAGAGTACATCTATCCGGCTCTCTGTTCCCGATCAGATGCGACACAATCACAGAATATTAACCTCGGCAAGGCCGTGGGAACTAAAGGTTAGCGCGCCAAATATGAAGCAGCAGTCGGAATCGCTAAACCCCGTCTTGGGTGCACCATGGATATAAGATAGGAGGAGATGCTGGCCCCGAGAGAGGTATGAACAAACTGGTACTGTTTAGATCATCGCACACCATTGCAAGTAGTGCATATAGCGTTCAAAGACCCTCCTTATCACGCTCGAGGTTGCTGCGAAGCATGGCGCCGCTCTCCCCCACGTCGAAGGTTGGTGTTTCTTCAACCAACTCCCAAAACACATTCCTAGCTCAACCCTTCTGACACCTGCGACGGAATGGTAAAATATACTAGTAGCAAGCCATCGAGCGACTGCGACGGTATATCCCGCCCCCAACCAATTATGACTCCGTCCCGCTGTCCCGACAGGCTGCTGTGCTGCTTCTGCTGTTTGCCGATCGACTAGGGGATCTTCGGGTTATTTTGACGATCAGATCCAAGACTCTCAAATCATGTATGTCACTCCTGCGCCACGGGCGTTTGTCGGGTTCTGGTGGTTATTTATTATGGCTGCGGACTATAACGGCCGATTGACCTTGTCACTAACCGATCCCTCACCCAACTTTTTCAATATTCGATTTAGACCCTGGCCAAGCGGCTCTTCCGGGCGGAAAGGCGGATTCGCTATCAGAAACACCCTTTGAGACTGCTCGGCGCGAAGCATTCGAGGAAATCGGCTTGCCAAATATCGACCAAACGTTCCCTTCCCCCTTTTGGGTAGAGCATCTCTGCGAACTCCCCGCCAATCTTGCACGAACAGAGCTAGTGGTACGGCCCTGTGTGGCGCTTCTACACTCCTACGATGAAGTTACGGGTGAGGACGCCGATCCAGAGGAAGCATTCATGCCCCAACTGGACGCTAAGGAGGTGGCTGCGGTCTTCTCGGGGCCATTCCACAACTTCCTAATGATGCGCGATGAGCCCCGTGGTGAAGATGATTCCAGTCTTCCAGGAGACCCTACGGAGTGGTATGATGGAACATGGACCAACTGGAACAGTACTTGGTGGCGCAGTATGTTTGATTGTTATGAAATATAACTTCCCCTCCTTCCACCTATCTAGAACCTTCCCGCCCCTCTCTTCTTGAAGTCTCTCTGTTAGTTACTAAATTTTGGGATAGTGCACCATTTCTTCGTTCCGATAACAAACCAAAAGGTTACAAAGTCGAGAAGAAAGAGCATTGATCAAAGTGCCGCCGTTGACGAACTCGAAAATCAGGAGATATCGATGGGATTAACCCGCTACAAAGTATTTGGTATGACTGCTCGGATTTTAGTCGACGCTGCTAGAGTGGCCTACGCAGAGGAGCCTCACTTCGAGCATAACAGCCATTTTGGCGACGAGGACATGATTGCTCGATTGCAAAAAATTGGCAGGTTCAAGGAAACTCGAGACCCGGAGGACGAACTTACTCCAGAAGTGTTTGAAAAAGCCTCCAAATTGACATGATTTAAGGATCAGCTGGCCCCCCCAGAATTTTGTGGAGACACAGATATTTTGCTTAATATTGGAGTTTCTTTTTCTTTTTCTTTTTGCTTTCCGGGACACGCACCGTGCGACGCATTAGCGTTTCGTGCGAGATTTGTTATTGGTGTTTGTGGAGACGGATGGGAGAGTTTTCTTTGTTTTCGTCCACCATCTGCCCAGATTTTGTTGGACCCAACAATTGGTTTGGTTACTTAACTTATAAGGTTGTATACACCCCCACCACCCCTGTTCTGCTTCGGCGTTTGCTCATCGAGCAAAGCAACTAGTTAGCTAACCTTCGTCCTTGTTTACATTTTCTGTTAGAATTTGTTAGCTTTTTCTTTTGTTGCTCATGCGATTGTTGTGCCCACGCTGTGGTTTATTTTCTTTTATGTTTGTGTTTTACTTCCTCGTGGGAGTTCCATTTGCATGCATGCTGCAAGTTATATTCCGGCAAGATTTTGGATGACGCTCCCCCGTATCATCTCCGAAAATGGTTATTCGTATTGCGCTTCTTTGTCGCTGAGTGCAATTTTAGAAATATTCCCTTTCCCCATTGACTCCGCTCATGAAAGAACGGTTGACAAGCCAACTCAGTCTAAGACATTGCGCATGTCCCTTAGTTTGAGACTCGAACAGGAATGTTAGCATTACTCCTATTATATATGATCGGCTTCGACTTTCTGCCATGTTGCCCTCCCCAACCTCCAGTCGCAAACGCGATACCGGGCAGATGACATTCAAAGGAATGCGTGGCTATACACCTCAACTTCTCACCTCAGAGTCGCTGGAGGGATTGGAGCAAGCTGTTCCTCCAGGAAACTCGCCCAGCAACTCCAAGTACCAAAGTTGGAAGTTCGATAAACCATTGCCAGATATTCCGCGCGCGACTTCCAGTGTTTACAGCCCTGACGATGAAGCGACTGGGGTGATCGAGAGCCATTTACCTCCTTGTCCTCGGAATACTCTAATGCCTGAGCCACCTCCGCGTGTGCCTTCAAGAGCTCACAGTCTGGGTTCCTCAGAGCACTACCAGAAGGCCATGCATGAACCTCCTATAGACGTGGATATACACCTACGGGTTCCGAAGAAGTCGTTATCCCTCCAGCCCTGTGGATATCGATCAGCGCCTAATTTACTCCTTGAGACAGCAGCTCCCGCATCACTTTCGGCTCCCGCAGGCCCATATCATCCCCATTATGGGTGGTCGTGGGGCCTGAAATCGAAACCTCGTTCTATATCGACTTATGCACTCCATGGCGGTTCCACCACTGCCGATCCAATTTTTCCTATTTCAGATAAAGCTATTGAGAGCGTCGGCCCAATGCTGCTCTTTCCCTCTTCCGGCTACCATCAGTGCGGAAAAGATGAAAGTCAGGGCTCATCATTGGCAATGGTGGATGATAGCGGATCAGAGATGTGCCGCTCCGAAATCCTCAGTGAGCGTATTCGGCCTCGACGGTATTCGGAGGATGTCCCCCTTGACGTTCACATGGAACACCCACAGAGAACGGGACTGTCTTCCACGGGCCAGCTTCCGGTGACTAGAGCGCGAAACCACCGCATCCAACTAGTCGAAACCCAACCCCAAACCGGAAATCGTACAGAACTATTTTCTTTCTACTCTGACAGCAGCGTATCCGATCACAATGTACATATCACTCCCACACCCAATAATACCCCAACGGCCTCAACCTTTGCCCGTCGCAGAACCAAACAACTTGCTGTCCCGATCTCCGACTACCAGCGCTACGGACCGAAAGCGTGGAAAACCAAACGTGACCACAGGCCTAGCACCATGTTCAAGCGCAGGATGACGAAACCCAAAACAAAACGCGCCTCTCTTCAGCTGCCACCGTTGCCACCATCTCCCGTACCACTTCGGCAATACTATCAGCAAAACCACCGTTATTCTCAGTCGCAATCACAAACACAATGCCAATCGCAATTCCTCTCCACCCCCTTAACACTCCTCCCGCGTCGTATGAAAACCTTTCTCTCGAAAGCATTTCATAGCCGGAATATAACCACATCCGTTAAGCCCTTGCGGCCTCCACGGCCTCCATCCCCTTCGCCGATGAGGTACTTCCTGTCTCCTCCGCCACCCCCGCCACCGCCTCCACCACCGCGCCTCCACCCACCTACACAACAACAGGAAGATGACCAATGGAACCAGCAGGATAAACTACAGCAGGAGCGGCAAGAGCAGCAGCAGCAATGTCAGCAAGAAAACCAAGAGAAAGAGCGGAGCCAAAGGGGGGGGAACTTGTTCCGAAGGAGTATGGCGGTGACGAGGGAACGATTGGGATTAGGACCATCAAGTACCGACGTGCGGAAGATGACATTGAAGGATCGAATTGTGTTCGTGGGGCCGACGGATCCGGCCGCGGTGGCGGAAGACAGGGTTGATGAATGGGTTTGAGACGAGTGTGTTGCGTCTGTGTATTGCGCCCTGCGGCTGGAAGTTCGCCTTCAGGGTGCCGTCAAAAAGCTTTATACTCTTCTTCTTCTTTTTCTTTTCCTTCATTTACTAATATTCTGCCGGCCGGGTGGTGCGTTACTCTGGTTTTCTATTTATTCCTATTTTATTTTATTTTCTTTTCCATTTTCCATTTTCTTTTTTCTCATTGGGATAGGAAGCTTTACAGGCGTAAACCACATTTTCATGCCATCTTATCCATCCATCGTCGTCACGGGATACACATACTGTACTTTTCTTTTTAGGGGTTGGATTGTTTGTGTGATACAACATTGGACGATGCGATACACAGCTTATACAACTCGCTCTCCTATTTATATACACAGAATATCAACATCGCATCATATGAAAATTATAGCCGGTTCTATGGCCGTTTACTGGATGGTGAAATGAATATGAAGTATATCTTGGTGCGTATTAGAGTAGGTTATCATATATGATTCGTTACCCTTTAAAAACATGGTATTCAGGTGGAGTAAACGTAGAAAAAAAGGGCCCATTGTCGCGCGGATCCAGCCAGCGAACCGAACCCAGGCGTGCATAAATGTAATGTCAGAATCATGCACAAAGTAACAAATCCTGGAGTGTACCCATCATTGCCAGCCACATTCAGGGTCGGTTTCGAATGAGTTGCTGGTTAAAACGTATCCCTCACTTGACCATATAGAGGAGGGAATTGAACAAACAATAAGCGAATGCAAAAGACGAGAATTTTGGAGGGTCTATCTCTAACAGGCAGGCTTCATCGACTCTGATACTTAATTCGTATCTCCAAGCTTGCCAAACGCCGGTAGTTATGATGTAATTAGACTCATAGCAATACATAGATAGAAAAGAAAATAACCAACGCTAAACCTGGCTCCTAGAATTTAACAAAAATTCCCCCCGCACTCATTTTCAAGTTCCTCCTAGCTCTCCGTTCAAGCCCGCCATCAAACTAGCGTGATTCGAGTTGTATGCGACGGCAATTTCTGGGCTTTTTTTCCCTGTTGGGAAGAGGACATGGATGGGTTCACTTGATAATCGGCCTCCCCAATCGTCCTGATTTGAGAGGTATGAATGCGATATGACGGTTAAGCTGTTATCTTTCTTTCAGTATTGCTTTGGTACAGGACGCCGATAGATGGCAGATGAATTGTAAGTATGGAACGCGTAGTAAAGCTAAGCTTGACTTACCCAATTTTGGAATACAAATCAATATGCCATCTCCAAACGTATCATTGCCCAGAACTCTCACGCACTGGGTCGTAGGGCGCACGGTTATTCTTCTTATTCTCCCTCTCCCCCTCCGAATCCGTGCCGTCATCCTCATCTATTGTTCCTAGGGCAAAATATTCTCCTTGCTTTGGATCAGGCCACAACGATTGGGAAGCAGCCTCATCGGCTGGAGACACCTTGGTACGCAACTGACGCCTAGAGGCTTTCCAGATCCAGAACGATAGAACTAAAGCATTTACGGCAATCAGCCCTGCCATAGAAGCGATCCAAGTAGTGCTGGTTCCGGACAGCAACATGCCGGTAATAATGTTGGTCCAGCCAAGGACTAGAGTGAGTCGTCCAAACCATATATGTGAGTAGGAGACCCAGTGCCGGCGGCGAATGCGAACGAAGACCCGATGATGTTGCCAGCCTAACAAGCCCTGAATGAAGAGGTATGCCCCTAAAAACACACCAATCCATTGGTGGAGGGTGTTTATGTTATGGTCCATCAAAAGGCCAATAATTGCACCGGACCAAGCAAACAGGGCGGCTACCAGTTGAATGGACCAGTGATATTTGAATGACTTCGAGGACCCGGATCGCATTGCGATTGTACCAAGTGGGAACAAGATGAAAAATGCAATGAACATCACAAAGCCGTGTATGGATTGCATCACGTTCTCTCTTATCGACGATACCAAACCACCAGCGCTTGTAGGGCTGTCAGATGTCCCCAATCTTGAAATCCCAGTTCTGATCGGGGGCAATGACGGAGCCGATTCGACAGTGCTAACCGATCGAGCCATATCCACATAGAAAACACCCCAACCACCATTTTTAGCATGGTGCTTATGCATACGTAAATGGGCATCGTAGGAGAATACTTGGAAATCTTGGTTATCATTCCACGCCCATATCCACGGCTGGGATGGTGCTTGCGCGGAGATCGGAGCACCAGGCCACTTTTCGCATGATAGACACACAAGGGCTATTTTCGCAACCGTCATTCCACGAGTACCCTGCACCCACGATGCTTGAAGCACTCGAAGATCCGTTCCGCCCATCTGGTCCTGTGAGACCAACTTGGGCTGCGAGTGGCCGTCGACAGTACGGATACTAACAATGGGGTCATGCTGGTCGGAAGGGTTCCCGTAGACTATCACCATCAACGATCCTTTCATGGATGATCCGGTACCGATGGCAGTCCATCCAAGAGCGGACTCTCGAGGGATTTCCATCGTTAGGTACATATCGTGATGGTTCGAAGATACGTTGTAGTGCATCGTAACGCCCATGCAAAAGTCAACTTCAGATGGTCCATTTTCCCTGTGGCCGAATCGACAATACTGAACAGGCTCTGAGAGAACGAAAGCGGCGAAGAACAAGATTAGGACGTAAATAGATGTGAGGCGGTATCTATCAAGGTATCTATCAAGGCGAGTCATTTTGACTGGGAACTATCGCGTTTGAAGAGCCGTGATAGAGAGACATGAGGTTTGTGGAGGTTAATAATTGGGACATATCTCAATGGCTGATCCATGGGCCATGGAACCCTCTGACAGGTCTGTTGCCATCACGAACTAGGTGTTACACTAGTTTTGAAACCGAGTAATTATGACGACCATTTTCGCCCGGAATGGCAAGGCGTAGTCGTTCCTCATAAATGGAATGGGGAACCCATGCAGGGTCAGCAATTACTACACTAACAGTGTGACATCGAGTATGACGCTCAGCCAGCTCATTGCGATTACCATGTCAGCAGGATATGGTTGCGATGCAGCCAAATTATAGGGCTGGCTGGGGGAATTGGCGAAAGTAAATAACTGAAGGAACTAACTCTAAACCATTCAAGTGATAGGGTCGAAATGAATACGACGATGTATGAAATGAAGTTTATCCTAGTGCCCATGGATGTTTCGATTCTATGTTTCCTCTAGTACCAATCGATGAAACTAAGTCTAATGCCTCAAATTATTAAAAGGATTTTCTGTTCTCTTCTTCTCTTCATCTTGGCTACGGAATTACTATCTTTAGACATTCGATACGTACTGAAAAGCTCAGTCACGGTGCCTGCAGGCTGGTCGCGAAAATCATCTGTATCCACACATCGAGTTATTAGGGTATGCATTGGACTCAAGCAACATGGATGGGAGACATTCGAACAACATCTTATGGAGAGTATGTATTGTGTTATTGTCTGTTGTCTATCCCAGATATGTTAATTAATATAAATGTAGTCTCTGATCCATCTCACCCACGATATGGGAAGCACCTCTCTTCAAATGAAGTGAACCAGTTGGTTAAAGCTGCTCCGGAATCCTTAAACGCGGTAACTACGTGGCTTCAAGAAGCTAGTTCCTTTCCACCAAATTTGACATTATCCACTTCTGGAGACTTGGTATCATTTAACGCGCCGATTGAGGTAATTGAACGATTGTTTATGGCAAAGTATGCGGAATATCAACATGAGGATGGATCAACCATCATACGAACTTTGTCATGGTCCGTGCCTGCCGATCTAGTCAATCACATTGATGTCGTCGAGCCCACCAATTCGTTTTTCAAGCCACATGGACAATCTAGATATGGAGGTCCACCCCCACCAGATTGGGAAAACGAGCATCGGATCCCAACTTACGAGGAACTAGTAGAAGAGGATGTGTTAGAGCGAGGTCATCTCGACATCCCTCTAGCCCATGAGCTATCCCGGGCCCCCACAGTCAAAGAAGCATGCAATCGTCTGGCGATTTCAATCGTGTGTCTGAGTGTCATTTATGGAACATGGGGTTATCAGCAAAAGGCATCCACCAAAAATAGCATCTCATTGGTGAACTTCCTGGGGGAAGTCAACAACAGGTCTGACATTGACCTATTCCTGAGCCGTTATAACCCATCCGCTGCTAAAGCTAATGCGGCGTACCAATTTACTACAGAGATTGTAGCTGGAGGGGATGATCAACAAACGCCCAATACGCCAGAGCAAAATCGAGACAACAAAGGCTTCGAAGGCGCCTTGGACGCACAGACTATCCTCGGTCTCAGTTGGCCGGTTCCGATGACGACATATAACGTAGGTTCGAAGCCCCCTTTTCAGCCTATCGAAGACCATCAAGAAAATACAAATGAACCGTACCTGGCTTGGCTGCAGTATATGCAAAGCAAGGAGACTTTGCCTCACGTTATCTCTATTTCATATGCTGATACCGAGCAATCCGTGCCTCCAGAGTACGCCATGAGAGTGTGTAAGGAGTTTGCAAAGCTCGGTGCTCGCGGTGTCTCCATCATCGTTGCTAGTGGGGACTGGGGAGTAGGGAAAAATGAACGGTGCGTCCTGGATAACGGAAGAGGCAAGCAAAGGCGTTTTGCACCATCTTTCCCGGCTAGCTGCCCATATGTAACTAGCGTCGGAGCCACACGACTAGCGGGTTCCGAGATCGTAGGATTCGATGGTCGCGGAGATTTTGCCAGTGGTGGTGGTTTTAGTGAACTCTTCGAAAGGCCACGATATCAAACCCAGGCAGTTGAGAATTACCTGGACAATCTTGGAAATGAACATCAAGGGCTTTTCAATCGGAAAGGCCGTGGATACCCTGATGTTGCCGCACTGGGTTATCACTTCTCGGTGCTTTGGAACGGTCAAGCCCATCTCCAGGATGGAACCAGTGCTTCAGCTCCAACAGTTGCTGCCATAATCGCACTCGTCAATGATGCTTTACTTGACAAAGGGCACCCGCCACTAGGTTTCTTGAATCCGTGGCTCTATTCCGATGCCCGTGATGCATTTACTGACATCACCTGGGGATCCAATAGGGGGTGCAACACAAGTGGGTTCCCAGCCTTGACAGGATGGGATCCAGCAACAGGACTTGGTACTCCAGTGAGTAAACCCTAAATGCAATATTTTGCAAATCGAGTTAACATACCGTAGTGGTTCCCTAAGCTGAAAGATCTGGCGACAAAAGCGAGGTTTCGTGCAGATGAGCCATGGTATATTCAGCCTTGAGGGAGGGAATGCTTTTGAGTTTCAATGTTGTCAAGCTTATTGTCACGTGATTATATCAGTTGGTTTAATTAAAGTTTAAGCTCTTAAGTTAAATAAGGTTAATTGTCTCAGCACTCAACCATCATAGTTAACTAATTCAACCACTCAAATCTTATTTAAGTCAATGAAAATGGACCACAACAAGTAGCCCTCATTGAGCTGCTGTTATGAGAGAGCTATAATCCTAACATTTGCAAGAATAAACAAACTGAGATAGACTGATCTAGCCGGCGAAGCCCGCTCGCTCTAGCTAGTTCTGTCAGAAGAGTGAAAGTTTCGGGTACCTAGGCACTTGTCAGGTCTCTTGAATGGACATACCACGAATCTCTCCACTTACCGTATTTTGAAGTCGAGACAAATCCTTCGTGAGGACTGGAGTTAGGCCGCTCTCGTGAAGCATGTCTCGGATAGCTGTATGGGCTGATGATCTATCGTCATTAAGTGAGACGTCGGCTGCTGATCCCGAAAGAATATCAGGATCCTCGTGATTGGATATCCAAGGGCTATTTGTCGATGAAAAAGATGGAGATGCACGAGTGCGTGGTTGAGGTGACGCCCCGATGGCGCCCCTAAGTCGACTCCGGACTTCCTCTTGAAATAGCTCTTCTGCAGCTCGTATAACGATGTCGCGATAGCCGGCGGCTTCTTTTTTACTCCAAATCTTGGAGCTTTGGTGGACTTGGTTCAAGAGTCTTCCGAGCCGCCGTGTCCGTGAATGAAACTGTTCAGAAGCAAGAAGAGAGTCTTTTGGAAACTGGCCGATGTAATATTCAGCAACTACAGCATCCAGTGACTCATAACCCACCTCTTCGACGACCGAGAGACCCTTTTCCAATCGTCTCTCGCCGTCTCCGTCAGATGTTCTCCTTCGCTTGTTTCTACTACAATCTGTCTTAGTACCTGATGGGTCCGTTATTGTTGTTATTATCTCTTGTGAAAGGGATTGGAGAGGTTTATCGAGAACATCCGAGCCATCCATCCCTGTGCGAAATTGATGTTCATCATGATTCTCTGTGTCTTCAATTCGGAAGACGCCGCCTTTCAAATCGGGTGACCGCGATATTTCCGCTGGTTGGAAGTCAGGATTCTGGGAGTGACACCGGTCAGAAAACAATGGTGGCTGGATCTTGTCTAGAGAGTCCACTGGAATCAATCGTGGATCGGGCTGCGTGCTCAGTACAGCTGGCCCAAAAGGGGACGGATCGTTGCTATTGGAACCCCACTGATGGATGGCTTTCATTCCTCCCCGCCGATGATTGTCTCCCATAATATTTAAGAAGTTATCAGGAATGCTTGCAGCCTCCGAAGTGGTATGGGATGGCTGGCTTTGCATTGAGCTCTCTTGGAAGAAACTCGGCTCCCAAGTCGAATTAATATTGGTTAACTCGTCGATGATTTCTCTCTCCATACCCCTTGTTTCGGCCGCATTCGAAATTCGCCCAATTTCTTTGAAGAAATCGAAGCTATGTGTCGTTTGTTAGCATTAATTATATACCCCTTTGGACCACCTTGAAGGGCATTTCAGCGGCCATATATCCCTCGATTGGCTTGTGTTTACTTACTTGACGGGGTCGGCAACATTATGAGCCGGGCTCTGTGATATCCGTCTCTCCTGTGACGAAGCACTCTCTTCTGCTTGATTCGGATGAGCCTTATCGTAACTGCTTGTCCTATTCACACTTTTTCGCTTTGCTGCTGGATTTATTAGCAGCTCAAATTTACATGAACAACAGCGTTGTTGACTGTCTTAAGAAAGAAATAGGAAGATAACGATACCCTCTCGATGCCGCCGCTGGGCCAATCTGTTCTTTTCCCGTCGAATTTCCTTTTGGTTGCGTTCGATAGGTAACATTAGCGACAGCTCGCTTTTTTGGTTTTGTTCAGAAGTTTCGAACATGATTGTACTTAATCCACTATCAGGGGTACGACTCATACGATGTCTCATGATTACGTTAATTCTTCACCTTCTTTCTAACCGCTCAAGCTTTTACTTATAAAATACAGAGATCCCTCGAAACTAGGACCAGAAGACGAAGTATGCAAGACTCAAATATTTTCGACTCAACTGAATCAGGCACGGCTCAAAATCTCCTGCCATCTTCATGGGGCTGAACAGCTGCTTTCTCCGTATCAACCAATGGAGTTGGAAAATTTAGCCCTGCGCGCATGGCGAATATACCCGATATCAGCCAAACGCTATTTTGCAATGGGGAAATCAGTTCGTTGGATAGGAATGAAAATGAATGCAATATCCGCTGATTTTCAGCCTTCGGAACCAGAGAGCGTTTCGATGGTGCTTCTAGCAGCCGCCCTTAGGCTATCACACGACGGCCAAACCCCTATAGGAAGCTTAACGCTACTACGATTGTCTTTCCTTCCAATTATATAAATCGGATTTATGCACATGGTATGCGTGGAACATAACTCCATGCCCCCGCTACCACATATTTCATGTATAGAGGGATATGCTGGAATATCAAACGAGATTGGAAGATGAAACTCACCCACGTGTGCTTGATGATGCTTCCATGGAATGTGGACCTATTTCCGAATTCACCATTTGTGTTCCCCAAATGTAGGAATTATATGAAAAACGCGTATTAAAATCAGATAACTAAGTAGTGTTACGACCCCTTCCCGTGCGACCTCTGTCATTCAGCCGCAGATCTACCTGATTTTGTGGATAATTAATCACATTATAATTGGGGGCAATTTGAGGCAACATAAACACTCTTAAGATATTTAGAAGGCGAATCAAAGTTAATTGAATTGTTGGAGATGCCAAACTATGTATGATTCATTGTTGGGTTCAGCTGATTTCCAACCAAGGGTCTCTAGCGTCAGTGTCGTCGTTGGCAAAGCTTTTGCATGAACAGTGGGGTCCGGACAGTGCCTCCATCATCATGCAGCCAAAGATTGAAGGAAGTATCGACTCCATTTGTGACATGCGATTTTGCAAGTTTCCAGTATGGCGGCATCAAGTCAGTACTTTCTAGCTCTACTCCGGCAGGAATGAACCATCAAACACAGCAATTGTAAGCAGAGCCATCGTGGACCTGGTTACACAAAATTTCCAGCGCATTCAATCGGCCAGCATTCGGCCCATTGTTGAGCAGGGGGCGCCATTAATGCTGTTGCCTTGTATTCCAATTATATACGGTATATTAAATGATATGAGGCACTCTTATGTTCTTTCAGACCAACTTTAGATCTCTAACGATTCAATTCACTTTGGCAACCTGAATTCTGAACAATGGCGGCCACAACACCCCCAAAGAGCGATGTTGAGAAAGCAGCGACGACCGCACGGGAGTCTGGATGTGACGACAAAGAGGCTGAGGAGAATCAGACAAGCTCCCAAGGAGACCAAGATGAGCTACTGGTAACAGAAATCAGTTTTAATCCCTTAGATGAGATTCTTTCATTCATTCGCCTTGCTTACGATTGAATATGGACTCTCCTTGTGCAAATGGAAGCCAACATTTTCCTACAACATTACTAATCTGATTACCTGTATTAGGTGGACTGGGACGGGCCTGATGATCCCCAAAATCCGCTTAATTGGAGCATGTTCTGGAAATGGGCGGTTGCATTGTTAACCTCGTTCGGGGGCCTTGTCACTCTGATGAGTGGTGCGATGCTTGCTCCAGCCCTGGATTCCATCGGAAAGGACCTCAATACTAGCCCCGACACCACCAACATGTGTCTTTCCATCTTCGTGCTGGCCTTTGCATTTGGTCCCATGGTTTTGGCCCCTATGACTGAAATATTTGGCCGCCGCCATGTATGGATAGTTTGTTCAGCATGGTATGTCATATGGAACGGTGTTTGTGGCTTTGCAACCTCCCAGGGTTTGATGCTGTCCGCAAGGCTTCTGGCAGGGTTGGGAGCAAGTGCAGAGTTTGCTGTGAGTAATTGATCTCATATCTCCCTTTTGGACTACTTCACTGCTTATATGGTATCAAGGTGTCGAATCCAGTTCTAGGCGATACCTGGAGACCAGAGGAGCGGGGAAGGTCCTTTGCTATTGCAACATTTATCCCTCTCCTTGGGCCCGCCATAGGTCCAATTTTGGGGGGTGTGATCACTAATTCGGTCGGCTGGAGGTGGTTGTTCTGGGTTTTATCAATATTTGATGCAATTCTTACAATATCTGCTATCTGGCTTTTTCCGGAGTGCTACGAACAACTTTTACTTCATCGAAAAGCAATCAAGTTACGCAAAGAAACGGGACGAGCATACCATACCCGATGGGACATCCACAGCCAGCCTCTCACCCAAAAACTGAAGCGCAGTGTGGTTAGGCCAGTTTGGATGTTGGTTACACAGCCGATTATTCAACTGGTCAGCCTTTTCCTTGCTTACAATTTTGGCACGCTGTACTTCGTTTTGACGAGCTTTGCCTCTATCTGGATAACTCAATACCACCAGTCCGTTTCCGCTTCCGGGCTGCACTACATTGCTCTCGTGATCGGCTCAACCATTGGTGCCCAGCTTGGGGCAGCGCTCACAGATCGGCTATGGGCCTATTTGAAAAAACGAGCAGGGGGAGAAACTGCGCCAGAGTATCGGATTCCCTTGATGATTCCTGGTTCTATTGTCATCCCTATCAGCTTATTCTGGTTTGGGTGGACGGCAGAAACTATGCAGAAATGGATTGTAGTTGACATTGCTGCTGCAGTGTTTAATTTCGGGATCATCATGAGCACACACTCACAACAGCAGTATGTTATGGAGGCATATCGGGGTTATATGGCATCGGCTACGGCGGCAAGCCAGTTTTTACGAAGCATTTTTGCATTTGCATTTCCACTGTTCGCACCAGCGCTTTTCGCTCGACTAGGATACGGATGGGGACATAGTGTTTTGGCATTCGTTTTTCTGGGGCTAGGTCTTCCTTCCCCGTTTATTTTGTGGAAGTTCGGTGCAAAATTACGCGCAAAGGGTAAGCCGATGCTGTAGTTAGACCAGGGCTGAAGTTGACCTGGAAATAATCAGCTAGCTGGAGCGATAGAGATAACAAATAAGATGGGTAAAAAATGCCTGCCACAGACCGTAGATGCAATGAGCGCAGATGCAGTATTGTCTTCTGAATTGCCCATCAGCCGTTTGTTGTTTAGTTGCACAGCAGTAAGGAGATCTGGGTTGAAAAACTCATATGCACAATGACAAATAGTTAGCCACAAAGCAAGGGGTCCTAACAACCCTTGGTTAACTCCCTTTTTCATTCGTAGAACTAGTACTCATTGTCCCTTTAGGCCTATCATGCGGAAGGAATTTGCGCCATAAGAACCTTGTACGCAGCATATCCCTGATGGGGCAGTTCTGCCGTAGCGTAGATCAAAATTTTGGCGGATTGAAATGCTTCTTTGGTGCCTCTCGCACCCGGGGAAAGTGTCCCGCAGGTTGGTATATACGCGTTTTGTGAATGATAGTTTGTCCGCGACCACAGGAAACTTGGATTGATTGTTGGGGGCCATGGCTCTCTGAGAGCTGTGCAGTCTAGCTCCGTGATGTTTACGGAATGGGGCCGAGTCTACTCCGTACAGATGGAGCGATCGTCTGAGACTCGTCCATTAGGCGAGGAACATCTTCGTTCTTTTCCTGCTCCTCCTGCTCCGCTGGCGCCCCCCGGTGCAACAGGAGGTTCGAGCAGGCGCCTGCACTTCGAAACTCAGCTTCCAATATTTGCCTTGTTCAAGAAACCCTTGTGGGAAGTCATGGATAATTGTCCAGAGAAAAGTGATGTGATTATTGCTATTTCATGAGATAACATAGCGACTACAGCTGTTTTGACGCAACATAAGAAGTTGATACTAATTGGTAGTATGTCGGTGTCATCAGGGAAATTGCTACTAATAAGATTTATTTGCCTAGTTACGCTGAAAGCCTGCGACCATTTAAATATGTTGCCCACTAATTGCACCAATCTTGTCACCTTCGCCAGACGGATATGCGACACCTAAAAAGAAGAATATCAGTAATTGTACATCGTTCTTCTTACGTTTTAATAACTGCTGAAACTAGTCAATTCGGGCTTACCATAGGTAGGATGAACCAACCAACCCGGCTTCATCATATCAACTGTTCTTGCTTTTGTCCACTGATCCAACTTCTCCCAATTCACACATTGATGTGATGTGGCATTTGCGAGGGGAATGCGGCTACTGTCGTTCCATTCGAAGGTGATCAACCCAACATCGCCATGGCACATTGCAGATTGGCGAAGGAAGTCGATACAGTGTTCTAGAGAATATTAGAAAAAGAAAATTGAACGTTTGAAAGAACCGTGCAAGCGCGAGATTCGATCAAGGGTACTTACCATTATGTAGTCTATTCATTTCTATGTCGTTTGCAGACAAGCCCGGGAAATAATAATCAGGGTACATATACTGGTGGATACGTTTCAGGCAGTGGAGCTCATGATATACGTTTAGGGTGCCGATATAGCCATCACCGTCAGGGATGCGGACTGTGATATCCTCACGATCATAGTGCTTGATATATTCTGGCTCCACCATAATGTTCTCATCTGCACCAGAGGGTAAGCCACTGATGGGTCTATATGATCTCACTCTGAAATATATCCTTTGAAAATAGTTGGATTATGCATACAATTGAGTAAGTCATGCCAGGCTTTGTCTAGTTCTGCACTCGGCTTCCCCGAGAAAGACCCCTTTTCCGTGATCCGATCCTCCAGGCTGAATTGGGTGTCTTTCCACTCTAATATCTTCACTGCTGGGGCTTCCGAACGGTTAGCCTCTTAACAGCTATGTCACACACGCTTCAGTATATACGAGAATAAGAGGGGGATACCTACAGAAGGGCATCCCAGCTGCTCGGATCTGAGCTGTATTTTTGCTCGTCCACACCGCAATCAAACTGCCAATATATAGAGAAAAGAGCAAAATGTGAAGAATAATCATGAAACGGCCATTTTTCCAAAGAGGCCGTCGCGCAGCAAGCGTGTGATATCGTATTTCTTCGAGAAGACCGTCTTCTGATCCCTTTTCTTCAGATGGGCTTCTCTGGGAAGAACTAGGAGTTTCGAGGAATCTGTATGTGTATTGGCTTCCATCTTTGTGCCATTGAAATTGTCGAATTTTGGCGAAGAAAGCCATTATGGTAAACACATAAACAGAAAGCAGTTAATGTTCGAGATGTTGCTCTCACCTAGACAGTGGTTGTGTAGGGTTGGTAGATACAAGAGCAATTGAGGATGATTCTAATCAACAATCATTCTTAGGAGAGTAAATTTCCAAGCAACTGGGAGAGATGTATATCCGTCACTAATCCTCAGGGTAATAGCTTTACCACGAGCATAAGAATTGTGATATTTTGTCATTCTGTTGATTATTTTTAGACATGACCTCCTCAGCCCTGTCATCAACAGCTGCAATGTCATTGCAAATCATGACACAAGTGCATTATACCACAATGACATCGAACAACGGTTTTTTCCCTGACAGGATTTGCGTTCTTGAATTCTTATCCCCGAATTGAGTGAGACCCTGATCTTGAACAATATCTTTTTTTTTTTTTTTTTTTTTTAAAAAAAAAAAAGGTGATGCTTCTTTCAAGGTTAGCGTTTGAGTAAGATATCGAGGCGGATAGCCACTGTTGTGACTAAACAATAATGTATTTGGGGAGAGTATATGTTATCCTTAGCATAGGAGTGTGGGCAGTGCACACAACGACTGTGCCCGACTCGTATGCATTGAAAGAATCCCATCTGGCGCCGTCCAAATGGATTCGCGAATGCGCCGCGCCTCCATCGATGAATATCTCTCTTCAAATTGGTCTTGTGCAGGTCCGATTAAAGGAGCTGGAAAAGAGGCTTCAAGAAGGTCAGATGCTCTAGCATCCTCAATTTGGTCGCATAGCTTTGCTGAAATACTACCAGTCTCCGATCCACTCCACAAGAGATACGGCAAGTTTCTGACCAGAATTGAAGCAGCCAAGTTGCTTCACCCGGGTCAAGATGCTATCAACCGTACGCAAGCCTGGTTAGAAAATCATGGTATTTCGATTCATCGTCATAGGTTCAATGCCGCAGAGGACTGGCTAAGAGTCACCGTATCAATCGCGGAAGCCGAGCGTCTTCTTGATACCAAATATTATATCTATAGATATGGGAATAGAACTGCCGCTCGAGCAATGGAGTGGTCATTACCCCAATACCTACACGACGTGATTGATACCATCCAACCGACAACATCTTTTATGCGCCTGCCAGTCCACGTCAAAGCACGCCAGAATGAAGACCATGAGGTTACCGACCTCAATCAACTTGCAGAAGACGTGGCACCAGGTACCGGAACGGCTGTCGACTTGAGTAATATTCCACCGCATCTGACACCCCAACAAGCATGCAACGCCAGTGCTGTAACACCCCTTTGCCTTCGTACGCTATATGGAACCCTGTACTACAAGGCCAGCGCTAAACGAGGAACAAGAATGGCGCTGGTCAATTATTTAGGAGAGTTCAACAATAGATCTGATATTTCCCAATTTCTCAAAGTCTATAGACCAGACGCTCTTGCAGGAGCGGAAAGCTTTGAAGATATTAGCATAAATGGCGGTATCAACCAACAAAGTCTTGTAACAGATGAGCAATATACCCACGGTTCTGGGAGGGAAGGCAATCTTGACGCTGAAGTCATGATAGGCATTGCCCATCCAATTCCACTTACCACATACACGGTTGGAGAATCCGAGCCACCGTTTACACCGGACTCGTTCACTCCCACTAACACCAACGAGCCATTCCTGACCTGGTTGAACTGGATTCTAGACCAGCCTGACTCGGAGCTTCCCAGCGTGGTCTCCACTTCGTATGGGGACATCGAACATACAGTTCCAATTTCATACGCACGCCGAGTTTGCAACGGTTTTGCCCAACTTGGTGCACGCGGGGTCTCCGTTATAATGGGTTCGGGAGATCATGGCGTTGGTCATCCGGGTGACTGTTATTCGAATGACGGCCTGTTTACCCCCGAATTCCTTGTGAGCTTTCCAGATTCTTGTCCATGGGTAACGTCTGTCGGGGCTACAAAGGGTATCCAGCCAGAAGTTGTTGCAGTAAACAGCCGTAATGGATTCTCGTCAGGCGGAGGATTCAGCAATTACTTCCCTCGTCCGGATTATCAGACCAATAATCCCCATAGTGTTGCACGATATCTTTCTAAGATTGGGGGCCTTCACTCTGGCATGTTCAATCCATATGGGCGTGCAATCCCCGATGTTTCCACACAAGGCTATCGCTATGTCACCATTTGGAACGGCGAGACAAAGCTCGTTGATGGCACATCAGCTTCAACCCCAACATTTGCTGCCGTTGTAGCTTTGGTAAATGATGCGTTGGCGGCGGAGGACAAGCCACCTCTAGGGTTTCTAAATCCATGGTTATATGCGGAGGGATACAGAGCATTTCGGGACATCAACGAAGGCACAAATGGAGGCTGCAATACAACTGGCTTTCCAGCTTTGCAAGGGTGGGATGCAGCTTCCGGTTGGGGCACGCCATGGTTTCCGAAGTTCAAGGAGTTGGCCTTGAAGAGAAGATCGAGAGAGACTCGACCCTGGTATATCCAGTGGTTCTTGTAGAATAATGTCAAGCTGGGCAATGTTAACTAACTAGAGAATATGTATTAGTCATCCAATTTCGATTTTTAGTGTCAGCTGCAGCCATAGAAGCTGTTGCAGAATTGCGCAGCACTCCTATCCTTCGATAGGTTTTTTGGTCAATCTAATCCTCCGCTTGCTCGTCTGAGTGTGCTGTATGTTCGAACTACTCAAGTGCCTTCTCGCAATTTTATTTTCTTATATTATTTATTGTCCAAGGCGTTCATTATTGGTGGTGATTTTCTTTAAGAGTCCCGTTTTTGAATGAAGAGCGGAATAAATCCTGAAAATGAATGAGCAGTTTAATTCCAATTTCTTTACGGAGTAAATCTCCTATAGTTATCCGAAACCAATTCAACAACAGAGCAACTATTGGACTTTCCAATATCCTTATAACTTCAACATGTGGTTGAAAGCCTGAAAACAAATGATATCCCGATTCATAACTGAAAGACAAGATACGAACTTCTCCAGCTGCCGCCTCTTCCAAATTCTGTGGAAATCTAACTATGGCCTTGAAGGAATGGCGGCAATAAAGTCGTGATTGCCAAGTTTTTAGGATCTTTCGATAATCAGACATTCTGCACAGAAGGGCTGCATTTCAATTGCGCTTACCTTAGTCAACCACATATCGGGTGGCAGCATCGGCGTCAGAACGCTTGTCCACAACATATCGAGTGGCAGCATCAGCATCCGAGCGCTTGTCCACAACATATCGAGTGGCAGCATCAGCATCCGAGCGCTTGGCTACCATATTAAGGACCGGCAAATTAGCTTCCGAACGTGTGTCTATAATTGTTTTGGATGGTGTTACTCCTATGGAGTGGCAGAATAGCCATGGTAGGTAATGATATATATCTCACCTGGGGAAGATGGAGCTCCAGCGACTAGGGTCGCGAGAAGAGCCATGACGGGCAAAATGTTCTGGAGCTGCATGGTGAATTTCGGCTTGCTGGATATTTTTTTTAACAAAGGAGGCACTTTCGAGCTTCGAATGGCAGATCTTGGGGCGGAAAGCAGTAATGTTGAACTACATTCCATGTGTTTTGGCTCCTAGGGCTAATCTAACATTTATTTATATCGCATAATTATGGGATGCATACATATCTCGTGCTTTGACAACTGAGTGCGATTGTGTCATACCATAGGCTTTCTGAAGTCTTCGTTAGACCAGTATTGGAAACCTCAGGCACAGTTCAGCTACATTGTGCAGTCATCAAGTTTTGGCTTGCATCCTTGAAAAACCCTACTGACTGCGCATAACTATCGATGACATCCTCAGTTGTCATGATGTTTACGTGCAGCCTTCTTCCTTTTTGACGTTCATCAATGACTGACATAGGAAGTGGATTGTTTGATTGGTGGAAGGGCGACCATGTGTAACCGGCATGAAAAACTCAGCGACAAAACTGTCAACACCTTGTCAAAAATGATTGCATCATGGATCCCTGTTTCTGGGTCACCGCTCTACTGCAAACACGACATGAAAGAGATGTGGGTGGTCAAGATTTCTATCTGGCAGAGGGGGGTCATATCAGACCCGGGTCTGAAACTCCAGAAAAAAAAATCAATCACTCACTTCGAAACCCATGCAAGATGCTTTTGAGTTTTTCTCTCTCCTTCATTTTCAATTATCCTCCTACTCTGGGAAAAACCTCTTCCATGAGTCGGTTTACCATTTAAAATAAAATGGATTATACGAAACAGAGAAGTTCGACCGATGACTCGTTATTACCTTCCTCCACAGAGAGTGCAGAAACAACCGACACGTTACTCGAAAAGTCTACATCTCCCTATCGTGAAAAGACACTACCATTTTGGCGGGAACATGTTAAAATTGTCATAGTAACGGGCACGGCATTTTTCTTCCTTTTCGCTTTCAGTGCAATCCTATTCGAGAGCAATAGAAAATTGGAGAAACAACTGCAAAGCAGCTTAGTTTACTGTTAGTATTCAACTGGATTCTACCTTGATTCCTGATCTTTCTCTCTATATGCTAAATTGTAACGTTAGCGCCCGCGAATGAGGCTTTGAAATGGACCGTCGTTGAATGGGTGCATGATGACGGTGCCCAAGGAGATTACGTGGGTGAGCCACGGCCTGTGCTTGAAAAGGCTTGGAGAGACATCTTCGATAGTATGTTCTCCCACCCCAGCGCCTGTTGGGCTGTATGCCTACGGAGGAATAACCCTATCCAAGTTATGAATGTGAGGTTATCGAAACAAGATCTGGTGGCAGTGGGGCGCCTCAAGGATGCTGTCGCTTTACCAGATGGTTCCGGGTATGCTGGAACGCTGAATGTCTTTCACGAACTACATTGCATTGTAAGTTTACTATACCCGCCTTTTCAATCCCTAGCTTGAAGAGAGCGAATGGTTTACTGAGCATATGGCCATAGTGGTGGTTGTACAAATATGTCCATAAAGATCACTATTTCGAGGGTGCCACGCCTCACGAACAAGCAATTATGAAACTCCATTCTCGTGAGTGCCCAAGTTTTATAACATATACATATATAATACACAAAAAGCAAAGGCGAGACTTGGGATAATCAACTAACTTAGTCCCGTGTACTGTATTGGTTCCGTAGACCACTGCTTAAACTATTTACGGAAATCCGCAATGTGCCATAGCGACGTGGGTATCATCACCTACAACTGGAAGCAGGGCTCCCTAAAACCAAAGGCCACCGCGACGACCCACCAGTGCGCTGATTGGAGCCGCATCACCCAATGGTCAAGCTCAAGGTCGTTCAATATGACGGTACCGGGCTACATAGTAAATCCTAGCCTAGGTTGGTGTCAATCGCCATTGACTGTATTTCGAAAAATGAAAAATGAAAAATATTAACTGACCGTTATTCTGTGTCAATAGGGCCTATAATCAAAGAAGGTCAAGAGGAGGGATTGGCTGTGGGGATACCGGAGCATGATGTCGATGTAGATGTTGATGCCCTTAGTTAGAATTAAAGTGGTCTTGATCTTTATAGTTTGTTACATTCAAGGTATTTTTTACATTTACAATGGAGAACCAGATGTGAGCACAGCAGATGCTAGCGGAGAATTAGAAGCTGTTGGACATGAGCCGACCTCCTGTCTACCAAGTAGATACACTTTGGTATACAAATTTAGGACGTGGTCATCTCGTCTTTCCATCGGCGCCTAGCAGAAGGCATAAATCAATAATATATATATCATTTCCGAGCTATAAAAACAACATAAAGGGAAATAATAATTTCATAACGCTCAGTCTATTCTAGGTCTACCGGTTTTCTCGTTACTCATCCGGGGGTTGTGGGTAAATGAGAAAAGTCATCTATCAACACCTCCCAGCAGGACATCCAACTCTCGTCCCCAACCTCTCCCCTCCAACCCCCAACACAGAAAGTAACGCATTAACCGTCCCTCCAATGCCTTCACCAGCCATAAACCCCGCCGCAACCGCATATCCAAACGCCTCATACCCCAACGGCGCCTTCCAGTGCCACACCACCGCCACCAGCGAGCCGATAAGCATGGCAATCCCATACTGTGGCGACGGCAACGTAAACGCCATGGCTAAAATCATAACGTTGGGGTGGTACGCACGCATCCGCTCCCATTTCCCCACCCACACGCTGTGCCGGATGATTATCATTAGGACGCCGATGATGGCCATTACGATGGAGAAGGTGAGAGAGGTGTGCGGGATGGGTAAAACGGGCTCTGTGGCGGCTACTGCCACTGCGCGCCAGGCGGCGACGGAGGGAGAGGAGAATTCGCAGGCGTTTGTGGGGGTAGTGGTGGAATTGTTAGAGGTGGTTGGAGGGTTGTTTTCAGTGGAGAGGATGCAGGGGTAGGCTGTTGCGAAGATGAGGAAAATGGATGGGGCGAAAAAGGTGGCGAAGAGGGTTCCTATTAGCTGTGCTGAGTACTGTAGTCGGGGTGACGTGCCCAGGAGATATCCGACGCGGAAGTCGCCCATGAGGTCTGTGTGGGGTTATTGAGTCGCTGAAAATTTATTCAAGAATGGGGGTAGCACGTTTTTGTATAAGAACATACCACAAGCTTGACTCCCGCCAATATTAGTCAGTGCACCGCCTAAGAGGTTCAGGCGTTGGGAATTTTGAACGGTTTGGTCTCTCGTTGTGCTGCTCAAGGTTACCTGAGACACTTTGGAGAGGATACCAAGAGGTGTAGTGTCTGTGTAATAAATATATTTCTGTTAGATCCCTCTAGTTGTTTCGGTACCATGAAGGACTCGGTCAAACTCACCAGTTGCCCCAGTTGCTTGAATAGCCATGAGGGACAGTATGAAAGCTAGGAAAAGAGCAAACAATGACTCCGAAACTCTCATCCCAAACTGGTATTTCAGGACTGGACAAGCCACAACGATAACAAAAACTAGACCCGGAAGCCACATCCATACTTTGACACTATCCTTTGAATCGTCCGCGGCGCCTTCGTCTTTTTCCGTCATCAGGGTATACCGATGGTTTCCGTTTCGCAGTTGGGACAGAATGTTTGATACTGCTCGAGTGGAGTCCCGACCAATAATCCAAAACACACGCCATTGACAAGCAAGTTCTGCAAAAATTAATACACTAATTAGCCGAGAACGCTGTAACTACCGGATTCGTATTTCTTCATACGCACCGGCAAGAGCCACTGCTGCCATTGTGATCACGCCTGGCCATAAAAGCCAATATCGCGGGCTTGGGTGAGAGGCCGTTGCAAAGTCCTTAGAAAGGGACGAATAGGACATCAGACTCGACCATTTCGAGTCTGTAGACGCTGGCTCTCCAAAGGCCAATCCATGCCTTACTAGATACGGGCCAATGATACCCCTAATGCTTAGTTAGTAACATTGCGTAGTGGTATGTGGTGCCGTGAGCCTTTCAGGTTAACTTACCACGCCAACACCGATCCGGCGGTAAAAGAAACAGCAACGTTGATTCCCACGAGCATCCCAGAGCCGATGAATGCAGGTGTCCATTCAACAATCCAGCCCCAGCTTTCCATAGACATGGCCCACTCGACAAGAACTCCGCCGCTGACTAGCCAAGTAAAAGGATGCCAGTCCTGAACGGATTGGAGGGTGAGTCGAAGAAAATTCATACTTAATAGATGCAAGCAGGAAAAATCAAAAGAAAAACAGCCAGGCTTACCCACAGAATCCCAATGGCATACTGGGATGCAACACGCAAAAGCACGGCGAATATAAAAGCGTAAAGCAACGCTGCAAGTTTGTGCCGGGCCATAGATGCGCCGCTGGCGGCTTGGTGCATACTGCGAATAGTGATAGCAGTAGCAGAGGACGACGGAAAGATAAGATTAAGTTCTCGAGCTACCTGGACCAAGAAGAAGTTCCGCACTAGAGAAACGACCATCAGTTTCTCTAGACTTGACCGATAAAACAAGGAGAACATGCCAAAGTGGATGGATAGCACGTACGTGGCGCAATGGTCAAGAGGCCAAAGTAGCCCCCAATGGCAGTCAAAGTCGTAATTCGAAAGAAATCCTTCACTGGGACAGAAAGCAGCCCCAACTGATACAGCGCAGGAATTGCAGAGACGAAAACATTGGACAATCCCCCTGCTGCCGTGGCAGCGGTTTGGACAATGTTGTTCTCATGGGGACCAAAGTTGTTCTGGGAAGTATACTTTGTCCACGATTTGAGGACAGCAAAACCCACAATTGACTAAATATGACACGGCGCTTAGAAATATATTTTGCCTATGGCTCAAGGAAGCAGTTGTGTAACCTGCAAGGGCTTGACAAGCTGTACTCACCCCGAAAATGTTAGCCGAGGTCGTCCAGCCTGCTTTGAGCCCAAGATAAATATTGGAGGCGTTCACCAATGCTCCACAGAGGCATCCAATGAGTAATGCGCGGAATGTGAGAATTGGATTCGGATCATGATGCATGTCTGGGAAGGGGGCGAATTTGTCCTCAGTGAGCTCTGCTCCCTCTGCACCGATGATCTCTCCTTCGGGCGAGTTCCCGCCGGCTGATCGTACATCATCATGATAATTATTATCTTCTTCTTCTTCTCCAGGCTCGGGGCTCCGCCAGGGAATATCCTGAAGCTCAGTCTCACTTGAGCTCTCTGGCAAGGCAGAATAGCGCGGGTTTGATGTTGGCGTTTGGCGCATCACAGGAATCAAGCAAGATATATAGATAAATATATATAGATGCAAACTATATTAAGACATCCTTGACGGGTGCCCTAAATATGAAAATTAGGGGATCAGCCTCTTGGTTTGGGATGCTCTACACATAAATAGCTGCCCGCTTGATGTCGAACCCCATATCCATTCGATGCTTAGTGACAGAGGGTCCTCGCCATTCCGTGGGAGCACAAGTGGCCAAAGGACAGCTAAATGTTTACTGTGATGCAAGATTGTGGCTTGATGCTTGGCCTCCTTTGTTCTTGGCGGATTATCGTTTAGCCGATGTCATCAATTCTTCGCTGCTGACACTGCATAGGGACCATAGTTATCAAACCTGGCAATGTAGGTGACACTACGACCTAGCTAATATTAAATAGATCTGACTGCCAAGTCTGTTTCTCAACAGGTATTGGTGTTACGCCAAGTTGACATGAACTCCAGGCTCTGTTCTGGCCTCTATATGCTCCTCCTATTCCTAGGTGGAAATTGTTGGTAGAGAGAAGCGAGCTTCTGAAAGTCCCAAAATACTAGCGCAGTGCTAATGGAGGCCACGAGGATATCACTCCCGCAGTAATAATTTAAGAATTGGGAATATAGTTAACTATTTGGTTTTGCTTATGAAATTCCGGACTACAATATCAACTGGTTAAGGCTACTGCAAGATGTGTTCCAGGAATTAGCTGGATACTAGTAGTGATAGAGAAGGGGATGATGTCAAGGAGGAAATCATCCAGACTATGTGGGGTATCACTCTCCATACAACGTGATGCCCCATCTGAGCTCCAGCACTCGACTCCTGCAGCTGCAGCGCTTGTTAGCTGCGTCGATGATCACTTAAGAACTGGGTTCCAACTTCCAACTTCCAGGCCCAAGTTGCCATGGTTCCCTTAGAAGCTTGCCGGGTCACGACCTCCTACCCCGCAGAGTTCCCAGCTTCCCCTCAACCTCGCTACTTCCACCTCAACTCTCCACTGACTGGACAACCCCCAGATTGTATTCTTATATCTTAATGTCGTCGAGTGGGATCCTCTATCACCTCCTATAAAAAAGACCCACTTTCCAATTGACTTTGCTCGAAGCTAACCTTGCTCGAAGCTACAATACATACTCATCTAACCAGCTAACTAGCCATGGGCGGAGACAGCAGGCTTCCATCCACTTCCTCCTATCCTACTCTGGTGCATCGTCCTGTTGGCCAGAAAGTTTGGAGTATTTATAAAGACCGCCTCCGTCAATTTACTGATGGCGGACAATACTCGGGACAAAACCTAGTAGCGTACGATTGTTCCCCACTCACTTTCCCCCGCCTTCCACCTAGTTTATTTGAATACATACCTGCAAAGCTTCGATGAGGGGTTTTGTTCTTTTTTTTGAAGCTATTGGCTTATATAGTAATGTGTGTTCTTTGTTGGTTTATATAGCAAATACTACGAAGCCACAAACGATGATGAACAGCATGTCAAGCTCTCCGTTTACTCGGTGCCAAACCTGGCCAGACCCAGCTTTAAGGAAGCTACCGCCAATAAATTCAAGCCTACCAAACGAGGCGAGTCCTTTGGTCCAAGTTGGTCAACCCATTGGTTCAAGATCCAGCTCACGGTGCCAGAGGAGATGCGTAAAAAGGAGCGACTGGAGTTCCACTGGGATGCAAACAACGAGGGGATGGTTTGGACGGAGGATGGGAAACCTTTGCAGGGCCTGACAGGCGGTGGTGAGAGGATTGAATGGATTTTGCCTGACAGTTTCAGGGATGGAAAGGAACACGTCTTCTATATCGAGATGGCCTGCAATGGAATGTTTGGAAATGCTCCAGGAGGCGACTCTATCCAACCTCCCAGCCCCAACAAATATTATAGACTTAATGTGGCGAGGATCACAGCTGTAAACTTACAGGCTAGGGCGCTTTATTACGATTTCTGGATGATAGGAGGTATGTATAACCCTAATTAATTTTACTTGAAGGAAGTGGGAAACCGACTGAAACGCTTCAAGATGCTGCACGGGAATTCCCTTCGGACTCGTGGCACTCCCATCAGGCCTTACAAGTTGCAAATGCCATAATGGATGCCTTTATCGAGGGCAATGGCAGCCAGGCGTCGATTGTGAAGGGCCGCAAAATTGCACAGCAATACCTGGGCAACTTAGTGGATTCTGACAAGGTCTACAAAACTGACAAGCAGCCGATTGTTTACGGCATTGGCCATTGTCACATAGATACCTGTTGGCTGTGGCCATGGGCGGAGACAAGACGAAAAGTGGCCAGGTCCTGGTCTACCCAGTGCGATTTGATGGAACGTTATCCCGAACACCGCTTTGTCTGTTCTCAAGCACAGCAGTTCAAATGGCTGGAAAAGGACTACCCTTATGTATTTGACCGTGTCAAATCATTTGTGAAAAAAGGGTCCTTCATTCCAATTGGTGGAAGCTGGGTAGAGCATGATACTAACATGCCCAGTGGAGAGTCCTTGGCTCGTCAGTTCATCCATGGCCAGCGATTCTTTGAAAGCCATTTTGGCGAACGCTGCACCACTTTTTGGCTGCCAGATACTTTTGGATACTCATCGCAGATTCCTCAACTCTGTCGGTTAGCCGGGATGAGCCGTTTCTTCACTCAGAAACTCAGTTGGAACAACATCAACAAATTCCCTCATACGACTTTTAACTGGGTTGCCTTAGATGGTAGCCAAGTCCTTTGCCACATGACTCCAGCAGAGACGTATACAGCCAGCGCCCACTTTGGAGACGTCCGCAGGAGTGTCCTGCAGCACAAATCGATGGATCAAGATAATACCTCACTTCTAGTCTTTGGAAAAGGTGACGGCGGTGGTGGACCGACTTTTGAACATCTCGAGAAGCTGCGGAGACTTCGCGGTATGAGTGATACAGGCGAACTCCTTCCCCGTGTCACAATGGGTTCCAGTGTGGATGATTTCTTTGCGAAACTTGAAGAAAAAGCTGCCAATGGAACGAATTTTGTCACTTGGTATGGGGAACTATATTTTGAGCTCCACCGAGGGACATACACAACTCAGGCCAACAATAAATTCAACAATCGTAAATCCGAGTTTGTTCTGCGTGACCTGGAGTTGCTTGCCACGCTAGCTACGCTGAAAGACTCCAAGTATAAATACCCCAAGAAAGATATCGATGATATGTGGGAGAGCGTTCTACTCTGCCAGTTCCATGACTGTCTTCCTGGAAGTTCGATTGAGATGTGTTACGATGACTCCGATAAGGAGTACGCACAGATATTTGCAACCGGGTCAAAGTTAAAAAAGGAGGCGATGAAAGTTCTTGGATTAGATTCTCAAGATAGCAGAGCGGACCGTGGGCTTGTGGCTATCAACACTCTTCCTTGGCCTCGCTCAGAGATCGTGAGAGTTGACGAAGGGATCTCAACCTCTGGAAAATCACAATATGCACTCGCCCAAGGAGGTATGGGGGTCATTGCTGTTCAGCCTCTCGGATCTGTTCAAACACCTCCTGTTTCCCTAAACGAAGTGAAAGCAGGGGTGTTTAGGCTTTCAAACTCGAAAGTATCTCTCGAGGTGTCCAAAGGGGTAATCACCTCTCTCATCGATCTAGCGGAGCAAAGAGAGATTATCGCAAAGGGTGGAAAAGCTAACCAGCTAGTGATCTTCGACGATAAACCTCTTTACTGGCAAGCGTGGGATGTTGAAGTCTATCATCTTGAATCCCGGAAGGAATTGACCTCTGGGACAACTACAATCGCAGAGAATAATCCTCATCGTGTTGGTGTTGAAACGAAGACTAATATCAGCGACAAGAGCTGGGTGAAGACAACAATTAGCCTAGCCGCCACTACTGACGACTCAGCTCCGATAGTGGAGATAACCTGTGAGGTAGAGTGGCAAGAAACTATGAAGTTCCTGAAGGTCGAATTCCCCGTTGATATAACGAACACTGAGGCGTCGTATGAAACACAATACGGAATAACCAGAAGACCAACACATTATAACACTAGGTATGTACCCCCATTATCCAAAAGCACCTGCACATATGAGTTACTAATAGTAATCTTCTTCCAGTTGGGATATGGCCAAATTTGAAGTATGCTGCCACAAATGGGCTGATCTTTCCGAGGCTGGCTACGGCGTCTCAATTCTCAACGACTCAAAGTACGGTTTCGCGACATGTGGCAACTTGATGCGCTTGTCTCTGCTCCGGGCACCAAAAGCTCCCGACGCTCACGCAGATATGGGTCGACACCACATCCGCTACGCAATCATGCCGCACAAAGGACCCCTTGACTCCCGCACCGTCCGGGCAGGATACAATTTCAACAACCCACTAATCGTCCAGGCAGCAACTGGCAAAGAAGACGCCCATCTTTTCAGCGCCTTTTCTCTCAAAGGCTCTTCGTCTCTAATCCTTGACACTGTCAAGCGTGGAGAGGATGATCAAGATGTCTCCCGTGGGGACTTCAAAGTTCGTTCTGGACGCAGTATTATCCTGCGCATCTATGAGTCTCTGGGTGGGAAAAGTCGCGGCTCTATTTCGTCCAAGTTGCCTGTTAAGCAGGTGTGGAAGTGCAATTTGCTTGAGGATGATTTGGAGCAGTTGGAAGTGGTGCAGATGGCTGATGCGGTGCAGGTGGATATTGAGTTAAGGGCGTTTGAGGTTGCGACGTATCGGTTGCAATTGTAAGGGCGGGCCAGTCTTGCTGGAGTGTATTAGTGAATTACACTTTGTTGAGACATGGGTTTTGAGTCAGCTGCGATGTGTCATGAAATGATTTGATTGACATTATATGCCAATGCTTCATGAATATATGATGAGAGAAGGGTGAACTTGGGATATGCTTTTGTGAAGGTGGCTAGCCCTTCCATGTCTTGATTTCGACGTTCCCCTTTTTCCAGCGATAATTCAAAGTTGGGGTTTTAAATTGAGGGCTAAGTTCACATCGTTGATTTGGAGCAGGGTTATTGGCTATCTTTGGAGGACCTCAGTGCCTGAAGTGCAATAATCAAGAGTTGCGACAGTCTTTTTGCTCTTGGAAACGTACTTGGGTATATGGATGTTGCTTGTCTTTTGGGACAGAGGGGGGATACCTGTGACCTATTGTTCGGGGTAAAGAATCACCTTAATATAGATGCTTTTGGAAATACACATCGTTATCAGAGCACACGATCGCCTAGAATGAGAAGTTGCTGGGGCCAGTTCGCTACTTTATTGCTATCATCAGGAATGAGCAAATGAATTCAGCAATATACATATATATAATATAGAAAGATCCGCAACGTGATTTTCGCAGCAGATACCAGTCTGTGGCTCAGCGTGTATTAGCAATTGCGAGAGGAGAGCCAGAGAAACGAATTATATATATATATATATAAGCTATAAATTTGGCGTCGAGGAAGTATAACTTTTTATTTAGACATCGTAATGCTTGCACCCTCCCTCCCATGCACGCACTGTTTAGCAAAAATCGACTGTCTCTATATTTGGTGTTGATGACCGTCGAGTACAATAAATATACTTGCTTCCAAATTCCTCGCAAAAACATTCCCCATGAGAGGGGAGGGGGGAAAAAAAAAACTCCATGATTCAGTGACCTAACGCCCCAGGGGCCCTGGCAGGGTCCAAACCCATTCCCATCCCTAAGAAATAAAAAAAAACCCTCCAGACAATGAAAACAGAAATCACCTCAAATATAACCCTCCCCTGCAGCACATTCCCTCCCTCACTCCCGCCCGTACGTAATCTTCAACCTCTTCACTGGCGGCTTATTACCCCCAGACTCAGCATCATCATCTCCATCCCTCTCCCGTCCCCTCGCGCCCCCAGCCCCATTACCCGAATTCGCATCATTTGCATTTGCAGTTGCATTAACGACTGAATTTGTATTTGTACTCGTGTTGGCATTAGCATTAGCGTTGGAAGTGGCGCTGGCGTTTGCGTTCGCGTTGGCAATCGTCGCGGCGGATGATTTCCTGTTTTTTTTATTCGTGCTCGTCTTCACGGTGTTGGGGGCGGGTGGATTGCTGTTGCTGCTGTTGTTGTTGCTGATGGCGTTGGAAGTCTCTTTATGGTCTCTAGTGTTGTTGTTGCTGTTGTTGCTGTTGTCTCTCTGAAAGCCTGGCATGGAAGCGGAGGTGGGTGTCGGGGCGTGGGAAGGGGTTGTGTTTGTGCTGGAGGGAGCGGGGGAGTCCTATGTCGTTTATACATATACACACACATGGTTAGCCCAGGGCATATGGTAAATTGGGTGGGGTCGAAGAAATAGCGGGGAGGTAGATAGAGAGCAGGAATAGAGACAGATGGGGGTTGATGGCCAAGCTCATACGCACCCTCATAAAACTAGCTGAACTCCTCGAGAACACCCGGTCGGCGTCTTGGACCGCTGATTTTCTTCGTGTGGTTGGGCCTCCTGTGCCGCTGCCACCAGTCATCGATCCAAGGCTGCTTCCGAAACCTATGCCTGACCCGCCAGAGGAGCCTTTGATATAATTGTCGAACCCTTTAATTATGTTTCCCGCGCCGGTTTCTTCGAGGTAGGATTGCTCGAAGCGGTATATCGATTCTTCTAGGGCGGCCTGGTGTAGAAGTTAGCAAGTTTTCGTTCCTCTGGTCATTTTTCTGCTACTCATATTGCAGGAGAAGAGAAGTGTCAGGAAATAATGAGCGACGCAGACAGGATAACTACTACCGGTGGTGGCAGGTCAGCATGGGTTCCATACCATGTTCTTATCCATTAGCCGCTTCTTCTGTATTGTCTCTCTCAGTTCGCGTCTAAGCTTCTCATAATATGGGATCCCGCGACTCTGCACTTGTTCCGACCCAGAAGTAGCCGGGACGCCATTAGGGCCGGTCGCGCCAGCAGTGGTTGCGGGCGGGATATTTTCCGTCATGAAGGGTCGGTTAAGCGTAGAAGGGTTGGGTTTTTTTTTTTTTTTTTTTTTTAAAAAAAAACTACACTCAAAATCCGGCGATTGGACTCAAAAAGGGACGTTTAATAGTGTCAAAGCCAGGAGAAGGAATGGTGGTCAGTGGATGGAGAGCGGCCGAACAAAAACTGACGTCTTTGATTTTGTTCAACACGAGACAGCCTGTTTGTGGTGTTTGCACCGCCAGCGAATGTTAAATCTGCTCAAAGCTGCTCAAGGATATGCAGCAACATGTCAAGCTAGGTATCTCTGTCCCACCTTGGCTTGCTCAAATACTTGAGAGTCGGAGCAGGAGGGATAGCTATATAACAAGAGGGATTCCCCTTTGAATTTGATATATTCGTCCTCCTACGAAGCATTCCCTTGTCGCCCCGGAATAGCTCTCCAGCACTAACCTACGATCATATTCTGAAGCCATGGACCACTCAATGCATCATGCCGGGATGGATGGCCATGGAGATATGGACATGGGTGGTCAATGTAGCATGAATGTATGTGCAGATATATATGCTCGCTCCCCGTGTTTTACCACCAGGCAATGATGCACGGATGGTCGTTTATTGACTAACTACTGGTACTAATAAATGATCTAGATGCACTTCACCTTCTCCTCACACAACCTGTGTATAATTTTCAAACAGTGGCGCATAACAGGGCCCTTCTCCCTTATCTTCTCACTTGTTGCCATTGTGCTCCTGACCGCTGGCTACGAGGGTATTCGCGCGATGGCACGCCGCTATGAAGCACGGCATGCATTGGCGTTGAAGGATAGCCCCATACCGGCTGCTGGAGGATACTCATCCGGTATGTTGTTGGATTTCTGTGCTAATTTTTTTTTTTTTTTCGCTTTTTAATTTTCCATTTCTATGTATCTGCGCCACGGGTACATATGTTCCATCCTTTCCGAAAGCCTCCCCGTATAGAGGAGTAGAGAAAGTGTGTGCACATGTGAAGACATAGCACCTATTTCCCAACCCACAAAAATAATCAATTCCGTGGAGGCTCAAAATATCTTTCTGAAACAATGAAGATGTCGAGACGCCAGATGTTATCAATGACAGTGACAACGCGCTGCCCACTCCCAATGCCCCTCTCCTTTCCAACAACAACAACACCACCACCAACGGTGAAACAGCTGGCTCACTGCTCTTCGCAGCGCGGATCGAGAGGAGGCGGAGGGGCAAGCTGCTTCTTGCGACCTTCTACGCTGTGCAGGTCTTTTATAGCTTTATGATCATGTGAGTAACCCCCAGCCTTTTCTTTTCCGATGGGGCTATGGATTTAGAGCAAAAATGAATTGATATATGTTTTTGTTTTAATTTGCAGGCTTCTTTTCATGACATATAACGGTTGGGTTATGCTGGCGGTGGCTGTCGGGGCGTTTATGGGGTACATGGTTTTTGGAGGTGAGGCGACTAAGTCTGTTTCTTGTCATTGATCCTTTCCTTCTATATGCTGGATTCAGATCCCTCTCTTTGGTATGAAGTTTATTCGGTCGCATATGAATATACATACATATATATACCATACGTTCCGAATGGCCAGTGCGAATTGCAATATGTAGCCTTTCGTTTGCAATGTTCACAGATGCTTGCTTTTGTATCTTTAACGGATTTTGTGTGTATATACACTCTAGTAACCGATGAACACGTCCATCTCGTATTCATTTCTGTTTTTTTGAAAGAGATACGCAGGTAATACCGTTCCTGACCTCCCCGAGTCAGGGAACTTCAATATCACTCCCATCATCTCCAAATCCAAAACTAAACGCAACCCCCCCACAAGTCTCACCTTCACCCTCACCATCCCCATGCACAGGACCCTTAACAACCTCATCCCATTTCCTCTTCCTACCCTCCTTCTCTCTTTCCAGCTCCCTCAACGCCTCCTCCACCAAGTCCGGCTCAACCCCCCTCAACCTCTCTATAAATAATCCAAATGGATCCTCAACTCCATCCCGAAACCCCGAAACCTGTTCCTTCTTCCCACTCAAGAACCCAAGAACATCCACAAGATGTCCCCGCGGGACGAAATTTTGCGTAATGGCTATTACAGCACGATCACCACGACCACCATCGTCACCATCATCTCCACCATGCCCCTCCTCCTCCTCCAAGTTGACAACCAAATGCCACCATCCAGACGGCACATGCAACACCTCTCCCGCCCTGCAAACCCCCTCAACGCACCCCTGCATCCTCCGCGCCGCACCATGGAAGCCCACAAACCACTCCGCAATGCTAAGCGGCGACGTTACCTCGCTGTGATCGGCCGAGACATAGACTCCTGGTGGCGATGGCAATGCTGGACCTGCACCTGCGCCTGCGCCTGCGCCTGCACCGGCATTGGTATTGGTACCAGCGGCATTGCTTGGAAACATGATCCAGTACTTCGAGCCGCGCAGGACGGCGTTCCAGGCGCTGGTGGCGTTGGGGTCCTTGTGGAAGGTGCTGCCGCTGCGCGGGGGGCCGATGATTAGCCAGCGGTGATCTGGACGGTCGGGGCCGAGGACGGAGAAGAGGTCTTCTGCAAAGGGGGTGGGTGGAGTGTAAGCCGATTCTGAGGGTTTGGTGGTGGTGGTGCTGACTGTCGACAAGTTCATTTTCTCGACGAAGCTACGATCGAAGAGGTACAGGGGACTCTCGTCGATGTTATTGTTCATGTACTCCACGTAGGTCTTCAAAGGCCAGTCGACCGTTTCCGCGCGGAATGTTATGTTCCCATACCGTTTCAGCAAATGCTCTGTGGACCAGTCCCTGTAGGCCGGCCATGACTTCACGGGCTCGGTAAGGATGAAAGGTCTGTTCGTCCAAGATTCTTGGAATTCAGCTGGGGTGAGGTTTTTTATGCGGGGGATTTGGTTGCAGGCAGGGATATTTGTGGTGTAGGCTGACAGGGAAACGTGAGCGCAGTGAAACGGTCGGTGGAGGATGTCGGCGTAGAGATGTGAACAGTCTGGTGAGGCGATTTTGGTGGCCGGTAGGTTAAGATATGTTGCGTGCCAGGTGCCGCGCCATGAGAAGCCTTTGGGAGGGTTCCTGGGAGGAAGGGTAAGTAGATGGACTGCAGAATATGTGGGAGGATAATCACTCTGCATTGTTGAAAATGTAGAATAAATACATGTAGATATAGTGCATCTTGATACATGTACATATAATTGACGACAATGCCGTTTGCGCCTTCGTCCCTTTAAAAAATATATTCCAATTATATACAAAAAATGTTCAGACTTCCAGATAATATAATGCCGGCTTTGACAATTAAGAACCAAACCAAAGAAACTAGATCCAAGTGATAAATAACGTCATTGAAGAAAGATAAAAGAAAGTGAAAGGTCCTTACTCAATGAAGAGGGCCTTCCACAGCTCCTCGGCCCTTGTGAACGCATACAGCGCTTTGCAAGTTGCCCCCAAGCGCAACAGAGATGTGCTGTCCAGACATTCCAGCAGTAGCATGATCAACTCATCTGACAGGACAGTCAGGGAGCCAATTGCTGGGCGGATGTTGTGGACAGCTGTCAAGGCATTGCCTGACGGTTTGACTCCCAGAGGATGTGAAGGTATAACATCGACATCGACATCGACATCGACAACTACATCTGACGCTGGATCGTCAATTGACATTGAGTTCGGCCGATGCAAGCTCTGAACAGGACAATAGGTGACATCCGTGGCCACAGCTATCTCTGCGTTACAGTCCTGAAATGGCTGTGGGAGAATCATCGCTGTCGCGGACGTGTATAAAAATGCAATCTTATATCTTGTATCCTGATTGCATTTGATATCTGATATCTCGAGCTTGGGCCAACGCTGAAACCCCAAAATCTCTCGCCTAAAAGCTGGGCGGGGGTACTTGCTTGCACACAGGTTGAACTTGTTGGAAGAAATCGAATAGCGAACAGGGACAGTTAGGATATAATAAATAAATACAGTGGCAGGTATTCAACGCATGTAGCGAGAATAGTAAGCCGTGTGGGATGGTGTCTCGTAAACAGAGTGAAGAGACAATTTTTAATTCTGGTGTCCCCGCGCTTAAAAAATAAAATAAAATAAAATAAAAAATTAAAAGGAAAAATTAAAAAATAAAAAAAGCAAAAAGGAAAAAAACAGCGTTAAGCCCAAAGAGTCAACCAAACGTCCATTTTTCCACTGCCTTTTTCGTCGCCTCATCTTTTTTTTTCTCTTCCTTCACTCCTCCACACACAACACTTCACCAACATATCCCATCCATAAATATTCCCAGAGTTGTCTCAGCTCCTAGGTCCTATTTTACTCTCATCCCCAGAGAGTATAGGTTCTAGTTATTTTTCAGTCTACAGTCTTTATCCGCAGGGCAGGTTCCAGCAAGGATCGCTAGACCCTCTTTTTCCCACCCAACGGTTTTTTTTTCTTACACCCCTCATCACCACGATCACAGCTTCGGCCTGTGATCTCAAAGCCCCAAACTCGCAATCATGGCTTCCAACGATAAGGGTCTCGAAGAGATCCCCGAAGGTATGCTCTTTTCTTTTTTTTCCCTTTGTCGTTCGCAGTCAGAAGATTTTCTTTAGTTTTGTTGGTCTTTTTTTTTACCTTTTTGACGAGCAGCGAAAAATGTGTTCACGATACTGCCCAAAGCTGGTTAAATGAGAGAAATGTAACACTGACAAAACCTTCTCCCGACACAGGACAAATCGAATCCAACTATGATGAAATCACCGACTCATTCGATGCTATGAACCTCCGCGCTGAGTTGCTCCGCGGTGTCTATGCCTACGGTTTCGAGCGCCCTTCTGCTATCCAGCAGCGTGCTATCATGCCCGTCATCAAGGGTGCGTTACCTTTGTTCCTTTGTTGTCCAAATCAAATGATACATCCGTCATGAAAAAAACCTCCCTTAACAGGAAAAAGGGTTGATAATAATGATAAAAACATGCAGGTTCCGATGTTATTGCCCAGGCTCAGTCCGGAACGGGCAAAACTGCTACATTCTCCATCTCTGCTCTGCAGAAGGTTGACACCAACCTCAAGGCTTGTCAGGCTCTGATCCTTGCTCCTACCCGTGAGCTTGCCCAGCAGATCCAGAAGGTCGTTGTTGCCATTGGTGACTTCATGAGCATTGAGTGCCACGCTTGTATCGGTGGTATTAGCGTGCGCGAGGATATGAAGGCTCTCCAGGATGGTCCTCAGGTTGTTGTTGGCACTCCTGGTCGTGTCCACGACATGATCCAGCGCCGTGTCCTCAAGACCGATCACATGAAGATGTTCGTCCTCGATGAGGCTGATGAGATGCTTTCGGTAGGTTCATGCATCGACACTATCTACTCTCATGACGCTTGGGGTTTTCGTTTATTCTTTCCTCAGTTTTTTCTAACATTTTACTTTCGTCTAATAGCACGGTTTCACCGAACAAATTTATGATATCTTCCAATTCCTCCCTCAGTCTACCCAGGTTGTCCTGCTCTCCGCTACAATGCCCCAGGACGTGCTCGAAGTCACCACCAAATTTATGCGCGACCCCGTCCGTATTTTGGTGAAAAAGGCAGAACTTACTCTTGAGGGTATTAAACAATTTTACATCGCTGTCGAAAAGGAAGAATGGAAGCTGGATACCCTCTCCGATCTCTACGAAACCGTCACCATTACCCAAGCCGTCATCTTCTGCAACACCAGGAGAAAGGTCGACTGGCTGACCGACAAACTGACCGCTCGTGACTTCACCGTCTCCGCCATGCACGGTGACATGGAGCAACAACAGCGTGATGTAATCATGAAAGAGTTCCGTTCGGGCTCTTCGCGTGTCCTCATAGCCACTGACTTGCTGGCGCGTGGTATCGATGTCCAGCAAGTATCGTTGGTCATCAATTACGATCTCCCCGCCAATCGCGAAAATTACATCCACCGCATCGGTCGTGGTGGACGTTTCGGCCGGAAGGTGTCGCTATCAATTTCGTCACTGCTGACGATGTGCGCATGATGAGAGAGATCGAGCAGTTCTACAGCACCCAAATCGAGGAAATGCCAATGAACGTTGCTGGTATGTTTATTTTCAAAAAATAACATCCTTAACCCCCATATTCAAACATAGATCTGTTTGCTAACTAATGTACTGCAGACCTCATTTAAACAAATTTAAAAAGAAAAAAGTTCTCAATTGTCGAATCAAGCTCGCTCCTCTGTTTCTGTCCGCTATGATCCCGGCAACGGCTGTTCCTCTTCCCAGGTTTTTGTTTATAGTGGATAAACAATTTGGCAGATTTCTTTTCCTTGTCCTTTTCCTTGTTTTCTTTCTGTCTATCCCTCTCTTTGACCAATCTTGTCCTTCACTCGTCCTGTCCCGTCCCGCCGCGTTCCTTTTCAAATAAAAAACAAAAGTGATATCGGTATCGTTGGGTTTTACGTTTTTATTTTTTTCCTAACGTTTTATGTTTACGTTTGTTGTCTCTGCTTTTTTTTTGTTCCTCCTCAAGCTTCTAATTCCCCCCTTCCTATGACTGGGTATGGCTGCATGGATGATGCATAGTTTTTTCTCTCTTCTCCTTAAAGCGCTTTGGCATAGGGCAGGCAAAAAAACGACATAAAGAACGGGAGAACTCGCAAGGAAAAACGGAAAATGGTATATAACCTTTTTTGTACTTTCGTTGCTCCTCGCCTGATTTTTCTTTTTGTGTTGACTTTTTTGCCCATTTTTACGCATGGTTTCATCCGTCTGTTTTTACGGCCTCTTTTTTTTTAACTTCTAGAAAGAAAAAGGAGGAGATGGATTTTTTTCTCATGCGTGTGACTGGGAGGTTTTCCAAAGATTTTGTTTTTTTTAATGTTTAGTTAATACTCTTGTTATTTACTTTATGCTTTGTTTTTATTTGTATGTGCGTTTTCCAAGTCGCTATGTAACTAGCTAGCCGAGGGGTTACGTTTTCCTTAAAAAGATCATTATTTCTGTCTTATACGAATCCTGCTATTTTTTTTCATGTCTTGTTCTTTTCAACCTCTTCTATCTCGTCAACATTTGACAAGTTGTTCCCTTTATCTTCTGAAGTCTTGATGCCGTATGGGATAACTTTCGCTTTTTATTCTTTTTTCCTTTTTCTGTCTTGATTTTCCATATTGAATCAAACTTAAAGCTAGTTTCTTTATAACTAGCCTATTAATTAGGTTTTTCGGTTTTTTTTCATGTTACGATATGAGCATATGGATGGACATGCTACGACGTGCGGATGATAGTGAAAGCTTTAAAATGACTAAATCAAAGGAGATAAATACGTAAAATGTTTTCTCTTATTTTCTTTCCTTTCCTATCCTATCTTCCTTCTTTTCTTCTCCTTTTTAAATATCACGAAATCGATAGGATGGAATTCATATTCTTCCTCCCATTCCCAATTTATTATTTCAACAGCTAATTTATGGCATGGAGAGGTATGCTTTTCCGTCTCTCCTATTATTGAGAGCCCCAGAAAATATAGAAGAGTCCTTTGCTCTCCTATGTTGTTATTTATTTATCAGAGTTTTACATTTTTCTTCGAGATATGTAATAAATTCTGTTCTTCACTTCCAAATCAGCTCATCTCCATTTCATTGGGATTTTCGCTCCTTCGTTTCGGATGAGTGCGATGCGGATTTCTTTCGTTTTCTTTACTATGTCATGACTCACTACTTTTATATATATAATATTGGAAGACTGGACAAGATACAGAGCTTACGTGGGCAATGTCCCGGTGTGAAGAATGCGACTATACGCGAACAAGAAAAGGGGGGCTTTTTGGTACATGGTAGACAGCAGTCACGGTTGGAGGAAAAGAGCTTGACCTGGTCCCTTTGCCCATTGACCAACAGCGGAGTATCAATACTCCAGCATCTATCTATCTGCTTATCCATCTATCTGTCAAGGAAACCATCCGGGTGAAACTGAAGACCTTTCCATGAGATTCATAGGGTACTTCGCATGATGGACAAACAAGCAATGATAAACCCGTGTCAGTGAGGCAGCGTCTATCTCATTCAGGCCAAGTCTCCCCCTTCTCCTCCTTCTCCTCTCCCCTTATTTGCAGAGGACACTTGCATCTTGTCAATACGCACTCCACTTTAAACCCTATCGGCAGCTTCGCTCTGATATCCCTTCATTCCTGTCCGCGGATGAAACCACGATTACTTACTCCACTCCATTCCTTGTTCTACTTTAAACAGGCTCCCACCACCATAACTACAACCCCCCCAAAGCTTTTTGCCCTTATGTTTATATTTTAAAGTACACCGACATTCCCAACAACCCTACAATGTCGCAAGGTACCAAAGCCATGGACCCTGTTCCGAACTCTAATCCAAATGCAAAAAATACAACTCCATCCCTCTTCTCTCCCGCTTCTCTCCTCTGGGCACACCAACTCCGACGCGAACACAACACCCTCGTCTCCCGCCTCGACGCGCTCGAAGAGACTCTGGCATCCTCTTCTGCTAAGGCAATCACAACGACGGAAGAATTGAAGTCGGATCTCGAGACGAGGGTGAAGGAGGTTGGTGATGTACTTGGTGTGACTCAGGGCGAGGTTGAGATGATTAAAGGGGGTATTGAAGAGTTGAACGGGTGGAAGGAAGTTTTTGAACAGAGTCAGAGAGAGGCTGTGGGGAAGTGGGAGAGAAAGGAGGAGGAATGGAGAAGGGAGAGGGAGAAGAGGGAGGAGGCGAGGCAACTAGTTGAGGGGGGTTTAAGAGAGATCTTAGATGGAGTTAGAGAGTTGAAAAGGGTTGTGGAGGAGATGGGGAGGGAGAGGGAGCAGGAGAAGGAGAAAGAAAAGGAAAGGGACAAAGAAAAAGAAATGAGTGAGTATACATACCCTCTTCCTATTTGACCCTTTTTCATATTCAATTCATCAAAATTTCTAACTCCACTCGATTTCAACTACCAATCCACATCCACAGAAACCCTACCTTACAAGGCCACTTATCTCAATCTAGAACACAGCGACGATGACGACAACGAACCATTCCGCTCCCCCTCCCTACCCCCCATCCTTCATGCTCCGCACAGCCAACAGCGCCAGAGACACAACATCCCATCCACAATCTCTGGCACGCCCACAATGACCCACCTCCCTAGCTCAATACTAACCCGCAGCTCCCTCCCGCCACAAGCACCACAGGATGGCTACTCTGCCATCCTCGTCCCAGACTCCATGCCACCCGCATCCCCACCACCACATCCCGACCAAACCGCTGCCGCCCACTGCGAATTCCAGACCTCTCCACCACAACTCCCCCGCTCCCCCATAGCTCAACCCTCAGGAAAATTCGAATACGCGGGTATAGAAAAGGCAGAAGAAGATGAAGTCCAGGCTCCGCAACAAGGGCCTGGCGAAACTCTTGAATCGTATATGGAACGCTGTTGGGTGGTGTTATCGCGATGTCCACGGGGTGAAGAGAAGAGAGTCATATCAACTTTTTGGGGGGCGATGGAGGATGGGAGTGTTAAGGGTAGTTTGGGAGAGGAGTTGGAGAGGCGGGGGTGGAAGTGGGAAGTTGTTAGGCAGTTTGTAGATAGTCTGAGCGAGGGATTAGGAGAACAAGGCAAAGGGAAAGCGGAAGGGGAAGGGTTAGCTGAAACGGGAAAAAGGGATAGGTGTCTTGTTAGGGGTGAAAGGAACGTAGCAACAAGTAGAAATGGGGCTGTTAAGAAGAAGAGGAGAAAGGCAAAGGTGAAGAAGAGAAGGGCCATCCCTGTTATTTGGCCGGTTGACGAGGAGGGGGAAGGGTGGCTTGTTGTGAAGAATGGACTGACTTGATATTTCTAACGTAATGTATGCATATGTATATATCTACATGGGACTGGGATACAGCGGAGAGATAGAGTGAAAGTGGACGGAGGAACTTGGGAACTGAGAAAGATCAACTGTTCTGTGCATGTATGTATGTATGTACACATGTCTATTCGCAATGGTATACTATATCCATATAGAAAACACAAACCCCAACACACAGAAAACATAATTTAAAATAAACCCAAAAACAACGGAAAAGCAAGCTTACCTAAGGCCCACGCCATATTAGCTCCCTATCGATCCAATCCCCCTCTTAAATCAAAACTCCGCAAACTCATATCTTCCATCCCCCCTATCCCTAACCACAACCTCAATCTTCCCCTCCTCAACCTCCCGACCCCCAACCTCAATGCCCGCCGTCATAACTTGCCCATCCCGAACCTCACCTACACCTTTTGGCGTGCCCGTCAACACCAAATCCCCCGGTTCCAGGGTCATCACACGCGAGATATCCGCCAGCTGGCGCGGGATGCGATAGAGCATCAGGTTGGTGCTATCACGCTGGCGCAGCTGGCCATCGACAGAGAGGTGGAGAGTAGCATTGTGCGGGTCCGGGATGCAGGATTTTGGAATCACAGCGGAGATGGGGAGGAAAGTGTCGAAGCCTTTGGCGATGGACCAGGGGAGCCCGGCCTTTTTGGAGGCGTCTTGGATGTTGCGCGCTGTTAGGTCGATGGCGAGGGTGTACGCTGGCAGGTTTGGGAGGGCTTGGTTAGTATCTTTCCATGTGCTGTGCTCTGCTAACGGCGGTTTGCTTCGTGCCAGAGGCTATAAACTGGACATACCTGATATGGCGTCCAAAGCGCCACGTTCGTCTGCCGGGTCATGGTCACGGAGCGTTTTGCCTATAACTAATCCGAGCTCGACTTCATAATGTAGGCTCACGCCCTTGGGGCGCAGAACGGGCCCGCTGTTTGGGAGGAGGATGGAAGAGGGTGGCTTGAGGAAGAAGAATGGTTGTTTTGGGCGAACGTTGTTGAGCTCTGTTATGTGGTCACTGGTTTATATGTCCTTGCATTAACAGATACAGCGCACCAGATCGGAAGGCAGGTTACGTTTGTCATTATAATTGCAATTGACAATGTTAGTTTTCTTCAGGAGAACATACGCATAGTTTCGGCCGATGCACATCACCTTCCGGCAATTGGCTCGAATAGATGCCATTGTTCTCCAGAATGGTCTGCGAAATGTACTACACAAGGACAGGTCAATTATCTAACTCCTTTCCAGTGTAATATGGGGAGGGGAAGCGGTGGTAATAACAATAATGGCCCTGGCGGTGGAGTCATTACTTCTCAATGTCTGCTTTTGAGCTCGGCTGTGCCTTCGGTCGGGAAACTTTGGCAGCCGAGCTTGGTGGATATCATGTGACCTATTGTAGTTGGGTGGGAAAGGGAAGCTGCAAGAATCCGAAAATATCTGTTTCCTGGACAAACACTGATGTGAAATATTGAGGGGAACAAACACCTATAATTCCCTATGAAGGTCGCTGAAATCCTGTCAGATCTGACATCTCTGAGGGCTTGCGTAAGTATACACGCTTTTCTATATCTCTCCGGGAAGCCCACTAATGTTTCGTTTATTCGTTAACAGGGCCATGCCGAAGCACTCGCACTCGTGAATGTCCACAAGACCATCGCGAACTCAGATCCGCAGCAGCAGAACCGGCAGCAGACTGAACAGGTCCTTTCCCCAAATGTTGGCGAATCAACCCCAACCACGCAATCCGAAGACCTGCGCCGCGCAAAAGATCTGGTTGAGCTTCATAATGATATCAAGTTAAAGCAGCTGAACAGGCACAATGGTGGCTTGAATGAGGAGCTTCAGAAGGCACGCCGGGATGTTGATCGCGTGTTGCAGGAGTTGGGGTAACTGAAGGGGAAAAGGAAGCAGCGGATTCGTTAAGCATCACATGTATACCCAGCGATTGCCAACAATGTCTCTACGGTCTTGACTCATAGGGAACGGCGGAGTCCATCGTATGGAGTTCTTGACGAGATTCTTGATTCATAGTCAAATCCCACTCCGAATATCGAAGTGAACGACAGGCCAAATGTAACGCGGGGACTAGTGTTGACCATGGGTTTCGAGGCTCCGATGAAGCTTCACAGCGGTCAGTTGTTGTATGCATCTCCAATGTATACGCTAGAAATCCTAATATGAACATTCATGAACTCGTTGAATGTGTCTATCCAGGAGTGATTCATACAGAAACTCTAACTTTAGTAGATAATGATGTCCTCCAAAATAAAGGATAAGGTTTAATGCGATAATTGTTGTAATTGATAAATACTTTTACACATAGCTTCCTATCGCTTGCTAGCTGAGATGCCGAGGTCGTCCCGTATGAAACTTCCAGCGCAGCACAACGCGCCTTCGCAGTGGGTAATACGCCTCACCAAATGGTGTTCTCAAGTAAAAGGCACGAGCTGCATGGCAGCGCGATGGAGCTGAACAAAGGTCCAACCATACAATGGTTTGGAACAATGGTCTGTAGCGGATGCTGCTCCAAGAAACGGGCGAAGCAGTGGGCCAATACAGTAACCGACGCTTAGGGGGGATCAGGATCTGGCCACATCACAGGAAAGACGAGCCTTGAGCAGCGTGACGGCCGAACCTGTGAGATCCTAGAGAAAAGCACAATCTCCAATGGCATGATCAGAGCTGTCTTGTCCAGGTTGATGTTGAAGCCGTGTTACAGAATGGACCAACGAGAGTTAATGTGATGTTTTCTAGAGGTCTCCATAGACTCAGAGGGTCTTCTCGTGGTGTTTGCCTGATAAGAACAGAGTGTGTTGTGATAGTAGTGTTAGCTTCTAAGAGGGTAGAGAACTAGAAGGGTAGTTGGAAGTTGAAGTAAGCTTCATGAAAATAATATAGCAGAGGAGTATTATGTAGTATCCTTCAGAGCATAGAACATGTGTCGCTACTGGGCTGTTAGACGAAAAGAACAAGTTTAAGAAGCAAGAGCTGCCAATAATTGGGAAAAATGCTTGACTCACACGGGATTGAAGTTCTCAGAAATTTATCGACTATTGAAAGATCTCCATCCTTGATAGGGAGACCACCACTGATTGGTCTCTTTGGGTATGGCACTATTGCAGCTCGAGCTAGCACAATACTATCAGCTAATTCAGAGTACAAAGTATTGCTTCGGAGGGAACCCCGAATAGGTTTGCTGTCGAACTCTGATCCGCTTCCAATCCAGCCCTAAAATGCTTAATTATTAGCTGGTAGATTAGCTTTGACTAGAGCCGGGCTAACTCTGCTTAGTAACCGTGGTTTCAACGATTCTTCCTAGTATGGCTTTTACAGAGCGCAACAGAGTTTGGGCTTGACCGTCGAATACTGTGTACATTTTATAGGAGACACCATGATTCTATTTTACTTGAGTCATAATCACCAAAGGATCCGCTGGACTGCACACCCGGCTTTACAATGTTCCAAGCGGTTCTTTCTCTATTCTTTCCTCCCTGGGCTCTGCACTTCAACACATCGGAGTTGGGAATTTTTGTCCTCTTTCTTCTGCAGCGGCTGCACCTCTGTGCAGTTTCATTATTCTCAAAAACATTTCTTGTCCATTTCTAAACTTCTACTTATCATCGCGCGTAGGTCTCGTGGAAGCGTTCACCATGTCCCAAACTGCAACTACTGCCTCCTCCAGAAGGCGGATGAATAGGAGCTCCGAGGAAGCATATGCCTCACCTGTTCTGCGGTTTCTGTCTGAACCCCCAGTGTCGCTACCATCACCTCACATCTCGCAAGAGCGTTTCAGAAGGACTCGTGGTTCAAGCACTGATGAGGATGAGACTGAAGATGGCATTCTTAGCGAAGATTTTCGGGTCGGTGGCCCGTTTCTATGCACTGTTCCTGCCATAGGTACTCCACTTGCGTCAGATCATCCACTCGAGAGACAGTGGCCAGAGCTACGCCCTAAGTTCATCGAAATCCTCTCGAAGTATCGGATCCATCATAGCACCATGGATCCATGCCTTCGAACGTCTGAAACATATGAAGATGAAGGCCCGATTGAAACGGTCCTCATCTGTGCACATAGAACTGAGCGAGGCAATTCCTGGAAAAACACGTGCAAAGATGTCCTGTCGATTCTGTGGTCCTCGGGCTTCGACAACGTTAGTGTGGAGTTGATCGACGAGAGAGCGAATATTGAAAAGATCACATCTCCTGTGATGCCTAAAGATCCTATTTATAGCAAGTGGGATGACATCTCTCGCAAAATTTGTGACCTCCTTGGTTTAGAGGGTTGGTTGTCTCTTGAGTGTTTTCGGAGGGGTACAAGCCAAGATGCCCAAGAAAGTCATCCCACTGTTTTGTTGACCGTGCCTCGTGATACCACCAAAGAATGGAAGAGCAAACGCGATGAGATTTCTATGCTTCTGGATAATGAAGGACTTGGAGAGGTTGCTGTTGAGATTATCCGAAGCACGATCTGGCGAGGAACAGAAGTCGGCTTGACTAGTGTCATCCTCCCTGACCATGCATGGGAGACAAAGGTGAAACTGGGCGCGAGCATTGGGGTCCATAATTCAGATCACGGTGGCTCTACTTTGGGCGGATTCGTCGAGTTGCTGGACTCAGAAAAGAACAAATGGCACGTGTTTGGCCTCACATGCTATCATGCAGTTGAACCAGGAAACGTCCCACCTAATTCTAAGCTGGGAAAAGGTAAGCTCCAACTCTATACTCTGTCTCTCTCTTTTTTGTGTTTAGTTTTTGCTTTTTGTGCTTTGAAGACGAATTTGCACACCCCTTATCTGGTTTCAATACTGTGGTAAAATTCTTCTCACTAGGGAAATTTCTCGACATTGTACCCATGGCTAATCAGTGCTTAGATATTGAGCGATGGAGAGATATAGGAATGTCAGTGCTGGAGTCGAGCAAGGCGAATATCCGCATCGATCAGCCCTCCTTGAAAGACCACAATGCACGGATGAAGATGATCAAGCAGAATATCGAGACAGTCAGGGAGCAATCTCTGTACAAGCGAGTCAAGAAGGCCAGGAATGACGGTGACTTCATTATCCCAAAGGAAGAACTGATATTTGAAAACATGGAGAAAGCCATCCTCAACGCTCTTTCTCTAAAACTCCGTGCGGAAAAGCATTTCAACACCGGATCCGCAACATTGGGGAGAGTTTATGCTGCGTCTGGGTTCCGGCTGACCTCTGGTAATGACAAACGCCAGCTAGATTGGGCGTTAATATCTGTGTATCAAAATCGTGTGGGGCAGAACAAAGTGGGTGTATATCTTTTTCTTTAACAAACGTACAGTCTCGCGAGCTTTTTCTGACATCGGTTAATAGTTCCCACCAGTCGGTTCATACATTGACGAGCATATGGGTATCACGTTCTCCGGTGAGGCTGTGGATGATCCCGCTGATGCCAAGTTTTCGCAATATCAACGACTGTACAAGTTCGGTCGAAGAACGAATTTTACCATTGGCCGTTTTAGTGGCTTGAAAGTCTTAGAGCTTAAGTGTTGGAAAACTGGAAATATAATTGTCGCCAATGAGTGCTCCGTTACCAGTCTGCCAGGGTCAGAGGCCTTCTCGAAAAGAGGCGATTCTGGGTCTTTCATAGTTGATTGTGTGGCCAACTTTGTTGGGTTGTTGTTCGCTGGGAACAAGGCCACTGGTGTCACTTATTATACGCCTGCAAATATCTTATTTGAGGACATTAAGCAGACGACTGGAGCCAGAGCTGTGCGTCTGCAACGGAATCGTTGAACCTGGAAGACATTCCGAACCGCCTGGAAAACGCTGGTGGGGAGCTGAACGGACACGGGGCCGCGGACCCCGGAGCCACTGAGGAAAGAAAGGGGAGCCCGGGATAGGCAGAAGGGGAAGGGCAAAAGGAAGCAGAGCTGTGTGCGAGAGAGGCACGGAGGCGGCCCTTTATATAGCCGTGAAGGGATGACGTTGACGGGCAGCCGGGGGTGAGGGTGGGCGCTAGACAGCTCACATAGGGCGCGGCAGCCCAAAGCGAGTATATCGACGCAAATCGAAATTCTCCTTTGACAGTAAATATTCGGATATTCATCTTTTATACAATTTTAATCTACATTGATATGTCTCTTATTGAAGGTTCTTGGTATCAAAAAGTGATGCGTGGATGCCAAGGCCCTTAGCATACAGCCACATTTCAACAACTGTGCATGATCTGATTCCGACTTGTACGGTGTAGATACTATGAGCTTGAGGAAGTTCAAAATGTTTGTTAGGAAGAGTGAAGCGACTGCCATCATTCAAAATGCCAATTGTAGCTATCATAGCATCGTGTGCCCAGTTCATCTCATCCATTGTAACCTACTCAGGTTAAGTAAGGTGAGAGGATTACAACACCAGAAAAATGTTGGCGGGAAATCAGAAGCTTGCCTCGAATTTTTTGACTGCCTACTCAGCAGAGATTTTGTTCGAAGATCAAAGAGGCAAGAAGAAGTGATGTCGTTTAATACAAGACCTTCTGTGAAAATATTTTTTTTATAATAAAAGGTAGAGATGAGATATATGCTATATACACTGTAGATTTTCAATTTCCAGCAGCTCAAAAATTCAATTCTGGATCATCACTAACCCGCGTAAATTGAAACGCGAAAAAACCGCACTAAAATATTAGGGGCCAAGGGTTATTCCAGCATAATGCCTAACACTTCATTTAAGCGTTCTCATGTGGCAACTGATAATGGCAAGTCGAAGCATCTTTTCTTCTATTAACACGATATGGCACTTGCTTTAGCTGTTGGCCAGAGTTTGAAAGGCAGAACAGGACTCTACACTGTTACAAAACAACTGCAAGATTGTGTCTGGCTTGCAACGTATGGCCCCTTTTGCCCTTGAGGTCTACCAGAACATAATCTCATCATGACAATAGAAATCAGCAACAGGAGAAAGTCGTTGCAAAGAGTGTGTGCCACTTTCGATTACAAAACGAACGGGATATTTTACTTCATTTCCAAAACCGAACACCCTTCGTTCGCCCACTCATCGATGAGATCCAGGATTCTTCGGTTCCTCCTACACTCATATTGAGATATCTAGATGACGACGTTCTACGTGCCTCAAACTGCCAGCGTCTTACTCGCATAGAGGCGAAATATGTAGCGAAAAGGGTGTTGGAGGCCCTTTCAGCTCTGCATGATGAGGGGTTTGTCCATACAGGTATAAAACCCGTAACTAAGCCTCGGTGGGACCTCTATTGATCAGGACAGGTTATAGATCTCAAACCTAGCAATGTGTTAGTGAACTATGGTCACGGAAATATCCGGTTTAAAGACATTCAATTAGCCGATTTCGGGAGCACTGTTCGCGAAGACTCTGCTCACGCTCAGGATGGTGACCCTATCGGCACGCCTATTTTTAGAAGCCCGGAAGCACATCTTCAAATGAAATGGGACACGGCAACAGACATTTGGTCTTTTGGTGCAACGGCAAGTCTACGCTCTATTTCATAACAGCAAACATTCAAATATTAACGTCCGCCCACGATGCAGCTTATTAGTCTTCTCTATGGGGAAGGATTCCACATCTTCAAGCCCGATGTCTCTGCAGACCATGATGAGTACGATACCAAGATTCTTATGAAGCACCATCGATGCTTCGGACCATTTCCGGAGTCATACGAAGAGATTGCGGATCAGGAAAGACTAGCGGTTCTTGTGTGGATTATGCAAAATAGCCCTCCTGAGACTTTGAAGCCGTTCCGTCTCACAACTGCACGAGAGATTTGTCAGGAAGATAAGGAATTCGTGCTAAGAGCTATGAAGCTTGACCCAAGAGATAGGCCCACTGCACGGCAGTTATTGGACGATAGATGGTTCCATCAGCCTTAACTTAGTTAGTTCCCTTTGCGGGAGTTCAAACTAGGTTTATTTTATGTCTCTTTAAGAAGTATCCATGCTAACAATTTCTGTACTAATTATTAGACAGAGTGAAGCGAAGTCTCTAAGCATCATACGAAGCTCGGGGCCAGGGCTCGAAAGTTGCTTCATTTTGTGACTGAAGTGACTGGATGACAATGTGTTCAAAAATGTAGGTTGAATCTTGATGATTTTATTGGGTGTAGAGGGGATTTTGAGATCTCTGATGGATCAAAATGAATTCCCACTTTTATATCTGCAGTGGAGACTTGAGTTTAACACTAGTCCACAATCGGCTGGGATATACCTGCTCGGTATCCGATCGTAATTATAGATGGCTAGCTACCTATCTGCCTACCTTCCAACCAACCTGTCTACTTAATATCCAATCAATCTCTATGAGAATAAACATCATCGTCCAGCAACCCACCTACCTGTCAATGCTAGCTTACCAGCCGACCACCTGCCTGCCTACCTGCCTATTTATCTGCTGACATGCTTGAATGAATGATATCTACCAATGGTACATATCGATAATATCTGTGATGATATCTAGCAGTGAGATATATCAATGATATCTAGCAATGATATATCGATGATATCTAGCAATGATATATCGATGATATCTACGATGATGATATCTATTGATGATGATATCAACATAATGAATAATATGACTTTGCACTTTCGCTCCGTCCTTCCCAGCTGCATGTTTCATGAATCTCCTGCTATAGAGTGTTGTTCCTGAGCTGTCCAACTCTTTGAAGCAATTAATGATGTCTTTCATCTCTGGGACTTAAGAGGTTCATTTGCCCACCCCCGGAAGGGGGGTGATAGGGGCAACCTGCCCCTAGTAATAATAGTCAGGGTAGTGTGAAGTATGTATATTAGTATTAATAAGATAGCAATCTCTTATATTCAAAGCGAATCACTGATCTCCTAAAATCTACGGATATCAGTAAATATTATATACTCTTGTTACTCCACCACACAGTCTCACTGATTCATCATATTCTATTATCTTCTAATGCCCTTTGCCACTATCTTGTCGCTTTTACGTATGGATATTTCTGTAGTTCTCTATTACATTCACAATATTCTTTCATTTCAATTCTTATTATATAAAAAGTCTCTTTATACAATCCTTCTCTTCCCAATCAATTTGTAATCTGTAATTAGAATTGTTAGTGCTAAGGTCATTAATCAGTAGTATGCGCATTACACACAGACATCAAAGTTGAATGAAATTCAAAAATGATGTACATAGTTTTTGAATCATGATCACTGAACTTTTTTAGGAAGTCGCTATCAAAATGGATGCAAATAATCACGTGAATTATTTGCTTCGGTCCTGGGTTATTCCGAATCCAGCTATTCCGGCGCGTCAAATGGAAAAATATCTTCGGCTTTCGATTCAGGACTGACTTATCTCCGCCCAACTAGCGACTCCTACAAGCCTCACCCATCAGCATTCGGGCAGACATATTGCCCGCCATGGCGACCACTGCAGAGGCAAAGCTAATACGGCAGACCAAATTCCCACCGGAATTCTCCAAAAAGGTGGACATGCAAAAGGTCAATATTGAGGTGATGAAGAAGTGAGTTAGCTCGGTGAAGCTTGCCGTCACGATGAATGTTGTGTTTGTTGACAGTGTTTTAACCCAATTTTATTGTAGGTGGATTGCTGGCAAAATATCTGGGATCCTAGGAAATGAGGATGATGTGGTTATCGAGCTTTGTTTCAATTTACTGGAGGGTTCTCGCTTTGTACGTCTACACTGGTTTTCCTCTTGGTAACACAATCGAGCGCCCGTACATATACTAACAGCAAACCGATGTTTGTTGGTAGCCTGATATCAAACTTCTACAAATCCAACTCACCGGCTTTTTGGACAAGGATACGCCCAAGTTTTGTAAAGAGCTCTGGAATTTATGTCTCAGCGCGCAAAACAACCCACAAGGCGTACCGAAGGAATTATTGGAGGCTAAGAAACTAGAACTGAGACAAGAAAAAGTGGCTCACCTAAAACTTAAAGCTCAAGAACATGTTCGCTATGCTAACTTTTGAATAGCTCGAGTCTGAAAGGTTAGCTGAAGAAGCCAGGCGGCGCAGGGAAGAGGAGAGGATGCGTGAACGTGAGCTGGAAGCTCTGCGGCAGCAAGAACGTGCTGAACGCGGTCGCCGTGGTGGCAGGGATCGATGGGCTGATAGAGACGCTCGCTCGCCGCCATCAAGACGGAGAAGTTTGGACAGATACCGCGACCATGGCAGACGTAAAGCGGATACCTGGGCTCCATCTGGAGGCCGGAGTTCACGCTGGTCGGACGATCGTGGTCGTCGCACATCTAGGTCAATATCCCGATCTATATCGCGATCTACCTCAAGTTCATCGCTCTCTCCCTCTCCTCACCGAAGGGCGCGCGGACGTCACGGACCCACAAGACGCCGACGATCGCTAAGTTATTCTCGTTCACCAGACAGGAGGGATCGCAAACGAAGGAGAAGGCGTAGCCCCGATCGTGATGATATTCTCACTAGGTCTAGCTCCGTCAATAGACCAGATCGTTCACGTTCTCCCAGAGGACGTCGGAGAAAATCTCTCACCTCTTCCTCCCGGAGCTTATCCCGCACCGTTTCGCGTCACGTCTCCACTTCAAGGTCACCTCCTTCTCTGTCCTCCTTGCGTCATAGGTCGCGCTCACGATCACCGTTCCGAGCGAATGGTGACAAGCGTGGTGCAAGAGCTCGAGGGAGAAGATCACCATCACCCGCTGCGAAAGCTTATAGAACAAATTCAAGAGCTGATATTCCCAAGGACCACCCCAAATCCCGCGATGATCGCCGTCGTCGAAGCCGCAGCAGAAGCCGCAGTCGCAATCACAACCGAAGTAGAGAACGACCCAGTTACCGCAGACGCAAGAATCCAAGCGGAAGCAGGTCTCGTACTCGCTCCCGTAGCCCGTTCCGCGACCGGGACAGGAATCGAAACCGTGACAGAAGCCACTCTGGCAGTCGTGGTACGCCTCGGGATAGAAGTGACAGAAAAAGACATCAATCAATTGAGAGATACGCCCCAGCACCCAGAAGACGCTACAAAAGCCCTTCCACATGCCCTTCTCCAGCTCCAGAGAAACAACAGACGATCGTAGCTGATTCACAAGAAGAAGAAAAGGAAAAGAAAGGTTCGCACTCACCGCCTCCTGCCTCGCGTAGCAGCAAAAGTTCGGAAGCGGAACCAAGACGGGAATCTCAGCCGGAACGTAAGGGCCTTCAAGACAGAGTTGAAGAGGAAGACAGGGAAAAGGAAGATGGACGAGCTGCAGGCGTTGAAGTGGTGCGTAGCTGAAATCTTTCCTTTTCGGTTTTCAAAATAGCGCAGAGGCCGATAAAGAACAAAATTATGTGTGTTGAAGAATCTTTCTTTATATTCTCCGCGCATACTTCTACTAGTTGAGAAAATATTAATACAATTTACTAACCTGCTTGTTCTTCTCATCCGTTTTTGTACAAATTTAGAAGTCAACCCAGCCCTCCAAATCCCGTTTAACCGGTACTGAACTCCGTGAAAGACTTGCACGAGAGAAGGTCAAGGCACTTCGCAGAGAAAGTATAGAGGGAAAAAAAGAAGTGACTTCCTAACCAGGGGTAAGTAAACTGGTACAGGATATGGAGAAAAGAAGGTGATTTTTTAAAACCCCGTGCTTTTTCTTTCCACAAACCTGCTATTGTGACGGCCTTATACCGTAGTCGAGTTCCTCTGCTCGCTATGCTCACACCCCAACCTAAAGATGGGATTTTATCCTGATCTTTCTTGTTGCAATTCAGAATTCTGTACATGAATTTGTTGCATTTCATTTTCCCGACCCCGCAGAGGATGTTTTAATGAACTTGGTTTGCAAGCATTTTCTTTTCCTCAGTCCCATATTCATGTGAACTTCCCTCTCGCCAACATTTAGTATCCACACTTGTTCTATACACGATGAATGTAGCATGAGATTTTAACGGAAATGTTTTATACTATCAATGGCCTATGTATCCCCTTTCAATCTGGACGCTCTATTAGCGGTAATTAAGGGCCCGATCTTAGAAGCAATAATGACGGGAATTTATATTTGAGATTCCAGATTGTTTGTAGCCTGTGTCGCTCATCGAGCGGCAGAAATGACATCAAATTCATCTACCCGTTACGGTGCATCGGGCAACGCAAGATCTGGAAGGTAACAATGAAGATACCAACAACGCAATTAATCTAGAAACTACTTATTCAATTGGGCTGTTTAAAATCATGTTCCGTTTACCACCCAGCTCTTCATCCATCGGACTCTTGCTGGGGCTAAAAATATGGTTGTCATGGAAACAATGTTGATATGAGCACGTGACAATTTCCTTTCCAGCCCAACTCATTCGCTCCTCACCGATGAACCTTTTTTATCTCCATGAAAATACTCGACAACGGCGATTATCTTTTATAGATTATATATCTGGAATCGATGCGTCCAGATACGCGTCAGATATTGATATGGCAACGACTACGGCAACGTCAACGACACCCCCAATTCCGTTGACATACAACAACTTCAATCGCCCAGGGTCATCATTATCTTCGCGGCAACAACTTCCCCCAACAACGATTTCTCGATCGATGTCCACCCGTGTATCACCCAATTCAGGCGCATCCAGTTTCCACAGCTCCTTTTTCCCAATGTCAAGAACACGTTCCTTTTCCATTGGAGACAGCTCTGATGATGATTTCCCGGAGCCCATCAAATTTAGCGCATCTGTCAAGGCGTTATTAGGAGAGGAGGATGGGTCAAATTATGATATCTCCCCGCGCAGTGGAAGCAATGTGGATCAAATCCAGAAAGCAGCCATGAGTATGAATGGTGAACTACGCTCGTTACATTCACTGCAGGAGAAGCAGGTGCGCATTGCGTCGCCAAGAGAACAGGCCACGGGGAGCCCGTCTCCTAGAATTGTGAGAGTCAATTCTCCTCGCGTTTCCCCAAGAACATTAGGTAGAGAGAGCCCCCGGTTGGAAAGCAAGGATGAAAAGATAAATGGATCTGATCTGCATTATCCTTGTGGCGGGGATTTTATTACACCCGCTGCCCCAAGGACCAGAGTGGTGCGTGTTACGGCTTCCAGGAGCAATTCTCACTCTCCACCAACGGTGTCCCCCAGTGGAACTAGGTCGAGTGAGAGATCTTCCAAGCAAGGGGGAAGCCGTCTAGGGGACCGTTCTTTCTCCGGTGACGAGCGTCGTCGCGACGAGAACGTTTACCGATCTGGCTCCTCAGTTAGTGTGCGGCGAACGCGGCCTAGTGAGGATACGGGGATGCAAAGTTCGTTACGGGTAAAGAGAGTTGGTAAATTAACAGGCTCGTTTCTCAACGGACCAGCGCGTCGTGGTGTTATTCGGAGACAAAGTGAAGACGTGGAGGAGGAGCCGGCAAATGAATGGCCAAATTCAAACGGCAGCCCTCATACCAGCAAAGAAGAACATCACCAACAGGAATCGGAATCCGCACCCCTCCGTGATCGCGACCAAGCTCTTGTTGAAAAGCCTCAATCGTATCCCAGGCCTGCAGAAAGTCGCACTGGATCGCCTGTCCCAATACAGGTGTCGAAGATACTCCCAGAGCCGGAAAAGCTGGTCGATAATGCCTTCTTGAGATCCAATTCACCCCAGGTTCCTAGTTCAATGTCGAAATCTCCATTATCAGCAGAGCAAAAGGATTCTTCACGATCTACCAGAGAAGCGCCTGCGTTTTATCATGTACCCCCTTTCCTCTCGCGAGCAACGAGTGGCGGCCAAGAAAATGATCCACCACCAACGTTTAAAAAGCCAAAGTCTCAGGGCCTTAGTCTTTTAGATAAGGCTGAAAAGTTCTCAGTGATTTATGACGATGACAAGGAGCTAGCCAAGCCCACGCACCCAACCATGTCACCTCGCAGACCCCTAGCTCCCAAGGATAACAACACTCCACATAGACCAGCTCCACCGCCCCCAAAAATGAGCGTTCTGGAAACAGCGACCGCACCCGCAGGAGCTACTTCGTCCCAAGCTCGGAGGAAACGCGTCCAGGTTACCATTAATCGCAAGCCCTTTACAAGATTAGACTGCATTGGGCGAGGGGGAAGCTCTAGAGTCTACCGTGTCATGGCCGAAAATTGTAAAATATTCGCACTTAAAAGAGTCAATTTGGAGGACGTTGACCCGATTGCCCTTGCTGGGTATAAGGGAGAGATTGATTTACTCAAAAAGCTCGAGAACGTGGATCGCGTAGTGCGATTGTTTGATTACGAAGTCAACGAGGAGAAGCATGCACTCAGTGTTCTCATGGAGTTTGGCGAGTCGGATCTACAAAGGATTCTCACGCTACGACTAAATACAGAAGACGCTGTGTTTGATTCTGCCTTCACGCGATATTACTGGAAGGAAATGCTCGAGTGTGTTCAAGCTGTTCACGAATTCGACGTCGTCCATTCAGATCTCAAACCTGCCAATTTCGTCCTAGTTAAGGGAAACCTGAAATTAATTGATTTTGGCATTGCAAACAAGATCCAGGATGACACTGTCAATGTTCACCGCGAGCAGCAAATCGGCACTCCAAATTACATGGCACCCGAAGCTCTTATCGACATCAATGCCGCAAGCGGCCTTCCCTCGACTGTCGGAAAGATGATGAAAGTCGGCAAACCAAGTGACGTCTGGAGTTTAGGCTGTATCCTCTATAAAATGGTCTATGGCGAACCTCCCTTTGCGCACATCACCAAACCTTTTGAGCGCATTATGGCCATTCCCAATCCGAAGGTGATTATTGAATTCCCAGCTTTCGGCGTTGGTGGTGCATCCGTACCACCAGGCCTCATACGGACTCTGAAGCGCTGCCTTCAGCGCGATCCGCGTCTGCGGCCCACAGTGCAGGAGTTGCTTGGTCAGCGAGATCCGTTTCTATATCCAGAAGCAAACTTGGAAGGTTCGGTACCCATGACGCAGGAGATGTTGGGGAGGATATTGACGAATGTCGTCAATCACTGTAAGGCAAGGGGACCTCCGAAGGAGGAGGATCTGGCCGGGTGGCCCGCCGGATTTTTTGCGAAGATTCGATCAGCGCTCGAGGAAGATGCGCTTTGATCAGACCAGTCCTTATCATTCGCCATTTGCAATTTCCATTTCGGTTTTCTAATTTGTTGTTTTCCTGTTTTGTATCTTTTGGATGGGTATCTTGGCAGTTCTCATTGCCCTGGCGAGTTTAATTTTTGTCCTGGTGCTGTGGAGTACTTTCGTATTTTTGACCTCTGGTCCAAGGGCTATTGGACTCATCTTGGCTATATTCTCCTTTTCCCCTCTCGCCTTGGGCATACTTTGATTGTTCAATTCATTTGCTGCGTTCCAGCGTCGTCTTTTCTACTAGAGGAAGATCCCTCGTGTTTCCGAGTCAATTCCCGCTTTTCTATTCTCATTCTTGGAACTTGTTTGGTAACCCTTCATGGTTTCGATTACTTATTGGCATTACCTTGGACACTTTTACAACTTTCGATACCTAGCTTTTCTTCGATTATATACTAATGTGGATATGACCTATTTATTCTTCATTCTGGCATTGTTGAATCTTCTCTCCATTCTGGCTTTCTTATCACAGAACAGCCTAACCAAATGGCTCAATGCGGTCGTGCTTAAATTCTTTATTTTGCGAATGAAATATCTATAATAAAATTTGTAATTCGAACGAACAAGAAAACATGATGTGCAAATGGAGCATAATGGTAAAGAGCAAAATTTTACATCATAATAGAAAAGAAGGAATAGAAAGCTCCTGATCAGACAAGCCGGAAATTACGCAGCATCGAAACCATTCCAGCGTACATAACATACACTGAGTAAGTCAACGGAAAATAGGTATCTTCAATCCTGCTCAAAAGAATGAACCCAATGCAAGAAAATCACTCCTTCTCTGCCCCTTTCAGTTCTGCCATACCCTCCATGTCTTCACTCACAATCTCCGCTCCCTCGTTAACCAATTCATCCAACCCCTTGACCTTAACATCCACGACCCTCAAGATCGTATACCTATGTTTACTCTTCACCCGCCTCACATGTCTCTGTCTCTGCTTGGTCTTCTCCTTGATGCGGAGCGGCTCCGACTCTGTCCCAATAACCCTCACCCGGCACTCGAAGAGCCGCTCGTCAACGTATGGCGCCCCTTTGAGCGTAAAGTCGCGCGAGCCGATAACTGATGCCCGGTTGAAGCGGAGGATGTCGCCCGCCTTTACATTGGGCATGAGGAAGGGGAGACGGAGTGTGTCGCCCGCTGTTAGGAGATAGGGGCGCGCGTGCAGGTGGGCGGTAATATAGTGAGGTGTTTGTGTGGTAAGATGCGGGAGGAGAGAGGTTAGAGACGGTGTAAGGGTTAGTGGTTTTGTAAAGGTGGGTGGGATGGGGAGTTTATTTGGTGGGATGGTTGTCGTCGTCGAGGCGGATGTTGATGTGGATTGGGGTGGAGAGCTTTGTAATGCGGACAATTCCAATTGCGATGGCACATCTGTTGTAGTTTTTTCACCCGATTGTGGAGGAATTTCGGGTGGTGTTGCGTGGAACGGGATTGTGGAGGTTTGATGTATGCATGCTGCTCGAGTCAATGGGATGATGGAGGGAATCCACCGAATGTCCAGCGCGGTACGGATGGAGGATCTGGCAAACATGGTTAATGGCAGTACTATGAAATTGTCTCCCAGTAATAAGGCAAGTATGCGGTTCTGGTCCCCCGGCTCTGGTCCTCCGTCAATTGTTACGGAGCGTCCTCCTTCAAGATACTCGGTAGATTTCTTGCCGCTTTTTAGAAGTTGAAGAAAATCAACTCTGGATGGCGTAAATGGCCGCTTGGGCTACCGTATTAATCACGTGTATTATCGCTTATGTAATTATCATGTGATTCTATCGGGCCAGTTATCGATAAATTCCAACCTCAACTTTTTTTTCAGTAAGGTAGAGCTCCACAGTCGAAGTCTCCAGGATTGTAAAGGCCGGCTCTTTCTGCCTTCATAATGCCTCAGAACGAGTTCGTTTGCTCAAGCTCCTCTTCTTCTTCTGAATTCGTGGCCAGTCCTACTAACACAATTTTCTAGGTATATCGAGCGATGGCAGAAACAATACGGGGAGCGGTTTGTGAATCCCCAATGAAACCTATGATGGCGATATTATGCAACTAGCTGACGTCTTCCCCCTTCACAAAACAGCCTTGACCACGAGGAACGCACCCGCAAGCGCATAGCTCGTGAAGCGCACAAGCAATCTCACGATGCACAATCCTTCCGCGGCCTACGGGCCAAGCTGTACCAAAAGAAGCGCCATGCGGAGAAGATCGAGATGAAGAAACGGATAAGGGCGCAAGAAGAGAAAAATGTCAAGTCGTCTGCACCTAACGAACCATCCTCCACGCCACTACCAAACTACCTTCTCGACAGGTCCCAGGAGACTAATGCGAAATCGCTTTCAAGCGCCATTAAGAATAAGCGTGCTGAGAAGGCGGCCCAGTTCTCAGTCCCTCTACCAAAAGTTAAGGGAATAAGCGAAGAGGAGATGTTCAAGGTTGTCAAGACGGGAAAGAAGACAGCGAAAAAGTCGTGGAAACGTATGATTACCAAGCCTACCTTTGTTGGCGCCGACTTCACCCGGAGACCAGTCAAGTACGAACGTTTCATTCGACCCATGGGTCTGCGTTATAAGAAAGCGAACGTCACGCATCCGAAATTGGGCGTTACTGTACAGCTACCGATTATCAGTGTCAAGAAGAACCCTCAGAGCCCTATGTATACGCAACTGGGAGTGTTGACCAAGGGAACTATTATCGAAGTCAACGTGAGCGAACTGGGACAAGTCACGGCGAGCGGAAAGGTCCTATGGGGCAAGTTCGCACAAATAACCAATAGTTGTGAAAATGATGGATGTGTTAATGCGTGAGTTTTCAACACTTTTCCTCCTTCGACCTCCCATTACCGGAGACTGTGCTCTCCATTTTATGTTATGTATCCCTCAGATCGATTGAAGCTCGCTAACCAATTCTCTACAGCGTGCTTCTGGTGTAATCCTCTTCTTTATCTTACAACCTTTGATGACACCTTTTCGCTCCCATAACTCTCCTTCATTTCCACGACTTCAAGGAATGGCCTGTAACCGCCAGCTTCGGCACTCGACTTTCAACGTAGAAAAACTTTCTTTCCTCCTATCAAGAAAACATGATAGAAGGAATCAAAACGCATTGAGTTAAATACCGTCAATTACCTCACCTAACTTTTTTTTTCTTTTCTTTTTCTTTCAATGGCGTTTTGGCGAAATAGTGGTGGAAACTAAACGATGCAAGATTTCCTCTGGTGGGGTTTCTTGTGATTTTCAATTTTGCATCTCCTTCAAGGATTTTTTAGAACCCCCTTCTTTTCGTGTGAGGGAACCCAATTTCCTTTTCTCCTATCTCTCTCCCAACATGAGATGGAGGACAGAACCTCGCTATTTTTAGGACAGAAGTTTTTTTGATTTACATAAATCTACTCTGTCTACTTTGTCCTTTCGGCCACTTACTACACCGCTAACCTTCTCCATGTCGTATTTCATGAAACGAGAAAAAGGGAAATGAAAAAGTGAAAATAATCTTATATCTATATACAACTCTGCAAATGCCACAAACAGCAAATATGTGCTTACAGGAGGTACTAGATAAATGACCAAAAAAAAAAAAAAAAACGAGAGAGAGAGAGGAGGGGGGGAGAGGGGAAGTAAAGAGAGAAAAGGAAAAACCAAACAAACCAGCACATAGCGAGGCAGGTATCTTAATATAAATCACCCGTTTTTTCTCCTTGACCACAAATCCACAGATTGTCAACAAGCAGCCCTCGGACCTCATCTTCGACCTTCCATTGTTTCTCCGTCTTCTCCCCCTCTCCTTCCATTGACGTCGCCGGCGACACGAGCCCAGGCATGGCAGGCGGCAACGAGCTAGATCTAGGATCAACAACACCAACATTGACACTGGCATTGACGTTACGACTCCGCTGGCCCAGGCTCCTGTTGTGATTGCTACTCTGGTTCAGATTCCGGCTTGCTGACTCGAGGGCTAGTTGCAGTTTCGAGCTGTCCACAGGAGCCTCTGTATTTATTATGGATGCGTTATCCACGAGTGGGGTCCTGCAATGGTGTTGCAGACCCTGGTGGTGACCGCGCTGATGCCGGCGGAGAGTATTACGGCTCTCGGCTCCCCTAGGACTACGAGCCGGATTCAGCAGATGCGGATAGGCATATTCCCCCATTTCCATTTCCTCCACTGTCTCGACATCCTCCATCCCCACCTCCGGTTCCGGGTCGACATCCAACCCTTTATTGTTTTCGACGATGTTAATAATCTCACCAACAGCACTAGGGATGGTCCTGACTCTATGGAGTCCCTTCCCGCTCCGATTCCTACCGCCATCCCCGTAACCGTCCGCGACAACCTCTCCCAGACCCTTCTTCGGCGGCACATTCTCCAGCAAACCCATTCCCGCATCCAGCCCTTCAATCACCCCAGCCAAAAATTCTGCGTCCTTGCAACTAACGCTTAGCGTCCATCGATACTCGTCCAGCCGCATTCGATAAAATTCCTCCTCCTCGCTCGTCAGTGCCGTAGCCCTCAACAAAATCCCAAACGAGCTGATCAACGCAAAGTTTGTCCGAGACGATGAGGGCCAGAATGACCGTAAATGCGCGGGACGCAGTCGATTGACAAAGTCCATGGCGGAAATTAGCCGCGATTTCGCTGCTGAACGGCAGATGTGGGATAAGTATGGGTCTGCGGAGTCCGGGCCTAGGGAGCGGATTATGCTTCTGTGTAGAGTTATCTCAGTCGCGAAGTAGGCGAGGTGGAGGCCCCCGTTGAAGTCTGTATGGCAAGGGTTATTTGTATTTGGAATTGCTTCTACGTTCTTGGAGTCGATGTTTGTGTTGCCGCCGTCTCTACTATTGTCATCATTCCAGGGGTATTGGTAATGATGATCTATTCTCAATTCATCCGGTAGACACGCAAACCACCGCTTTAAGCGTATTTGGATAGGTTTTGCCCGTTCGAGGATTATTCTGGTACGCTGAGGCCCCGCTGCGGCGAATTCGGAGGTGGCTTGGAGGGTGTAGAAAGTATCAAGGATCTCAGAGAGGATGACGGTTAGGGTCACGAAATGGCGGAAGAAGCGGGCGCCACGTCTTACCGACGAAGGAATATCCTGAAGACTCACGTTTTCGTGGCTATTACCGACGCCGTTTCGTTTCCGTGAATAATTGATGTCTGCGAAATCTTCCATCACTAATTCCTTGACGGTCCAGTTTGCTGCGAAGATATGCGATGGGCGGCCGTGGACTAGCGCGCACCATTTGTCCTGCACATAGAGGGCCCAAGACAGCCGTTTGCGCAAGCCTTTTTCCCACGAAGGTATGTTCCAGTTATTGCAGTTTTGGTGCAGACCCAGATCGTAGCTGGCAGTTACGAGCTGGGCGATTAGCGCGGGGGTGTTTAAGGTTGGTTTATGAGAGAGGAGCAGACCCGCCTGGATGGTGGAGATATGTGGTTGTGCGAGGGATTCGTTAAGTAACCGTGTAGCCATCCTTTCTAGACGAGCGGCATCGGGTCTTCGTGGTGTCTGGACTTCAGACTCTGATCCCGGGGGGGAATTCGCACCCGCTACCTCTAGATCCAGCCATTCCAACGCAACAAAGTACACCGCTGCCAATAGAGGAGGGGACAAATTCCTTCTAGTCTGGTACGAATGGCGGAAGGCATCTTCGATTAACACAGAAAAGGCCGGGTGTGCATGTTGGAAGAAACTATCGATAAGAATGGGCCCAAAGGGGCTGACAGCACTCTCTATCGTTTCAATGGAGATGGAATAAAGCTTGTGGCGGGCTTGGAAGCCGTCAACCACGCGCATGAAGGTCCCGTCATCTGCGACTTTATGCACACGGGACATGGCTAGAGGCCTTTCGTTATTGCGGTCGAGAGTTAGAAAGTCTAGCAGAAGCGGCTCCAGCTCTGTTGTCATGCCGATGTGTTGGCTGGTCACAAAAGATGCCTCAAGGGGGAGCTCATCCTCCTCAACATTAGGATCATATCCCATACCAAACTCGTCCTCAAACTTTCTCTTGCCCAACTGACTCTGAACTTGAGCCTGTACCCTCGTCTGCGCTTGCTCTGCCTTCATGGTGATATTAGACATGAAATCCTGCAGATGAAAATCGCATGGCTAGTTATAGAACATTCACTCTTGCGTCTAAAACAAGCGTCAGTGCAGCAGAGGCAGCAGAAATGACATATGACGTCAGGAGTGATGATTTATTGCTATTGGTGTTATAATTGTAGGAGCTGCTCGACGTAGCAGCAGCGGCGGTGGATTAGTCGGAGTTGTGGGCGGAATGTTGGAAATGGTTTTATAGCGATGGTCGCAGCCATTCTGTTCTCTCTCGATACTGAACACAATGAGCGCGAGAGGGAAGTCGATTCGTACATAAACCGGGTTAATCGATTCCTCCACTTTTCATATTTGTTTGCTTTCTGATAGCTGGCTGGAAGTCTTCCCTGGGCTCCTGTAGCTCGAACTCAGCCTGATGGCGGTTACTTACAATCAGAATGATGAGATATGTTTGCGGTCATATAGCTAGCTTGGGGGAGCTCAAAACAGCAATCAGACAATCAATTTAAGATCTTGCTGTGGGACGATGGACACTTCTGGAATCGCTTTGGGTGGGTAAGTTGTACGGAGGATAGTATCAATCGTAGGATAATTTAGTTTTGTATCGGGTTATTGCTCGCTAGAGTTCCAATCTTTATCGGTTATTTTGTACCTGTAGGCCAGCTAAATTAGATAGAGGATTAATGCTACCTTGCTTCTGAAACCATCAGTGTTTTTTTTTTTGGTCATGGATTTGGTGGATCTCTACGACGTCCGACCCCCCAAGGTTGAGAATGTAACAGGAACAAGGTTTGCAGAGGCATGGAGAAGCTGAGAACCTCGCAAATAGTTTGAACTCAACACCCATCGGGCGGTGAAAGATGGTATTCTCTCTGTATTATTTTTCATAGTGAGGCAGCTAATCTATGTTTCCTGTTGCCGTTCAATTGAGAACCCATGTGTCTTGTTTCACGTCTCCCTACATTTTCCGGGCCTGAGACTATTGCGGATATTTCAAATTGATATTGGCATGGCAGCCCTGGAGCGCAAGGTAGTTTCAAAACGTAACAGATATCCAAGATCCGAGAAAAGGTTTGTATTTTCTGTTTGATTTTTTATTTTCTTTTCTTTTCTTTTCTTTTATTTTATTTTATCGCGCCTGACCAAGCTCAGTTATCCCCTGGTCCAAATTCCCTGGACACCGAACATGCTCTGTACTTCGACTCACTAACGAAGGACCCTCATATTCGTGTACCCAGGGATAGATTTATGCGGAAGAATCTTCATAAGCAGATTACTCTGTACATCCCACCTCGATTTTCCGAAAACTCCTCTCGTATCTCCCTCCCCTTCTCTCCCATGGCTCTCATATACAAAATCCCCTGCCCCACCAAAGAGATAAGCTTCCCCCTGCTAATTGGTTGCGGACAGCACCATATTCCTTACTACTACAATCTGCTAGTCTGCTTCGGGGTGTCTAATTACGTACAGGATTCGGGAACGCATCGCACGCTGGGTAGTGGCTGAAGGCTGGGGCTGGAATGCATTTACGAGGAATGGAAGAATGAATCGGGCAAAAAGGGATGCGCTTTATCTTCTTTGAATATGTGGAACAGGCCCGACTATAGAAGATGACTATGCATCCGAGCGTGCCTGGGCAGTTTAGCAGATGAGTTACCATGTGGAGATATTACAGATGCCTCATGCTCTGAAATATCGTCTTGCAAAACGTAAAAACTCAACTCGCAGGGCTAGCTTCAGACGCTTGTTATCTACGAGCGCACTAGGCTGATAAGGGCGCTCCCACACAAAACAACAAACACACATAACATGATATTTAGGGTATATACAAAAGTGAAAGCTCAATTCTGGCTGATTCTGAGAATATATATATATGTGTGTGTGTGCGTGTGTGTGTGTCATCAGGAAGGTAGAATTGCAGAGATTTAATATATACTAAGGCGAGAATATATATATGTGTATATATGTATATAAAATGTACGACATAAAAATTTGGGCACAAGAACTGAAGGAAAAATGGACATGGATAAAAGGGGAGAAGAAAAGAGAACAAAGGAAGCAAGGGCAGATGATAAAAGCGGGCAGTAATAGTAATAAAAAAAAGGGGGGGGGGAGATGATGGGAGTGGTGATGATAGGTGTATTTTCTAGATGTATCTCCCATCTTCCCCTTTTCCAACGATCTTCCGCTTTTCTCACTCTATCCAAAACAAAAAGGAAAAACAGAAAAAGTTTGAAATCTCACTCCTTAACATTGCCCTTGTCCTTGCACCCCGGGGTAATATTCTTCAACACCCTCCAGTCGCCAAGAGTCGGGAAGTGATTCCGCTCCTTGTCATCCGCCGCCAACGGTGTCACATCACGCTCAGCAATCGTAATCTCCAGCCCCTTGGAGTGGCCCGTGGAATCACCGACAAGCTCTCCGGCATCCACAACCTTCCCAGTCAAATCCAGCACGCGCCACTCCAGATGCTTCTCCAGCAACGGCAGAATCGACGTGTCCGTCAGGTCAAGAATCATCCCGCTGTTCAACACTACTGCCAGAACGTGCGACAGGGGAATCTGCCCGTACATCTCACGCGTTGTGTTGGCTGGGGAGCCCATGGAGGAGGCGAAGGACGCGAAGGTACCAATCAGGTTAGAGGCGTATGGCCAGTCGCAGGGCTCTTCCGGTGGCTCGGAGAGGAAGAAGTGGATATTGTACGCATGGGGCAGTGCGAATTTGTTCGCCTTGATGTTTATTACCCACTGCTTCGACAAGTTGTTGATGCCCAGTTTGATGAAGTTGAGCAAACTGAATTTGCCCAGGTCATCGAAGAGTTCCTTGATCTTGAAGTTGAGTTTTTTGAGGTCGTCCAGCGTGTCCTCGACAAGGTTAGGCATGCGCTTGTGCTTGATCATGGCGTGGTGGTGAGCAGCGCGGGCGGTGAGAGCGGTGCTGCGTTTGTTGTTGTTGTCGCTTGCTCTATTGTACAGCTGGTTGACTTGAATGCGTACATTCATGGCCAGTTGCTGTGGGCTAACGTCCCAGTCCTTGATCTCAGGATACGTGTAACCGAAGTATTTCAAGTTGCGAGACGTTTCGGCATTGTAGAATTTATTGCTGGGGTCGCGGAACGGTGCCAAGGCTGAAAAGGAGGGTCAGTTTGATTTCTTTGATTAGACTCGGAATTCCGGAAAATATGAGTTGCACGTACCAGTCTTGTCATTTTCCCAGGTGCCTGGCCTCTCCATGAAATTTCCGCCGCGGTTTTGTAGAGGCTGTACGTATGATTCAGGGTGCACAGCTTGCCACAAAGCGACGATGCGGTCGACGTTACTTCATCATCAATCAGTACATTCCTTACACGGGGAGATGGGCTTTTTTTACTAACGTATGGTGGAGCCAGAAGACTGGGTCATAGGCGGACCAGGGGGTGTAAGTCATATGCCCCTCATTGCCTCCAACCGAAACATGAATGAGACCGTGAATATTCTCCAAGTTGTTGTAACTCGCACCACGGTCTGGGAGCGAATCAGTCGAGAATACGGTGTAGTTGGTTTCGCCGGCAATGAGTTGATATGTGTTGACTCGAATGCTGAATATTGCTTGTTAGGTGGCACTGCTCAAATCACTCTATCAGTGATATTGTGACTTACAGGGCACCATTGGCATTCAAAGTCTTCTGGATCGCATCGATCTGGGATACACCCTGCTCGTCGGGGTTGCGGACGGTTCTGCGATATTTGAAAAGCTGAAAAGCAGAGAATTAGTGGAAGCCATACATATATGGATTCCAGGTCTCGAAGAGGGAAATACTGACAGGATCATTGGGGAAGCCCTCTTGAGCCGATGGCCTGATAGCGAAGTCGTAAAGGGGGTTCGGAATGGTCTTTAATCCGTTCGGGGTATTGATGTTAAGCTGTGGGGTAATGACTGACTTGGGAAGCTCAGGATCATTGGCCCAGTCCCAGTATGGAAGTCTCAAATCAGTTGCAGCTTTTTGATAGACTGCCCGGAGCATTTGGGGGTATGTGTTAGCTATCGCCTGGGCATGGCGCGAAATTCGCTCCTGTTATTGGGAACGGTTGTTAGAATTCTGATGCATCTATGGGAGATAAACCAAGTCTAATTCACTGACTTCATAGATGGCAAGGTAAGGACGATGCCACATTGGAAACAAAGTCGAGCCGTGAGAGCAATAACCAGCACCTCCCAAACCCTTAACGCCATCCCAGGAGACGTAAGGATAACCATGAATACCTGTATTTCAAAACCGAGTTAATTACAGCTGTAACTAGCACATGAATTTCTGAAGATGGCTCTTACCAGCAATTTGAAAAAAGCTCAACAGATCATCCCGGTCCTCCTCCTGGAAAGCCTTGAGGGCCTGGATGTAGAGATCCCATTCGGGGCCAGACCATTGCAGATTGTTGATGTCCTTACGAGCTGGTCGTTCGCCAGTCTGGCGATTGACGCCATCCTTCACACCTGAAATAGTCACAGCTGAAGCAACGCCCAACAGCACGTTCAGCAGCAGGAGCACTTTCCATCGAAAGGCCCCCATGATTTTTGCTCCGAAATAATATCAAAAAGTGTGTACAGTGTTGTTATTTTATTTCCCCCTTCAAATTATAGTAAATGAGGGACCTAAGTTCCGGTAAAGACTGGATAGAAGGAGGAAAACGTGAAGGAATGGCTTGCAATCCGTTCAAGAAACCATTGAGTCTGAACGCCGCGCTTTGGTTCTGGAACCTGATGAGCCAGTTTCTTCTTCTCTGTTTCTTTTTTTAACCTCCCCTTCAGCGCGTAAAGTTTTAAAGGATTGGGAGGCTCCGCAAACAATGTGTGACAAAAAATGAGCGAAATGGATGGAGTGAACGAAAGTAATCCTCGCGGAGAGGAAGAGGAAGAAGAGGAGGGGGTGAGAAGGAGGAGAAGGGAGTGAAGACGAAGGGTGCTGGCAGGGTAGAAGTGGAAGCAAGGAAGAACTGGTTAGATTCAAATGAATCCGGCAAATACGGGGGAGTCTGCTGTTTGAGCAGCACTTTTAGGACTGTTCTCTGGGCTCTTTGGCCTCTGGGCGGTGGTGAAGTATGGGGAGCGTTGGCCATTCGAACAAGGCTAACTGCCGCTAGGGCTAGTTAGTCAGGGGACAAGCCTCCACTTGGGCAGCCATCGCCGCCCCTTGCTGGGGTCCTTGGCTCCTCGCCGTCTGGATCGCAGCCATCTAAAAAGCAATGCTATGATAGCTGCAGGCCTGATTGGACTATTGCTTCCATCCATGCACTAGGTTGTCGATCAATTGCTGGGATTCCTGCCATGACTGACCGAGGGTTCCATCCAGCCCCTGATACTCCTCCATACTGACTTGGCTTGGTGGTTCCGAGCATATTCTTGTTCATCCACGAGTCTCACGACCACTTGGGCGCAGCTTTCCGGGATAGCCAATCGACCATTACATACTGCGTACATCGATCTCCACGTCAGCCAAGCTGGACAGCCAATCACTCTGCTTTATAACTGAGCGAGCTGATTGTCACATGACCCACATTCTCAAACAAGCATTGTGATAGACATCTGGACGGAGTATTTCGTGATTATCACTGATAAGGATGCTGATCTGAAAGGTGTGCCCAGAAACTACCATCCGATTTCCTCCTCATCGGTTGGGCAGAATCTTTTCCGAGAAAGAGGCTGAAGCTTGTTTTTCGTGGAGATACTATCCACATGGAGCATGTCTGTGACAGAAAACCTATGGCGCTTCTCATTATTGAAAACCATTTTATGCACGAATATGCCAGGTAAACGGATGTACCGTACGGACGTTTCCAAACAGAAATATCGCTCGTTCCCCATAATCAACCTAGACCAGTCCTAAAGTAATGGTGAAACAGTCAACCAATCCGTACGCAGTAGTGATCCTGCGCTGGCGACGGTGTCTCAGCAGCTGAGATCTCAATCCAGAAGGCTCTTCCGTCACAGTGTACTCAATACTATGTAACCCTGTGCTTCGTGATGCGCCGAGCGGCTGAGGGGAGGCCTCCGGCCTTTGTGCTGCCAGAATAAGTTTCTTAGCTGTAGTGCAACCTCTTGCCCTTCCAGTGCCTCACAGATTCCAACGATGGCTTTGCAATTAAATGTAGAAAGCATCATCACCTCTTCCTATCCATCAACACCGCATCGAATCGATAAATAGTGCCTAAGAAAACAACGTTGGATAATGCGATGCTTGCGACAACGTGCGAGACTAAACACCGAGAATCGCGGAGCCATTCATCACGAGCCTCCGCTTTCCTGTCCTCATCCTTCCCTTCTCTGCCATCTGGGATTGCGATCTTCAGTCTGACAGTGGCGGTGCAACAGGATGGAGACTCTGGATTTATTGATTGGCCACTGCGCAGGCAAACAGGATCTCGGAAATAACTTCTCTTGGGCTCCGAAAGAGAGCAGCTTGGGAGTTCCGATGCACAAATCCTTTTTTATCAATGCGGCTTTCCCCTGGTAGATGATGTGGTTGTTTTTTATGATTGTTCGTTGTCAAGTACTGTGGTGTGGTGGGAACTTCATAGTGTAAAGTGCTTCTTAGGTACTTAGCGTACTAGTGAGGTTAGCGAGCCGCTTACAGGCCGTGCGGTCCAGGCGACTGCTAGCATGCAGACCTTGTGAATGTCCAAATTCCAGGTAAAGAATGTGAATGTGGTGACAAATATTATCAACAGCACACAGTTGGTCTAACAACAAGGTCTGCTATTATTGAGGCGTCTGGCTATTGCTGCACACAGGCTACATGCAGAAAGAATGTGCAGATACATACCGGTTGACACTCACTGACTCGGATCCAGGCAGGATCCATGAAGTGCCAGTTCCCGCAGTACTATGTACAGCTCTCTACAGTTCTGGCAATATGCATCACCATGTCGAGTCATCCTGTTGATGGTTTTATCTACAGTGTTTCTCAGATCTTAAAACCAGAAAGTATACTCCGTACGCGGGGCATCAAAGCGGATGTTCCAAACATTCGCTGCTGGAGAACCCACGGGGGTTTACCGTTCAAATTTCAAGGATACGGGTGGTCAATTGTGAACTACTGCGTACACTGTGACAAATTATCTTGGTAGTAACATAGTCCTAACCTGTCCCGTTCTTCAGCGTTCCTTTATATATGGACCTACTCTATACCCCTCCACGAGAAACTGGGGACGCTGGCCCATGCATGAAAGTGTGAGCAAATCGTTTACACAGTGAGGGAAATTCTATGTCTGTTCTTGAACTATCTATCAGTTATTTTCCCTTCAAAGGGTTGCGGGAAAACAGGTAAAGGTGGGTTAATAAAAAAGCCACCACCAAAAAAGCAAATATTCGTCTGTGCATAAACTTCAATATTTTATGGATGCACATCTAGTCGACTCTTATCGACCGCCACAGACGGGAGGGAAAAGAGAACGAATAAGGAAAGTCATTCACATTCAAGAAGCTATCCATATACAATCACTACTTTGTTCGCAGCGCGGAAATCTACACCGTGGTTTTTCTTGGTGCATACCAGCGCAAAGCCCCACCCCTCTTCTAAGAAATTACTGGTGGACCTAAATGTCGGCTCCCAAGTTAGGCACTTGAGCTCTTGAAGATTCGCTTCTACTGTACGATATTGGAACCGGACAGATTCTGGCTGCCCCGGGAGTCTGCAAGATAGGAGGACAGCTCTTCATACATGGATTAGCCACACAACATTGTATGAATATACCTAGTACAGGTTCAGAAACTTAGGTCTGGCAGTATCAGGAGAATGAACCATCTTTCGTCAGAGACATGATCGCTAGCTAAGTAAATATTGTATTGAAGTATTGCTGCTAAGTCGTAGCATGCTCTCCGTTAAAAAGTAAATCCAGTGGGGAAAAGATGGGTGGAGGTAACAATGGATTGAGTTTCGTTATAGCTTTTGAGATGAGTGTGCTTCATTTGATCTTTATGTCACTCATCGATCAATTGCCCCCATGTCTCATTATCTGAAATAGGGCTGGAATCGGTTGTATTTGATGTCTTTCATGAATGAGTAAGCGGAACCCAATTTAATGATATGACATAGAGTGGGTACGGAATCCTATCAGCTATCAGCTACATGAGAGAAAGAGAGAAGAAAATAGCTTGAGAATAACTGTGATATATATCCAGAGCAAATAGAGAGACAGCTGCACCGGGATCAACTCCCATTGGATGATTAAAAATAAAAGAACATGCCCATGATACTGAAAATGTGATAAGTTTAATTTGAGCTTAGCATCTTACATTCTCCTTACTAGGAATCCCGGTAGTAAAACACGAATGGTCAACACTCACAATCGATACATAAACCTATGCCCCAGTTTCACTCGAAGTCCATTGTGCCAGTACTTTCTCTCTTCTTCGCCATTGGCTACGTCGAATTTTATCCGGCTCTCCCGCTGCTCTCCCGACTATAGAGAAGACTCCTAAATTTTAGCTTTGCCATCCCTTTGGGGTGTCGGATGCTCCTTGGCCCATTTCTCCCTCAAGAGTTTTGCTTTCTCGGATGTCTTCACGAATCCTTCATAAAGCGCAGGGAAACCACCACCAAGCGTGCGGATATCCACAGGGCGGCCAGTCTTTACGTCCATGTATGTTACAGAGCCGCGGACTTGAGCAACTACAGCTTGCTGCTTTAGCGAAAAGAGCACTGTGGTTCCGTTGTTTCGCGTGGGCTCTATGTAGTCATGGCGGAAGGCGGCAATTACCTTGGGGATATGTAATCAGCAAGAGGTCTGGGTGCGTGCATGGGTCTCGGTGAATTCACACATCAGGGTAAAACAAGAGACAATGTACTCACCACGTCAGGGTATTTGACCTGTCTCCGAAAATCCAGTTCGTATTTGCGGATGAGGGGAACGACGGTTTTAGCTTCAAATATGTCGTCTAACTCCTCCTTACTCAGGTACTCGTCATAGAACTCCATCACACGCATGTAGCATGCTGAGAAGAAACTCATGTACTGGGTGTGATTGACATGGCCGTACGGGTCCTGGTGTTCGGCCCAGAGTATTCCATGTTCAACCATGGTCTTAGGATCAAACCCCATGGCCTCCAGAGTAGAGAGCGCGCGAGCACGAAGGGGTGCATATGGGTCTGTGTTGGGGTGAGGGCCTGGAGCACCATTACGCGAATAAGGCGAGAGATATGACGAATCAGCCAGTCGGGCTGATGCCGGGCTTGCATTGTCACCGTCTGCCATGGCTTTTCGAAGATGGATTGTTTCTGTCGGTGGTTAGAGAATGTCCGGGTGTTCGAACCTGTAGGGACTTGGGGCGAGAGCACCAGAGGGGTGTTATTCAATCTTAAGGAAAAAAATGTCGACGGTTCAAGGTGTCTCGGGGAGAGGAGCTGTACCCCGGCCGGTGTCTAACTGCATTCCAGCTGCAGCTGGCAAAACTCCGAATAGGATCGGGGCTGACTTGCGTATTCATTCAACAAGCTCTTGAGATCCTTATCTCTCGGGTTGAGAATTTAAACCTGTGCCAGGCCATAAATATTGGCAACCCCACTACATTTCTACCACAAAAAGGCACCATGATTATGGTGAGGGTTGCCAATACTTATGACCTAGTATAGTATTTAATAAACAGCTTATCACAATGAAACATATAAGCTGATAGATGTCAAGAAAGCAACGTTTGAATGATTGACGGCTGATTGCAGTGATTTCGAGGCATTCAGACACTGATGTAAGTTGGAGGAATTAACTTAGTGAGTTTGGCCTGTTCGGCATCGGAACTAGTTTGCCTCCACGGGTTTCGGACAGGTAATTTAGGGTTAATTCGTAAAGCATCGTGTGAAAGTACGCATCGGATTTTTAATATGTTAATAGTGAAAACAGCTAATAATACAGTTGCTCTATGGAAATTCCGTTCTGGCTATGTGAGGAAACGGTGTAGGAACATGGCTGGTCGATACAACTTCGAAAAGCGGTTTAGTATGCATGTAATATAGCCACTAGCTCATGTTGAAATCATGCGAAATAAATTGATTGCTGCCCACCACATCGCGTCCATTTCAGAGACGACTCATGCAGTCGATTTCAACTTTAAAATTTCACCAAAATAAAAAGAAAGGAAAAGAAAGAAATCATAACCACGTCCACACCAACCACAAATACATTATCCCAGCCACAATCGTAATGCGTTTAAGCGGCTTCAAAACCTCCGTGTAGAGTAAAAGTCTGAGCCGCCGAAGGCTACCACCCCTAACGGCGCCGACACGATCATAGCTGCTGCTGCTAGCCGCACCCCTCTTCGGCGCCCAGCTGTGATCTCTCAACTTCTCATCCAGCACCAGGTCAGACCGTCGTAGGCTCTCGCTGACTTCATCATGACCTGTGGCGGTGCTTGGGACGTCGATTATCCGAACATGTTTTGTTGTTTCGCCATTGCTGCCATGAGATGGCAGCAAGGTGGATGTGGTGCGGCTCGAGAAGCGGTTTTCGCTATAGGCGGAGGAGGTTGTGGAGGTGCTGGAGGTTGTGGAGATGGAGGCGCTGTCTAAATGGTGGGAAGCATGGCGGCTGTGGCTGTGGCTGTGAGTAAGTGGGAGGAGAGGTTCAGAGTCATGCGATAATATTGGTGATGTTGGGTCTTGGGCTGGACGGAATGTGCAGGCGACGGCGCGGACGAGGAGGACGAGGATAGTCAGGACGAGGATGTAGCCATATTGGATGAAGATGGAGATTTGGTCAGGGAGGAGGCAGAGGTGGTTTTGGATTGTGGAGGAGGAGGAGGTTGATAATGATGATGATGTTGTGTTTATGGATTTTCCCGTCTGGAGGTCGATAGGGTTGTAGATGCTGGCCATTTGGAAGCCCGGCCGGCGCACTCCCATTGCCATTGACAAGCTTTTCACCGTGATCTCCTTAGGCGAGCCGCTGAATTCGCGATGGTTGATTTCGCAGTAGTCATGGTCATCGCCGGAGTATATCTGCTTTACGTTCGCTCCCGCGCTGCTTATTATTTTCTTGCTTATCGTGTCTGTTAGAACATTCTGGTATTGATAGCCCCCGGAGACTCTGATAGCATTTCTTTCGTCTTTCTCAGGCAAGGGATCAGTAGAGGACGGGGGAAATCGTTCTCGCAGGGGTCCGCAGGGTATCCCTGGAGCACGGTAGAGGGGCACATGTGTAAGGATAACTGTCGGTAGATCTATGTCGTCTGGAGAGGCCGATATCACTGGCGGTGAAAGGTCAATGGCATCGACAATCTTGGAGGGCGCAGAATAATTTTCCTTATGACCTTGGAGCGCCAGCAATTCTTCCCTAGCTGCTCGCGCTTTTATGTTTGAAAGATCGTTCAGAAAATCATCGGCCGCTCTCCAAATCTCGTCACCCACTGACGTACGTCCAGAACTTCCTGTTTGAGGATCTGGCTGATCCATCGCGCTCAACGAAACGGAGTCAACAGAGACAAAAGTGTGATTCCCCAGGATGTCTACCCGATTGCCAACGCCGAAATAAGTCTGGAATCGTTCGAGGACAGGCTTTTGTATCCCATGGCCAAACCCTAGATCATGATTGCCTGGTAGACTGGCGATGATCTTTCGGCCACGTTCGCTGGCGGCAGAATCAATCCCTCCCAATTTCCACGTATCGAAAAACAGGCGAACGAACCGTCGATACTCTTTCATCCAGACACTGTGTCCATATGGCTTAAACCGTTCCTCCGGACTTGAGCTGCTCTCCGTCCCCCATTCCCTCCCCCCGTCAAACAAATCCCCTAAGAAGAACGTAGTGTCCGGACTTAGATTCCGTTGGAGCAACGAATAGGTTCGATAGAGATATAGGTCGGCATAAAACACTGTCAGGGACGAGAGTGGCCACGGTCGGCCAGGATATGTATGGGGATCGACCAACTGGGGGTCCGCTACAAAGACAACGTGATGGGGTACAGCTTGATCGGGCTACAAACATTGTCGCGGAATTCGTCAGTCTCATGCAAAAGAATGGTTTCAAACCCAATAACAGCAAAACAGGAACAACGAGAAGATAGCGGACGTAAGCCCCAAAAAAGGGACGAGAAAAAAAAAATTTAAATCATACCCATTGTTCCCAGGCTGCCCACTCACACTCCCGCACACTATCTCTAAACACCCGCCGTTCTCCCCACCAGAGCGTCACCGCCCACAGCAGGATCAAGATATTCTGCAACGAACATACCAACCGTAACAACCCCAGCGCGTATCCGCATCTTCTCCTCCGCCTTGTCTCCCAGATATATGAGGCATTTAAGCGAGCTCCTTGACTTTTTATCACTGCAATGATCGTTTTTGCAACGGGAGGGAGAGAACGGTACACGCGCCGAACGACAGAGGGTGGTTCCACAAAGTGGTCACGGTGGGAGTGGAGGGTCATTATAGCTTGTTTTATATGTCTTTTGGCAGTGTCGGCCAACGTACTATGGTTGGTGGCAAAGAAAAGGATTGTCAATGTAGATAGGGTGTCGTTTGCGGATCGATATATATTTACGGCCTCGCTCGTCTGGTCGCGCTGTATGTAGTATGTATGAAATAAAATGGATGTACGCCGCCCACTTCAGCTGTAGATAAGACGTTATACGGACAGCTGGTGAGGAGATGAGGGAGTGAACGATCGAAGGAGCATAGTTGTCGCCGTTCGCCTGGGCTGCTTTTCCAAGCCCTGTTTTCTTCCCCGTTCGTCGGTTTTTCCTTTTTTTCTTTCTTTCTTCCTTTCTTCCTGTTGTTTTCTTTTCTTTCGGCTTCTTTACTCCCACGCGGATCCTGCTTTTCTTTCTCGCTGTATTATATCATATAGTTATTCTTCATAAGATTTTCTCCCGTCGCGTGGCGAGTTGTGCTTTGGATCCGTCGTCTCGGAATGCGGTAATAGTTGGACCACTGTTGAAGAGAGGGGTCACCGCAGAGGTATTTATTGCCTTGCAAGGCTGTGGCTTATAACAGAATACAGGCTGTCAAATAGACATTCGTAGGAATCCTATCGGGGAAACTGTGGTCGTTACATATATCCAGCAGGATGGCTGAAGAACGAAAATGACTTTCTTGGCGCAATCATGGAATCATGAGACAAAGTTCTGGGCCCAATTCAGGGTGACTAGTGCATACGATAAGCGGCAGTTGAACGAGATCTCTTTTTTGGAATGTCAATTGCAAGGGTAATTCAGTCTCATCGGCTATTTGAAAATGAGACTTCCAGCACCCAGGCCAGCTCTTAAGATTATCATCCATCAGAGGGGAAAATCATAGGTACAGTAAGTCATCAAATGCCTGCCTACCTAAGCAAGAAGAACGTTTGAAAGGCACTTATCAGCCAGCAGCTGAAAATAATATCCCTACTCTATCTTAGTTGCTTAGAAGGAGGAAGCGTGGATAATTTCTTCGCCACCTTATGAAGGTCGAAGGTTGGCCTCCGAGTGAACGACGCAACCAAAACATTCCCCTCCTGAAACATTTGCCGCCTTGTCAAAACTGACTGCCAGCATAGCCTGCCAAACGCCCTTTGCCCTTGCGACATGCACTAAGCATCATAGGCCCAGGGGAATCGGGGACGTAGAGTTCTACTGGCCAGCACATATCCTGTGATGCATCTTTTTTCCCAAGTCTCGCTGTTCAAGAATCCGCCATTGACAATTGCTTGCCGAGTTCATGAATGAGCTGTCCGGAGAGTCGCCTCGTGAAATAATAATGCCCGAATCGTTGATACCCAGACTATATCATCAATCCAGTGCTCAAGCACATTGTCGAGCGTTCCTGCAATGGCAGATTGCCCAGGGATCCTGATCCAGGGAGTCTGGGTAGCCGACATGATAGACATTCGGTTTATCAGCCTCATACCGTAGAGGATGTCCATGTCCACCCGCCACCCCTGGGTATTTGGGCCCGCGTCTAGCAAGGCTCATGGTAGCCGTCAATTGAAGGACTTCGGCATGAGGGCCTAGGATGGGATCGACATCGAGTTCTCGCATCCTACTCGGGAAAATGATCGGCCTAACAAAATTTTTACTTTTTAAAGCTCATCATTGACTTCCTTCTCATCGCGAAATAATCGCAATCTCGGCTGCGGAGGTTAGAGGTTGATGGTTAAGTGCGTTGAATGGATTTCAGGATCCAGGGGTTGGTGAAGTGAGAGTAAAATTAGGCAACAGATTCGATTTGTGGAGGATTCAGCCAGCCAGGTATTTTAAAAAAAAAAACACTTCGCGAACAGGCTGGAAATTGCAAAATCGGGAGATTTTTTTCTTCACGATAAGACTGAAATTTTCTACCAACAAGTGCAGTGTGTCAACAATTCCCGTGTCTCCCTCGAAAGCTTTTTTCTGTCAATCTGGCCTGGTCAGATGAGAGCATACTGCGTGAATAATATTTGCAATGCCTAGTCTCGACATGAAATATGGTAGTATGAAGGCAAGAGAAATGAATGAAAGGTCTGGGTCAGATGGTTGGCGAGTTTGAGGCTATTGTTGAGGGGGCCTTGTAGAGATACTCATAGCTATAGCAACTAATTTGCCCATGTGCTGTGCAGAGTCGAGGAATGAGCAGATTGGTGTATTTCCAGAGCCATCTAGGAACGATAGTGAGGGGATAAGTGGCAACCATCCTTGCTGTAACTACAGATTCTTCATGTTGTTACGCATACATAGTAGGAGGTTGGATGGTTGTTTATGTGGTAAGCGTTATCATGACGAAAGATTCGGAGGCAATTGACTCCAGAGTCAGGAGTGGCCTCTCATATGTTACAGAGGAAGCGGAAGGAGAAGGAGAAGGAAAAACAAATCGAAGAAGCGTATGATGATATAGAGGAAAGAAGAATAGAAATCCCAGAAGAAACGAAGCAAGCCGCCGTGGGATGAGCACCGGCTCATCCATCGAAATCTGCGCCAACACTGAACACAGCCGTGCCTGGCCCGGTTCTCGTGTCTGTGACAAATATTTGACCAGACAAGCTCCCTGGCGTCGGATGCGGAGTGAAGAAAGCTCAAAATGAACATTCTATAGGATGTTACTACTTACTAAAGCTCATGGCTTTATAGCAAACAATAAGAGTCCGCCAGGATGCATTTTGAATCGAAACGACCATGTAGATATAGAAGGTAATTAGATATTGTTTCTCAATTAAAACCAATTAATCATTTATGCCAAAATAATACGTAGTAAACAGTAGATAAGAAAAAGAAAAAGAGGTTCAAAAACATTCACGAATCCAAAGTATTCCTACGTCGTAAATGGCGTAAGGAACTGTGTATCGAACGGCGCCTGAGCAATGTTCAAGAATTACCAATCTACCCAAAACGTCAAAAATGTAAGAAGACAAGTCTTCTAATAAGGCAACTAAAGCATTCTACCGAGAGAGTTGAGAGGAGAGAAAGGTGGGAACATCATTTGCCACCGGGGCAACACTGTTGTCCATCGGCGCACTCGACCCCACACTCAAGCAGGCAGTTAGGGTCAACAGTATTTGACCCATGACAGCGCTTTGCTCCTCCCTTGGGAGAATTCGACGTCGTCGCCGAGCCACCAGCCGCATCATCAGCGTCGCTGTCCGGATAGAACTCCGGCTGGATAGTTGATGAGTGAATGCCATATGCGTGCAGACATCTGCGCACCTGGCGTGCAAGCTCCATGTATCGATCGGACCCTTCGCCCTTGACATCATGACTGACTTGGATGTGCAGCGAGCAGACGAGTTGCGTATCGCTGAGCTGCCAGACATGCAGGTGGTGACAGCTGATGATGCCGGGCAGGCTCTGGATGTCTTCGATGATGTGGTCGATGCTGAGGTCGGGGGGAACGGCCTGGAGGAGGATGCGTGACGCGGCTTTGCAGAGCGGGATGGCGGAGCAGAGGATTATGAAGGTGATCAAGAGCGAGATGCCCGGGTCTACGTAATAACGCCAGGAGTAATCGGTGAGCCAGATTACGAGGGCGGAGATGATCACACCAACGTTTCCCAGGGCGTCGCCAACTACGTGGAGGAAAACGCCTCGCATGTTTAGGTCGCCATGCGAATGAGAATGGCCACCCTTCACATCGTGTGTTTTCGGTTTGGCGTGGTTGTGCTCGCCGTGCAAGTCCTGGTGGCTATCGACTTTGGGTAGAATTCGAACTTGTTCTTGACCGTTTAGATGAGTATATGGTGTGCCATCGTAGTCACTCAATAAATCCGTTTGTTCCGATGGCCGAGGGCCATTTAAAGGATATTCCGCGTCCGACCCGTCAAATCGACTGGCCTCAATGATATCCCGACGCAAAATGGCTGGGTGGATTTGAATATCTTCCGAATCACGGAAAGGCCATTGGACTGACGCACTAAACCGACGGGAGTTGCGGCGTTTGTTGGCATCAGATTCGCTCCACCTGCTTGCACCAGGAGTAGACGTGTTGTTCTCCGTAGCACCCCGTTCTTCGGCAGACAATCTCGATATTCCATTTTCTGGTGCTGCGCTCGCCACGGCCGCCGATTCGTCCGCTATTACCCCCGTACCCGGCTCCTGAATGTAACCCTGCTCCGCCGTATCGACTGCCTCCGTTCCTCCACTGTGGGCATGCGAGTGGTCATGGAAAAGCACCAATCCAAGAATATTCGACATCAGACCGCAGCAGCCGACGACAAACACGAGCTTCGGGTTCCTCACTACTTGCGGCTCGACGAATCGTTGGATAGCTTCAAGAAAGATGGAAAGACATAATGCGACGAGGAACACGCCATTGACAAGCGCACCAAGAGTTTCGGCCCGTTGCCACTGTAAATTGTCGTAATTATCATCATATTAGCTCTGGCCATTGCGTGCGGTGCTCGATCAAATTCGCAGGACAATGAGACCCATTACTTACCCCATAGGTATACACTTTCGAGCTGGTTCTCTCATTTGCGACTTTGACAGCCCAGAGTCCGACACAGAGTGATAATACATCATTGAGCTAAACACGCAAAAAAGCGAAGAAATAATTAGTTAACGGAAAAGACAGACAAAAAAGAAAGAAAAGAAAAAAAGGAAAGGCCCTCTCGCATTCTCCACATACCATATGAAACGAATCTGCAACCAAGGCTAGCGAATGGACGGAATAACCTAACCAAAGTAGAAAAAGAAGGGAGTCAGCAGAGGCTCCTAATATAGCTTTTCAAAATTTGTCCACTGGCAATGAGAGTCCGTAGCTCACCAACGACTAGTTCAAGGAGGAAGAATAGGGAATCGATTATGAGGAGGAGAATGATCCGGTGGGATTTTGACATCCCCATGGTCTCCGATTTTAGAATTGGCACCGCCCCAGGGCGAGCCAACGGATTTGATAGGTTAAAAGCAAAGTGTGCAATCGAACAGCCTTCTTCCAAAGACTATTGAGAGCTAGAATGGACGTTGGGTGTTAAAACCGGCTATGCGATCTTTTTCCTTAGACTCCGAGAGGGAATGATCTTTGATGAGGTGGGCATGGAGAGAATGAAGATGTAATATCACCATCCTGTCCGCGCAACATATCACCAACAAGGGGATGAAAAGCGGAAGGAGGGGTCTGGCATGAGGAGATACCGATGAAACAACTGTAGTGTTACCAAACCAGGCCAGATCTGTTGGCGCGATATGGCAGCTTTTGGGGGTGGCGGAAGGAAAAAAGTAAAAACCGGGGGATCGGGACGTAGGATTTAGTCAGCAGATTAGGACAGGTGTTAAGACCAACTTATAAGGGTTAGCAGACCAGATCCGGCTGACGGCAATTTGTGTTTTAACGGTCGACTAAAGACCAGACTGAGCAGTTCTTATCTAGATTCATTTATCCTACATAAAATCATCAACATATCTTAGCAGATACTAGATACTTTGCTGTTAAATCTCTACTTAACCCACTACTAGTACTATTTAAAGCAACCCGGGTGAGTGGGCATTTTCTAGATTTTCAACTATTCAACTATTCTGTCTATGTATTTCAAGAACCGCGATTTGCTTTTTGGCTGTAGCTTGACGTTGTCCAGTCTGCCACCATGCCACCTCCATAAGCGCCCTTCGTTGATATGCTGAAGGCTAGCAAAGTTCTTACCCTCTTACCCGAGTAGAAACGCACTGCTACCAGCAATCATCCATCTATCTATCAGCTAGTCTGCAATCTACGACATTGGAATGTCCTTTCAACTTTGTCTCGATCTTATTTGCCTCGTCTAGTCTTAGTTTGTTCACCATTGCTAATAGGATAATACCGTTATTTGCTTTGTCCGGCTATCATCTGGAATCCGCGTTTACCTTTTTACTTGCCAATTGCTCTCGTATCACCGTCGCTATAAGGGAACAAAACTTTCGGCGAGAAACTTCAGCAAGAGGAGCAACCGAATGGCGCCCATTTGGAGATCAAACACGGTTACCCATACGCAGTGCACAGATTGAAGCTGAAGAAACGTTCCAGATCTCAAAAGGAAAGAAGAGAAAAACATTGTGAATTGCAATTACCTGGCTATCCAAAGAGATAAAAAGCTCGCCTAGCACTGAACGTTTCATTTTATGGCTAGCTTAAATTCACTCAATCTGCTTTCCACAACCAAGAGATGGAAAGAATAACATTGCAAGTCTCTGTAATACCATTCCAACAGAAAATAATTGAGAGAAACAAAGGATATTCAAAGAGAGACATGAGGACAAGCACTAAGTGTTCCCCCTAGTTCACATCCACAGCATAAACACTAAGCCGGTTCCTAATGGGCCTATATTTCAGAGCAACTATAAAATTACAACAATCAGAGATGGCAAACCCTTTTGATATTTTCAAGCCTTACCCAGTTTGAACGAAATCCATAGCTCCTTCTTTGCCAAGGACTAAAACAGCGGGATTGTCAATGTGACGCCGGCCTCCAATCTTCCAGCCACAGGGGCAAGTCCCATTTCCAGTACCTGTACGGAAGAAAGAAAACCACATAAACAGCAAAAAAAATACCTACTAATAGGTACACCTTCTGCCGTGTCCATGCACATCATCGCACCTGCCATTGAATGGCTTCACGCCCCCATACCTCCCGAGCGATCTAGCCTGATTCTCGTCCTTGGGCGGTGGGTCCTTGGGCGGCAATCCTTTCGTGCTGCGCGCATACGTCGCAAGCACATACGCCGCGCCTTTGGTATTCAGCAACCACGCGTCCTTGTTGATGTTCGTCACATTATCGCCCTTGCCATGGTAGTTGGCGTCATAGGCAATGCCCGCCGTGCCACCGAACATCTTCGCCTGTTCCTCGGTCTTGATGCCCTCCGCACCCGTGAAGATGCCGCCGCTGGGGATACCGACAGAAATGAACGCGTCGTAGTCAGATCGTCCGTCGAACTCGGTGGGGATGTGTGGCTGCTTACGATCCTCGTAGTATTTCTGGAAGAGTTTCTCGATCTCCGCGCTGCCAGCGGGGCCGGTGACGTTGAAGGTGGACCCGTCGCCGTCGTAGATCATGTTGGCGTAGTTGGGCGAGGCGGTCATGTCGAAGTTCAGGTATAGGCGGATTTTGTCGCGTTCCTGTGGGGTCAGGTTGTCGACATAGAATTGTGAGCCGAGGAGGCCGTATTCCTCTGCTGTCCAGAAGAGGAAGCGGACGGCGTTGGGGACTTTGAATCTTGCGAGGGCCTTCGCGATGATGAGGTTGCCAATTATACCGGAGCCGTCATCGTTGATGCCGGGTCCTGAGAGGTGGGGGAGGGGTTATTTAGAGATTGTTCCTGGTTGTGGGAGGCAACATGCATGTACTTACCAGCTTCAACGGAATCCGTGTGGCCTCCAATCGCGATGATGTTATTTTTATCTCCGTCCTTTGAGGTCGCAATAACGTTGAATCTACACCGTCGTATTTCCGGTTATTCAACAGCTCATAACCTACCGACTCATTGTCCTGGAGGACTACTTACGTCGTGCGGTTCTGAAACTCTGAGTGAGCCAACAATTCACCTGTCAGCGTCTCGGATCCCGCGCGGGCAGCGAGACCGTCTCCAATTTCCTTGGAGACCCCGACGGTGGGAGGGTAAGGCCCATTGGGGTCAGAGGGAGAACCGAGAGTTCCTGAAAGTGGGCCGGGGATATTGTTATAGATGAGGGCACCGACGGCTTTAGCCGAGCCAGCAAGCGCGGATTTGAGGCCGAATGTGCAATCGCCACGGAGGATCAGAGCGATTTTGCCATTCACTTCTGGTGGGAAATCCTCCTGTAGGATTGGGTCATGTTTAGCGATGATAATATGCCGCCCCTTTTCGTTCCTTCTTCCTCTGCGTCCCCTTATATATATTATTTCCCTTGTCTCCCTTTGGGTTAAACTGGGATGTGACCTACAGCAACGCATCCTAGGTTGTTCACCAGGACGATGTCCGCCTTCGATTGACCTGACGGACTATATGTCATAGGAGTAACTTCTGTGTCTTTGCCATTGACTTTAAATGTAGCGTTGGACATTGACCACAGGTGGATTTGCTTCTGTTTGACGACGTCGTAATAATGGGTCCGCTGAAGCTCTCTGACGAGATAATCAACAGTATCATTATGGGCCTTGGTGCCAAAGACGCGGTTTCGTTCAGGAGTGGCGTAAGCGATGCCTTCGAGTTTCTTTGCTCCTGCCATCAGATCCTTTATGCCAATATGCCATATCAATTTTTCCTATGCCCGGGGGATAAAAATGAGGGCAGTTAGCATATTTTATTATCAATTATTCTGCTGCAGCAACATTTCGTTAGAAGACAGTGCTATATACGTACAGGGGTAAGCTGGCGAAATTTATTGTACCAGTCGCCCGGGAAAGGGATTTTAGGAAAATCTGGAAAACCCGGGAAACCTTGCGCTTCGACATCTGGAGTCTCAGCAGCAACCAGATGTGTTGCAAGGACAGCACCGAGTGCAAGCAATTGGGCCTTCATTTTGTAGGCCGCGGGCCAGGAGTCTTAACTGCTCAGTCGGCTGCAGAGTATCTCGATTCAGGGGGGAACAACTACGGGCACAGGGCATGCGATGGATATGAAATGTCTCCAAAACATTGGCCCATATCCGTGCGACCTGAAGGAGCGGAGGTTGGTAGTAGGAGAATGCGGCATCCTGAGCACTTTATAGTTGGCGCATTTTCGTGACAACGAGCATGCGATGCGAGGGCAGCCGCGGTTGTTCTTTGAATCGTTCCTAATTTTGGGAAAGACGCCAGACTTCCAGCCCGCTCTACCATCCGCTGATCGCCGTCCATGCAGTAATCATGAGGGACTGACTGGATGCGGTCCGCATACCACCTACGTAATTTGGTATAGTACTCTTCGTGCATGGGCATTTCAAGCTCCAGCTCCCTTGGCGGAAGTCAATTGAAATACGATTTGCTCGCCGAAAGTGTTATCTCCAAAGCTGGGTTTTCGGGGCTAGGCTTGTTTTTGCACAATTAGTGGGGATCCGAGGTGAAGCACTGGAGCATGAAATTCTCTCTCCGCATTGCGACAGGATTATCCTTGTGAATTAATGTCGGTGCCAAGTTGGTACGGCGTCGGAATCCTGGGGACAGGGGAAACGGCGTCTACGCAGTAACGCGGTGATGCCGAGGACTACGCTAATGATGTCAAGCTGGTCCGACATCCAGCGGCCCAAATAGCAACTTCAGAATCAGTACGAGTCTGCGGCACAAGAAGCAATGACTGAAGCAAGTCTACAAAATCCCGGTGTGCGCGCCATAGGGTATGAGCAACTCTTGGGTGCACGAAAGCCGCTCTCGCCCAGCATATGTTGGAACAAGCTTCAGAACGAGTTCGGTTTTTGCCTTGATCCGGCCAAGGCGCAACGTTCCATCGCGAACCCTCCAGAGCCCAGCAACGAGCGCATGGCTTGTCTTCAGAAGTAAGCTGATCGACAGCGCCTTGTGGGGTCTCAAATTCACAAGATATTTGGCGAATCATGGCAAGCAGGAGTTGGGAACGGAGACAAGCCACAGCGAAAAAGCAAGTCTGCTCGGCTTCCTGCGCTCTCGAGCTCAGGGCAGCTTGTAGATCGTTATAATCTTTTCGTGTTGATTTCACACAGCGTCGCTTGACTTCTTCATGTCCTGTGTACTCTGCATCTGGAGCCGTGTCGGTAGAGAATAGAAGAAGAGTTGACCTTCTGGAAGGATGCCTTCCCATCGAATCCTGTGTACAAGTTCAATAATATGATGGAACTGGGAAATCTGTCCCTGGCCAGGGAGATGTCCCTCAAGGGGCGTTTTGTGAAACAATCCCCATGTCATTTAATCCCTATCCCAATCTATTCAATCCTCCCATAATTTGTACTACACAAATATTGATACTGCCGTGTTAAACCGCGACAGCTTGGCGTGGAGTTACTGCGTATTCAATCCTTCCGACTCGTCGCCAGCCCAGCTGGTGTAACTCAAGAGGCAGACAGGAGGATGGCATCACCACCCCTCCTCCTTGTAGTAAGGATGATTGTGATGAGCAAGCAGCAGTCACCGCAGTCCATGAGAGTTTTGTCGTCACATTCTCAATTCAGCCCAAGAAGAGGGCGTGGTGCGCTGTTCAGAGCCAGAAACCCCCAGGAAAGACAGGAGAATGGCAGGAATCGTGAAGATATCGAAAACAAAATCAAAAAGTACTTTGTTGCTGCGCGGCAGATTTCCTCGGTATTGTTGACGAAGTTCCTTCAACGACTTCTCTGTGCCTGTGGTTTACACAGCAGCTAATCGGCATATACATTGCAAGGAAATGGCTGAAACCTTCGGCGGTCCTATGTGATAATAACAATAATAATACAGTACGACATATTACCCACTGCACCATGTTCAATGGAGAACGCGAAGAGTATCACCAAGGAACAATACATTCATTCAACAGCCTCGGCAACGTGGACATGCTGCGTACATACTAGTACCACCAGCATTCATTCCATGTCAGTAGAGAAGTTCCCATCATTTGCTTCCACGAGATACTCGGTGCTGCATCTCTCCACCCTTGGCAGCGGCAGGCTCAACAGGTCGCGGACATGAAGAAGGGAGGCAGAACAACGCGGTTAACTGTGGGTTCTAACCTAGATGTCATTCGAAGGATTTCATCCCTCCCCCAGGAGCGGACAGAGTGCGGGGATAGAAATCTGACTACTATGTACGTCAACAACAAGGGATATATATCACCTTTGTATTTTCTCCATTGCAGAACATTGTTCCGGCTTGATTGTGTCCTGCATGAAACAACGGACATGGGCGTTGAATGGCACTGCAAGCGAGGCTATAGAGGCTAAATTATTATATGGTTTATGTGAATTGGCCTGGTTAAACTGCAGACGGATGTAGCCTTCCATGTAACATGACAGAAGGCGTCAATGGAGACGAATATTAATGATGGCTAGACTGGAAGGCGGCTGGAACGATGGCTGAAATAATATCATATCACAAACCCCTACCGAACTCCCATTTTTTGGTTTGGTAAAGAAGACAAAGGCGATGGTTGAAACATAATGAGAAGGAAAAAAAAATCGAAGAAATTTCTAACCCCATGTTATCCTCCCTAGGTAGATGAAGAGGAAAGGAAACTGGAGAACACAAAAAGACAAGAAGACTCTCTCTATTAACAAAAGTATTATTTCGCCGTACATACCAATTATCAATATTCCGAAAATTAGGGTTAGGAAATATTAAGTAGGAGAAACGGGAAGAGAATCTGGGGTACTGAGGAGTGACTGAAGTCTAACTTCTCGAGTGAATGTTAATTTATCTAACGGTCCATCTTCTCTCTTATTTATTTTAGTTTTTTTCTTAGTTTTTCCCCCTTGTACCGAAGGGGGGAAAATGGAGCAGAGAAGAGGGCCAATTTGGTTCGTTTTGGTAATTGATCGAGCTTGATAGGAAAACTGACGATTCTAGCCAAACAGTTGAAAGTACGGAGCTAAACGAGCATGACAGTAGATGAACAAGCGCAGCGTACGGGCTCACGAGATAAAAAAAAGTTCTAATGTCGTGGCGTTGATCAAGGTTTGCGTGACGGTGGAACGGCGTGTAGATGAGGAAATTCGCAAACCTCACGAAGAGCGAAATAAAAAGGGGGAAAGGATAGGATAACAGCGAGGAGGGAGGCATCGAACGCTTTTGCCTTGGGTTCGATTCGTTGGAAATGGCATGCCAACGGATGTCGAGAGAAAGATGGAAAAATTGGAGAGGAACGAAAACTCGTCCTTATATGTCTGGCAAGTGAATCCAAAGGCTTTCCTCTATCAGGCCGCTTTCGCTTCCGCGTCCACTTCCACTCTTTCAGAAGGAGAAGTAGTCGCGGCAACAGACCCACTAGACCCACCCTTCCCTTCCTCCTCAAGTTTCGCAATCACCATCTCCTCCACGACCTTCAAACCAGCCTCCTCACCCTTCCTCGACGCAGCAGGCCCGTCGTCTTCTCCAGAAACCCGCTGATCAAGCGCCAGCTTCGTCTGGCCCAGCGCATATATCTGCTCCTCAATCGTATCCCTTGTGACAAGTCGTACAACCTCCACCGGGCGCGTCTGGCCCACGCGATGCGCGCGATTCTCCGCCTGCACGTCCTCCTGTGGATTAAAGCTGGAATCGAAAATGATAACCTTATTCGCGCAGGCGAGGTTGATGCCGGCGCCGCCAGCTTTGGTTGAAAGGAGAAAGACGGGTATATCAACTTGTTCGTGGAAGGCGTCGAGGGTAGACTGGCGGTCCTCGACGCTGGTGCTCCCATCGAGGCGGAAGAAACGCATTTGCAGAGTCTGCAGAACATGCTCGAGGATATCCATGACCATAGTGAACTGGGAGAATATAAGGGTACGGTCACCGTTTTCTTTGAAGCGCCTTAATAACTCGCAGAGCTTGTCGACTTTGCCGGAGTGCATCCATTCGTCGTTTTTGAGGGTAAATTTTGACAGGGCGGTTGGGTTTTGCTCGCAGAGCGTATGGACTTCGAAGTCGTTGTATGCGCATAGCTCCAAGTAGATTTGGTCTGGGTCTGATGCGGCCCATTTTTCATCCTTTACACATGCTCTGGCGATGCGGCTCAGAGTCTTGTCGTCGTAGTGGCGACGGTAGAATAAGGGATGGATAGCGGCCTGGCGTAGTTTCATGAGGATGTTGGCGGACTTATTGCCCACCTTTTTCCCCGCGGCTCGATCTGCAATGAGCTGCCGCACGGTTTCGACTTCGTGGTTATATATATTCTTTTGTGCCTCATTCATTTCACAATATTCCACGCTGGTGAGCTTGGGCGGCAGATCGATCACCTGATGCTTTTTCCTCCTGAGCACAAAGGGGGTGAGCATGGATTTTGCTCGAGCAATGCGTTGTGCCGATAGTAGCGCCGAATGTGTGTCGTCGACCGTCTTGGCTTTAGCGCTGAAGATATACTCGAGGTCTTCCTTTCGCTCCTTGAAGACTGACGGGAGGATAAATCCGAGAAGCGAAGCTAACTCCTGGAGATTGTTTTGCAGTGGAGTGCCAGTAAGTAATAACCGGAACTGAGCCGGAATCCGGATAAGTTTCTCGTAAAGCATGGATTTGCTGCTCTTCAACATATGGCCTTCGTCGTATACACAAACACAAAAGTCCATGGAGCGAAGGAAGGCCGCGTCGATTTTTGCCTTGGCAATTGTGTAAGTAGTGACTACAACGTTTATAGAGTCCCTCGTGTCTTCAATTTGCTGCCGAATCCCAGCCCGAACGTTCTGGTTGGCGTAATAAGGCATGACATTCAGTTTTGGGCAGAACACTGAGAATTCACGAAGCCAGTTCTCCAGGGTCGAAGAGGGAACGACAACAAGATGCGGACCCTTGACTCCTTTCTCAAAGAGATGGGCAAGAAAGGCAATGACCTGACAAGTTTTCCCAAGCCCCATATCATCTGCAAGGATACAACTTAAATTCTGCTTGTAGAGAAGGTTGAGCCAATTGATCCCAACAATCTGGTAATTTTTCAGCGTAATCGATTCACTCATTATTGCTGGCTGCCCAATGTATTGCTGTCTCTTGCGTGAAATATTGTTGAGCTTGAGTTCGTCATCGTCGGCGCCAGATGAACAGCCACTTGAAGGAGTGGCAATTCCGGAATCATGAGCCCTGTCTGACGTATTCTCGGTATCCAAGGAAACGATTTCAAGCTCGCCTTCTGTTTTCGTGCCGAAGATGTCCACGCCCCATCGTTTCATTTCGTTTGCAACTGGCTTTCCAAGTGCTTCGCATTTAGAAACAAGTGCATCTACGGCTTCATAACCCGTCCACATGTCAAGGCACTTGTCGACGACTTTGTCCCCAATTGGCTTTTTCGCATACTTTTTTGATTTCGCGTTTGAAGTCTTTCCATTCGCTTCATCATCCTTGGTGATTTGGCGAACCGCGTTCAAAGACTTGAACGGACGTTTTGAGATAATGGTGTTGGCGATATTTTCCTGGATTTCAGCGATATCGGAGAGATCTGCCACGGAACATGAATTGAAAAATTTAAGGACTTTCGATTCCAAAATACCATCGTCCTCAGACACATCATGGTTATCGGATTCAGATGAGTCTATCTCGACGAATGGTAGCTCTGGAGAATCTGATCGTGGTCTAGATTTGATCCCTTTGATGAGCCTACCGGGTTTCTTGGTAACAGGCGCCGGAGCTGGTGATGGCCCGGATGGGGGAGACGAAGAACGTGTTCTTTGCCCCCTGATCAGCCGTTTACGGGGAGCTGCAGAGCCTCCGTCAGATCCACTCTTCTGGGTTGGCAGTCTCTGGCTTGAAGTCCACTTGTCCTGAATGCGCGTTCTCGCCTTAATCTGTTGTTTCGCTGGCTCCACCTTGGGCACATTGCGGTCCAAACTTAGCTCGTCGTCAGAGATCGAACCGGTGGGTAAATAATCCTCCAACTGGGCTAGATGGTCTAGAGCGTCTTCGTAATTGCCTCTCTTAGATACGAGGGTGTTGAGGATAAGCTGGACGGGTTTGCTCGGGAAAACGTTGAGAATTCGCTCAACTTTGATTCTAGTCTGGTAATCCTCAATGTCGTTTAACGAGAAAGTATCTTCCTGGCGAGATCTCTTGAGAGACTCAGATCTGTCCTCAGGCGCAGAGGACATACTATCTACCGAACGTTTTACAGACAGCTTCGCATTATTGGTGTCCAACGACGGGTTGTAGAATGCGGAGGCGGTAATTTCCTTGAAACGATTCGCAGCACCGTTCGTAGCAATTGGTGATTCCAGGATGCGTTCTTTTTCGGGGCTCTTGGAATTCCTCGCAAATGTAGACCGCTTGATATCGGTAGTCCCGACAAATTGAATATCGTCCTCGTCCGAGGACCCGCCGCGGTAGGTTGGGCCATCATCGTCAAGGTCAATGGCAGGAGGCCTTTTAATGGGCACGTTTACCATTGGTGGAGGCCTAAACTGCGTCCCGATAGGAGCCATTGAGTTGGACAAAACTCCAGCACCGGGTGTGTTGTAAGGACGGGAAAAGGTAGGCTTAGGGGCCAGCGGCGAGGATGTGACGACTTGGACAACAGAAGAATTTTGCGCAGAGGGGGAAAAAAGACGGTTGTGATTTCGGTCTATTATTTGTGTGGGCTGGGTAGCTTTTTGGGTGAATTGTTGTGTTGCGGGAGTGAATAATCTCTGTGCTGGCAGTCCATGTTTGGACAGTGGGACAGTAGCTACGGTCTCCTCGAACTCTGAGCTATCCTGATCATCAGTCTCCACATCAGATCCCGTTTGAACGGAAGACAAGCCAGCCTTCTGGTCGCGAACGGGGGTACCAGGAACAAGGTCCTCCATTGTGAGGTGGCTCTTCAGAGTCGGGATATTTTTCAGAGCTTAATGAATCGACAAACTAGATAAAAAGTTTTTGAGAGCGGCATAGAAGGTATAAAGGAACCTATAAGACCAGAATCGGGTGCCTTTCTCCTAAGAGTCAACCTGACGAGCAGCTCTCTCGAGGGGAAAAGGTGTCACACCAGGAGCTGGAGGAGGACTGGTCAGCGGCGGGCGTGGTGAAAAGTGCTTGCTCCTCCAGCCTTTTTGTTCCTCCTCGCGTGGTTTGCGGCAGAAAAACGCGCCTAGGAACACCCGTGATCACGTGGAGATAAGCATTGCTGACTCATCTCTTGCCGTGTCTCGCGGCAACGGCGGGTCCATTTCCCGATGCGGTAATATCGACTTCATGCAAACGGCGCATTGGGATAGCAGTTCGCAGGGAATTCACTGATAGACACCGTGTTGGCGGGAGGTATGCATCGGGAATGTTGGGTGAAAGGAATCTGGGAGCCATCGCCTGATTCGTCTTGTTTATGTACGCGGATTTCTATTTACCACAGTCAAATAGAATCATAACACCCAGAGTTAGCAAATTTAGACTTTCAAGATTGAATGAAACACAGCCTGAAAACAACAATATCACGGTGCTATGATTACAAGCTTCCCAGACAAACTCCAGCAATTCTTAAGAATACCCAGCTTCATAACTCAAGACCCGAAATGTCAAAATACAAGTTTACCACTTAAAAAACGCCAGGGTTGCATTGCTTAGTACATACATTGAACGACCAACCGTAAATGAAAATATCCCGCCACAAGTCAGCAACCAAAAAAAAAAAAAACCCATATCCGTTGCCATCTCTGACCACAACCACCATCCAAAGCTTTCCACGCGACTACACCCATATCATAAACAACCCCCCTTTTAAAAAAGTATCCCCTTTCTAGATTCCAGCTAGAACAAATGGCCAGCCGCCGCTCCGCCGCTGCCAAGAAAGAGGATGTCAGCTTTGAAGTGGCAGCAACGCAATCTGCACCACAAGCCCAGGAAGGATTTCCTTCGTAAGTTATTCATTTCGTCCATGCATACTTTGGATTTTGTTTTTGTCGAATCATTTCTTGCATGAAGTCCTGTCTCTTCCCTCCTTATTCCCAGCCGTTGGATGAAGGGGATTGATTCCCTGTAAGCCCCGAATCAGGAACGGAAAGCCTCCGCATCTTCATATCCGTATATCATCTCTCCAGGTGTTATTATTCAACTCCGCACAACGGGAGGGTGATATAGTAACATATGTTATACCGAAAAAAGACCACCAAGGAAAAAAATGATCAGAAAAGGAGATGAGACGCAAAGAAGCGGAAGGGGAACAGAATAAAAAGCAGAAAAGCAGAAACTCGCTTGTGCATCACCACTGATTTATCTCACACTCTAGATCCGTCATCATCAAACTCGTCCTAGTCACTGTGGCGATGATCTGCGCGCCGCTGGGCACATACTTTGGCACGCTGAATACGATCTGTGGAGGTGCGTTGTTTTCTACTATACGTATATGTATATTCATATATATACATATATTTATATATTTTGCCACATCTTTTTGCCCAGCATTCGGATGTAATATATTTATATTTACATATATACATACACACGCACAATCACTCCAATCCCTCGTCTTTCGTTACCCCCTTTCATTAAGAAACTCTCTCTCTCTGCTTATTTCCGCTTCTCTTCCCAGCCCTTTCTATCTACCTTCCACCAAATACCATCAAAAAAAAAAAAAAAAAAAAAAAAAACTTACATGAAAAAAATCCCTACCCGCAGGAGACTCCTCATATGCCGGTGCCCTCGCGGCGATATCGGTAAATGTTGTCTTGATTATATATCTCATCATTGCTGCACGTGAAGACACTGGTGAGAGCGAGGAGGAGAGGAAGGGGAAGGAGGGGAAAGAGGAGTAAAATGATGTAGGGAGGTGTGGTTATGTTTGGTTTGTGTCTTGGTATCGAGATAGAAATTGGGACTGGGGACTGGTAGCAGGTTTCTTTCGCGGGAGACGGGTGGTGGGAAGATTTTGGAGCGACATTGCGCCAGGGGAAGATGGATGGTGACTGACTGACTGCCTTAACTTAATGGTTGAGTGGGTTTCATTCCCTTTGAACTTGGTCACTTTTCTTTCTTTCTTCTGTTTCTTTTTCTTTCTTTGTTCATTTTGCTTTTTTAATATATGCTTGAACACTTCTTTTTATTTGAACTGTCTTTGTTACTTTTTCAGTTGCGTATGTGATTGATTGACTACCTGGCCATGATTCAACTTGTCATATTACTTGATCTGTATACATCTAATTGTATATATATATATTCTACCTCCTGATTTACTAAATCAGATAATGTTAATATCCAGCATGGAGTTGCCGTGTGATACATACATAGGTGGGAAATAACATAGAAAATACAAAAACATTTCTAATGACGTTATCAAACTCGTTATAAAACTCGCTTACTTCTCATGGGTACCTACATACATACATTAAATACACAACAAATATAACCTAGACTTCTAGTAAGGGAGATGCGTTGCAGAGAGATGGAAAAGACACAGCAGCATAATAGCATATCATATGTAAACCACCTCCTCAAAAAACTGAAGCCTGGAAAATATCAAAAACGAGCAGCAACCAACTTTGGGAGGAGGGGGGGATGCACTGAATATTATTTATACAAACTCCTAGCTTCCTGCTGCCTCTCTCCCCCACAATCTCTCTCACATACGCTCATCATTATTAAAATTTCCCGTGTTGAAAACTCCTCCCAACCTCCCCCCCCCCCTTCTTCTCCTTTCCTGGTATCAAATCAATCTGTTTTTCTCAGTGACATATATTATTTAGAGTATTATCCCCGAGCCAGGATCTCTCCATATTTACATGTGTGCTATTTCTGTGAAATAGAAAGTATCAAGATGAGATACACACCAACTAGCAAGAGAGAGAGAGAGAGAGAGAGAGAGAGAGAGAGAGAAAGAGAGGGGCAGAGGAGAGAGACTTGAAGGAAATCAAGGGAAAGGAAATGAAAAAAAAAAAAAAAAAAGAGGGGGGGAAGGAAATGATCAAAAGTCGAATGGATACATATACATATACACATATCTCGATAATTCCAACATCCCGTATACCCGTAACCCGTAGCCCATATCCCATACCCCATATCCCATATCCCATTATTCGTTAACTTTTCCTCCTTTTGCACCAGTACCATTCTTGTGCCCGGTCGCGTTTTGTAGATATTCATGTTCTCATGAGTTTTTGTTTTTTGTTTTTATTTTTTTCCCGTCTTTTTATTATTTTGTAGAAAAGGTGTGTTTTCTTCTTTTGGTTTCGTTCCCACTCTCTTCCCTCCTCTTCCCCCCCTTTCCACCTTTCCACTCCCTTCACACATAAAACAAGAACCTCATGCATCTTTCCTTCTCCCAAGAAGAAATTCCAGCTAGTATGTCCACCATTATCCAGTTTAGTCAGGGGTCAGGGATTAGCCGAGTCAATAAGCAAAATTTTTATTTTACCCCTGCAGCGCACAATCATAGAAAAAAAAAGAAGGGGAGGGGGGGGGGGGCCGCCGCGGGGGTTGGGTTCCCAAGAAGACGAAGAAAAAATATCCCCTTCCCTCCTTTCCACATTATCCCATACGCACGTCGTTCGTTACTTTTCATCTTAGACTTCTGTTTTTCCCATCCCCCGTTCATTTACCCTTTCACGATTTGTTAAACCGCCTAAAGAAACTCATCCGTTTCCCGGATGAAGAAGCTGCGGCCGCCGCCGTGGGGGAACCGGCGATGGCGCCGGTATTAGCGGTCGAAGAAGGAGAATCAGATGGCGAGAGCGAGAAGGCCGCAACGGGCTTCCTCGCGATGTCCTTGGCTGGGACGCTGGGCGGTGCCGCGGATGCCTGGTTATTGTTGAAGTAATTATTGTTATTATTGTTGCTGCCGCTGTTATTACCGTAATCTGCACTGCTGTTGTTGTTGTTATGGGGGTCCCGGTAATAGCCATCGTTGTTGGTACGGCCACGGCTGTTGGCGCCGTGAGGGGATTGTGGGGAGTCGAGATCCGGGGCGTCGCCGAAGCCGTTGAAGCCGTATGTTTCTGCGAGGGTTTGGTGGCGGGGGGACTGGGGCTGGTTCTGTTGGTGTGGTGGTGGTTGTGGTGGTGGTTGTTGTGGTTGTTGTCGGTAGGGCGGATTGTTGTTGTCATCCCCGGTATTGTTTGGGTCTGCATATGCATCCGCCCCGGCGCCTGAGGGGGATGGATAGTTGTAATTATCACCTGGTGGATACTGTGATTGCTGCTGGGACTGATAGCTGTTGTTGATGTTATTGTATCCCTGCATGTGCTGGTCAGGATTCATTCGTCCACCATGACGAGGGGTCCGTGGCTGGTAGCCATTGTTACTATTATTGTTGCTGTTGTTATTGTTGTAGCCGTTATTATATCCGTTGTAATTGCCCCCGCCATAGCTTTCAGCAAAACTATCAGGCCTTGACGGGGCCAGGCGGTGGTTCGAATAGTTGGCTTGTTCGTTGTATCCCCCGATCCGATGATTGCCATATCCCCCTCCTCGATCTAGACGTCGCTAGGTTAGTTTTTGGCCCACCCATAGCAAATAAAAGTTTTACAAGGCAAAATTGGAATGTTAAGTGAAAAACATTGGGGGTCTAGACAAGAATGAGGACAGCAAGAGAGGGCAGGAAGAAGGACGGGTGGATGATACCTCCAAAATAACTACTTCGTCTGCTGTAGCCACCGTTTGCACTCTCGTCTAAACCGCCAACGATCAGTACGTGAGTCATTTTGGATATCAGAGAAGAAAATAAAAACGAAAAGATATAAGAAGAGGAGAAGGGGCCAAAAAAGTACCTCCTCGAATATACGACACCCTTCGGTTCAGATAACTCCCATCAATGGCTGCTTCAAACGAGCGAATGGTATCCAAGGGACGCTCGAATCGATGGCGCGTAGGATTTGATAAATCGGGGTCAGCTGTAGAGTAGATTTTCCCACAGTCAATTGTACTGGACAAGAGAGATCCGGAAACAAAAGCCAAAAAGTAAATGAGCCTGCTCACTTATTGGATTTCCATAGATATCTTTATGTTGGATAGCTCGCAACGACTCCAAATTCGATTTCTGTAATGCAACCGCAGCTAAAATTGGGGGAAAAAAAATTAGAATTTAACATAGGACCACCAGATGGATTCGCACTTTGCTTTTCATTTTCATTTTTTTTTTATCGGCTTGGTAGCGCATGCGAAGGAAGGGTGGTTGAAAGAAAAAAAACCCACCTGGTTGCAATTCCTGAATAGCTCGAGTCGGATCTGCATATGTGCGCGGTCTATATGCCTCTTTCTCCTCGTGCGTCTCGGTGAGTTTTATCTTGTGCTGCGAGCCGCTGCTCTTGCGCGATTTCTCCGACTTGCCACTGCTGCTGGTGAGGCTTAGGACGCGGCTCCGTTTGGGCGAGTCGTGGCTTTGGACCGCCATGTTGTGCGCGGAGATTTAATACGCGGAGCTGAACGAACTGATGGACGGATGGACGGGCGAGCGAAGGAGTATGAATGGGTGGGTGGGTGGATGGAGACGGATGGATGGATGGAGGCGGATGGATGAGATGGGATGGGATGGGATGGAGGTGAGCGGAGATAATAGCTGGATAATATTGTCCCGAAGATGTGGAATAGATCGAGCGATGAGCGATGAGGGATGAGCGATGGCTGAGAAGGGAGCGCGCAGTACAGAGTAGTTGGCGCAATTGTACGGAGGCTTCGGAGTCACGGTTCTATCTTCGAGACTTGGCCGATCGGATCCGGGAGGTTAATCTTTCCAGGCTGGCGTGGAGCCCACAGCGGTCATGCACAGGACTTGCACCGGATGCGCACGACGAAAAAACCCGAGCGTCGAAGGTGGTTTGGGGGTCAGGGCGGGCTGGGCTGGGCTGTGAAGCAAGTCAATCGCAGAAAGAAACGAGAAGAAGGGAAGATGGAAAACGTCGTCGTTATAGATGGAGGGAATCGCCAGTCGGGAGAGGCAGAGAGACGCAGAGAGAGGCAGAGAGAGGTTTCAGTGGGACATGTCTCAGATATCCGGACACTGACGACGACTCCGCGGTTGGTGGGTGCTGGGTGCTGGGGTTCTGGTGCGTCCGTGTGTGTGGGAGGAGACAAAGCTTAGGCGAGGACCGCCGTCAGAGAGGGTGCAGCTGGGCTTTCAAGCAACAACCAGTTTGATGTTGGGAGGGTGTCTGGATGCAGCAACCAGTTCAGCGCTGGAAATGCTCCTGCAGAAGAGTGGCGTGGGTGTGTGCGAGGCCTCAGCGCCCAAGCGTGAAGATGACATCGTTTGGGGCCAGGCTGGTGGCGGTGGAGACAGATTCGCACGAACTACTGGGAGCCCTGGGCCGGCCAGACTGCGGCCAGCGCATCAAAAACGCAGCTAGAGGGATAGATGAAATCATAGGAACGGCCTTTGACGCAGTAGATGCATCCCACGTTGAAACCAGCTGTTACACAACTCGACGACACGGATATGATTTAGTTGATTAATTGATTAATTGTCCGCAATGTGTCGTGCACAGCGACCAACAGGCACAGGCACAGTCCAGGCACAATACAGCAGCAGTAATACACCGCGATGGGCTTGCAACCATGGATCACTCAGTGCTGTTTTACTCAGAGTAGGCCGATATTGGAGGGATTGTCTAAGACGAAAATGATGAGTGGTGGCATTTGAAAATTTGCATTCTTGCAATCTATTTTTATTCTTGAAGTCCATTTTCATTTGTGAGGAACAAAGCTATCGCCGGGCAGGATCATCTCTTGTAAATTGATTGGCTATGTTTGATGTAAAGGATAAAACATGATATTTGAATGACTTGGAAATAAATGGCCGCTTTTCCCTCAGAAACAAGCAGAGATGCAGCGCATCTCCTAAAAGTATGGGGTATATTGATGATTTGCAATTGCAATTGACGTATGTACTGGAATCAGTTAACCCTCCTTCAGGACGACTTTCTACGACGGCAAGAAACAGGTTGAGTGCTACGTCCTTGCACACGCTAAGAATAATACCGAAGCTCAATTAATGCCCCAGGTACCTAACTATAGGGCCAGCCTTGACATCAAACTTGGCAGCTAACCTTATAGGAGGTTTTTGTCAATAGATTTGCCATGGTGCATTTCTAGCGTTTGCAGGGGCTCACATACAGTGCATACTCTCCTCCTCTACAGGGTCTCAAACGGAAAACTTTTCCACCAGGGTAACAAGAAACAGTTCCTCCTACAGTTCGGATAGCACGGGCAGGATCAGTTTGGTTTCAAGCTGGTATATAACAATGCGTATGCTCTGTGCAACGTAGTGCGACCCGATCCATGTGGCACAAGTCCGCTAAACAAATGAGATTAAATAGTAGCAAACTTGCGAATAAAAAAAAAAAAATAAAAAGAAAAGAAAATAATTGTTATTATACCGCAGGAAATGGGTCCCATCATCCATTTTATGATTGACGCCGATTTTGGCGGTTTCTACATCCTGCCATCGGAAAGACGAACCGGTACTTGTAATTCGTCCTGGGAATATCTCCGGCAATTGGGCGAAAAGGCTTTGAATAAGGGTAGCAATGTCTATAGTGCCGATGGACATGGACATGTACTGTATATACAATTGTATCTACCTAATGTCTTGGTCTGTTGACTTTGTCTTGTGCGCGCCTGCTGTGTGTGGCCCGTTTTTGGTGATTTATATATGTATTGGAGCTGTAGAAGTTCATTGCGTCGACTTGGGTCGGGAGCTTCCATTTGGTACAGTACCTACAATCGGGTCGAGATACAGAGGGGGAAAAAGCGTTGCTATGAAAAAGAAGGGGGGAAACACATGTGATGGAGGGAAAGAGGCGGGGGAAAGACGACTGGGTGGTCAGTTGGAACAGATACTGTCAACTTGATTGGAAAGGAAAAAAAGTAAAAATGATAACATGTCAAGCGCAGATAAAAAAACATGTGGTCACAGGCGAGTCGCCGGCCCTTTTCTATGCAGATTTTTTCTTTTCATGGTGGTGCTGTTGCTGCCAGGGGAAAGCAACAACGACATCAAAGGGGGGAAAGAGAGTGGTAGGAAAGATGAAAAAAAAAGGGTGGACAAAGGGCAAAATAAGGACCATCTTGAACCCCGATGCGACCCTCATTCAGCCCCTCCTCCAACCCCTCATTCTTCCTCCCTCCCGTATGTCCTCCGTTTTCCATCGCCCCTTTTTAATTTGGTCTCTTGCCGTTTTTCAAAAACCGCCTCCTGACATCCATACCGTTTCAGCCTTTCCGTCCTCAGACCTCCCCCTTTTTGTTGTTTTTTTTTTTGTTTAAAAAAAATCTTTCCCCAGACATTTGCCCCACAAAATCCCACGACTGCACACCGCTCCAACACCCAACACCAAACCCGACCCCAGCCCTGGTCTCAATCAACGCTTAAATGGACGATGGGTACAACATCACTCGCACACTGGCACCGAAGGACTTTGGGGGGAGATTGTGTCTGAATTGTGCGCGGACAACGCCCGAGTTGCCTATGTGGAGACGGGTCAATCTTAGTAATTTTGAAAAACAGCAATGGATTGTTTTTCTTTTTGTTGGTCACGAAAATACAGGCCACACCAATTGGCCAAATAGAAGTCACCACTGCGATTTCTTGGCCGGGAACAAATGTCACAAACATACCGTGAGTCCGTGTGACCTTGCCCCAGATAACTCTGATTTTAGAACCCTGAACCTCACGCTTGGCCCGGTAGACGAATGCTACTTTCTTTCCGAGGTAGAAGTTGGCGGCTTTGATATCTTCAACTCCCTCAAGTTTGATAAGACTATATGAACACACATCACCATTAGCTGGGCACCCTTCCATATTATTCCGCCGAAGGGCGGCCAGGGCCCAAATGTAAGCCCATGAGAGGGAAAAATGGTTAGAACAAAACGGTACCTTGTGTTGGGGTTGGTGGCTCGCTTTCCACGCTGGTAGCTCAGGTGCCGACCCCTAATGAAATATCTCATCAGCTTTTCTGTTCTGTTCCAAGTGTCTTTTGTGTCCATGTTTCATAGTCCCAATCTGCTTTGAATATCAAGATCCCCATGCCGATATCTGAGTCGCGAAAGGTCGAGCTCCGATCGCACATAAACTGATGTAGCCGATGGGGGATATCGATTGGGAAAGAGATAAGGGTATACGGAAAAGGGTATACGGAAAAGGGCGAGGAGGAAATTTGTCTTACTTGACATATACTAAATCAATCCAGCAAGATATATATGTTAGTGCACACAACAAATCGCTGATCGATGTATTCTCGTCCAAACGAGTCCCAGTCTACCAGTCGCACACACAGAAACACACGCAGCGGACTCGCAACCATTCCCCGCAATACCCAATCCAACACTCAGGGGGTGGAGAGTGTACTCACGTCTGTGACCGTGATCCGAAGGCATGATAGGCCACCGAATATCTGTGAAAATCTAAGAGGAAAAAAAAAACGGGACACAACCCCAGGTGGAAACAGGAGGGTTGAACTTTTTTCCTTTCTCTTCTTTATTCCCTTTTCGCAAAGAAAGGGTTCGGGGGGCGCACCGGGATTTATCGTGCGTTGGTCGTCGTCGTCGTCGTCGTCGTTGTCGAGAAGAGTTGATAAATCGTGTCTGTGGTGGTTTGGTGCGACTGCAGCCCAACTCGGTATGGGTCGGCGTTAGCGAGCCCTAAAAGTTGTTGCGCTTTTCCATTTTCGGGTGGGACGATCCAGAAAATTCACGTGATGTGGAGCTTTATCCGTTGATGTCAGAGCACTTGGAAACAACGTCCTGGTTGTATCTGGGATCAGATCGTTTTCTCGTATTTCGACGGCTGGTGCAGCTGCAAAGATCATGTCAGGTTAACAGAGGCTTCATGGCCGGATCTAAGTTATCTGAGACATCCATCGCTTGAAGACATTTGTTCAAACGCCCACCTCCAACGAATGTACCCAGAATGGAATGATTGGCAAGGTGGAGAAGCTGAATGCCACCTGAGGTCTGCCGTCAAACCACGCAAGGTGGTGTTGGATGGGCACAGATACCATCCGCGTGGCTATCTCCGCTTCATGCGTCCTAAGCTGAGGCTTCTGTCGACAATACTTGACACTCGACAATTCACAGCTCAGAGGATGCGTCTCTCCACCCCCTCATTTACCTCCACAAGATAACTAAGAGCTCGATATATAAACTTCTGGTGATGTTCCCTGTGTTATCTCGGTATACTCGGCAATATAGAGTCGCGAATAAAGAACCATGGCCACAACCTTTTCCTCTCTGCCCATAGTTGATTTGCATCCTATGGAATTGTCCCACAAGTTGGGCAAGGAACAACAGAGGGACCTAGCAAGCCGGCTATACGACGTCTTCACAACTACGGGATTTGCCTATCTAGTCAATCATCCATTGAGCTTCGATCATGAAGCAGTTTTCAAGCTTAGCATGGACTTCTTTTCTCTCCCAACCAACGAGAAGATGAAGCTGGCTAAGAGGAGCTTTCGCAAGGACCACTTAAATACTTATCGAGGGTAAGTAGAACAACCATTTTATCGAGTCTTGCTCCCGTTTCATTAGCATGGATGCACACGGATTCGAGAGCTGGATCATAACTTTTAGGACAGGTATTTCCCCACACAACCAGATCTTGCCAGTGATAACCTGAAGGAGGGTTTTGAGATCGGGCCTCAGAATCCCATGCCGCTGACATCGGCATCAAACAAGACATCCAACAACATCCATTTGCCAAAGATCAATCTTTCAGAACACAATATCTGGCCCGCGCCAACCGTATTTCCCTCCCGCCAAAAGCTCGAGCAGCTCCACAATGAACTACAATCTCTTGCATCAACCTTGCTCTCTCTCCTTGCCATCTCACTTGGTAAAGATGCGGATTTCTTCTCATCATACCTGACAAACTCACTCAGCACATTGCGACTCCTCCACTACCCGACCACTTCATCATCCGCTCACTCACAAGGACAAGAGTTACTGGGTTCCGGTTCCGTGAAGTTGAGTTGCACCCCGCACACGGACAGCGGAATTCTTACCCTTCTACATCAGGATGCTACAGGGGGTCTAGAGGTTCAAAATTCAGATGGGAAATGGGTTGCTGCGCCGTATGTTCCAGAATCCATCGTTGTGAATATCGGCGATTTGATGGCGAAGGTGTCAGGTGGGCGGTTCGTTGCTACCATGCATCGTGTACGCGCCCCACCCGCGGCCGCACCCACACTTACATCCGCAGCTCCAATTTCTACGAATACTGTTGGGACAGAGCATTTTGGTAGATTTAGCGTGCCGTTTTTCTTCGAGCCAGGTGAGAAATGCGTTATCAAATCGGTTGACGATGCGGAAGGGGTCGGTGCCGTTGTTTATGGGGAGCATGTGAGGGCTAAGATGAAGACTTGGGTTGAGTTTCGAGATCTTTGAGTGGAGGGAATGCAAGGGCATTCCTAATGAAGGAAATTTGTGGTATCGGGGGACGGGTCATCGGTATATTTATATCCTATTCCTATCTTTCAGTCGTATCTGTGGATGGGGTGTTTTTTTCAGCTATCAGTAAGAAATAGCTGTCTATTCTTCATATGCATTGGACTGGACTTCAGGGAAGGTGTCCTCATATCCCCCAACGCGACCATTGACCTGCCAAAAATCATTAGCTTTCACGAATTGATACTACTACCCACGGCCCACCAATTGCATGGGGAATTCGTTATTTTCAGTCCTATCCTTCCTCCTAACGACCAGTCAACTTAGTCTTGCCGGCTCCGGTACCTCTCCGTCCGACTCATCCCGTGAAGCAAACTGGGTGATTGCGCAACCGAACTTCCTTCTCTCTAGTTCTTTTTCACCCACTTGAAGAGAATAGTGTCCCTGATAAGAGTTCAACTGGCTTTTCCGAACCTACTGTGATTGGTGTGTTCCAGGCCAACTAGTCGGAGGATAGATCGTGACAAAGAAAAGCCGGAAAAGAATCCAATACAACCGCACATTACGCACCACTCTCTCCGATTATCCTTCATAAACAAAGAAAAAAAGTCATCGTACCCATACTCGGAATCGAACCGAGGATCCTGTCATTACTAGATGATCCACGACGAGCTTGAGCTGGAGATACCGGAGGGAAATCAACATTCTTGTGCAGAGTTGTAGAATTCCTTCGCCATTACTGTTAGATGCCAACTTGAGGGTTATGTTGGAGTTGAATTAGAGTTAGGGCTATAAACTTTGATGCCAGGTAAGGTTTGCGAGCTGAGACACCGGTACCGTGAATGAATAATAATATTAGTTATACAAACTTCCTGCAGGTTACCAACAAATTTTCTGGATCAGCCACAATGACATCATTTGGTTTGAAGAGATATCATCATCATACATCATGTCTAGCAAAGAAGTTGGAAACTTGTTCATTATTCTTAAGCGAGCGGTACTAGACAGAACTCGGAACCCTATATTCTATATCCTTTTCCCTGCGATTGAGAGCCTAAAGGTTAGGCGGCTTGCTTCAAGTTCCCGTGGCGGGAAGTTATATCCATAACATGGGGAACCTGCCCCCACAGCCAATTCATCCTCCGGTTTGGACACAAGCAGCTTCAATCACGCAAGCTGCCAGCAAACAAGGGTCAGACACAGATAAATGCTCACTATTGGTTACACATTTGTTTCCAATTTTATATATAGATGTATATATAATAATCCCATGATTCTATCCTCATTAGCCAAGCTTCTTATCGGCGAGATCTTGGATTCACCGGACTGAAGAGCCAATGGCTCGACTGCGGACATGGGAAATGCATCCGAGGGGAGCGGCGCCGGTTTCAAAACGTCTCCTACAGATGCTAAGGGTGTATATATGTGAACAATTCAGCCAGCATATAGACCCCCATCAGCCTTAAGCTTTAGCCTAGTGATATAGACAGCCAAGCCGAGGAAAGCCCTCAACTCCAACCAGCTGGGCCGCGGGTGACGCTATTACCTCACAAATTCTCCGGAGACAGGGAGCTAGTTGATGACCTCGCACTCTGCAATTCTATCCTCTGTTTCAACTAACCATCTAACTAGCACCGCTATTTTAAGGCGTCGAGCAACCAGCCTTGAGCCGGGCCGAAGTTGGCATTGTTTGCTTAGCCTTGCGTCTTGACGTTCCAAATACATACATACACGGGATTATCTTAGTTCTTTGGCTGATAGAGGGCATTGGTGAGCTGAAACGGCAGTCTACGCAGAGTGCTATACCGTGGAATGCATGACGTCATGCATAAACCAAGCTGAGAATCAAGGGTCCCCTTTCCCCCCCATGTACTGTACCTACCTAGCCCTATACCCTACATGCGTTTTCTCTCGGGTCTTTAGTTCAATCATTTATATTGCGGCTGCGACTGATTGCTTATTTACCAAAAAAAAAAAAAAAAAAAAAAAAAAAAAAAAAAACCCTTTTAAGTGACCCCCTGCCCCACGCCAAGGGATTTCTGTCGGATCTTTATCTAATCACGAAACTCGCTAAGTATCTCTCCGTCCCCCTTCCCCGCACCAGACGCAACCGCGTTGCTAGTTGTCTACAGAGCGGATTGCATTCTTCAGCCCATTACAGTGCTGTGAAAAACATGCCATGCCGCTGTGGCAATTGGGTCTTATATCTCTCGATACTGTTACTGTTCATCATTGGGACCTCAAAATGGCCGGGTTATTAATTAATCGCCTACGTACTCGTACACGTAGGTAGGCAGGTACTACGTCTAGTTAAAAACACCCATGCAGATTCAAGCCTCTATTCCTCTATTATTCAGAGGACATAAGAAACCCCCCCCCTCCCCTGAAAATAGCATTCCTATCCCACCAAATTGCCCCGCTTTTACTCGATGCACAACCCGCAAAATATAAAAATAAAAATAAAAATCCAAAAATCCAAAAAATCCAAAAATAACCACCGGAAAGATATCGCGTTTTGTGTTTTTTTAAACCCATCAACACCCAACCCCCCTTCCCTTCCGATTCGGGGCAGCTAAGAAGACACGCGGAGCGGGAAAATCCCCTCCAGACCAGACCCGAGTGAGATAAGCCAGCTAGCCAATTGGTCTAGTGAGGCAGTAGTAGGTGGGGAGGATAGCTTCTAAACACATACCAAACCCCCCTCCCTTCCCGCCTTCCCCCCCCCCCCCTTTCCAAGGCCTCCGCGGTCTCCGCGCGCACCCACGCGCCCGTCCCTCAACCGTACCATATACCAGGCCCTCCGAACGGCCCGAAACGCGAGAAGAAAAAATATATTAAAAAAAAGCGCGCTCCGAAGCTATGCCGGAGGCTTTGTACTCTGGAAATAGGTCGAGGCCCGTGGGGCCCTAGGGGTTGGTTCAGGGGAAGAACAGAGCTGTAAAGTTAGTCAGTTACTATCTATATAGATAAGGCTCCGCAGGCAATCCATCAATGAAAAGTGTTTTAGTAAAATCAAAAGACGTGGGAAAAAAAAAAAACCAAGCCAGCTCACACTAAAAATACAATAAATAGAACGGGCTGAAAAAAAAAAAAAAATTGTGAGAGAAAGGACGAGAATAGGTGAAGTGAGGGGCAGTTAGTTGATTCATATGAATTGAATTTATAAATAAAATTACAAACAAAAACTCCGCGGATAAGCTTAGAAACCTTGCTGGAGAGAATAAAGGAGGTGATGGTTCAATTGAGCGAAAGTTGGATTTGAATAAAAATAACATAGGATTAGGCGATGGATAGATAGGAGGCTCAAGCAGGGAATTGCTGTTTCATGGCTGGCGCCAATCGATAACATCGAGAGAATGCGGGGGTGGCTGAAATAGCTTGAATCAACTGCCGAGAAGGCCCAGATTATTTTCCCATTTACCGTGCTAAAGATCAAAAAGAAAGGAAAAAAGGGGAAAAAGAGATCAAGAGAATAATCCTGAATATACAATCTATGGATTTAAATAATTATACAGAGAATATATAATGTATATACGAATAATAACAGAAGTAGCCAATGTATATATAATTTTTGGTTAAAACATGGTGCAAGGCCGGTAGACTTCAATATTCAAATGTATAGAGAGGAAAAAGCAGGGGAAAAGCCAAAATGAACCCCAAAATTTGTTCAAATCACAAGTCAAAAACCAAAATAAATGGTAGCAAATCAGTTGCTTCTAGCAAGAGCTATCAGCAAAAGAACGGAAAAAAGAAACTGAAAAATGAAAAATGACGGAAAGGAAGAATTTCAAAACAGCAATATGACAAGAATAGCGAAATCACTTGTACCACAAGCAGACTCAAAAAGCCAAACCATACCATATCAAAACCAGAAGAGAAAAGGAACACGCCTCATACTCCCACAATCAAGATCAATTGAACAAATCACTAAAAAGACATCCATTTTTGCTGTCCATATCCCCGCATATCACTCAACCTTCACCCTCTTCCCTACGGCAACGCCTGCAGGTCCATGGGCATGGGACATGCCACTAGCACTCATCCCCCCTTCCGGACTCTTCCTCTTCCTATCCATTCCCCCTTCTTCCAGGGCCCCAACCCCAACCCCATCCTTCTCCTTCTCCTTCAATCCCGAGCCCGATTGCGATTGCGAATTCGAATGTGAATTAATCGCACTCGAAAACCCAGGCCCATTCGTCACAATTGGCGTTGGGAACGTCAATGGGCTCGGTAACACGTTGCTGTCAGGGCCAGAGCGGCCGAAACCCCACTCAGGATAGAAGCTGGATGGGGAAGGGAGGAGAGTATCGGATACGAAGCGGCTGGGGAGGGCGGAGATAGGGGTGTCGATGTTGTTGTTGTTATGGCTGTTGCTGGAAAAGGTGGAGGAGGTGTTGTTTTGGGAGGAGGATGTTACGACTGCAGATGGCGGTGGTGGGCGGGCGAATGGGTTTGGAGGCCCCTGCGCGCCCGCACTGAGGAGAGCGGTGGCTGAGGGTGATGGGGGTGGTAGGACGACCCCGGTATGTCCGCCATCAGAACTACCACGAGCGGGGGTTGCGGCAGTGTTTCCTGTGGATTCACGAGGGGAGGACTCTGCAGTTGCACTGCCTGCATCCGAGTTCTCACTGGGGATTTGGACCTTTAGACGTGGCCGTTTTGCGCCAACTTGGAGGCTATTTGAGCGAGAGATTGGGGCGACGTCAGGTATCGAGGAGAGTGAGTGGGCACGTTGCGGATGGGCGGGAAGAGTCGTGGACCGTACAGGGGCGGCAGAGGGCTGGGGCGGGGCGGGATGGCTATTCGTGTCGGCGTTCTCAGGGTCGGGTTTTAATGGAGAGTCCGTTTTGGGCGAGTCTGAGTGCGGACCAAATCCGAAATGCTGCGCAAGTACTGAACCGCGATCATCAATTGGGGTGAAAATGCTGCGGGATTTAGATGGAAGAGGTTTTGGTGGCGGTGGAGTGTGGTTATGCTGCGTTTTCTGCAGAGGTTGTGGTTGAGGCGGCGAGCGCGACTGCGATTGTACTTGCCGTTCGGGGGGAGGGAATGGTCCCGGCATAGAATGTCTCTTCTGGTGTTCTTGTAGATATGAGGGCGGCGGTTGGGCCATGGATTGATGATGAGGTTGTGGAGTGTGGTGTCGTGGCGGCAGAGATGGGTGATGTGCTTGAGGGGGGGGAGGGGGATGTTGTTGGGCGTGGTGATGATGGTGTTGAGGCATAGGGGGGGGATAGGGATATTGACCGGGCCGTGGGGCTTGCTGGGGTATATTCTGGGCGTTGTACATGGAAGGGTTGGGCATATACGCGGAAAACCCGTTTTGAGGAGGGGGTGAAGTTGCAGGGTGACGCTGCTGCTGTGGAACTAGCCCAGAGCCACCGACTCGTTGAAGATTGTTCCTCGAAGGGGGTCTGGAGATGACAGGCTGCGGTGTTCCATGTCGAGGGTGGAAAACGCCATTCGGTATTGGTGGCGATGCGGAGGGATGATGGTTGATATGTTGGAAGGTCGGTTGATTCTGTATCTGTGGGGGGGGAACCATGTTGTGGTTCTGGGGTGGGATGATGTCTTCAACACCCGACAGGTCTTCCTCGTCATCGTCATCCAGGCTTTGCTTTCCAGCAAAATCAGCTGGTCCTTTGTGCTCGTGCGGTTGGCCATACTAGATAATATAGGTTAGCAGATCAAAAGGAAAGGAAGGCATCAATTTGCGGGGAGGAAGGGGTAAATACACACATATTGGTATCGCCCAAGAGTTTCATTGATGTCACCAGACGAGAACTCGTACAATTTCTTATTGTGACCAAAGATGATAACGGCAACATCAACGGAACAGAGCACCGATAGTTCGTGTGCTTTCTTGAAGAGACCTCCCTTGCGCTTGAGGAACGTTCTAACATAGTAATAACCCAACAGGTCAGGACATGATTAGATACGGGACGTTGGAAAATTCGATTGAAGGAAGGGGGAAAAAGAGGAATAAAAAATTTTCACCATCCAAGGGGAGTAACCAGGACTCAAGACTTACACAGAACGATTCCGATCATCTTTGATGGCCTTAATCTCGATCTTTCGTCGACCCATTGTCGCACACCCTTATATGTCGCGCCTCCACGTGGAGAACGAAAGGGCGTTCCAGCAGCTGATAAAACCCAGCAATATTTCTCTGTAACTTTTGTTGGGGCGAGTTCTTTGAGCACGAGAAGTGTTTATACCGCCCAGGTGGCAGCCAGGACTCCAGAACGCGCCAGCGCCGTGAAAAGTCAAACAACAGCAGCAACAGCGCTCCAGATGCTTATGGGGAGAGTCTGTATATATGAGTGTGTATTGAGGGGTGAGAGAGTAGAAAACAAAGAAAGAGGGACAGTGTGTGAGAGAGACAGAGACAGATAGGGAGATAGAGAGAGAGGAAAAGAAGAAGAGAAGAACGGAGAGATGATAAGAACTGAAGATGCAGGCGGGTTATAACTCTCGCTTATTATATGAGACGTGCAGGGCGGAGAGAAGATTGGTGACCGGCAGCGAAAGAGGTACAAGAACCCTAGCGTTGTAAGATGATATGACCGAAGAAGATGGTCCGACTGTAGACAGCAGGCGGGACACGGGTGGAAGGTGGAGCGTTGGACTAGGCCTGGAATAGGAACGGACTGGCTGTGGTGGTTTATCGTAGCGGAGGTAGTAGTAAGGGTAGTAATAATAGCAGTGCCAGGAGGAGCAATGACGGTGGAGAGGGAGGAGGAAGAGACGACGGCAGGGGACGAATACAAGCCCACAGAGCACGGCGACGACGGTGGCGATGAGGATGATGAGGATGATGAGGATGAAGAGGGTTGATGAGGATTGAAGAGGACGCAGAAGGTGAAGAAGAAGATGAAAAGAAGAAGATGAGGATCAAGATGAGGATCGAGGATCGCTCCGAGTCGAGGCAGCTCGAGCTCTGGTGGGCTGCGGACGGCCTTCTGTTGGTGGCTCGCCTTTGATAGACGCGGGCGTTCTAAAGATAGAGCAGCAGCGAGAGAAAGAAGGAAAGAAGGAGTGTCGGGGAGAAAGGGGAAAGGGGCAACGGCGAAACGGGACTCACCGGACTCACCACCTACGCCCGCCTAGCGCGCTTCCTGCTTTCGGCCTAGTTCCGCTGGGCGTCGACGCGCTGATTGGCCGGCCCTTGTGGTTGATCCCGTGCCGGCCTCCCCTGCTGGCTTCTTGTAACCCCACGCACCAGAGGGTGGGGGGGCGCTAGCCGGTCATTGGCCCGCGCCTTATTGGCTGGAGGGCGCTTACGTGAGAAGTGTCTATGCCGGCTCGGGTTAGTGGATTCCTCCCCTTTTGTCGAGAAAGGAAATTGCTGAGTAATAATTGCATGGGGTTCGTGGTTCGAGCCAAGTGACGTTGGCGGCAATATCCTGGCTCCTGGCTCCTAGAGGGACTTCTGGTGTCCGCAGTCCGCTGTAACCCGTGGCCAGACTGGTGGAACGGAGCACGCAGGAGGACGGAGTTGAGCTAACTCTCTGCGTGGTTGGCAGGAGCGACCCCTGCACCAGGGCAGCTCGTTGGTCGTTCCACTGGTTCCTCGCTTCTTGGCTGAGCTTGAGAAAAGCATACTGCCTATTGACACAAATACATATATGAGGATAAACAAATCCCACCGCGAAGCCTTCAGGGGAAGGTGGCTGAGATCTACAACAAGAGGCATGTACGCAAGTACGGAGTAAGTCAGTCAGTCATGCATGGTCCCGTTGGGTTCCAGGGATATGATATATGTACGATGCCCTGTTCGACGCTGGATCACTCTCTGCATCAGAGTAAGTAGATCCTTTTGAGATGTCTATTATTATTATTACTATTGCAGAGACGTTCCGGAACTTATATATATATGGTGTTCTTTCCATACACATATCGGCATTACTACTGATAATACCCAATTCACTGGCCATCGGACCATCATCACACATAACGAGAGACAGACTTCCTCCGCAATCTCATTGGGCGCTGGAATATCAGTTCGATGCCTCGAACGGTTTTCAAAAACCGCTCAGCCTTGGAAAACCACAGCTTTCCCAAGGTTACTATGCGTAGTTAGGTATCTCTTCAGTTAGTCATGCCCTGGCTGGCTGCCAGTGGTTGGTTGGCTGCTTGCTTTCTGTTTGCTTGCTTGCTTGCTCTAGGGTTACTATTTATATCCTCTGTTCGCCCCACCGAACCCGCCCGAGTGCACGTCGTTGATGCACGTTTTTTTTCCTCTCACGGGCCACCCCACCGTTGGCTACTGCTGCCCTGTGCGCCTCCCCACCCCAAGCGGTTCCGCTGTTGGACCCTGCGTTGGGGAAACTCTGATCTTTCCATTGACATCTTGGGCTTTTTTGCCTAAGAATTTGTTTGCATATGTTGTCATGTTGTCCACTTGGAGTTGGAATGAAAGACCAGATATTAGCTAAGGCCGCTTCGTGTTTTTTCTTTCTTTCTTCCTTCCTTCCTTTCTTCCTTTCTTTCTTGCCTTCTGGGCCGGAATTGGACGTTACGGAAATGAAATGGACTGGTCAACCAAAAAAAAAAAAAAAAAAAAAAAAAAAAAAAAAAAGAGGCGCCCTGCCAATCACGACGCGAATGATGCTGGGGAACACGTCCATGCCGGCTGGTAGTTATCTTTCTGACTAATTTCCCCGACCTGGTACCCATGTACAGTACCTGTTCTTGTACATGGATATGGACCCTGTATATATATATATATATATATATATATATGTAATCTGTATATACATGGTATACGCAGTAATAATTAAGATGAGTTTTATACCTCCGGTATGAACATGTTCCCCAGTGTTCACAAGGTTTGGCGGGGAAAAAACACCGGCTCCCTCCCGAGGCTGTCGGTTTTTAACCCCGTCCCCCGTCCGGCACGTTTTTCAGGCTTCGTGGCCTGTGCTGAAGATGTTAAAAATAGTTATCACCAGGGACATGATGACAAGTTAAATAGAAAGCACCAGGGGGGGGGGAGGGTGTTCTTTCGCAATAATTGCTAGCGCCGGCACATGGAGATTACCCGCTACTTTGTAATAATTAGTAGTAATTGGCTGCGCCGGGAGGTTGGCGTGGACAAACTGCGCAGTTCATACAGCTGCACCTGGAAATAAGCAGCCTGCCACCTGACTTTAAAGTTTTTGTCCTTTCTTTTCTTCTTCTTCTTCTTCTTCTTCTTCTTCTTCTTCTTCTTTTCTGATAACTCCTAATACTCGTACTATGGACAATAAGGTCACGATGACCACAGGATTAATTTAAAGAACCAGAGCAGACAAGGGGAAAGTGGGCCCGTCAATAGAAAGGACTTCCGTCTGTACTCAGCCAGTTCCCTTTCACTCATTCGCCTCTCAGATCTAGCTTAATCCACACCATCCCACTCCACAAGAAAAAAGAAAGAAGAAAATGGAGCAAGCATGAAAGGAGAAAGAATAATCATATTAACAAACAAACAAAGACAATACAGATGTAGTATCTACGCACACACATGACAGATGGAAATGAGGTGATGCGCGAGTTGACTTGATATCATTGATTGATTGATGTGCAAGGGCGCGCCGGGGCCCCCTCCCCACACTTTCCAGTGTCTTTGTCTTTGTCTTCGTCATTGTCTGGCTTTCGAGGCTTAGAGAATACATACATACATACATGCAATGTCCAGCTTATGTAGCCTACCTACCTAGCCCCTGGAGCTCTTTTCATGGCCACGAGGTCGATGGGTGATACAATGGGCCCGCCTGCGATCTTTGTGCTATGGACCACCAAATATAGCGTACACCTACGTGAGCATGAAGCAGGGGAAGCGGAGTAGAGAGCGTGGCGGGGCCTGAGGGAAAAAGGGGAAGGGGGGGGGGGGGGGGGGGGGAATAAAAAAAGAAAATTCAATCGCGATGGAGGATATGTGTTACGAGGGGCAGAGATAGCGGGTTGGCATTGGCATTCATTTGTTATATTCCATCGGCGAAATAGAACCAGAATATACTGGTACGTAAGGAGTGCTGTGTACATGATTTGCAAGTATTCCATGCAAAAGGAGGAGGGGGCGGGGGCAATTAATTATAATTAGCCCCCATGCATCCATCGAAATACAGCACTGTACCTGCATTCATCTATGTGGTGGTGGTGGCTATTATTTAGCAAGAGGGTATGACAAGGCACAGAACTCATATGTTGTATTATATTATGTATATCACATTCTGATTTCATTTTCCTTTCATTTTTATTTCATTCCATGGTTCTCATGACTTGTCAACCTCGCCCTGAATGATTAAGTTAGTTACTACTAGTTATATTATGCAGTAATGTAAAGGTAACGGTGAATGTTATCCAAAAATATAGATTGATTTTCTTATTGTAACTATTCAAATACCTCCAGAGCATCATCTGCATCATCCACACCTGCACCTGCACCTGCACCAGTACATAAATAAATGACCGATGCTTGCCTTCAGACTTCGTTATTGCCATAACAATGTTGACACTTCAATTGGTTTCATTTAACATCATCCTGCCAGTTCTCTTTGATATAACTAGTTATATCTGAATAAACATGATGCAATGCAATTTAATGCAATGCAGCTATTATATTCCTAGTCCGGAAGTCGGAGTGAGCCCCAAGTAAGAGAGCAGCTCACACTCAGTGCTATCATACTAGTGAGTGCTAGCTAGTTGTTATGTGGTTGATTTTCTTGAAGTTGGTGCCCCCATGTGAGTTGGGCATATAATGCACATAACCTACCTGTTAGACTTCCAAGGCATAGTCAATAAAATTGCGAACTTAAAAAAAAGACTAGTTAGTTATGGTAATTGGGGAAATTCTCTAGTTGGTAGAAGTCCAATTTTATACTACCTATGGTAATTAACAAGCTACAAAGCACGGGTTCGTTTTCGTTTTTTCTCTTGCTCTGTTTCATATGACTCCTCGAAACCTTATCCCACCCTGTCATCAACGTGGGAATATAAATATGTTAGGCCACCTGGGAAATGGCGGCGGCGGCGATGCCTTGTGCGTTCAAACGGATGCTGTGTGCTTGTGCCATCATATGAACAGCATCCATGTCATCTGCACAATCTAGATCTTGCCAGTTTGAAAAATAATAAATGAAAGGAAGCTTGACCAAAGTTTTGAGACGATCCAGGGGTTTATTTTTAATTCAAGAGCCGATGAATTACTTCCGTAGTTCATGTTTCCCACATGGGCGGCCCCTGCTTGAACTTCCCTGCATTCGCTTCTCGATTTGACATTTCTCGTTGGTCTCGAGCTAGAAGGGGGGAGAAAGAAACTCGTCGTGATACCCGCGGGACTTGAAAGCTTGATGTTGGGGAATTGGGGGAGCAATGCAGTTAACAGAAAGGCAAAGGGGAGAAGGTAGAGGCAGAATCAAATCAAGGGTATAACAAAGAATCTGTACGTTTTAATACATATTATATCGAGAAACTGTTTAACGATAATTGATACACTGAGGAAAGGTTAAGGGTTAGCTTCGGAAGACGAGAACGAGATAAATATATATATATAAGAAAAAAAAATTGAACAAAACTACTAGTAAGTTTCTGAACGGAGAAGAAATGCGGAGAATGAAGGCAAGGGAATCATGGTCTCTGCAATGACTCAAAACACCGATCATCCCCGAGAATTTTCCGTCTCATCTCTTCAAGCTAAATACTAAGGGACACAAGAATATTCCTTTCCGCGATCAACAGCGGGAGATATCTGGTAGAAGTCCCCGGATGTACTCCGTGCTGTCTATAAGGAAGCTTTTCAATGGCTTCGTCAATCGACGGTCCAATCCATGGCTGGCGGATGTTGCGGATCACCGTGCCGAGTCAGCGCCTCATATGCCCAATTTACAGACTGATAAAAGTGTGTGACTCCATATTCATCTGGCAGCATGGGAACAGCCGTGCCAGTGCTCCAGTCATTCGTGGAAAGGAACAGAACTACAAATGATAAATTAGTTTGAAATTCCTGCCAAGAACAAGAGAGATCCGGGACCGATGAAGATTACCTATTATTAGATAGGCGTAGCTTTCTGTTCATTTGGGGGGAAAACGCAAGAAAGAAAAAAAAAGTCAGCGACAGTTTTAGAACGGTAACCTAGAATCATACTTCTCAAATGCAAAGACATACCTGGGTTATTAAGTGATTTCTCCAGGTCAATCAGGGGAAGCAATGCGGCAGCTTCCCAGCCGTAGAGTTGGCGGCCAGCAACAGGCGGGAGTGTAACGGGTTCTGTTGTTTGGAAGAGAACAACAGATAAGTATCGGTTCATTAAGACAAAGCTTCTATTGAGAATTGAGAGGAAAGGTGGAGGGGCGTACCCATCGGTGCTTGCCCTCCTATTGGAGCCTGTAACAGCAGGGTAAGGAAAATGAAAATGGAGTTGCGATACGTTATTCGCTCTATCGGGTATAGGTTGTCAAATTTGATTTTTTCAAAATTCGCCAACGACTTCAGACGCTGTTCGTCCACGTCGGCCGCATTCCTTGTATCGTAGTTCTGCGGACACAGGATTATCGCAGTCATCTCTACATTTCCCGGCCTCGCAATCGACATAAACACTTTGTTGCCAACGATTGGGTCCTCAGCACATTTCGTAGGCGGATTCAGAACTATATAGGATTGCCCACCAACCCCAGGCTGCCGATCGTCCCAAAAGGTATTAGGCAGTAGCGTTGACCCTGGCAAGCAAAGACCGCAACTCCATCAGAAACAAAATAGACAACGTAGCTTTTGTAGGGCTAGAAGTTATTGGGTAATATATGGCACACTCACGGTCAACAGGGAAGGGGAACGTCGATGTAAAAAAGTCATCTTGACACCAGATGAATAGTGGCTCGTCTGACATGATTACTTTATGAAGCTTTTCAAGTCTTCCTAGGAAATTGTCAGTCAACCACATAAAAAGCAAGGGAGGATATTGTTCCAGTTACTCCGTCCGTACCTCGCACACGCTGAAATCTTACACGTGCGTCAAGATTCTTAAAAAGGTACTTCTCATCTGGCCCGAAATAAACTGTACCAAATAGTGCCTCATATGTATACTGTGTGGACCGCTGAACGCCTCGGATGATATCCTCATAGCCATACCCTGAGTCCAGAAGGTCACCCAGATCTCCGATTCTCTTTAGCACAGAGGCCACCTGCGCTGGATATTAGCTATGTTACAATATTTCCAAATGACTCCATACATACTATTTTGTTCATCGGGGCCTTTCCAATTCGCCATTTGAGAAAGCTTGCGGTATTGAAACGAGGTTCAGCGCCGTTGTATAAATCATGGCACATTTTGAACTTCAAGACATAAGAGTTGGACAAGTTTATTTGAGTTATGAAAACAAAGACCAAAAGCATGCGCTTAAGGGATAGCATATTGGAAAGGTTTTCAGGACGTAGAATCTCAGGAGAAATGAAGATATATCTCGAACACGACACCAGCACTAAGGGGACATAAACGAAAGATAAGGGATCAAAGGGAAGGGCAGTGAAATTGTTGATAACTATATAAGCTTACTATTTGGAGTCATTTCCTGCATGAATATGGCATCTATAGCCTCGGATTCATGTCCGTAACTGACTCTCTATTTGTATTCATCCCGCAGGGCCAAATTGGAATTCGAAATGGGATTGATCATCGTCTGTTATCAAGATGTGGATGCTGAATGTTGTGTTGTGGGAGGATTGATAATTACACTGCAGCTTTTTAATCATCATCATCATCATTGTCATTGTCATCTTAATAATAATACATATGTATATATATATATATATATGTGTGTGTATGTGTGTATGTGTGTGTGTGTGAGATAGAGCTGTTTAGCTGCAGCTTGGCTTGGCACCTGCAGCACGCCAAGCCATGCCGCCAAGGGTGATCAAAGGATCAAAAGCGTCCCTGCATCCTTGTATCCTTATCGAAAGTTCTTTGCGCCGCAACGATGCACTCACTGCATATCAGGCCTAATAATACAAACCAATTTGCTCCCGCCGAATTCCTTTCGGGGCCATTTCTCAACTCTGGTTTATCTCAAATCCTGGAGCGTCGAATGCGTACTATTTATGCGTCATCTTCAGCAAGGTCTACATTCCTCAATGAACAACTATTTATATGTTTAATGATTTACATATGCATTGGATTTGCGCCGCAATGTTCAGGCGGATAGCCCAAAGCAAGCATGGATGCAAAACATATATTATAGTTGGTGGTTCCAATTTACCTTCGGCAATGTTGAACTGCTGCTGGTGTTCAAACTACTCAATTGTGACCCTTCCTGCTGTTTCAGTGGGCGAGCGGTGCTGCAAACCATGAAGACCCTGAATGGCATCACCGTACTGATTTTAGCGAACCTAGCTGCCTTCCTCGCTTTGGCTGCTTCGGATGCCACCTGCTCAAAATCTCGACCGTGCAAGCTGGGTTGCTGTAGCAAATACGGCATTTGTGGGTTTGGACATGAGTTTTGTTCCCCGGAGAAGTGTATCTCGACGTGTGATGCTAAGTCGGAATGTGGCAGTAAGTTGCTGAGTTCCCCTGTGAGCAAACTTTTGACAAGAATTTTTGCCTTTATATGGAGTTCAAACTCTTGCTCATATTGGATATTCATTGATATCATGTTTTGAAGGTTGAGCTGATTTACTAACCTTCGTGATTTGTTGCAGAATACGCGCCAAAGGGACGAGAAAAATGTCCACTCAATGTGTGTTGTTCACGGTTCGGGTGAGATAGTCAACAATTTCGTAAGTTCCAGTGACATTGAAAACTGTCGCTAATGTGTACGTGAAAGTTTCTGCGGTACTACTGAAGATTTCTGCGGGAAAGGATGTCAGAGTGGGTGCAGCGAAATAAAGAGACCGTAAGCATCGCCAATGACAGCCAGATGACCCTTCTTCATTCATGTTATAAAATAACGTTACTTATCAACCTTACAGTTCATGCTCCGGGACCTCTACGAAGGGGCGGTACATTGGCTATTTCGAGAGTTGGGTCGACGATCGTCCGTGTGACGTGCTCCATCCATCAAAAATCAATACTAAGCCTTGGACAGTGAGAACCAAAATTTTTTTTGTCATATACCCCAGTTTCAGTGAAATCCAAAACTGACTACTCTGCGTGTAGCACCTCAATTATGGGTTTGCTCAGATCAACCCGAAAGACAATACGCTGACTTCAATGCACCACTATGACGAGAAATTCTACCGCGTGTTTACAGACTTGAAAAAGCAAAAACCGTCTTTGAAGTGTTTTATTTCAATAGGCGGATGGGATGCCGGCGGCAAGGTCTTTTCTGATATGGCGAAATCCGAGGATTCTCGGAAAGTATTCATTTTCTCGGTGATCGACTTCATGAAAAAATACGGTTTCGATGGTGTTGATATCGACTGGGAGTATCCAGTGGCTGATGACCGGGGTAAGGAACTGAACGCCTCATTACTATCTACTAAATAGGTTATTAAGTTTTGCACAGGGGGTTCAAAAGAGGATTTTAAAAACTACGTCCGACTTCTAAAAGAGCTGAAAGCTGCTATGGCCGACAAGTACGGTCTAACCGTCGCACTTCCAGCTTCCTACTGTAAGTATCCAATTCTGATACTCGTTAAAATAACTACTTCATCTAACGGATGGAGATAGGGTATTTAAGAGGATTTGACCTTAAAGGAATGTCCGAATATGTTGACTGGTTTAATGTTATGACATATGATATTCACGGTACCTGGGATGGCAACAGCAAATGGACGCAGAGTGTCGTCAATCCTCATACAAACTTGACTGGTACACGATCTTTCCCAACAACGCAATGTTGACATAATCCTAACAATTAGTAGAAATATCAGCAGGTCTAGATCTTTTATGGAGAAATTCTGTCCCCCCAGAAAAGGTTTCTCTAGGCCTAGCATTTTACGGCAGGTCATTCACACTAGCGGATCCTAGCTGTTCAACTCCGGGCTGCCCTTTTAAAACGGTTGACAATGAGACGGCCGGTGGGGCTCAGCCAGGGCTATGTACTCTGAACAGCGGCACACTATCCAATTACGAGATCAATAGGGTTCTGAAGGAGCAATCCCCGGAGGTCATTTACAACAAAGCATCTGGAGTAAATTGGATTTCATGGGATAAAGATCAATGGTATGTATCCAGCCCACATTTGCGCTCCCCCATTCCCTTGCAATCAGATCTCGTTTCTTTTTATTCTATTTTATTCGTTCTTCATATCCTGCTCTCAGTAATGGCACTGGATTAATTAGAATTGTCTACAGGGTTTCGTATGATGATGGGAGAACGTTAAAGCAGAAGGCAGATTTTGGGAACAAGCTATGCTTGGGGGGAACATTTGCCTGGGCCATTGATCTTGGGGGCCCTGGCACATTAAAAAATCCGAATGACTTGAGCGCGAACGATACTGTACTTGATGGTGCTGACCCGGATGGTAGAGATAGTGGGTCTGGTGAAGTCTATATTTCTCCAGAGATTTTCAAGAAACAAGATCCAATCATCGCATGCGTACCCCCTTGCACCTTTATTATGCCTCCTATCTCCTTTTCTACTCCCACTACGATCTCCCTCCCTCCTTATACAACATCTTTAGAAGTTGTTTGGCCAACTACACAGTTGGTTACGCTTCCCGGAGGTTCAATATCAGCTTCTACAGGTCTGGCAAGGACAGTCCAAACGACGACACTTACAATCCCTCCTATTACGACTTCAGAGATCAATTTATGGAACTGGAAAGTTACTGATCTCAATGCCTCAAAAGCATCATATTCGCTTATAAGCAGTATCCTTCCTCCTCCGTTTGTGATTACTGATAGCATCCCGCAAGACTGGTTGCAGAGCAATCACCCGAAACAAACTCCGGACAGTGGCAACCTTGGGACGACAAACGACAAAGCAGGTAATACATGGCATTCGACAACCGGATCTGATAATCCTTTCCTCATCGGGGTCATGGGAGGCAATACCCAAACACCTGGCAAACCGCAGCCAACACATGAATCCGACGACACCCACCAGCACCAAACAACCGAAGGACACGATAAAGGCCATGTAGTAGCCTCCATCAGTGATGATTCAATACTCATATCCCACCTACCTGCTGGAATAATCAAGCCACCTGTGATGACACGGACAGTTACTCCGCCGCCGTTTCCTTATACCACAGAAACTGAACACCATGACAAAAATCCCGACACCACAAAAGCTAAGAATGACAACAAAACGCCATTGCCCATTGTTTCTTTTACTAAAGGCCCCCCTGATCCACTTTGTACCTCAAATTGTGGAAAGAAATGTAAGGGTCAATTTTGCGATGGACCCTGTGAGCAGAATTGCGGCGATGGAAAAGACTTCTTTTCCGAGAATGAGACGGCGAAACCTAAAAACACTCAAAAGTGCAGGGGTCCAGACTGCAAGAATGGCAAATGCACGGGTTTATTATGTATCAATTTCGGCTGCTCTGGACTTGATTGCCTGGACGGCATTTGCTGGGGTCCTAGATGCGTTATCACCTGGTGTGGCGGGCCGAAATGTATACCAAAAATAGGCGGCTGTAGTGGCCCTGGTTGTAAACCAAGTGGGTGTCTTGGGTTAGACTGCGACAGCAAAACAGGTCGATGCTTTGGTCTAAGATGTATTGGATTTGGTTGTGATGGCCCCGATTGCGATAATGGGAGCTGTAAGGGTCCACGGTGCTGGCCGCTTACATGTGAAGGAGAGGGTTGCCACTCAGGATTCTGCACTGGGCCCAAGTGCAAGATAGGAAAAGACGGTTGTGATAAGGCCCAAACTGTTCCTCGATGTACAGAGCTAGTTTCCAAAATTCAGACCAGGCCAGACAGATCTGAATATTTTTCAACCACACAGACCGGATGTCGCACGATCACAGCATGCTCTGCCCAACCCACAACTATCACTACTACCACTACCGTCAAAAAGCCTTCCATAAACACCGCTACGGGCATGACAATGACCGCACCAGACACTCCAGAGCATTATATGGCCCTAGCGCAATATCTTGTGTATCAAATGCAAAGCCGCGATGCTACCCGGATGTTCTTTGAGCCGGAGATAATAACGCCAACAACTACAACTACAGTGAAACCAAAGAAAACTGCCCTTCCAGGGTTAAAATGTTTTGATTCAGGCAGCACTTCTCACCGCTCAGGGATGATTCGAGCGATCGAAGGCTTCTGTAATGGCAACAAAGGTATAACGATTCGAAAGATAGATGGCCAGTTTACAGAGTATTATGGCGCAAGATGTTTCGGTCCAGGGGCGTGCTGGGTTGAGAATAAGATTTCTGTGGAGTTAATCAATGGCTGTGAGCCATTCAAACTCGATGGTGGGGGGCCTGGAGATACGTGCGGTTACTCTTTCAGACAAACTGTTGATAAATGTGATCAAACGCAAACAAGTTTCAAACAAGGAGGCATATACACAACTGATTGCGCGCGCTGGATACTAGACCCTGGCATCGTCGCGCCGGGAGGGCCAAAAATCAGATATCCCCTGTTGAACGGCACCGATTATGCAAATACCTCTATGACAAACAACACTAGATTCTGGAGATCCTTCAATCACGGCTCGGCCGACGTCGCTCCAAAACAAAATGGCTCAGCTATGAACCGACTCCAAAAGCATTAGTTCATATACATGAGAAAAAGGACAGCCCTAGGGGCCGGGAATTTCATCGATCGATTTACGAATTGGAGATCAATTCACAGTCTAACAGCATCAATTTCATTTTAATTTCTATTTTCTGTGTTTTTTACTTCCCCCCTTCAATCCTAGCTCCGCTTCTTTACGAATTTTTGTTCATCAGCTGGTAACTAACTTAAGCCATCCTTTTTTTGTGAGCAAATTTTATACTTTAAACCCTAAGCTTGAATGTCTTGTATATATATGTTAGCGGTCATGGAAAGATTGGTGAAGTTCCTTGGATATGCCCAGGCCGGACAAGGGATGTAGGTTACCCTGTCATTCGAAGCAGAATCAATTATCTTTCCCCGGCTAACCCCTCGTGTCAAAGCCTTTCTGGCCATCAAGTTGATGATTTTCTAGAGCAGGGCTTGAATTTTTTCTTTCTTTTTCTTTTTCTTTTTCATTTTTTTTTTTTTTCATTAAACATGGTGTAGACTTCATTTCGCGTAGCCGTGTATCAAGGCGAACAAGGCATAGTCGAATGGGAATATCTGTCAAAAAAAAATCCTCATTTGACCTAGGATGTCCCTACAGAGGCGCTTAAAATTACAACTTGCGTGTTTCGGCTGCTTGAGTGTTCATAGAGGTATATGCGCCTGAAAGCCGACATGCATGCAGTTTACATGCTGCACTGCGTGAAAACCATGGGCCATCTACAATCGTTTGCCATTGGAACTTCTCCAAGATAAAATGATACCAGATTGATCCGCGATTATGATCGTCCAAACGAACCTGCAACTTGGAGTGTTTGCTGTGAAGGATCATGTGCATGGTGGTCTTTGGACCTAAAGATCCTGCGGCCGGTATGGGTTGCTCTCTCTGTTCAGGTTAACAAAGATGGTGAGATTCTCAGTTATTCAATTTAGATCTTACAAGCCGTGGTGAGCCTTGTGTTCATCAAGTTTGGATCAATATGCAGAGGTTTAGAGCTACTTTTTATGTGTAGTTTTTTTTTTTGATTACATTTCAACCTTAGAAAATGCGTCAATGGAGATCCCTTTTCAATAATAAGAAGGATGAAATGTATACTTCTAAGGTCCTTTATTTGCGTACGATAGATGTAGGAGAGTTGAAGTTTCTCTCTTCGATTGCTGATCGGCCCTTTGAGTCAGGGACAATTGCTCCGCGCAGGCAGTTCTTCGGGCGCAATAAAAAAAATGTCGGGTGTAAATGATGCACTATCTCGAGGATGCTTTGCAGGTACATGTATGATAAGTAGTTGCATCTGAGCTTGTATCCCCTCGTCTGGGGGCGAGGCAACAATTAGCGTATTTTTCTGCCACCCCAATTCATGACTGCTTACTGGCTGGAAGCCGATAATTCAGCTTGCCTATTGGCCATATAAAGGCGGTCAGGCACGACGCTAATTATTGCCTCGCCCCCAGACGAGGGGATACCTCTGTTAATTCGCTTGGCATATAATCCAAATTATCAGCTATCCATCAGCAACTCTTCGAACCCTAGCCTTGGGGGAGAGGCTAGTTCTAAGTCTCCACATCATACCTGGATGCACGTTGCCATTTTCTCAATTTGCGAAAGCATGGAATCCTCGAGGATGGGTTTGGTGTCGAGATGTTGCACAAACCAGTAAGCATACCCGGCTCATTGATTTTTATATTTCCCATGCCACCATGTATTGGATGGAAGGATGAGGAGCAGACAAAGAAAACCTGCTGCATCCATGTGTCCTATGCATAATCCACGTGGTGGGATGGATGGGAGTTTATTCACGTATCCTGCGATACAGGGATCCCTCAAGAAGTTCTCTCTTTGTTTCCCTGCTGAGGAGGCCAGGCCAGATGGATTGATTCCCAGGAGTCAGAAGCAGGAAACAAGAACCAATGCTTTGATAGTGCTCGTTGTTTGCAGACGAGGATATTCATTTTATTCCCATCAAGGTTTCTGGTTATTCATCGCCCATATTTTATAGATATGTGGTTATGTAGCTCCTGCAAATTTGATATTTTTTTAACCCTACAGGGTATACCCCCTGTGCATGCCGCAGGCAATTTTCTCATGCTTTGCAAAAGCAAATGGAGTTATATTTTAGCTGCCAGACAAGAAGTCACCATATATATACATACATATATCATGTATCCGTCTGACCAGGGAAAGAGAGGGCTTAAAGGGGAAAGAAGAAAAATGTGAAGAAAGACAAGAAAAAGACAGTTTTGTATTGGCTTGAGCTACAGTAACTAATGGTTAGTTCTATGAATTGAATTGGGGTGTTTAATTTCATGTCAGTTCACACCAAGTAGCTTCACAGATGTATTATCACAATATCACTCCCCTCAGACAGTACTGCACAGTACTGATAAGAATTCAGAGCAGTTACTTTTCAGTCTTGTGTAACCAGTTAGCTTCCTTCTCCCACTAATATAAGTAAAAAAATTTTTTTCCTGATGCTTTTTTTTTCTCTCAGAGAAGGTTTTTGGATATCCTCACATACATGCAGCTAGATCATTTTGATCACAGTGACTGGGACTCAAAATTTCTCATAGTTTGACTAATTAGACTCGGAATGTAAGAACTAGATTTTAGTAGTGTGGGACATTGGAGCCCTTTACTTGTGTGACTGATTCATTTTTTTTTTCTTTTTGTTTTATTTCCTCCCAATTTTGGTGCCCTCTGAGATGGAGTCAAAGAAGAGTTATGAAAGATTGTGAGGATTGTTTGAGGATAGGGGGAGGAAAATATACAACTCCTTATTAATTAAATGCACTGTACAGATCTGTACATGTCCCTTATATCCTCAGTGTAGATGGATGGATGGCTGGCAGGGCGCTTGTCAGTTGGCTTCAACGGTCCAAAATAATTTTGTTTGTTCAGGGTCTCCGCCCTTTGTATTTTTCATTTTTTTCATTTTTTTCTCTCTCTTCATTCCTTTCTCCCTCTTCTTTTTTTATTTTTTGTTTTATTTTACTTTTTTGGAATTTTTTTTCTTCAAGTTCGTTTACTACATCCTCAAGAATATGGAATGAACGACGCTTGAGTCGCTGGAGTATCCATGGAAGATGTCCCTCGTGGTTCCAAGGGTCGTTTGAAAGTAAGAAGCTAATGGTCCGTGCAAAAAGTCAATTGCAGGGACTAACACTTCAAGTAAAAATCGAAAATGAAAGAGGGTCTTCGTCTTCGACCGGATAATCTATATATATATATTCAGGAATCTGAGCACTTTGACAGAAATAGAAGTGGAAAAGACCTAATTTTCTTTTGGATAGATTAGGTGTTTGACTAGCCACAAATCAAGTCTGTGGAACCCGCTCCCATCACAGTTTGCGGCGGGAGTTGTTGAGAAAGTTCAATTTCTCTTTTCGAGCCACGATCGCGGTGTGTTAAGACGACGGGCTAAGAAGCACTACTGCGGACATCGTTATGATGCGCTGATCCCTCAGCAGGACAGGCTGCTGGTACTGAGAAGGATTGGGCGTTTTTTTAGCAGGGTCCGCTTTTGCCTTCTCTGCTTCTTTTTTTGTCCACCTTGCTCCAGCACCCCTGTATTTGTAATTTGGATTTATCTTTTTTTTTGACTTCGTTTCCAATCCCGACGGTAGATTCGATTTATTCCTCGACGTTCCCTGAACTATATAATTGAAATATTTCTCGCTCGAAGGAGTTTTTTATTATTATTTTAGTCCAGGGCCATGGCGGGGAGAAACCTTGACCCAAAGAAGATAAATCTTGAACCATGGATCGCCATGTGGAGTGGAGGAAGCCATCGTTCGTCGCCTCTTGTCGAGGCCTTTCCGCCCAGCTCTAGAGCCGCTGGCCAATTAATTATGAGCGCCCGTCGTTACGCTGTCTAGGGAGACTTTCCCGGTTAAGTCGTTTGGTTCCCGCCGTCTACGCAGCTAAGGCCGGCGTTCCAGGAATGTGGAATTGAGGGAACCGATCCCAGTGATTTGCGGCATTCCTTCATCTCAGGCTCTCTTGTTCCTCCCACCTAGGCACTAGCACAGTTGTGTAAGTTGACCATGCAACCTGTGTGAGGTTTGTACACTAGGGGCATGGGGACACAGATACTTTTGAACAACAATATAATGGGTCAAGGGGTGTGTAAAGGCCCTGACCCGGAAGCAATATTGGTCGACGGTTTAAATGAGATGACAGAGGGAGGGATGTGAGGAGTATCAATCTATGACGGAATCTCAAGCAGAGATTCGTTACTGCGTAGGAGTTTAGTGATATAGACAAGCATTTCAATCCTTGTCCAACATTATCCACATCCACGCACCCTGCTTGGACAAATCGTCGCCTCGATATTTAGCATCTTTGAAGTCGTTACCCTAGCGTGACCCTTGTGCCGAAAAAGGGGAAACTCAGGGGCACATACCATCAAGAGTGGCGTGCGGCGTTGAACAGGAGGACGGGGATGAAGTCTTTGGCCAATGGGAATACTGCAGCATCCGGTCTGTACGCAGGATTTGGAAGCGGTCGACACCGCTGAGTCCTCTCCAAGTCTCCTGGCGCCAACCACTGCGAGCAGACCAGCACTGGCCATCGCCCTCAACTTGGAGATCGAGGGAAGTTGAATGGCTGCTGCGGTGTGGCAGTAGGAACCGCGGGCCGTGGCAGGTGAGCCCCTGAACCAGCCAAGCCCCGTCCGGCGCCGTCGTTTTTTCTTCCACAGCGACGTGTTTGCTCTCTCATCGCTCTCCGTCTCGCCTTTTCTTTCTTTCTCTCGCTCGCTTTCTCACTCTCTCCCCGCGTATCCCGGAGCCAAGTCGGTTGGCCTGTCTTCTTCTGTCTCCGCTCTCCCCTTTTCTTGTGTTTTCGCTTGGAGTCCATCCATCCCTCTTCTTCTCTCGCTTTTTACGGGGCTGTATTCTGTAGTAGTCCCCTGAACACGCTCCTTATTCCTCATTGATCCTTCTATCTTCTTCTGCTTCTCTCTATGCTGGTCACCTTTTAACTTTGCTTTCTCTTCTCCCTCTATCTCTTATTCGTTGCATGCGCCCTCAGAAACGATATATTCCACGTGAAGCGGCTACTGTTGAGGCTCTATGAGGCAGTTAACCTCCTTACTGCCTTTCTTTTTAGAACATCAATCTGCCCCAGGTATGGAATATACACATATCCATCTCCTCCGGATACGCTCTTTCTTCCCGCTTCCATTCGTTCAGTCTGTGGTTGACCGTGGCTGACCCATCTGCCTGTCAAAGTTCCAGAGCCCCTTTAGTCGAACTTACTATTCAACAGTCGTGCCTGGGCGTCCTTCTGCCTGCCCCTGAAACCGTTCATCTTCCGCCTGAATTTTTCGCTGTTTGACCCACTCTCGAGATTTCTTCGACATTATTCTTTCGTTACTTCCTTGGATCCTTTCGTTTTTGTCATTTCTTTCGCGCCTCTTAATCTTGGTACACACCTTCAAAAGAAAAGACGGGTCTGGTTTTGGCCACTACCCTTGGTGAATACCTGTAGAGCATCTGGAACACACTGGCTACAACACTTCCCGATCACAAATCTGCCGTGGCTGGTAGTGCCCGCGGGAATCCAGGACGCTTGCGACTCAAAGTTGTACAAAACATTCGTCTTTGCGACTTTTCCTGACCTCACGATACCAATTTGCTGCCCGAATACCTATCCGTTCTTCGTCCTCATCAGCTTCTTTATAAAATGTCCTTTTTTTCGCGAGTTTTCCGTAGCAGGGATGCCAGTGGTTCCAAGAAACAGGGGAAGCAAAATGGTGTTAGCCAGGATATTCCTCAAAAGCCGCAACAGATCGACGCTTTCATCCGTACGGAGGTAACTCCAGACGAAGTCCAAGAATTGTTACATGGATGCACGGTCGAATTAAAATCAAGAGGTCTGTATATACGCCCTCCGATGAAGAAGAAAGCGGTTTAAGTTTAGCCAAAATGCTCATTCTTCCCATTATTCCGCAGGACTTGAAATTCCATTCCTCCTTCTCCCATTCCGCCCTAGTTCGGACCCAAGCTCAGCACGAACATTCATCCGACACTACTTCAGCCCTCCTCCTGAGCGGCCAGCTCCACTTCGGGGAGAACATTTAATCCAGGAGCTGCGGTTGACTGAGCCTATGGTCAGTGATATTCCCTAGGTAAAAAGCGAATGAGAGCTAATTGGAGACTTTGAATTTCTTCAGGTGCTCTGCAGTATTATAAAATGGTGTTGGAGTCGATTACCTGGGGGTGTCGTAACTTGGGAGGCATACGAATTGTTCAAAGTTGGAGAACAAGGTCATTACTTTTGCCTTTTCTACCATTGAAGGTGTCTTCTATGACACCTTCTTACGGACCAAGTTAAACTGACTGGCTTTTATAGACTCCCAATTTGCCCGCGACGCCTTTTCGACTTTCATCCCATTAAGTGTCGAATCCGATTCGCGGACGAAAATTATTTTCGACTTCTTCGACCTTATGTCTGCTGTTGCGGCTCATGGAAAAACTAACGGGTTTGGAGGCCGAAAACTGTCGCGATATGCTGGTTGGTGGGCTTTTGAGCACGTTGATACTGGCAATGGATTTGAATCAAGCTATAAGAACTGGGCAAGGTAAATGAAAAAAAAAAAAATATCCTTACATCGCATTCCTCCTATTTTTTTTCATGTTTTGCTGACCAATTTTCTTTCTTTACAAAGTGCGGCCGATGCGACGAGCCATTTATTCTTTGCCTACCTTCGTTCTCTTTCTCCTGACTCCCTTCGCGGATCTAATGGCATTTCTGCGCTTCCGATTTCGTTGCAAAGCCTTGTTCAAGCGACCGAGTACCCACCAGAAACCCCTGCCTTACTTCAGATGGAATCAACCAAGGTGGTAATGATCGTCGAGAATGTTTCACCAACGCCGTTTGCATTACTGCGACGTGCCAAGAATTTCGAATATAGAGATAGCGATCATGCTCTACAAAAATTTTCTAATTTCGAGGATCCTGTCAAAGCACTTACTGACGAGTGCCGTAGAGTGTTGCGATGTATATCCTCGACCAATCAATCCAAAATCACCGCATTAGAAGAGGGGCCAATCCGTGATGCATCGTGGTCAAGATTCGAAGATCTAGGTTTCACTGCCTCTATCGAAGAGGGAGATGGTGAGGGCGATGGGGACAGGACAATGTCAAAGCATACCGGACCACCGGGTCTGAGGTCAGCTCCTCAATCTCGCACTGCCGATCTTGGGCGACCGACCACACCATCATGGGCTGATTTCCTCTCCTCTGGATTTGCTGACGAAAACGAGCCAAGAAGCCGTCCCCCTTTCCTCCTTCCCCCCGACAAAGTCCTTCCTCCCATTCAGACAGTACGAGGGCAAAGCTCGCAATCACATAAACGTTTGTTCGACGAGGAATCATCCTTTGAGCCCGGTTCACTTGCAAGCATAACTACTATGGACTTGGATGCTTCGTTTTGGTGGGTCTGGATCAGCAGTCTGTCAGGCGAGGAACCCACTCAGCGAAAAGCAGTTTTTGGGCGGTGCGCCCTGATTGAAACGTCCGTCTCAGGAGGGAAATGGTTTGTGCTTGAGGAGCAGGTCAAAGGAGCTGCTCCTGAACCGGAAGTTGGTGCATATATCGCTAAAAAGAAAGGATTCTTCGGTTTCAGGTCACGAAAGGGAAGACTAACACGACGCAGATCTTCCGCGCAGAAGACTTCCGCTGTGGAAGAACCCTATCAGCGAGCCCATAGTACAACAGCAATGAGCAAAACAAGCATCGGCCCCGACCAGCATGCCAGAATCCAAGCTGCGGCTGCGGCTCTTCAGAGGAAGCACCGGGAACAGGAGCAAGAACAGGAGGAACTATCCGAACGCCGCAACAAGTCAGAAGACTTGGGCCATCAGAAGAACAACTCCGTGATGTCCCTGCAGCCACTTGTTATGACAGAGGTCTCACAGGCGATGAAGTGGGCTAACAATTACGATAAAAATGCCGTACGAGCGGCTTATCTTGGAAACAGCCTTGCTGGAACTGGCGCCCCTGCAGAGTCTCTTAAATTGCCAGCTAACGGATACGCCCAAAGTAGTTCTCTTAATTCGCCAAGTTCTCCAGCTCACGAACAAGCAATTCCTCTAAAGGAGGAGACAACTTCTCCTCGACCCGTTCCTGAACAGCCCGATATTTCCAAGAGTGCTACATCGGAATTGCGCCCCGTAGCTACTCCTGAAGTTGAATCTACTGCGCCGGCTTCCCTCGAAACGAAATCCTTAGAAATAAGCCGGGGAAAGAAGTCGATGGATTCCACCGATGAACCCAAGAAGTTGAAGAAGAAGGCTGCAAACACGACACTAAAGGGTATGTTTGGTAAGAAGACTGAGAAGCCAGAGCAACCACCGATGAAACCAACTGGAGCAGAGACGTCTGCCGTTGCTGCTGCTAGGGCTGCACTTGAAAGTCGAACCGCACAGGCAGATAAATCTTCGGCCTTCGCGCAGACCAAGGCTCCTGCTGCCCGCCGTCTTTCTGGCCTTGGACGAAAGAAGACCGCAGAGTCAATTTCCTCACCAACAGTGTCCAAGCCAACCACCCCACCCGCAGGTGGGGAGCGGCCGGGAGCTCAGCCCGTCCCGGTCGCGACGGATTACGATGGCCCACCATGGACTCGCAGAGATAATGAATTCGATGCGCTTTCTCGGGTGAATACCAACGAGAAGGCCCAGGCGGATCGGGAATTTTCCTCCTTTGATCACCAGGCTCCCTTCGTTGATCAGCCCGCATTTGTGCCACAGGATTCTCCTATCAGGGACGAGTTCCCTGAACGTGACGTTCCCACCCAACACCCAGTTGCCAAAGAAGCCGCGTCGCCTGTGAATGGCCATGGGCGCCCAGACAATTCTGTCACAGCGGAGCCCATACCTCTGCAGGACCGCTGGGCACAAATCCGGAAAAACGCTGCTGAACGTGCCACCAAGGTCGACGACCATCCGTCAAGACATCATGAACCTGAGAAGACGGATGATGGTGAAACAAGTGGGGAGGAGAGTAAGTGATACGCCATTGAATTTCCTCTATCGAACTACACTAATGACTTCTCTTTTTTCCTCCCTCATTTTAGCAATCGAATCTCGAGTCGCACGCATTAAAGCTCGTGTTGCCGAGCTGACAGGCAATATGGAATCATAGACCATATACTCTCGACGATGTTTCCACGGTTCTCATGCGTCTTGCGTATTTCCAATAGATACGACGAAGCACCATTTCCATAAGTCCAGTTTTTGACCTTTTCGATTCTCCTTATGTTTTTAATTTTATCTTATCTTATCCATTGGTTTTTGTTTCCTACATTTTCTATACCCCTTTTTTTGCTATTTGTTTCTCTTCTTCAATTTATGCCTCTGGTAAACTGCTGCTATTTTTGACTAAATTTCTCAGAACTTTCATAAATCGAAATCTCCTATCGCGACACACATCTTTCTTCCTTCCCCCGATTTTTCTTTCCCTAGCAGTATACGTGCGAATTTGATTCCCACTCAAAATGTGTTGAACTCTCTCCAAGAATGTTTGGATTGTCCCTTTTGTTATAAGTCTCCTTTATCGTCTTGTTTTCCTTTGAAGTTAATTATCATATACTCCCTCTAACAAGATTACCCGACTTAGTATTTTTCTCTCCATTGTATTGTTCCCTTCCGCCATCGTGGCCTACATCATTTTTTAAATTAAATCTTCTATCTGCTTGTCCCCCACCAAATTATACCACCCCGCTCTCTCCTTGATAGCTCCCTGCGGATCCATATCTGAAATTCTTTTCCCACTTTTCTCAGTATTATTTTGATTCTTCAGTTCCCTCCAAAACACCCGCCCTGTTTTTCTCCCGAGAATTGTTTTATTTTGATTCATCCCGGCAAGTCAGGGCGCTAGGTTGGAGCACACACACTTGTAATTTGGATGGTATAAGTCCCAGAAAAAACACCCTATATAGAGGGGTAGGGGTGGGGGAGGCGGAGCGGAGCGCCATTTGTTCTTTTACTTTTTTTTTGTAATCAACCAACGCATCCAGAACAGAAATCAACACATTTTCACGCAACTAGGAATACCTTCTTTATAATCAAATATTATTTCCTCACTACCCAAAATATATACTCTGATACTAAAAGTCACTTAATATGATACCCTTGGTTTATTAGTGTTTGTGTTCGTGCCCATTACTTTCTCACCTATTTCTCAATTGATGTGGGTCTATCTATATTTTTGAATCAGACGCTAATATTGTCGTCCCTCCCCCCACCCCCCATATCCCGGAACGGGTGTCATTTACGTCTATTCTCGCTCATATCTGAATTCCTCATCTCATCGAGAATCCAATTGGAAGTGTGGTAAATCGGGAGTATGATTACACCTATTTCCTTTCCAGCCTACTACTTCTCGTATTTCGTCGCGTTTATAATTTTACTATTGTCCCTTTCTAAGACAGATTTTCCATCGTCACATCTTGACCAAATCTGATTCCTCGATATATTAACGAGTTTCGTCACTGAATGTTTCTCTACACACACACACCCCTTCCTCCCCCTTTCCCTTTCCCTTTCATTTTGTCATCGTTCTGCCTGATTCCTGGAAATAGATATTTCCTTTGCTGCCATGCTACTATGTGCACGAGTAACCAAGACGGAAACTCATATAATACCAGAGAAGCAAGTTTGAAAACTGTTGGTTTCCGGCGATCATTCAATTTCGACTGTCTTCCTTCAAATCCGATTTATGAGGGTAACAGTTAGTAATGAGGTTAAAACAAACATCAGGATAACAATCCCCATCTTGCAATGGCCGGATTGAGATCTCAGGAACGACATCGGTGTCATGGACCACTTCGGAAACGGGACAGAAACCTAGGTATCATGGCAACCGATCTTACTTGTCCTGCGACGCTTATATGTCTAAACAAACATAATTAATTCGGGCTACGGGAAGAAACAAAGCCATGATTGAGAAATTAAATTGGAAAGGGTTATAATTGGCATATATTTGGCATGAGGAGCAAGGGAATAAACATGAGGAAAGCAAGCTCCTTATTGGCTAGTGGGGGAATATCCATTACCTAGCGAACCTTTTTTAGCATCCCACAACCTGATCACTGATACTGTCAATCCGCCTGGCCAGTCTATCAAAAGCTTGCCGCGAAGGTTGGATAAACCTACTACCGTACATAGCAAGTCAGGGGATAGCCAGCCCTGTTGGTGAGATGACTTTATAGATCGATCGGGATTCTAGGGTTTGGCGAAGTCTGGATCGCTAATTTTTAAGCTTAACTTAATTTTGAATGGTTAAGTCTGTGACAATTTTCTCCGTCTTCGCATTGTCGAAAATCCCTCCAGAACCTGGTAATGTAAAGCATACTCGATCATATGTCCCAATCATCATTATCTGGTTATTCAATCTATCATTCAGGTCCCAATATATCACAAAATGTCGCGCAATTGGACACACCTAATTCATCGTTGAGGAACGGCTAAATTCATTATCGCAATATCGACGTAAATTAAGTACCCGGATGTCGTTCTTTTGTCTTTTTACCCTGAGAATTTGCAAACTCTATTGATTGGGACCAATTTAACCCGAAAATAAAAGCGGTGTTGACATTTGAAGGAATATTTTTCAAATCTCGATTGATATCTATCCCTATATTATCCGGCATTCTCTCCTTATCTAGAAAGTTCAACCAGCATGAGAGACAAGAAAAATTTCTCACATATCTGCGGCTGGCTCGTGGTTGGCGGCGATATTCCACGTCTATGCTTTTCCTGATCTAGCCAGTCAGCCACATAACAAAATGTGAAAGGGCAGTCAGTGAAAATACCTTAGAGATCGTCACAGAACAGTCGTCAAAAACGTAGCTGGAACCAATGGGCCCCGTGTAATAACCTGGCTTATTGAGCGAAGTTACCACTGGCTTGAAGCATTACACGGTATACATTGAGTGGTTTATAGACGCTGCCGTGACTTGAGGTGAAAGATCCTAATTCAGCTACAGGGAATTTATTATTTATTGATCACTAAACTGGAGGAAATAATAAGCGAAGGTTATCTGTACCACGGTTTTATCTAATACAATTATACCTGGAATCTTTTAATCCATCACGACCGGGACGTAGCTTAGGTAGGGATCAATGGAAGAAACAGCAGAATCTTGGTTTTTGGTGGTACAGTGGCATGTAAATATTAACATTGCAGAAAAATCAAAAGGAGAGGAGAGAAATACGTGATGTTCACTGGTGGAGAAACACAAACAGAGAAACACAAAGAGACGTATAACAAAGTATTTTCCAATAATACCAATGAGCATCTACAGAGCGATGGATAATATATCACAAGAGCAGGTAATTTCCCAGTCGATTTTTTCTATCCACATTCTTGAGATATCTAGTTGGTTTGTTTCGCTTGAGCTGGCCCACCAGTTGTTGGCAGGCCCATGAAAATCTTGAAGGAGTCGTAACTGTGGAAAGGAGATAGTCAGCACTCGATACTATTCGGCAATGAGAGGAGAAGTAATCTTGAAAGTATAGAAGAGAACGCATACATCATCCATTGGAGACCGGTCTATTAAAGTAGTTAGTCGAATGTTTAACTTAACTCTAGTTGTGAATCAATGGGGCATACCAATGTGCCAATCATGACAATTCTAACCGGTAGGCCGTTCCAAAGGCCCACAAATCCAATATCCTTGTAGATTCGGCCCATAGCTGCGCCGAACGCTTCACCGGGCAAGCGATTGGCGTTCAGTTTGCTGACCATGACGTCTGCTGGGTGCGATACAATAGCGCAGAGAATGCCAGCCAAGTAGCCACCAGTAAACGCGACGGTTGTTTGTGCACCTTTGTTGTAGTCGGACTTCTGTCCTGGAAGACGGTTATAAATCATTTCCACGATCGTTTCGAAGGACGCGAATTTCATCATGGTGTAAGGAATTTGACGTCCCCAAAGTGGGTATAGCCCCTTAAACAGTCTTGACGAGTGACGAGCCCGTATTAGCTATGATCTCCGCCTCACTGAAATGCGTTTAAAAGAATAAAAGGATGCTGCATACCCTCCAACGCCTTCCTTTGCGGTGACGTGAGAAATTGCGGAAAAGGTTCCGGTTGCAAAGGGTGGGATTGTCGTCTGCATTCGCACTTTTACAGCTTCGAATGGACAAAGTGCAATATCTGCTAGGAATTCTGCAGAAGCGCTGGCAGTCAAATATACTGATGTTCTCCAGCGGACAGCTTTTTCCTCTCCTAGAAGGTCACTGTAGAATTTCTTGAAGAATTCATATCCACCGTATTTGAACGCGCCTTGAGCCTAATGAATTGAACGACCCCGGGGGCCGGGCCGTTAGTCTCACGACCTTAAAGCCAATTTGGAGTTTTGGTAATAGTTGACATAATAGAGAAAGAGAGAAATCGAATTACTTACGGAATATCCGAAGAAAGTGGGACTCCAGCCAGTGAAGATGCCGCGCACGCCTTCTGCTCGGCCAATCTTCCCCCAAGCCTCGAAATTACCCTTATACATATTGGGATCAACTTGGCGACGGCATTTCACCAAGTCCAGAGGAGTGACAAAAGTATGTGTAACGCCCTAATCATTGTCATTGGAATGACTCCTTACTCTACGTGTGAAGGTAATTAAAGACAAGAATAAAAAAAAGGAGCATTGAAAGAGAAGAATGATCCTAAACAAACTCACGCAAGCCAGTAAACCTCCAAAGGTACATGAAGCGTAATACTTCGCGCTGTGCATTTCGATGTGACCCGTTTTTGACTGGACCTTTGCGCTAGCCTTGTCGAATTCTTTGGTGGCCGATTTGCCCACGGCCTCTGCCTTATGCTTGACATCATCAATAGCACTCCATGCAGGGAACAAAGGCCTATCCATCGGAGTGGCAGTTGGCATCTGCGCCTCTCCATGGGAGTCAAACAGTGGATGTTTTGAGCCAAAGGTGCTGGCAAGGGTATCTTGCTTGGGAAATATGGAAGGCATCGTGGGAGTTAACTAGTGGAAAACTAGGTTGAGAAATCACACTCATCAATCAATAAATTAATCAGTCAAAGAGTCAATATGAATCCATTGAGAACAGTAACCAAAGCCGATTGCTCGCAAGGTATGCTTACACTGACTTTGATGGCTTTCTGGTCGATGGGCCTTAGTACGGAGCAATCCGGCTTGTGATGACGTCGTCGTAGACTTACATGTGTGGAGTAGCTAGCTCCAAATGAACTGAGCAAACAAGTAGAATGAGTAGCTTCCTCCAACCGAATAGATTTATATATATCTCAGAAGAGAAATTAACGGACTGCTCTCGCGCAGTCTCAACAGAGCATCAAGATGGACGACAGAGCGAGCAAGGGAAGACGAAGAAGGCCATGTTCAATTTCCAGGTCGGAGGAGTGGCGCTAGTCCCAATAGAGTTTGTCGGGCTTACCGGTCTAAACTCCGTTTGGCCAAGTTTAGGTAAGCTCGCGGCTGCGCTTAACTTTTCACACTAATTGCCGCGAGTTTATTCACATCGAATTTCTGGCGCATCCGGGCCTTGAGAGCTGCAGAACAACATATTATTTAAATCTAGGACGGAGGAGATACCTCGAGCTACATTGCGATTTCCCCAATTTACCGAAGAGCCCTCATTCTCTCTTCCATCAATTCCACTCGCTACGACAAAGCGCTTAACCGCGTTTCCCATGCCCCGCCAGATCAATTTGTTGCCATCATAGCAATTCCACGAGCAACAAGGGGCAGGGAACGCCGTACCACCTATCGTGTGCCAGAGCAAACTTGTAGAAGAATTCAATCTCCTTGCCCATCACAATGACATCTTATTTCTCTGCCAGTCAAGCGTATGAGCGCGAACATTCTCCCACCAATGGAATCCAGCCCTCCACCGTCTCCCCCTCAATATCCTTAACCTCCATGTCCGACAAATATCGTGGTGTAAGTACCCAGCAAAATAGCCCAGACAGCCAGAGCCAAGCCCATTATCGTGGAATGCTAAGGAGTATTTCTTTTTCAAACATCCCAAACAGGCCACAGTCGAAGATCTCGACCCACCAGCCGCCCTCTCAACCTCCCCGCACGATCGAATTTCCAGCGCCCTCCTCGCCGCTTACGAGCGCGACTACACCCACCTGACCGTAGTCTCCTCCTCATCGCGCTCGCTGATTGGTTACCTTAGCATCCCAAGGTTAAAAGCACAGCTAAAAGAAGGAACCGTCACAGAATCCGATCCAGTAGAGAAGGCTATGTTGCGTTTCCGGAGGCGCGGGCATGTGTATAAGGTTATCACGATGGGGACGCCGCTGGAGGAACTAGAGAGGTTCTTCGATGGAGAGCTGGTAAGAGATGATACTGGTGTGGAGAGGAGGGAGAAGCAAGATTTTGCCGTGGTAACCGATGCGAGTCGCAAGTTTGTGATGGGGGTTGCGACGAGGCAGGATTTGGAGAATTTTGTGAAGAGGAGGCCTGGGTGAATGGTCCTGTGTGATTGATTATATTAAGAGCTTATTGTTTTTGTAGGATGGCCTACAGTTCATTAGCATCTGGTACATCGCAGAATCCTCATTCCATGCTACATGGTATAAATATGCCAGACTATAATCGGGAAGTCTGCAGAGTCAAGGAGTGATCACAATAGAAATGGAAAACTGCTTTGAATGATGCCAAACCAGCTGGCCACCATTGAATTGAAAGAAGGAATCTATCATGTACAACCGCAATTACAAAAACAGTGATACCAGAGCAAAATATTGGACAACCATCAGATTGTAAGAAGTTTATGTTCCCCCACATCATCTCGCATGCTTCAACCTTCTCGTAGCTTCCGCAGCAATTAGCGCGCTTATAGCGCCAACAAAGAGACAAACCGCAATCGCATTAGGCCCTTCACGGTGTCGATTTATCCATTTGCCGTCATCTTGCTCTCCGGAAACCCCGTTACTCACATCCCCATCCGTCGTTATCGACGAAGTGCCAGGTTCGAGGATGCTGAATACAATCCACGAAATGAGCGTGCCGACGAACTGAGGGAGCGTGGTGTATACATTAAGCACACCCAGATAGATACCCGCCAACTCACCAGTGGAAGAAACCGCTTCTTCATCGGCCGATTCGCTGTCACTATCCAAATCTGGGCTGTTGCTGTGATTTAGACGGAGGATAGAGGGACCGCGGTCTTCTAGCTCGACATCGTAGTTGCTTAGGTCGGAGTTGTGTCTGTTAAAAGTGGCGGAGGTTATCATGGTGACGCTTGATTTTCTTGTGAATGATGGAATCGCTAGACGGTTTATTTCCACTCCCATAAAGGCAAATGGAGCCCAGCAGCTGACTGCCCAGGGGATTCCACAAGTTGCTACAAGCAGTGTGGCGGACCGCACGGAACGGGCTGCGGGGGCGAATAGCATTGTTAAAGCAAACATAATGTGTGAAAGCATCCATGCGGTTTGCAGGTCGGGTCGAGTGAAATGGAATTTGTTAAGAAACCTTATCAGGCCCAAAGGAGAACGGCGGATGGAGGGTTGTTTGGTATCCGGTGAGACGACACCAAAGGGGAGAATAACGGAACTGATGAATGTGACCAAGGAAAATATCACAAGAGACATGCTTCCAAGGCGACCAACGTCTCCTAACGTATCTGGCGATTTCTCGGCAGCTTCTTTGGGTGCCTCGTAGCGGAAATAAGTCTCGCCTACCCATGTGCTGCTGTAGAAGAGAAACGGAAACCAACCTATCATTCACAAATTAGTTACAGAAAGCATTATCAGAGTCCTGGGAATTGACGACCTACCGACCCACGCCCAGAATTGGGCCCAGCAAATAGCCCGTATCCGTGGTGGCAGGCTGACCGTCGTTCTGAACAATTGGGCGAGTATTTTGAGTGCGCTTGTCTTCTTATCCGAATCTCTAAACGCATTGAGACGGCTCATATTTAGTCAAATTCAACGAACCGTGGGATAAAAAGGTATTTCAAATACCTGAGTGAAATCAACACCCTCTCTTTCACCGTATATGATGTAACAGAGACGGAGAAAATTAAAGAAACGGCAGAAATTACAGTCATCTGCTTAAACTGTGTGTTGCCCAAGGCATGACCGAATATGCTCAGCATATCGACTGAACCGATTCCATAGCCTATAAGGTGGCCAATAGCGGCCATCCGGCTTGCCCATGCTGACCCAAGCTGCTGCTGAGGAATTGGTAGGGTGTCAACTATCAAGCTACGACAAGATGCTTGAACTGAACCACATAAATGTAAGCCAACCGTCATCATAAATGGAACTCCGTTTGAGGGAATGAGGAATAGACAAATAAGGAGAGGTGTCGCAGAGACGTACCGATATTAATCGCAAAATCGACAGCATATATGCTGAATACCGCGACTGCAATCGCAACGCTTTTCCTCTGCTCCAGGTTAGAATACAGTGCATTTACAAGGCCAATCCCTTTTCATTCTTCCCCCCACCAGCGGCTTTCACTAGTTAAAGCCAATGATTTCGTTTCTAAACGACATCCGATTCGGCCATCAAGCTTTTACAAATTACACAATAATAGGGAGCCCGCACATACCGTATCCTCGTCAGAGATGAATATAGCCACGAGTTCCGATGCCCAGCCCAAAACCAACAAACATAGCCCAACAACGAACGAGCCAACTATCATGAACGGACGCCGACGGCCCCATTTTGACGTAGATCGGTCCGTGATTATCCCGACCAGAGGCTGTATTATCAATCCCGACAACGGGCCAGCGATCCATACTAGTGAGGTTTTTGATTTCGTCAGGCCGAGTTGGAGAAGATACGGCGTACAATCTGCAGTTTCCCGAGGTGGGTTAGTTTAAGATTGGCACTTTTCGCAGATACATAGAAGAATCGATAGCTAGGGATAGGTGGATTTGAATATGCCAAGAAATGGGGTGGGAAAGGCCTGAAGCAGAGAAACGGCTAAAAAAAAAAAGGGAGCAGGGGTTTCGATTTACATGTCATTTCAACGCCCCAAGTAAATCTACACGCATCATAACAGTCAGCAATTACAAGTTCCATCAATATGTAATCCTCCCAGAAGGACAATCGGGAAGATGAGAGGCAAATCGGTGCGCTAGCATCGCTCAATGGAATAGGATAGAAGGAAGGGAAGTCTTTAAAACACACTGGAGTCCAACGAGACTGAAAGTCAACAGCGCCATTCGCGTGGCTTCAGTCCGGCCCTTTATGGAGGGCGTGCCAACCCATGATGCTGCTTGCCGCATAGCATGGGACGGCTGCGAGTAGGTCGAGACCAAGCGCGGGAGAGGACGCCGTGGCGCCGTTAATGTTGAGAATGCCTCTGGAATAGGGCGTCGTCCTAGCTATTTATTTGGTGTTTGTTTGCGATGTCCCGGAGGGAAAACCAAACAAGGGTGGTTCGATGGCGAGGTAGTTGCTTGGTTTTGCTCCACCCCATTCGTGGAACATTTAACAGGGCAAATCACGAGACGAGCAAGGCAGGCCAGATAGGAGAAAGAACCATTTATACCAACGCTGCCTACGCCTGGGAAATTCAGTAGCAGCAATGAAAGAGCAATGATACAACCGGATCAGGGTGATGAAGCGTGGAGTTTTGAGGATAGTTGAATGTTTCAAGCTTCCTATTGGTTGATTTGTTTAGTTATAGCGCCTCCACATGGATTACTAAGACAGCGTTGATCAACCCTAAACCCTGGGGAGTATCAATTGATGAACCGCTTCCTTCTGTTGTTGTTGTTGTTGTTCATATCTTTTCTAAGGCTATACAGCGTATGCAATCAGAGACTAGCCTACCCTTATGGTTGCATTTCTCTATTCATGACGAGAGACTTCACTGTGTAAGGATCACAACATCCTAGATCCCCACACTACACTGAATCCATCTAGACTACATACATAGTGTTGAACACTGCTCCACCCTGCTGTGGCAGTTATCAATAGCAATGAGATAAGAAATGGTACCCTCAATATCCACCAAGATGTGATAATATTCTTTTGGAGAGGGTGGGATTCAAATCCACTTCTTGTCTCAGCAGTGGTGGCCCCAACACCAAAGTGCCTACTTGAGAAAAGCATTCCATGAACAGCGCTTACCGGTGCAGATGTGATCTGGTTAGAAAAAGAAAGGAATCCGGAGTGCCTAATTCGTGTTTGGCGATTGGCACGCGCCCGATAGATTCCCGATCCTGTGAGTTGCGACTAACTGTAAAATAGATACCAAAAGGGTCGATTTTAATTAATAAAACGAAAAAGGAATTTTTTGAGGGAAGTAGTAACGTTAGATGCAGATCATTATTGATTAGCCTCTTGCCACCTTCAAAGAGGGCTGGCTCTATATTATGCAGTCTATTGTGGGATATCTAAGTTTCACAATCACTTCCGAGAGCAACTATTGTTGTTGCGCGTTTCGAAAATGATTTTTCGTTCAAATGTATGATAAACAAAAATGAAAAGAGGAAATCAAAGGAAAAGGAAAAAAAAAATGCAAGGTACAGAGAGAGAGAAAGTGATGAATAAAACAAACTCATGAGGTGGTGGGTCCCTTTGCCTTCGCCCCTTTAGGGACACGTGAGAGCCAATAAATGAACACAGCCCCGACAATATTAAACACAATATACACCCACATAAAACCAAAATTCCGCCATGCATCAGAGTAATAGCTACCAATACTCGCAAGGAAGGTATCAGTCTTTTGCATGGTACAGAAGCCACAGTCTGAGGTTGCCAGGGGATTCTCCAGGTATCCTTTGGGAGGGTATGATTCCCTGAATGCTGCCAGGTATTGTTCGCAGGTCTGGTTAGCGATCGGGTTGAAACGGAGGAACTCGACCGGTTCGCAGACAATGTCAGCGCCCGCGAGGCCTGTGGAAAGCATGGCGGAGACAAGATAAGTGAAGGGCGAAACACGGTAGAGGAAAACCCAGAAACCCGGGAGGGCTTCTTTGGTTGCAAGAACACCGCAGAAGACCAGACAGAGCATGAAGAGGAGGTTGGCAAGGTTGGCACCAGTCTCGGCGACCTCAACACCTGCGACGACCAAGTGGGAGAATGTGGACGCGAAGAGAAGGAAGGTGAGAACTAGCAAGAACATGAGACCACCGCGTTCATGGATCTGGTCACTGGGGATGGCATTGTATAGTCCGATGGGATAGTACCAGCAGGCGAAAACGATGACAGCCATGAGCGTGTTCCATGGAAGCTCGACGAATATGTTAGCTATTATGAATGCTTTCCATGAGTACGATTTGGACGGGCGCTCGCGAGCCTCGTAGAGTGCACGTGCAGCAACAAAATTAGGCATAATTTGTTGGGTCAAGGTGCCAAAGATGTTCATCAACATGAAAACAGCAAACATCTGGTTTTGGAGGCCTTGTAGACTGGTTTGTGCTTTGAAAAAAGAGAAGCCTATGAAAAGGGCAGCGAAGCTACACAAGGCGGTTTTTGAGTATATATATACTGGTGAGCGCCAGTACTGTGAGAAAACTCGGATTAAACACTCCCAGACCTGGACACTGAAAGGCGCAGCGAATTCACGATAATCTTCGGGGCTGCGATTGGCTAGTTCAGTTTTTCCTTTCTCGGAGAGGGTGGATTTGAGCTCATCGAGGTGTGCATGTACTGCCTTTCGCTCAGGACTATTACGCCATACCTCGGGCCAATCGATGTCACTCTTAGACCCTGGGGCAGCGCCGATGACTTCCAACATCCATTCGGCAGGGTTGGCATCTGGTGGGCAGGGAGAAGCACCATTCCTTTCAAAATAGCTCGACAAGATCGAAGAGCGCTCGCCAACGTCACCAAAATATACTGTCTTTCCACCGCTGGCAAGGAAGAGCAGGCGATCGAAACGTTGGAAAAGCATAGCGGACGGTTGATGGATTGTGCAAAGAATTGCTTGGCCATGTTTGGTAAGCGTGTCAAGGAGATTCAAGATAGACCAGGAAGTTTGACTGTCAAGCCCCGAGGTTGGTTCATCAAGGAACAAAAGAAGTTGTGGTTTTGCCGCAAGTTCAACTCCAATAGTTAGTCGTTTGCGTTGCTCGACGTTTAGGCCTAGATAGATTACGCATATTAGTGTATATTCCCTTGACGCTCCGGATGGACGAGTTTTACTCATACCTTCTCCAGGAACGCCGACAATAGCATCAGCGTAGTCCTCCATCTCAAGTAATTTGATCACTTCGTCCACATAGGCGAGCTTTTCTGCGCGTGAAACGCTAGCCGGCTGTCTCAATAATGCGCTGAAATTCAACGCCTCTCGCACGGTTGACGTCGCAGCATGGAGATCCTGTTGCATGATATAGCCAGTTTTACGCTGGAACGACCCATCCCGGGGCTGGCCATCGACGAGCATCTCACCACTGACAACACCCATAGTGACACGGGTGGCGAGGACATCAAGGAGCGTTGTTTTACCGGCGCCAGAAACACCCTAAGGAAATGTTAGTTTATTCTAATAATAAGAAAGACCAAAAGAGCAAATATTTACCATGAGTGCAGTGCATGTCCCAGGCTTAACCCAGCCGTCGACGTGGTCAAGAATGCGTCTTTCTTCCTTTTTAATCTTAATGTCATAACAAACATCCTTCCATTGAAAGATAGCCGTCTGCTTTTGGATCGAGGCTGAAACCCCCTGGGAGCTTGATCCTGACGATTTTTCTCCAGAAGTTGTTGGCGTGGACGCTTCGATATCGGAGTTCTTCGCCTTTTTCGATTTATGGCCCTTACGGAAGAGTAGGACTTCACCCTTGGATTTGGCCTCGGAGATATATTCGGTTGAAAACAAGTACGTGAACATGAAGAAAAACATAAGCCCGAAAATGATCCCCAGATTCCTGATTTGATGTTAACTTGTGGGCGAACAGAAAGTAAAACGAAAGTAGATAGCAACTAACCTCCAGATGTGGCTGTATTCATACTGAAAGCTTAGACGGAGATAGAGGTCGCCATCAACTCGGCTTGAGCCAGCAATGGATCCAACTGTCCCGCAGACTTTATTTTCAAGAGGATAACTATCATACTCTCCGCCCGAGGGAATAAATCCAGCACACTCAAACTGTCTATTATGGAATTCATTGACCATGAGCGCTTCAAATGCATACGCAACCGGGTCAATATAGTTTATCCACCGAGCCCAGCCCAACATGTTACGAGTAGGAATGGCGAAGCCGGTGTAGATAACAAGGGCAAGTATGATGACAGCGGCTGGCGCCAATGCCTGGGCGAGCGTTCGGGACGTAGCAGCGATAGTGCGGAATATCATAGACATGGCCAAGGTTGTGACGAATGCAAAAAGCCAGAACACAAAATAAACGCTGGGCTCTCGGCGAAGATTGGACAAGAAATAGATGGGAAGATTGAACGTAATAGAGTTGAGGAATTTGTACGGCAGGTCACAAAGCATGGAGGATATGGCTTCTGTAAAGGGATGATAGAGAGCATATCTGGCATGTTTTTCGACAATAGGGCGTTGCGCGTACAAGGTTAGAATCTGACAAGCAATTAGTTAGCTCAGACTTCGAACGGAACAAGATAAGAAGAGGTCATCATCAAGGACATACCTCAAGTGAAGAAGCGAAAGCGCTCATCAATATAGCAAAGAATAGTAGCGCGCCACGACGATAGAAACTCTCCGTTGTCTGGTTAAGGTTGTAGAAGACACTCCCAAGAATTAAAGACATGAAGAAATTACCGAGCAAGCCAGAGAGAGTCAATGACATGTCACGACGCAACCGTTGGAAACCACGGCGCACGCAGAGGCCGATCTGTTGGCTGACAGAGAGGGTATAAGGAGATTTCACTCGTCTACATAGGAGAGTTAGGGATTGATTGTATCCTAGGGGTTAAAAGATAAAACTTACTGAGATCTTGCTTGCTGAGCTTTCCGGGACTCGATAAACTTATCCACAGATGGTCCTCCAATTGGATATCGGGTCTCATATTCTTCGATGTCCTGCAGGAGCTTGGCATATGCTGCACTGTTTTTCCAGGCTGTTTCGAACTCGCTGGGTGTCCTGGGCGTTTTCCCTTCGAAGCCCGGTCTGATGATATGTTCGACGGGGCTGGTCAAGGACGTTAAGAAATCTGCGGTTGTTTGCCTCTCAGGGCATTCAAAGCCCATATCCACGAAGAATTGCCTCGCCTCATCAGTTCGGCCAAAATATATTTGACGTCCCTCGTAAAGAACGGTAACTTTGTCGAAGTACTATATGATCATTAATCCAAGCAAAGACAAAAAAGTTGACAGCCGAATTATAGGAATAGACAAAATCATACATCATAAGCCTTTTGGGAAGCTTGGTAGATTGCAACACAGACAGTGGCTCCCATGTAGTCCGTAGACAGACGCAGAGTCCGGCAAAATTCCAAGGCGTTTGCAGAATCTAGCCCACGAGTGCTGTTATCCCAGCATTGCAACGGCGCCTGGCTTAGGCATGCCTCCGCAATGCTCACGCGTTTGCGCTCTCCTCCACTGATACCCCGAACCAAATCGTTCCCGACATTGGTATTAATTGTATGGCTGAGACCAAACGAGGCCATGACCACATCTCGCATGTGAATAGCATGTCGGTCGCGCGTAACTCCAGGAATTCGGTTCGCCGGAGCTCTTGCACGAGCAGCAAACTCCAAGGTCTCCCCAACAGTTAATTGGGGGAAATGAACGTCTGTCTCTGCTGTATAGATGGCCTCGCCACGGAACTGCTTGTGCATTTGCTTGATCGGGATGCCTATGGCGGTGAAAGCACTATGAGAACGCAAGCTCAAACGGGTTCACACTTTGAACATCATGCATACCTTGATAGTTGATATATGAATCATCCCCCAGATAAATGCCATTCATCTCACCCGCAATCGTTTTCAAAAAGGTCGAACATCCACTGTCATCCCCTTAACTTCTCTGTGCACAATATGACAATATGCATAGAACATTACTTACCTTCCAGGTCTGCCTAAAACAACAAGCATCTCTCCATCGTTCACGATACCCAAAAAATCACGAAGAATCTGGATTCGATGCTTCCCCGACCCTGTTATGGCACGGAAAAGGTTCCCGATTTCCAATGGAGCGTTGGCCACATCCTTTTGATAGTCAGTGGGCTTTCCAAATCCGTGTACGTTTAAATTTCTAAACGCAAACCCAGCGGTGCGTCGGGGATATCGTTCGGGATCTCGTGACTGCAGAGCCAGCAAATTCTTCATCCATGCCTTCGCGTTGAAATCTACGCTATTGGGATCGAGGATGGCGTTTTTCTCTGGGTCAATAAATGGGTTGTGAGGTTCCAGAGTTGAGATGTGGGTAGACTGCCGGGTTAATTCCTTCGCAAGGCTTTTGATATCATCCTCTACCTTGGATGTATCAATGTCTCGCGCGGTATCTTCACTGCAAATACTATCGTTGCGACGTTGCTTCGCCATTTTCGCTGGGATGTCAACTGGTATGTTGCGTGATATGATTTGATACTCTTTGGGTGATGGGCAGCCGAGGCTAGACCAGGGCCTACCGAGGCTTCGTCTGGCTACCCCGTGGGGCAGATTATGGGTGAAGTCGACTCTCTTTAGCAGTCGAAATGGGACGAGGAAAGGAAAGCTCCAAGAAAGGAAAGACAGGAAAGACCACGGGGATCTATATCACCTATGTAAAAATAGATAAGGCAAACACAGACAGAGAAGGAAATTTTAACGAAAGACGGGAGAACAGAAATGGGTGAATATATATTTTTGGAAGAATTGAGATGATACGAAGTAAATATTCACTTCGCCCATTGGGGGGGTCATTTGGCAGGTGGGTCTGATCGGATGGCGGTAAAAGACGGTCCCGGTTGGTAACAGCGCCCAGCGTTCCCAGATCTGCCTCTTGGGACCTCACCGGGAGAACAAAAAATATATGTGAAATTTTCCCCATGTACCACCCCTGCGTGCTCGGTTTACTGCTCATGCCTTCCGATCTCTCGCTCTGGACACCGCTGGTGTGTTTGACTAGCTGGAGCTGACGGCCTAGGATTAGAGGTCCCACGAGTCGGAGCGTTCCTGAACCGCTAAAGTTTTGAATACCACGTTTTTCATTGCCAAAGCGTCATAATATCCTGAAATAACATGAAAATAATTCTGCGTATTATTGGAAATACGCTAGGGCATGGTTGAAAACCCCGTGAAACATGGGACAAGCTCGCAACGAGCCGGGTATCAATCAGATCAAGGTTGCATGTCCCGAAATGCACACCATCGGGCGGCCCGACCGAAAAGGATTGAATCATGGATTTACAGCTGGAGGCGATTAGGTAACTTAAAAGTCAACAACCAACGATCAGGATTTTGAGGGTGTTTTTTTCTAATTATTTGGGTAAGGAAGCATTGGGGTAGTTAACAAGCTAGCTAATGAAGCTAGCTAATGAAACCTAGGAGTTCGATGTCAAAGGCGGTGGCAAAAAGACAAGGGCTTTCGTTTTTGTTCACGTCTATCCAGAAGGGTCCTCCAAGAGACCTTGTCTATCGTGGTCACCGACCAATAATCTCTGAGGAGTTTTTTTTTTTGGCAACCTCAAGCCTGATGACTGTGCGTCCATGTGGATCTGCATTTTTCCGCGCCTCAACCGGATGGCAGCCTGATTGCGACACCTCTCGAGGCAGGGACAGCGCATGGCTCGTCATCCCGTTGGTGCCTGCAAGAAAATGGCATATATATCGACCGTCTCGGGTAAAAGTCACGCCGCTTGTTTCGACAGGCAGAAGCGCTGGGTGGTTCGGAAGCGGGAATTCTCGAAGCTCCGGAAGACCCACAGCAGCGGAGGGAAAAGGAATCCTTTTCCGGAAGGATTCTTGGCACAGGGATGAGTGCTATGCCAAGGATCTGGTACGCTGGTGTATTTTTGGAGAGGTGGTGATGGTGGAGAGCATAACATGACAGGTTGAGAATAATGCAGGAATTTTATGTTTCGGCTCGAGCATAAGCCGCGCTCGCTTAGCTGGAAGCGGCTGCCCATGATCGAAGGAGTGGAAAAGCGGGCGACAACATCATCCAATGGCCAGATATCATTGCAAAGCGAAGCTGAAACCAAACCCAGAAGAACACGCGATTGGGGAAACGAAACAATGAACCCACACCCCACGAGCTGGGCTATGCTGCTACAGGAATTGATTGTGAATGCTTGCCCTCCGAAGAAATTTACCAGCCTTGATTTTGACAAACGACTGAGCCCTGGAAGGGCTGATCAAGAATACCCCTAAAATATGTTTATCGGCATTCCTGCGTACTTTATTTCTGTAGCGAGGTGCCACAGAGCTGGGATGCGTGAACCCTGTTAGGCTGAGTAACACGATAACAGGACATGTCCAGGACATGATTTGAACAGATGGTCCTTTCATCTCAAAGCCGCGTCACCCCCGAGAATGCCTTCTGCCTGGCTCTCAGAAGACCGAGTAACTACAGAAAGAATGAAGAACGATAGTTCCATCCACTGGATTGTACGGAGGGGGAAAACAGTATATATATTTGAGAGAGATGCAAGCGAGAGTTCCCGTGTACGCCATGCCTTGTTCATACTAGCATTTCATCGCTTGTGGGTCACCTTCGGTCCCTGTTCGAATCGGAGTCCGAAGTAATTTAAACCAAAATGCAAGCAACCTCCCAAAGGAGCTGTTGCTCATGAAACCTCGATCTCCTCACGCGACTTCAATTGCGGGTTGGGATACGAACAAATCGCTACAGAGAAACCAACTCGTGTTGAAAGAGTGCTGAGTTTGCTCCTGAAGCAGAATAGAAGTAAATAAACACAAATAATAAACAAATAATATATAAATAAAATAAAATAAAATAAAATAAAATAATATAATATTCCCTCCAAATTTCAACCCTCACAGCTTTGTTTACACAGCATGCATTGCTACATCAGCTGCCACAGCACAGGAGTAACTATGTCTTTCGCTTCAAGACATCAAATGTAGGGCAGCAAAGACGTTCATCAATGATGAGGACATGTCAATACCCATCTCATACATTACCCCCGAAAACACCCGTTTGGAAAAAAAAAAAAAAACCATACTCTGTATTGTAACATCTAGGCTAGGCGCATGGTTAATACACTATTCCACTCTTGTAAGAATAGATTTCATGCAATGCGTAATGGCAGCTTAAAATCACCAATTCTACACATTGAACAATAACTCATTCTTCAATCTTCCAAGTCAAAAGAGTCAAAAAAATAACTAACCAAATAGCATTTTTGGTTATCAATCCGATTTTTTTTTTTTTTTTTTTGTGAAAAAAAGACAATGGTAGTCCAGAAGCATACTGTAATGCAAAATATGGAACAGCTACAGCTAGGTGTTATATTCATATCCCACCTATCGATCTAGCCATCGACATAGTGTATATATATATATAGCTATATGAACTCAACTCCCCATACAGAAACCCATATAATCAATACATTATTTCTCGATTAAAAACTAATTTGAATCCCTTTAGTTTCGGGGGGAATTAGCAATACGTCCAACTGCTTTTAATTAAAATCTTCGGGAACCCCAACCCCCCCCCCCCGCTTCCCATCAGCTAAGCTTTCTAGTGACAGCGGAGAAATGTGTATGTGGGGTGTGGGCTGTTGCGCAGGGACATCAAAGTAGCGATTGCAGTTGCCGGCAGTTGCAGATTGATTGTCTCGGTAAATGGACCAGAGGTTGGAAAGACGGAGCAGGCACTGGAAGAAACAGGGGGTGAAGAAGACGAGGGGGGAGAAGGGCAGGAGGCTAGGAGGGCAGGAGGGTGGGTTTGTTTGATTGAGAGTAGATATGGCAGGATAACAAAAAGGATGGGGTGGTTAACGTCCAACAATATTCAAGAGTGGGAAGTTTTCCTGGTTGAATGGATTGTCAAGATTGGTTGGTGAACATGAGACTTGGTGCTGAAGGAGTAGATTAAAAGATCAGAGATAAGAGGAGCTGAGCAAACCCTAAAAGATATCCAAGGGGCCCGCAGAAAGGGCTTTCAGTGGGAAAAGAACCAAGGTTTTTTGTGAAATTATGGGAAGAGTAGGAAAGGGTGAGCAGAACACAATGAAATCATTAAGACAAAGGGAGAGAATCCTTGAGTTCATTTGTATCTCATAATGTTTGTGATACTCACACACACGCCTCTCTTCTCCAAACCACATCTCATCTTCATTTGCAACCACACAAGTCAATGAGCATCCAATGGGAATCAAACCAACAAATCTCCCATACAAAGGAAAATGAGATGAATTTCTCCCCCTTCATTTGAGCGCCTGTTTAGCCATCCCTTCTCTCCTCTGTCATAGCCCAGCATTTTTTTGTTTCCATCATTCCGGATTGTCTTTTATCATTACCCCTCCCCCTGACATGCGCACACAGATGTCATTGCTTCCTTTCTCTTCAACCTCACCAAACACCTTAAGCGCAAAAATGGGGCATATAAGGTTGAATTTATCGTTATTCCCCGCCCCGCCCCCGGTCCCCCCTCCGTTTCTCCGTTTTTGTTGAATCCGTAAATTTTCCTTTTCTTTTTCTTGAATTAAAAAGCAAAGAATATATATATATTGGGGTCACCGTTCCTGCGCGTAGTTGGCTCGGGCGACTGAACGATGGAACACGTCACACAACTAAGTTGACAAGGAACGGATTCAACCTCACGCCAACTTTGATTGTCACAAGCGGTTTGGAGTGGTGGTAAGAGGCCACTGGTAACCGGCCGCGTCACTAAATTTATATCCGAATGACGACGTGAAATCGTCTAGGACAGACGGGCCGCGAGAACCTTAAAAAGGAGGAAATCGAGTTAGCTGTCAGGCAAGACGAAAAAAGAAAGGAGGGCAAGAATGGAGAAGAGAAGGAAATGGGGGTTCTGTTGGGAGAAGCTAACCATAGGGGTACTCCATTGGCGTGATTTCCGTGTTCTCATCTAGGTAGTGCAATAGTGGAGTAAAGATTCTCCAGCTGGCATCCAATTCATCGTCTCTGACGAAGTTGGAGTGGTCCCCTTTCAGGGCGTCTAGGATCAAAGATTCATATGCCTCGGGAATCTTGAGATCTGAGAATCTTCGCCGGTAAGTGAGATCAAGCTCTGTAACGACGGTTTGCATGGAAAGACCTGGGAGTTTTGAGTTCATCTTGATGTATACGGACTCGTTGGGCTGTACGCGAATTACAAGTTCATTTCGCGGAATATCTTTAAAGATACCCGAGGTAACGTCGCGGAATTGTATGCGGATCTCCGTCTTTTGTTCGTTCAAAGCTGGAATATTAAAAAAATAATTAATATGAGAAGTATGTTCCAGCGTCTCGGACAGGAGGAGAACCAACCTTTACCCGCCTTCAGAATGAAGGGCACACCGTCCCACCTCTCATTCTTAATGTACGCCACCATTGCGCAAAATGTTGCACATCTGGAATCTTTTGGCACTGTATCGTCCTCCTTATATGCGGGTTTGCTTCCGTCGAGCGATTTTCCATATTGGCCAATGATGACGTTTTTTGGTTCGATCGCGTCAATCCCCCGCAGGACACGTACCTTCTCATCCCGAATATCTTCAGCGGAAAAGGAGATAGGCCGTTCCATTGCCAGCAGGGTTAGGACTTGAAGGAGGTCTAAAGCCAAAAAAAATTAATATATAAAAACCCACGCAAATAGAGTGGGGATTCACGCGAACTAACGGTTCTGCATAACGTCGCGGATAATGCCAAATTCATCGAAATATCCTCCCCTGCCCTCCGTACCAAATGGCTCTTTGAAAGTGATCTGATATGCGTCAGTCATTATGCGCTTCGAATGCACTGAGCGATTGAAGTAAATCGTACCTGAACATTATCGATATGATGGCGATTCCAAGTAGCCCCGAAGAATTCGTTACCAAATCGTAGAATCAGGATATTCTTCACCATCTCTTTCCCGAGGTAATGGTCGATCCGGAATATTTCCTCCTCTTTCCAGTTGGGTTCCAATGCGCGTTGTAATTCCCGTGAGCTTCCCAGATCCTTTCCAAATGGCTTCTCTACCTATTGAGCGAAGCCAATATTAGCGGTCCATCCAACACATCCATGTCAAGGAAAAAGTAGAAGGAAAACGCACGATAATCCTCGCAATTCCATTCTTGGGATAGCAGTTCTTTTTTAGGTGTTCAGAGACGGTTATGAAGACGCTGGGAGGAAGTGCCATATAGAAAACCCTATTCTGTTCTTTTTTCCCTTGCTCGAGCTCCTCCAAGTGCTTGTTTAACACAACGAACGAATCGTCCTGGTCGTACTGTCCAGAAATATACGAGCAGATATCGCAGAATCCGGTAAGCTGATCCTCAACCTCTTTCGAGGGAACCTTGATATATGACCGTACTCTCCGGATGTATTCGGCACGATCCATCTTCGTTCGCGCATATCCGATGATCTTGATATCTTTCGGGAGGAACTTATTACGATACTATAAACGGCAGTTAAATCATGGTCGTGGGTAATTCTTATATTTCAGGTCTATCCGCTTACCAGGCCAAAGAGGGCGGGGAACTACTATCTCGTCAGTATGAGCTGTGAGTCTGGCAAGTTAGAAACTCACGGTTTTCTTTTTCGCCAGGTCCCCCGATGCTCCAAGAACGACAATGACGGTGTCATCCTTCAGTTCGATCGAGCTAATGGGTCGGCAAAAAAAAAGAATTAGTAAAAACAAAGTCAGATCGGGCGCAAGTAAATATGAGCAATCAGCGAGCCAAAGGTTGACTGAAAAGATGATAGAAATAAGCATCGCCCATGGTGGGCTCTCCTTGCGAAGGTTGCAGAAGTCATGAGAGCCAATGCGTATCACCTCTTCCTCTTGTCTGATTTTGACGCTGGCTTTTGACGAGATAAGCTTTCCGGGCGGGCAAAGCCCCGCCCAGCCACAGAGATCACTTACGTAGCACCATGCCTGTCTGAAGCTTCTGTGAACGAGCTGGCCATTGTGCAATTGGGCCAGCAGGGTGGAAAGGAGCCAAGGAGGAAATTTTAGGGCGGGGGTATCTTGGGGACTTCGAGTTCAAAACTCGAAGAGAGTGTTGGAGCGTAAGACGCGGAAGAACTGGGCAGAAACGATCAAGATAAGCCGCAAGGTAGAAAATAAGCCAGATCAATATCAGGACTTGAGATGGACGAAGAACATGCGGATCCTTAAGAAGGCCGAGGGAGGAAGGAGAATGGAGTGGAAAATGGCGGAGGTGGAGGTGGGAGGAGGCGGGGAGAGATGATGCTGATTGATGACACAGCAACCTTCCAGCTCCTTGCGCAGAAATGGCCGACAGATCTGGTCCCCAAAAATGGTGAAAATACTTGATAGTGGTGGGGCGTATGGCGGGGCTGGGCATTGGGTTTAACTAGAGAGTAAGGCACATAGGTGAGTGGCTGGCTTGGGTGCGCGGGCCACTGGGGCCAGCTTAACGACAGCGCCCGTTACATCAGCCTGGGTCATCGCAATCTGAAGCGGGCGGAGGCGAACGGTGTCTCAGGGAGATTGGCTAAATCGCCACTGCCGTTGCACTGCTGCCCTCATTAACAGTCGTGATATTCTATGGTCCTTTAATTTCTGCATGCTTCTTTGTCAGCCCTGTACTATCTGGAGGGCCAATCCAGATTGAGAGTATCCAGATTGAGAGAGTATTAGTATTGGACTGCTACTTCGATTTGGAGGCAAAGCAAAATGCTAACTAGCAACAGCCCAGATTTATTTGTAACAGGGCCCATCCTGAGCGCGGAGACGCATCGCATCGCGTCCTAGCAGAAAATTAGTGGAAAAAAAATATCATGCCTCATCCCCCGGGCGCAACGTCATGTATGGCAAAATTTTTCCTCCAGGATAAACCCAAATTTTGCGCTGGTTGCTCACCCAATGTCTCCACTCCCGGACCTGGCAAGAAAAGAGGTCTCTTTCATGCAACCACCAAACTTCCTCAAAGAAACAGCTACTCTTTACCCTCCTGAGTCTTATTGCGCCATTCCCACCTTTGGCAATTACTGTACGAGTAGATAGTGTTATTACTCCAACGTTTGAAGTCAGCCCCTCTGCATACCGCAGTCTGAGGAAGCCATGTATCGCGTTTGAGTCCGCCCCGACAACACCGATATCCGCATTCGCTCATGCGATTGTGGGATAAAGTATATATTTACGTTCGTCTTTCGCATCGGGGAAATTTTCTTCGTTTCTGCCAGAGTCATCATTCTTCCTCGGCCGACATGAGCTTACAATCAATCAATTTTCGAGATAATTCAAGGCTAACGAGATATCAAATTGTTGGAGCGGGGTGACCTTTAAAAAAAAGAAAAGAAAAACTTCGCACGGCCTCCCTCATAACCCTATTGGGTCGATTCTTTTTTTATGGAGCAGGAAAAAAAAAAGACTTTGTGCCACCTTCCGCTTGCGCAGATGGAAAGCTAAAGCTTGATTCGCGAATCAACAAATAATGACCAGAAATCTTTAATCAGCTTCTGGCGCAACAGGTCCCTGCACTCCGAGTATGTAATCACAATGCATGGGCTTCCAAACGGCCAAATTAGATATTTCAGATCGAAAGTAAATAATGTATGAAGCCACTCAGGAGTCAAGGGTAGCTTTCACTACGCAGCATATTATATTTATTATCCGAGCCTTGGGACCTTCCTCTGGCTTCAATAGTTAACTAGTATCAAATGTGTTTAATATCAACTGCGGTCTTCCTCCTTCCATCCTGGTTTCAGAGAGAATCTATATCGTTTTACACACTGCTTCAAATCATCCTCGAGGCTCCATTTGAACTGAATCCTCGGCCCAGTTTAACCGGAAATCGTTGTTCTTCTGCCAGGAGACGTCTTCAGAAACGAATCATGACATATGTTGATACGTTGCCAATTGTATCAACCACCTCTTCTGTGCGCACACGGAAGAAATATATGTGGGGACTACTTTCCCAAAAGACAAGTATCCGTGCTTTGCAAATCTTAAAAGCTATGAAGAGCCACTTGCAAAAATCCTCTTGCATTAACCTACGGGAAGTGGAGGAGGCTAGCAGAAGTCAAAGATAGCATACGGTCCCATCTGGCACGGGTCACAGAACGAAAATCATATCCAAGATCTCGGATAGAGCACACTGCCCAGGAGTGTATCAGACACTCAGACGCTTCCAGTGTACTACTCCCATATCTATATCAAATCAAAACAAAGCAGCACGGATAGACTTCATGAAGCCTGCAAAGAGTATATCATAATCTGATTCTACCTCCAGGCTTTGGAATGTAAGTTATAGCCTAGAGCCCTTTTTGGTCATAAAATAGATGTGTGAGCCGAAAATAATGCTAGAGGTAGTGTGTTGAGCTCGAGTGCTGTTAGACTCAACCTTTAAAACTTCATCATGTCTGGAAGGCGTATGCCTCGTCGATGTCACGAACGTTGCTGAGGCCGGGATATACTAAGAAATTTGGGTTGACTTGATGGGTGTCCCTTGCGTCGTCTAGTTAGTTCGAGGTAGGGCCCTCTCCCGAATATGTGGCACGGAAAAGTTTCAGGAATTCCACCACAAGTTAGATACTGTATCTAGTAACAGAACGCACACAGGAAAAGCAACTATAACGAGCTGCCCGAGATTAAGTGTCTTCATGCCTTCCGAAAGCCAAAAAAAAGTTACTCAAAGTCTGCACCCACTTGCTTCTCTGCGACACGGTTTGCTCTGATTCGACACGTCGGATACACAACGCCACATATATGCGCTCGGATTCTAACGTTAGACGGGGGCAATGCACGCCCCTGCACATGGGAAACGAAATGCTGGTATAATCGTGTTTTGGGAGTCTCAGGTAATTATCGTCACTCGCTTGCTGGCCCCAGGGGAGGTTGGCCAAATGATGAATGAAGAGTTCTATCACCATGAAGCACGCAGCAAAGGCGTAACTGATCCGTTCGATGGCTGTCATACAAATTTTGGCTGTCCTTAGGTCGATGCGGGCTAGTAATGAATGACTCACAACGAGTTGATCATAACCCTTCTGCCAGTAAGTTCAAATGATAAGAGGAGTGGCTAGGAACCATCCCGGTGACCATTCACAGCCCTCAAAAGCTTCAAAACATTGTCCACTTGCACCCCGCACCGTGTACCGAGTTCCAGGGTTGAAATGCGGCATTTTAAGTAGTCTGGAAACATTGACCCTGGTCGTTCCATATGCGACGGGAGAGAACTGAGGTTTGCGATTCAAATCGAAAAAAAAAAATGGACAGGGTGAGCTTGCTGTCGGATCTTCACGAGCGGGGTTACTGGTGGACAGCCATCGGAATTAAGAAGTGCGCCCTCAACACGGCCTCGGTTAGCACCTGGGGTTTTCGGCCATCAATAGCCGATTGGCTGGCCGCGGGTAAAGTTTAGGTACCTTCAAATCTCCCTGAACTCAAGAGCAAAGGATGATGATGATGATGCCGATGAACGGTGGAGAGAAACGACATTCTGTATAGAGTAAAAAAATCCTGCGAAGCGAGCGAATCGCTTTCTCACCTCATATTTTACATGTCGATCTATACTCTCCCATCCAGCCACCGCATGGCACTCACGTGGGAGGCCACCAATAATGGTTTGCGGAACCCATCGCGTGGTTTGAAAAGGTTCTGATAAAGAAACCGAAACGCAGAAATTGACAGGCGCTTTGACCAGCATCCAGCGCGAGGATTGATCAGGATTCAGGAGTGCCGAACAAGAGCGAGCAGCTTGGAGGCTTTCTTTCATTTGGCCAATTGTGAGCAAGGAGGTGGCGGAATCCTTTCCGTACCTAAATTTTTTCGTTCCTTTCTGTTTTTCTTTCGTCATCACCAATTTGATGAAAGAGTCGGTGTGATTGCGTGAAGAAGAAAGCAGGGTTTAATAAATCTTGCCTGACACTTGGAAGCAGATGAGATTATCTGATTGATAATAAGATAGCTACCCGGGTTAAGCTTCAAGGAGGCTTGGTTCCTTTCTCGAATCATCAGGAGTATGGGGATAAGCCATGAAGTTTGAATCGTGTTGACCAACACTCTGGCTTAGCTCCTACTCGTAGGTTTTGTTAGCATCGTATTTACACTGGTGCATTCCGGAAACCGAGTTCCCGAGCACATTAGATCAATAAGCAAAAGCATCTAGAATTCTCAAGATGTCTGTCGAGGTGGGAACCCCCTTCGCCCCCAATGTGTATGTGCGACTTTTTTCGCCTCTTTGACCAAAATATTATCGACCATACCTGCGGTTAGTCTTTCGGAGTTTTTTTCATTTTCCCTTTTTTCCCGTTTTTCTTATCGTGATATATCTGACATCCCTGTTATGCCTTTAGCGGGACAGGGGTTATGTGTCATAAGTTGTTTCTCTTGATGTTCAGATATTTCTGTTGAAAAGTGTTCTTCAAAAGCCGTTGATGGCCGTGGGCTCATTAAAAAAAACGAAAAAGCAGAAAGCAGCTTTTTTGGGCTTCATATTTCCTGTTCGTTGATATTGGCATATCCACACTATCGTCATAAACATCCTGTCTATAGTTATTAGTTAATTGACAAATCTCTCTGCGCACCAATCCCTAGGATTCTTGATATTTGGTTGCCGTATATTATTTCTTGCAGAGGGAATATCGAAAGATATCTTTCCTTCCAGAGCAAATATGGGGGTTGCTGGAGAAGACTACACACCCGATAGCCCTACCACGACACAGGCAGGCCACAGCCCGATCATGGAAAAAGAGTTCGATTGTGAAAAGCCTGCAAGAATTGGAATGCTCGACACAAATGGAAGCCAGACGGGGGTCGCAAGCCTGGAGCAAGACGATACTGGATCAGACAGCCCGGCGACTCCAAGAACAGGGGGAAATGATATAACGACAGCTGTGGCAGATGATCGTCCGGCGCAAAGTGAGAAAATGACAAAGAAGCAGATAGCTGTGGTCATGTTTGCACTTTGTGTGAGTGAACTATAACCTTCCCCTTTCCTCGCATAAAGACCCCTTTTTTTGTATAGCTTGAATATAGATTGAAAATGGACATAGGCAAGCTGACGCATTTCCTGGTGTACATTAGCTCGCGTTATTCCTCGCAGCCCTTGATATGGTGAGCCATCATCTTCCCATTCTTCTAGACGTGTAGATGTTAACTTTGAAGCAGTCAATTATCGCCACGGCTCTGCCTACAATTGCTCGCCAGTTCAACACATCCGAAAGCGGCTATTCATGGATGGCTTCATCATACCTCCTCGGCAATGCTTCAGTCATTCCCCTTTGGGGAAAACTGAGTGATATCTGGGGCCGCAAGCCCATCATTGTCGTTGCAAACGTCTTGTTTTTACTTTCGAGTCTGATGTGTGCTCTGGCGCCAAATACAGCAATCCTGATTGCTGGAAGAGCCATTCAAGGAGTCGGTGGCGGCGGCCTGGTTTTGCTTGGACAGATTTGTGTGGGTGATTTGTTCAGCCAAAGGTACGTACACATGCAATATATTCTCTCATTGACGGTTTTCTCCCCTCTTTTCTACTTTCCAATCCCCTTGTTTCCCCTCATCTGGTTGTGATAAACATGAATAACCCAAGTGCTAAACTGAGAAACTTTGGCCCTCAGAGAGCGTCCAGTATATTATGCAATGTTCGGAATGACGTGGGCTATCGCAGGCTCTCTTGGCCCCGTCGTGGGAGGCCTGTTTACCGAGAAGGTGACATGGAGATGGTGTTTCTATATCAACCGTCAGTTGCTCGCTCTATCCACATTAATATTCCTTCAAGAACCTAACGCTTTGATTCCTCTACAGTCCCATTTGGCGGCCTCGCCCTCGTAACGCTTCTCATATGGCTCAAAATCGACACCCCCAAAACCTCACTGATCGCCGGCCTGAGTACAATTGACTGGCTGGGCACCATACTCATCATTGGTGGGACACTCATGTTCCTTTTCGGCCTCGAATTCGGCGGCATAACTCTGCCCTGGAATTCCCCAACAGTGATTTGCCTCCTGATTTTTGGCGCCATCACTCTGGGACTCTTCGTCATAATCGAACGTAAAGTGGCCAAGTATCCCATCCTGCCAATGGCCCTGTTCGCAGACCGGAGTAACGTCTTCACCCTGTTATTGAACTGGTCGCACGCGTCCAACTTCATCGCCGGCGCATTTTTCCTCCCTCTCTACTTCCAAACGGTCCTCGGCACGTCCCCCATCATGAGTGGCGTCTATATTCTACCCCAAGTAGTCTCTCTATCCGTCGTTTCCTTCATCGTCGGCTTTGCCATCCGCAAGACGGGCACATACGTCGAATTTATCCGATTGGGCATGTTTGTCATGACGCTGGGTACTGGCTTGTACATCGATTTCAAACCATACACATCCTGGCCAAGGCTGATTATATACCAAGCGATTGCTGGTAGTGGGACCGGCCCGAATTTCCAGGCCCCCCTCCTGGCTCTTCAGTCACGAGTTCCCCAGTCGGAAGTATCAACGGCCACCTCAACGCATTCGTTTGTCAGACAGCTCTCGACCGCCACGTCTGTTGTGCTGGGCGGGGTGGTCTATCAAAATGTCCTCAAACAATCCGCGCCAAGGATATTGGCTGCACTCGGACCAGAACTCGCTAAGCAGTTCGTTGGAAATTTTGCCGGGGTGCGAGGGGAAAGCTTAGCCGCCATAACGCAGGCACAGCGAGATGTGCTGTTGGATGTATACAACGTCGCCTTTAGCCGCGTATGGATCTTTTACGCTGCCATTGGTGCCTTAGGTTGTGTATTCAGCCTTTTCATTAAGAAGAAGGAACTTAGTCGGGACCACGAAGTTACAAAAACTGGGCTGGAAGCGCAGGAGCACGCCAGACAGGCCCGGATCATGGCGAAGCGTGAGAGAAAGGAGAAGAAGCTGCAAGAGAAGGCAGAGAATGAGAATATGAATGGGAACGGGGTAATGAAGGAGACTGTTTAGTTGGTGATATTTCTGCGCATGGATCCACGTCCTTATCTGCCCCTCGAATCGAAATGTCATCTGTGTTGTTGCTGTATATAGATTTATACCCCCCTTGAATTTTTTCTCTGTCCCTCTCCAAAGTAGAAAACGAATGTAGAGTTCCGTACTTTTAGCTGGTGTTTAATTTTTTTTCTGGGTAGATAGGTAATTCCGCCAGCTTCTTTGTTGCAACCATTTTCAAAGAAAAAGACAGATTGCGCTTCATCCTGAACTCTAGGATGTAGTCCACCCATTGCACATGAGTGTTCCTTTCAACATTTTGAGCCCATATATTTTATTAAGTACAATAGCTGGAATATGGGATGGGAAGGACGGATAGCTCAGGAGGGACTGTAAATTTATATACAGCCATATGTTTACAACACAATGAAAACGAAAAATGAGGCTGAAAATATGCATAACCGCGTTATTTTGCTTCGGGGTTCGGACATTCAGTTTTCCGAAGTTTTGATACGGAGAATGATGGAAATGGAGCAAAAGAGCCAATTGTTGGGGCCTCGAATTGAACGCAATTGCTTTCCCATTAGTTACAAAAATCCAGACTCTTCTTGTCCGGACTCATTGGGAAAATATCTAAATTTATCATTTTAAGGTTTTAATGAGGTTTGTATACATGTATATGTATGCACGTCTCTTTAGGTACCTTTCTGCCTCTCCCGTTTACGCCCCTTTCTAAATATAGGAAATTCCATTCAATCATGGGTATGATATATAAAAGAACCCAAAAACATGTATAAAAATCCAAGAATTTGTATCGCCGGAAGAATCAAGTCACACTTCACAACGTAATGTAAAAGATCCAGTTATTAGGCATGTAGATAATCACCATAGATGCACTTAGTCTATGCATTAGTTCAAATTCAACCATGAGGTCTCACTCTCGAAGGCGTAAACATTCTACATCGTCGCAAAGAGCCACGTTAGTATTCAGTAAAATAACAGGAAGTCCGGGGAGGGACTGTGTGAAGTCCAGTCGCAATCGCAAAACAAAAAGGGAGTATAAAAACTAACCGGTCAAAAACTCCTCAAAACCCAGCGTAATATACCCATCCCTATCATCGTCATACCGTTTAAACACATCCGTCATGCGCTTGAGGGTAATGCAGGCTTGCACAAACACATCAAAGCTCATCCCGTCTTTCTGCCCGGGCATGGGTTTCCCTTTAACTCTCCCTCGACTCTCAAAAGTCGAAAATATCATCCCTACAAACGGTGGGCTAAGCGTATATCCAAACGCAATCAGAGCTTTGCTAAACTCCTGCAAGCTAATCCGGCCGCTATGGTCCTCATCGAAGCGCTCAAATAGCTCTCTCCAGGCTGCCAGGAAGCGCCACAAGGCAACGAACTCGTCGAACCCAACGCTACCAGACCCGTCTTTGTCAAACATGCGGACCATCATCTTTACCGTGTACGCGTCGAAAGAGGTATAGTCTGCATTTACTAAGGCGGATCCCAGTTCTGTTTCTGACAGGGCGCCTGAGTTGGATGCATTGGCGGCACGGAAGAGGGGGAATAGTTCGTTTGGGTCGTCAGATTGGGGTATGCCAGGCCCCAAAGGTTGGGGACTCCGTGGCGGGCCGTAGGTGGGGGGAGGACGGTTCTGAGCTGGGTGAGCGGGAGGAGGCCCGAAGCCATAGTTTTGAGGAGGTGGGGAGTGGAGCCGACCAGTCATGTTGGGAACAGGGGCGCCTCTTCGATGAGGCCCTGCAACAGCTTGTACTGCTCCAGGGGGGACGACTCCGGGGCCCCCACCACTACCTGCACGTGCGTAGCTATGTTGTGCTGGTATTTGTGAATGGTGTTCTGGATTCGGTGAAGGGGAGACGCGGCGCTGATGAGGTTGTGGGCCATTTTTTGGGGGCGGGAGCGGGGCGCGCTCTCGGTTTGGATCCTGTAGAGCGGCTCTTGCGCTTAAAATTTGTGCTGCCTAGTAAAAAAAACATGTAGGTTAACGGCTAATTCAACGGACAAAGAAGTCACCGGCAAACGTGGAATTGGAGAACCTTTCCCTGACCAGGAGACATCTGTCAACGTACCTGCTCTGGCTCCGCATGCCTGTAGGTGGATCGCTGGTAATTAGTGTATGACCTCCATGACAGGGGAGCGGAGAAGGAGTGTAAAACTTGAGAACGTACGCCGGGAGTGCATCAGGATTATATGCGCCTTTGTATGCCATAGTGGTGTGTATGTGATGTGGCCCTGAGCTGATAACCGGGAATACGAGTTGAACCTTCAAATGCTACCAACTGTGTGACGCTCGCGATATTAATAACAAAAGAAGAACAAAATCTGTGGAGGCAGATAGTTTATCCTGCAATCTCTCATAACAAATGGTGTGAAGTGGGAAAAAATGAAAGCCTGACGACGGGGATATGACGAGTTGGTGAATCTGTCAAACTCACGCCTGAACCCCTTGCCGGTGCCAAGGCGTTTTTTTTTGGTTTCCTTGATTGAATCAAGCGCAATACGAAGCCGGCTGAAATCTCGTTTCTTTCAAAACATCACTGGTTGCAAGGCGATCTTGGCTACCGATGTGGTTTGGGTTTTGCCAGAAATTGGCGCGAAAAATATCTCGATGTCTGGAGCCTCATTGCTTGGAACAAGGCGGGGAACACTGCGGTTGGGCGTCGCTTGGTCGGAAGGACGGGGCTTTACCTAAGCCCCTCAGCCCTAAGCCCTAAAGACGTTTGAATGCGAGATTTGAAGTTGAAGACATGAAATGACTGGGGAACAAGAAACAGCCTTGGAACTGAAGTTAGTTCCCAGTGTTATTGGTTTCTTGCTTAAAGAGAGGCTCAATATGGAGCGGCATTTGTGGTGGACGTTGACGGGCCGTGGTCAGTGATGGCTGAATCTCCGGGAGCTCCATACAGCGATGAGTCGATGACATGCGATAATTCTTCCTTGTTTGCCCAGTGCATGTGTCAGTTTCATCAATGCTTACCAAGGCAGTTTGTTGGCTCATTTTGTCGCAGGAGGAATAGAGAAGTGCATTATTGCTCAGATTAGTGATATATAAGACGCACTTTGGTCTGGATTTAGCGTGCAAAAGCTGCAAACATCTCGCCATTGTTGCATATCTGTTGATATAACCTCCTAAACCATCGCCATACAAATGGGTATATAGTGCCCTCAACATTACACTCCATTTTATCGGCGGCACTTTTTCTAGCTACTATTTTGCATTTCAGTGAGCACACACAGGTGGTGAAGATATCACCAGAGCGAGTCTAACCACCTCATAATGCCACATTCTGCCATACCCGCCCCTAGCTCCTGGAAGAGCCATTTCCCCAACGGGGATTTATGGGTTTTCGGCTACGGGTTTGTGCATTCTTTTCTCAATGTGGCATATTGCTGCAGTCCCAAATTGTGTTCATATTCCTCTGATCTCTCCTATTTCTTTTTCTTTTTCTTTTTCTTTTTTTTTTTTTTTTTCATTTGATTTGTTTTGGGTTACTTGGTTGCATTGCATCAAAGCTTGGACTTCTGATCACTAGTAATTGTTAGGAGTTTGATATGGAAACCGCCTCCACATTATGGTATGTTAAATATGCTTGCTATGTATCATGACGAATGGCAGAGGAATCTATGCTTTTGGATATGAAGTCTACTTTAACATAGCCTTGTTTGTGAGGATATCTTCCGTTGCTGATAATTCGGCCACGGGAGATGTCCATATTTTGCATCCCGAACTATAACCATGACTGGTGACCTCTACTAACAGTTTGCCTAGATCAACGTGTGCTCGGTTACATAGAAGGCTATGTTCGACGGTTCTGGCAGGTATGTGCTCTTTGTCTACTTGGAAAATTGGCAGCCACATGGTATATGCAGTATACCATTATTCGGTTCTCCTATGGGATAGGCAAGAGAGCCCAAACTGATATTGCTCTTTTGTGATATTTTTACTGTTCAAAGGCAAGGTATGGCTACATATATGTTTCTATTCGGCGAACTTAATGAAAACCTTGATATCCAATACCTCGCTCCCCTGATATGAAAAATCTTCTTAGAGATCGGGAGTCCGTATCGCTAATTTCGATCTTTTTTTTTTATCTTGAAAACAGTGGAGATCACAGGGGAACCCCAGAATCACCCGGGAGGGTTGTCACTGTAATCGAACAATCATTCTGGGAAACGCTCTCAGATCCGGTTAGGGCTCTTTAAAAACTCCCCGTCCCTTATCAAGCGAATCTTATAATATATGCCCGCTTCTAACAATAACGACAGCAACGTGACCATAAACCAACCAACTCCAAACCCTCCACAGTTTGGGGCGCAGCTTATCACATCCCCGCCTCCCACGCAGAGGAAGTCCATGCCTACCTGGACGATAGAGAAGTAGACGGCTACACAGTCCACTTCACCCCCTTCTACGCTGCACCATCCGCCACTACCACCACTAACGACAACAGCAGTTCTACTGCTAACAATGACACATCTCAAACACCCCCCATAACTTGCATGGTCTACATCGGTCTTCCCACAAACACACAATTTCTCCGCAACCCCGCAGACCGTGACCCTGACAACATCGCGCGCGTCATCAGCCAGAGCTGCGGCCAGAGCGGCGAGAATCGTGAGTATTTGTACTTATTAGAGAAAGCGCTGGAAGGCCCTGAGTTTTCTAGGGGAGTGAACGGGAATGGGGATGGGATTGGGATTGGAGGTGTTGCAGATAGCCATGTAGCTGATTTGGCGAGGAGGGTGAGAGCTATTGAGGGGAAGGACGTTAGTGAAGTGGATCGAAAGAGAAGTGAGATTGTGTTGGAGCATTTGCCTGGGCCGGAGCTGGGGAGGGAGGAGAGGCCGGTGCGGATGGAGGAGTTTGAGGGTGGGGATGTGGATTGTTCATAGGGAGGAAATGTTTGAGTTTGAGTTGTTGCACATGTTTTATTTCTAAAGGAATTCGTGTTTGGTCAAGTATAGAATTAGATCCTCTAGATAATGTGGAAATCTGTGTCGTGCGTTTTAGCTTTGGTTGTTGTGGTGGAGAGGTGAGGTGGTATAAAGAATGCCCCGTGGTAGATATACTGTGGGCAAACAAGACTCTTGCACTTTTCATCCTTCGAATCCTATCTCTGATCATCTGAGCAATTCTCTCATCTTCTTTGTCAGACCCCAACGGTATATCCTCGCGGTGGGCGTCCTGCACAAGCATACTTTCATACGTAACCGAGGGGTTTATACTTACGTTCATCCAATATCGGCGGTGTGCGATGCCCATAAAAAAAGTATAACACCATATGGTGGACACAGGGATTTATGGGACTGGAAAGGCGAAAAGAAAAAATGTAAAGCAGGAAACAGGACAAGGCTAAAGATTTGCCAGTCCCTTGGTCGGCGTGGAAATCATCGATACCTCGCATAAACTAACATTTTAAAAGAAAAGAGAAGGCTAGCTAGCATTTTATAGAGGACAGGATAGGACAGCGACAGGAACAGGGCAGGGAAAAAATAGAACACAGGCATGTTTCTTTCCTAAGACCGTTCAATTTTTTCTTTTCTTTCTCTTTTGTTCTTTCTTACATTCTTTTTTTCCACGGGGATCAAAATTTCGACAGTTTCGATTCCACTTTCATCTCTTACAGCAAAAGGGAAAAGGGGAAAACAATGTAGCAGAAAAAAAGAAAAGGATACCAAATTCAACGCAATGGGAATAAAGCAAAAGGCAGTTCGTGTGTTCTCAGGAGGCATAATCAGTCAAGTAGATGAAGGTAAAGATTTGACCGTGGAACGCGTCGTGCTGTGTTTAATTATTAAGATCGGAAAGAGTGGAAGCAAGGGTTTCGGAGAGTTAGGATGGAAGAAAATATAGAGATGGAAACGGCAAAGGATCAGCTAGTCAGTCGTTGAGGAGGGAAAAGGCAAAAAAAAAAAAGGGCGGGGGGGGGGGTAGGTGAGGGAATGGTTGCTCATGGGTGTATGCAACTGACAAAACGCACGAGACGGCAATAGCGAGACGGGAAAAGACAAAAAAGGCACTTAGTCAATCCTTCGAAAATATGAAATCCACCAGAGACCGATGGTTGTCATTACACTTCGGAAACATAACAAGCCAGGAGCTGCAAAACGAGTCTGGGCGATTTTAATAGTAACTACAACACAAATGGGAATCGGGATAGATTGGAAGGTAGAAGTCGTGTATCGCCGGTAAAGAGTACAAGAAAATGCAAAGGGAAAAAACATTTCGATGCCAATTACATGGTATAGAGCGGGATGAAGGAGCCTAGAGAAATAATTAAATAGAAGAATAACGAATCGAGGGGGACAAGTTCCATAATATCCCGGCTTTCTTTTAATCGTTTTGATCGTGGCTCATTGATTGCTGTCTCATGTTCTCGTACGTCTTTTATCGTCGACATCTTAAAGAAATTGATGTGCAGGGATTTAGTGTGCGGGTGAGGTGCATCGCGGGGTAAAAGTGGTTTGTTTGACATTAACTCGAGAAAAGATTGCTGTCTCCGAATGCGTGCGCTTGATCGTCGATATCTATGCCCCAGCACCTCCCTGACCATGGGAGCTGCCATAAGATTGTTGTTGATGGCTACCCCAGCCTGGAACGGAACAATCAGTATGTAGAGATTGAGTGAGAGGATAATATAAATAAACGGGAGGAAGTAGAAGAAATTTCAATTTAGGTGATAAGCTTACCACCGCCTCCGCCACCTTGGCGATCGCCATACCCTCCACCTATGTTGGTTTTTGCGTTAGAAATTTATCAAAAGATATTGTAAAAATCTTAAGGGAAAAAGCTAGTAACTATTTACCATAGCCGCTACCGCCGCGGTAACCGCCTCCACCGCCGCCCTCGAAACGGTTATACCCGTTGCCACGCCCATGGTAGCCACCTTCGTTGCGGGGAGCAGAGGAACGATCAGAGGCTTTGTCGACCCGGATGACACGGCCATCGAACCTGGTCGGGTCAATCTCAACGATGTTCATCGGTAACGAAGAAAGTAAACGCCGGGATTATATCCCCGACGTTTCCAGAATGGCTCCAACGTACTCCTGGTTGCTCATTGCGTTCATTGCGGCGTCTGCCTCCGCGTCGCTTGCAAAGCGGACGAAACCGAATCCACGACTGCGGTTGGTGTCACGGTCCTTGACAACAATCTACAGCGGGTAAGCAAAAATTCAATAACCAGCTGGACAACAAGAAAAAGAAATAGGAAAAGGGATAGGAAAATTCGGGAATAAACTGACAGCTTCCTCGATGGTGCCATACTTTTCAAACCCTGCACGCAGGGTGTCGTCGGTCGTATGCCACGCAAGGCCGCTGCATCGCCGAATGCTGTGTTAGTTACATCCTCGCTAGTTAAATGAGCAAAAAAAAAAAAAAAAAAAAACTGTAGATTAACGGACCCAATAAAAAGCTTGGACATTTCGGCGTCTAAATCAAAATTTGGACCTCTGCTGGTGTAGTTTTCTTGATATTTGTGGGGTCTAGTAGGCGACACAAGATGGTCCAAGGTCAGCGGGTTATTAGTAGAAGTTAAACAAGGACATTTCAGTAAAACTTAAGAAACAGCGGGGAAAAAGTATAAGATAACTGAGAAAAGAGGGAAAGCCAATGGAGTAGGGAATGAAAAAGAAGCGCAGAGAATATGGTATCCCCGAACGCCTTATATGCCAGGGTTAGGCATGCACCCTGAAAGTAACTGGCGGGGTTACAAACGGAAGTCGTGGGTGAAGAGAAAAGAGTGGAGTTTGAACACACTTATACACTACCCACCCTAAAGGGGCAACAACAGATGTCAATAAAAATTAAGGATATGGATACGGTGATTGAAGAGAATAAACAACTCAGTATAATTATAGGAACAGCTGGGGGGAAAGCATGGTAGGAGTGTAGCAAATTAGACAGGTGGTACACTAGGGGATCACAAAGATCACAAAGGGATCACAAGGAGTGCTAGGTTGTCGAAGATAAGAGAAAAGGAGGGGGAAAAAAGCAAAGATATGACTAAAGGAAATAGAGGGCTCCAACGTTTGACTTAGACTAGAAGCCGATCAGATCGCAACAGAAAGTCGAGACCGTGGCGATAGGATGGAGTCGGTGATGAAGGGGAAATGGGGAGAGGTTGGGAAGCGAAAGAAACGGGATAAAAAGGGTTCCAGACTCAGGCTGTGAAGACCTGGAGGGAAAAGATGGAGAATGGAGGGAGGATGCTGGTGCTGGTGCTGGTGCTGGTGCTGATGACAGAGGATGGAGGATGAGAAAAAGAAGGGAAAAAGGTCGGAGGGGAAAGACTGAGAGGAAGATAGGAGGGGGAGGAGGCTCAAAGGACAGCGCCAGTCAGCAAGAGGGCAGATGAATCCAACAACACTTCCACTCACTCAACTCACTCTGCCCACTTTCTGCGTGAGATGCTATTCTGAGCTATTATTGCCGCTCCATTATATTGTGATTATTATTTTTATTATCCCTCCAATCCCCTAGCCATCTGTGCGATGCGGACAACAAGCGAAAATATTCTTCCGGACGTCCTTCCTCCGAGAAAAATTGAGACAACCAACGACGGAAGCATAAACTGTCCGTGCCGTCCATAACTATAAACTCGCGGAGATACAAACCCGGAAAAAAACTTTCTGTAGATATCTGCGCATCTAGTGGGCGGCCAAAGATAGCCAATAGCGGGTGTGTGGAATAGATATCTCAATTCAACCAATTCTCTTGTGGTATAAGGCTAACCAAGGAGGTAGCTTGGAGATTCGATGTGATGGAGATGTTCATTCGCAACAGTGGTTGGTCACCAAGGCACTAAAAGGAGCTGCGTATGCATTTTCAGGGCCTGACTTTGGTTCCCGTCGTTCGAGTTGAAACTGCATTATTCGTTCCCTGTGGGAAGCTTGAAAGCGGGGAATTCCAAAATTAGTGTGATGCAAGACCAGTGCCATCGTATGCCCAAGGCGTGCTCGCAGCCAAGCCTGCACATTGAATTGGTTGGACTTGGGGCAGTTTAAAAGACTGCAATTTGGTCAGGGACAACCCTGAGTAAGAAGTGGACTGCGCCTTTGCCCCACGGAAAAATTGTTCTACCACCAAAGCAGCGCCGGATCCATGGATTGGACAACCGCCAGCTCCACGAATAAGAATGGCACAGAACTGAGCTACTCCCCAGAACCCCACTTGGATTGCCCGCACATTAGTCATTTGGCAACCATCGGCTGTGGTCAAAATGGTCTAGGCGCATGATTTAGCTGGAGTGCAAGCTTGGTGTCAGCTGTACCACCCCCTTCTTTAAAAAGTCACTGGCTGCAAGAAACCACTCCGGGGAACTCTTTCTTGGAAATGCTCTGTCCATATCCGTCAAAACCATCCTTCACCCTTCCTTGGGAAGGAAAGGGCACATTGCAAGAGAATCCCGCCAAGTTCACTGGAGCCACATTAGCCGGACGTTGATCGATAATTTTAAGTAATTAATTTGCAGTCGCAGATAAAGCAGTGGCAGGAGCCATTCCCCGCTTGCTTCTGTCATTCGTTGTCCAAAAGAACTTTCCATTTGGGATCCTCCGCATATGCAGCACGTACCATTTCTTGTTAGCCCTGGGGTATGCTTCACGTGCAATCGTTTTGGAAAGGGTTTCATACCACTATCTTTGATTTGCCCTGACGCTGGTGGTTGCACGTCGTATGTATGTACTGTACATGCAGCTTTCCAAATTTTTCCAGGCTATATCTCAGGATGCCTGTCGGGGCGGATCCCCAACCACGTAACCTTGAAGGTCCATTGTTTTGTTAGCAGAATCCCGAACCTAGGATCTCTGGATCTGAGTTGCATGATGACCTTGCCAATGGGAGGAATTATGCTGCACCTTTATAAGGTACCGTCTGGACGGTGATGGTGATAATGTTCCACTTGATTCCACTTCGACTGAGACGTAACGATCTCCGATTGCGAAAGATGACAGTTTTGTTCCAACTGGGTGTAAGGAGTAGGGTTCATATAATACATATTGGGGTTGCGATCATTTCAAAAATGGCGCCGTACACAGATTTGATAACATAGATTGTTGTCGGTTTGCTTCATCGCTTTGTCTTGTGCAATGCATCCCCGAGCGGAAGACAATTGCTATTCAATTCCACCAGGTCCAATATCCCGACAAGGGTGTTGGCGATACAAATGCCCAGGACTTGCCAGTTAGCATCCATCCTTCAACTCTCCAACTGCCAATAAGTTTTCAGATGACAATGAGATAGCCTATTTGCCGTCTCTATATCTTTCAATTTACCCATGAAGTCACATTTCAATGCAATTCCTTGAGCTACGGGCTGCTCCTGGTGTGTACACCTCCACGATCGTCCGTGGCGCAGGCTGTCAAGCGGATTCTTAGGAGAGAGTTGAAAGTCGTCCAAGTGAAAGGAAACTGAGGTAGAGGATGGTGCCTTCTTTCCACTGTCTTGTGGTGGACGCGTGAGTCTATCGCACCTACCGTGACTGTTTGCAACAGGGAAGTTCTTGTCATCCAACCACTTGGGGAAGTCACGGTTGGGCTATACAGGATATGCTCTTGACGTACGGATGTTTGAGGTAAATATCCTCTGTTTACCTCTACAGACCGTCTCTTTGACTCTCCCGTCTTTTACTTGTGACGTTACTCCTCTCTTCTTCCCAGGCCCGAGCCATCTCTGACTTCTTTACATCCTGCGTGTACATTTGAGGGAAAATGGTCATTGCTTCGAAGAATGATGACGTGATTTACCACTGGCTTTCAAAAATTGACTCGAGAAATGAATCCTTCCTTCCAAAGTCCCCTGTCACACGGCGGAAGAATTCATTAAATATGAAACACGTCGACAACTCATGCGAAATACGAAAAATAGGAAATCGAAGTGGTAAAGACGCAGAATCCATTGACAATATGAGCTCCCCTCATATAGACTACACCCGGGTTTTGCCGTTTTCAGACCTTCAACAATTAATAGCGGGGATGAACGGCAACAAGGAGGCCCGAGGCACGCTTTCTGGCGCGCAATGCCGGAACGATATCACGGAGTCTGAACATTTGACTGATACACACAAAAAGGTTTATGAGGATGAAGACGCGAAAGGTATTCTTCACTTGCATCCTATTACGTACAAATTGCATGCTGATTTTACGGTCATGAGTTGGTTCTTGTCTATCTCGTGGCGAAATATTTAACGCAAGTCAACCTGCGGAACTTGCACATCGGGAAAGCATGCATGGACCCTGTGTGAGTACTACAAATAAAGCTCGTTCACGGGAACGTAGTTCACAATCTCCTTGTGCTCTATCACAGCGCAAGGTTCTTACCAATGAAGGCTCGAGAGAGTCTAATCCGTTGCTACCTAATGTCGTGCGTCGATGTGCCTATGAACGCCGCCTCAGATACAAAACTCGGCCGGATCGGTATCAGCTAAAAGATACAGGCGGTTCTGCAATTCCATCAAGCTCTAAGGCCAAGGCCCGGAAGTCATTAACAGCGGAAACAAATATTAATAATGTCGTCGAGAATTTATCTAAGGACAGAAGCAACCCGTCGTTTCCATCAACTCCTGCAGGTGTTACTGAACGAGGAATTCACAGAAAAAAGAGAAGGCAAGGAATTACACTTGAAACCAGTTTCAAAACTCACAATGTTACTCAGAGGCGTCTCAGTGTAAGTGACCCTATCACTGAAATTTTATTTTTGCTAATACTCAGCGCTTAGTTACCGGTGAATTATGGGATTGGATTTCTTAACAGAGCGCGAGGCGGGAACAGTGGGGGTGAGTTAATACTTCCTAACACACTCACTTTTTGCTAACCATACGAAATTTAGTGCCTGACCTTAGCTTTTCAGGGATGGAATTTCTGACAAATGGGTTCAAGCGTCAAAAAAAGCCGGAGGAAGCCGAATGTGTTCAAATGAAGCAGGTAAAGGAAGTGGATGACTCTGGGACAATATCTCGATACTTTTCAAAACAGCCAGTAGAGCCGCCAATTCCTCAACGTTATTCAACTGAGAGAAATGGTCCTCAGGCATCACGACAACCTAGCAATTTCCTATTAAACCCAGGGGTTGGTGCGCACGACCCAACTGGTACCGAGCTGCTAGCCCTGGAATCAGGTGCGGAGTTGTCCATGCCAAACATAACCGCAAACTCCTTCCGCCAGGCTAGTGTAAACCCGTCCGAATCTGCTTCCAACCCTTTCTGGAATCAGGCCAACCGGGCTACACATTGGCTGCCTCAGATTAAATCCCAGACTCTTGATGCTAGACGTGCAATGTTGATGGCTGCCAGGACAGCGCGCACTATTGCAATGCTTGACCAATGTAAAAAGGCTGTACAACATGCAGCTCAGATGGTGAGCAACGAAGACAAGCACCGAATCGACATGGAAGTTGAAAGAGACTATCCAATTCCCAAACTGGTCTCTAAAATTTCGTTCCAGGATACGAAACGTGCGATAGAAGAAATGATAAGAGGGGAGAATCAGTTCCTAGCTGAAATCTGCACTGCATTTGATCCAGAAATCAATGATTTCAGGGATACATCTGAAGAAAGACGTGAGGTAAATGGTATGTATAATCAATATTTTCTATTGTGAGTTAAATGCATCACAGTTCAGGCTAATCTTTTATGAAAATTGAGGTTCTGGCTCTCTCAACACAACAGCAAATCCAGCACCCGATTCCAACCACAGTGGCCCTTCAATTATCCAAGCCACATCTAATGACTTTCAAAACCGGCCCTCGCTTGAAGAGACAAAGAGTTCTCTGAATGATAATCGAAATGCGGCTTCTAGCTCTAATCACAACCAACATCAGTCCAGAGCAAATGAGTCTGTTTTGAGCATGTCAGGCTCCAGTACTATCCCTAATAACCGAAATACTGTACAAAGCCAGCCTGAAGATGGCGGGCTTCTGTCTCAGCAAAAGGAGACCCCGGGATCCGGAAAACTGTCAGTACCGATCCTCGACTTGATTCAGGAGCCAACTTCAAAGTCCATGGTGAATCCTGTACAATATTTGTTAGGCAAAAATACGAGCAACGACATTCATCTGATAGGCAATTCAGGCGGTAATAGGCTCAAGAACATCCATCCACTCAATAGCGATAATTCTGAGATCGGTAAAGCACGGCCCCTGGAACACAAAACAGGAAACATACACCCCTCATTTCTATGGAATGCGCCAAACCCCGAGCAGCCTTTCAAACCCGGAATAGAAGTCTCTACAGACGATATTCTCCTCGATCTAATCCACGAAGAAGGTTCCGCAGTCGGTGTATCTCAAAGCCGTAGTTCTACGAGAGCCCAATGCTTCCGAAATTGCCTTGTTCCTCCACAACGATATCCTTCCCAGCCATTCTGCTTTAATGGTCCAATTGCTTCAAAAAACCCATTGGAAACTAATTCCAATAATCCAACCTGGTGGACTGAGCTGGTTAATAATCCGCACTTATCTACAAACAATTCATCATACGTAAACGGCGGTAATCGACCTACAACACCCGCATTGAGTATGCGAAGCGAGTTCCCTAATACCCAGAGTTTGGATAATGATTGGGTAGCCGAAGGCTACCTAGCAAGCTTTATTGAGCCGCAACTTCAGTTTAGCCCGTCTAGTATTCAACACGCTCATCGGCACTCCAGCTTTCTCCATGCTACGGCTGGTTCTCAGACTCCAAGATCGGTACCAGCCATTCCCAGATCTAGGACTGTCCCCCCCAAAAATCCCTGGTACAATAACCAATATATTCCTTGGGGACCATCCAACGAAATCCACATTTCGCAACAAATTCCAAATCCGCACCCGCCCTTTGCCCGCCAAGACTTGTCCCCCGAATCAAATAAGTTTTCTCGTGTTCCGCCGACTTTTCTTCCCTTTTCTCACCCCAATAAACTTCATTGAATATATCCTGACTTCTCAACCTCTTGGACTACCAAAAGTTGCCTTCGGGACGTTGGTTGTTCTTGTTGGCCATTGAACAACATGCTTTTATTGTATACCTAGCTTGGCCCCCCTTGTCTACTCCAGATTGCCCCCAGGCCCATTCGTACTTTTCATCTATCACACCTATAATCACTCTCCGCTCCTTTTCTCTAATAGTGCACAAAGTGATATATCTACACACAACAGAAACTGTCAGGCTGAAACTATTCTGCCAATCACTCTTCGCTTGTTGCTTCAATGGATGTTATACATCATGATGGTAATGAACAGAAATCCGTTCAACAAAATTGCCACTGAGGGAATTATTCTATTAGCTTGCATTGATCATAATTAGAGGCAGTTAGCTATGCTGGGATTTGATTCAGGTACATTATAATCCAGGAACAGATTGAAGTATATTGGTAGCCCTTATCCACCGGACAGTTGAATTCAAATCATTTTATTTTCCGTTTCCTCCAAAAGTGGTTGAATAACTAGTCATACATGGTCCCAACAAAAATGCGTGCTGACACAGTGACCAAGCCGAATGATGCACTTGCAAAAGTTCTCCGAAAACCAAACTTCATCATGCTCAACGAAGAGTAAACACGTATTGCAGCTGTGTCTTCTGCTCAGCCATGTACATGGTGTATACGTAACCCATCCGCCGAATGGGACGGGAAAGCATGAACCGCTAATGTGCGAGACAAAGGGTTCACCTTCACATACATTCCACTTCACCACCTACAAAATAACCAATTACTTAGGAGAGTGTAGAAGCTGGGCAGCTTAGCAGATTATTTCCCCAAAATGGAGTTTGCCTCTTTCCTAGGTGGATTTCTAATCTCGCCGGGATGCCAACTGTTGTCGTGATTATGCACGGAAGTAGATGCAATGTAGGCTCCCGAACTAATATGCTTCTTACGTACTACAAGTTGCTGAAAAGTGGCTTTTCGGAAGCTCCACTGCACTGTCTCGGAGGAGTTAAGGAGCAAATCCTATATCAAAATGAGGAGGGATGGAAATTGCTTTTTTTTTTTTTTTTTTTTTTTTTTTTTTTTTCAGGGACAGGTTGCCATATGAAGAAGCCTGATGATCAAAGAGAGGATAGCCGGGGGGGATTGCCGAAATAAAATGAAAGAACCAGAGGATTTCCAGTGGCAATAATCGCCAAATTAATAACAGCGGACAGGCGATTGGCACAGTTATCGCTTGACTTATCCAGAACTACTTGAGCAGGAGAATAAAGTTCTTGTCTGTCAAAATATGAGGCGACTGGCAATTCAGGTTGTCATATGTAGAGAGACCAATGTACGGGCAGACTTCAGCCTCCGGTTGTCTTCGGCTTATACTTTGGTATATTTTGAAATTTTTTTTTTTTTTTTTTTTTTTTCATTTTTGGTCTTTCTATTGGGTAAGAGTTCCTACAGCGTTGAGAAAGGCGGATAGCAACGGTCTGATGCGGGACTGGTTTGGAGCTCTTGATGAATCGAAGCTCTCTCTAACGAGGGAAATGTGCATTGTTACACGAAATCAGAAAAAAATTGAGAGTACCAGATTCGACCCGTGCACACTGCTCGCGTATGTTGATACTTGTAGCACAAACTTGCTCTTATGATGTTGACCTTTGATGTGTCACTTGCACAAACCATGTGGGTCTGGCAAGGCACCACAAGGACGGGAAGCTAAAAGATTATTTGACGGGACCCACACGCGATCAACCTTAAAAGTTTAAACCTAATCCAGAACTAAAGTTTGACCCAGCATCTATGTACTGAACATGCACCATGGTGCGCACTAGGCTCAGGGCCATATATATATATATATATATATTTACAAACTTTTGCCCTTAACAAAGAAAAGACTCACCTACTGGTAGTATGACTGCACAGCACTACTCCATTGGCTTGCTTTCATAATTGCTGCTTGGAGAATCTGCACCCAAGAGCGCTGAGAGAATACTTAATATCTTCGTATAGGATGGTATTGGGTTTACGGCGTTTCAGTGTCGTTGACGTCGATTGCCATCGCTCGTTATGTCTATTTAGAGAGATATTTTGATATATGGTCGTGGTAGCTAATCCTGGTTGACAAAGAGCCACGGCAGAGAATTATGGAATGAATAGCAGCTAGATGTGCCCTTTAGGCGTTTCTCATCGACAAAAAGATTAAAGGGATGGAAGGTTGTTGCACGGGATAAAATTGGCAGTAGCAGCAGCGCTAATCAAGGAAATCAAATTAATTCATCAAAATTTAGCTGCATTATATCACAGCATGTGATGAAGTGATTGGAGATTACACACCTTTTCTTGAACATTAATCCACACGAAACATGTTGGCAACTAGTATGTTGGAATCGTAAGACCTTCAATGCTATAGCATTTGTTGAAGCCTCTGGGCAGCATCTGAAAATCACGTAATAATCCGATGACTGTTCTTTGGTAGAGCTAACTCCAGTAGATCATGCCCCCAAAGTTCTAGATTCCTGTTGAAGAATATCCTCGAAGTTATTACACAAGCCTCTTTTTGCCTGAAATACACATGATCCAGGCAACCAAAACATAAGAAAATCGTCCCTTGGCTATTTGGGGGAACGTGGTGGCCAGCCACTGAGACTAAGGAGTCGGATTTTCAGGCTATCTCTTGCCTTGTCAGTGTAGATCATGGGCCAGAACAATCGAGCTCCTCAAAGGGAGAGTTGCTGCTTTTTGCTGGTAAAATGTGTTTGGGAAGAGAGTTGAGCCGCATAGCCTGTATCACAAATACGTAGTAAAAAGAATACGCTCGACCTAATGTAATATGCCCAAGACGGGACGGGACGATCAGGAGTCGAGGGTTATCTCCGCGGTCTAGACTACTATTGCTGTTCATGAGTCCAATATTAGTGTCATGATGAGGGATGTTCATTGAGGAACTCAGCTAGCAGTGTTATCCCGATTTGACGACGAATCGAGATAGTTGACAGGCTGACTGTTGATCGCAATGTTACAGCAAAGGCCCCTCTCAGCGGTCTGGAAGAAGGTACTTTGATCATCCGGCCCTGGCTTCGCTCTTCGATATTTGACGTGCTGCGAAAGTTTCAGCCATGGGCTTTGATCTCTATTTCATGTTAACGATTTTGTGGTCTAGAACATGGAGGCCATCGATCACCGCTCTCACTTCTTATTTGTTCCGGAGAATATTCGATCTCTTGGAGACACATGAGCTTTTTATTGCTCATAATTCGTTACAAATTCGCAAGACAAAGGTCGAAACCTGGCTAACGATGAAGGATTAATCAACTCCAATAGTATTTATTGTTACCTAGTAGCGCAAAGGTATATCAATCTGTGACCTACCGACCTTTCTATCCTCCAACAAAAAAATCAGTACTCCGCATGGAGTACAATAATAGAACAAATCTGCCAAATATTTCATTGTCAGGCATAGAGTCTTGACGACTCAGCGGACAAGTTCTAGACCCCAGATGAAGTGTGGTTGGCACGAAAAATTTCCTGCTGCAATAATTGGCATCCCGGTTTTGAAGTTAACGAACATCTTCTGATTCGTAGTTCAAGATTTCTCTTGGCGTCTGAGTGTTTCATCAAGTCGAATAAATAAATAGACAAATAAAAAGTAATCAAAGTTCGGGATTTGGCGACTTGTACACCGCGAGGCACCATAGGATAGCTAATTAACCAGACAAACGGACGGGATGCCGTGGCAGGCCGAACTAACTGCGATCAACCTTGAGATCATCCACGGTTCCTTAAAGGTCCAGATTCACGAGCAATTGCGGCGCAACGTGCGGAACGTTGCAAAGAACGATGGATGCGTCAAGCTGAAAAGGGACCGCCCCACCACCGTCTAGCTTGCTCTCCTAACTGGCTAGCACTCATTAGCTAAATGTGCACTTCCGAGGAAGAATCGTAAGAAGCAATGCGACGACTCCATGCCACAGGTCATCACGACATCAGAGCGCAATCAATTCCGAGTCCCACGCCACCCGTCAAATTACAGGATCCCAGGTATACCATCCCCAATGTATCGTACGGTACATATACAAGTTTGTACACAGCATAAGTTGTTTGCCGCCTGGATCTGTCCAAAGATGCGCAGTTGCCGTCTTTTGGCTCAAGGCCTGGCCAAACCCGTTTTCCTGCAGAAAATAACAGAGGTGGAGCGACTGGCGATGATAATAATGCAAGGGACCGCCTCTCCGCTGTCAAGATGCCAGATAAACGGGTCGTCCGTTGCTTGAGCAGAAATGTCGCTCTGAGGCCACTTTGTCTTAACCTCACTGCTCTCGCACAAAAGTGAGTGGTAAGTGAGAATCAACTGAAAATCCGACAAGCAGCACACTATTAGCTTCCACAGAACATATTTTTCAAGTAGCCACTCCCTTGCTGCTCCATGGCATGGCTGCCTCCTGTTCCCGTTTAATGTGGTTCTGTGTAAGGGCTAACGTCGATTCTATGCAGTCTAACGCAAGTGCATCACAAACTCGTGATGATTTGGCACGAGTGCTTTACCTCAGCATCTTGAGGAGAAAGCAAACATGGCTGGGAAACTTCAGGGGAGATGGCGCTTTTGCCCCACAGTTCTCGCGCATAAATTTACGAGAAAGTTTCAAGTTTTGATTGGGTATCAATCCCTAGTGCCTGAGCGAGGCTATTGCCCCTATCTCACCCTGCTTCCTTGTCCATCGACATCAGTAACAACATGAGACTATTCGGAAACAGCGCACATTGTAGGTGTGTGCCTTGCTCTTTCAATGCTGAAATAGCTTGTTCTTAGTTGAGGGTGTTATCAACAATTGAATCCCAAAGGCTTAGTGACTTCTACGCACCTCAGCTTTCCTGAGAACCTACTGACATCAATCACTAAATGTCAAGCTGACCGCCTCCCCCATACCGCACTTTCTTTTTTCTTGGAACTTCTACTCCCTCTTACGACAAATGTAATTGCTTGTTCCTAAAGCGATCAAGTTTCACAAGAGGCCCTTACGGCCATATCTTGCTTGAACGGCTATTGCCCATTCATCTTCTTCGAAAAACAACCCTTATTTGGCCAGCGGAGCCTAGATTTATGGTCGAACATCACCAATTATGCCCGGGGGCGAATCTCCATCAACAATTTCAGTATCTTCAGTATATGAATGATAGATCGGGGTACGAAAATAACCAAACAAATACATTCCCACCATAGCTCACTGGTCTGAGAATTAACCGCAGTCCATTTGACTACCAGGCTACGATGGTTGATAGATCAGACAATTGAACGACGTTGATTTTCTTGTATTGTCAAGCAATGAGTGGTCAGAATTGCTAGAATTAAGCCTAGCTGATGTACTGTGCATGGGCTTTACTTGCGACTTTTGCTGTTCAGAACATAAATTCTAGAAAGCGGAGTCTAGGCCTTTTGACTTCTATGTTGTACCCTGAAAACCCGATTGTTTGGTTTGTTTCTGCAGCTTTCCATTTCGACACTCCGACATCGACATATCTGGAATGGAGAGCTCATCTCGCTTATCTCCATCGGCGGAGCCTAATATCCAAGGCTCAAAAATTTATAATACTGTACATGAACTGTACATTACAGACCCTACTCGAGAATATGCGCATCATTCCCACAGACCTCTGATCTGCGTTCTCTGATAATTTCTGTTCTGGCCAGGCATCGATGTCTAATATTTCTTGGGCTTGTTTCGTACCTTCGCATTGCTCCCTTCGAAGGGTTCGTGGCTTATTTCAAGCGCGCCTATTATGCTATAAGATTTTTAGCTTCCCAGCGCAAAGAACCCCTCAAAAAGCATTTTAGCATCTCGACTTACCAATAAAGGGTACGAGTGAAGATAATTCAAAAACTGGATTCTCGTGCGACCATTTACGCGAAGAATGGGTCAATATGGTGGGCACTTCAGTATTCTTCGCATGCAGTAGTATGTCCCACACACGGGAACCGAGCGCCTCATCAAAAGAGCTAATTTACTGAATGTTTACACAGTTTACTGTCGTTGCCCTCTCGGAGCTACAGATCATTAATTGCCTGACTTTGTTGCAGCGGTTTGCAAATTCCTTTTAAGGATCTACACTGCCATGTCGATTGCTGCCGTTGCCATTTGCAAAGTCTTCCCACCACACTCGAACCGCAGACACTACCACTTGCCTAATTATTTGAATCTCATAATTTTAAATTCCATTTACGGGGTGGTGGTTAATAGGCCGACGTTACCCTGCCCAGTCGTTAAGCATCCACTCCAAGTTCATTTCACCTTCAACTTTTATATCAATTTCACCCTTTCAACTTTCTCTATCATCTTGTTTAAGTTTCATGATACCGGCACATCTATCGAGCTCTAAACCCAAGTTCTTCCATTTAAACGTGTATTCTCTCATCAAACATGAGTAAACTTGAGAAACTCGAGTTGACCGAGGAGAGGTTGGCACTGCATAATAAGCTCTATAAACCGGTACATTCCCACCCACTTAAGCATGCTAATAATGTTTACTTATCAACTTTCCTTAGAGTCCGGAAACCCACTCGAGACATGCGAGCCAGCTGGTTGAAATGGAGAGAATACAGATGAGCTGCTTAAAATCGGCCATTGATTTGTTTAAAGAGGATCGATTGTCAACATCCTCTCTACCAATTGAACTGGAATTTTCTCGGACCGCGGAATCACTCACCAGCCTTTTTGAAAAGGAGAGCGAACCACTCAACAAGAGCCCCCTCGAGCATCCATTAGAACGGTACTTGACGCCGGGTGATCTAAGTGAACCCAGCTACTTTGCGATACAGGCATTAAAGGAGTATGGATTTGAATATGGGTCACACGCCTCGGTTGATGCCAGGAAGAGACTGGGGCGCCTCAACTATGAGTCGGCAATGTTGAATGCCAGAGCAGCGCAGACGGTAAATAATACCTGTGATAATCGTAAAAGGTAAATCGCCATAATCGTTCGAGTTCCTTCCCCTGTGGACTCCACTTTAGACTAATCCAACACTGTATCAGCAGGGTCAAGCAGTCCATTACGAAGAGGTAACGATTGCGCCGAAGTACAACTGAATTTATAACTATAAATGGATGGGTCTGGAAGTCCAAATATTCTGTCGTTTTTCTCGGGGTTTTTTTTTTTTTTTCATGTCTTCTCGCTTCACCCCTTTCTTCAGATATTTCCCCCTTCTTCCTACTTTTACACCCCCATTTTCATGGATTCGGATGGGATCCAGGCTCCAGATGACAAGTAAACAAGTAATTCCTAAGACCAACAAACGAGAGAAAGGGCGGGGATTTAAAGAAAGGAGAAGAGAGCGAAGTACACGCTGATCCTCTGTGCCACACTTCACCTACGACGCATCGACTGCGCCACACAATCAAGCTGATCAATACCACATAATCTAGTTACCGATCCTGCGTCAATTTTCATTCGTCTTCTTTCTTTCTTCCTGCCACAAATGATGGTGTGTGTTTAATTTAGTTGCTCGACGCATTTCGAATGCGACATTTCTCTCTCTCCCTCTTAAATATATAATGCAGGCATAAAGTTGCTCTTCAACCTATGCCATCACTATGATAGTTATAACCTTGTAAACATCTACTTTCTTGACACAATTGGTTGTAAACTTATTTGAAGTCCAAGCTAAGTTTGAGCTCAGATTTTGCCAATGATTTTTTTCTCTCCGAGAAGCAGACGAACATATGGAGAAATCTCGTCAGAAGTATATCTCGGGCGGGGCGCGCTAGCTTTTCGCAAACCCGGGGAATTTTTTAGACTGCCTCACGACGGAGCGACAATATTTGTTCTGGAAGCGGCGGGGCTAAACTTGGGAAAGCATTATTATTCTGGTTTAGGGCGGCAGCAAGTGTAGTAATTGAAGGGTCGCCAGTGATATCGCCTTTGGCGCTCTCAACCGTCACAGGAAAAGACAGTACGAAATATTTCGGCATCCCAAGCTCGCAACTATGTCTGGAAATTAGAGTGATCTTTGACAGATCTTAGCCAAGGATATATTATGGGTCCATCACAGAATCATCGGTTTTTCTCTGTTTCGTGAAAATAGGGAATGGAGGACACTGCCTGCAGCCAAAAACGTTAGTCCACCAAAATATTGAAGGTAGGTTGAGGCTCCCCAGCGATGGGCCAGCCGGACATCAGTGTTGTAAGCTCTCGATAAATTTCCCGGGAAAAAAGGAGAGTTCGGCGAAGAACACAGCCTGAATCGTAATATGAGTACCAAAGCTAAACCGCCTCCGATGACTGAGTTTCTGGGCTTTATTGGCTGTTGTGTCGTTGTTTTGGAAGTGTTGGACGCATTTCTTCCGCCCGAAAAGATCATCATCAAAACATTACTTCCGGTTTTGTGTTCCTTCAGCCCCACCCTTTCCGGTGCTGGTACCAGTAGCTTTTTTCTTTTGCCGCCAGTTGCATTGAGTCTTAGCTGAATGGCTAATAAGCGTATTGAACTGTGGGATGCTGAGCTCCGTTCGTCCAGGCTTTACTGTTATGCTTGTTGAAGTTGACAGCCAGCAGGGATGAGATTACATGTCACCAAACCCAGAGAAGTGTAGGACTCCTTCCTTTGTGACAACCCACCGGTTGATTCGAATGGTGCCTCTCCTGCTGCGCCTCAAAAAAGGAATCTTGATGCTTAGGATCATGTTACAACATTGGTTATGCAGGAAAACCACAGGACATAGTAAATCAAACCGACAGATTTGATATTGATTTTCGAGGTAACTTACCTACTCTCATTTAGTAAGTGACACAGCTATAGCACTGAAAATTTTGCAAAAACGTGTCCCGTTCCTACCAACCCATCTGCTCGCTCCTGATCTTCGAAAAGGAATTAGGGTTGTTTACGTCACGTGAAATACAGCCGTCAGCACCTTGAGTGACCAAAGTTCAGGCGTAAATTAAATCCAAGGCAGGAAGTTGTGCAACGTACTGTATATCTTGCTTCTGGCAGCTCACCAAGGAAATGTAAAAGGCAATTGGTAGCTTGGGCTAAATTGCCTTTGGGTGAACTCCGCTGCACAGATGATAAGCCCCGGCATTCACCTAGCAGGACAGAATAGCGCAAATTTTAGCTAAATAACCGAAACAAATGCGTCGTGTGCTCTGTATGTCTTGATGAGCAAACCGAATTGTCGTGCTATTTTCACCTGTACTTGACCTGTGTAAACGAAGGGGTACGTCCAAAGTTTGGGCGAGGGCAATATGAAGATAGCCATGTGAGAATCTCTAACAGAATACAGCAGATTTAACTGCGAGTAGCTGGTGTAGACAAAAGTTGAATTTATCTTTTAGCGAGAACTTATGTTGTTTGCCTCCTCCCTTCGCCTCAAGGTGAACTTCTCAGTAGGCTCTCTTTCTGGATGAATGCAAGCTATACGATACACTCTAGCCTCAATCTCAACCATCAATGGATACACCAAGTCACATGCAACGATGTTTATCAAGTCGATATTTGATGAGCTTTCCGCTAGGAAGGTCTTCTGCCACCTGAACACGTCACTTTTCCAAACACGGGCTTGAGGCGTACAAAGAATTCCGATTATGTTTTGTTGGCTCCAAGAAGTGATGGCCACCTGGGAGAAATGGCGATGATTGTCAGGACGCAAAAACCGCTTAGCTGCTGCGCTGGGCCGAGCGGCTCAAAGACGCAGAGTAAGCGCCGAGAATCGCTTGCGATGGGGATGCCGGGGGTCTCATGATTTCCAAGGTTATGGAGAGTAAAATAGTCACGCGAGAAAAGGTTTGGCTTACTAGGATTATTGAGGCGTGCGGTTAACTCGCCATTCCAACAGCGGACAGCCTTTCACAACAAGGGCGTCCAGGGAGCAAACAGGCTGGAGTTTATGGGACGATTCATTTATCCGCCTCACGAGAGGTGATAGAGGCTTATTTTGAGAGAAGTCTAGCTGAACATTCCCAGGAAGGCAGAAAAGCACCAGAGAGTAAGTAGCCTTGGGCCGATGCACATACATACGCCTGACAATGCTCAGCCAGGCACCGCGCATTGGCTGCCTCCATCCCTGCTTCCCTTACATGAGTCCAGCGGCCATGGGCGCTGAGAATGATCCCATTGAAGCGGCTCAACACTCGATTTAATCGCGGGAAGTCTCTTGCTGTTACGCCCTCCGGGTTTTGATGATTGGTGCTTGCTCCATTTACAATCAAAAACATGGACTAACGAGCTTCATTAGAAGGTCCCATTCTGTCCCTGAAGATAGCGCTTCCTCTGCTTTCTGCTGCCCTCAGCTTAGGTTAGAGTTTGGAAATTGATTCGCTAACCCTCTTCCACTACATTAAACGCACCGATGAAGCGTGAGGACGAAGTGACTCCGCAATCATGATTCCAACAGCGGTGTAGCCTGGATTTTCTGGTTCATTCCACCCCGTGTATGTACGCGATGCTTCGTGCTAGAGATATACTGGCCAGTCTGGCTCCGCTCGATCCAACAATTGGGCGCAAACCCAGTGAAGCCCAATCCAATGAACCCTCCATATTGCCAAGCCCATTCCGCAACTGCGCACCCACAAGCGATTTCCGCACCGTTAGCCGACCACAGTACACCCTTCACTGGGTAGTTCCCGGGATTAATCCCGCTCCATAATAATATATATCGCTCCAGGCCAAGGGAAATCATGATTCGATTTTTTCACAAGCGTGCTCTGCTATCGAGATTCCCCCACTCCAGCAGAAGCAAAATTTCCTGCACGTCCCTTAGTCAAACGTCATCTTTCTCAACTCAATTTCCATTCGCCCGCCTACCTGGCTTCGGTCTTTGACGACATTATCTTCACGAGATACTATCGCAACCTGCAAGAACTTGATAAAGGGCCACACGTGGTCCTAAAAAGAGTCAACTTGGATCTGGACGCTGGACTGCTAATATCGCACCATATGGAGCCGGAATCGTTTTTTTCCATCGCATGAATTTAACCCCTCTTGAGCAAATTTAATGTCGACAATCCGGGACAGAGACGGCCGAACTATAGCAAACAATTCCACATCGCTTCTGATTTTTGCTAATCTGTCTCATCCAACCATTGGAATCACTCGTGGAAAGGGGAGATTCAATTTCTCCCCATACGTACAACAGAAAAAATGTCAATCGGACACCCATCAATTGCCAATTTCCCGGACTATATTGGAAATGGATCGGCCCAGCGAACATTGCCGTATAATCGATATCGTACCTCGAATTTGGATCCCCTCCAGTCTGACGAATCCCAGATTTTGAATACAAGCAGATCCAACTTTGGGCAAGAATATATGCCAACAAGTGATCGATTCTCCCATTTGATGGCACTAATGCCACCCGGTTATGATATATATGGAAATTTACCTCCGTCTGATTTTCAATACGGAGGTCTTCAGAATCCTTATTGTGATTCACAGCTCGGGGAGGCGTTCAGCCGGAATGTAGGATATCCACAAAACCTGAATCCAGGGACGGACCTAGAAGACTCTCTGTTAGAGAGCGGGTTTCAGATACCTCATTGCCATTTCCAACCTTTCCAAGCTTCGAGAATTGGATCGGCGAATAACACAGACATATTTAATGGCTGGTTTCCTCAAGAGCCATCGGACTCATATCCCTGTCCTGATGGGATTAATATAGACAAGCATTCCACATCGATTGGACAAGCCACTAAAGTAGCCCATCCGCAAACGGCGCCAGAAGACGGCGACAGTTGTACAGGTCATCGGGTTGGAAACGCACCATCCACCGAGGACTTGAAACTCGAAGGTACATCGAAAAAGGCATCGAAGGGGAAAGGAACTAGGCATAATATCGCTTCGAGGTCTTTTCGTTCAGCATCATCAAAAAAAGAAAACCGGCCGAAGGAAGCGAAATGGCCATTTATAGCTCAAAAATTCGATACATCATCTGGAGAACCTGAAGCCGTGGGGACAAAAAGAAGACGGAGAACGGCGGAGGAGAAGCGTGAAACTGCCCAAATCCGGAAACTTGGTGGTGCTTGTGAGGATTGTCGTAGAAAACATCGCCGCGTATGTTCTCAACCGTCTACCCAAAGGGCCTGGCATCATGGCTAACTAACGTCGGATTTCTATTTAGTGCAGCCCGAAGCATCACCAACGGGGCACTCCGCTCTCAACACAGCACGCCACAAGTAAGTATGTTATTTCGATATCCCGCAACAGGGTGGTTCCTTCAAGCGCGCACATGCAGAATGACCTGGGCTAACAGCATAATAGACTCGCCCCAGTTGTTCATAAAGCCAGTCCCGACATTTCCAGGTTACTCCCATGGCTTCTATCCGTCGATCGGCAACATGTCCATTACCGCATCCACTCCAGTGGCACAACAGGAAATTGATGCCGCAGCACCATTAAGTCTTAACCATGCGACATTTGCCACAGCAAGGATGGGAGCCAATTCCGCTAGAATCACAACTAAATAGTGCATGGTACAAATAGGTTGTCCAATGGATTTTTCTTCTTTCTCAAGGGGGATATTAAAAAAAAAAAAAAATACCGGAAATGATCGTACGTCCCAGTCCGCGGCGGCGTTAGCTGATTGCCCCAAAACCAATACATTGACAACAACTGGCTAACCTTCGACGGTACGTATCATTCTTTAGAAACGCCTTTCTAAGGATCAACGAACCATCCTCGGCACAGCTTCTAACGGATTTCCAATCTAGTGGGCCACAAGCAGGGCGACCTGAATCGAAGCCCATGGCGGATAACAATCTACCAAGCATATAAGGAATAATCATTTCTCCTCGTTATTGGAAGGAAATTGTATATCTCTGAACTCGCAGTGATTGGGGTTTTAGGCGTGTGTATCTAGGAAAGATTTCAATTTGGGCGCCGGCGCCGAGATCTGTTCCAGACGCCTTATTTTTAAATTTATACTTTATATGTTCATTTGTCGTTCAACATTTCAAGGGACTCATCATCTGAAATTAGGCAAGGTGTTAGTTCTCTTCCCTAGATAACCATGGGCAACCTGGATATAATATTCAAATTGGACATTTTGTATGAGAATCTATGGCGTCTATCTTCTCATGTGTTAGTACAGAATAACTGACTGGCAGCAGCGCCCTGCTTACCACATATTAATATTTAATGCATATTATATTTCAATGGTGTCACAATGGAGCCGCAGCTTTAGTAACTCCAGCACTCCGAGCAACAGCCTTATTCTGCACAACAATTTCCACAGGGTATTTCCATTCCATCATTCTTGCCCATCCTGCAAATGAACACAAATTAGTTAGTACGTAGAAAACGAAGTGAAAATGAGCTCAGATTCCTTTCATTCACGATTCTCATAACGTAAAGAGGATGAATGGGGCAGGGAAAGCAATATATGGATTCCATTGGATCCGAACGTACCCCAGTACGCACACTTTCTTCCTAGATATTTGCCAACAAATGGTATGATCACCATAGTTAAAAGCAACTCCAGCTGTTGTATACTTTCTTTCCACTCCCTCTCTGCATCTGACTCCTCGTCCCCATCGCTGAAGTCTCCCTCGAGGGAGGAATCGGACGCGGAAACTGAGGGCAAGGACTCGACTTCATCTTGATCCGAGAGTGAATTGAGTCCTGTGGCTAACATATAGGATGCGGATGAAGCGGAGGGAGAAAATGAGGAGCCGAAATTGGAAGATTGCAGAGGTGACGATGACATGGTGGAGGTATTGGCGAGTGATCAGAATCTCAGAGATAAACCAGGGGATCAAGCTGATAGAATCGACTGCGAAACAGGGTGGATTACAGCTAGAGGAGAGAGAGAGGGCGCGGTATTGCACCGCAGTTATACCGACAGGCGCATCGGCCACTCAGACGCTGAGGCAAGGTTTGCAAACAAGTGTCAATTTGCAATGCCCTGGATCTCAAGCTCGTCCTGTCCTCTTCCTCGACATCCTTGGCTACGGGCTTTGGGGAGATCGGCTTGGGTATCATGTGATGTAAATTTTCAGTCACGTGTATGTAACAATTTTTGAGTTATCAGTCGACTCGTTCCAGCGATGAACTGAACCCTCAACATCCAAGGCTTTTCTCGATATCTCATCTCATTTCCGTTGTCTCTGCGACACCTGAGTATATTATTTACGCTCCAGTACTGTGTTGCGGGCTTTCTAGGACAATAATCATGGCTGATGCGGTACGCGCATCCCACAATTTTGCCGATGACACCCACATTGATGTTTTTACAACCTTCCATATCCTTTCTAGCCTGGCTGTGGATAATCTTCAATGCCCCGCCCCAATAAAAGCTGCTTCTTTATGGCATATGAAAGTGACCACTAATTATTTTGCTGTTCAGGACGCTCCCCTTGTCGAAAAAAAGCACAGAAAATCCGTTGCGTTCAGCGAGGGAACAACAATCATGGATGCGAACGGAGCAATCTCTGAGGCTAGCCATTCCGATGACAAAACTACTGCTGAAAGGCATACTGCTAGTATGTCATGATCCCCTCAGCGGCCCTTTTCTTCTCGATCTTAGTTTTCCATTTTGCTAATGGTTTCACACGCGCAATCAGCCTCGCCCGACAAGGAAGTGGACGAAGTAACCGAGCTTTTCAAGGGTCTTTCGAAAAAGAAAAAGACAAAGAAGACGAAAGATGCAGATGCCGAAGCTAACGCGGACGGCGAGTTTGACCCCTCGATGATGAAGAAGAAAAAGAAGAGCAGCAAAAAGGCAGCCGACGGTGACTTCGAAGCCAAACTCGCGGAGGCAGGGCTGGCCAGTGAAGAAACCGCGCCAGAGGAGAAACCGTCGACCGAGGAGATCGTCAGCGACATCGAAAACGGCAGAGGTATCTGGGCCCACAACGCTACACAGTCTATTCCATATAACCTGCTCGTCACTCGATTCTTCACGTTGATTCACAGCCATCACCCCGATATCCTCTCAAGCGGTTCCAAGTCCTACAAAATCCCTCCACCGCAGTGTCTGCGTGAAGGTAACCGGAGAACTATCTTTGCCAATATCACCGATATCTGCAAGCGAATGAAGCGGTCGGAGGATCACGTTATGCAATTCCTGTTCGCGGAGTTGGTCACGAGTGGTAGTGTGGACGGAAGCAGGAGATTGGTTATCAAGGGTCGATTCCAGCAGAAACAAATTGAAAACGTTCTGCGAAGATACATCGGTGAGTGGACGACATTTCTATCCATTTAAAATGATTAAATTACTGACAGGATTTGTTAGTCGAATACGTCACTTGCAAAACGTGTCGCAGTCCAGACACGGAGCTCAACAAGGGAGAGAACCGTCTTTATTTCGTTACATGCAATTCCTGCGGTAGTAGACGCTCAGTCACTGCGATCAAAACTGGCTTCCGCGGCCAGGTTGGAAGACGGAAGAAGCAACAGGGCTAAAAATGCATACTTCGTTCGGCGTCCAGATTCATGGTTCACTATGACCTGTTCTTTTTGTTATAAATCCTATGCAATGCGCTCTCATGATTTGACCGAGTTTATTTTCATCCACCCCGATATTACTTCGTTTAACGATTTTCTGTTGTCTGTCCCTTGTTCGTTTCTTGATGGGGAAGAAAAGAACATGCCTCTCCGTGTCCTTTTTCAACCTTCTTCGTTTCATAATTTTACCTCGCAAAAGCAACAGTCCCATGAATTGCCGTCGTGATCACCAAAATGCTTTTTGGCAACTCACTTTCAATTAATTTCCTCCCTATTCTCTTCGTTTCTCGCAACTCAAGCTTTATGTTTTCTCCCTCCATAATGAACATGTATGTGTCTTTAGAAATTGGGCTACGTTAGAAAGGGAACACAAATATGGTAAGGGAGATGAAGGTATATTTGGGCGAAAATTGACAGAAAGAAAATGGATTTAGACTGAGCAAAATTCGAATGAAAATACGACTGATATACTTCAAAAAACATCCCCACGCGGTTCAATAACACAGTGGTTACGTGAACAGCTAGCACACGAAGTGTCAGAGGATGATGAACTCGGTTGAGGCGGATGGAAGGCGAAGACAACTGGGTATCCATGAGGCGGATACTGCTTTTTATCCATGCGAAAAGAAGGGCGCTAACCTTGGGTTATACACAGACAATCTTAGCACATGTCGCAAAGTTTGGATCGTGAATACCTCGTAGACTCTGTTAAATAGATACGGCCTTATAAAATAGGCATGTACCCGTCCTCTAGGATCGGGAGTCTACCCCTGAACCTGCCGCGACTCTGCTGAAGCTTTAACTTCCGCTCCGATCCCGACTCGATGCCCATCCACGAACCACACACAGCTGCTTTTGAGACAATTGAACATGCACCAAAACAAGAGGGTCAACCTTCTAAACGATGAAAGAGATACAAAGATACCGCCATTGCAAGAGTTCTTCCTGCTATCCTTGATTCCCTCAACCGTCAATCTAACATTATATAAAGTTCAATGTCCTATTCTGTGGCCGATATGGCTTTGGCAGACCTTTGTATAAAACCGTCATTAACAAAAGAATGGAAGTACTTTTTTTCTTCTTCTTACTTAACCTTTCATCGATACTGAGTCTCCGGTGCAAACACACCAGTGCCTGTATTTCGTTGCGACTTCTTCATAGTTCGGAAAAGCCGGCGGACAGCAGCTTCTTGTTATTGGCCCAAGCAGGCCCTCAACAAGTAAGATGCAATAATTGCTATCCTGGTACGGATCATACAATCCCCAGCATTCACTTCAGGGGCTTTCGAATCAATGTTATGTTGACTCAGGGGGTAGGTAGAGCAGGCAAGAATAATCCCATGCATGTTTCAATTTTTTCCCGAATGACGGCCGAAAGACTGAGTTCCGTCGGATTCCGGCCGTATGATGTCAGGCAGATCTGGGACATATTTTACGGGACTTCACCACTACCACAGGCGAACGACGGGGTTCAGCAGCACCGGTTGGCGAATACGATGATATTGAGACATGCCGCCGTCAATCATGACTTCAGCGTACTCCTTGTCACATACCTTGTTGGGGGGAAAGGGTTGAATGTTTTTGCATTCGTGGTAGATGTAATTACTTGGAGGATTGGAGTGCAATTGCGAGTATTTTACAACTTTATCTTCGTGTGCAACGACCGCCATCCATGGGCTTTCGACTCCAGAGGAGTGATAAGTGTGCTTCACGAGCCGATATCATGGTTAACATAGCCAACTACCACAATCTATATTGCAATGTACTGATAAGGACACGAGGTGCCAATTTCTTTGATTCCTAATTTTTATTTTGGTCACTATGGCGTTGGGAAGAAAGCGCCCCCGAATATCAAGTTACATTGGATGCCCAGCTACCAACTCCGTACAATTTGATCCATTATGGTATGATCGCTGAGGCTGAAGACTCTATCTAACATGTTGTTCTAAACCCTGGTGATTGGGAAGACGTGGTTTGCTCATACCCTGTCGCGCCGTTGGAACTCTTTTACGAGTATTCAGGAACCAACCCACAAATTCGAAAGGTCAAAAAGCGTGAAAAGTGGATCCTTGTTTCGTTGGAGCAATTTCCATCGTCAGTACCAAGATCTGGCTGATCTTGTGCGGTGGAGTTTCCTGAAGGAAACTCTAAACTGGCCCACACATCATCCTTACTCTCCATTCCAGATGGAGATTGAGGAGGCGAAGTTGTTGTTGCCAAAGCAGAGTAGATGTGGTGGCTCAAACGTGGCTAGCGGTGCGGTATATCCCAATGGCAAATCTAGAAAAATGGGTTTTTTCGCTTGCAAGAGTCGGCAGGCGTTCCATTTAGTCCATCTTGGCCATATGTAGTTGTGATCAGTCCGTTGTTCACCACAGGACTTGGTGTAGTTGACTTTGGTCGTTGGCTGTTGGGCTAAGATGTGGTGAGCGCCGCTAGACAATCAGAGAAAGTCTAGGGCTCCAATAACCACATGCCCCACCTGCCTGAACATCCAAGAGCAGCACAGGGAAGACGGACAAAATGTTGCGAGAACGAACCTGCTGACGCGCTCTGTACTTTCTCAAGAAACGGAGGATAATTAAAGAGAAGCAAGGATGAGAAAGTAGGGGCAAAATACGAAAAAAATGATAATTTACGTAGCATACACACTCTGGTCTTGGGGGTCTTGGCTATCACTTGCTCAAGACATTGGAAGAATGACGTCTACAGTGGCACGACGCCCCCATTCCACTATCTACCAGTCGGAAGGTTCCTAGAGCGAAGAAGGAAACCTGAAGACGATGTTCCACATATCAAGAACTATTAAAGAATAGGCCTTCAAAAACAAGGACGACAAGTCACTGGGCACCCGCCGGATCTAGCCATCTGCCAAGTTAACACCATTTCACAATTGGTCTAGAAGCGTATCTACGAATTCGAGAGAGGTCGATTCAACTTTTCTGACTCTGCTCGAGGAGGAAATCCAAGGCCGCACGATCCGATCGAGAACAGCGGGGAATGTACGGACTCCACACATCTAATTATTACATCAACAACGCTCCTGCGGCTCTAGATCGGCCTTTGCAGCCAACAATCTGTAACCTCTTGGCCAGCGCATATCTGAATCCCTACGTCAATGACCCTTGGGAATTTTCGGCGGAAAGGCACGTGGAAGAACATATCCTCGCTTTTGTTCATCCAACAACAACAGGTTGATGCGTTTGTGCCTATGGTGGTGTCACGGTTTATCTTGAAGGGGCGCGATGTAGGAAGGCATCCAAGATGTAATGCTGACACGGTTATGGTGATGTGTTAATTCCAACGGCAACCGATTCTGTGCCATCTATTGAACGCACTTCTTTCCCGTCCTTCTTACATGGGCGCAATATCTGTGTTGGTTATGGAGGGTAGGCATGGCGCTTCAAAGCGCGGTGTGCTTTATTTTCCAGTTCTTCGTTTTAAATAAGACCAATAACTTCATAAGATTTGGTAAGACATTGGAATTATTTTTGTATTACTTTGTCATTGAGAAATGGCCTGAAATGGGCACATATGCACCGACAGCTTGCTTCATTCAGAAACCTTGTGTGACACATGTTTCCCCTGAAGCCACATTGCAATCCCAGGAACAGTTCGTTTTGGTGAGACAAGCCCAAAAAAAAAAGATGCGCCGTCAACCAAAACGAAACATGTAAATAAATGAACAAATTTACTAGATACCAATGCTCCCACATTGAGAATCGAAAAATGTCTCAAAGATTTTAGATATATTCATTCAAGACTCCTTCCCTTCTCTGGCCATTGAGAGATGTAATTAAATTAAAAATTATCCGAAAATACATTAATCCCACACTAAACATGGTGGAACGGTAGATTGGAAAAAAAAAAGTGTGCAAGGAGAAGGGAGGCCAAATTCGTAGCGCACACACATCCCACGCGCAAGTTTATGATATCCCCTAGTAATCGTAACGGTAACAGAAAGGTACTCCGCCAATGCTTGCTCCACCCAGGGTATCCAGGATTTGGCGAATTCTAACGTCGGGTCTGATGCCAGCCACCGAGATGACAGTGTCAAGGGTCAGTGGTGTGCCATGGGAGTCGACTCCGTTGATGGTCGTCCAGCGGGCCTGAGCCTCATTCTGCCAGACGCGGAAATTTCTATCAATAAATGCGTGGTGCATGAAGAAGATTGGGTCGCTGGGGCTGCCGGCGACGTCCATCATAACGCTGCCAATACCGTTATGGCCGTAGCCGTGGGGACTATAAAATTCGACCACCTGTATTAGCATATCTGAACGTCTCCAATTGGGAGATTATCTGAGGAAAATAGTTCCAAGGAAAGCACTCACCCAGTCTCCGCACAGCTGTGCATAGCCGCATAGTTGGTTCTTTGGTTGCAAGCAATTACGAAATCATTGTTGCATTGGGCTGTCTGGGCCTCGTTGACAGCACGGGAAAGGCAATGGGGTCTATTTGAGAGACCGGGGCCGATATTGCAAGTAATACCAGCAAACACACCATCTGTGATGCAGACTCCCTGTCCGTTGCGAGGACCTGGAAGAGAACCGAAGTAGTCACGGGTGAACACGGGCGCTTGGGCAAAGTGACCAGCGTCTTTGGTTTCGTCCCACCAAGGGTAATTTCTGTTAAAGCCGCACTCGTCCCTGAGAACCTGCTCGAAAGTCCACACAAAGTAACGGTGCCAGACAAGGAACATGTCATTTTGGTGAATCTCGGAGAGCTTTTGCTGATGCAGACGGGCAAAATCCTCGTAGCGGTTTGTAGCAGATGAGAAACGGCCAGATGGTGGGCGGTTCATCAAGCATTTGACAGCATTTAAGAATGCCAATCGGTCATCATGTGAGGTGCGACGCCATTCCGTGCGCATATTGGTCCTGCCGGCGCATCCTGCAGCAAGTGTTTGAAAGGTAGGCTCAGTAGGCTCAGACGGAGATAGCTTGGGGCTCGGGTTCGGGTCCGGGCTCAGCTTCGGGTTTGGGCTTGGGTCCAAAGGAGGACGGATCAGTTTCCCAATGAGATCCTTTCCCTTCTTAACATCTTCGAGAGAGATAGTATGGAACTTGCCGAACGACGATAAGGGCAGGCTGGGGCTCAGATCAGCAAGAATTTCCTTCAAAGATGCGGAAGCCACTGAGGCACCAAGAAGTAGTAGTGTCCACCGCATGGTGTGTGAGTGTGGGTGGGTGAAGGTATGAAGTTGAGGCTTTCAAACGAGTGACTGGGTTAAAAAAAAATTAACCAAAGCAAGAAAAAAAAGCTACATTTTGTCCGGGGGAATGCATCACTATTTCAATGGCTGTCGTGTCTGTCTTCCCAGGGCGGGTATTTCTCCAAGAAGTCGAGGAAACCTCAGCTCCTCAGCCTCTAAACGAAGCGACTCCATGCATGTCTTAGGTGGTAGCGTTCTTTCTGATGTTGCTAAACTAGGGCCTTGTTCTGGAGGCTTTGTATGGTGGGAGATTCCACTATTTCCCCCGTGGCTGGGATTGAATTTTGTGGCTACGGCTCTCAGGCTAGCACTGGCGAGGATACCAAGGTTGGGGCCCACCAATGAAAAATACTTCCAAGAGAAAGGTTTCCAGAATCGAGTTGTGACCAAGCGAAAGCGAGCACAAAGTCTCAATTATCAGAATAATAATAGACCCTGCTGAACAATGATTCACCATTACTATGTATTTCCTGGTGACGGTATGACAACTGAGTGCACTAATGTTGATTCACATTAGCGCCCCGTGCAAGAAATGCTTGTCCAGGAAGGTGTGCTGGACTTTCTGGTTCTCGCCCACGAGCTTTGCATCAGGATCTCGGCGCTCGCCAATAATAACGAATTGCAGTTTTTGCGGCGGGAAACTGGCAGACTGCAGCAAATTCTTGAGGCGTTCATCAACCGACGCTAGCAAGCTGTCAGGCCATGCAGAATGGAATACCAATGGCTCCTACCAACTGCTGCAAACATCTTTACAGGCGACTTTGCAATTGCTGGTTGAAGTATACAAAAGTATCGCTGCGCTGGACCAATCAATGCAATGCCTCTTTTTTATTGCTCCCGAATGCACATTTCGACCGGAATCAACCAGTGAGGTTTCCCTGATTCATACCAGTAGGTATATGTGGAGTTTCCTGGAGTCCTCCGTATTTTCAAAGTCGAGGAGGTAAAAATATCCTGTCAGTTTGGCAGAAAAAGAAAAAGCAAAACCGGCTTCCTGCAAACAGGATATCTGCCTGTCCTCCCCTTGCATTCCTTCGTGGGAGGGGCCTCCTCCAAGGCTATTTCGCGTGGAGTCTTGTGCTCTCTAAGCCATGTGTTCGTTGTCTCGGATTTTTCGAACCCGGCGGTTTACATAGCGAACGTGTGATTCGCGAACTGAACACAGTGGCAACTCTGATCTGACCCGAAGGATGGAATACGGCAGTGGAGCAAATCGCCTGCTTCCCAAGCCTAGAACGTGCAAGTTTTAATTGGATCGAGCGTTAGTTTGCGCCGGGGTGAGTTGTACGATGGAGTCGTAGTGAAATGCACACGATGCCGAGGCGCTAATCTCCAGTGGGAAACCTCACCCAGGGAAAAGGGGCCGGGTCACGGGCCATCAGAGACGCCTTCTCATCAACAGCGTTTGGCGCCGCAACGCTCAAAAGACACGTTTGTCATTCTTCTGCTTTGCGAATCTTGATTCTATTTTTATGCAACGGCATTTGGTCCAGTGGAGAACGCAGCCGGGGCGCCGAGAAGTCTCCAAAAATCCTGCCTTGCCAGGCGGGGGACCCATGCATTCGTGTGCAATTAATTCTTCCGAAAATCCTAGGATACCGGGCCCAGGGGAAGATTCAACGGGCGATGAGATGTATTTCCCAGTGCGTCACTTGTGTTCCGCGGACAAGTCCTTCGACCCCAGTTCCATCGGCTTAGGAACGACAATCTAGCCATCGAATAGGAATTTGAAAGGTTGAAGCTGTTGAAGCGCTCTGCCGTTTAGTAGCTCTTGTTCGTATCCCCTAAGCTCCATCACTGGTGAACAGTAGCCTGATGATCATCGATGTAAAAAATCCCTAGCCGGCAACGAAAATGATTTTGCTTCTGTTTACTAAGTCTCAACATACATTATCGAATGTTGAAGCTCATAAATGTTACCATCGGCGATTTTCTGCAGACGCCAACGACACGAAATCTGGGATCCATGAGCGTCAGCTCCATCATGGGATTTTTTGGATAGCTAGTTACGCAGGCATGATCTCATAACTAGCTGGCCTTGCAGTAACCCTAGCCCTCAGGCCTGCGCAGAAACCCCGCACATTGCATCATCCAGCAGAAACGCGCAGACGCAGTAGATTTTTGAAGATGATTGCTGTTATTCTTCGTTGGGCATGAATTACACTGTTTCTTGCATCAATGAGAGCCCATACTCAAATAATATCTTTTTACTTCGATAAGCCTTCTTGTGCCTGAACAAACGGTAATTTTCACTCAAACGGTGGAAACCTTATGATTGGTCTAACTCTCGTAGACGAGATTTTTAAGCTTAAATACTCCAGGGGTAATCCGGACTCTTCTTGTGGAGGGTACTTTGTATGCACGGTACATTCCGCGAAGAAAACCATATTGAAGGAATGAAGAATTTATTTATGGTTGACAACAAAAACATCGAGTGCGTCCCCGTCCTCGATGCCTCAAACATAATTCAAGACAATCATCGTCCCCAAGTTCCAGCGAATCGCTCTTTGGCAGATTACGAGCTAGTATCAACGAGTGGCTGTAGTGGGTATATAGTGGCTCACGCCGTCAATCTCGATAAACACCTTACTGGAAGAGGAAATGATTTCTTACGAGGAACGGTACGAATTTTCCATCCGGAATTCGGGGTCAGCACCTTACATACTAGTTTGTCAACGGTTACATGGCCCCAGAGTAAACAACACAACGTCCATTGGATCACATATAGGCAAGTTTATCCTCACCTGGCTCAATCACCTTGTAAACCGACTATCCCATCCACTGTTTCTGGTCTCGTTTCTAGTTTGGCAATCTATGAATCAACCCAAAGCCCAACCAAACGAGGACTTTAAAGTTTGGCTCTGTCTTGATGTCTCACTGGGCAGCTGATGTCTGACATTATTACGGAGCACTACTGTTGATGCTCAGCCGCCACCGCTAGTTGGTGTGTAATGAACGAGCGTGCATGGGTAATTGGTCATCGACGAAATGGAACCAGGGTTACATCCATCTATGTCATATCCCAGGTAAGGTCAGGCAATCGGCCCATAACCCTCAGTCCTTGGAAACCTCGCTCATGAGGTTAAGCAGAAAAAACGCCATACAAAGAATCCTTCTTCCCCTCACCTATAACTAAAAGAAAAGAAAGAAAGCGGTTATCGAGATAAATGGAAAGAGGGGTAGGAAAGACCACATACAAGAACTAGGACCTGATGAAGAGAGGAGTAGGAGAAAGTCGGAAAATTTTTCATTAAAATGGAACCTACTCTTGCAACAATACTGAGGCATCACGACGTTGACCACCAGACTGACCCTTCACCTAAGAGAGCCCTGAGCTGGTGTCGGAGTGCTGACAATTCCTGGCAGAGTAGCGATGCAAGTCCTTGATAGAGAGATGACATCAATGTTTTGTCCATCAAGTTAACTCGTCAGCCCATTTATTCTAATAATATTCCGAACACCCTCTCTACTTCGTGTGCCCATTCGACTTCATTGTTCTGGTGGCCTAGGTCACACTGCAGCGTCACACAGCCCGATGAATGATGAAAGAAAATAAAAATGAGCCCATCTGGACATAAATTGTCTTACAACTTAGACCTCCGCGGGCTGACGAAAGGGTTCGATGATTATCGCCAGCTCTGTTGACATCTCCGGAGGGTGGTCAGCGAAAGAGAGCTAAGAATGAGAACTAAGCTTTCAGGGGTAAATACGCAAGATGAAAAGTACATTATACATCGACTGGATCGACTCGAGAAACATACACAGCTTCTCAACTATCAACCCATTTTATCAACCACATATTGTGGATAAGTGTCTGCGAAGTTGAAGACTGGGAGTACTATGTAACTATGCTTGAGGAAGATCACTGTGGTCCCGATTCCGCGCCTTGAACATTCATATTCAACCATGCTACTTCATGAAATGGAAACTCGAAATAATAGTTTACATTGACTATAGGTCGGCCACCTCCTTTGGCCCTTCCCGGAGTCCTGGTGCCCAAAGCCCCTCCTTACACATAGATATACGAGGTTCATACATGAACGGTGATTTTTATTGCCCTGTGTGAAAGAACTATTTTCCATCCATTGGCGCCTACTGCGTAGAGATCATCGCAAATGCCTAAGCATTCTACTTCGTCGTCTTTACGGATGCACTTCTCCTCCAAATAAATCCCGGCTGCGTCCGACCCGACCCCCTGACGGCGATCATGATCTTCTTCAGCAGCCTTAACTGCACAAGTCACGGGATTGCAATCACACATCCTCTGACCGAGAGGCACGATTATTAACTAGTGTACCTTTTCCGTCAGCGATTTCATGATTTTATATCGGCTTCATATTTGCCAATCTGCATCAGACATTGGCCTAACCAAGGCGCTGGACGCTAATTGTGACTTGCGGCTCGACGAAAAGATAGACTCCTGAAATGAGTGGTGAGAGTCTTGATAGCTTATTCCCTAGTCTCCACACAAGAACTCCCTAGCATGACGATCGGCCTGGTATCTTCAGTCTGATCGTCCATGGACCATGAGTGGTGGGATGGAGACTATTGGATCCGGCTCGCGCGGTTGAGCAGCACTTGATGGTTCTAGCAATCTGCCCCCTGCCTGTGACCGCAGGTGTAGCGGCATCGAGCCTGTTCAGCTCGGGGAAGGAGAAAACTTTGCATTCCGCAACTCATGGATTGATCGCCCTGGAGTGGATGGATGTAGCTTCAACAGTCATCCATCCGTGTGGTCTCCTGGGGACTCAGCCGGCTTTCCCCTCGGTGTCATGACTATGAATGTCACTATCATAATAACGTGGTGGATGCACGACAATGGGGCCCATAATCTACCCTGGTGGATAAATCAAGCTCGGGTTTCTCCCGTCAAGTCCACCGCTGTTGCCCCCTGAAGCATCCATATAATTGGCATATCTGCAGAGGGTCTGAGGGTCTTTTCGATGTGCAAATGTGCCTCAAATTTAGGGAGGTCTGACAGCTTTGTGCATGCAGGTTCAATAACCCGCCCGTCAGCTCCATCCTAGCATGATAGAAAATTTCATACATTCTTCGTGGGAACGAATAAGATATTGCACGTCCTGTACATGCACCATATGGTGGGGTCACCGTTGGGATGCATTGAGCTCGGGCTGCAGGTATCAGAGCAGTGTTTCGAGATGAAGTTAGGAACGATTTCGAGATCTTCCTTTGGAGTTTGATCTGCCCTTTCCTGATAACGTTGTCTCCCATGCAATATTCTTACGACATCAGCCCTGTTGTCGTTTATTATCGAGTCTTACTTGGTTCGAGGGCCGTCCGCTCCCGGCCATGCTTTGGCTAGTTACGTGATACCACGAACAAGTTGAGCAATGTGAGGAATTCAGCTAAGTTTGATCTAACCCTTCGTCAAGAGTCGATCGGGATAATGCAATAAAGCTTCGACTATAGAATGACGATGAACGTCCTCTGTTTCTGTATACAGCATCATGCCGTGCTGCAAAGGTACCATTCCTGCCATCGATACCAACATGGTGAACTTGGATGGGTTTCCGTCAGTCGTTTATGCTGGCACAGATGGTAACTATCCCAGGCAATGTTTGGGTTGTGGATACCTTTTGTTTTCTGTTTTCAATTGCTTCATTCGTCGATGAGGTGAGCTTGGTTCCTTAACCCCCAATGTTCAAGACAAAAAGGGCGTGGGCAAATTTGGAAGAAAAAAGTATTCCAAAGTTTAGTGATTAGGGGTCGGCGATGCATGAAACCGTGCGTACATATATTTATATATATTGCATAAAGTACATCTACATGGATCGTGTACCTCGACATTATCAATTTATTTCACATTGGAGACGAGAAGCCAATGGGTTTTTTCAACAAGGCAATGCAAGATGAAGGAAACCAGATCAGGACCAAGAATTAAAAACCACATAAAAAAAATTGGGGAATCGCAGTCATTAAGGAAAAGGCTAGACAGATCAAGGGTTTTTTACGTTTTTATTTATTTTTTCCCCCGCTCGCAAAAGGGAAACCAAACGCACACATGCCGCAAATTGGAAACTGGGTCATTAATATCATCTCACATATCAAAGTTCGATCGACCAGTAGCATTATCCTTCTTTCAACCATATATATGATTTACGCTCCTCCGCCGGCCGCGCCGTTCGCCATAACCCAGGCTGCAAACGAAGACGGGTTCCTTGTCTGTAAATATACGCTTCCAGGACCAGTAAATTTGCAAACCAGCCCTTCACCGGAGGTCATCCCAGAGATGAGACCACCGGAAGCGACCCGCTCCATGACATACTTGCAGCTCCAGGCGACGAGGTGGCCATTGTCGACGTTGTACTTCTCACCATCCGCAAGCTGCCAATTTCGAAGAGAGAAATTATCAGTATAAATATATATAGATATATATATATGTATATATATCTTCTTTTCTACTTTCCACTTTTTCTTCCTTGAGATATATGGATTTTTCCTCCTTGTTGGAGAAAGAAAAACTTCACTTACGTCTTTCTTGATAATCGCACCAAAACTCTGCATGAACAACAGGCCCATCCCGGAGATTTTGTACACAAACAATCCCTCGCCAGAGAAAAATGCTTTACTTAGACCCTGATTCTTGTAATCCTTGACAACGCCCTGGGTAGCGGCTAAGAATGCATCTTTGCCAACAGACCATGTCTCATGGCCGTTGAGACGCAAAACGCTGATATCACCAAGCATTGTCGGAGCGAGGAGAAGTTCTCCAGGCCCCGTATACGTCGAACTTGACATCTCTCCACCAGCAATGAGTTTCTTCATCGAAAATTTGATGGATCCTTTCAGAGTCATGGTGGGAGACATGGCAATCATTGCGCCTGTGGCGGGAAATTTTAGTTCACTGAAAGCACAACCGACGAAATAAGTAATGTATCGAAGATGGCTACTCTGCACGTACCTGGCTTAGCGGTCAGTGGGCATCCCATAGCCAACTGGATGGTCAATATGGTATTCGAGTCCCGGTGACTAATCCGATAGCTACCACCATTGAATGTGCCAACATCATCCGCGGATGTAGACTGCACGCCAATAAATTGACTCGGGGGTGGAGCTCCACCAGGTCCAAGGGGCGATTTTTCAGGAAGAGGTGAAGCTTGAGGTGGAGGCGGTGGAGAGGTTTGACCACCAGCTGGAGGGGGAGGAAATGATGGGCTAGTTTGGCCTCCTGGAGCTGGATAGTTGTAGTTCTGGGGCGGGGGAGGATAACCGCCCTGACCTGGGGGGGGAGGATATGCGACTGGAAATTTCAGTGTATGTTGTTTTCAGGAATTGCGCAAACAAAGTGAGGGCTTTTAAGGAAGCCTCTGGCCAAAACCACCATGATGCGCAAAGAGGGAGATATCAAAAGCGCGTACCTTGTGGCTGGTTCGGGGCTAGATGTATTGGTACTCATGTTAGATCACTAGTAACGCCAATTATTCATAAAGGAATTGAACAGGGAATCCTACGGGGATAGTATCCTCCGTGGGGAGGCTGCCCTTGGGGTTGGTGTGCCATTCTCGAGTATGCTCAGTTCAAGCTGCTGGGTGAAGCGGGGTAAAGGACAACAAATTCAATTACTTCGAGAAACAATAATAAATAACGCCGTTATGACATATAAAATCAAAATGTATAAAAATATCAAATCAAACAGTTTAAAGCTATGAATCAATAAAGAGGGATTATAGGGCGAATCCCGAAGCACTGATAGATGTAGAAAGCTGAAAGGTTATCCTGAGAGGGGAGAAGAGATGAGTTATATTTATGCGGGAGTCGCAAGATCGTCAGCCAAATAGTTTCCTTCCGACCCAAGACCTGCTTGGACCTCTTTAGGCCTCGGCGGCTAGGCAATGACTTGGCTGGATCAGCTGGAGGGTCTGCTGTTCGCGAGCAGGGGAAAGGATCGATTTAAATTTCCTAAAAGGCTATACTGGAAAAGGCCAAAGGCTCGCCATGCACAGCGGCGATGCTGGGAGCTTTGTCGATCCGAGAACGAGAAGTATTGATCAGCTCCACTAACGTAGTATTTGAATTCTGACAATGAAGACTAGCAGATTAAGGAAGATATTTTGACACGGCAAGTCCTCTGGAAGCTGGGTACACTGGAACTTGTGATTGGTTAACGGCTTTCATCCATCGGTTTAGAGAGGTTTAAATATAACTCAAACGAATGGGCGCTAAGTGCATGATAGACATTCGCACCTGCGTAAACCGTGCTAAAAATTGGTCCAGCATGCAGGGCGGCTGGCACACTGTGACAAATTGACATCTCAACGCCGATATTGGCGGTCAAGCTCCCAAAGTGAAGCAGGAAGCATGTGAAGGCGGGACGGAAAAAGCTAGGAACCTACGCATGGTGATATACTCGTTCAAGGCGTAAGAGCTTCTTCACCCATTTGACCTCATCAATAAAAGGCACTGAAGGGTCTAGGCACATGGCTGGTATGGGTTTTATTAAGCTTGTGTTTGGGCAACATCGCAACAAACCACGTTTTCTCTCCCCTACCGATCGTACGCAAGTTAGTATTTCTTTTTCTTCCCCACTTCTGCCTTGAATACTAGTCTCCGTCGCCACTGCGTGTCCGCCTTCTGGAGCAACTTACTACATTATAGCAGCAAGGTGTAGGTGGTGTTGGTTCCCCCCTAGATTTCGCTTCCAGCCCTTCGCTTCACCTTCTGGTTCCTGTGGGGTAGCTGACGCTGAATACGAGGTTGAGTTGTGTGGAAATCCTTTGAACCGCAATGCCCTGGTTGTTGTCAAGCCACAATATTTAAAAAGAAAGAAAGAAAGAAGGAAGGAAAGAAAAAAGAGGGAGAGAGGTGATTCCCGATATCTGGTTATCATCGACATTTAGGTTCTACTGCCTCAGACCAGCAATGACATCATAGATACAACGGCCGTTGATTAAATGTATGTCGCGCAAAGATATCTTCGCTTCAAGGGTCCAATCCAGGGAAAGGCGGGGTATCGTTGGAGTCATTATTGTGGCGGCAGATGCCCAAGTTCTAATGATCATGGTTGTCCATGGGTGTTCATCGGGTGGCTGTGCATGGTGATGAATATATAAGGGCTGATAGAGCGGGATATCCTCATGAACAAGTAGGTGTACGATGAGAAGTTTCGCAATAAGTAGATGTCTACCTTCGCGGACAAGTCTCCCTCAAGAATTGGAAAAAATATACAATAGCTAGTAATGAATGGTTTTATACAAAATATCGCTACGGTAAACCAGGAAATATGGCCAAAAAAAAAGAGTTAGAATTCGTAAGATAGAGTATCAACAACCATTACTCCAGCTGTTTCATTAAACTCCTTATGGTTAAAAAAAGGAAAAGCACGAGCGGAAAAGAGGTAAAAAAAAGGGGGGGGGGTGGGAAGGAGGGGAAAGGGCGGGGCAACAACAAGAATGTGCACGCTACCTCAGTAACAGCAAGTAAAAAGTCCATTGGCCCAAATTCCGCATACCCGACCAGCACAAAAGGCAATCAGAGTATGTTCTTTCCAGGGTAGGTTTGTTTTGGACAAAAAGAAAGAAAAAAAAACCGATCTATTCTCCAACAAACTGATAAACCACGAAAGGGGTGAAGGAAATATACCAACCGCTCCATGTGGCTTTGCATTACCAATTTGAAGGGCGAAGGACAACAGACCGAGGAGGTAAAGAAGAAATAAAAAAAAATACAGCAGCAATACAGGTAATTGGACAAGGATCCAGGGAAAAATCGACACAAAATGGCGACGTCATTATTAGCACGAAAGAAAGGAGGAAAAAGAAAAAGAAAATCTTAGGGTTGAGATTTGAGGAAAGGAAAGTGGCGGGCTAAACAAGGAAAGCAGTAGAAAGAGATTTTATCCAAAATTGGGAGCCTGCTACTAGGGCTGCCGCAGGATTGCGCGAATCATCGATTTGTTCGAAGGTGGCGGGCGGCAGACTGGCATATTTACTCAATTCCATAGTCTGTATCGTGAGATCGATCACCGCTGTGAATAGATCAACACGGACATTCACGTAGAGTGGAAAAATGTGGGGATCCCTGCGCAGAGTCGATATACCTAGTACCTTATGAAGCGTACAGATGTGGTAGCGAGATGTGAGTGATGCCGTCGATCTAGCGACCGCTAATAGTAGTATCCCAATATAAAAGACCAACGTCGCAAGTCGGAGGTGAGAGACGAGTCGATACATGACGCTGGGCTTGCTGTAGCATTTTCGTGCCTTGATCTTGCTGGGACGAATATAATCTCGAGTTAAAATAAAAAAGGAGCCACCAACGCCGGTATTCCATGCGTTAAATCCCAAGTATTCATCCAACCTAACAGAGCCCAAAAACAAAAGAAACAGATCTCGAATCGTTGGCGATGGCATCAGCTTAAAAAATGCCGTTGACAATTTTGGAGCCAACAGTCGCACCAGCACCGAAGATTGCTTTATAATTTTACGTCAGCAAAAAATTATAAAGTATTTATATATATTGCATGTTAGATACGCAGATATCAAATCAGACATACCGGCATTACCCATTTTCTTTCCGAATTTCTTCCCATTCTCTTCGAACTTGCTGGGTTTGTGTGATCCAGAGGACCCTGAATGAGAAATTTCAAGAGGAAGATTGCCATAACTGCTGACTGGCTGCGGTGAATGAATTGTTGATTTCTCCTCGATCACACTGACATAGGTTCGCGGGAAAATTCCTTCAAGGCGTGTGCGTTCGTTCCGGCCTCGCCACCCTACCGGGGCAGTTAGTACTCATGGGTTCTCAAAGATAGCGTCGCCAAAGTCTTGTGACAACATACAGTCATTATTCATGTGCTCTAGAACCTGGATTCTATCCTGGGGCTGCAAAGCCAAATCCCCAGCATCAGTAGGAGTGTAAGCGTAAAGGGCAGATGCAATGGATAGGACCGGCGGACCGGAGGCGTATGCGGGGGGTGGAATGGGGTCGTTGTAGGAATGCGGCTCATGGCCCTTCTCATTCAATCGCATGTTGGACAATTGATTTGCCGGCGGTGGTGTATCTGCTGCGGACTGCTGGATTGAGGCCTGGAGTTGCGCCTCGCTTGGGAGTTGTGCGAGGATGGCAGAGCGTTGTGCTTGCGTAATGGCATCTATATCAACGAGGAATTCCAGTTCCTACTCATAGTAAAGATATTGATTAGAATGAGGCTGGTAGGGGTTAAAGGGGGTAGTAGGAGAAAGAAAACAAGGGCAACTGACGGAACTGATGGTTCGTAATGACCGAGTGCCTTGGGCGATAACGGGCTGAGTTCTGGGAGCCATAGTTGGCAAGTAAGGCGAACGAATGTGTGGGTGTTTACGAGCAACCAGTCCGGAATCAACGGGAACGGGTTGAAGATGGACGCTCTCGATGCGGAGGACGAGAGGAGGGGACGACCGCGATGAAGGGGTGGAGTGTTGTTGGAAAACAAAGGATGGAGGATGTCGGGAAGTGAGTTTTGGATGGTTTGGATAGCGTAAGCTATGGCTGGAAGAGGTGTGGCTCAAGACGACTTGGGTTGCACCCAAACAGGGATTCTTGTTGCTTTGCTTCTAATAAGGTAACAATAACGAGAATAATGAAAAGGACAACCACCCGCCACGCGCTGCAGATGGGCGAATAACTTCAACCAGAAAATATACTCTGTTGCATCTGCTTGGAAGTCATCGTCAAATGTACAGGACATGCACAGCCTCAATCGGCTAAAAATATCCAAGTCACCAATAATGCGTAATATTACCCGGATACCATTACAGCTGTTCTGGCATTTCGACAGAAAATTACGATGAAAATTACGATCGGTAGTATACAGCAAGGTTTATAGGGTCGCGTTCGGGAGGTTTTTTGTTCGTCAATTCTTGAGAATTGAAACTCCGTTATATTATTATCTATTTATTTTAAATTCTATTTTCCCCCTCTTTCGTTGCAAAACTGCAAGACGATGTACAGTCAGTACGCGGCAATGAGGCCAATTATGAGTTGAACAGCCTGTCATCTCCAAAGTTTCCACAAGCTCTCATTGTCTCAGTTCAGTACGCACCCATATCGTCTAAAGAATTGCCTAGGCCAAATAACTGTAACGATTAGCGAATCCCCAAGGTGCGCAACATCAGCGCAACTTCGCAGTGACCTTCAGTATGAGGTCGTTAGCCCAGAAACCCACAACTGCATCTTTTCAACCGACTTAGAGGAGCACCCTACAACCAATCTTCACCATGATACATAATGAAACAATTTTCTAAGGGGTCTCCTTTCATTGAAAATCTGATACACAATGCCAGGAACGTCAGGACTGATGGTCAATGGAATAGTGAAAACAGTCATCAAGGTTCTATTTAAATATCCTTTTATGCCCTCTATCTAGGTATGTTGCGCAGGCTCTTTAAAGCAAGTAAATGCCTGCTTTGTGTTGGTCAGGAAGTTGAGTTGTCAACAAATGGCAAAACAATGATTGTTGTGCATACACAGCATCAAGCCCCGACGACTCCCATAGACCACTTTTGATATTCCAGAATACAGATTGGTTTTCAAGCGCCAAATTTTAGCCCTGTCGAGGATTCTTTGTCAAACTGCTACACCAATTGAAGAGAAAAGGAAAACAGCCACCTCGAATTTCAAGGAAAAATCTATACAAAGGTCTCCAAGAGAGGCCTCATTAATTGCTTCTTAACGGTTGCCGATTTGATGTCCCTTGACAATTAGGGACCTTGGAATCTGAATAGTTCTGGGGAAGATTCAAGGTTCAAGGAGCCCGCTAACAACAGGAGTGATAATAAGCATAAGGGATAGATCAAAGGAATGGATCAAGGACTCAAAAGTCAGATAGAAGGCCTCAACTAGCTAGGGATAATTTTCATATCTAGCGGGTTATTGGGCATCCGTGTTTCTATCTGCAGAGAGAGGTCTTGGGTTAAATAGATTAAGGTTAAGCTTAGCTGAATCTCCATGGACTATCTTCCGCCTCAGTCAGGAGGTAAATAATGACTTGAACTGGAGAAGATAAGAACTTGAACATATCATGGAGAAGTTGGTTCGCCCGATGGATATTAAATTCCACTTGCTTAAGCATATCGTGATCTAGGCAACGTACGGAATAAACGCATCCATATAAAGCTCATATCCTGCCACTGGGACATGAGCGTCTCAGCAATAGGGTTTCATTTCTTGATAAGCAATATGAAACACGCATTTCCTGCTCATTTCACAGTGTTCCACCCCCCTTGTTATCTCGACTTTTTTTTGGAGGTCCTGTTCAATAGTTTTGCTGAAATAGCGTATATGGGCGTCTATATTTTTCATTCCAGCCAACGCCCGTCCCAAAGGATACTCATAAGTACGACAGTAATGCATATGCAACTCCAGTCATCCCTATCAATGATATGCGGAGAAGAAGTGAGAATGTTCCCTGGAAATTGCGGCTTGGAGAATGTTAATTAATCCAGGTTAGAAACAAAGGGCTCAATGCGTGAAGAGGTTGAGAAAGTATCAGAAATCCCATCTCGTGTGGATATCTTAGGAGGCTGCCTGCCAACAGCACAGCCACAGCTGCATGACTAACTCTGAGTCAGAGATGCGCCGGAAGAATTATTTTCCCGGGAGCATCTGCGAACTAAGTTAAATTAGCGCAATGACTATTAGTCATCGTCTCAAGGCTGTTTGCCATCATCCATCTTCTATCAATCGTCCACCTTCACCGTCTGGTATCTGTCCAACTTCTTACCTTCACCTTGTATATCCTCACTGCCGTTTCCACTATAGCGAAATTCCTTCAATTTTGCAGCTTTCACTCACTTAATTTTTTGTTCCCAGAAGTTTTTAATCCACACTAGGCCTTTTCACTACATCATCTTGCCAGCGTTGCCCTTCACCGTCAACACGGGCAACTGATTACTTATCTCCAAGCAAAGGGAACTCCCTATTTCGCTCCACACAGCCTCCATCCGTCAATACGGTATGTCTGAGGATTGGGACTCTGTCACCCGTATCGGAAGTAAAGTCCGTGGTGGAGGAGGCGGCGGTCTACGCGAGACAGTTGTCAGAGGACGATCTGCATTGAACGCTGCTGCCCGGTCCGGTGCGATCATCGGAACAGAGAAGAAGTATACCACTGGGAACACTGTACGTGGTTTTTCCGGCTCAAACACCTCTCTTTTCTTTTCTTTTTCTCTTTTTGTAATAACTACTGTTTTTTCTCTGATGAGTGTAACAAAGTAATCAAAAATTCACACTGACTTTTTCTTTTACCCTACACATACAGGCATCCAAACCTCATGTAGAGGGACAACATCTTACGAAAGTCGACCGAAGCGATGATATTATCCCGCTGCAGGCCGTCGGTGATGAGGTCGGCAAGGCCATCCAGCGCCGCCGCAACGAAGAAGGCTACAAGATGACACAGAAGGAGCTCGCTGCGAAATGCAACACGACACCCGCTGTCATAGCCGACTTGGAGCAGAACAAGAAGGGGGCGGATAAAAAAGTACTACCCAAAATTGAGAACGTGCTTAATATTAAGCTCACCGGGCGTGATATTGGGAAAGAGAAGTTTCCGAAGAAGAAGAAATGAGGGATTACTGGAGGGTGAGGCTCTGGATCCAATTACAACTGTCTAAGATGGCACATGGTGTGTGTGAAGGAAATTATTGTTTTTCTTTTTTCTTTTTCTTTTTTGAGATCTCTCGTTTGCAAAGAAAATAAGTTTATGGAGGTTTTCTTTCCGGTCTTGGCCGTTCTCTTTGACTTGCAATTATGATATATACCATGAAGCGGGGGTTGGATTTCGGGGAAGTTAGAAGAATGGGAAGAGTGAATACATTTTCAACGATGGTTATACATCCATATTGCCCGTTTCAAACGGTATTCTTTGCTATTTGAACTTTATCCATTTTAGAGGGCGCTTATTGATCTTTCTATATATGATTACTAATCAAAAGAAAACAGAAGCGATAGGACACAAGAGGTATATAACGGTAAAACCAAAGTGATATGAATCTTCAGGAGCATCATAGGCTGAGATCTCCCTGGGGTACAAAGCACGATTCTCACAGCTGCCGCTTGCTTGCTAAATTCATAAGGAAAACATATCTGCCACTCCTGTTAAATCCGGGCCATTATTGATATCGACTTTCCCTCCTTCTTGTCCTTCCATTTCCGTCGTGTAACGTTCCTGGAGTGCAGATTTAGGCTTCCTTCGAACAGGCGGGGGGCCAGCAATGCGCCCCTGTTCGCTAATGCTTACACCCCGCAAGCCCTCTAATAAACCAAGGACTAGAACCTTTTGCTGGCGACTAGACCGTGACTCCCGGAGCCCGGCATATGTAGCCGCGACCTTGCTTTTTGACATATCAGGTAGGCTTTCTATGATCTTTGTCGGCGTGTCGCTGGTAGCCCCATATACTATCCAAATTGAAGCAATAAGTTGCGCGAGTTCCTTTTGCATGTCAACAAAATAGGGCTCGTGGACGGATGTGATACATGCTTTTAGGATATCTGTACTGATGAACTCGCGGATACTCTTCGCGGTGGGATCATCGATTTCGAGAATGAATACGTCGAGAATAGATCGGATGACACGAGTTATGATGGCACAACAACGGGTGTCCTTCATGCGGATCGCGTGTGTGCAGAAGAGAATTACCGGTTCGAGAATTTGGGGGGATGAAAGAATGAAGCGGCGTATGGAGTCGCCGGGGGAAGGTTGGTTCGCAGTGCCATTTTGTTTACTTGGGTCGGTAGCCTTTTCCGGATCTATTTTTCTTTCGTGAGAAGTGTTAGAGCATAAAATCGAAATCGAAAGGGATCGGGAAGAGACTGACCTCCCCGCTGTGGGTCAAGAAGGCTCGCCACCATGATGACCACGGAGTAAGTTAGTTGGCGGAGTATGCTTTCATCTTTCATTTCTACCGTCAAATCTGACTCCACCATCCCAGCCTTTCGATGCTCTATCATGTCCCACTCCGCAGTAATCTTCTTGTCGATTTGAATGAATAGAGCAGATAAGATTGGAGGCAAGAAATGGCGTCGATATCTTGCGGGGCAATCGTCAACGATACAGCGGGAAACATTGAGCAGCACAGACAGCTGATGGCAGGACAGTGATGTTGCATCTTTAAATAATGCTTGAGACAAGGGAACAGGGAGTTCTTCAAAGGAGTAGAAGTGCTCCCGGAGTCTACTCATGCTGTAAAGAATGGAATAGCAAGCTTCTCGTACAGCTCTCACTTTCCCTCGAACAGAGGATGAAAATCCCTCGAGTGTGGATTTCGACGTAGTTATGCGCGCATAGAAATCTTCTTTGCTGCCACTTGAGATACCAGCTTGCCAAAACCGATCTGTGAGGATCCGTCCAACAAGTGGGGCCATATCTTGTGGTAGTCCAGGACAATTTTCTGAATTGTGAAAGGCATGTGCATGGCTTAACAGCTGGTTAGCTTTATGTTCATAGATTGGAAGGATTACGTTGCGAACCTCAAAAGCTGGAGCAATGTCGGGAGAATAAGGGGGATTGAGTCGCGCCATAAATCGCACGCAATTAAGTATGCTGGGTCGGTGGTTTGTAGCTTCTCTGTGGATACCGATAGCATTGTTTTCGTCATTCGCAGCGGGAGTTGCTAAGGATGTTAATCGAAGTCCTTTTGATGATGGTGTGAACTCATGGCGTAGTACCTGGAATTTTGATGTCATGTGGGCTTGTATTTTCCTCCCCTCCTCATCCAAAGGTATCATGGACCAGTCCTCCACTTTCTGGGCTTGGACACGCTGTAGATATGGCCAAATTTGGTCTAATCCAAGCAGCTGACAGAACCCCCCGAAGGATGCTGAAATTTGCCTGAACTCCCCGCTACTCCATGATTGTATAATGGGTTCAATAAACAATCGTAGTCGAGACTGCCGTAGAGTAGGGTCCACCTGCGGCGCCCGTTGCCTGGAATACTTTAGAAGCCTGGTCTCTGAGTTGTTAGGACGGACTTACATAATAATGAGAAGGATCGAAGAAAGCTCCATTTGGGGCTTGTCTTCCGCGCTGGACATCGAAACAATCTCCTGAATTTTTTGTTCTAGAACATCATAAAACGTCTGGCTGGTCAGTAGCAGCCAAGCTTTCTCATTACGACATGAACTTACCGAAAAATAATCGGCGTAGCGTATGGTCAACCGCCGTACTTCGTATGTAGCCGTATTGTGGAGTTCCTTCACAGCTTCAGAGTAGGCAGGATATTCTGGAAGGTCGGGAAGGCTCGTTGTTAGAATATGCTCCAGAACCTTAAGAGCGAAACTTTGGTTGTTCTTCAACGCTTTGTAACAAAAATCAACGGAAAGCCTTATGACTCGTTCTTTAACAACCGGATCCTATTTAATTTAGTCGACTTATGTAAACGGGAGGATAGGTACCCAGTCCTTACTTGAAAATTCTTTTGCATTAAGTTGAGCGCCCACGACTCTAAAGAACTTTCCAGTCCCAGTCGTTGCTGTTCCTAGAGCTGATGTAAGTGTTAAGAAACTGCCTTTTGTAGGGAAGTACGAACATCCTGTTGTGGAGAGTTTCCATGCGCCTCCACCCATTTGCTGAAGCCCCTTAGGGTAGCTTCAACGACAGTGAACTGAGTATCCGCTTGCAACAAAGGCAGGGAGTGTTTTTTAAAGGTTGTAGCTAGTCATGTCAACTAAGTTCTGACGCATATTAAGTGGGAGAACTCACGATTGAAAGGAGCGGTTGCATTATATAGATTGTTCAAGACATAATCCGCTCGAGCGAGAATATGTGGGATCGCATCATGTGGGCATCGATACACTATTAGTTCAATTGTTTGAGCACAGTATCGCCGGTAGTTCCCAACGAATGCATGCCTCTCCGGTATGGTGTCGATGTCCTCGTTTAGAAATATAATCGTCGGGTCATCAATGTCTTCGGGCAAAGTTTCGTAGCGCACAAGACGTTGAGTGCATGTTTCAAGTATTGGCGCGATAAGTCTGTGGATTACATCCAAGCCTGTGATTTTGCTCAACGCTAGTAGTCTGGACCATGAATGGAGTATGGGTATCGACACAGTCAGACTGGGATGTTGAAGGATGTTCATAAGAAATGGAAAGAATGTTGCCAAATCGATATCCTTATGGAAATCGAAGTTCTTCTCCTCAAGGAATCCGGCAATATACGATATCAGCTGGAATGATGTAGGTTAGTTTTTGAAGACCCATACAGGAATTAGCGATGTTTACTTCAGATAATTTCTTAGATATATTGTATTTCGAGACCGATATATCGTGTACGTCAACAATCGACCAGTTATAGAGATTTTGCAGAACATGGATATTTTGGGTTTGGTATACTAAATTGACAAGGTCCTGGAACTTCATCATATCATGATTCCTGCTGTATAGGGCATGAAGAGCATCGATGGCAGCCTAGCAACATTATCAATCGTCGCCATTTGAGAAAATGGAGAAATCAATCTGGAGGTGGGATACTTACCATAAGAATATCATCGTCCTGGACCACTAATGCTTTGAAAATCATTTCGACACACATAGCTCTCGATATTGCCAAAGGATTCGACCACAATATTAGTGATCGCAAGGTCGCTAGTGCTTGTATGGCGCATATTTTGGCTTCGCGTGAGCTTTGGATGTTATTTAGGCATTCGCTCAAAAGGTCGCATGTCATGAACAGCCACCCACGGCTATCGTGGCTACGATAGCGTAGCTCAGTGTGGTGATCTCTCCCGGGATGCAATTCTTCGAAGACTGAGTTAGGTGGAACTATTTCAACAAGTGCGCGATGGAGAGGAGTTTCGTGCGATGACGAAGTTTTATCGTCGTGATTAAAAATATCGTCGGATAGAGTTTCTAGAATCGAAAGGACTAGTTTCTTATGTGCCCAAGACATATTCCATATCTGAATCAAATCGGCGTCCATCTCCGTCCATTTACCAGCGCCCCAACTACACTTTGCTCCTTCTACCCATAGAAGCGCCACTTTGTTGCCGATAAACGACTCATCCTGGGGACTGATCGATTTGGCCAAAAGGATGATTTTCCCTTTGGCACTTTCCTGTTCTTCCTCAGACAAATGTGAATAGTTATGCCGTAGAAAATGCTCAAGTAATGACAGACCGAAATGGCGGAGGATAGGAGAATCAATCTTCTCTATTGCCAATGCATAGCCAGTATCAGCAGCTGACTTTGCATGTTTCTGAGATTCGAGGAATTCGGAAGCTTGTTGCCGGATGGCGTTGGTTGAAGTTGGGCTGTGGATGATATCAAGAGCTTGTATGATGTTTCGAAGGTTCGGCACCACAGAATCCAACATGGTACTACCGCTACCTACAGCTTGAATATTCGGGGAAAGAGAGACAGGCCCTGCCATTCTACCCAGAGCTGCAAAGTGTGCTGTATGGACGAAGAATACTGATATCAGCGTTTCATGGTTCTAATAGTGGCGTCGATGCATGGTTCGAACTCTGCAGGCGTGGTGAAATTTCGAGATCGACTGGTGAATAATTCGCTGCCATGCGCGATTTTGTATTCGTCAACGAAACCTCCAGCTTGGAGTCTATTTTAGCGCCCTTTGGATGCCTGGGCCGAACAGTAACAGCTGGCAATTACTGGGGCAGTCTGGTTTGGCGACAGTTGACAGTTGACAGTTGTTGAGAGAACTTGTAACAAAAACAAAGAGAGGGAGAAAGAAAAAGAACGACAAGAGAACTGATGACGATCTGCGGGATTGATCTTGGCTTTTTTCCCGCCAGCGGGTTCCGCCCCCAAACTTCCGCGCTTCGACAACATCCGAATGACAAGTCTCATCTTTCGATTTGCGTCCATTTTGCTTCTACCTCCCTCCCCGATCATGCCATTGACAAGCGCGGGCTCATGCGACCATGGGAGGAGTCTCTTTTACCTACTAGGTTTTGAATTTTCGTCCAAGATTCTATCAGTTTGACCGCAAACTTTTATTATCCCTACATGTTTTTACAGCACACTGACAGAAGTGGTGACTATACCCATTCATGATAGACGGAAATGATTTAGCGAGTCAAATTTGTTCTTCTAGGAATTTCTTCGATTTCGCTACGTCCTTCTCTCTATCCACCTTCGCCGCTCGCCAACCCTCGACCCACAATCTTGATCTCAGCATGACTGGACGAACTTGAAACTTTCTGAGCACCTTAGGAACATAGGAGCTAGCAAAATACCATACCGTATCCTCGCGGCGCCCCCCCCCCCCCCCCAACCAAGCTTTTCCCACCACCTCTCTTCGCCCCTGGCGCGCATATCGCAAACAAGCTAAAGACTTCCTAGCCCCCTCACGAGCTCAAAACAATAAGCAGTGTCGGTCTGAGAATCTATCACAAGCCTTTGTGATTTCGTGTTCAGTGTCCATGAGAGGCTCTTCATGGTAGTATATTCGTCAGCACGTTGCTGTCGACATGTACTGCTACCAGTCACTTTCTCATTAGAATGAACTTGTTCTCGCGCCCGCGGCAAACTGATTCCGGCCAACAGCATGATGCGGTTTAACAATACCATTGGTTTTGCTAGGGAGTCTCCTACGCAATATTGACCCCTCAACATGGCCAGGGGAATGAAATCTCTATAGCACGGCATGGGTAAAATGAATAGGGACGTTGCGGTAAACTAAAGCCAGTATCCCACTGGTGGGAAGGAAAAGTGGCTGAACTTGCCGCTGTGAAAGAGCTTCCCCCACCACCAATACCTTCGTCCAACCGCGCTCTTTATGTGCTACGTATGCCATATGTGGACATACAGCGTTATCTTTCTTTCGGCTAGCAGACACGTCAAATTTTGAAAGGATAGGTATATTTTTTACGATTGAGATTAAATCACCATATCAAGGGATTATCCAAGTACCTATCAGGGCCGTACTCTGGCACCCTTGACCTGGCTTTTATGTGATTGTGTGGTCGCCTGTTCTCTAGTTTAGCTTTGACTCATTGACTGAGCTGTGAAATATAGACCTGAAGAATCTTATTGTTAGGTTGACAGTCTTCCTCTTTATATGATTGGACTAATACGGTTGGGCACGGAAGTAACCTCGAATCCTGGTATCTGCCTATGTCAGTGAGTTATCATTCTAGATTAGTTTGGTTACTTCCATGTGTCAGGGCCACGAGGTACTGAGTGATTCCTGCAACCGACTTACAACTTTTGCCAAATCTGGTGCCCTGCATATGGAGTCATGCGCCGCGGATGAAAAATAGCGCTTTGCTGGGTCATAACAATCCTGACGCTCCTCGATGTTTGAGAACCGTTATGATTCTGATATCCCAGCACCCTCTACTCTTTCGCTGTCACCGCACTACTACTCAATACGCTTGGCCCTATGTCAAAAAATCCTGTTAATAATTGATCTACACACTAAGTGTGGTTGTCCAAAGTTACTGCCGATTCAATACCATACAAGGGATTATTGCTCGAAAACTAATGGGCGGTAGAAAAGTAGTTGATAAAATTTGTAGTACGCACTATCAAGACTCTGTCAGATGTTCAATCGTCCACAGATAAGCGCCAGCAAGTCAGCCAGCCTTGCTGTTGAATTCTGTAGGAGCCAATGATTCTGCACCATAAGCGCTGGCTGACGACATATTGTTGTGGGCAAGCACTCTGTAACATCAGCGGCAACACCCCACCGCTTATCATTTACTGCCACCATCAATGCCGAAGATATGTCGTTGCTATTCACAGGCCAACATTGCTACAAGTTGGCTAGTGATGTACCTGTCCGTCTGACCTAGTTTCCTGTTCTTCTACTTCTAGACCTTCGATCTGCTCCATTTACCGTCCAAGCGTTGTCCCTGGATCGATACTCACACTGACGATGGATAGCAGACCCCCGCAGCGGAGCTCTTTTCAGCGGCTAGAGAAAGTTTGTGCAAAACCCAGAATTTCATACAAAATCCCTACGACATTGAAGCTGACCAAATACTTGTAGCTCGGTGAAGGCACCTATGCGACCGTATGTTGCTACGGCAAATTTTCTGTTCTCTTCAATCTGCTAAAAGTAGTCAGATAGACCATTCTAACTTCCCTTATCTAGGTTTATAAAGGGAGAAACCGGCAAACTGCTCAGATGGTAGCTTTGAAAGAGATCCATCTGGATTCGGAAGAGGGTACTCCATCCACTGCAATTCGCGAGATCTCCCTGATGAAAGAACTAAAACATGAAAATATCCTATCTCTGTATGATATAATCCACACCGAAAACAAGCTGATGCTTGTTTTCGAGTTCATGGACAAAGACCTGAAAAAATACATGGAAGTGCGAAACAACCAACTGGAATGTGCCACTATCAAAGATTTCATGCACCAATTACTGCGTGGCGTTGCATTTTGTCACCATAATCGTATCCTGCATCGAGATCTTAAGCCCCAAAACCTGTTGATTAATGCGAATGGACAATTGAAATTGGCAGACTTTGGTTTGGCACGAGCATTTGGTATTCCAGTCAACACCTTCTCGCACGAGGTCGTTACGTTGTGGTATCGTGCCCCAGACGTTCTCCTCGGAAGCCGTATGTACAACACGAGCATTGATATCTGGTCTGCCGGCTGTATCATGGCAGAAATGTATGCGGGACGCCCTTTGTTCCCTGGCTCTACCAATGAAGATCAATTACAGAAAATCTTCCGCCTGATGGGAACACCGTCGGAGCGTTCTTGGCCTGGGATCTCACAATTTCCGGAATACAAACCAAATTTTCTGGTGTATGCCGCACAGGATCTAAGTCTGATCCTTCCCCGGATAGATAATCTAGGTCTCGATCTGCTCAATCGCATGCTGCAGTTACGCCCTGAGATGCGGATCAGTGCCGCCGACGCTCTTCGTCATCCATGGTTCATCGATCTTCTGCAACTTCGATATCAAAATCAGCAGCACCAACAGGAACAATAGCATCCAAATGGAGGAATCTTGCATAATTTGAGCGAATGCATCTAAGGATATATTTTTATTTAACGGGGGTGATGAATGTAAAGTATTGTACATACCTTGGTTCCGGTTTTTGTCGTGGCTGGCTCCTACCAGCAATGGCTTGGATATATATATATATGACCCTCGTAGTTTCCACTCTAAATTTGCATGTCATGCCATTTAGTTTGACGCCTTACATTGCATAGTTACGTTACGAATAATCGTGATGATAGTCCCAATCTTAATCCCCCTTTCGCTTCCGTTCGGTTGCTGATTGAATATGTTGGAATAGCATAGGATTCCACCTGTGCTATTTATCTTCACACTTATCTCCATTTCACGCTCACATTTTGGTGAACTAACAAGACCTGGGACCATGCCATCTACAGAACAACAGGGCTGTGAGAAACTAAGAATTCTCGACGTTGTTGATTGTCAAATTTGACGAAATCAGATGCAAAAACGACTGACAAAGTAATTAGAAATGGGGCAACGATTTGGAAGCGAAAATTCATTTTGTTCCGTCAACTTCTCAAACCAAGGGTTTAACGGTAACGACACGACATCATGAGCAAAAATGAATGAGATGAAACAACGGAAGCCACAGCTGTATCAGTGTTAGCTTGTCAAATCAGAAAAGTGCATGAAGGAAAGTCGTGTATATCAACGATATGATCAGCAGTGTAACAACATGTAACTCTGGACGAATCAATTGTCCGGGGCAAAAAAGAAAAAAAAAGACGTGAAATAAGTGGCCAAGAGAACGACATTCAAAACACCGAAACCCACATGTCTAATGAGGCAAAAAACAAACATGAACGAAAATTATGAAGAGGATGAAATAGGGGATGGAGAACATGCTATCTAGGCGCTACATCACATCACACTGCAAGAATTACGCTGGCATTGCTCAAGGTATCCTTCATCCTCACTGGTGTCAGGAACAGTCGCAGCTTTCCGTTTTAGCCCCTGAATTTTGATGTTTTGATCCCCTTCTGCATGCCACCATTTCAGCATTTGCATAGTTCCAGATCCAACCTCTTGAACATCAATCGCCCATTTTCCACCACTAACAGCTACCTCAGTGTTCATTTTCGGATAGTGCCACTCGGGGAGGTAGATAATAGAAGGTGCAGCCTCGGTTGTAGCAGTGTCGGCAGACAATGATAGTGTGAAAAGACAGTTTCGGAGATCAAATCCATATTCTTTGATGGAGCCGTGGGTAGCGACAGGGCTGGGCCTTATAAATGCTTCTGCTGCACGGAAGCCAGGCTTATCCGTCAGCTCGGGAGATGGCTGTGACACTTGACTTATAGAAGGTTGTGGAATCGCGTTTTTTAGATTTTGAGAAGAAACATGGGTAGCTGAACTGCTTTGAGCAGTGGAGAATGTGGGAGAAGTTCGATCAGAGGATGTGGAGAGCCGATTTTGCGGAATATTCCCTAGCACATCCAGATCTTGAAGAGGTAATTCTAGGTCATCGGCTGAAAATATGGAAAGGTCCTCGCCGTTCCATCGATCCCCCCATTCATGGCAATTCTACAACAGTTAAGTTGGTTAGTGATTTCACTCGTTTTTATTTGTGTTTTTGGGGTGACAAATGACTCCGTACCTCTGACGTATAACACCACAGCGAAAAGCCATTTGATCCACTCCCTTCTATCGCAAAGTGATTTGCATCCATTGCGCTGGTTTGACTACTAAAATCGCCTGTTTTATATGCATGTTTGTCATCCATATCGTACGGAATGCCAAGTTCCGTGAAAACCATAGGGTGGAGACCCATATAATCGAAGCTCTCGTTTCGCAAGTAGCGTAGTTGATCGCGGAGGCAATTTCTAATTGCAGTTTCACCTATTTTAATAGCAAAAACCGGGCTGAGATATTTGCCCCGTATAACCCCCACAACGTCCACGTTGTAGATGCGATTCCTAAAAAATTGCAAGTCAATGATTTGCACAATAGAAGAGCAGGCGCATCCACTAACCAGTGTTTGGTCATGAGCGTGAGCCCATCATACTGATGCGCGGCATGGACCATGTTTGCATCATCATCCTCAGTTCCTTTGATGGACGGAGGTAACTCCAACACAGCTGGCTGGCAAAACATGATAGCATTGGCATGCACGCTTCTAATGGCATTTTTGAAGTTCCTATAGTGATCCATAAAATACTGATTCGTAAAACCTTCGTAGTTGAGGGTTTTACCCGTCTTTGGGTCCTTGGCAAAATAGTCCTTTTTCAGCAAGCTGTCGGTGTTTGGATCCCAGACGCCGTGCTGAGCCCAGAGGCATTCTCCTAATTTCCACTGATGATCTCTTTTCCAACCGTAGAGGGTGTCGTCAAAATTGGCGTTCAGCCACGCACTTTGGCCCTTAGGATCAACCAGTTCCCTTCCAATTTGGTAGGGCCCAAAGCTACCAAATCCCCATGTGTTCACTTCGCATGCACGGCCGGAGCCGGTCAACATCCCTTGAAAAGCAGTGGGTGAGGTGCCAAGTTGGAGGTGCTGATCTGAAGGGATAATAGAGAGATCTTGGATTCCTACTAGCCCTCGATTCACCTCATTCATATTTTCCCACCCAATTACGACCTCGTCCTCCAGATCGCCGGCCTCATGGATTCGGGTTGCAAGATGTTTGCATGCATTTATATAGTGACTTTGGAGGTAATCTTGAATATTTTTACCGTCGATAATTGCCTTTGGCGCGAAGTCTTTTCCCGCCCAGAAAAGGGTGAAAATCGTCTGGCAGACGAGTCGGCTATAATTCGTGCTCCAGATCATTTTCGGGAAGGACGCAGGCTCTGGGAGATAGGTATTTTGCACAAGGGCAGCTTGGGTAACATTGAAGTTGTGAGGATTGAAGCCAGCCGCGTAAACGGTCCACATAGGAGCCCCTGAGCCGCCAGAGAATCGAGACCACTATGTATTTATTGTATGTTAATGAAAGTAAATCTGTATCTAGCGTAGATAGATATCCAATGGACATACCACATCCTGATGAGGGTCCATATACACATAAAACCCATAGCTTTTTGCTAGACGGAGTATTTCTATTGTGAATTGTATAAATTCCTCATCATATTTGCCGGGTCCGCTATGCTCGAGAGCCTCCCAAGTAAAAATATATCTTATGAAATTGTAACCCCATCTCTTTAATCTTGTAAAATGAGTGTGCGCGTCTTTCAGTTCGAACGGTCGGCCCACGAAAGAAACATTATCCCCGTCATAGAAGTTCTCCGATACGTACGAAGGTATATTAGGCTTTTTGGGATATTTAGCAGCAGCATCCACGTTTATTCCTCTCAAAGTGACCTCTCTGTTCTGTGAATCCCGGAAGGTGCTTCCTTCGACCCTAAACCTTAGGGGGGCCATTTAGAGAGATGTCGCTCGAGTGAATGGATTAGGGTGTGGTATGGACCTCGAGGGAGAGCTTCGAGCTTGGCTGGATAACGGAGGTTACTGTGGGAGTGAACGAGCGAGTGTTCAGCGTTAGACAGGTAAGCCAGTTCGAAATAAATGATTCCACTAAGGACAATCAAACTTCGGCTGGAATTTTCCTTACCTCTGCAGATGTTGATGCCCTGGTGGTGCGCTCACGTCGTCCAGCTTGCATTGGCGGTGATGCTGGCAACTAACGAAAAGAACCCACAGGGAAACCACAGAGTTAAATACCAGTATTTATATATTTTCTGTCACAACTTGGATATTTTTAAAGCAACGCCAGCGGCATGAGCAGAAACAGACACTGGTCATCGCAGAACCGGTTGCCACATGTCGTGAACAGGCATTCATGACATCAAGCTAAAGCTCGGCATCATTGCATAACATAAACCCATGTTCATAGGGTCCGCTGATGCGTGATACGAAATACGAAATACGAGACCGATACGAATTCTCTAGCCAACAAACCGTCACAAAACGTCCATTCGAACATCCTTGGATAACGAGCGTATCTCTTCCGGAAAGTTTGAGATAGGCAGGCCATGTCACATTACATCAAATATAGAGGCTAATACAGTAATGTCGGCAAAAGAATCTTTAAAGTCTATCCGCGCTTGTTTGGATTCCAAAGACTTTGAGCAGGCTGCAGGGAAGGCAAAGGACTTGTGTGATAAGGATCCTCAGAACTACCATGCGTATGTGGAAGCAGAACCCTCGGCCAGATCTGCCTGTACTAATCGGTCTATTGCCAGACACCTGTTCCTCGGACTTGCGCTTGATAATTTGAATGATTTTAGAGGGGCGGAGACTTCATACCTAACAGCAACTGCTATCAAGGATGATGATCGGACAGCTTGGCAGGGTCTACTCACCCTGTACGAGAAGCAAGATGGCAAGTATTTAGATCAGTATCGCAAAGCGGTAACAAGGTTGTGTCAGATACTAGCTGCAACGTAAGTTCTCATTCTCCCAAGCCGTCGCATGCATAATATATCCCGCTTCCTGACACGAACTTCAGCGACGACAAAGCCAGATGTCAATCTGCGGTCCAAAAGTATGTCGAATTGACTAAAAAACACGGTTCTAAGGCACAATACAAGCAGGCTTTGGAGCTTCAACTCCCTTCTAGCTTTTTGTATGACATTCTCGAGGGTACTGTGCCACATCCCTCGCACACATACCTTCGTATCATAGAAATATGTGAAGCGGAGGAAAAAGAGTTTATCAACAGAGAGATTGGCGAAAGACGGACCAGGTTGGGCGCTCGGATTGACCAGGTGACCCTCGAGGTGAAGCGTGAAGCCTTCCAGCGTAGCAATTTAGATAACCTCTGTCGTGAAATTATTAATTGGTCCAATGATGATGGGGCTCGCCGGAACTACGAGGAGAAGTTATTGCAACGAGCTTATGACTGGCTTCAAGTTCTTGCAGCAGGCAAAAAGAATCCAAAGCGTGAAGAAGTACAGCGTCTTGCTAGGGAGATGGTCATAATCAAACACCCATTTGTGCTTGCCTGGAAGATTGTTTTGGAATGGCAGGATGGAGATGACCTTGCGGAGTTGGATATAAATTTGCTAAACGATTTCATAGAGCTATTTCCCGAAGAGGGCTTAAGCAAAGTCCTGAAGGGGTTTCTCGGAAGCGATATCTCACCATTCCCTAAAGAGCTCACCTCGCAGTCACCGAAAGAGAACAATTCAAACACGGGGTCAAGTGAAGCCAACAACCTATCTAACCCAGAGGACCGTCTGCTATTGATGGCGGAGGGGCTGGAGCAAAGTCCAGGTTCAATCCTTGCGCACAGGATTATGGGTCAGCTTTACTTGTCTTTGGACGAGTTCCAAACTGCAGTTGATGTCGCTCGCAAAGGTATAGAAGTGATTACGGAGGTGCAACGCTTAACTGGATTGAAACTGCGCAATGCCACTGACGCTGTGAATACTACTCTCGCCAACTCCCTCATCACATACCAATCGCCAAAAAATCATCCTGAAGCAAAACAGATATTTGAAGAGATGTTAAATCGCAGGCCAACATCGACTTGCTGTTTTCTCGGAATTGGTCTGATCTTAGAAGAAGATCAAGACTACGCCGCCGCAGTGGATTTTCTTGAGCAAGCGATGGAGCGAGACCCCACTAATCTAAGAATAAGGAGTGAACTGTTCTGGTGCAAGGCACATAATGGCGAACTTGAACTTGGGTTACATGGCCTACAGGAAACTGTAAACATGATGAAAGCCGATCATATGCGAAATCAAGACCTTAGAGCGGAGATATTATACCGGATCGGGTACTGCCAATGGGAATTAGATCCTTCGTTTGCAGCTCGGAAGGATCGCACCAGAGCTTACGCCAGCTTTCTTAGATCTATACAGTCGAATATGAACTACGCACCAGCATATAGTAGCCTAGGGATATATTATGAGGACTACAAAAAGGACCGGAAACGAGCACGCCGGTGCTTCCATAAGGCTTTCGAGATTTCCACTGCGGAAGTAGATTCCGCCGAGCGTCTAGCTAGGGATTTTGCAAACCAGGGGGCTTGGGATATTGTTGAAACGATATCCCAAAGAGTGGTGGATTCGGGAAGGGCGAAACCTGCTCCGGGCTCGAAAAGGAAGGGCTATAGCTGGCCATATGTAGCTCTTGGTGTGGTAGAGATAAGCAGACAACAATATACGAAAAGCATAGTCGCGTTCCAATCGGCGTTACGAATATCCCCTGATAATTATCAATCCTGGGTCGGATTGGCTGAAAGCTATCACAATTCCGGCCGTTATGTAGCAGCTACCAAGGCGTTTGAACATGCGGAGATGTTGGAGCTCAGCCTCCCAATATCTGAAAGGGAACAAGTTTGGTTCGCTAAGTATATGTTTGCAAATGTGAAGCGGGAACTTGGAGAATACGAAGACGCTATTGCGAGATACGAAGCGGTATTGAATATGAAACCAGACGAGTTCGGGGTCACAATCGCCCTTCTGCAAACCCTCACTGAAAATGCATGGAAGTGTGTCACATCGGGTTTGTTTGGAGAAGCCGCTGAATGCGCAAGGAAGGCCGTCGAAACAGGAATATCCATCGCACAGCTTCATCCCGATGTGTTCAACCTGTGGAAATCAATCGCGGATTCCTTTTCCATCTTCTCCTGGCTTCGGGGAAAGGCATCCCTTATGCCTATCACTGAATATAAAGGTTTTATTGAGAGTCAAGCTGATATGGCATCGTTTGAGATTCTTGCAGACGAAGATGGTGTGAGGACGGATTTTGCATCACTGCTCACTAAGTCGGATTCTGAAGACGTTTTATCACCAAACATATGCATGCACGCTGCAATTCTTGCCCAAAAACGTGCCGTATCCATATCCGCTACTGACAAACATGCCCAAGCAATAGCATGGTATAACCTTGGATGGGCAGAATATCGTGCATATGTTTGCTTGCAAGATGAGGCTAAATCGAAAATAAATAAACCTTTCCTAAAAACAGCAATGAGGTGTTTCAAACGAGCAATCGAGCTCGAAGCTGGCAACTCTGAATTCTGGAATGCGCTGGGAGTAGTTACAACATCCTTAAGCCCCAAAGTCGCACAACATTCGATTGTGCGAAGCCTGCATCTGAACCAAAGAAGCCCTCAGGCCTGGACAAATTTAGGTGCATTGTACCTTCTTCACAACGACTATGAGCTTGCAAATGAGGCATTTACTAGGGCACAGTCAACGGATCCGGATTTTGCTCACGCTTGGCTTGGACAGGGTCTCCTTGCGTTGCTTTTTGGAGACACAAGGGAAGCCAGAGAACTTTTTAAACACGCTTTTGAACTAGGCAATTCAGCGTTAACGTTCCCGAAAAAACAGTATGCAGTTTCCGTATTCGACCATCTTATGTCCGACACCATGATGCATGTTGATATTCAACAGCTCATCCATCCCCTTTTTGCCCTCCACCAACTCCAAACCCAATCGCCTTTCGACCTTCAATTGCAGCATCTTTCAGCTCTCCTGGCTGAAAGGATTGGAAGTTTTACAGACGCTGCTTCTAATTTAAAAAATGTGTGTTTTGGTATGGAATTCGAATACGAGAAGTCAGAGGCGATGTCATCATTATCTCGGTTTGCCCAGGCAAAATCGGATGCCGCACGAGTACACCTAGCTCAGATGGACTATGACGCTGCAGTTGACAGCGCAGAAACTGCTCTAAGTTTGTCATCCGAGAATGCACCAGAAGAGTTTGATCCCCTAGTCAATCAGAAAATACGGCTTTCATCACATCTGACGGCAGGACTGGCCTACTTTTACCTCAAGGATATGGACAGGGCAATCGACATGTTCCGTGATGCCCTGCAAGAAGCTGATAGCTCACCAGATGTGGTATGCTTACTGGCTCAAGTTTTATGGGCCAAAGGCGGAGAAGAGGAAAGAGAAGCGGCTCGGGTTCAGTTGTTGGACTGCATTGAAAAGCATCCTACGCATGTTGGGGCCGTAACACTTTTGGGTGTCATAGCCCTGTTGGATGCTGACGAGGATTCAATTGAAGCAGTCGAGTCCGACTTGCAAGAAATGCGAACAAGTGACGATGTTAGCATCCACGATCGCGCCAAGGTCACAAAGCTTCTATCAAGTATTGCCACGCTTGTGCTTGCGAAAAACCCTGAAGTACCGAAAGAGTTAAGACAGCGTCAAGAAGCTATCACGTCCATAATGCTTGCCCCATATCAGCCACAAGGATGGGCTGCACTGTCAACAGCATCATCACTTTACCCGGCTGAAATAGCATTACAAACGGCATTGCGAAATATCCCCCCTAACGGGACGCTTGAATCAGAAAAACTGTGTCATTACTATACCCTAACTGGCCGTCGAGATGCAGCGGTTAGGGCGATAATGATAGCGCCTTGGGTATCGGATGGTTGGAAAGAACTTTCGCACTGTATATCAGTAGAGTGATCGTGTGGAAAGGTCTTCTATCAGCAGATGTTTCGTTTCTGTAGTTAGTGGTGGAACCATCCCATATCTTTTAATATAGAAGAGCATACAAGAGATATAGAAATAAACAGACAATAGACCAAGCAATCATGCACGCGCCAAAATCAACTCCCACGGATACCATTAGAGCATAAAATTTAAATACCTGTTTCACGTTCACGTAACTTCAGCAGCAGCCTGCTCTTCCAACCTTTCCAATAATCTAGCTTTTCTCCCATCTTTCCACGCCTTATCCATCCCCTCGATCCTCCCTCCAAGCACACTAACGCAGCTCGGCTCCAGCAATAACATCCCTCTTGCTACTGTTGCGTTTTTCACCACCATCTTTGCCCCGATAGACATCTTCCCAACCCCAACTTCCTCTACCCGTTTAAATTCTATAGCAACAACTCTCGTTCCCTTTGCATCTTGGAGCACTAGCCGATGTGGCCCGCCACTAGCCGTTGTGGAAGATGATGTATTCCGCGCCCCAGCCACATTACTATTATTTGTTCCAGATATATTTGCTGTGTTGTTGGTGCTGTTGCTACCAGCAGCCGCAACATCACCCGACTCATCCCGAGTGACTGTTCGTATTATCTCTCGTCCACGACTTTCTTCACCGCGCTCGATCTTTTCAATTGCTTCGACCTGACTCCAGAGGCTGCTGCCTATGTCCTCTATATCGAGTACCTGGAGTGGAATTGGCCCGCATATTCGCCGTTCTCTGACTGTGGGGTCTAAAATGTCCGCTGGGAGGATTTGGGATTGGGTAGTGACTTCGAGAGAGGTTGTGAAGTCGGAGGCAAGGAGTCGGAAGAGGGCTGTCTGGGTGAGAGCGGAAAGGGGAGTGATTCCTACACGTTGCGAGGAGAAAAATTGAGAGAGCCAGGTTTGCGCGACCGGGAGGGATTTAGTGGCTAGAAGGTGGTTTGATACATAGTTTTGAGGGTCAGGGGCCATAATTTGATTGAATAAGAGCAAGGAAAACCAGTTTCAGATAATTTTTGGTGGTTAGAACTCTTCTTAATCTTTAGATGTATAAATATCTAGGCAATTGGAATTATGTTCAATGTGAGCAATAAGAGACCAAAATGCGACGCAAAGCTCAGTGGGGCTAAATAGCCTTTGTGCTGGGACGACTTAAACCACCAAAAACTTTCCACATCACTGGCTTCTCATTCTCCATACTGAAGCACTTTGCAAGCCAGCATGAAACATTTTCCACACTTCTGCAATTATGCCAGTATCACTCTCCGCTGACTGATTGAGCGTCAAATGCAGTCAACGCCAACATTCTGTGTCGGTGTTTGACCCTTCCAGCGGTCAATCTTTCAGTGTATTCGACCCCGTCAAGGGAATATGTTGACGGGCGTCGTTGTGGTCAAGTACAGGCCTCGTGTAGATTGAAGCATCAATTCCATTTAACCGCAACATTCATCTATACTAGTACCAAAAGTTCGTGTGTGCTCCGGCTGGACATACATTGTGATGGAACGCATCAAAAGAGATATAAATGGTAGTGGCTGGGTAAAGCGAAGTGAGAATTCAAGCAAAACTTAGTTTGCAATTTACAAAGATGGTTTTCTGAGGTGCGAGGCCTGAAGCATGGATAATGCTTTTGTGGCATGGAACGCAATTCTAAACTAGAGCCTGAAAATTTGCGAACTTATCGAACAGAATACGCCTTGGTCTCTGGTATTCAGTCTCAACATTCTCGCTGGCAAAGATGATATTGTGGATATTGTTGATTGCGAAGCCATGTATTGGCTTCTATCGTAGGGAGCACGGAACTTCTTCCCACTAAGTCAACACGCCAAACCTTTTCTGCGTCAATGAAATGGGCAAATGCCTGAGCTGATGGTGGAAAACTTGAAGATATCTAAATTGTCCGGGCTTGTAATTTATATCATTATTTCCTTTGTTCCAATATGTAAATAAGAGGACCATTTTCATAGCAAAGTTGTCCTTGCCATCTACCAGTGCCGTCTTTTTGTCCTGCTGGCAATAACTCATCGCCTCAGTTGAATCCATTCGCTGGTAATCATAAGGACCTCCGTGCCGAGTCGATCTTTGGAAAACGAGGGGGGGGGGGAATGTCCCTGGAATGGGCGATTGAAGCGCCTACGACAAATGCGGGCGTAAAGCTCAATACTAGTAGTATACAAAGAGAGATAAGAAGCGACATGTGCCTCACGGTAAAAAAAGATACACGGAATCCAATGACAGCTACTAGATAGACAGTGGAAGCCTTACAGATTTCTCCTATAAAATATAGTAGTTGTCGACGTTGGTACTTGGACGTACGCCTGGTGTTGGTAGACCGTAGTTGAGAACCTGGAGAGAGAAGTCTCTGCGGCTGATTTTCTCCACGTGAATGGTGCACGGACCAATAGTTTAATTCTAAATCTGGTCTCGTTAGCTCGGAGGTCTTGGCAAAAAAGAGTCCCAGGCTACCTCAAAATCGACCATGAGCGGGCCCTTAACAGCAGTCTCAGACTACACATTTCTATCACCATGTCAACTATATCGCCTCGTCCTTCTATAACATCTGCTCGAACCCCTACACCGACTGGATCCCGTCGGCCGTCTCTCGAAGCCAGCAGCTTGGCCACAAGCAACACATCAACCCCAACTGCCAAAGCATCTCCATCTCTTGCGCACCGGAAAAACCGAGCTGCGTTACGGGACTACTACAATCTCCGACCTGCCCACCCTGAGCCACCTCATTCCAACAATTCTCAATCTCGAAGCGTCTCCCCTAGCCTCAGTTCTCGCGCTTCAGCAACCCACCCAGCCCCCGTCGAAGCGCATGCCGAACTCGACAGCCCCAACTTCGATCCGTCCGCTTACATCACCCATTTACTCTCAACCTCCTCCCTCTCAACTATTCTCAAAGCAGAGAATTCATTAATAAGTGATATCCGAACGCTCGATGGCGAACGTAAAGCGCTTGTATACGATAACTATTCCAAACTGATAAAGGCGGTGGAAACCATCGGGAAGATGCGCGCTAGTATCGACGAAAGAGGCCAGCCTGTTATCATGACGAAGACGCTGGGCCCGGCAGTTGGATTTGTGGCGGAAACCGCAGCGGCACTGAGTCAGGAGCAGGAGGAATTTCGGCGGGAGCGGGTCGCTCAGAAGCAGCCAGGCAACCTGGATCGAGAGAGGGAGACTGTGAGATGGGTTCTCGCGAGCCCTAAGCGGCTTAAAAAACTGTTGGATGATGGCAAAGGAGAAGAAGCGGATAGAGACTGGAAGGAGGTAGAAAGACTGCTTGCGAAGTGGAAAGCGGTGAAAGGGGTTGATGAGTTAAGAACGGCGTGTGAGGGAATTATGATGAAAGGAGAATAGGTTTCTCTGGGCAGGCTTTCCTTTTTGGATCGTTACTACCATGCGAGTCTGCAATTTTGCAGAGTGCGGCTCCTAATAGGCAACTCCAAAAACGGTGAGGAGACCGCCTCACTGGTATGCTGCAAACCGTCACCCTTGGATGTTGTCAGCTCACTAGCTAATTCCGCGTGGTGATTGCAGATCTTCCTCAAGCACAAAAGCCCTAGGCTCCTAGCCTTGGGCTCACGATAAGCGTTGACACGTCCATACCTTGCGACGGGAGATCCAGTATGGGTTGCCGATTGATTTAAATGCACAAATTTATTAATACACTTGATGTGTACACCATTTATCAACCAAAAATGAATGCCTGGAGTGTCACGGGTGAAAAACTATTTTTAATTATATTCCGTTATCTTAACGTAGCCAGAACATGCATATGTACTGCGTATAACTTCAACCAAAACTTACTATCAAATATAACATAAGAATGCAAACATCAACCTACACATTCTTGCCTAACGTCCCGTTCTACATTCTTGACCGCTCTAGAAGAGTCTCAATTTGTTCAACTATATCAGCTTTGGCTAGTTGGCACCACCAAACCCCGATCCACCATCATCTGTCGCAACTTTTGCGCCGATACCCAGCTGTCCGCGGGCGGTCGATTCCGCAACGATTCTCCAAGCCCTATCGACTTGTCTTAAGGATGGGAACAGCACCCATTTGCTTGATGTGATCTTGTTGGCTCGTGCGGCTTCCAAGATCTCAGCATCCCGCATGCGGCGTTGTATACCAATTCTCTGCTCCAATATTGACCATGGCCTGTCATGTAATTCATCATGCAGGGCCATTTCTCTGATTATTGAAGGTTTCTAGAAGCTTTGTGTCGCGGTCTCTGAAGTTGCTAACGTCTTGGTTCGAATGTGGATCTAGATTAGAAATGGCAGGGTTCCTGATATATATCCAGTTGCTTACGGAGGAAGCGCTGGCAGTCCTCGGCAGGAGGCGGGCGAGTGTTGTTTCGTTACAGTTGTCGATACTATCAATGTTTCCTTTGACTTCTTCATCATCATCGATGTCCATCATGTTATCAGCCATGTTACTACCACAATTTCGCTGCTGGGCAGTGATGGTTGCTAGAGATCTTGGATGTATAGATGTCCAGTAATGGAGAAGGTCGAAACTGAATACCAGGTCCCCAAGGGCCACTACTTGACTATCACCAGGTGTTGGGCCTTATGTCCGTTATATTTTATCCTCTATCTTTGGAATAGGTACACTGTGTGGATGTTGTACCGTAGAAGCTTTGATTCATCAGATTTGTAGCCATCGGTTTCCACACTGTGTTCTGGTGGATTCCTCATCAGAATGCATTCTACCCCATTGAAGCAAAGCCGATGTTAATCCACAAGTAACAGGAGCATTCCAACTTGATCATTTCCATGAGTTTTGAAGCCCTGTTGCTGGTACGAACGCTAATCAACCTTTAACTCACAGATTCCAGGCAAATTGGAAGCCTCGAATATATTAAGGCAGACCCGTTGGCTTGGAAAAATGGTTAGATAGTATTCGATCTCGAACCTTAAAAAGAAATGGGATCTATCCACCCACCAGCTCCAAGAACCAGCAGTGAGATGTATGACCCATTTCAATGCTCTATCAATTAATTTTCACGAAATTGAGCAGATAGCCTCACATCAATATAAATAGTTGCAAATATACAAATACTAGTATCCACGTGCGTCATCCCAGTGGATATCACCAACTCACTCTCCGCAATGACGAATATTCAAAACTCCCAGTCACTATATACAACTTTCCTCGAACAACCTCCGAGTTGCCTGGAATTTTGTCCTTCAGCTCCTGACTATCTCATCATTGGGACATATCTTTTATCTGAATCGTCCACAGCAAATTCGACTGGCACTCAAACAAAAACTGGGACCATACAACTTTTCAGACTTGATCCTGAGTCCTTTCAACTGTAAGATTATAAAATGAATATAGGAGTATATAGTTTATCTGCATATCCGTCGAAGTTGATTTACGTAACTGGGTTATTTCCAGATTTCATTGCTGACTAGAACTATAGGACTCAAATCCACAAAACTCTGCTACCCCACGCAGTCTTCGACGTTCACTTCTCTCCCAGAGACCCGAGTCTATTCGCAATCGCCACAAGCGCTGCATCTGTGTCATTATACAGCCTTGAATATTCCTCGCCACAAAACCCCCATATCATCATCCACTTGACCACAATAACCGTTCACGAAAACCCAAGCACCCCCTCTCTCTATCTCTCCTGGCTACCGCTATCACATTTAACGGCAGGGAACAAAGGAAAAGAAAACTCTCATGCCCATGGCTATTCGCCTGATCAGCTATCTACAGACGGCTTTGCTGTCTCGTTTTCAGATGGCCGAGTCTCCATATTTCATACTAATTCCCCTTCGCACGACTTCTCCCAAGATTCCATGACAGAGATAGTGTTGCCAGGTGAGCCAGTAGAGGTCTGGTTCACTGCGTTCCATTATGGCAAATCGTTATCCGGGAAAGAGAATCTCCTGTTATTCTCTGGGGACGATTTTGGGGTTCTGCGTGTGCATGAATTTGTAGCCGACGGGGAAGGGGACGAGAAACACAGACCGTTATGGGCTGAAGGGCAATTCCCCGCAAAGACGACGGATGTCAGTGTTGGTGGAAAACATCATGGAGCAGGCATTACAGCGATCCTGCCTTTGTTTACTGAAGGTAGCGACACAGTGTTGCTTACTGGGAGTTATGACGAGTACCTCCGTGTATACAAATTTTCAGGGCAAGCGTCGGTTTTAGCCGAGGAAAGATTGGGTGGAGGGGTGTGGAGGTTGATGGTCATAACAGAGGTGGAAAATGAACCTTTGGCGATGGAGGGATCTTCAGATATAAGATCACACTCGTATTTTGTTCTCGCTAGTTGCATGCATGCCGGAGTGAGGATAGTCAGGGTGACATGTTCTGTTGGTAAGGATACGTCAGCGGCGGGGGTGTGGGAGATTGAAACCCTGGCACAGTTTACGGAGCATGAGAGTATGAATTATGCGTCGGATGTGTGGAGAGGCGGAACGAAAGTTGGGACTCAAATTGGGAAGGAGAGCGATTCCTTGCTATGTGTCTCAAGTAGTTTTTACGATAAAAGGGTTTGCGTATGGAAAGTAAAGGTTTAGGAGTTGAGAAGCCTACTTGGCAGCTCGCTTTTATTTTGCCTGCATATGGTGGACGGATTGATGGGTGAAGAGAACCAATGTCATAATGCCGGGCATGAATAAATGAGCCTCATCCGTTATCTATGTGTTGCTATAGAAGAAAAGGAAAATGTGGAAAAGGGAGGCTCCGTTGGCATTTATGGAAATGCTATGTAAAACCTTAATCGATGACGTTCAAGACTGTGCATTTAACACTTTTTATCCCCTGTGGTAAACGCCTATGATATGGGTTTACAGATGGGAACCAAGAGAGGCGGACGGGCGCGGGAGCAAAGTACAACAGTCATAATTACACGATCGTCCCCAACTGCTGAGCATAGCCAATGCCATTCTCAATAATCGCGCGGCTGGCGTGTGAGACACTTGTCTCCGAACCTTGTGCGTGTTCCACTTCTGATTGAGGGAAATATATTCTCCCATCCCTGAGAACCCAACCTCGAGCTTGAGCAAATTCAACGACATCTCCTTCAGAATCTAGTTTTAGAACATCTTTGGCGCTCGATATGGAGAGGGATTCGTACGCCTTTTCAGCGCTGGCGGCCATCCACATTCGGATTGTACTTAGCAGGACCTAGACAGATGACATTAGAGATGAATTGCAAGGAAGTGGAGATTCTTCCTCACTTCCATTCTTGTATCTTTCTCTAATAACATAAATCACGAGCCCAGAAGTCTCTAGAGGGTACATACCGGAGAAAATATTTCAAATTCCTCAGGCAATTTTGCTTGTCCCGACAAACCCCCCGAATTCTTTTTGTTTCTCGTCTGGTGTTTCAGCTGTTCCCACGCCACGTTATACCTCCCGTCCGTCATACTAGCCGCTAAGTCGATCGGGTATTTAAGTAACGGATCATTTTTGACGCTATCCTCATCCACGTCCCTTAGCCCCGCCAAAACCGTATCAAATTCTGTTATATTGCCCTCGCTCAACAAATACACCAGATATAGAGCCGTAATCTTGTTTCTCTGGCTGGCGCTTGGATTTAGACGCTGCAGCGCGGGGTCTTTGGCCATCTGCAGCGCTTGCTCTCTGTCGTAGAATGGCTTCAGTAGCTTGTAGCCGGTGGTGAAAAGGACTTGGTTTTTTGGGTCATTCTCTCCAAGGCGCAGTGAGGTGATGGTGGATAATTCTAGGGCTTCACGTGCGAGGCAAAAGAGTTTATCATCGACTGAATCTGTTAGGGAAAAGGCACCCAATTTGTGAAGTATTGGAGCTGTTTTCTGAACAAGCTTTTCAGCTTGATAGAACTGTTTGTGTTGGAGGTTGGACTTGAACGCGGCGATGAGGTCTAGGAGGTCTTTGACGTCCTTGCCTGACATTGTAATGAGGGTTCAAGAGTGGCGTGTGTCGTAGGGAAATGAGAAATATGCGTTGACTGCAATGAACTAAAAGTGAGGTTCGTGAGGAGAGGATTGCGGAAACAAACAAGATCAGGCGGTCGTCATATGTAACTAACTAGACAAGAGCTTTGGTTGAAGCGCCGGCGCCGCAGGAAGGTTTTTCCGTAACCCACATGATATTGTCGATTGGAAATACGCCGAATTCCCGTTCAACTGAACACTCAACGATTGATTTATTTACATATCTTGCAAAGCATAGTTATTTTCACGATTCATACATTGATTGTTATTAAGCATTATTCTGTATTGCGTTCTAATTAATCCTTCGAGCAACACACTTTTACATTTATAAGTTCAACAATTCAATGCTGGTAACCCCAGGGTGTTCCAAACAAAAATGCACCTGTATGCTCGACCAAATCATGCCCATAACGCCGCTCTAAGTAAAGGAGAAAAGGATGCAATATTGTGTCGTTGGAGAAGCGAAGAGACAGACAGAGAGAGAGAGAGAGTTTTTAAACCTTTTTCATAAAGCCTTCACTATTTGTGCAAGCACCGCAAAATTTGGCGTACCCAATCCTGTCACAGGGTCCCACCCAACCGTCGCATTCCACCCAGCTCTGGGAATATACGGCGTAGATAAACCTGAAGCCCTGGAAAAGCCGGTACATCCCTCCGAATAGCCATCGACAATGTCATTCAAACCTGCACCCTTAAGACTGTAGAGGAGCGGATTGAGAAATCCAAGGACAGGCTTCCCTTCAGCAAGGCGGATAGAGTTGAGAATGGCTACAACTGCTGCGAATACGGGTGCAGAGGCGCTGTTTGAATGGTCAGAAATACTTATTTTTGCAAGGTTGGCGTTTGGGAAGAGTTGGGAAGCGAAGAGGGGTAGATATTGAAAGTCGAAAGAAGGGTATAAGGAATATGAGAAGTTTTATGTTAGTACATGAATTCACGAACCTCGTTCCTGATGCGTAAGTGGGTTCCCCATGATCAACAATGTGAAATTGTGCGGACTGTGCTGCCACATCCGGAAAACCACGACCTGCTGGGTTATAGAGACCAGCCCATCGACTGCCTAGTTGACCTAAGTATGTCGAAACAGCTTCGTCTTGGTACGCCGGGCGGGGATATCGATCAGAAAATCCTCCCGAGGAAAAGTACGCTGCAGTCTCCGGGTTTACGCCTTGTGTTCCACCAACGGATGTTAGGAAAGGACAGACAGCTGGAAAAATGGGGTCGAATCGGGTTGTGTTTGTGCCATCGTTAGTTTGGCAAGCACTTCCCGGGCCAGAGTCTCCACTGGAGAATAACACTGATACCCCTCGTGCACCTAGCTGAGCGAACAAATTGCATGTCGAATTTGCGTATTTCTCTGGTACGCTTCGTTCATTTTCACCGTATGAAGTGGTAAGAACGGCTGGTAACTCCCCATCTGGAAGGGAGAGTAAATAATGCAATTGGTCCAAGTAGGGTTCATTGGTATTGGCGTTTGTATCAGGAAGATCCAGATCGGGAATCATTGGACCGAGCCCACCAGTGGTGTAATATACCGTGGTTGCGTTGGAAAGGCCAAGTGTATATTGGACATCCAGACTGGCTTCCATAGATGACTTGCTCGAATTCTGATGGTTCAATCCCCCGTTAATGGAAACCACATGGAAGGTGGATCCTTTTAGTTCCGGGACAAACTTTTGAAAGAAAAGATCCAAATCACTATATCTTGCGTATTGCTCAAGGTAGCCTGACACTCCAAGCTTATTGCGAGGGTCTGGGGTAGCAGTGACATTTCCCATGTTATATATTTCCCGAATACATGATGGCGCAACAGCAAGGCTACAATTGACTGGATAACAAGAATCATCAAGCCCCAGGAGTCGCATAGCACCATTACCAGCAGAATCAGGTTTGGGTTGGCCAAATCTCGTTGTCGGCTGGATCATGTGGACGTAGGGAGAAATTTCAGGGGGAACACAGTATTCCAGAGTTCGAATTATCCGAACATCGCGAACCAAGTTCGAGAAATAGTAAAATTTCGTCCGAAGCAAACTTTCAGCTTGCGCGACAGAAATTTTGAAGTTAACCCAATCGCCATGGTCCATAATGGCCGTCTTGGGAACACCTCCTTGTTGCAACCATAACAAAATTGATTCTGAGACATGTGGTAATGGTTTTAAGAATTGCTGCACCTGATCTCGCTTCATATATTGACCATATTTCGGGTGTCCGGGTGTAGAGAGATCAAGAACTGCTTGCTCAAACAGCCATCCATTTTCTTGCGTAACAGCAAGGCGAAATTGTATAAGGGTATCAGGGTGAGGTTCTTCTTGCTGCGTCCACCCTGGAGGAACTGAATGAAGCTGTTCTACTATATCGCACCAAGTAGACGAAGGACCTGGGAATGTGAGAGCTGGCAAAACAAGCGCGCAGGCTCCAATGAAGCCTAATAGAGAAGCGCACATTCGGAAATGACAGACTGATAGATGGGAGAGTTCTAAAAAAATATGTTCGCTCGGAAAAGAAGTCACATAAACTTGGCGCAGCTCTCGAACTTCGGGGGGGATGTCCAGACCATTTTAAAGGATGCGAGAAGGTGTCAGGGGCATTATTAACCTGAAAAATGATGCAGAGTGAATTAGCGTAGCAGAACTAGGAATATCACTTTCCGCATGTAGTTTAAACAAGGAATTCTTGGCGGGTGAATAACCCAAAGACGGGTTGAAGGAGCATGTAACGGCGATCATCAGCGTCGTACAGTGAGGCAAAAGACATAACGCTGGTTAGTATCTAGAAGGTAAGTGTGACAGCAAAGGAATGCCACAGTCAACAATGGAGAGCAGTGAGGCGCGCATCCAGGCCCGCCACCTAGGAATCTGACAGTGTGCCCAGTAGGAACGTCCTTGAGAAACTCATTTCAAATATTTGGAATTTGGAAGCTCCGGTATACAGCACTGCGTTTCGCTTCCATTGGTTAGTTTGATCAGTTGAAAGCAGGTTGATGGTAGATCGAGAAGCTTGGGTGGGTTGTCTGGAAATTCAGTCCACCACTCAATGACCCGCACATCGACCGTTTTTATAGCGAATAAAGCTGGCCCAACCGTTCCAATGCTGTGCATGAATCAAGGCACCGAGGTTGAAGAAATTTTGCCTCCTGCCCTTAACGGCAAACAGCGTGATATAATACTTGTCTTCCTGCGAGGCCAGAAGATATCAAATTTCGACAATCAGAAACAAAATTCCAACAGTAACGCAGGTCTCACTGGTTCCGGGATGGGATTCACCCGGATCAACAGCAGTTAGGCGGATAGACTATATGAGAAACACTCCACAGAGATCTAGATCTCATCGTGACGTATCACAAAATCAACTGATCACGAGGATTGGCGATTTCCTTGCCAAAAACATTCGTGAATAACACGTTTGAATTGAGGCAGTCTAGGTTAGTTTCCGGGTCCCAGGGTCCTTGATGGTAGATCCCACCCGCGCTGTGATTCTGCAATCTGCTTTGTATGTTTTCGAGAAGGAAGCAGAGGAGGGAAAGGCGAACAGCTTGGAATGGAACCTTGGAAGTTCAGGCACCAAAGTAAGAAGCGGAATGTCACGTGCGGCAACGTCCCCGCATCCCTTCGCAAGGGACAGAACAATTCGTCGTGCTGTTCGCCGGATAGCCTTGTATCATAACTCAACGTTCCTTCAGGGCCCTTGGATTAGGTGGCCCTCCGTGGGATTACCTTGACCCCTTGCAATCATCGCCGAAGCTAGGATATTCCCAACTTGCCGAGGTATCTCTACGTGCGGGTTTGCAGCAGTCGGAGATGACATTGATATGCCCCCAATAACTCCTCGCTGCCAGCTCCCCCTATACGCAGTCGGGGTCCATCGATTTAATGCTATTGACAGAAATATTCAACCCTAACTTTACTATATATATCGTATACCAATCCTCTCAACCTCATCCCTCCTCGGAAAAGGTCGTTCTACGCAAGGACACAAAATGCCTTCATCAGCGCCCTCCGGCGCAAATCAAATGCAAAACGAGGTCATTTCGCAGCACAAACCTGAGATATCGTTGAAAGACCGCTTTTTCCGCTACTTTCAACATGAGATTACAGGTGGGATCTGGCCTCATCCAGTCATCACCGTATACGCCGCTTTCGCTAATGGAAATATGGATCTGTAGCTCTTCAGGAGCAAATGGACCGTCTAGGTGACACTGCGCTAATTGGAGGGGAGCGCACGGATGCTATAGATCATTGCTTAGCTGGGATTGCTCGACTATCAAGCGAGGTTAAGGATGCGTCAGCCTCCATTCCCCCATATGACCAGCGGATATATGCCAATGTACGTCACCACGGCCGTCAGATTTCTGTGATTTTAATTTCATGTGCGATTCGTTGAAATTTCTATGCCCTTGTTGAGTATGTTTTATGGTCCGTTCTTACACCTTTTAGGCGATCAAAGCTCTCCAAGACAAGCTCGCAGAAGCACGAGCAAGCTTTGCGCCGCGATCTAAGTTTTCCTTCAAAACCGCGCGCAAGAACCCGTCTGCGATATCCTTGGCAGATGCTGCCGAGATAGCAGCTCAGGGTCGTCGACACATTCCTGGTTACCGATCCAATGATAACTCGATGCAGTCGTCTGCCAGCCCGTCGCCGATATTATGTTCAACTTCCATGAATGATCGCCTGCCCTCTCCCCAACAAGAAGCTTCAGCTCCGCTTGAGGCCCCCGAAGAATTACAAAAGAGTGACACCGATAAGCCCAGCAGCTCCGCTTCTGGGGCCTCGTCCGTTTCTGTCAGTTCCCATACCGGTGTTCATATAGTGTTACCGACGTCTGCATCACATGCCACTGTGCCTGCATCGATAATGTCGTTACATCACTGCGTTGTGGACATGACAGTTCCCACGGCGGATGGGCGACCATTTGCTGGCCTTGTAATAAAGGGGGTTACCGAAAGCCTTCTCCTCTGCGGACAAGTGGATGGCCCGGCGCATATTACTGGAGTCAAGCACAGCACTATAGTGGTTTCCTGCCACCAATTCCGAATGCACGATTGCGTCGATGTGGATGTCTACCTAAGCTGTTCTAGCAGACCAATCATTGAGGACTGCAGCAATATCCGATTTGGCAATATTCCCGAAATTTATGTATGCTACCTTCCACGTGCCTTTCGTTCTGTCCCCTCTCTACCCCACCCCAATGTACTAAATAGAATCCCACCGTTAAAATTTCGCCTATACTAATCATGCAAACTCACATAGGCCCCGAAATCCGTAGATAGCACCCAGCCAAACCTCTGGGATCAGGTGCAGGATTTCAAGTGGATCAAAGTGGAACAGAGCCCCAATTGGAGTATCATAAATGAATGCGAAAGAGTCCCACATGATGTGTGGGAAAACACTGTTCCAGGTGGACCAGGAGCATCAGTGGACACCATTTTAAAGTCTGTAAAGGTGATCTTATCTTGAAGTTACGTACCCATGTGCTTTTGCGCGAAAGTGCCACCATTTTCCCGAAATGTGGACCTTTTATTTATTACCTGTCACGGAATACAACGACTGGACCATAAGAATTAATTGTGTTACGAAATGAAATAATAGACACAACAAAAGAAACGGGTGGCAACGCAACTGGTGACGGGAAGCCACACAAATATACCACCTGCAGTCGCCTAACAAGTTGCAGTGCTGACTGCTTAGATCTACTTGCCAACACTTGACTATTCGAGTAACGCGAAGTAAGATTGGATATTCTATAATTGTCCGTCATTGTTGCGTCGATTTGGGCGATTTATCTTTCATCTAGTCATTCCAGTGTATAAATCCTAGATTAAAGGATTGGTAGCGGCTAAAATCCAACCCCGTACAACAAAAATAACACCGTTACTTCAAATTATGTCTTGCCATGCAACTATGCGAGCAATACATGTGGAAGTCCAATTGACAAATTCAACTTCACAATGTTCAGTGTCTGCTGGGTTTTATTCTTCAGAAATGTTTGAAAATAATATGATCTTTTTATATCGACAAATTTTAGAGTGGAAACAGGAAATTATTATCAAATAATGGATGACATTAGATCATACACTTATTCTTAAGGAGATAACAAAGAAAAAGTAAACGTAGACATCAAAGTAGACAAGCGTATAGAGAGTATGAAAGAGAAAAGCGGCCATTTTAAAATATTCTACAGGACAGCAGCATTCTGGAAAAAAAAAAAAAAAGGAAAAGAATGTTACCATTGTAGCCGACAATAACTGCAATACAAAGGAAGGGGGCTACACAGAAAATACCCCGTCTAATACACTCCGTACACCGCCCGGGAGTAGAGTCTACTGTAGAAGAATTATGCATATGTTAGAAGAAACAAACACTCGTACAATGTCGTTGAATCCCGAAACATACAACACCACTGCGCCACAGCCTACATCGATGCTGAAGAAAAGGGTTCCTTGCCAAACCAAAAGCCCCCAAAATGAAAAGAAGATTAAAAGAAGAGTGGAAGGAAAGAGAGTGGTATTAGAATTAAGTTCCCTTTCAACGACGCAAATCCACTACCTCAAACTCTAACCCTTTCGCCTCAAAAACATGTCCGGGCCGTAATGCATCAGTATATATATTGGGCTCTGGGTGCGGATGGAAAAGCCCCGACTGCGTACAGGCAAGCACAGATTTCAAACCAGGTGGATCCGTGAGCCGAAACACGCCCCAGTCAGGGTCCTTGCTCGGTGCACAAACAATCGCAATACTTTCCGCTAACATTACTTGATAGCCGGAATGGGTATGCAAATCACGCGAGCTCATGAAGCAGGTCTGCGATGGATGAGTATGTATCCAACCAAGAACCATTAAATCTTCGGAATCACAGTAGTCGAAAATGGCTCCCTCGTTGACCATTTCGCAGGTATCTGATGTAGACTCCTGTTCGGGGATTAGAAGCTTGGAAATGAAAAAGGCATTGGATATTAATGTTCCACACAGGATGCCACAGGTTTCAAGATTGCGCTGGGTATTTGAGGCGGCAATGTATAGAAATTGTTTTCGGAGGTCAGGAGATATGAAGATCGTTCGGAGAGGGGTGCCATTTTCAAGATATGCTGATGGTTTGAATGTGAATTTTTGGAGATCCGCCGGCGGGGTTACGTTGTCATCTGTTGCGGAGGTAGAAGAAGAAAGCAATCCTTTCTTTGGGATTGGGGGACATATCGCTTCAGGAAGGGGAGAGCTTGTAGCAGACTCTAAAGGTGAAGAAATAGAATCTTTAACTTTGGCAGGGAGTTGAGGTGGAAGAGATGAGCTAGATGTTGCAGGCTCCTTACCAGGCACGGGCGGTGGTTGCTGGCCGGTATCAAAAGCCGGTTGACGAGGTATATTGGGGTATTTATAACTAGATAGCTTTCCCATATTAGAAAGCCGCTGGGGTATGGGAGCCGTTTGTACGTCGCCTTGAGACTCTGAAACGGGGCGATCGGGGGTTGAGGGCAATCTCCGCTCCACCCGCTGGGTTTTTGGGACTTTGGACCTAATATTCTGAAGGCGTCGGCTAAGGTCGTCCGCCGGCTCATCATCATGGCTCTCATGGAAGTATTCGACTCCATAGCTTTCCAATATATCTTTCGCATACGGGTCTCTAGTTTGAGTTGCCGTTCGAGCTGTTGCCCTTCGGTTGAATTCCCTCTGGGCAAGTTTCACAGCCAATTCCTTATTCTGAGCTGCTTCCAAAGGCTCAGCTATACCGGCTAATGCGGGATCAACCGGAGCAGTCGCAGTCGCAACGCCATCGCTTCCCAATAGCGATGTTGTCTTTTTGGACTCTCTTCCTCGGAGAAGCTGGACGTAACGCTCATATCTCTTGTTGATGCGGGGCTTCAGCAGCTCAAGCTTGCTCAGGTTTCTCTGAACTTCCCTTTTGGCTGCCGCCACAGCTTTGCGATTATCTTCTTGTCGTGCATCGGGATGAGTTGCAATGTGTGAGAGTACTAGCTGTGCATGCCTGAAGAGAAGAAGATATGCCTGTTGATCGTTCCCCTCACGTTCATAGATGCTGGCCTGGAAGATAAAACATAAGTAAGTGGCGGAATGCAGAAGCTCGACAGAAGACAGAGGCGCACCTCTTTAATAAGCAAACCTGCTGCTCGTATCCAGTACCGCAATGGAGAGAAAGGGTCAAACTCGAATTCGCTAGCTTGACGAGCAATCTGCTCGACATTCAAAGGCGGTTGCATTTGGGCGGTGTTTGGCGGGGTATTTGTCATGACCTGGCTCTGCTGCGCTCGAAAATTTTGACAGGGTGAGGTAGATATGGCAAGAGGGTCCCTTGTTATTCACGCAAATAAAAGCGTCAGAGAGCATGCAACCAGTGACATGTAGTCCATCGACGGAGTTATCAAAGCGAGGGAGGGATGGCCAGTCTCCAAGGGTGGGGAGTACGGCGGTCCAAGCATGAGACAGAACGCAAGGGCATATTTCCGTTTATCCACATTAGGCCCCAAATAGTCCGCAATACAGAAATTTTGTATTCTTGCCGTAGCCCCGGTCGTTCATCGTGACTTGATGCTGGAGGGAGGGGTGAACATGAATAGGCAGCTCCATTGCGAACCTTGGGGTTGTCATCGGCATGCCAAGACCGGATTTTCCCAAACGAGAAACTTCTTCAGCTTCAACTTTTTTGGTTGATCTCAACGATTAGGAATTTCACTCCCTTACACTGATACTATTGTATTTATATATCCAGGCCCAATTTGATTCCCGATTGCTTATGTATATATATGTATATCCTCCTTAATACTTCATAATTTTATCGACTCGCACTACAAGTCCCATCCCTCCCAGTATCGTGATATACTTGCTACTTGCGCTGCACCACCATGCCAAATGCCAGCAATTCCAGCTTCAGTGATACCGAAATCACCTTTCCCTCCCTGCAGTATCTTTTCCTCCGCAATTTCGACTGTCATGAGCAAACGTCCACCTTCTTCCAACCAACCTAGATTTCATATTGCGAGCTCGTTACTTTGCGGTATGTCCAGTCTATACCTCCCAACAGCCCTTACATGGCTCCATCTGCCCTACGATATTTCGTGATCCGAACCTAATGCCAGTGTCATGTACATAGATGATATTCTACAACGACTGGGCCCATCTCTTAAAAAACAGTCCTCATGCGATATCATCGACGTCTTCCCCGGCGCTGGACTTCTCTCGGCAAAACTACATGACTATCTAAAACCTCGACGTCACCTTCTCATCGAACCCAACATTCATTACTACCAGTCATTTCTAAAACCGTTGACCGAAGAACCGAATTCGCGTTATAAACATTTACCCTGGGACCCGTTCGATCTTAAAACCTACGATGATCTTTTCCTGCAAGAACATCTGCCAGAACAAACAAAAAGGCCACCGGTTTGGTCTCAAGACAGTGTATGTGCTACCAACGACAGCCTACTAGTACTGGCTAATATGACTGTGAAACCGCAACATGGGCAAAGGTACACTCTCCTATTGCGATACCTTGAGGCGTGTTTTGATCAGACATTGTTTCATCGGTATGGGTTAGTACGGATGATCGCGCTCCTGTCATCCGATGATGCGGAGGTACTGCTGCCCAGGGTAGTCTCTAGACGCAGAAGATCTGCTGCTATTGCAGAGGCTTCCTGTGCAGATGTAACGGAGGTCGCTGGCGATTCTGCGCGCGGATTGTGGCATTCACAAAAGGGACTCTCAACATTGGATATAAGTAGAAAGCTGGTTGAAAAGCGATGCAAGGAGAATTGCACCATTACTCCTGCCGGGCGCGATATTAGTCCTCCGGAGCTCGCCCCAGATGCGGGCAAGTATGAAAAGCGTGAATCTTATGTACCTCGACCAAAACGGCCATGGCATGACACGTATATTGAACTGATGCGAGACCCCAATCTTCCGGACCTTCGTACACGTGCGCGAAGGGGAAGGCCGCCATTGAAAAACATTAATGGTACTGATATGGGTGATAAATCAGGTTATGGTAAAGTTGTCGCCCTGCATAGGCGTCTCGTGCACGAGAATCGAGATGAGGGATTGTTTAGGAAAGTGGAATCGAAAGTAATACAGATCGAGAAGCTAGAAGATGAACTAGCCTTGATGCTAAAGACCAAATCACCAACCCTCGCCGATGTATTGAAATATGCAAAGCAAATTCATGAGGAGAAGTTGCAAGTTGAGGAGCAGCTCAGCTCGCGCAACAGCGTTGCACTGTCGCGTTTTGATGCGCTTATGGAAGAACGAATGTGTTTCGATGGTATTCGGTCCGGCACTAAAACACCTCTTCTTCTCTGGGATAAACGCCCATATGAGCCGCTTGATGTCGGTTCCGACGAATTTATGCCCAACGGCATGTGCTCGGTCATCGATTTTCAACCGAATCCCAATTCAACCCCCATCCAAACCCAACAGCAACACATCAAAAATAAAACACTCCACAAATACCATTTGATGATTCGAGCCTACCGCCACCTCATGGGCACTATCACAACACACAATCAACGATCTATTGGCGATATTCTGCGGCCAATGTTTCCCGATCGCTCAATGTCCAGTTTGATCCAATTAATCCCCAGCCTCGCCCCATTCGCGAGGCCAAAAGTCTTTGAAATGATCTATTCAAAAGTAAAATTGAAGCACTTGCTATCCTTTTCCGAAACTGCTGATGTCGACAAGTCCGTCCAAGAGGTCGCACCAGAACTTGCACAATGCGACGAAAATTGCTTCGATTCAGTCAAGGTCCGACATTTACCGTCCTATGTCTTGTGGGACATAATTGTCCAATGGCAAGAATCGTCCGGAGGCTTTGAGGCTGAATCAGATATATATAGAGTTCTCGGCGGTGCCCGACTTAAACGGATGGAAGGAGAAGTTTTCGCGACTGGCTTCGCGTAAAATCGGAATAAACGAGCCGAACTCTTGTTCCCTTGCTGCCATTTTAATGTCATTCACAATCCGCGGGCTATTACATCTGATGAAAATTGAAACCTACTGCCACCTTGCAAGTGAGGGAAATAACTTCAACAGTCAATGGCATCAAAACCGACATGGCCAATCTCAGACGCCTTCCTCATTATGGAGCCCTTCTCCATGCTATTTACAACAGATGAAATTATATATAGATCTCATGTCTTCGTCCATGTACTGAACAATTTCATTTCCTGTATTATATGTAGTAACTTATAGAATTACCACAATTAGACCAACAACAAACTATCTTAAAAAAATATGCATCCTCCTCTATACCATTCCAGCATAATGGCAACAGTACGTTTTTGCCTTCAGTCCATTTTTATATTAGTGCCCGTGCTTGTGCTCGGGGAAACTTGACAGGACTAAACTCAAAATAAGCTTAAATTTAGAGTTTGTCACTTTAAATGGAACTAATCATTCAACTGCACCATTCCTTCTTTGAATCAATAAAATGAATCACAGAAAGTATCAAAAAAGAAGCCTCTCAAGCTGCCCTTTTATCTTAATTTCAAATTTCAAACCACCACACACTGATTGATTTGAACCATTTCCTTTTTTTTTTTTTCCCCAACTCAACCAACAACATGATTTGCACTGCATATAATGACAATGGATAAGGGTTTTCCATAAGAATCAATTATGTCTACGAACGCATGAACCTCCCAATTTATGGAAAAATTTCTTTCTCCTTATCCAGCGAGCTGAATCCACTTTGCCAAGAGACTTAAATCAGCAACAAACGAACTAGCATTGAGAACAGAAATCCCAGAATGACTAAATGAAAGACAACAGACGCCAGTACTCCGTCAACTTAGAATATTAAAGAGAGAGCAACCCAACGCACAAACAAATATAAGACACAAAGCGCGAGAGCGTGATACCTCTACCAGCCACGCCAGCTACTTATCCCTTCAAAGCTCTTTGCTACACGTTACCGCTAAAACTCCACTTCCCACCTAAACGGAACGAACTGAGCTATTCCCATCTGCAGTGCCAGCCGGCCACGCTCGGAAATCTGCAGGATGTAGGCCCCAGAATACATAGGACGGTGCAGACTTCGTTAGACCCAGTCCCAATGGCGCTCGTGGTATAATGGGAACGTTGAAAATAGGCTGTGGAGCATCAAATGACGACCAAGATGAGATACTCGTTTCTGTATCGGTGTTACTTGCCAGGGAGTGCAAAAGGTTCTGGTCAGCGCTGTTGTAACTATTGTTTGACAAGGAGCGGCAAAGCTCGGGGGCCCAAGTAAGTGGTGTATGTGACATTGATGTTTGTTGATGAGGGGAATGATGTTGCTGATATAGGGGTTGATGTGAATAACACTGGATATGGTCGTTTCGAGAGAAGGGGAGGTTGAGGTATGAGAATCCCTCCTCGGCACCGCCATCGTATGTAGAGTTGGACACACCCGCTGGTAAAAATAAGGGTGCATTTGGGATACCCTGCACACCTCCCTCCCGGTTTACTTCCCTGTCTGCAATCTGCTCCCCGTCTTCATCCCAAACGACATTCCTGTCACGAGTCCCTCCTTCCTCAGTGTACCCGGACGAGTTTCCTTCTCCAGTAGAACATCCATTATCAACTTCCGGGCCATCAGCCACAGAGTCATACCCGTTTCCTCGATCAAGATGGAACATAACTTCCCCTCCCCTTCTCTCGCTCGCATCCACCTCCCATCCAGCCCCAGCTGCAGCTCCATCGCCCGCCTCATAGTTCCGTCCCCCTACTAATCTCCACATCGGCAACTGATACACTGCTCCACCCCACTCCGCAAAAACTTCATACTCTCCAACTCTAATAGTGGATTGATCATTAACGGGGCTCATATATTGCTGCCACTCGGGCCTAAACCAATCTTCCCGTCCTATTCGAAGCCAGGCTGGAAGCTCATCAAGAGCGATAAGAGGGACGGCGAGGCCATTCTCGCGGTAGAAATAGAAAGCCGGGATTGGAGAGATTTGCTGGGTAGGTGGAGGCAGAGCTGGCGAAGGAGGCTTTGATGTAGTGGATGTGTGAGGGGAATGGGCGTGGCCGCCGATATTTTGGGAGGAATTAGGCATAGGTTATTCAGGCTTGGAAATTTGCGATGGTGATGACCGTGGTGTTGCTGGCGACATGAGGGTGGATCGTCATAGGAGTTTCACCGTTTCATTTTAGGGAAACCCTCTATGTTGCTGGCCCTGGTATGGCCATATAGAGGGTCGTTTTCCAAGGGAAGTTCTGCTGCTTTGGCACAATCCACTGATGTTTGGGAATATAAACGGATGATATCCTGGGGAAGATTAAAGACAGTTTCGCTCCTCTAGAGGTGGAAGCGTCCCTGGACAGCTTTATACGGCACGCAACCTCCTAGTGCTTTGAAATGATAGCAATGGCATATCTAATATCAGATACAAGAAAGCTGCGTTGGTAGCAAGCGGAGAATGTTTGGCGGAGAAGACTGCCAATGAATGCAATGCCCTGAATCCCCGCTCAGGAAGGAGTCAAAAACAGCATACCCAGGATGGGAAGGAACAAGTTCAATGGTATTTTATTTGGAGAAACCTCGTATACCGTCCCATGTTTGCACAACGCAGGGCCAAGGAAGGAGCGGCCACCGAAGAGTTAGAGAGTATATATTTACATATCAGGGGGCTATTTTGAAGATCTCCATCTTAGTAGTCAATGTGAAATGGTCAGCGATGGTGAAGAAACAGGAAATGCGTATAGTGCTTTGTCATAATGGTGAAAGCTACAAATGCAAAGGGATATGGAAGAAAATCATGCCGCGTATGCTCCTCTCAACTAAGCGTGTTGTTTTAGAAAGAGCTTCCACACAACAAAATATCTTCGCTAGGCGGTATTTTGAATAACTACTAGAAGTTAAATAAAGCTAAAAGGGGAGTAGAAGAGAAAAAGAAATATCAACCCCCGTCCAAAAAAAACACCATCGCTCATGAAGGAAATTAACAATACATTAAGTAATGTTTAGAATGGATAATGGAAACGTGAGGTCGAGGATGAAGGAGGTTTCAAGACCGAAAGAATAAGAAAAGAAAATAAATAAGCATACATGAAGGTGGGTATGTGGGAGAATATGAGAAGAAAATAAAAGATCGTTAGGAATTCGAATAAACAGAGTAGTGTGACGTCGGTTTTAGAAAGGTGCGGGGTTTGACTGCGACTCGAACGCAACAAATCCATCTCTCCTATATTGACTACCTCTCTTCAGGGTGTTGCTATTACCTTTCCTTCCTCTGCCCCCTTGCATCCATTCCCCTTTTGCTGAGTTTTCATCATCATCTAGAATTATGGTATGTATATGTGGTAATAAAAACATCAAAATTAAAATTAAAATCAAGAATAAAATGGAGAATTAGATATGTCACTTATGCGGGTCCTCGGCAGCAATAACATCCTCAATCATCCGGAGCCAGTCAGCCGGCTTGATTCTGGTCTCCGGATCCTTCACAACAGCCGGAGAGAGTATCTTTTCCACGATGCCCCCTATTGGCAGCCTCGAGCCATGCACGCCAGATCTAACATGATCCAAGACCCGATGACCCTCCCTCGACATGGCCAACCGCTGCATATTGCTTGATCCGGGATGCAGCAGCAAGTCGCCGGTGACAGCCGCGAGCAGTGTGACCGCCAAGGAGAACACGTCGGAGCCCTTGGATTGGACCACCTCGGTGGATTTCAGAGATTGGACCGTAAGCAGTTCAGGTGCGGCGAAAGGCGGTGATAGGGCTGACAGTGAGGGGCTGGGACCCTGTGGGCTAAGTCCGGTGGTGGACGGGTCGTACGAGGACGTAAAATCTATGTAGAGGGGTTCATAAGGGAATAGATGGTCTTTTGCGCAATCACTATCGGACGATTCTTGGGGTCTGAGCAGGATATTTTGCGGCTTGATGTCTCCATGGACGATCTGGGCACGCGAATGCAGCCATTCCAAGCCGCGGACCAGCTTCCTTGCAAGCGAAAGCCACTGGGGCATGCTGAGGACCGGATCAAACATCGTTTTGGTCGAGAACGTTTGTCGCGCAGAGGCGGCTTGATTGCTTATATATGTCGAGAGACTGAGCGGGAGTGCCGATAGGACAAGGGAATTGGACGAGGAGATAAACCCGTGGAAGGGGACTACGTGATGCTCTACGCCAGGGATGGTAGAGAGCCGGGAGAGAAGTCGCGCTTCTGCAAGGAGGATGGAGTTCGCATCACACCGCATTGGAGATTTAACTGCAAGGTTGGAGCCTGAAGTAAATGTCGATACCCTTCGTTGGGGTGGTGTCGGCGGAGAGTCTCGAGGTGTGCGGATCCAGCGGGATGTGGCACTGTAAACAACACTCCAAGCTCCGCAGCCATACTCGATGAGACTGCCTCCCGGATCCCTCTGGAGCTCTAAGTCATATGCAAATTCCAGGGGTAAATGTTGCTGCTTTCGCAATGAAGTCTGGTCCCCTTCAAGCTTCCCATCATCTGGCGCCCTCTGAACAGATATTTGGTGCTTTGGCGGGTTTTGGTCACCACTTGATGCTGGGGTATTAGTAGGTGTGGTTGGTGTTAGCGGCGGTGTTAGCGCGGATAAAGGACTTGGGGCAGATAAACGTAAAGCGTTCGGGGTATTTGAAGTCGTTAGGACCAATGGAGTGGGCGGTTCTTTGTTCGACATCATAGGTAGAAAGGGGCGAAACCGGGCCAGTTAATTATTTCCGCAAGGTAAAATTTGTATGCTTATTACTATTTATTCAGTTGCACACAACCCGGAGACTGCAGAGGAGGTATGATATAAGGCTACAGAATACCGTCAAACGTTGGGATCGTGCAGACAGCGGCGGGAGACAAGAGGGCGGAGTAGTGGCGGGAGGCGGCAGCGCGGAGGCGGTTTCCGCTCCCTAGGGGCATGAAACTCTATCCTAGAAATACTTCATCATGACGTTTGCTCCAGAAGAGAGTTCTCGTTCGGGATTTTTTTGCGGAGCTGGAAGGCAGAAGCAGAGACCAGTCGAGGCGCATAACACCATCCATGCACGTTGTGTGCAGTGGCTAAAGGGGAAAGGGTACCGTCAGCCGAGAACAAACATGCCGACACAAAGAGAGGAACATATTTGGCCAGGCGACAAATAACGATTACTGAATGAGGGAGAGAGGAAGAGGAAAAGGAAGCGCAGAAGACGAAAAATAAAAACAAACATGGGAACACGCCGGATATTCGTGTCATCATCAGTCCCCACAAACCGACGATGGTAGATTTGTTGCGCTGGCCTCAACCCATGGTATAGCCAGCTTGGCTCTGGCGCAGACTTCCAATTATGCTTGGCCTGTATCAACCCGATCAACCCTGTGGTGCAACGGGAGCATCTGCCATCACGAATCCCTGCGTTTAGTGGCGACACCCATGGGCATGAGGGATGTGTAACTTCTCCAGGACATAAAAGCTTGAAATATTCGAAATCGCTGGGTTGATGGCAATTGCATTTCGCGCCATGTGTCGTTTATCATCCTCGTGAAAAGCACAAGTACTACTTCGTACATAGTATATAATTAGAATGAAAATGAAGGGTGGAATCATTAAATAAATATTCTTAAAAAATAACTAAGTTACTAGTGGCAATAGTAAAATTCCACACAACATCAAACCCTTTAAATTGCAATGATAATCAAACAATTTTAACCCTGCAGAAAAATTGCTTTCTCTTACTCTCTTATAACCTAGTCTTCTCCAATTGTCTTCTTTGTGCTAGATAAAGGTTTATTCAGACATTTATTGAAACATGCGATCTTCAACCATGTCTGTCAAGAACACTGCATGGAAAAGTAATAAAGCCCACCCCAGATCTAAAAGGACATTAGCTAGCTCAGCAAGGAGCAGCTTAGCCAGCGGCACCCTACCTACCGCTTCCAATCATGCCCATCCATTCGCCCACCTGGTGGAATCTTATCAGCATCAGGCCTCATCGAACCATCCTTTCTTTTTAGACGAGGGCAATCTGTTCATGTCAACCTCTCTCGAAACTCCTCGCGGACACGCCACGCCTCTTAGTTAGTGATGGGATTGGCATTAAGAGGCGATATAGTCCCCGTTCTGCTGAAATAATATCATGAGTAGATTCGGGTTTGCAGGGCTACTTGCGTTAAATTGTTGGAGAAAGATTTCATCACTCCTTGCAGATTAAAATTGTATCAGACTACAGATGATCCATCTGAGAGAAGGGTAAGCTTTCTCTCTCGTTTTATCTCAGGAGTCAAGCTTCGGTCCAATTTTCAGCTATCAAGCCATCCATAGTTCCGGATGAATGAATCGATGTAATTGCCTATATGCGTATATGTTTCTATGGGCAGTGGCAGCCCTATGTGGAAACAATATGTCAATGGGAATGGTACTCTTTTGTTTTTGATCTGAGAGAGTAAAAAGGGACAAATATAAGTACAGATTTGAAATACAAATACAAATAGCTATAGAAAAAACAAATTTTTAGCCGGAAAATTTCGAGCCGTTCAACACAATCACTTGTGTATTGAACAAATAAAAAAGAAGAAAATGATCCCTCGAGGCTTTGGCCGTTTGTTGCCAAAACATACACTCGGTTGTATATCTTGGGTGCAAGATAACTGCATCCACGGCCCTCTGACTGGAGTGGTGTGTGTACTGCTAACAAGATTCTGTCGTATATCCACTGTTGGATTCTGTCGTATATCCACTGCTAGATTCTATCGTATATCCACGGTTGGATATTTCCTCAAACACCCTCTGGTCCGCTCCGGCTTCGAGTAACATTTCTATTGTTTCCCGCCGCCTTCGGCTCATCATATCGGACCAAACCAGCTGATTGTTTGGTCCCAGAGTGAATTTCAGGCTCGCCTCTTCTTCTTCCACGAAATCCTCTAGCAAAAGAGTCGCAATCCGACTGCAACCCCTGGATTTCGCTCTAACACTTACCCCAAACGTAACCTCAGCGCCATAGGCAAGCAATAACTCAATGATGGATATGTCCCTGGAGGAGACCGCTTCCCCCAAAGCCGTTTGTCTGGCTTCGTCGGCGTGGTTTATTCTTGCTCCTCTATTAATAAGGCCTCGAATTATATTCAGAGAGCAACTGCGAACAGCAGCGTATATGGGCTGTAGGCGCTTTAGGGAACAGTTGACTGACGATCTAACTCCAAGGAGCAACTTTATCATATCCTCGTTGTTGGATTCCGACGCAAGGACTAGCGCCGTAGGGCGATCAGCATCGTCATAATCTTCATCATCAGGATGTGCCCCACTCGCCAGTAACAGCTTCATCAGTGTAATCTTGTTTGAAATTATGGCGTAGGCAAAGGCTCCCTCCATATTGGGCCAAATTCTAGCCTGTAAGGGGCTGATTCCCAGGAGAAGAAGCTTCTCCACGGAAATAAGATCGTTGGATTCAATAGCATGGGCTAACGGCGTCTGCCGATATTCGCAATCCTCGTGGTGAATGCCAAAACAGTGGGCATCGTCAAGCAGCTTAAAAATTTCTTCTCTGAAAATTTCCTCTCTGGTTGATTCCTGTTTAGCAGCCAGAATATAAAGTCTAACGTTGTGCACGAAATGTCCGTACAAACGGGCGTTATTCTCCAACAATAATTTTATGCAGGATATATACCCTTGGTTGACCGCTTCGTAGAGAAGCTCATGCAAATTATAGGTGACCATATATTCATAAAAAACAAGGGAGGTTTTGATATCGGCTTTGTCAAGCTTTTTCATGTTTTCGTCACTTTCCATCAGGGCTCGGAATGGTGCAATATGGCGATCGAGAGCCTGAAGTGCAATTGACTCGATAGAAAAGCGAAGCAAGCAGTTGACAGAATGAAACTTTACTAAGAGTCGTCGAATTTCAACGTCCCAATTCCCTAGAAACTGTGTCAGTACAGCAACTCATCTCATCCAGTTACAGCAGTACCTGAAAATAGATCTAGTTAAGGAGAGAATTGCTAGAGCCTGATTTAACGTACGGCAAACAAGATAACATCGGCTAACAGCTTTCAAGCTACCATGAGTGTCATCGCAAAACGGAGGGACCAATTCTCTGAGAATGAGACATTGGATTTCGTAAGGAAGCGCATGCCACTCCATCGGGGAGCTCGGCGTCGCTAGGCAGTAATGACAAGAATGGTTTGCATGTACTGTACTTCTATACAAGAGTTTCGTTTCGGAGAGTACTAAGTTTGTGAGCGTGATTCGCTTTTTATGCAGACAGAGCAAGTAATTTGTGAAGGTGGGCTATAAATGCCTATTATATTCCTTCTTTAATCCCACAAAAATTTAAATTCAGAAAAATTTTTCCTGAATAGCGAATCTATGAATGTGTATGCATTTAAATTTAAAGTTGAACAGTTACCTCAAAAAGAATTTCAAGATAACTATCACAAACCGATTGGGCCGTGCGAATACGTGGCACATATCCAGAGATCGCCACTCGATCAGGTTTCCTCAATCGGGCTCCTCTTATTGAAGTCCCTTAGGAACTACATAGACTCCGAGCTGCAGGAAATGCTCTTGCGAGTGGCAACACGGTCAATACTATGCTATCAAGCTCGCATCCACGGTCTGGGAGGGGTTGTTTGAAGCAGCTTGAATGACGCGCCATAGTTATATCTGAATATCATGCAAACGGGCTCGGAGTCATGGTTCATGAAGTGACGCTCAATGTATGTACTATGCACATATGGTGTCATTTTGAATCTTTCGTGTCGCATTCTCGGTTCCTGTTTGCTTCAAGCTCGTGCGTGAAAAGATCAGTGCGGAAGTCCATTGTGTGTCAATGGAAGGTTGGAACAGTGTTCTCTTGTATAATGTTCAATTTTTGATCTTGGTCTTCGGCATACAGCCTTAATGGATTTCATCCCGTGATAACTCATGCCTCAGCCCTTTTATGAACCTTTAGTTCGAATTTGATGTGATGAGATGTAGAATGTATTGTGTAGATGACTCGTATTTATATTTCCCTTTTTCCCTCTCGGCTTTTCATGCGCCATGCTCTTGGTTAGCCACCATGAATTCGTCAATTTGTGGTCATCAACCGACTGCAACCATGGAACTACAAGTACAGCTTCCGTAGCTTTGATTGATTGAACATGCATCTCCATGTTCTGACCAAAAATAGCAAGCCATTCGAACATTGAATTCTCCTCTCTATCTGTAACCTTTCCAATCAGCCAAGCAGGCCCTTACCGAACAAGGCCCTTCCCATGTCATCCTCAAACAGCTCCATCACTCACGTTCTAGTCGTCGGCGCTGGCGGTGTGGGAACTATGGCATGCGTGGCTCTCGAAAGATCGGGACGGGCGAAAGTAACAGCAGTCCTACGGTCCAACTACCGCCATGTCCTGGAGCATGGCTTCAAAATTGATTCAATCGACCATGGGACATTAACCTCATATCGGCCCAGCACAAGTACGAACTCTATCTCTCTCTCTCTAAACCCCTAGGTCCCAGACTAATATAGCTAGATAGTTGTAAATGCGGTACCGAGAGCTAACCCAGCTCAGCCATTTGACTACGTCGTTGTTACGATGAAAAACGTCCCTGAAACATGCAACATTCCAGAAACAATCCGGCCAGCGGTGACTCCAGGGCACACTACTATTGTCCTAATTCAAAACGGAATCTACATCGAGCCGGAGTTTATCAGGGAGTTCCCCCACTGCGTGCTGCTCTCAGGTGCCAGCTATATCGGAGCACATCAGCGAGATGGTCATATCATCCACGATGACCACGATCGCATGGATCTAGGAGCCTTCCGCAATCCTTCCCTGGATATCTCACTTGAGAAGGCCAAGCTCCAGGAGTTCGCCGCTGTTTATACTGCCAGCAATGCTGTCGATATCAACACAGTTGACGAAATTGTGTTCTATCGATGGCGAAAGCTGTTGTGGAATGGCTCCTTCAACCCCCTATGTGCCATTACCCAACTAGACAGTGCAGCGATCCGGCAATTCGGGGGTGATTACAGCTTGATCCGGCCTGCCATGGCGGAAATAATAGCAATCGCTCGTGCCGACGGCTATGTTTTTAAAGACGACGTTATTGATGAGATAATGGAAGCAACTCCGATTCAGCTCTCATTCCGGCCAAGCATGCTTGTTGACGTGGATAAGGGTAACCCGGTTGAGGTGGAAGTAATATTGGGCAACGCCTTGCGGATCGCGAGGGAAAAGCGTCTCCAAACCCCAATCCTGGATAATACCTATCGCTTTCTAAAGCTGATACAAGCTCGACTTCTGGCGGCGCGTGGATATATTGCCGCACCGAAAGAACTGCCTACCCATGATTTCATATGATCTGACTTAGTAGAGTTTGTGTATAGTTTTGCGGGTTGAAGTTTGTAGATAATAAAATGTCCGTATATTTCGAGACTAATAGCTCACAGCTCCGCACTGTCTCGGAACTGAAGCACTCTCCCTTCTCGCGCACAAGGATGAAATAGAGTATTAGAGGATAAAGGTGTACATTCATTGCCTTCGAGTTGATGAGATCGCAAGTTCGCTGCTGACTATTTAAGTTTAATCTTTCATCATCGATACATTCGTTTGCTATTCTTAATATCTCCATGCTTCGAGATGCAGTGAATATTCAACGAGCACCTCGACAGAGACAGAGAATACAATCACTCACTCACCCTTCCTTTCCTTCAACATCTGTAAATTACCCCGCGAATATGGTAAATGCGAAAATGCAGGCGCGATGTCGATTCCTGGAACACCTTCCTCCACAAACCCGCAAATACAAATATTCAGGGTTCTAATGCTTGGAAGAAGCCGTAAATGAAGAGTGCAGGCGCTTCCTAGACGAAACCCGAAGTCCTTGCATTATCTTCACAGATTTCCCCCACCCTGAAATTAGAAATCATGAAGAAAGATTTCCAGGAAAAGTCGACTACAATCCTACTCTTCAACTCTTGATTCTAACAACGCTTTTCACCCCTCACGAAGCAGCCACCGAAGTATTTGGTTACCGCATTGCGGCCAAAGCTGATGAGATGGGTATCTTCGACGCTCTCGCTTTCAAAGGCGGCACACGTGTAAAATCTCCTGGCAGAGAGAAGCAGTCTGGCCGCTCATGGGCTTCACAGGATCTTCCACCAAGGAGATCTTACCAATGGCCGACCGTCGCGCTGGAAGTGGCCTTCTCGGAATCACGAGAGCGAGTCAAACAAGATGTGGTATAGTGGCTCTACCGGCCGGGTGGCGACGTCCGCTCTGCCATTTCAATCGATATTAAAAGACGGAGTGGCAATATTTGGTCTCAAATCGTTGGGAGAATGCCTACCGGAGGCCGTCCCCATCCAGCACCCAAATCCATTCAAGAAACCATGAGATCTCGAGGGAAAGATGGCCAACCGCCATGCGTGACTGGGGATGACCTGTTAATTCCTTTCCAGCGGATGATGCTACGACAGCCTCGACATGGTGAGGCGGATTTTATCTTTTCAAGGGCGGACTTGTCGAGTGGCAAGTAATGGATAGCGTGTGATCCTTGGAGAAGGAGGATTGGGAGTGTTCAATTTCTTTATTTTGCTAATCTTCAGCTTTTCTTTGAGGTTATCATAGTGTTTCAACATATGCACCAGTTTAGGGCACAATTCCGTATTTGGTATAGTGTATGGGTACGAGTCCTCTTAGTCCATGCTCTTTCTATCATTTCTCAATCTTGGAGCTCAACCAAATATTGCCTCGCCTGACGGCCAAGATTTAGGCTGCAAGCTCCAAACCTGAGGCTTGCCAATTGGTATGTAACATGCTTATCATAGAACATTCTAGCCTAGACTTTTCCTCCACACCTCCGTACATCTCGTTTTCAGTACCCTATGGCGCTGTTTTTTTATCCCAAGTGTTAACAGGTTCGTCTCCTGACACCTCTTAACTAAACTTGAGGCATCTATATCATGCCGGAAGTCTTTTGATATTTCCACCATCTGGAATAGAAATATATACCTCTCCTTGTCTGGGATCCAGGCACCACCTCGCGATTGGTCGGATTTGTGACTTGGGCTAGCGTGGTCAAGCCAATCAAGGGTGGGGAAATTGGTGGAGGTCAGGACTGTATATGGACCTCCACAGATATGATGAAACTGAGCATGGACCCCCATGATGTGTCTACGCTGCGTACGAGTGTAATATGGACGTAGTATTATGTCGACCGAGACCTACACGTAGCCATAATTTATACAACGAGGCATACACTCTTTCTTTGTTTGTTTTGCTTTTCCTGATCCCTGAAGCGCAGCAGTCATAGTATAAATACTATCATAATTTCTTTTGACTCTGGTCACATCATGTCCGGGTATTGCACACGGGCCTCACTTGTACAGCACATTCACGTTGGTGGCCAGGACTGATTTTGTGCGCCTTGACGACTCCGACCACTAGCTTGGTGAAACCATGCAACCTACGCTGGGTAATTGTAATTGAATAGTCAACGAGGGCCTACAGAGAAGAGCTTTATATGACATGAGTTGGTGGTTATGGTGGTGATGTAGCCGAGATCATGGCGAAATAAGTTAGCACTGAATGGAGGATGGGTACTACACTTTACACAGTGGCTAGCCGAGAGAAGAGGACGAGCAACCAGCAAGTATACTAATCACCTTAACAGAGCTTAAAGGAGAATGACTGGTTGTAAAGGATAATGAATAGTAAAGAACATTGATGAATAGACAAGTAGAACTAATAAGCCATCAGTGAGCATTACGTATCCGCTTGGATAAAAGCCTATCCTACCCTTCCACGCAATGATAAATCTCTATTAACCTCATCAAATGTCAAACATTCCCCAAGGATAGACAAACAGTAAAGTAGAAAAGCGAAAGCCCCGACCGTCTGTGCCGATGTTCAAACTCTTAGCTCGACATACTGTATTAGCGGATGGGACTGGGAATGGGAACGACAGCTGTAAACGGGAGGATAGATTGTCGACTCCTGTAGACGAGGGCCGGGTCTATGAAGGCTGGATACTTTCCATGAGGCTCTGAAAGAAACAACATAATAACAGACAGGAGCAGACAGGATGAGAGGATGACATACTTCTGGTCGCCATTACTTAGTCTGGGGGTCCTTGGTGTCCCAGTTTGAGGGCTGCCTTTGGGCTGGAGGTGTGCTCCCCGGCTGGTTGTTACCATCTGGGATACGCTGTGGACATTCTTCCTGGTGGTTTATGCCTTCGCTGGGTGGAGAGTTAAGGGAAATCCCTTTCGTTGGGGGGAAAGCCACCACGTCTGTTTGGACGTGGCCGCAGGATACGACGGAGGATGACTTGGAGGACATCTCAACGGAAGGGGGATATGGGGATAGCTTTGGAGAGAGCGGTAGAACCTGAACTTTTGATAGGATATCGATGGAGTAGAAAACAAGAAAAATGCCGTTGATGAAGTTAGAATGAGAAAAAAAACTCAGGAAGGAAGTTCCCACTGATTGTCTGGCTTTCAACCCAAATTTATAGTAATGAAAATGACCCTTCCTTAGCCATGATAGTAAGTCCCGGCAGAAGCCAGGAAGCAATATCGTAGGAAGGAAAGACGAAACGAGCTTGTGAATGCTCCTTGCATGATCCTTTGATCCTCTATTCATGTTTTATTGGTTAAGTTCGACCCACGACGGGTGCGAGCTGATGGCAAAAGGAATGAAGGTCGACGTGAATCCAACCAGGAGCTTCGAATGATCGATATTCACCATTCTGGGTGTTGCCGGTTGTAAGAAAAGCTACGACAGCCATCTCACAGCCATCTCGACTCTTGGGCGTCCAATACGCTAGGCCTGTTGAAGGAAAGCGTCAAGGGCAGAGCACGGGGGAGGGCACACTTACAGGCTGCCCCGGCGGAGGGAGGCACGCTCTGCATGCGTAGCGTGAAGCCATCAGACCCGGGTTTATCTCATGGAAGAAGCCGGACAGGAAGCTGACGGAGACAGCTGCTCTCCTGCGTAGGAGGTCTATCTGGAAGGTCCTAGACAGGTAACGTGATAGCTCAACCGGGGGTTGCACCAATAAGTGACGTGTCGTGGCGTTATGCGGCCAATTAGCATATGTCGACGGGTATAGAGGGGGGACTTGCAAGTGCAATAGGCAAGAAAAGAGCAGGGCCGTGTGTGTTAACCCCAAATTTGCGTGGACAGTAGTTAATGACTTTCCTTGGCACACAAACACTCGTGGACGACGCAGAATTTCCACTTAGGGCTGGATGATCTAGGAAAACTGGAGAAGAAACATGGTCCTTAGATGAAAGAACATCAAGGCTTGACTGAGGGTGCTCTTCGATCCAAGAATGTTTGTCGCAGGTTGGCCAGAGACGTGAAGGAAGTGACCAAAGGAAGTGACCACAGGACAAAATAGGAGAAGAAGAGGGGAAGAAAGGCTGATGATGATAGAGGGGCGGGCAGGAGTATATAAAGGGGGAAATCTTTGGCCCGGCGAAGGGGACAAGAGGGGAAAAAAAGAGGAAAGATGCGCCCAGTCACAGGGGCTGGCCAATGGCATGCATCGGATGGCTCACATTAGGGGAAGTTTGCCCTAAGATTATGCTGGGAAGCCTGACTCTCTGCAGCCCCTGGCCGTTCCTGTAGCACTCAACAGCAAGGAGGAGCTAGCACGGGGGGAGAGCAGATGAACGACGCAGAAAGGTGATAATATGCCTATATGAGGAACACGGCCATCGAGTAGAACTCTATCACTGACAGTGAGGGTTCGGCTAAGTACCACGGAACGCTTCCCCCTGAAAATCCCAGCAGAGAGAAACAGATCCAACACGGAAAACATTGCGGGCATGGGCTGGTGATCACCACAGCAGAAACACTGTCTCCGAGCAAATCTACCACTCCCAAGCCACAAGCGATTGAGTAGGTATAAACCCTCGCGTCTCGAAGGTTCGTGTTTGGCAGTTCGTTGGGCGAGGAGGCCCTTGAATATATACCTTCCAGCTGAAGAAGGACAATTCATCCCAAGTTATTTCATTGGTTTACTGGAGGCCAGTTCGGCAACGAATTGTTTTCCATTGGTTATTGTCTGGCTGTGACTATTGGGCCACAGAACCAATGCTATGTCTCTGCATGGAGTCCTTTTGGAAGCACATGATATTTCATCCAGATCAAGCGAGCGGAAAATCTGACGTCGTTGAAAATATCAGCGGTTGGAGGTGAATGCCAAGAGACGATAGAGTTTTCGGTCTCACAATAGCATTCTTCTTTCAGTTAGTTTCGTGGATCCTTTTGAAAAATGTTGGCTTGTTGGCCCGACTGAATGTGTGCATCTGCCGATATCAGGGGCTTGGACGCAACTTCGCGTGCCTCGATATATGTGGATTTCGGATCTTTCCATGAAGACAGATATGGCTGATCAACCCCTTTCCTCATCAACTTCTTCAGAAAGAATGGAGAATGGTGACTGGTTGGTGAGATGAGTACTCACTGGGACATGTCAGTATTTATATATACCCAGTACCTATAAGTACGCGTTCTTTGACTAACAGATTGCTAGCTATTCTTTCTACGGGGCCTGATGCAAATTGGTACTTGGTTCCATTTAATAGGCATTGCCCACTTGATTGTTTGCAGGTGGAATGCCGGAAACAGAACATTTTGAGAATGCAGATGACAAAGAAATATCTCCAACACTGTGTCATGGCACAATGAAGGTTCTGCGCTTCAATCTGACATTTGAGAGTTGGGTGGAGAAAACGAGTCTCACACAATGGATGCGTTGATGAGTTTGCTGTCTTGAAAATATCCTTTCAAATGGGATTTTCCTGAGCTACCCCATGAGTATTTTATTTCCGGTTAGATGTAGCAGAGCATCAGTCCAATGCATATCACGCTGACATTTTATCTTACATTTCTTTTTGAAAGTGGTGCTATCCCTGAATTCATTACTTTTCCGTCCGGCTTTCATAATGACCTTGCTAAGAACTAAAGCTCCAAGGTGTGAAAATTGAATAAATAGGAAGAAAGTGGTAGCCTAGCTTGTGAGCATTCTTCATCCTACAAAGAAAAGCTGATAATAGAAGGTATTTACTACGAACCTCCATCAGCGGTGCATGTATATCTCAATTCTGAACAGAAGCAAGACTGCCTTCTAATTCTTTTCTTAAGAAAATGGTTTTGGATTCTAGTTGTGTCCTATGAAAACCGAAGAGTAAGACACTTAGCATTCGCAGTTGACTCCAGTCTGCTGCTTGAAAAAAAAAAAAAAAAAAAAAAAAAAAAAAAATAGGGATTTCTTTACCTTCTTTATCTCATTCGCTCTCATGGGTTTGGTCAATCACTGCGGCTTTGAAAATCGATATTGGTAGCAAGTGAAAACGCGATTAACAGCTTATCAGATATGAGTTGAAAATATAATCTTTAAAGTTACATAAGAACGTTAGACAGCTTCTTACGTCTACAAATTCAGTATCTCCGGATTATCACCTGACATTCCTGCTGGAATAGATAAATTTTTACAGATTGTAGGCTAAAATGAGGAGGAAGAAATTGAGGACATTGGTCACGGAGAGAGAGATACCTGGGATGCTACCTCAGCCTCTTCGTAGCACCCTGTGCAAGGTATACTTTCCACACATATAGTTGAGTTTCCTGGTTTCAATTGCCTGCCATCTCAGTGACTCCAACAGACGCATACGTATACACATATCATTGTTGGAGAATAACATCGAAGAGCGTGTTCTATTATTTTGGAGCAAAAAAAAAACATGAAGCTTTCCAAACAACCCCTTTAACAATCGGAAGAACTAGAAACCGGCAAACCCATTTTATGCGGCAAAGGAAAAAGTAAGGAAAACGATAGACATCCATGTGGCAGCGTTAGGATAACGTTACGAGAAAGAGATGCGAAATAAAGGAAATCAGAGGCTATCACTTAAAAAGGTGGAGGAGGGGGAGGGGCTGGAAAATAGAAGGCGGAGAGAAAACATAAAATGAAATGAGGAAAGAAATTAACAAAAACCAATCCCAACATTTCCCCTCCATATCGACAGAAACCACAACGGTGTTAAAGCTCCTCTGCCACCGCACTTCATCTCCGCATCTGCTCCCGTTCGACCTCGTACTTGAAATCAAAATACGGTTTATCAAAATGGTGAACACGCACGTATCCATCCTCTCCTCCAGAGGCATAGCCAGTGCCCAGTGGGTGCGCGGCGATCGTGTTCAGAGGACCGAAGTGGCCCTTGACACGGCCAATCTCGTCCTCAAAGATCTTGTGGTAGAAGCGGGCTTCGAACTTTCCTTGTCGGGCATCGGTGGTGGTGACGTCCATGGCTGCTTGACCACCGCCCAGAATTACAAAGTCTTTCTTGGTCGTGATGGCTGCGGTATTGAGGGGGGTGTCTGCTACGTAAGTTTTAAGAATGGCGAGGTTTCGGGAGGAAATTATCTAGCATTTTGGAGTTAGCTGCATAATGTATAGCAGATAAGTGGATAAGAACTCCAGCACGTACCTTGGCACTCTTGTCTTTGCATGCGGTGATGAAGTATGTTCGGTCAGGGGAGAATTGGATGTCGTTGATTTGGTAATCGAATTCATGAGCCTGGACGTTCTCAAGCTGCTCTCCGGTCTGTACATTGAATCCCACATGTGTTAATGAAAGAACTTCGACACAATAGACAACGCATATCCTGCTATTTATGGGACCGTACCTTGGCATCGTATTGGCTGACACTGCCATCCTCATGTCCAGCAATGATATATTTCGACAGGAAACTCCACCCAGCAACCGTCGCCTTGCTCTCTTCGCATGTGATTTTCAAAGAAGGCTCTTCGGGTTGATCTTCTAAACCATTTCCCTCCCCATCACCGTACCGTATATCAAATACCACAATTGTAGCCAGGTATCCCATCCGCTTCTCAGTTACACCCAATAACCGCTTGCCATCATGGCTGAACTCCACCCGCTTGACGGCCGTGGGGAAATCCCACACCTTGACGCACTCGCCGGTCTTCGTATTCCAAAGTCTGATGGTATTGTCTGCAGCGCCAGTAGCGACAAGAAGGCTGTTTGGGGTAACATCGACAGTCCACAGGGCACCCTGGTGTCCGTGGTAGGTGCCTAGTCGTTCACCATTTGCGGAGAACCAGGAGCAGAGAATCTTGTCTTTTGCGACTGAGAAAAGGAGGTCGCCATCACGGTTGAATTTTATTTGATTGATAGACCGTTCCTGTAATTTTATGCGTGTTAGCTACGGGAGAATCAATGTAGCTTGGGTGTCCGGGTTCGGAAAAGGAAGTCAGTCCATACATGGCCTTGAAGAAGAATGGGTCTCATATTGCCGATAGTAAAGGACCACTACTTGTGATCGCGATTCAACAAGTTATAGCAGGGTATGTAGCAAACACGCAATATGCTCGCTACTCTTGGTAGACAAGCTTAATAACCTGTGGAGTGGATGTGTCGTTGGCTGGACGGTGTCTGTTCACTCTCGTCTTCCTCCGATAATTTCGTCGCACACTTCGATTCGTGCCAAGAGTTAAGTTACCATACCGGCTATCTCACAACGGATTACCGGGATTATAATAATCCGATATATTTTACAGCCTAAATAACGTTTGGTCAGCAGGAGAAAAGCTTAAAAAAGGCTAATCTGGGAATTTGAGATAAAGAATTCGAATAATTAGAAGATTCAATTGTGTGGTGAGCGCTGAGTCAGTGGCCAAAATGCGTATTAATAACTTAGAATAGTCAGTTATCGAGGAGCCAAAAATAATTGACCGTAGATTTCCTTCCTCTGGAAAATATTGAACCCTCGCCCTCTGGTTGATTATTACCCTGCCATCTGGGGTTCTTTTCCCGACCGCCAGCAGTCACACTTAGCGGCGCTTTCAAGCTCCCTTGCCATATTCTGACTCCCTCTAGCCGCAGGAATTGGTTGTTGCTCAAAGCCCAACTCCCTCCAGGCCAAGGCCGAGGCGATGCTCGTACCCAGCAGAAGAGTGGTTTGTCACAAGTATCAGCGTTTGGCGCCCACAGTTGGCTCCCCGCGGCCTAACCTGCTCTCTGCCTGCCCCTCCATCCCTCGAACGCACACCCACCACGACACGAGATTGGCGACACGGTTCTTTTCTTCATGCAGCACCAGGTCCATTAGTAATACCCCCCACGTCTTCAAGGCTTCTTCGATTAGCAACCCCCGTTTCCCGCGAGTGCAAGCCCGCACGTCTGACCCTTTCCCGCGGTTTCCAGTGGGACGACGCTTCTTTACGTCCAGCAAATTCAATATGGCGGCGGTCAAGATTGATGGCACTACAATTGCCAAAAACATCAGGGAGCGCCTGAATGTCGAGATTCAGAAGTCACAGGAAACCAATCCTAGGTTCAAGCCTTGCTTGGTCATTTTCCAAAGTATGTGCTCTATTCGTTGCAATTGCATGAGCCGCATCTCATCGCATACGAGTTACCCTTTTTTTTTTCAACGGCAATTTGAAACTAACTGGACTTATTTCGCATATAGTTGGCGACAGATCAGATTCCAGTATGACATAGACTCTATTATTTTTTCCTTTTCTCGTTCATTTGCTAACAGCTTATAGGCACTTATGTGCGCATGAAGCTGAAGGCTGCTGAAGAGGTATATACCCCGCCTTCTTTTTTTTCAATTAAAATAAAAGCACACTGGCGCTCATTGGTTATCCATGACTATAGGCAAATATACACTGCAAACTCCACAAATTCGCTGAAGATATCAGCGAACCCGAACTGCTTCAACAAATCTCACTCGCAAACAACGACCCGAGCGTGCATGGCATTATCGTCCAATTACCTCTCCCAAGCCACCTTTCCGAACATACTGTTACATCTGCTGTCGCTGCGGAGAAAGATGTTGACGGCTTTGGAGCTGTCAATATTGGAGAGCTGGCCAAGCGAGGAGGCAAGCCTCTGTTTGTTCCATGCACCCCCCAGGGAGTAATGGAACTCCTTCGTACCACTGGAGTTGAGCTGGCCGGCAAAAATGCCGTGGTTTTGGGCAGAAGTGACATTGTTGGAAGCCCTGTCAGCTACTTGTTGAAGAGCGCGGATGCCACTGTCACTGTCTGCCACTCGAAAACCAAAAACTTGGAAGCCATTGTCAAGGATGCAGATGTCTTGGTTGCTGCCATTGGGAAACCCGAGTTTGTCAAGGGTTCGTGGCTTCGACCGGGCGTGGTGGTCATCGATGTTGGCACCAACTACATTCCCGACGCAACGAAGAAATCAGGCCAACGGTTGGTTGGCGATGTTGAGTTTTCTTCGGCGAGTGAAGTCGCGTCGCATATCACTCCTGTTCCTGGGGGCGTTGGACCTATGACCGTAGCCATGCTTCTTCAGAATGTGGTTAATTCCGCAAGAGCCTATTTCGAGAGGCAAAAGGATAGGCACATCACACCTCTACCTATCAAGCTTCAAAGCCCAGTCCCCTCAGACATCGCCATCTCTCGAGCCCAGCGACCCAAGCCTATTACCCAGATTGCCGCAGAGGTCGGCATTGAACCGCACGAGTTAGAGCCATACGGACATACCAAGGCCAAGGTTAGCCTTGATCTTTTAGATCGTCTATCTCACCGCCGCAACGGACGCTATATTTTGGTGTCCGGAATCACCCCAACCCCTCTGGGGGAAGGCAAATCGACCACGACTATGGGTCTCACACAGGCTCTTGGCGCCCATCTCAACAGAGTAGTCTTTGCCAACGTCCGACAGCCCAGTCAAGGCCCTACCTTCGGAATCAAGGGCGGTGCAGCTGGAGGAGGATACAGTCAGGTCATCCCTATGGACGAATTCAACCTTCACTTGACCGGTGACATTCATGCTATTACGGCTGCAAACAACTTGCTAGCAGCTGCTATCGAAACGAGAATGTTCCACGAATCCACGCAAAGCGACGCTGCGCTGTATAAACGGCTAGTGCCAGTCAAGAAGGGGAAACGTGAATTCCAAAGCATCTTCTTCCGACGATTGAAGAAATTAGGGATTTCAAAAACGGACCCAAACGACCTAACACCAGAGGAAATCAACCGCTTCGCAAGATTGGATATTGACCCGGAGACCATTACCTGGCGGAGAGTCCTGGACGTGAACGACAGGCACCTGCGTACCATAACGGTTGGCCAGGCTGCAACCGAGAAAGGCCACACTAGACAGACCGGCTTTGATATCTCCGTTGCAAGCGAGTGTATGGCCATCCTCGCCCTTAGCAATGACCTTGGCGACATGCGAGAACGCCTTGGTAGAATGGTGGTTGCAACCTCTAAGAACGGCGATCCTGTCACTTGCGACGACATTGGCTGCGGAGGCGCCCTCGCAGCGCTGATGAGGGATGCAATTAAACCAAATCTCATGCAAAGTCTCGAGGGAACGCCAGTGTTCGTCCACGCTGGGCCCTTCGCCAACATCAGCATTGGCGCCAATTCCGTCGTGGCGGACAAACTCGCCCTGAAACTGGCAGGCACAGAGCCAGACGAGGACCACGAGGAAAAGACCGGGTTCGTCGTCACCGAAGCCGGCTTCGATTTCACCATGGGCGGTGAGCGGTTCTTCAACATCAAGTGCCGCTCGTCAGGCCTCGTTCCGGACACGGTGGTCATCGTCGCCACCGTCCGAGCCATCAAGGCCCACGGAGGCGGGCCCCCTATCGCCCCCGGCGCCCCGCTGGCTGCAGAATACACGACCGAAAACGTAGAACTGCTACGAAACGGCTGCGTCAATCTGAAGAAACAGATCGAGAACGCGAAGCGCTACGGCATCCCCGTCGTGGTCGCCATCAACAAATTCGAAACCGACACGGACGCCGAGGTAGCCGTGATTCGCGAAGAGGCAATCGCCGCAGGCGCGGAGGATGCTATTCCCGCCAACCACTGGGCGGAGGGCGGTGCCGGAGCCGTCGACCTAGCCAAGGGCGTCATCATCGCCAGCTCGAAGCCCAAGGATTTCAAGCTGCTGTATGATCTCGAGGGCACGGTGCAGGAGCGCATCGAGCGCATCGGGAAGGAAATGTACGGCGCCGCGAAGGTGGAGTTCAGTGAGCTTGCGCAGAAGAAGGTCGACTCGTATACCAAGCAGGGCTTTGGAAACCTCCCAATCTGCATTGCGAAGACGCAGTATTCGCTCAGTCACGATCCGAACCTCAAGGGTGCGCCGACTGGCTTCACCGTTCCAATCAGGGATGTCAGGCTTGCCGTTGGTGCGGGATATTTGTATGTTTTTTTTTTCCTTCCCTTCCCTTTCTTTCCTTCTTGGTTTGGTTTGTTTTGATTCTTCAGGACGGGCTGGCGGGCTGTATACTCCAAATTCAAAGGTGTATGAAACTAACGAATATATATCTTACAGGTACGCACTCGCCGCTGATATCCAAACCATCCCCGGCCTCCCCACTGCGCCCGGATATCTCAATGTCGATGTTGATGCCGAGACTGGCGAAATTGATGGTCTTTTCTGAAATAGAAAGTTTCCTCTTGACCTAGATGAAAGAAAGAGCTCTTTATCTCCATTTAGATTTATATATGAGAGAGAAAAGAAAGAGGGAAGAGAAAGAAAGAGGAGAAAGAGAGAGAGAAAGAAAGAAAAGAGGAGTAAATTAGAAACACTAAAAATTTCAACAACCGACGACGCATAGTCCAACCCATACATAACCACACACCCCCTCCCTGTCCCCTCCTACTCTTATCCATTCAACAGAATTCCAGGGTGGGAGGTTTTTTTTTTTTTTCGAATCTATCTGGTGGGAGAAACATGCGTGATGCCTCTTCTAGAGTTCCCCTTTCGATCTCTATCAGGATTTTTACATTCTTCTCCTCTCATACTCTCTCTCCTTCCATTTCCCTCTCCGTAAAATGTTGTTATTTTTCCATTGGCCCCTTTCCTTCGAAATTGGGCATATTCGTTCTTGGTTAGTTAGATAGGACCACACCTGCGTATGGATGAGGTGTAGGTCTGCAAGGAAACGAACGATAGAGATAAAAAAAGATAGAAGCTAGTTAAATCAAATCAAATCAAAAATCACAAACAATAGGAACCTTCCTTTGTTTCTTTCCTTCATCCCTTGAAGATAATCCATGTCCATCTACGGACGGAGCAAGCTCTGCTTCCCGCCCCGCTATTCTCCCCCCCCCCCCCCTCCCCCACGAAGACAATGCATGCCATGCAAGCATGCAATGAGACTGGTATGGTAACCCGGTCACGCAATGTCCGTGCTCATGGGTATCGTCTAGGTACAGTACCATGGCAATTCCCAGTCAGGGGCGAGTGGGGGAAAGGGGTACGGGGGTACGGGGGTAGCCGGCGGCGGAGGAGCCATTATATATGTATATATATATATTCACTCAGCAGTATCGTTTCATTGTTAGGAGTTTTATCATGATTGTTTGGGGTTTGATGGAGGAGAGTAGACAGTACTACTGTACACAGTATGGCCAGTAGTGTGAAGATAAGATTAGCCGTGAGTGCATCATGCATGTGCAGGGAAGGGGGAGGATCCTTGGCCCGACGACCTGCATGGATGTATGTGTGTGGACAAGTATATGTACAGTACAACGGCAGAAGGTATCACATCACAGTCCAAGCAGGAGTAGTAACAGGTACGTATGTATGTATATACCCTCACCCTTCTTATCTCATATCTGCAGCCAATGTCACCCCGCCAACCAGCGTGCCGCGCCGTGGGGTGCCCGGGCCACTCTCCGCCAATAGCAGCGTCCAGGCACCAGTGGGGCCTCGGATCTAGCGGCAGCCTGGCAGCCGACGTCATATATAAGGTTGCATCACGCGGGGCTTGGCGTAGCCGGATACAGCCTAGCGCGGGCTGCCCATTCGTCCGCCAGGCTAATCAGCCAATGACAGCCAATGACAGCAGGCCAGCCGAGGGGCCGGGATGCTGAATCGGGACAGTTTTGCCGGTGCTGGCCGCGAGGGGACGAGGAGGAAGAAGGATATGAGGTAATAGTAAGCACAGTTGGAGTGGAGTGGAGGGATGGGGGGCAAGTGTCTGAAACTGCTATCCGTGTTGCTTCTTCACCCTCTTCCACTTCCACTTCCACTTCCACATCCATCGCTGTTCACTGCTGCCCTTCTTCCCTCACGGTTTCGAGCTTGAGCTTTGCGAAGTACCAAACTCAAATACCCACCACAAGTCGGGCCCGAAAAAGAGATAAAATTACAAAAACACTAGAGGGAGGGGAAAAGACAATCAGAAGCAGAGGAGCCAGCCAGATTTTACAACCAAAGCAAGAAAGGGAGCTTGACGCAGCGTCAAGCGATTAACTGACTGACTGCTGCTGATTGCTGCTGGTGTCAAGATCTCGGGTGCTGTCAATCTGGAGCCATGCCTTCCCTCCGGCCCACTTCCGTTCGTACCCGACTCCCGCTGCCCTTGGTTTCTTCCTCCGCTGGCGCACTCCGCTCTCTATCCGTCTCCCAGCGTGCTTCGTTTGCTTCTTCCTCCTCCTCCTCCTCCTCCTCCTCCTCCGCCCCCTTCTTGCGCCTCTCTTCTGGTCTGCCAAAACCGCCATCCTCCTCCCTCCTCGCCAGCTCCACCCAGAGAGCCTTCCCAGCGGCGATCCTCCCTTCAACCTCACAGACACGCAAAATGACAGGCTCCCGCCGGAAGATCAAGGTGAAGAACCCTGTGGTGGAATTGGATGGCGATGAGGTATGTTGCTTTTTTTTGGCTTTTCTTTTTTCTTTTTCTTTTCTTTTCTTCTTTTTTTACGAGTGGGCGTGAGCATGTGCATGCCCCCTCCACACCTCAATTCTCCTCAACCCCACCACGTACAGGGCGACATAAAAGCTACGCGCAGCGTCAATTCTGTGTAGTGCTGGGTATGATGAATGTATTGATTTGGCGCGGATATTATCCGTGTTTCATGTTATTTTCATTTTCATTTTCAATTTTATTAGGAGTTATGTGCGGTGGTGTCCAAAGCGTTGAACTGTGCTGGTGCAATTCTTCTTCATTTGGCTTCTTTCTTTTTCCATCAACAAACACTGACCGAGAGATTCTCTGAGCTGGCGACATAGATGACAAGGATTATTTGGCAAGATATCAAGGATAAAGTAAGCACGATACTCCCTCCTGATTTGCTATCAACTTCCAAGAAGCGGGAAGCTAACCTCCTTGTCACCTTCCAGTTTATACACCCGTCAGTCTGATTGACCCCGTCTCTATTCTCTCCCCCTTCTTCACCGGCAACCGCAGCTATTTGCCTCCGGTTGATCTCTAGCATTACTAAGGCCGATGGTGTTTCAGATATCTTGATATCGACCTCAAGTATTATGATCTGGTATGTAGAGATCTCCTTTCCTTTCCCTCCGAATCGTTCTCGTGGACATGGTTTGCTAACATGTATGGTCTTCATAGGGCTTAGAATACCGTGACCAGACCAACGACCAAGTCACCATTGACTCCGCAGAGGCTATCAAGAAATACGGGGTAGGCGTCAAGTGCGCTACTATTACCCCAGACGAGGCCAGAGTCGAAGAATTTAAGCTGAAGCAGAGTGAGTCCGCCGCCCTGACCCTTTCATTAGCTCCCGCATGTTTTCTTTTCGACAGCTACTAATTCACTTCTTCTCTAGTGTGGCTATCTCCAAATGGGACTATCAGAAACATCCTGTGAGCCTTTCCAAATCTAAATTCAATCTAAATTTCGCTCGTTCGGATAGCTAGAAATCAGCCTCGCTAATACCTCTCTAGAGGCGGAACCGTTTTCCGTGAACCGATTGTGATTCCTCGCATTCCCCGACTCGTACCCGGCTGGAAGAAACCAATTATCATCGGTCGACATGCATTTGGAGACCAATACCGGGCCAAGGACCTCGTCGTCCCCGGACCAGGCACCCTCGAGCTCGTCTACACGCCGAAAGGCGGCCAGCCCGAGCATATTAAGGTCTTCGATTTCGAGGGCGGCGGAGTTGCCATGAGTCAATACAACACAGATGATTCCATCGCCGGCTTCGCGCATGCCAGCTTCAAACTGGCCCTCTTAAAAGAAATGCCCCTGTATATGAGCACCAAAAATACTATTCTGAAGAAATACGACGGGAGGTTCAAGGATATCTTCCAGGAGATCTTTGAGGCGAACTACAAGAAGGACTTCGATGCCAAGGGCATCTGGTACGAACATAGACTTATCGATGACATGGTCGCGCAGATGATCAAGAGCGATGGCGGTTTTGTCATCGCCATGAAGAGTAAGCCTAACCCACACAACCGTCGCTTGGCCCATATTTACCTTCCCCACCCCCCCAACACACACATACATTTAACAACCTCCTTCCAACAGACTACGATGGCGACGTCCAATCCGACATTGTTGCCCAAGGCTTCGGCTCCCTCGGCCTGATGACCTCCACCCTCACAACTCCTGACGGCAAGGCATTCGAATCCGAAGCCGCCCACGGCACCGTCACCCGCCACTATCGCGAATACCAAAAGGGCAACGAAACCTCCACCAACCCCATCGCGTCCATCTTCGCCTGGACCCGCGGCCTCATCCGCCGCGGCCAGCTCGACAACACCCCCGACGTCGTCGTGTGGGCGGAGCAGCTGGAGCGCGCGTGCATCGACGTCGTCGACGAGGACGGGGTCATGACCAAGGACCTGGCGCTAGCGTGCGGGCGCAAGGATCGCGCGGCGTGGGTGACGACGCGAGAGTATCTAGAAGCGGTAGAGAGGCGGTTGCAGAAGAATCTGGCGAATGCGAAGTTGTAAATTTTTTTATTTTCTCTCTCTTCACATATATTTCTCTGATTTCTGATCGATTGGTGTTTTTTTTATTCCTCTTTCTATCTTCTTTTTGCTTCGTTCTCCGTCCCTTCTTTCTTTATTTTTTCAAACCCCCGTTTACTTGCGGGAATTGGATAGAGCCAGTTGATGATGTTCTGTTTTGGTAGCAGGTAGCAGGTTATATATATACACGTGGGATCTATGAAATGAGCCCTAACACCACGCCCGAAGTCCTCCTTCCCAAAAAACAAACCCACACTCTCTTCTTTATCCAACCCAATCTTCTTTGGGCCAAAATGCACACATGATCCGCACGAAGAAAGCACAACATGTGCGCGTGTGCGTCCGTGTGGTATTTTTTTTTTATCTTTTTCAATCTTTCTGTCATAAATCTCTAGCTCGCTTTTTTTTTATTATATATAGAGATAGAGATAGAGATAGATATCCTATTCTATATCCGTATCCACAAACGATACGGATTAAAATACGCAGAGGTGGGTAGGAGGAGAGAAAGCTCCGAACCTATTTACCATCTATGTGTGTAACTATCATTTCAAATCAGACTTTGTATTTTTCCAAAAAGGGGACGGGGGACGGAACCCATCAACAGATTCTCGAAGGCTCAAGAATATAATCGTAATCGTATTAGTTAGTTATCAAAGCTATACATATATATATAATGGACCGTGCTTCAACCAAAGACATTAACACTCAATTCATTACTGGATTGATAGTTAGTTAGCTTGTTGGTTTAAGGTAGGCTTTTATTTATTGTTATTTTATTATATATAACTATATATAGATAAGATGGATGGATGGATGTATGTATGTAACTATAATTTAAAAAGATTTACAGATTTACGGAACCATGAACTGCAAATATTCACATTAGGTTTTTCTTTTTTTTATTTTTCCCGCATTCCGCCTTTCTCTTCCCCCCCCCCCCTTCTCTCTCTATACAAGGGAACAAAAAGGGCAGTAGGCAGTACAGTACATGCACAACGAAAAGACAAGAAAAAGAGAATCCCAAAGGAAAGAAAAAAAAAAAAAATCCCATTACCTCTATGAACGGCCAACAACAACATCAACAACAACCTTTCCACGGCCGAGATTGCCCTTCCATCTCCCCATCCCATCCCATTCAGCATTCTTCATACACAAAACCGAGTAGAGAAAGCATAATTTATGTTTTTGAAGGGGTCTAAACCTCGGCGCCCGCCCCCACCTCCCTTCTCTCCCTTCTTCTCCCTTTCATGCAAATGCAAGTCTGCACAGAGAGATATGATTTAAAGCCCCCATACACCGCACACCGCACACCCCATCCCCATCCCTATCCCCATCCCCTTTCCCTCTGAGACATCGTTCTTTATTTCGTCACGTTGGCAGGCGTGTACCAGAACGTCGGCCTCACGAATCTACAGGCGGGACGAATTCGGGTGCGAGAATATATGTGTTAGTGTTGGTTAAAGTTAAAAGGGGGATTCCAGCATGCGGGAACACCAATAAAAATAAAAAAAACAGCAAGCTTCCTCCGGACAATAGCTCATTACATATATATATATATGCAACTTCCCAGCCAGCCTGCGGGCAAAGCATACATACACACACACACACACACACACACACACACACCCATATATACAATAATACACAAGACATGACTGAAAAAAAATGCGCGGAGTCCTGATTGTTGGAGTTGGAAAAAAAAAAAAAAAAAAAAAAACGCACCGGTCCGAATGATAAACCTTAGTCTCCGATCCCATCAGCTGCTTCTCCCGCGCTTTGTCCGCCAGGTGTCTGCGGACCTGGTCGCGGTCTTCCTCCGCCTGGAGGAGCGGGATTAGGTGGATGCGGGACCACATCTTTTCGCGACCGAGTTCACTGCGAAGGATTAAAAAAGACGATAGGAATTCGGGCGCTGGTTAGCTCTCTCCATTTGTAACGCGGGGAATGTAAAAAATGGAGGCCCGGGAGGGCGGGCAGGGAAACCTGGTTTATCGTATGATATCAAAGGTTTTTCGTGTGTGGAGGTGGTGGTGGTTCGATTCGATGTCCCTTAACTTACTTCTGCTCCCGGATTCCCAGGAATACCTTATAGAAGCCGTATGCCATGATCAGGTGCATGCCGACGAGGTAGTAGACGGGCCGGAAGCCGCGGACGGGGAGGTTGCGCTGCAGTAATTTTTTTTTTTTTTTTTTTTTCCTGGGTCAGTATGGCGCGCGTCATAAAGCTGATATGGCCTCCATCTTGCTATCCTGACTAGTTGATGCTCTGGGGAATCTGGATAGAGGAAAGAGCCAAGGCAGGTTCGGGGAGCGGGTTCGATGGCGCACTGGCGTACCTTATACTGGATGGGCTGATAGCCCCCAGCGGGGGGCATGTCCTGAGGCATTGTAGCGGTTCAATTGGTGGGTTGGAAGGTTGCTTCCAGGGACTATGGAAGTTGGAGATGGAAGGCGGAGTGAGGGTTTGGATAATTGTCACGTGAATTTGCTGACTGTCAAACATGAGCGCTGCGTGATTGGACAGGGCGCTTTTTTTTTTTTCCTTTGCTCAACATCCTATTGGGTTTGCAGGCCAAATCCGCGCATTGTTATATAGAATCTCACGTTCTGATGACCCATTTTCAGATCGCTTAACCAATATGGATGATAGCGAGCGGCCAAGGAAACTACAGAAGACCGCCCATGATATGACAAGCCCCGCGACTGAGGGGCTGATCTCTACAACGACTTCCATTTCTACCCCCGATGGCAACACAGCTGAGAATCATGGCGCGACCGAAAGCAACGGCCAGCTAAATATTACGCTTAAATCTATACCCGAGACAGACGAAAACGGCCAGCCGTTATCAAAAAACCAAAGAAAGAAACTTCTAAAACGAGAACGATGGGCAGCCGGAAAGGAATGGCGCAAGGAAAAACGCAAAGAGAAGATCGTAGCGAAGAAGGAGCGCCAGCGCGCTGCGAAAGCCCAAACAGCTGCACAAGACGGAGTCGATCCAGATGATATGACTCTGCTGTCGAGATCAGAGCGGAAGAAAGTCGAGCAGCAACGGTCCGTCCTCCTCCCGATAGCGTTTGTGATCGATTGCGACTTTGACGACCTCATGGTTGAGAAGGAGCGCATATCACTGGGTTCCCAGATAACGCGGTCGTACTCTGACAATGCAAAAGCGCAGTTCAGAGCTCACATGTTCATTTCGTCCTTTAATAAACGACTGAAGGAGAGATTCGATACTGTGCTTTCGAAACAATATACGCGGTGGAAGGGGGCTACTTTTATGGAGGAAGATTATGTGGTCGCGGCTGAACAGGCCAGGGAGCGGATGCGCAAGCCCACGGGGGGCAAAATGATGGGGATGTTTGCTGGCAAAGACGCCGTCAGCCCCGATGATGGGGAGGTCATTTACCTCAGCAGCGACAGCCCGAATACTTTGACGGAGTTGAAGCCATTTAGCACATATATCATTGGTGGGTTAGTTGACAAGAACCGACACAAGGGAGTCTGTTACAAGAGCGCGATGGGGAAGGGGATCAAGACGGCGAAGCTCCCCATTGGCGACTACATGCAGATGCAGAGCCGTTATGTGCTAGCTACGAACCACGTTATTGAAATTATGATTAGATGGCTTGAGCTGGGGGATTGGGGGACGGCATTTTGTTTAGTTTTGCCGAAGAGGAAGGGTGGTGTTCTTAAGGACAATCCCGGCGAGAGACATGATCAGGAAGATGATGATCAGGGAGCTGAAGCTGATGAAGGTGATGCGCCAGCGTCTGAAGTTAAGATTCAGGAAGCTGTTAGTTGCTCCTGACAACTTACGAGATTTAAGGGGATGAGATAGAAGATTTCCTATCCCAGGTTTACACCGCCCATACAATGCAATACCTTTGCGGCATGAACCACTCCGGGACAAGCAGGTATTGAGCAAGGAGATTGTTGTCATCTGTGCTGCGTAGTTAGAACAATCTTTGGAACACCGAATCTTTGATTATATAAGATTCGCATAACTGACCCCGGAAAAACGTAAATGCGAGACTAATGCCACAAACAACTTTTTTTGCCACGACCGCGAGCTGGTTCTGCCTATTTTGCTTTGTGATTATGACGCAGAAAATAAATCAATTAAAATCTCCAGTTTCTTCACGTCACTGCCTTCTCCACTTCCACCCTCCCCACAAAGCTCCGCGAAAAATTACAATTTGATTTAGGTGATGTGTATGGCTTCGCAGAATACGCGCTTATATCCTCATAGCTTTTCAGTTAGCAACCGTGCACTCTTGGTCCTTGTGTGGGACTTGTGAGCAAAGATGTTCATGCTCCGCAATGGTTTGTTTTGACGTCTCTATGCCAGCCCCTCTCCCCCCACCATACAATCAAGCACTCAAACCGCGTAGCAACCACCCCCAGCTCCCATTCCAGTATTTCCAAAGAATAAAAATTCTTTACCTATTTTCCCATTGCATGGTGTTACGGATTTTTTTCTTCTCATTGTTTTTTGAAACTAATATTGACTTATTTTTAGTGAGCAAGTTTGTCTTTGGTGACACCACGAAGGAATCCATAATCGAGATACCCCAAGGCCAACTGTATATCGTCCGACCACAGTCACCAAAAGGTTACTCAGAGCTTATATTCCGCGACGCTGCAGCTAGCATCCGACGCACAGGCCAGAAATTCCAGTATCAGTTAGTGATCCAGCGAGCTTACGAGGAAGGAGAGGAGGAACTCGTAGGTGACGAGGACGAGGAAGATCATGAGGGTCTGGGTGGAGATAAAGACGAGAAGACGTTCTTGCTAGACGAGGCGCTTCGTTTCCGATCCCAAGTACGCGAGGGAGGTGAAAAGGTTCTGGCTTGGCGCGACCTGAGTGGTGACCCAGGAGACCTTTTCGAATTCGTTTGCGACAGCTCAATCACTCCAGATAGAATTTCTACTTTTTGTCTTGCCGCTGTTGAGTGCCAGTACGAGCGGAAATACCGGAAGAGCTCGCAGAAGACGTCAGATCTTCAGGAGTTCTACTTCGACGACGAAAGCCCCATTCCCAAGGCTAGCCCGGTCGCGAGCCCCACCCTATCTCGATCCCCGACGATGAGGCAATCGACCACGGCTATGGCACGGGAAGTACCTGTGCCAAATGAGAAACCATCCGAATCTACGCAAGCGCCTCCTTCCGCTGCACATCCAGAGGCCACTGAGATCCTTGCGAAAGAAAATGCGGAGCTCCATCTCTTTGATTTTAATAGCGGAACATTCGTTCTGCAAGATCCCTCTGTCGTCGCAACCGTCTCAGAAATTGGGAAATGGCAGTACTGGCTGCAGGTAAGTGGAAACGACCGGGATTGGTTGGGGCAGGCAGTACTGGCGGATATAAATCCCGTATTCAATTTCGAATATCTCTCATTTATATTCAATCATTACACGGAAGATGGCTCGGCATATTCGTGGCTTCTACGTTTCAAAGACCAGGCGGTCGAGGAGAGATTCCAAGAAGGTCTTATGCAAGCATTATGGGAGCAGCTAAATGAAGTTAAATGGGCGAAATCGGAAGAAAACGATAGAGAGTATGTGCTAGAGGCATTTAACGATCTCACAATGGAAGATGTACCCGAGGAGGAAGAAGAGGAGGAGGAAGAGGAAGAGGTTGCTGAAGAAGAGGACGCAGGCCAACGCAGCGAACATTACGATACGGACGAGGAGGACGACGACGTCGTCACCCGAGATGAAGACGGAAATGTCAACTCCCAGCTCGCTGTTGGGTATAAACACGATCGATCCTATGTTGTTCGTGGATCAAAAATAGGCGTCTTCAAGCATACGCCAAACAATAATTTAGAGTTTTCTACAAACATCTCCAAGGTCGAAACACCAGGAGGAAAACTCTTCAGTCCTAAGAAAGTCATGCTTCATTGTGAAGATTCAAACATGATTCTTCAAAATGAGCAGGATCCTCACTCTTTGTATAGAATGGATCTTGAGTATGGAAAAGTTGTTGATGAATGGAAAGTTCACGACCATATTCCCGTAACTTCGTTTGCCCCTGAAAGCGTATGTGTTCTCCTTTTACTTTTTTGTTCTACATTCTTGAACTTGTAACATTCCCGGCTTACTGTTCGCTTAGAAATTTGCCCAAATGACCTCAAACCAACAATTCGTTGGTATTTCCCGTAACGCACTATTCCGCATTGATCCCCGCCTCTCAGGAAACAAGCTGGTGCAAGCGGACCTCAAAGAATATGTCAAAAATAACGACTTCTCTGCCGCAGCGACCACAGAGCAGGGTTATGTCGCAGTTGCCTCCAACAAAGGTGACATCCGTATGTTCGATAAGTTCGGCGTGCGGGCGAAGACACACATCCCCGCTCTAGGCGAACCGATTATCGGTCTAGACGTTTCCGCTGATGGCCGTTGGGTCCTAGCTACATGCCGTACTTACCTCCTTTTGGTAGACGCTCTTCAAAAGGACGGTAAAAATGAGGGCAAACTTGGCTTTGAGAAACCGTTCGCGAAGGACTCGAAACCCCAGCCACGCCGACTAGGCTTGCAGCCGAACCATGTCGCCCAGTTCCAGCATGAGACTGGCAGTCGTATTTCCTTCACCCCTGCCCGCTTTAATACCGGCCGCGACGCGTCAGAGACGTCAATCATTACAGCCACCGGGCCATTCATTGTCACATGGAATATGAAAAAGGTGCTTCAAGGCCGCAAGGACCCGTACACGATCAAGAGATATGCAGAAGAGGTGAAGGCGGATAATTTTAAGTATGGCAGTGATAAGAATGTCATTGTTGCACTGCCGAATGAAGTCAATATGGTCGCGAAACAGACATTTAAACGGCCAACGAGAGAAAGTATTGCAGGACCTGTCCGACATAGCTCTGGGCGGAGAAGTAGCGCGCGTCTTGGGAGGAATGAGGTTGTGAATAGCCCCTATTAACCACGTAGACCCAGGCAAGTTTTGCAACGATTTGGGCTGTGTTTTCACCCCGAATTATTTGTTTGTGATCCTCTTTTTTCTATCCCGGCGGCCAGCTGAGCGTTCTTGTTTCCATGTTTATCTCAATAGCTGCCCTCCACTCCTTCCTTTCAGTCGCTAGTAGGCGTTCATGACGGGAGGTTAATTTCTGAATCCGCACGTCTGGGCATTTTCTTGACAACCTCTTGATTCTTAAATTCTAATGTCACCTTTGCCTCCTAAAACATTTTTTTTTATTACTTCTACCCCGTGAGATTTTCACATTGGGTACTATTTCCTCACCATACATGCCCTCCCCATTTCCGAGCAAGCCATGCGACTCTCGTTGGATGCTTCAGTCCAACCACTCCGCTGTTTCGTTCAGCTTGCTTTATTTCTCTTGACGTTTTCTACTTGATTTTCTCTCCCTCCTGTCCCACATTGACATCCCTCCCTCTCATCCCCAATTTAGTCTCCCAATCTTTTTTCCACTACCTTTCTCTTCATGGGATTTACAAGGTCAGAAGGGGAGTGGAACCTTTTGTATATAGCCTACCAATTTAAAACTTTAGAAAGATAGTAACGGAATGGAAATGAACATTTCTTTCGATTTCTAGTTTTGTGAATCATACACGGAATAGGATCTCTCCATGCCTTGCTCTGTAGGTTTAGCCAACCTTGCTGCGTATGGTAGATTTTGATTGAAAAGATACCAGTATCGCCATATGAATATCAAGAGATCAGACAGCGCCAAGTGAGTGCTCCGTATTTGATCGGAGGTTTGAATTCCCTCTCGTTTGGTTTTTTATAGGGACGATCAATCGATCGTGATGCATGACTATCCACGACCAAAGTTGCTACTTGCTGAGAGGGAATTGAGATGTAAACTCGTATTGCAGATGGAGGAATGCTCTCCACGCCAGCCCTATTCCTGATGTATGTGACTATCGATGCATTTTTGCTTCGTCTCTTTTTGAATGGACAAGCCGCAATCGCTCGCTTGCGCTCGCTTATCCATCTTGAAAACGCGCTGTTTAATCCCTTGGGTGAATGTAATGAGATATATAACAGCTGTATATGACTTGTATAGATGAATTTCATATAATCTACAGCTGTTAGTAGAGAACAATTATATAGATGAAAATAATAAACAATACTGTAATAGTATTATAGAGTTAATATAAAAACTATAAATAAGATATAATTAAATATCAGACAGCTTATTAGACAGAGTAAAATGAAGTCTTTAAAAATTATGTAAAACTCTTAAAGAATCAAAAGTTGTTTTATTTTATGACTGAAATAATTGAATATACAAATCTACAGCGAAGATTTAACTTTTTAAATACTAATTTATAATTAACTGATAGCTTCTATTCTTATCTATTTAATATTGAATTGATTGTTGATGAAAGAGAATGCTAGCTTATCTATCTATCTATCTATCTATTTATCTGCTCATCTGCTTGAATGAATGATATCTAGCGATGATATTTAGCGATGATATTAATATCAGAGTTGTACAGATCACAGAGCTGGCTGTTCAAATGGATCCCATTCATGCAGGTGAATTTGTTGGCCCTCGGCTGCCTATCACGCACCGCACATATATGCCTCAGCTGCCTACATGCTAATACAACGACTTAGACGTCCCACAGTTTTTCTATAATAAAGAGAGAGAAAGAGATATTACTAAGCTCAACGGATAGTAAATGTATCCTGTTTTCGGCTTCAGTCTTTTCTTCAAAACGCCAACTTCAATAGGAGGAACGGATAAACGGAGCCAGGAATGGCGAATGAGCATTCCAGATAGTAGACACCATTGAAGTAGTGATATGGTTAGCTAGAGCCAATCGAGAAAGACTAAGTGAACACATTCGTTATGTCATGCCTGTATGCTCTGATAAGAATTCGATTGTAATAGCCGGAAAGGAGTTTGCAACATAAATAACCAAGAAAAAAAATAAAATATAGAATTGCAAAGCAGAAAAAAGACAAAAAGACAATAACCTTCATTCTTATATAAGTAACCCATTCGTGAATACAGAAGGAGTATACAACAAACATGGGATCCCGAGTTATTGTCATTAAGAAGTAACAGCTAAGTGAGCTTCGCCTCCCCTCCATCCGTCCAGTCCGTGAATGATGCTCCCGCTCTATGATCCGATGTACCAAATTTCAACGCCCAAAATATCAAATTTCGTTCCTTCGTCGCTTAGTGGTTCGTTGCCAAAAGTCGGACATGTGTCGCTGACACCCTTCTCAAAAGAGTCGTCGAGCCAAAGCCCATAGTGGCCATCCCTGAGCGAGGCAATGCAGGAGAAGGGTGTAGTTAGCCACCAGTTTCTCTTTCCCTACTCTTAAACCATGTATGTGATTGCCAATTCCAGAGTAAGGGAGGAGAGGGATGGATTTATATTTAAGTCTCATGGGGTGAAAAGAGATAATAATGCAATAAAAGTAGACTTACCCGCCCCCAACACTCAAAAACCCCGTTTCGCATAGAATCATATAATCATTAACCCCGCTATAGGGGAACGCCTTGAACCGTATCCGTTCCGGTGTGGTGGTTCCACTTCCGCTTCGGCTAGCACCTATTGAAAGGTTAGTCGGGGAATCTTGACCACCATCACCAAAGCCGCCATTGCCCCTATCATTGGTATCATCATGAGACGCACTCCGCTGGGTTGGTGAAAGATGTCCCCCATATCCGCTGCGGCTGCCATCCCCATCCCTCCTCTTCGTAGTATTGGCGGTGCTATCTGGACCATCGCCAATGCGTGATGGGCTCTCATAAAGCTTGGAGAAGGTACCGCCGTTATAATTTGAATCATCATCATTACTCTGCTCCTCACCTCTCAGCGTTGTACTCCTACCGCGGACGTGTGTTGTATCCGCACTGGGAGGTAACGGCAAACCCGCCAGTTCCAGTAGGTCATTATTTATTTCAATCAACGGCGGTTGTCCCACAGCCCTGCTACCCGCACTGGTAGTCATCGCCTCACGTCCAGAATCGTTTGTGGTAGTAGTCGTGGTGCGCTCTTGTCTGAATGGCACAGGATGCAGCACACTAGCCCTCCAAAGAAAACATTCCCCAGTCCCATAGTAATGCGAAGCGGGGTGTGGAGGGTCTGTGAGATACGCGCCAAACACATTTCCTCCGCTGGCCCCAGGACTCCGTACACCACCCAAGCCGGCGGCTGACGAATCCTTCACCACGAGCACATACCCCGCCCTCTGACTCCTGCTCCCAAAATATCTACACTTATCATATAGCGTCAACAAGCTCGACCCATCTCTATCCAGGCTATAAGCCAGCTGCCAAGTATCCAGTAGCTGCAAACGAGGGGGGACTAACAGCCGGATTTCCTCCGCTAAGGAGCGTGTGAGGAGGAGGCGTGCCGGGCTTCCAGCTGCAGTAAGAGTTAAAGGAGTGAGCGGCGGTGGCTGAAACGGGGAGGAGGTGCGGTGTGGAGGGTTGTAGACTTCGGATACGCTCATGGGATCTAAAGAGGGTTGTTTCGAGGCGGGGGGCCGTGAGGGTGTTGGCTCTGTGAGGCGTCTGTAGAGGCCTGAGACGACATGACTGACAGGATAGGAGAAGTAGGAAGCCGCAGATGGAGAATGGGACTGGGACTGGGACTGGGACTGGGATTGGGATAGGGGAGAAGGCGGGCTAAAGGAGTCCTCGGTCGCGGACATGTGGGATGAGTGTTTAATTGTTTGGTCAGTTCATGGAAATAGGATATGGAAAATGAATCGTGCATATATAAACCTATTTAAGTAGTCGTAGTCAACTGGTAATTGTATCTGTCGTCAAGGTACGTTTGGGTTTTTTGGGTGTGTTGTTGTAGGTTGGATGGGAGGAGGTGGGAATTCCTGACATCATCCGGCAATGCGGTTGTACTAAGTTAACTAACAAGCCCATAAAACCTATTTATCCGCTAAATATATGCATTTCCCTTGATCAAAAACCAACCATCAACTGCAGCAGTTCAACAATGATTATCTATGGATGGAGAATGCCGAGCTAAAAGTATGAGAAATCATCCATTTGTCTATCTCGATAGTACGCTTTTTCCAAACTTGGTCAAACCGGAGGACAAAGGTGAAAAGAAATTATTACAGTATATATCAAGCCCTCCTGCCTCTCCTCCACATCTTTGCCAGATCCATCCCATCCATTTGGCTAGAACAAATCCAGGATATCTTGGTTACTCTTGCTTATTGTCGCCCCGGACGTCGGAGGAGGCGTAGGCCTATTACTTGTTGACCCCGTAAGATCCAAGCCCGCAAAGCCATTCATTAGATCAGGATTGCCATTCTGTGTTCCCATGCCTCCACCAGAAGACAGGTCATCTCCATTTGGTCCGCTTCCAAATACGCCCATCAGATCTTCAAGATTGTTACTGGATGGTGGTGGAGCACCAGAAACCGGCGATTGAACCCGGACAGGTGTTCCGGCCAGCCCTTCCAGCCCAGACATGCCGCTTGGCGGCTCTTTATGCGCAGACGCAGGTGCTGTACCGTCGAAGTCGATATCTAGCAGACTCTCGATATTGCTTCGTTGCACTGGAGCAGCATTTCCGGAAACAGCGGCGGCGGCCGCCGCGGCGGCCAATGGGTTGTCTCGTGCGTTTTGGAGTTGTTCCCTAGGTTTAGAATATTAGCAGGGAGGCGAAATAGAATGAAATAATCAAGCAGATCGACGATGTATTATTACGTACTCAATGGCAGCTTTTTGGACAGCATCGGCGCCATATTTGCCTTCGCCAACGAATTGTTCTGGCGGCTTGTGATAAACAGAAGCGAGTGTTGATAGTTCTGTAAGAAGTTGCTCGAGCAGGGCAGGAGGTAGAGATTGGATAGTCGTAACAATGGGAGGCTTTTCTGATAGGACTACATTCTTTGCGGCATTTTGGTCGGTTGTATTCGAGAGGAGTCGCCAATATACATATGCCCGGTCTCTAATATCTGGATTGTCATTCTCAGCCGTTGCTGCCTGAAGGACCTTTTGGACGAGGCCTTGAGCTTTATCCGGCCGTTTTAGGAACAACTTAACCACAGCTGTTAATATTTGTAATTGGGTCTAGAAAGCCAATGATTAGTTGGATCCGGAATCGATAGGCAAGAGAATATTAAAAACAAACCTGCGTGAACTCTTCATTAAACCCGTCCACGAAGCCAGCGAGGATATCACCGGCATTGCTGATTTTGTCCGCATACTCGCCCACAATCCATATCAACGCTCCTCTAGCATTGGGTTCGTCCAGCTCGTCGATACACTTACATAGAGTAGGAATAATACCCTCATAGCCAGGATATTTGCGGAAGATGTCTCTGATGACGACAATGGCTTCTTGGACAACGTAGTTCACTTTGGTGTTAATCAAATCAAGTAGTGTGGAAACACATTTCTCCGTCGCAGTCTCAATTTTAATGGCCGTTTGCCCAATGGCTCTGACAGCTCGTCGGACGAAATCCATATCGACCTCCAGGGCATATTCCTTTAATTCTGCGAGAAGTTGATCTACATTCCGCTCATTTGCGATCCGGACCATAATGTCTAACTTTTGGAATTTGACGTACGGCGGATCGTTATACTTGCAAAAGAAGACCCGCAGCTCCTTGTCAAGGATGTTGGGCTTGCTCTGGAGGAGAAGGTCGATATTTCGCAAAGCAACGTACTGGACTTCCGGGGCGGAGGAAACGAGTGTAACTTTTGAGAAATAGAAAATATTAGCATCTCATCACAGAAAACATGCCTCCACTTCTGTTTCAATAAACACACCTAGCGGGGGAGCCATCTTCTTTAAATACGACCGAGCAGTTTCTGGATTAATTATTTTCATATGTAAAAAGACAACTTTCACAGCAGCAAGAACCACACTGGCATTGATATGCTGGAATTGAGGGGCAACTCGTTCGCATATATTTTCTGCTTCCTTCACATCTGTCGTTCTATAGTCTGCCAAACTAGTCAGAACGGACACCCTGCCCCATTCTGTGCATTCATTCAGGGCCATGAGCATTTTCCTCAATGTATTTGGCGTAATGTGTAAGGCTTTCGTTTCAGGAGCGGTTTCGCTGATCTCAGCCAAGGCGGTGACGCAGTTGGCCACGACCATGGGGTTTGGATCTCCAATCAATTCTTGCAACCTCTCTAAGAAACCGTTCTCTAAGCAGGTGGTAGGGCTGAGATCGAACAGTTTAGCTACACATATTGCAGCAGTTTTGCGGACATATGGAGACTCATCCCGCAGCGTTTTCCACAATGGCTCCTCCAAGTAATCAATCATTTTTTCCACCCGAATACAACCCATTGTACGTATGGCAAGCGCTCGTATGAGAGGGTTCGGGTCTTCCGAGTCCTGGACGAAGGTGTTCACGGCAAGGATACAGAGGTCAGGGTGCGATTTGGCATTATTCCTGGAACCCAGTAGTTGGCTGATTAGTACACTTAAAAAAAAAGGCACAATATCAACAAGAGAGAGATCCCGAAGTACGCACATAAGATAAAGGTAGACTAGCTTCTTCTGATCCAGATCATTGGTTGCAATGTTTTTAAGGACATCAGGGAAAAGCGCCGACACATCCTTGCCCAAAGTCATGGCCATGATGGTTTTCTGGATAGATTCTTTTCTGCAAACCAGCGTAAATTTTCATCATTCAATAGACAGAGTATAAATGCATCAGGTATGAAATACCTTTCCCAAGCATATTGAGATCTAGACATCCCTTGTCAGCACTGATTTAAGTGAACCTCATTCAAATCTCGTATTGTTGCAATAGACATACACAAGCCCAGCTCTCAGCTCAAAAGTTTCTCCCTTCCTGGGCGTAGCGAACGCGCCCCTTATCCTATTTACTGCCATCCTCCTAGATGGAAATTAGTGGCAACAGAGTTGCACCTTGGTATAGGAATGCAACGTGAAGGACCGGTGCGCGAGCTCTGGTGAACGGGGATAATAGCGGGGAAGAGCAACGGTGCTGTTTGGCGGCCGATTAGGCGGACAGTCGAGTGTCGTCCAGCCGTTAACTTAATTAGCAGACCGAACGCACGTAGAAATACGCACAGCTACGCCAGCACCGCTTCAGCTGGAGGGAAATGCGGCAGATCAAGTTTTGTGTCGTCTGTTCTAATGCGCGAGAAGAGAGTGCTCTTGTTGTCTGGTCTTGTTCATGGCCAAATGTACGAAGGTGATGGGGGGCAAGTGACTAAGTTAGCGTTGTGACAACCAAATGTCAGCCAGCTCTGCGTCCCGTTCACCAACAACGAATAAATCACCAACAGGGAAGAACGAAATATACTACAATTTAGTTTATGTTGACGGGACAAATCAGTTCAATTGAGTTTGCAAGGTTTGGCCCGTGTCGCTAAACTCGTTTCCGGCCAAAAAATGGTGGGTTCAGACCGATGTCTGCACAGCTATGAAGACCGTGCTTATTGAACCTCCCTCTCTTAGGCTAATCTCCCGAATCTACGGCGTCTCTTTGTCGAATCTCGAACGGAAGCTGAGGAGAATGAATACTCCAGAAATGCTGTATGTGCCGATTTTCCTTGCTTGAATATGTCATTACCATACACGAGCTTCCTCTACTGGCCTGACTGTTTCTCACCAATGCTAGTTCTACAACTTAGTCCTCTTCATATCCTCGGTCGCGGTCTTCAGTCTAGTTGCCCAGCGCATGGGCGGCGGGAAACCATATCAATAACCAACAGGATCAGAATGAGAATCCATAGGAAAATTTTTGGGAAAAAATATATATTAAACTATGAGGAGATCGCCAAGGCCATGCCCTCGTCCAGCACTGTCGCCGTATGTCATACATAGATCCATTTCGGCGTCGTAGATCATCACTGAACATCAGCACAGGGGAAAAAAAAGACTCATGGCAGGGATATATTTTCGTTCCATAACAATGTCTCATCATGCGCCCAATGAGGGGAATAAATGGCCAACAAGAAGAAAAAAAAAAGCTCAAGAAACATTCAATCTGTCTCCTCTCCATCTTCATCCCCAAGGAAACTAAGAGATTGAAAGCCCCTTGCAACCCGCCTTCGCGGACGTCCGCCATCTCCCGCTTCATCCTCGTCGGAAACGTTTGTACCCCACCTCTTCGCGCCCTCACGCACAACCTCAAGATCTGCCTGCAGCTCCCTCGCCTCCCTGATCGCCTTTGCCTTTTCAAGAGAAAACCGCCCTTCCATACCTGCATCCTTGAGCATATGGCGGAGGTGCTTCACCTTTTCCCGCGGCGTATCGTACGGGGCCAGTTCGCGAAACCACATCTTACGAATCCCGCACTTGACGAGTTGGCCTTGTAACCTCTTGATTTCCTCCAGGTCTGGATTAGCATCAGCAGCATCCTTTGGTTTACTGCTGCTGGCGGTGCTTGGCTTCGAAGGCTTTTTGGTTTTCCCTTGCTTCAAGGGCTCGGATGACTTGCGTCGTTTAGTTTTCGGTGGTGGCTCGTCGTCGATGACTACAGACATCTCACTTTCTGATTCATCATGTTTGGTCTCGCTGGGTTCATCTTTTTGGGTGGCTCCCTTCAATGATGTCCTTTCTGAAAGATTCTCCGATACGTCTATCACGTCGGAAAGTTCTGATGATGTGTCTGCCTTTGATGGAGCTGGTTTAGGCTTGGGAGTTTGCTTCACTGGTTTAGAAGCCTTGTTAGCTGGGTGTGCGCGCTTCCGTGATTTGGGTGCTTTTTCCTCTTCTTCCTCACTTCCTTCGCTTGGTGGTGATGACAGGTCCTCTTCAGATTCAGGCGGAGTTGCAGTTCGCCGTCTCTTTCTAGCAGGTTGCGATGCGCTGATCGACGCACGCTTTGGTGCCTGAGGTTTTAGAGGTGCCCGTCCGGGGCCTCCCGGTGTCGGTTTTTCTTCTTGCTCAGCGGCCAATTCTTCTTGTTTTGCCTAAAATTCCGCAAAATCATTTATTAGTACTGATGATAAACGATAAGAAGGCTCATCAATTCTAACTAAAATTTATTACTTCTTTTTTTTTTTTTTGAGACATATCTCTTCGCAAAAATTAAATATCGGTGAAAAGAAGCACCTACCGCTTCCCGCTTAATTATCTGATCACTCCTAGCCTTCCAAACTTCGTCATTCTTATAGAATCCCTCCTCTAGACCAAGCGCTTTCTCCGTCCTGGACCGGACGCGCTTCACAGTCAATTCGTCTAGGTTTCCCCTCTTAAATATAGCAGCGACGGTGTCGCGTAGGCCCTTCTCGAGGATCTCGTCGGAAGGAATGCGCCTAGAGGAAACGGAATCGGAGTCCGAGTCCGCGTCAGACATGATTGTGTATATGGGAATAGACCTGTTTTTTATTTTTATTTTTTTTCTCGCTTTGTGTCGGACTCGACGCGACTGGACGGTTATGGGCGCGTTAATAGCATAGATAAATATATGCGATAGTGGTTGGCGGTTACTATTGTAAGATTTTCCCTTGTTATAGGCCTGTGTACGGCTTTGTTTCCGGATATTCTTACAGTTCTTTCCTGTTGTTCCCTGGGTGTATAAAAAGGTGCTATCGCGGCACTAACAGGTTATTTGCTGAGTGATGGATGCCATATCCTGGGGATGAACAAAGTTCGCTGGGCTAACGACGTCAACGAAGCTAATGAGCCGCTAGGGCCGATCAAGCATGATTTCTCAGCATTGATTCCGCGTTTGCCATCTATGAATGATGTTATAGTATCCAATTTACATTAAAACCCTCTTATACTCATGTATCTGCCTGACCTAACATTCCGCGTTCGACAAGTAATTGCTGTTCGGCTCGCGCTCGGATCTATTCGCATTGGCTTGGAAATTTAGATCTACCAGCATGGCCGAGATACTAACGGAGCAACTTGACGCTCTCAGAGACGAAAACCGTCATCCTAAGAAATCAAGACATTCGGCTACGGAAGACGGCAAGCAGGAAGATGGCTCCCAGGGCAAAGCAAAGCTGCCCAAGGGAATGGTTTTGGGTAAGGACGGAAAGCCGTAAGTATCGAGATCAAGAGTTAGGAGCTGGTTGCTACCACCGTACTAGGATATCTTTGCACCGTCCTACAGTTATGCCTGGACGATCGAGTAGCTATACTGTTCAAAATAAGCTGATTAAAAACACCATACTAGCTGCCGCACCTGCGTCTCAATCTCCGACTGGCGCGCCCTCATGAAAAGCAAATCCCCCACCACCACTATCACCACTCCCGCCTCCTCCTCCGCTACAACAACAACGGCGACAACAACAGCTGCCCAGAACCAAGCCGCCTCCCTACCACCAGACTGTCCGCCCGACGTCGAAGCCCTAGGCCGCAGCACCTGGGCCCTCCTCCACAGCATGACAGCCACCTACCCAACAACCGCCACGCCTCAACAACAAAACGATATGCGCAGCTTCCTCGCGTTATTCGGCAAACTTTACCCTTGCTGGGTGTGCGCGGATGATTTTCGCGCTTGGATGAACGAGCCCAGTGGCGCGAATAGGCCCCGGCTAAAGACGCGAGCTGAGTTTGGCAATTGGATGTGCGAGGCGCATAATGAAGTTAATCGGAAATTGGGGAAAGAGGTGTTTGATTGTGCAAAGTGGGAGGAGAGGTGGAGGACGGGGTGGAAGGATGGGAGGTGTGATTGATGATAGGTTCCCCCCCCCCGGCCCTACCTCACTCTTGTTTTCTTTCTTTTCCTTCCTTTCTTTTTACTTTGTGGGTTTATGGTATCGCTGGATACAAGATTGGGGATTTTGATGAGGTGGATGACGATGTATGATCAACTAAGAGAAAGTGTCTCTTCGCGTTCTTTGTGATGTGTACGGAGACAATTTATGGGGGAATCGAAGCACTTAGCTCCTTTAAACCGCATTGTATATATTTTTACACTGGCTGGCGCATGCTGTTTGGTTAGTTCCTGGATGCATTGAGAGTTGGGACTCCAAACCTCTACTCACTTACAAGCTAATTTAGCGTTTTTTGACTGGCCCCCTATGTATGTAGCTACAAAAAGACATTGATAGACATTATTTATGTAAATATATCGATTTTCATGTTCATACCATTAGGGTTTTTCTCTCGCTTTTAGTTGGCAATTCTACTTTTCGAGAGTTATCATCGCTTTTGTGAGTCTCGTTAAAATGATACTGATATATGAAGTAAAACACACAATGTGATAGAAGTAGATAATATGAGCCTCGCTTCGTTCAAGAAGGAATGTCCCGTGTCACCCCTAGAAACCACGCAGAATGATGGCTGCTTTTATCGGAAATGAAACGCCATGCTGCTATTTTCTCACACTCGAATGAAACTGAACAAACAAAAGACCAACCTTTACAGAAGAAATAAAAGCTTACAATGACATATTCTAAACGCGAAGATAAATTTAAGTCATGTCCTATTCATTCGATCATTTTTCAAAGCCTAGTCACTTTTATTTTCGAAGAAGAGGAAAGAATGGATATAAGGAAATCGTGTTAAAAAGGGGGAAATAAGTAACATAAATAAGAAATTCAATCGGTCGAACAATGAAAACCAATCAAAAACAGTCTAAGACTTTCCAGAAACAAATAGACGCAAACCGCTCGCCGGTGCTCCGATTTCAGTTACTTGCGAAACACGACATACAGACCCCTTGTATTGTTCATGATATTTGGCACCGGTGAACGGACATGTGGCGCTAGGCGAGCCGCTGTAGATTGGCGTGAAGGAAGCAGCGCAGATGTCAAATTCAGCGAACTGATCAAATTCGATATCAATCTTGTCTTGAGGGCTACGCTCGCATTGGGCTTTGACTTTTCGGGCCTGTTTTCATTAGGTTTTTCGTTAATAAAGCTATGCTAGTGGGAATCAAATGTTTGGGAATGTAAGGCATAAGGGCTCAAAATAGGCATACCTCATCAATGAATTTGGCTACGCCGCCATTAGCAATCATCCTGTTGGCAAAGCTAAGGGCGGATGAGAAGTTTTGTTTTGAGAATGCCAGTTTCATCGCTGCTCTGAGAGCGAATTGTCTGTGGGCGACTTGGAGTTTCGGAATGGTGAAGTAGGCAGATAGCTCGAGACTCCGTTTTAGGTTCTCTGGAGTGTCTGTGCCGATTGCCCGTCGCTCAAGTTCAATTGACATTGCGAGGATATACTCCCGGGCGGTGGTGATGATCTTCTTCGCCTCCTCTACTTCGCTCTCTGATGAGACAACATTAATGAGCACTGTGTGGAGAATACGCTGGAAGATTTTCACGCCATCTTCAAGTTTGTTGGCTTTCATCGCAGCGTAGCCTTCTTGGAGATCAATACTTGCAACGGACTCAAGATCTCTGGGGATGACTGGAAGAACATGTCGGAAATCCGTTTCCTCAACTGTTCGTCTAACATAGTTGATGAGTGGAGGTAGTCCGACTGTAGCAGGCAGGTACGTCTTCGTAGCTTGGTAAATTTCTAGGAATCGTGGTTTTAGAGGTTCGAAGTTCACTACACCAACTTGTCGATTGAGTAACTGCATCGCAGTGTCAAAGGATCCGGCTGCAACATGATCGGCTGCGAGAGGGGAATTTCGCGCCCATATATCCGCTTCTGTGGTGCCAGCTCCGCCTGCAGCACTCTCGATGTTGACAAAGTCCTCTACATCCTCAACATTAATGTCGTCACCCATGTCCCATCCGGCAGCATCTTCTTCGTCATGCTCTTCACCCAACGTATCACGACCAAATCCCCCAACCTCTTCACCTTCCTCTGGCTCGTATCCATTGGTGGGAGTGGCAACAACCTCGCCAACCTCCCCCAGAAGAGCTTTCTCAAATGAGGAATGGGACGGAGCTTTAACCGGCCAGTTCGACTTGAACGTGGGAACGATAACTCGCGGAGGCTCGCTCGATGGTTTGCCGAGCGATGGCAGAGTGACCTCTTCCTCAGTGAGGCCACAGGACTCAAGGATGGACGCGGCTTCTTCGTCTAGGCCGTGGGACTTTGCCGTCATGTAAGCGAGAGGGACTAAACATTGTCAGCAAGAGTATGGTATAAAAAAGGATAATGACAACATACGAAGATCAATCTCCTTGAACATTTGTATCCGGCCCTCCACGTCACCTAGATAAAGGGAGTTCTGGAACTGTGATGTGAAGTCTCCTCGGTGCTCTGCGATTTTCGCCATGCGAGTGAGCTTTTCTTTATCGCCAGTCGCCAAGTAAAGGAAAGACAGTTTGTCAAATAGCCTTTGTTTCTGGTATGCCATTTCGACAGTCTGGTGATTTCCGTGGGCTAAGGCTTCCGTACCGAGTCGACTCCACAATTTAGGGCGGTCGAGTTGTTTCGCCATGTCTATGGCTACGTCAATATTACCACACTCAAGAGCAAGTTCAAAGCGGGTTTGTGGATCCTGGACGAATTGTAGAGCGATCTCCGGGTATCCCTTCTTTTGCAAGTAGGAGATAATACTTTGGCCCACAAGACTGGACGTTTTGATGATCTGTAACATTTCATCGTAATTTCTCTTGACAAGAGCTAGTTTAAATCGATATTCGGTAGGGTCGATTTCAAGGATTATCGGCTTCGCAGTTCTATCAAGACAATAGACGTTTCTTGCTTTGACGCGCACTAAGTAAACCGTTGAATCTAGAGTGCGAACAACACCATTGTCACTAAGCTATGTCAGCGATCCACTTCTTATAATTTAGTTGGGTTGAACTTACCCATTCAAAAGGGAATACTTGATATGGTTGAGTGTGGAGTACAACAATACACCTGCATCATCCCATGTGGCACTCTTGATGCGGATGGTCTCATGCAGGGTGCTAACATGCTCCAAGGTTTTTGTTACAATTGTAACATTATGTTTGCTCAGTAGAGCAGCGTAGAGCCCGTCGTTAGACCATACAACGTATTTCACTCCACTAACACTTAGCTCCGCTAGCTGTTTCTTCTGCTGGATGTCAAAAAGAACAACAGTCGTGGGCGTGATGAGAAGAAGGGCACCCGTTCCACCGAAGTAAATATCAGTGGTTCCATTGGGCGGCTTGATTGTCTTCGTTGTTGAGTTGTTCAGGTCCTTGATGTCGATTTGCTGAGAAGACTGGCTGAACACTGCAAATCTATTCCGAGCTACGAATACAGCGGATGTCCCATGCCCCCTTTTAATGTCCGTTGGCTCCACAGCACCCGTGGAATCCCTGGGAATATGAATAAGTTCGTATGTTCCGCCATCAGTAGGAGAAATGACTAAAATTGCTCGCTCCGCTGGGTTATAGGAGAGAGTTCTTGGTGGGACCCAGGGGCTGCCTAGCTTTTTTAGGGATAACATTGGCGGAGATTCCACGTTTTTGGTGAAGTCATAGGACCGCAAGTGTTTCTCTTTTGTAATATAGAAGAGTTGGTTTTGATATATCGCAGAAGCGGGCCGTTCCCTCTCTAGTTTGAATACCATTACACCAGAATCGTGGCCGGCAGCGAAAAGATTTATTTCGGGGTGAGCAGCAATAACCCAGAACCGATCAATATCACGTTTAAACGATTGAACCGAGGTCCTTTTATTCAAATCCCAGACACGGATGGTTTTGTCTTCACCCACGGAGAGTATTAGGTCTTGGTGAGGGTGGAATAGACATGCTGATGCGTTCTGGAAGTGACCCCGGCAAGTGTCTACTTCCCATGCTTTGGTATCTGCCAACAAAATATTAGAATCACCTGTTGTCAAATTTGACAATAGACATACCGCTCATTCTCCAAAGCTTCACCAGCCGATCATCGCCGGCAGATACAATTAATGGGAGCGTTGGGTGGAATGCGACCCAGTTGACCCCCCTATCATGGCCTTCAAGGACAAATTTAACAACGGCATCGGTATTGCCAAACATATCTGCTTGAGACGCATTTGCACGGGCCATCTGATCTTCGAAACTCAACGACGAAGTTGGCGCAGAGTGCTTTTTCCGGAGGCCAGATATATCCCAAACTCTGACTGACTGATCAAGGGAAGCGGAAACAATCAAGTCTTCTTTTGGGTGGAATTGCGCACACATGGCGTAGTGGTTGTGTCCGGTCATCGTGCAAACTAGGAGTGCCTTACATCAGTATTTGCTCAATCAAAAATACTGTCGAAGCCAGTGACCCATACTTAATGATCGATTTTGCCAGTTCCAAATGCGAATAGTCTGGTCATCGGAACTCGAAACGATCCAAGGAAGTTCGTGATGAAAAAAGACCGTTCGCACATAATCCAAATGACCATTGAGTGTGAAAAGGCATCGACGTGTTTGATACGACCACACCTTAATCCTATAATCATCTCCTCCAGATACGAAAAGGGGCTGCGTTTTATGAAAATCGATGCCTCGAACAGGTCCGTCATGCTCTTCAAAGCGGTCTATCAGAGTACCCATGCGGTAATCCCATAATTGGATGGTGGAAGAGTGCAGGGACACTAGAAGCCATGGTCTACGGATGTTAGGTTTGCAAAGTTAAACAGTGTTCCCATAGCCCGCTCACCGTTTCGGATGGAATGCGATCCCCTTGGCTCGAGACGACTTGGACTCAAACTGTATATGTTATATTAGAAGCACGTTCACAAGGATTGACGGGAAGGGGCTAGAGGAGAAGATGTTCGGCATACTTTCGTCAACATATTTGGAGAGGACTGCATGTTGATGTTGCGGGAGCTACCCGTATGCCACGTATAAGCTCCGCGCACGGGTCAAAATTATCGATTGCTAATGGCGATTCATAAAGTTGGGTCAGGGAGAGGGGGATTGGCACTTGAGGATAACCTGCAAGATTGTGTGTTGTATTTCTGAAGTCGACTATCGCTATCTCCTCATCGTGTGGACAAGGACACTGTGGTTTCCAGTCGCCCAGGTGCGGGTGGTGACTAAGCGAGTGGGTGGGTTGCTTGAGCCTCATTGGCCGGTTGACTCGCAAACTCAACACAACTAGGTACAACCCACAATCCGTCTACGACTCACAGACAATGGCAAGGGGTGGCGAAGAGCTATGTCCCTGTTGCCAGATTCCGATCCGAGGTGGACATACATCTCGCTCCCCTGTCTCTAACCCAAGTTCCGATGACATCAATTCTGCCCGCATATAACTATCTGCCTTACAGCTGAAGGCGCTCACTGCATATCCCTTCAACACATATTATATTACATCAACCCAGTTAAATTCATATGCCCGGGAATGATTTGAAACTTTGATTTATTTATCTCATGTTGCTCATATGGTTCCGAATGAATATCAAGCGTACGGGAGTGGCCCACTCCCCTCCCTCTCCAACTCACAATCGGGCTACCCAAGCAGGTATCACACGGCCTTCACTTCAGGGCAACCCTTTGATACCGAACGTATTCGAATGACGCTACCACCGGACGCCCTTCACACTCGGTCGACGGACATGGCGACACCTTGGTGTTAGAGGATATATCTGGTCATGATACTGGATATGATGGGGATGTGGAGGTAATTGCACCGTACGAATATGAGGAAGCGGAATCGATGCCCCCGACTCCACTCCAAGCGAAAAACCGGGCCAGGAGCAACGTTGAAATGGATGATCTTGTGAAAGCAGGACTTATTGAGGCAATGAAAGAATTAGATTGTGATTCAGATGAAACGGACTATGAGTACCACAGATTATGTGTAAAAAGGCAGAAGAGGAAGGGGAAATATTTATCTAGCGGACAATCTACAACTGATTGCTCCTCGGACGCTGAATCTTTAGAAACCATCGATCTTGAACGCTATGGGAAGGTATTTACTCCAGGAAAACCCCGAAAGAGGAGGAGAAGGAGGAGGCGGAGGCGTGCATGCACTGGCGATACTTCCGATTCTCGGAATGCTGAAATTACTAGCATGGACCATGCTTCACATGAAATTAACTCGAGCCAGCCAGCCTTTCCAGCACAAGACGAACGGATGGATATTGGTTAGATGGGTCACAAAATGCTTATTGAGTGACGCTAATGGCAAGATATTTCCTATTAATTCTTACCCTAAAGATATGCTTTACAATTATGGAAATTCAAACAACCAACATTGCGACTTGTTTTCGGGTTCGTTGCAATCACGTCACATGATAATATTTTGGCAAGTGCATGACGTCAGTCGTTGTTCAACCGGTGCCAACACTACTCCGTATTAAAATGGCAAATTACTGGGCTGCGAATCCAATTGACTACCTCCCACAAACCTGGCCTGGCATCTATCGCCGTTTGTACGTTAATTGGCATTTTTCAAATCATAAACGGCACATTCGAAGAGCTTTGACTCATTTGCGATGGCATCCCGAACATCAACGCGGCAGGCTGCTGTGAAGGCAAATGAAGCGCTCCACCAAGGGGCCAGAGCTAGTACGAAGAAAACCGCTAGCGGGAAGCGGAAGGGGAAGGAACAGGAGGAAGCTCCGAAGACAAAACGCGAAAAAGCGGAGGAGGAAAAACCAACGAAAATAAAGCAACGAAAGCTTGGAGAGAGTAAGGAGGGACCAACTACGGAAGGACATGAGGAGGAAACGGAATCGATCAACGCTGGGCTAAACAAGCATCAAAACATTGAGGGAGCCCAAGAGCGAGACGTAGAGGAACCGAGGGAGCCGGACAAGTTGGAAACCAAACGACTGGAAAAGAAGGAGGCACCAAAGGAGGCAGAACCGAAGGCAGACGCTAGTGGACCAAAAAAAGAGGAAACAAAAGAGACAGAAATGCTTGAAGCTAAAGAATCAAAACAGGAAGGAGAAGTTAGGGATCCAGTCAAAGCGGAACAACGCGAAAACGAAGCTCCCGAGAAATCCCAACCGCAAAAAGAAAATATTGCAGAACCCGGACACAAGGAGAGAGCATCAGTACCGACAACCATTGAGACAGGTGAGGTGGATAGAAGTCTCCCATCAAACGTTCTCGAAAAGGGGATTATATATTTCTTCTTCCGCAGCAAGGTTGGAGTCGAGGAACCAGAGGGTATTGCGGACGTGGCACGGAGTTTCATCGTCCTTCGACCACTTCCGCGCGACGTAAAACTAGGCCAATGCACTATCGGCGATCACCAGAATTGCCGATTGCTTGTCCTACCCAAAAAGGTGCTTCCAAAATCCAGCAGAGATCGGTTTATGGGTTTTGTGGAGAAGGCACACACCACCATGAAAACCATTAAAGACTCATTCCTTGCGAGTGAGAGACAAACGGCGACGCGAGGAACGGCATATACCCCTGCCGCAACTCCCATTGCTGAGGGAGTTTATGCGATCGCATCCAAGGGTCGCTCTTCGCACCTTGCATACTATCTGACGATCCCGTCGGAGCTTGGTGAGGTTCAGAAAAATATTGGCCTCAGACGCCATGGCAGCTTCATTGCCAGCGTAAAAAATCCCGAGTATGTTGGGCCTGAAACGGCCAGACTGCCTCATGGTCCTGAATTTCCACAAAAGTAAGTCTAGTTCTAAAAACAGATGGCCAAAGAGGCTGCTAGCCTTCGTCAGTTTTTCATAGCTAACTTTCCGCAGGGTTCAGGATGAGTTTAACGACCTTCGCTGGGTGCCATTACAACCCACGTTCCTGGATTACCCCAATGCGCAATTCCTTCTTATTGGGGGTACACACCATGATCCAGAAGAAGCTGAGAAAGCAATTGAGGAACTTGAACACCAGAATGAATCCCGGACGTATCCACTCAATTGTTAGTATTCCCCGATCGATGAGACCCATGCATTGACTAATGAATACTCTCTTTGTTCAATACAGACGACGATATTATCTATAAAGACCTAGGCATGGACAGTAGGAACTATCCAGATGTCGCTACGACTTGGGAATGAGCTACTGTGCTAGGCCATAAATATTGGCAACCCCCACCACAATGAGGCGTCTTTTTGTGGCAGAAAAGAAGTGGGGGTTGCCAATACTTATGGCCTGTCACTGTACCTTGTTGTGCATGGCTTTAGTCTACTCAAATTTCGTGTAAAAAACGGCGTGCCATTGCCTTACGGCGCTTGCTTTAAGGTATTATTGTAATGTACGTAATTAATGCGACAAGGCTGCGGTGCTCAGGGTAAATACTCCAAAGCGAGCAGAAAATGTTCTATGCAGTGTGATGATTCTCCAAAATCTTCAGTGGACCATTCATCAGAAAACAGAAAAAAGAAAAAGGCGACGAATGGATGATTAACATAACATGAATGGATTTTATCTTTCATTCTCGTTTATTGTAAAGGGAGAGATGGAGGGAAACCTCCGTTGTCAGGCTGAGCATCTGTGAAATTACATAACTAGCTGGGTGCGCCTGGTCCAATTGGCCGCCGTGATCTTCTCACGTTCTCTGTTTCCCAAAAGCCCCACCAACATCGCCAACACATGGGGATCTAGTAGACGGCAGAACAACTCTGCCTAGTATATAGCTTGAACCCTTTTATCTTTTGGTGGAAAAATGGCAAGATCCCGGGATACCCTTGGATGTGGAGAGAGGGGCTTCCAGGCCCCTGAGCTGCTACTGCAAGCTGTAACCCAGGCTATTGGATACCTAGCTCCAATACATCATTGGGGATGGCGAAGATATGTTGTGGGATTGGCTGTAATTTTCCTGTGACTACCTTAATGGCTGGAAAATTGACAGGCATGCTTGTTGAGAACGATATTCCCATCATTAGCACTGCAGAGGAAGGGGGTCCCTTACACTGCGAGGAGCAGGGGGCTGAAATAAATAAACTCCCAGACCTATGGATGGCACCTACATAAGGAGATCGTCGCAATCGATTTTTCGAGTTAAGTCCTTTGCATTAGGACACGAGCATCTTCACCGTCTAGCCATCCCATCATGCGGCCCCTTTGGTTTACATCGTTGTCCTGCGTTTGCGCTCTTTTGGCTGTCGCCAATGCTGGTCCTCCTCCACACAAGAGTAAGGATAAGAATCTGGCCAAGAAGGTAACATGTGGAGGTAATACGTATAATTACCATGGGTTAGAGGGATATGGATTTGTGCCGTCGAATGCCGTTGACAAATACGGCGATACCATGGGCGGAATTGGTGGCGCCCTGGCTATCGAGCAATCTTCATGGCACAGGAAGGAAGATGGCACGTATGAAGGGATCGCATGGGCGTTACCGGATCGTGGATGGTGAGAAGGACCTATTTTTCCCTAGCATAGCCCTTCCTAGGCATGCCAGGATAACTTATTAGCTGACAATTCATACCTTAGGAATACCAATGGGACCCTGAATGTCCAGGCACGAATCCAGAAGCTGTCTCTCTCCTTCAAGCCTTCCCGTGAGGCATCTGTGAAGAAGCCTTCCCAGCCGAATCTCCAAATAAAGCATTTGGACACCGTTCTTCTCACGGGACCCGACGGAACCCCCACGACAGGTCTCGATGCAGATGTGACCGGCTTCATAGAATTTCCCGGTTTCCCACCCTTGCCGGGGGCAACATACTCTGGCGACGGGTTCGGCAGCGAAGAAGGAACAAGCGGACGCCGCATCACTATGGATACTGAGGGTCTCGCCTTAGGCGTGGGAGGAAGCTTCTGGGTATCTGACGAATACGGGCCATACATCTACCAGTTCACGCGGGAGGGTAAAATGATCCAAGCAATCCAACCACCCGAAGCATATCTCCCACGTCGAAATGGGAGTCTCAGCTTCAGTGCCGCCTCCCCACCCATCTACGACCCAGAGAAGTTGCCCGTACCTGAAGACACGGAATCAGGGCGGAACAACAACCAGGGCTTCGAAGCGTTGACACTCTCGCCAGACGGCATGGAGTTGTTTGTCATGATCCAATCAGGTCTGAATCAGGAGGGCGGGCCGAAGAAGAAGAATCGGAAACAGGCACGGCTATTACAGTATGATATTTCAGGCTGCAAACCGCGGTATATACACGAGTACGTCGTCACGCTTCCAACGTACCCCGATAGGTCCGAAAAAGACCAGGAGAAGTCTCGTATTGTTGCTTCACAGTCGGAAATTCACATGCTGCCCACTGGAGACTTCTTGATCCTATCGCGAGACTCAGGTTCCGGTCATGGCCAGAAGGAGTCACGCTCTGTCTACCGCCAGGCAGACATTTTCGCAATCACTAACCGCACTACGGACATCAAATCTGAGAAATATGATGCTGCTACCGGCTCGATTGCTTCGGACAAGGGGGAGTTGAAAGACGGGATCGAACCAGCAGAGTATTGCGAATTTATCGATTACAACCTCGAGTCAGAGTTGGGCAAGTTCGGTCTGCACAACGGCGGCGAACAAGACAAGATGCTGCTGAATGAGAAGTGGGAGAGCCTGGCTCTGGTTCCGGTTGATGAGCGGGATTGTGATAAGAAGGGCTGTGGTCATGGCGAAGGAGGATTGCAGGAATACTTTTTGATTAGTTTCAGTGACAATGACTATATCACTCAAGACGGTCTGTCCCCCCAAACCACCACCGCGCAGCTTCATTCATTGCTCTTTGTTATCCATGACATGCTGACATTTTCCTGGCATTTGGGAACCTAGGCCATTTGAATTTTGGAAAATTCAAGTATGCGGATACTTCCGGTTTCAATCTTGATACGCAGGCTTTGGTGTTTAGAATCTCGTTTTGAGACATGACCCCAAATATACCTTTTTGACAGGGAATGTATAATTCAGGTTGGTGCACAGTGGACTTGGAGAATCTATACATTCCTATCGTATTTGCCCTAGAGATGCGTAGCCGTTTATTTCAGAATATAATCAGGAAATGGAGTTAGTGCCGATTCCAACCAACATCTCCAACACTGGTAGACATCAAACATGGGCAGGGGGTGGGGGATAATAAAAGTAATCCAGTTTTATTTGATTCAATCTTCAAGTGACCCGACGATCACTTCAACCAAATGCAAAAGTTGTGGCTGATTCGCCGGGAATTTACGGTGTGGAGGCAGCGGACGTATAAAAAAAGAAAAAGCGGAAGCAAAAGGTCAATTCCTCGCCGTCGGTTTACCTTGATGATTATTTAATATTTACCCAGTAACTATCTCCTGAAGGTTCAATGTATTTAAATATAGCAGCGCGGTTTCATGGGCCGTTGCCGTTCCGTGAATCAGAGCGGCGATGTGGCGTTGGGCATCCATGGATAGATAAAATAGATACGAGAAGCCTGAAGCCTGGAAAAAACTCGATTCCATGACCTCTCTCACGTTCCGTCGTGTTCCTGCGGATAGAGTACAAATTGTGGGGGTGGAATGCAACGCACCCCTCATTCCCCCACAGGCCTGGGGCGCATGTGATGCGGCAGCTCATGGCCTCAATAGAGAAAATGAGGGGCAAAGAGGCAAGGCCGGAAGAGAATGGAGAATCGATGGAGGGGTTTGGCGGGGTGAGCTGCGACAAGAATAGCAATCTTGGTAAATAGGCTCGACCATCTGGTATTTTCGGGAGCTTTGTCCACAGCCTCTTAAATTAAAGAATAAATACAAACGCCCGCGACGGAAATGAGGAGCATGAATGTACACGTAAATCGTGTGGCATTTCGCCACTGAGAACATCCTATTATGGGATTCGGGAGGATTAAATAATTTACCGGGTTGGATGGGATTTCACCGAAGCTGTCCATTCAACGAATGTGGAATCCGGGGCGAAGGCACTGGTTCCAGCCCGGCGGGTTGCTTGCCAGCAAACCATGCGTGTGGAGGATTGTGTTTTCAGCCACCATTGCTTGTGTATTGGAGGCGTGTTCAGCATCGCTGCGATGTAGGCCCTGGGTGCTCCGTTAGGATAAGTACTCCGTAAGTTCATACTGTATGTGAGACACCGTGGCTGAGTGGCTGGTTCACACCACACCCTGGATAACATTTCTTTCCCTATGGATGGATGTGGTGCGATCTCCAACAAGCGCCAGCTGTAACATTAACATTCTTGAGTGGCATCGTTGGCTATTGTGCCATTTTGGTTTTTCCTTTTGAGGAGAGACAAGATACAGGAAAAATGGTGGGGCTGAAACAACGTGTTGGGGAACAAGAGCTGCTTTGTCGCGTCTGTCTAGAATTTATTACGTTTTCCGTGCAACCAAAAAACTGGGCTGGAGCAGCTGTTTGCGGGGTCCAGCCGAGAATTCAAAAACCTTGAGTGCTGTCCGTTGATTCCCAATCCCAGTCACCCTGTCGCTCTTCTTGTAACTCTCCACATTTTGATGATGATTTGATTTCCGCATCCCAAACTCTGTTCAGAGCCGCATCCCGCTGCACTGAGATCCCGGCTGAGCTAATCAGCATGCGAGCGTGTGCCAAGCAGCCGAGCCACTAGTGGCGTGTTGGTAACGAGGCGGTATCCGCGTTACCAAACACCCAGGACATAGCGAAATAACCGTACGGTATTGATAAAACATCGCGTACAGCCGGTACCACGCTGGCGTTTCCGGATTGCGCCTCAGAAAGGGCTGGGGCGTATTTATTGCCCACTGGACGCTGCACCGCACTGCTCTGCAGCCGACGGCGGAGAGCCGCTTGCCAACTTCTCAACATCTTCTCAACATATCTCCTCTGCCTCCGCTCCCTGGCAGCAGCACTGCTCCGGCTGTCCAGTTTGATGTGGACTGCGTGGCTCACGCGACATTTGGCTTCCTTTATTCAATCGACGCATCTTTATTCTTACTTCGACCAGCAGCATGAGTCTGCTGCTTCTTCTGCATGGTTTCGCTCCTTCAAACTTTGAGCTTCTATACGACCGCTTCTCTTGAGCCTTACGCTCGAACAGCCTCTCCCAACATACCAAATAACATATCTTTAAATCTTGATCCATTTGTATTCGGAATCTTCCCTCCCGGTTTTGGCAAACGCTCGCGATATCTCCTCCGAAGGTTGCGGCTCTCACCCGCCGACCGCCGACGGTTCGCCAGTTTGGGAAGTGTCAAAAAAACAACCTTAACCCTAAAAGCAGCTCACCTTGCATCCCCAAGATATGTTAACTTGAGTTCGATGCACCATAGATAGCCCTCTAGAGACTATATACGAAAAGTATAATATTACTGGAACTTATCTTTATCTTGGAATCCACCGCCAGCATGGCTTCTCCCAGGTTAAAAAAGACCTCTGTGAACCCACCCCACCAAGTTTTTGGATATAAAAACGACGACGACGCCAGAACCGCCGTGAGAGCTACGCGCTTTGTGAGTACACGACGACAAACCCGTCCCTCTTATCGTTCAGCAAGTTCTCCCTCACGACTGGACGGGTTGGAAGACTCGAAACCTTTCTCATCAGCTCACGAGAGGCGTACTGCTTCACTAGCCAACGACACCGTTTCTTCTTCACAATCGTCATTGAAACAAACGTGGATACACGGCAAATCCTCTGCCATGATGCACTCTGGGCTACGAAATGACCGCTTTATCCCTGGGTTCAGCCCCAAGCTTGACAAAGAACGATCTATGAAGCCTAAGGGCAATATCAGGTCGCATCTCAAGAGGTCCAATCATAACGACTCAGCATCTATCAATCTTGACCGGTCTACCCTTGAGAACGAAGGGCTAGGGATCTATACGAATCTCGAACGAGATCGGAGGTATGGAGATATTGCTACGTCTCGAAGAGCCGGGTCCACCTCCCACAATAGATCTACAAGTGGAACATCACAATTTTCTGCCACGACCGCATCTAGCACACTTAAACCGGGATTGCAATACGTTCATCCTATGCGCCAGACCCCTCGTCCCTATACGCCACCCATAAGCCAGTCCTATCAAAATTCGGTCGTTGAAAGTGAGCAATCTACAGATGTTGGCCAGTTCAGTGCAGATTTGGATGATGCTGCATCCTCCAACCGAGACGTTTTCGCGCAGCCATCGGAACCCCAGCCTTATCGGATTCATCCTAGCTCGTTTACAAATATTTCTTCCTCAGTTCTGTCAAACCATGCTCGGGAGAGCTATGAGGCCCCTTCGCCCCTATCAAGAAGCTCTCTCGACTTTACCTTCCGTTCAAGGACCCGCACCAATACGGATCCATCAGCTAGAGCAGCCGCAGTCGAGGCTGCTCGACAAGCCTTTGAGGATAAAGAGGCCGCCAAACAGCGCAAGCTGGACAAGCAAAATATGAAGGCCCAGGACCGTGAACTTCGACGGCAGGAGAAAAAGGAGCATCAATTGTCACTATCAACCGCCACTTCCTCCCTGGGTAGGCGTTCCCATGAGAAACGAAATTCCTCTGAAGGTCGCTGTTCAGGACGCAAGCCTATGAGTGAGAAGCGCGATAATGCGACTGGCGATTATGCCTTTACACATAACAACCCCAGCCGCACATTTGAAAGCCCGAAGAGTGCCTGGGTTCTATTTATAACCTGGCTGCGAACAAAGCTGTTCAAAATGAGCAGGAAATTGAGCATGAAGAAGAAGAAGAAAAAGGCATGACTTTGTTTGGTTTCATGACAACTTTGAAATTTATTGCTACCTATACCTATAACGACCATTGATGAAGCGGCCCGGCGTTTCTCTCTACGTGTTCTGTTTATTTTTATTTTATTTTTATTTTTTTCGGCTGCTCTCTTTACATTGCGAAGTTCGGCGGGATCCGCGACCAGGGCAATTACTATATACATACATATATATACATATATATAACGCCCTCGTTCTATGCACAGCAGCGAGCAAATCGCAGCTGTACGCGATTCTAGCTGTGAACCTTGGTACGGCGTTCTTCAGGCGTTCAAACTAGACGTGACCTATTTTTTTGGTCCCCTTCTTCATTCTCCTTTTCTTCTTGCGAGGATGGACAGGTTCCTTCATTACTTTTCTGTCGGACTTCTGCATTTGTTCCTTTTACAGCCTTCTTGTCATTTTCTGGAGGAAATGGTTGTGGGTTACCAATTGGGTTTATTTATTTGATTTTTACCTTGATAGCCTTTGTTGTTCCCCCTCCTCTCTAGCAACAAACATATTTTTCTTGGGCGTTTTAGTTGGATCAAGCGATGGGAAACAGTAACATCATTATCCGGTTTTGTTTCAGTTTATTTATCAACCACGCTTGTTGTGTTGGAATGTTTTTCTGTGACTTTTAGTTCCTGCAAGGGTTAGCCAGCTTCCATTCATTCATCGCAGTTTACCCAATAGGAATATCTTGGGGCATTTTTGAAAGTATTAGTTTCTTCAGGTAGCCTAGCAAAATCCAGACTGGTTGACCAGTCAATATTCTTGTTACTTTCCCTCCAGACGAAGTACTTCGTGTAGGCGGTTGGCAAGTAAATACAAGTAGATGGATTTGAGGTTAACTATTGGTCTTGGCATCCGCTCTCCTGCTTATATAATCCAATGAATCGACGTAGTTGACTACGGTAGATCACAACCACCGACCACTTCATTCCTCCCGCCCCCCTACGGCAGACCACAACGACACGATATCTCGCGTTGATCGATCCATCGAATACCGAGCACTAGGTCCAGAGCAGAGCAGGTAGAAAAGCGCAGTGTATAGCTGCACTGAACCACTTGCACGCATGCACGCATGCCGGGAGAGGAAAAGTGGAGGGGCAAAAAAAATTTTTCTTCTGATAGCACCATTGAACATAAAATGAGAAATTTATAGCAAGATATAAGGGAAAGTAAAAATGGTGTACGACTGGGATGGCAAACGCGACATCTGCTATAAGATGTATATCGAGGATAAGAAGGCGCTCGAGGAGATTATGGAGCATATGAAGGTGTGCTACCAGTTTGCACCAAGGTGAGTTTGTTATTATATGTTCGGCAATTTTTTTTTTCACCCTCTCTCGCATGATAACCTCATCTATGTTTCATATATCATATCATTAGTTTGAATCTCTTTGGTATACAAAAAAAAAAATATGTAATATTTCCCCCTCCGTACGCCGAAACAAAGAAATTAACCTAGGCATGCCCCAACTGGGCCGTTTTATACACAATAGTAAACGCGCCTTCCAAACCCAGTTCAAACGATGGGGGTTCCCCTCGAAACAGAACCCAGCCCACAAGAACGCAAGCCTCGTCGCTCGCGTCAAGGAGCTGTGGGAGCGAAACACCAGCCAACGGGACATGCTACGAATACTCAACGAGGAAGGATATGAGATCAAGGAGCGCGAACTGATGCGAGTCCGTGCGAAGAATCGATGGCTGTTGCGTGTCCCCAACGGCATGAAGGCGCAGTCGACAATGCCCGCCGCGACAACTGCGACAACTCCTGCTACGGCGCCGACGGCGGCGACGCTGGAGGGTGATGAGGGTCTGCTGGCGCTCCAGCAGGAGATATATAAACCAGATGGGAGCATGGAGGCTGCGGGGCAACAGATCGTAACGGATCTCGGAGGGATCGAGCCACAACAGCGGGCCCCGTCGCCTGGGCTGTCGCCGGAGGTACTGGCGAAGAGGAAGGCCAGGTTGGAGCGCTTGCAAGCGGAGAGTGAGGAGAGATGGGCAGCGCGGAAGAGACGGCGGAGAACAAGAGGGTGGGCTGGCCTACCTGCAGACCCGCCGGGGCCGCCGCGGTTCCCGTCTGAGACGACTATTGATGAGAGCAAACAATATCTGAGTTTGGATAATGAGATGTATCGTCAGCTGCGGGACCATTTTCAGCGTATTTGTGAGGAGGCTGGGTTCATTAAGAAGACGCTTGCGGGGCCGGAAAAGTGGCAAGCGGCAAAGAATCGACTGATTGAGGAGTCTCCACATCTGCGGAGTGTGTTCTGGCCGAATTCTGGTCAGATTAAGGCGAAAGCGTTGGCCTTGGATGTTGTATGTACGGATGTCACCAAGCGGATGCGGACACTGCAGCGGAGGATGACTATTGCGGAGGCGAAGAATGCGCTCGGGATCAACCCTGAGGAGAGCAGGCAGATTCGGAATGCGTTCTATCAGACTCTCAAAGAAGATCATTTCACGAGCAAGCTAGAAGCTGGGGATGAACACTGGCGTGAGCTTAAGGAGAAATGGATCAGGGACTCCGAATTGCTCCAGAACATCTTGACCCCTGGCGAAGCCGATCCAAACCACGCTATAAAAGTCAAGGCCATTGAGATACTCTGTAGGGATGTGAATAAGAGACTTAGAGATGAGATCTCGAAGCACGATCCCTCTCGCAAAAAGTCCTCCTCTTCCACTTCCAACAACGTCAGCAATGCTGTTCAACTTGCACAGAGCAGCCCTACCTCCGCCTACACCCGACCGCCAGCCATCCGCAACGGAATCAGCACACTCGCTTCCCAGGCCCTCGCCAGTGCCCCCATGATGTCCAGCGACATCACAGACCTACAAATAGACCCGTCCCTCCTGCAGGCCGCCAACGACACATCCTTCTCCTTAAACTCAAACCGTCATCCTCATCCTCATCCTCACGATCAGGATCATCCAGAACATCACCAAAACGAAAACCATCACCACGACCCCCATGACCACCCCAGCAGCCAACAACACCCGTTCAGCTACGTGGACCCATTGCTCTCCACGTCCCTCCTCCAAGTGCCGATCTACCTGCGTATCCACCCGCAGTCGCAGATCCATCAGAACGCGAAGATGTGGGTGGATAAGTTGACCACGCGCACGTTGGAGGAGTTACGGAACGTAGTGACGAGCCGGTTCAAGGATGCCCGGATCGCGAGGATTGAAGGGACGGATAGGGATGCGAAGTATGTGATTGATGAGGATGATGAGTTGGATGCGTATTTAACGCATGTGCAGGGGCGGAAGGCAACATTTGTGTTTTTGTTAGAGAGGGGGACAGGGGATAATTGAATGATTCTTTTTGTATTTTAATTTCGCTTTTCGTTCTTTTTCCCTTCTTTTTTTATTGTCATTATTTTTCGATTGTTGTCTTGTTCTTGGTAGTCGGGGTGGGATGATGGGGATAAGTGCTGGTTTTGGTTTTGGTTTTTCTTTTTTCACTGAACATTATTGACATTCTTATCCCCCAGTTTTGACCGTTATTGTGCTAGGCTGGGACGTTTAAAAATACTCGGTGGATATAGGTTAGGTGGATGGACGGATTTACGGATTTGCTAGCAAATTGGAGTTCAATGTTTATAAAAAGAGGATCGATCGCGTTTATATATATGCCCCTTGATATGGTCTGACATTCCGTCCCTCCTCATACAACGAAGTCGCAACTTGTATCCTAGTTTCAACCAAAGCCTTTGTAGCGAAGTACTCCGTAGCAGGAGTTGGATCGACGCCTGATCGCTAAGCACTAGAAAACCCTGGTTATTCGTAGATGCATCAGATGCCGTCCGTAGTCCTGTTGCCTGCGATTATTTGGGCATGTCCTGTAAAGTAGATACTCTAGGGCAGGAAGCAAGGAACAAGGCATGCTCTTGAAACCCAGACGTAAGAAGATATGCAGAAAATACGTACTCCAAACAAAGGACGAGCTAGCTATGTGTTGAAGGGTGCCCAACTGGAGCTGGGATAGTGATCTGCCATTGGTTCTCATCCAGGTATACAAGGACCACTGCGTATAGATCGCTTGCTTTGGTGGCTGCTGATGGCTTGTCGATGGCTTGCTGGGGATGTCTGTCTGTCTGCCCCTCCACCCCACCTTCTTCCCCGCCTCGGTCAGGGCCTGAAACAGTTCATCAACGCCAAATCCTCGGAAGACACAGGTGTCCCTTGTTGTTGACCTCTTCTTCCTCTTCTTCTGTTTTCCCTCCTTTGCGTCGTCCTTTTATCTCTGTGTCTTCCATTCTGCACCTCCCTGCCACTGCCACTTTACGCTCTTGCGCTCTTCCTCACATTGATTGCTCCTGAGCTCGACTCTCTTTCACTTCTCCACGGGCTTGCTCAGGATCATTTATCCCCCTTGCCCTGTGATAGCGGGGCTATCTTCACCACGCTGTAGCATAAAAACAAATCCACCACATCCACCACACCAACCGAACTCATTCTTAACATAATCCATTGCCCGTTCACTCAAAAGCTTTTCGAGACCATCTAAGCCTGCTTTCTGTCAATCCAGCAACAGCTGCAACACAATGGCTTGGTCGACCACCACCACCGTCGCGCTGACATGCGTGCTTTTCCTTCTCTTCACCCGCCCTGTCCACGCCTTCGGGGCTGGCAACATTGCTTCCGTATCTAAGATAGAGGGCCAGAATTGGCGCCATGGCGATATCGAGGATGCGATCCTGACGTTGATGATGGCCCGCTCGGCGGGTGGGAAGAAGTTTTCAAAACTCCAGGTTCAGCGTATTTATTTTGGAAATTGGCTTCGGGTACAGTTTTGAATACTTCCCTTTTTTGGAAGGTTTTGACAAAATTTAACTTTCTTGCAGGACTATAGCCAGGCTCTCGACATTGGTACTTTGAAATATGTCTCTGCGGAGGCTATTAGGCTTCTCCTTTGGGTCTTGGGATTCATGACTTTTGGGTATTTTTTTTTCTTTCATGCCCTGTTTCTTCCTCTCTCTTCATTTTCTTTTTCTTCCCTGTGTATGTTGTTGGATCTCCCGGAATTCTTGAACTAGCCTAAAATATGGTTTTTGTTTAGGTACGGCACGGGAGAGTTTGAGGTTACTCTGGACCGCGTCGGATGTTACCAACCTACCGAGCATATCGATAACCCATTGGGATATGGCGAGGGTCAAGACGCACGCCGGTATTACAGGCGCCTCAGAGGCCCTGTTGACGAAGAGAGGGAGTTAGGCATCGATGCTCGCACGGGTAAGACGAGAATTGTCAGTCTCTACTAGTATTTTATACTGTTGCGGCTGACTGTGTCTATTTGCTTCTAGGTTTGAAGAACTACATCGCATCTGAGGACTTGGGTATCGACAATTCCGCTTCTCTCCTAAGAAAAGTGTTCGGCAACTGCATTGAGCTGGGCCGCAGATATTCGCGCTCCCGCAGAGATGCCGACTTATATGAAGCTCTGAGGCTCCTTGGAACTGGCTTGTAAGTTTTAGTGCCGTACACTTGATGGGATAAGGGTTTTAAACAGCTCCATGCAACCCCTATCAAAAATCCCTTCCCAAGAGCATAGTCTACTGGGTTTATGAGCCGTGTATTTATTTCACTGGCTGATTAAATTACTTTAGACACACCCTGGAAGACTACCTCGCCCATAGCAACTATACAGAGCTTTCTTTGATCGAACTTGGCGAGACCAATGTTTTCCCACATGTCGGGAGAAACACAATGATTCAACTTCAGGGAGCTAGGAATTCTGTTTATCCTATCGTTACCGGCACATTTGGCGGTGGTGAGTCAACAGATCATCTGATGGTAGCGGAAATAGCCCAGAGATATAGTTGCCGCTGACATGTTCTCAACCTGTAGTGGACTTCCTCCATAGTGTTATGGGAGAAATTACCGATAAAGCGACACAGTCAGAAATTCAAAACCTAGAAGGGATGATCGAAGAATCTGAAAACCAAAAACCACAGGAAGGATTTCTCCAAGTTCTACTCGATAAGATCCCTGAGGGCCTCCTAGGGAGTGAGGACAACACAGAAAAAATGAATGAGTTCCAGTCCAACGCTGAATCTACGAAGCGGCGGAACGAGAACATTTCTCCTCGCGAACCTGAACAATGGGCCACTTACATGAATGATGTTCAACAACAAATGTTTCCACTCCTGGAATGGCATGACAACTTGATAAAATCGATCAACAGTGCGATTGAGAAGATCCCTGCAATCCCAGAACTGGTTGAGCAAGTGCAGGAACAGATTACTATCTTTGTATTTTCTGTTATGGCCCCTTACGTTCTCCCGATTCTCAAACAGGTCAAGACTGAGCTTGAAACCGGGTCATCAGAAGTCATTCAGAGCAGTAAGGAGGGGCAGTTTAACACATTCAATAACGATCGCTGCACCGACCCCACTCACTCCATGCTTTCCAAGGATCATTTTAGTAACCTCTTGAACGAGCCCGCTGGAAGTCAGTACATTTTTCTATTAGGATATACCCCCTCTATTCATGTCTCGTTCTCTGGATCTTCGCCAAAACTATTTCGCCCTTAATTCAAGTCATTGAAAGTTGATATACTAACCAAACTATAATATTCAGAGGCTGCCTCGGAAGTTGTGAAATGGGTTGTACCGCAGATCATGGAATGCTGGGATGACGAGAACATCGATGTTAACCGTACAATGAATAGGATTATCAATGGAGTCTTTCACCACCCTGCTCTGCGTCAGTACGGCGAAGATGGTTCACAAGAGATGCGTAGAACTATGTTCGGCGTTATCGAGAGTTGGTGGAACGAGCAAGGTCGTCGCGGCCAGGACTCACTCCGCCAACAGCTCAGCAGAGAAGGTGTGCGGAATGGTGATAACCATAAGCCCGGCGTTCATGACTCTGGCCACGGCTGCGGCAAGCCCATGGGTCTCCCTAACCGCAATCGCCCCGTTCCGGGAGGCGTTCAGGATATGCTTGGTCTTCAAGGCTTAGGGGGCAACTCTTCAACGAACACGTCAAACATCGAGAAGATGGCCTCTGAAGCCGTTGGTGGTGGGCTGATTGGAAGTTTGGTGGGAGGGATAGTTGGTGGAGCCACAAGCGGTACATTCGAAGGACCTGACGACGGTAAGCGCCATAAGGAGAAAAAAGAGAAAGACCATCACTCAGACCCTTATTATCATTCTTCCTATTCCAAAGACAAGGATTACGAGAAAGAAGAAAAGAAAAAGAAAAAGGATAAAGAAGAGAAGTGGGATAAGGATAAAAAGCATGAGAAGAAAGATAAGGATAAGAAGGACAAGAAGGACAAGTACAAGGATGAAGATGATAAGGATAAGGATGGTAAGAAGGATAAAAAGGACAAGAAAGCTGACAAGGATAAAAAATATAAAGAAAGTAAGAAATACAACGACGGCGACGGCTATCGACGTGATGATCGGGGCGGTGGTGGGTACGAATCAGGAAGGCATCAAAGCGGGGAATATGGTCAGCCGCAATATGCTGAAACTGGTGGCTATGGTCGTAGTGAAGAAAGGTTCGTTTTTGAATATTGGCTAAAGTTCTTCCAACGTTCCTATTATTTCACTTGCTCCCTTTTATTTTGCCAGCCCGTCACCCCAATCCTTGATTAGTTATATGCAAGCTGACCTTTTCCCCCATAACTCGAAAGACATGATAGGGGAAGCTCTGGCGGATACGGAGCGGGAGGCTATGGTGGCTATTCTGGAGGCTATGGTGGCGAGAACCGTGGCTATGGGGAGAAAGATTCCAGTGGATATGGTGGAGGGTATGGAGGTGGTGAGTCTCGCGGCTACGGCGGTAGTGAAACTCGTGGCTATGGGGATAGTGAGTCTCGCGGCTATGGCGGTGGCTATGGAGACGAGAGTCGAGGAGGTTACGGTTATCAACAGGAATCCGAAAGGTCATCTCACCAGCATCGTGAGCGCTCTGGGTCTCGCGAAAGAGCTTCCCGCCGTTACGAAAGCGGGCATTATGGCAGTGATGACCGTCGCCATGGCAGCCGTGAGCGCAGCCGTGATCGCAGGCGAGATGACGATGATGATGACTACCGTCGCCGGTATAAGAAAGATGATGACGACTATGGCGATGAGGGTAGTAATGATGGCTATGGAAATAGACATCAGCATAAACACAGCCATCACAGGCGCGATTCCTGAATGTTTTAAGCCTGTTACAGGGATAACATTGTTGGTCAATTGATAAGGAATGGGGAATTGGACAAAAGGAAAGCAAGAAACATAGGTGGGAAGCTGGCACATGCCGGGGAGGTGGGATTTGATGGATATCTGACCGTTCCTTTTCATTATTCAATGGTTCTATTTACATTTCAGTACCTGAACAGTTTGTGCGCTCAGGCTGATGTATTTTTTTTTTTTTTTTTTTTTTTTGGTTTACCGCCATAGAAATAACGCAGATTAAGAATGATATCAATAGTATAGGAAGCTGGAAATCTGCGCCGAAGGGGAGTAGGAGAAAAGAAGAGCTCGATTCTTTGCTTCGTTATCTCGTTCCTCTATATCTGAATTATGGCTCATCCTCCCCACCCGCTCACTCATTGACAGCATATATAATATAGGACTCACTCAATCCACAACCCTCAACATCTCAAATGCCTCATTTCCAACAAGCTTTCGAAGAATGCTCATAGGATCAACTCCTTTCCTTTTTGTCTTCCTTTCTTTGTTAATCATTCCCCACTCCCCATCGCCATCGCCCTCCACCACGTCCGGCCCCTGCTCCTCTCCAAATACTCCATCCTCTAAAAACAACTTCATCAACGCCTGGCTCTGCCCGCTCACCAGCGCCGTACCCTCCATCTGAGACGTGACAGGCACCGCCCCTGGATTCCCCGCAAGGTTCCAATAGATCAACTCAGGCACGTCATACCCATGCTTCCTAAACTCCTGCTGCACAATCTGCTGATGAGTTAGGCCTAGCTTCCCTTCCACCTTATCACACCAACCACTCGTATCTGTCTCTGCCTCATCAAATTGCATATCGCTAAACACAAACACCCTCTTGATCATGTCTTCTGGCGGAACCTTATTCTCCACCGCCAAAGGCAAGATTAACTGCCGAAACACCTTGATAAAGTCCGTATTGTACCCCCAGCTTGCACTACTAATATTTTCCACCCGTTCCGTCAAGGACGTACCTTGTATGATATGTATCTCTGGGTCACGCGAGAAGGTGATAATGCGCCCGCCAAAAGGCGGCTGGGTCACCTCAGCCATAACAAGACTTAGGCCGATGGCATCGTGTAATGGTGAGATGTCCCGTCGATACGACGTCGAATTCATAGAGCCACTCACATCGCAGACAGCCATAGCACTATTAAGGTTCCCGGAGTCCCTGATGCGCTGCACTAGCGTCTTCCATTGCATATCCGCGACGGTGCGATCAAGTGATGTATTCTCCTGTCGGCCATCAGCGGACATGACCGTTTTAACGAGTAGACCAGGGGTCAAAACGGCGCCCGAGATTTTAGCTTCACCCATTCCAACCTTTCCTAGGTACTCCATAAAACGCGGACCGTCGTTTTCGTTGAAAAGGTGTTTGTATCGATTCATAGCTAGGGAGGGAACGTGGGAATACTCGATGTTTGAGAAAGTTTTGGCGGATATATCGCGCTCGACTATGGCGAGAGCTTTGCGGAGTGGGGAAAGGGTATTTGCGCGGTATTGTTCACGAGCACGCTTGAGATAAGCCTCTCGAGATAACTCGTAGCCTGTGGTTTCGGAGTGGGAATGAGGGTCGAGAGCGGAATCGGAAAACAGGAGCTCAGCTATTGTGGAGGCGATGAGGGTATATTTGTCGTGAAAGCGTTCTAGAGAGGGGGCCCATTTTGCACAGAGGGAGATTTCGCGAAGTGCTTCTTTGTTCGTTTTGCTGGATTCAAGGAGGATCATATCCTTCCGTAGTTGCTCGGCGAAGAGGCGGGCAACAGTTAAGTGGAGGGCACGGTGAAAGGGGTCCGTGGCAAGACGGTTGAGGATGTGTTCATGGCGCTGCGCTTTTGCTGCCTTGGATGCCGCTTTCTGTTCAAGTTCGAGATCAAAGGGAGATTTTTTCTCCCCCTCTTGGGAAGCTTTTGCTCTTCCCCTTCCGCTATGTCTTCTAGCCTGGCCACCCCCTTTGCCCTTCTGTGGCTGACTGCCGTCTGAATTTTTCGGGATTCGATGATCCCTCAAAAGCACTTGATCAGGATCGCTCATATCCAGCTTATCCTCCGCCGATAGGACCAAGACATTCAGCAAATCCTTCCAATATCCATGAGAGCTACCATGGGTAACATCATAGTCATCAACCTCCATCCCATCCCCACCCTCCGTCTTCTCAACTTTCCCAACAATAACTTGCTTATCCCCTTCCCTTTCCTTCGCGTCCTTTTTAACAACAGGCCTATAAAGCCACTTCAAATTTAGCAAGAGTGTCCGTGGATGGTGCTGCCCCAACCAACCTAGATGCGTATAAAACATCTTTCTCTCCCCCTTCCCTAAATGGATACTGCGGACCGCCCAAATAACCTTGAGTGCCATCAACGCATCGATCTGCCACGCCTTTTTGAGTGTTTCCCCCAGTGATCCTTTACCCGTACAATCGTTCTCCCCGCCGCCAACGTGATTAAACAGTTCTAGTAAAGGGGATTGTGTTGACGCATACGCCATCCCCCCGTTTGTCGTTAACATACGGTTTTGCCGCGCCATTTCGTCCTTGTGGGCCTTTTCGCTATCGGGGTCTGTTGCTGCGCGGTCAAGGGCATCGACGAAGACATTGCCAGTCGTCTTTTGCTCTGTGATTCCCGCACTCGCCCTGTCGGAGTCGCCGCCTGCATTGATATGCATGGCGCCCACGGCATTCTCCACATCTACGAGAGCGGGAAGAGCTTTCAAGACATGCATCTCAAAATCTGTGTCGGACATGCGCAGGCATGGGTCTTCTGGAAGAAGGACTGGAAAACTGGAGTCCATTGAACTGGTTTTCACTCTCTTTGCCGGCGGCAGTACTTGATGTGGAGCAATTTCAGCTCTTGGATGCTTCTCCACGCAGTTAGAGGGGTTTTCCATTGTCGATAATTCTTGGTTATTTGATATATATTTCGAATTTTCACTGGGTATATTTTGTTGGTGAGATACGATAAGTCAAATAGAGTATTCGGCCCTTTATTTATCTGTTTTATATAACTTCCCTAGAGATAAAGATATCAAATAATCCGCATAAGCACAAAATTTTTGGATATTTTGAGCTCAGGTAGTAATTTCGCTGCAGACGGGGAGCGCGGGGTTGCAGGAAACTATCGCGATCCCTGGAAACAACACAAATGAAGCAGCTTCGGATCGGATCTTAACAGCGTACGCGAAAGGAAAATCCGTAAGCCAGATTAGCTCCACATGCCACAATCAGAAAGAGAGGAGAGAGGGAGGCCGCGAATTGCTGACCACCACGTCCCTTTTAAAGGTCGACAATGGCCTGATGGCAAGGCCATAAAGAATTCCTACCCCTCCATTTCTACCCAATGTCCCGTTGGCTTTTCGTGAGTCACTGGTATGAACTCAAGAGCCCCGCCAAGGCCAAGCGTGGCGCTCCAGTTTTGAGTTAATAAGGTCTGGGCGTTGCTGATATCGCAGGGTTTTTGAATGATTGCGGCGCTTTCATTATTTGGGCTACCGTTGAGTTCCTTGCCAGTCGTTGCAGCCGATTGCCCAGCCACAAAGTCTGTGTCCTGGAAGCGAAGAAATGAAAATATCGGTGTGTCTTTGCGAAGACGCAAGTAACAGCTGGAAAGAGACATGTGACGAGCAAAACGTTTGTTAGAAATGTAATTATCTACAGAATAAAGGAATTGTATGCAACCAAACAAAGGTAGTAGACATACATAAAAAGTAGGGGGCAATTCAAACCCCTTCCACACCTAATCTGAGAAAAAAAGCACGCAAATTTATTCGAAAAAGAGTCATCAATTCCTTTTAAAGTTAGGGATTTTTGGAAAATAGAGCAAGCAGGTCGGAGTTAGTTCGTTTTCTCCTTCACAGAGACATCTGTATATATATATATATATATATATATATATATATATAGATGTCACATGGCCCTGGTCAAATAAATCAGGGCCTTGTAGGTGTGGATGTTGGCGTGACCTCAAGAGCCAAACGTATAATGTTTCGTATGTGAGATACGATATCAGAAGATTTCCCCCAGTTCCAGTCGAGGCCTGTACCAATCCTCGAATACTGGTTCGAGTATTAGCTAGCTGGAATGGCTTTGGCCAAGAGCAGATCTCAAGTCCTCACTCACCTTGGAATCGTTATCAATTCGGAGGAAGTAGAACTCGACGCCATCACTGCATACTCCATAAACGGTGGCATTCTTCCTTCCGTCCTCTTTCCGTCTCGAATGTACGATACCTGGTCCCAAGGAAATCCGCGAACATCGTTAGCAAACCCAATTCTAATTAATTATTATACGCCTCGGATGAGAACAAGACATTTTATACAAGTTACTGGTCAGAGAGACTCAAGCATACTCATAAGTGCCAAACATTTCCCTTCCCCCTGGCGGGCCGTGGTCTCCCCGCTCACAGCCACCACTACCATATTTGTTGACATCTCCTCTACGGACCCATACCAGAGTGCGAAATCTGCTGTACCATAGAGTAAGCGTGCGCGCCTATTATACTCCACCTCATTGGTAAATGCCGTCTCCACACTCAAACGCACATTCTCCGGTCCTATGGGGTAACAGGAAGAAGGTAGTGTTGGCGATGTTTGTCCAGGAAGTGTTTCAAAGTCAGGAGCGATGATAGACGCATGTGCCGCGACGGCATTACGATATCGTTCCTCTACTGCGAGACAATTAAAGAGAATGAGGTTCAGACGACAGCGGACTAGTCCTTCACTTCTGCGGCCGGAGCTGATGTGATCGAGATCGGATAGGAGGGTGCCTATTCCCGATTAGTTAGTTGTTGAGATTGACAGCGGACCCTACATGTCCAGAAGGCTTGGAAAAGGTACAAATTGTAGTACATAAAGACACTTTCTCAGTTCTATATACAGTATATATACGAGGTAGTGGGAGGGACATGTAATGAAGGGAGCGAGCCGCTTACCCAAGCAGTCCGGTACCGTACAGATATCCACAGACGGCAAATCCCAAATTCTTGGATCCTTATCACACTCTAATTTAAACATCGCAATCACATCTTCTGGTCTCATTTCATCTGCCGGGAGCTAGAGGAAGAAAGTAAATACAGAAGAATACCTCAGTTAGCGCCAACGCCAACGCCAGCTGCTGTCCTATTTCATGAACAGGACGATCATCATTGCGCCACGAAGTCGGCGAGAGAGAGAGAGGCACGTACTATATCCTGCATCACCTGATTAATTATTTCGATACGTGTGAGGAGCAAATTGCGAAAGTCTGTGGGGAGCAGTGGGGATAGTTTATCCCTAAGCCAGCACACGAAGTCCATGCAGTGCCGGGTGACTAACGGATGCATATTTGCTCTGCTTTTGTGAGTGGTTTTAAAAGCACACGCTGACAAGGTGAGTTAGAATGTAACAAGAAATATAAAAAGGAAATGTAGATGGGAAGGGTAGAAGTATATTCGAATCTTGAAACTATGAAAGATGCCAAATAAAGATTTATGGAGACAAAGCAGATTATAGTTGGCATTAGAGATTGAATGAGGAAGGATAGCGGGACAAATGCCATTTCGCACCTTCCGCCGGTCCTCCATATGGACATTGAGAGTCGACGGAAGGCACAAGGCCAACTGTTAAATTTGAAATTTCTGGAAAGGAGGTGGGGTCGATGTCCTTCTGCGAGGAGAATATATAAAATCTCAAGCATGGAAATATGCCTAGATCATGTAGAGACATGTATCGATTTTCATTGTCTCCAGAGCATCAAACAGGTTGGTTTAATTGGGAGGCCGCGATATGGTATAACGTAGAGACATATGTCCTGTTTGACCATTTGTCGGACGATTTCGCAAAGTAGAAGTTTTGAGACGCTCGTTGATATTGAGACCTGGCTACACTAGGCAGTTTTTGCTATATATAAAGCTAGATGGCACTGGCATACAGACCATTCCAAATAATCTCGCGGCCCCCCACACCAGGGGCGTTGATGCGCTACCATGGTTTGACCTCTCCGGGACTTGGTGGCTCTATCCGGACAACTTTATCGGCATTCAAAAGTGATAGCGGGTCGAAAGCTTGTTTCAACTGAACCGGGATAAGAAAAAATTATTAGCAAGCGTGTGTAGATCATGGCCTAGGTAGCCTTTTTGGTTTCATTTTTACAAAATATAGGATGTATGGGCACAAAGAAAGTGAAAAGGAAGAGAGAAACAAATAAACAAGAGAGGAAACTCACCCTTCGCATTGCGTCCACTGTCGATTCACCAAGTTCATGTGGAAGATAGTCACGTTTAATGAGACCTACACCATGCTCGCCAGTCACGGTTCCTTCCATTTCCACGGCCCTCTTGACCATGCGATGAATGACACCTTCAACAGTTTCACGCTCCGCTTTGTTATACAGAAGTATAGCTATCACACATATAATTAGTATTAAATATACAAGCTGGAGCAGAAGGGGGAAAAAGGGGGCAGTAATTTTGAGGTATTATGCATATATATTATCTCACCGTGGAAATTCCCATCCCCAACATGGCCGCAAATACCCGCGAGCAAACCATGCTTTACGATATCCTCCTTAGTCTGCTCGATGATATCTGGAAGCCGGCTGATGGGGACAGCAACATCAGTCGTCCATACGCGATCGTCAGGGTTCTGTTTCATTGCCATGATGCTCCACAGAGCCTCCTTTCTTGCACTCCAGAGCTCTAACTTCTCCTCCTCATTGCGAGCGAATTCGAATGATTGGCTTTTCGTTGAGACAGCAAGGTCCCTCACGAGGGAGATTTGCTCTTTGATGCCCAGGGGTGTACCGGTGAATTTAAGAAATAGCGTAGGTGATTCTTTCCATGTCCGACTTGTAGATTGGCTAGCATTGATGCATTTCATCTGAACATCATCCAGAATTTCAATGCCTGCAAGGGGAATTCCTTCTGCTACGATCTTGGCTACACATTGAGCTGCATTGTGGATAGTCGGAAAGGAAGCAACAGCGACGCTTTCACTTTTGGGTTTGACTGTCACTTTTAAAGTTGCCTCCGTGATCAGGCCTAGGGTACCTTCGCTGCCAATGAAGAGTTTCGTCAGGTCATATCCAGCACTTGATTTGCGCGGGCGTTGTCTGGTCTTGATTATGGTTCCATCGGCGAGAACGACTGTTAGCGAGACAACCCATTCTCGCATTGTTCCATAACGATACGCGTTGGTTCCCGAACAGCCAGTGCCAATCATCCCGCCAATCTCCGCTCCGGGCCCTGGATCTGGAGGGAAGAAGAGACCCTGTTTAGCCAATTCTTCATTCAGGTCCTCCCAGCCCACTGCTGGCTGAACCACCACGTCCAAGTCATCCTTGTGCAAAGCAAGTATCTTGCCCATACGCCGGAAATCAACGCAGATACCCCCTCGCGTAGATGTAACATGCCCTTCTAAACTAGTTCCACCGGAATATGGCGTCACCGGAATAAGTCGTTCGTGACAGATTTTCATGATCCGAGAAACTTCTTCGGTTGTCGAGGGGTATACGATCAAAAATGGCTTTTCATTTTCCTTGTAAGCGTAGGATGACCACTCTGAGCCAGCATGGGCGTCGACATCGTGGTTCGTGGTGGAAACGTTCTCCTTACCGACGATCTCCACGAGGTCTGCCCATGCGGCTTGGAGGTTTGAGGGAGAGGTGTCATGTCGCGGAGGGCGGGTAGCAGCCAGGGGACTCGTGGAAGTGGTGGGGATACTGGCGGGTTTTAGAGATCCAAGATAGTAGCAGCCCAACGATGCGGATATAAGCACTGCGAAAGTCATTTGTCAATTGGCCCTAGAAACACTCCGATGTAAAGGGATTAGCCGTGCAAGCAGATCCACGTACCCACTGTCATTGCAAAAGCACGAATGCCTGGAGTTGTGTCGTGTTGAGCTCTAGCATATCGAGCTTGCTCTGCCCGCTCTCTGATCAATCGCTGTTGTGTGCTCTCATATAGCTGGCCCTTGAACGATGGCCTGTCCTCTCCACACCGCGAAGTGGTCCCAAACCGTCTTGTCGGTTGTCGAAAGCATCGTGCGAGGGTAGGCTGTGCGGCGGAGACGGACGTTTGTTTTGTATGGTGAACAGCCCGCCGAGCTATCGAAGTTGCGGATTGGGTACGGAACATGGTGACAAAATAAAAAAATGTCACGATGACATTAAAAGGCAAGCCAGAGAATATAATATTGTATTCCAGGCCTATTTCAATCCAGCCAGTCAGCCAGCCAGTCACCTATGAGGTTGATAGCTTGCGCCCAATGTAAGAAGATACCTTAATTGGCCTATCCGCGATTTAGCTTAGTTAACTAACCTGCCTACGAACGGACTGATATCAATACTAGTATGATATGCGACAGGCAGCATATTTGGCCCGCCACGGGAAATTGCTACCATTGGCCTTTAAGTCGGATACAGATACATAGTAAACATTGCTGTTTCATAGACATATATACTAACATTGGAAATCCACCTTGAGAATTTGATGATTTCGGCGCAGTTCCATGCTATATAGCCTCGGTGTAATGTTACCTGACCAGCTTGCGGAAAGCTTAACAACCTCTGCCAGGTGCTAGTTACACCCCACGCCTTGCTCCTGGACTACCGGATGCACTTACGAACGGAAACTCAGTGCTGCATCTTCACAGAGCAAAACATAGCGTGATGAACGATCCGTTGCATCATCTATTTTGACAAGACCCCTACGCAGATCAATAGCTGCGTGTCCATCCCCTTGCGGGGTATTTGAATCCTGTGCTCGCCTTGTTGCATAGAATGCGGATTGTCGGACCATCCCCGCGTTGCGCTCAGGTTGAGGTAGGCTTCTTGAGCTTCTTTCGCACACACACGATATATCTATATTCCGCATCTTGCTTCCAATCGGCTTCTTGAGAGCTTGAAAATACCCAAGGGTATATCCCAACCACTAGATACGAGTATATCTATAACACATCTTCATAGCGTCGAGCCAGAATGACCGAATGCCGCGTTATCCCCCTCAACAAGGGCTGGGTTTTCAGGCAGGCAGACGATGAAAAAGCAGAGTTTTTGCCCGTTTCCCGGTTCCCGACTAACGTCCACCTGGACCTGATGCACCATGGACTCATCGCAGACCCTTTCCTTGGCAAGAATGAATTCGATGTGCAATGGGTTGGAGAGAAAGCCTGGGTATATACCACCTCCTTCGATACTCCGGCGCTCAAAGGAGGGGAAAAGGCAGTTCTGGCATTCGGCGGTCTCGATACACATGCGACTGTGCGCCTGAATGCCACGAAGATCCTCGAAACGGAAAACATGTTCATACCTGAGCGTATTGATGTTACGGAACTGCTTCGAGAATCGAATGGCCCAAATGTGTTAAACGTCACGTTTGAGAGCACGTTTCTACTCGGAAAAAAGATCAAAGAGCAGTATCCAAACCATCACTGGACTTGTTGGAATGGAGACTCCAGCCGCCTTGCCGTGCGGAAGGCGCAGTACCATTATGTATGGTTACTATATCTCCCCCGACTCGCAATTACTATGACTGACTTATTTATCCTCATGTAGGGCTGGGACTGGGGCCCGACTCTCATGACCTGCGGACCCTGGCGCCCTGTTAATCTCGAAATATACAGTGCTCGCATTTCAGATCTCCATTTCCGACAAAATGTGGAAAAATCCCTGAAACAAGCAGAATTAGTTGTCACTGCAGAGGTAGAAGGTGACGCAGAGAGCGTGACATTTCACATCGAATTAGATGGCGAAGAGAAAGGTTCAGAGACAGTCGATATCAAGGATGGTGTCGCAACTATGACCTTCCATGTTCAAGACCCCCAGCTATGGTACCCATGGAGATATGGCAATCAGCCCCTCTACACGCTGTGTGCGACCGTATCATCGAATGGAGTAAAACTCCATTCCACAAGCAAACGCGTAGGCCTTAGGAGAGCAGAACTTATCCAAAGAAGGATGGACAATACCGATGGCACTTCTTTTTTCTTTGAGATTAACAATATCCCCATTTTCTGTGGAGGGAGTAACTGGATTCCCGCGGACAACTTTATTCCCCGTATTTCGCGCCAAAAGTACTACGACTGGGTAAAGCTGATGGTTGACGGCAATCAGGTGATGGTCAGAGTCTGGGGGGGTGGTATATTTGAGGAACAAGCCTTTTACGACGCCTGCGACGAGCTGGGTCTATTGGTCTGGCAGGACTTTCTTTTCGGATGTGGAAACTATCCAGCCTTCCCTAGCTTCCTAGAAAATGTGAAGCGTGAAGCGATTGCAAATGTCAAGATTCTCAGACATCATCCGTCAATTGTGATACTGGCCGGAAACAATGAAGACTACCAGTTCGCAGAGAGCGAGAAGTTGAAATGGGACCCCAACGATAATGACCCTATCAGCTGGTTGAAATCCGAGTTTCCAGCACGATATATTTACGAAAAGATCTTGGTTGACGTGACGAAAGATTTGATACCAGATACGTACTATCATTACGGCTCGCCCTGGGGTGGGAAGAGTACAGCTGACCCTACAATCGGAGATATCCACCAGTGGAATGGTATGTATAGCAATATCCATCTAGCAATCTAATAAATCAATCTAGTAATAATAATTTTATCGTATATGTAGTTTGGCACGGCAGTCAAGAGAAATATCAAGATTTTGATAAACTCTGCGGCCGATTCATCTCTGAATTTGGCATGCAGGGCTTTCCCGACATGAGAACCATCGATGGCTACCTAACTGGTGGTATATCGGACCCTGAAAGACACCCCCAATCGTCCACCGTCGATTGGCACAACAAAGCCGCAGGCCACGAGCGCCGCCTTGCAACCTACCTAGCCGAAAACATCAAGTACAACCATGAGCCCTTCGAACAGTATGTCTACGCTACACAGCTCATCCAAGCGGAATGCCTCTCTACTGCATACAGGCTCTGGAAACGCCAATGGAAAGGACCGGCCCGTGAATACTGCGCCGGTGCTTTGGTCTGGCAAATGAACGACTGCTGGCCCGTTACGTCTTGGGCCATTGTCGATTACCACCTGCGTCCTAAACCTGCGTACTACTCCGTGAAGCGCGAACTGGCTCCTATCACGATAAGCTTGAAGAGGACATCCCACACAGAATACGTGGACAAGTACACCAACGTTTATTTCAAGACAACGCACAAAGTCGAGGTGTGGGCTACGAATCTCACGGCTGAACCGAGAAATGTAAATGTGGTGCTTAAGACCTGGGACTTGATCACAGGCGCCGAAACTTCCTCTGAAGTACTGAAGAGCCGTTTCCTTCTGAAGGAGAATAGGAGTACGGAGATTACTGAGTTCAAAATACCTGTAAAGGGCAAAAAAGGAGAGACCAAGGATGGAGAGGAGGTAAACCGTACCATTGTTGCGGCATACCTGATCGAAAACGGCATGCAAGTAGCGCGCTACGTCAATTGGCCGGAGCCGCTCAGGTATGCTGCCTTGCAGGTCCCGAAGAAATTGCAAGTGACGGTTTCTGAGGATGGGAAGCAGGTAGGGTTGTCAACGGACTTGCCGGTGAAGGGTGTTGTGATTAGCACTGACGAAGACATCGTGGTATTTGAAGATAATTGTGTGGATTTGGTTCCTGGGGAAACAGTTTATCTTGGAGTTAAGGGGCTGGAGAAAGGCCAGGAGGATAAGATTTCTGTGAGGTATTTGGGATCGCTGTGAGAGCACCAAGGGTTTGTTACTTGTAACAATGATAGGCTGAGTGAACTCGTTTGTAGGCTCTTGTGGTTTTTTTTTAAAAAAAAACTATTGCTTGTCTTCGCTTATTTGCTCAGTTGTTTTGCCGTCTTTAGATGCCTTGTTTCCAAGCTTGAAGATAAACATAGTTTTGGACTTTTGTTGCCCAAGCTTTTTCCAACAGCAAATGACGTCGTGATTTTACTCAAGCCTGTGGAGTCAAACCCTGTTCCCGGCAGCTACGGACAGATAAAGGTCTAGAACATCGCGAAACTTGCCTCAATCGATCTTGTTCATCTTAGCCATCTGCCAGGTGGTAATGTGTTGTTGATAAAGGCACCAACCCGCTGCATCATCGATGAACTTCCCCCGCCCCCGAAATCCTGGCATCTTTCCCACACACATTTTCATTTATTGCACGTACTATCCATATCATCGATTTGATGATTTCCCGCCGTGTATCTATCAAATATTATTCTGGTTTGCCAGTATAAGCGCATAAACACTTTTGCAAACGGAACACCATGGCTAATGACGCACCTAAGGTAGGCTCTCTATTGCTCTTGTGCGGGTGGATTCAATTAAGTTGCTTTTTAGGCCGTATTGCTCCATATTGCGTTATAAGGATGTTTGCACTATTTTACTAAAACATAAAGCGGCAGGCTAATCGGAAACATATTGCGGAGTGCAGAACCTCTCCTTCATTCTGGAGGGTATAAAGAAAGTCTCTTACCAAGATAGGCCCGTCCCAGCCATCAAAGAACCCCACGACGTGCTGGTGCAGGTCAAATTCACTGGTGTCTGCGGCAGCGACGTACGTCCAAAGTCCTCAAAATCTCCTTCCACTCGAGGACCGCCCAAACAAAATGAAACACCACCTCCTAACCACGTCACGCACAGGTCCATTATTGGGAGCACGGCTCCATCGGGCCCTTCACCTTAACTTCGCCAATGGTCCTAGGCCATGAATCTAGCGGGATAGTCACCTCCGTCGGCCCAGCCGTCACAAGTCTACGGCGCGGTGACAATGTTGCCCTCGAACCGGGCGTCCCTTGCCGACGCTGCGAACCCTGTCTCGGCGGCAAATACAATCTGTGCCTCAACATGGCCTTCGCCGCCACGCCGCCAATCGACGGCACGCTGGCCAAGTACTACGTTCTACCCGAAGACTTCTGCCATAAACTACCCGCGAACGTCGGGCTTGAGGAGGGTGCCCTGATGGAGCCACTCAGCGTAGCGGTGCATATTGTGAAACAGGGGCGTGTGCAGCCGGGCCACTCTGTGGTTATATTTGGCGTGGGCCCTGTGGGCCTGCTGTGCTGTGCGGTTGCGAGAGCGTTTGGGGCGTCGAAGGTCATTGCAGTTGATATCCAGCCTGCCCGGTTGGAGTTTGCAGCACAGTATGCTGCTACGGGCATTTATGAGCCGGTTCAGGAGGGGGGTGCGGAGCAGAGTGTACAGCTTTGCTTGCAGCATGGGCTGGGTCGCGGGGCAGATGTGGTCATCGATGCCTCTGGGGTGGAGGCATCTGTACATATGGGCATCCATGTTCTAAGAACTGGTGGAACGTATGTGCAAGGGGGAATGGGGAGGGATGTGGTTTCGTTCCCGATCGTGGCTGTTTGTACGAAGGAGGTGGATGTTCGCGGTAGTTTTCGGTATGGGAGTGGCGATTATAAATTGGCACTGACGCTGGTAGAGGAGGGAAAAGTGGATGTTAAGAAGTTAGTAACGGGAATCATGGCATTTGAGGAAGCGGAGCAGGCGCTTCTGAATGTGAAAGCGGGAAATGGGATTAAGACACTTATTCGTGGAGTGGAGAATTGAATTCTAGCTGGACTTGTATTGTATGAAAAGGAGTTTGGGGGGAGGGGGGGGGGGGGGGGGATTCCCTCTCTTGAGTCCTGAAAATCACTCAGATCGTGATTATGCATTTAATATAATATCCAAGGCGAAATGAATAAACATTTCTATTTCTCTATTCTCATTTGATCTGCGGCATTTCTAACAAAAATGAGGTCAATATAAAACAGGAAATACTTGGTTTCCCCTCGCTCGATTCCAAATCGTTTATTATTGATTAAGTATGTATGGTTATGTGTTGTGCGGCGACGTGACATGGTCATTGGACAAAAAAGGCAACAGGGTATTAGGGAGAAAAGGTAAAGCCAGAAAAGGAAATGACCGCCTAACAGTGACTCCGAAATGGTAAAATGACGACGGATAGTACATGATGAGTGTGGAAATGACAGTGACAATGAATAGCACGGATCTAAGAAACATATCAAGATGAGAGACGCAAGTGCAAATGTACCATAATTCCGGAGTCGTCGGGGCTGGTGCTGTTATTAGTATGGAGCGAGTGTTTGTTGCAGAATGCAATATGCAGAGGCGGACGATGAGCATCGTGCCGTGTTGTGCGCGGAACCGTATTGTGTGAAGGAAACAGTTAGTGAGTCAATGGAAATGTAGACCAAAGAAGGCAAGGCAGCATCATGGATATTGGACGAGAGGATCGGTACTGAAATTGGATGTGTGCGGTGTAATCGAGGACCGGAAAGTTCGGGAGGGAATGCAATTGAGGTGAGGATGAGGGAGTAGGTCGCGCAGCGACAACATATCCAGCTTGCATTTCTGTGATTAGCCAGCCCAGGGTAGAAAATCGTCAACTTCCAACAGGATTTCCCCGTCCCAGAACGGCCGCAAGATATTAACAACACCTCCCCCTCCGGGTGTTCGATCCGCCCAGCCTGAACACATCTTCCCACTCTCTCATTCCCGATGCCCACCCGTTCCCTGCGCCGCGGTTCCAGGCCTTTCTCCTCCGTATCTGCGTCATAGAGTCATCGATTGTGATCCCGCTCCGCACGCTACCTCCATCGCTCGTGCCAGTGCCGTACATTCCTCCATCCCCATACTGAATACCACTCTGGGGATCATCAGGGTCTATCTCGCCCAATTCGATCTTGGTAAGGATGATCCGCGCGAGCCGGTTGAACAGTTCATCCACATTGTCCCCGGATAAGGCGGATACTTCCACTGCAACAGGTATATTGGATTTCGCCGCCCACCGCGACGCTTCTTCTAGCGGCACCTCACGCCCTTCCGCGGCCACTGTTGCTGTCATTCTCGTACCGACCAGCGGCCCGTTGATGGATCGCAGCGATCCTCCACCAGAATCGAAAGGGAATGGAGACTGTCTGCTTGACGTACTTGATGGTGTGGGGGGTAGACGCAGGAAATCGTCATCGTAGTCCCCCCCACCCAGGGACATGGTATCCTGGGAAAGCAGGTCGCTTTTGTTTCCGGCTAGGAGGATCGTTAGATTCGGGGAAGCGAGTGCTCTAGCATCCATGAGGAAAGTAGGGAGAGCGGAAAAGGAAGCATGTGATCCGACGTCGTAGATCAGGATCGCGCCAGCGGCCCCTCGGTAGTACGAGCGTGAAACGGAGCGGAATCGCTCGGTTCCAGCTGTATCCCATAGCTGCAGTTTTATCCGTTTCCAGTGCGAGCCGGTTCCTATCTTTACGATTTTGGAGGAGAATTCGACCCCGATTGTTTGGGAGGAGAGAACGCGCCCTGGACATCCGGGGTTGCGTTAGTAGATGCGGTTGAATGGTTAAGGAGTTCAGAGGCCCAGATGACATGGTTGCGCATGAGGGTAAGGAAGTGCGACTGAGTTGAGGGCGGGAAATGGGGTCGAGCATACATTCGTTTTTGACAAAGCGATGTAGGAGACAGGATCTGGCAAATGCATATGATACGTCAGCAACAGGTACTTTTGGTAACTATATCGTTCGATGGGAATAGAAGACACTTGGCGCATAGGGTAAAATCTTCAAGAAAATGAGCGGAGGGAGGACAGACTTTCCAGCGCCGCTTGGTCCGAGAAGAATCACCTTCGCTAGGTAATCGTACATGCTATCAAGCTCCTTCACAACTCCCGACAGTGATTAGTATCGGAATGTCTGTCAGGAAACGCTGACCAGCCAGACGTGGGGGTGGGGTTTCTATACTTACTTGATGTCGCTCTGGGAGAGACGAGGCGGAGGAAGCATTGGACAGTCGCCTATGGCGCGCCATGGCGTCTTCACCTACGGCTAGAAAGACAGCAGAATGGTCGTGGAGGAGGATGATTGCGGAATCCGAGTTGGATGTCTCGTGGGGATATCTCGAAGTCACGCACCGGTGTGGCTGGTGGGGTCAACCACAGAGACGAGGCGCAGTCTCTGCCAGGTGTCACCCAACCATCCAATACTTGGACTTGGATGCACATGAACGGATGAACTGGCGGTGGGACATGAGTTTGCACAAGATCGTCTCCTGTGTATAGACCATAGACCAGACCATAGACCATAGGCCGCCTGCCATCTTGCATAGATGTCCTCAGTTTGCTTTCAAGTTTCGTTCTTTGGATAGTGCTCGATCACAACCACGCTGGACCGGCGCCTCGGTACAACCGAGTCCAAGAATGGACTCACGTACTCGTTATTAACACGAGAGCGACGCGCGAGGTTGTTAATGCCTTGAGACAAAGGTTCCTGCTTTGATGATTTGCATTTGCCTCCCATTGCGGCCAGCCAATATTAGAAAAATATTGCTTGAGGCGGTTGATGTTGCTATGCAAACGTCAATTATAAAATCCATATAGAACCAACTCCTTTCCATCTAGTGGTCTTTATTCGTGTTCTTTTTGATATATTCGTTTGCTCTCTCCCGCTTGTCGCTGTATTGCGTTCGATTTTTCGACTGTGTGTGAGTATGGCGTTGTCCCTGCTTCAAGTTCCGTCCTTCCCGTCGTATACGGGACCACATCAGGTGGGCACTGCAGAGTTTGAAATTCCCGTGTCTTCTCTTGAATCGCCGGCACCTACCCCAAAATCAGATATACCTCTTCCTACAATTCTATTCCGCATATTTTATCCTGCCGATGATGTTGAACCAACGTCGAGACCTATGTATTGGATTCCAGATCCGCAAGCAACCTTTATTGGCGGGTTGGCGGAACTTCTAGGAGTCCCAAAACGACTATCGAATATATTAGGGTACTATAAACCAATCCTCTTATATCATTCGTGAGACTTGATTTCCCGTATTCTGATTTTTCAAATACGACAGGCTACTCCCAAGCACAGTCAAATGGACGAAGATACCTGCATTTAGGGATGCACCCTTGAAAGCCTCGACACTCCCCTCAAAACGTTGGCCAGTCATGGTCTTTTCCCACGGCATCGCGGGGTCAAGGTATATGTATAGCTATATCCTTGGTTGCCTGGCCAGTTACGGGATTGTCATCATTGCCCCTGAACACCGGGATGGAAGCAGTCCCAGCTCGCTTCTCCGAAACGCTCATGGCCAGGTTACCGAAAAGGTTCCATACCAACGAATGAAGCACGTTTTCGACCCAAATATTCTCCAAAGGCGACATGCCCAGTTGCGCATCCGATTCTGGGAATTGGGTCTCGTGCACGATGCACTTCTCAAGATGGATGCGGGAACCGAGATTCCAAATTTTGTGCAGATGAAGGGCGCGAAAAGTCCCGTATTTTCTTCTAGTCTTGACATTCATTCTCCCGGCAGCATTGCGTGGGCGGGCCATTCATTCGGTGCCGCAAGTGTCGTCCAATTTGTCAAGTCTATCTACTGGGGCCACCAAATCTGCAAGGATCCATCATCGATCTCAGCAGAGCCATCCTTTTCGCAATACCGCCCCTTGTACGAGCCTCGACTAGATAGCGAAATCGTTTCACAGGTGATTCCGACCTCGCCCCTTATCCTCCTCGACCTCTGGAACCTCCCTTTGTTAGGGGATGATGTAAAATGGCTCTGGGAAAAGCCGTTGCCATGCTATGCAGAAACAACCGAGGGCCAGCCGCAATCGCCGAGTGTTTTGGCTATCCTGAGTGACGAGTTTTTCAAATGGAAAGCCGGATTAAAGGCTACTCGACATGTGTTGACTTACCACCCCGCACCTGGGTCCGATGATCAGGGCACTGCAGAAGTTGGCAAGCAACAGCCGAAGGTCTTCTATACCGTCAATTCGGCCCATTTGAGCCAGTCAGACATTGGCCTCGTATTCCCATGGATGATGAAAAGATGGGGAAAAGCTGAAGAGCCCGAGCGAACGATGCAGCTGAATGTTACGGCAATTATACAGATGTTGAGAGAATGCGGCGTCCCATTCGATCTGGACGAGGACGTGAAGTGTGCCTTGGAAAATGTCGCAGACCCTACGCTCGACCACTGCGATAAGGATTCCCAAAACGGGAATGGTGGCAAACAAAGCGGATTCCATCCAATTATTTTTTCAGCGGATGGCTCTGTTCGAGGCTGGTTGCCAGTATCTTTGGCTGACGATACGCCCTCAGTTCCAGAATTTGAAGTTCGAAGTCCCCCAAAACTTTGATTAGACTCGGAATAGTTCTTAATATTTCCCTCGCTTTGAGACTTCCCTCAGAGATATTGAATGACTTAGACACCACTATGTTTATCGGCTTATCTTTCTTTTCTTCTTTGCTAACCCCTTCTCGTGTGTGAATGTACGGTGTTCACAAGGAGTCATATTTGCCGAGCGGCATTTACCCATTACCACAAGGATGCTTCATCATAATACTATATTTTTATTTTAACACTAAACCGTACATCCATTTCTGTTGATTGAATTAAAATGAGCGTAAATTTTGATTTATTTATCTCTTGTTTGCCGAGCGCAACGCAACAATTATTTGCACGCTTTTGATTACGAATTAGAACGAAGGGGATCCCTTAATCGGGTTACGGTTGAAGGTGGTTCAAATTTTCTAAAGTGGGGGTTCGAAGTCTTGACCGGGAAATCCGTCTGTATTCACATGGGGTAACAGGTATTTGATCCTTTGACCAACAGCGTAACTGTAAAATCCCTGCTGCACATAATTCTGTGGCTTTGCAAACTCGTTCTTCCCAGTCTGGTGTTCCTTTCATGATGCAGGGTGGTTGATTAGAGAGGGCTGAAAACTGAAGGATTGTGCATTCGACAGCTAGAAATTGGTGAAAATTCCATGATCATGATTTACGTAGATGAGACCGCGGATGGATGAGCGCTGTGATGAAACCACAAATTCCTCTCGCTCCATATAGATTTGCGGAATCATGCTTTTTGGCGCATTGATGGACTGCGAATCAGAAAACCCACGAACAAATGGATGCTAGGATCGAGCCACCCTCCAGATACCCTAGTACGAGAAAATTGACTGAATAACGCTGCAAAAACCTCTGATTTTAAAGTAGACGACGTCTGGTATGGGGCAGTTGCCAACCTTGGATTTGGCGATGCACTAGACGTCAAGTTTGTGGAATTTTAGAAGAACACTATGGAAAAACGTCCACTCAGGTGATGAGGTAAGAAAGAAAGCCCGCATGGCGTTGATATGCCTTATTAGCAAATATGCGCTGTTGCTTCGATTAAGAAATATCAAATACCCTGTGGATCGGCTGCAGATACGTATCGGCCTTTGTTCATGTCCATTCATGGAAGGAAATCTAGGTTGTTACGGGAAACGAACAGGGCACCAGGGATGTCCCATTCGGTACAGCTGCTCCCCAAGAGCAAATAAGCTTTTTAGAGGCTCGGGGTAAGTAAATTCATAATGGTTGAAAGAGAGTCACGCTATCCCAACGCAACCGATCCAACCAAGGTAGCTGAAGCCCTCACTGAGATGGTCAGAAAGTATGAGAAACCGTTGTCGATATGGCACGGCGATCATCAGCAAAGACAGCTCCTGCGACTGAGAGGAGTCACACATTGTCACATTAGCAAGCTCAGCATACAATGTAGCTCACTACTTACTAGTAATTTTAATATTAAAATTCTTTCTCAAAATGATTTAGCGGTGATTTCGGGCATACCACAGATTGATATATCTACGTCATAGCATCATATTAAGTGGATAAAAAAAAGTCTATTATTTGTGCATGCATACCACCCCAACTTTACGGTCCCAAGGGTGGATTTATCTCTCCGCGATTTGTATTTCCATATTAGTATATAGGATGTGCAAGGGCTTTTCTGTACACATCCATGTCCTATTCCTAAATTCTAATGTTGCCATATTTTGTTGTGATATGCCGAGCAAGCGACCCACCTCCTGGCCCACTCCAAACCTTAATTTTAAGCTTAACTTACCCCTGAACAAACGTTCAGTCGAAAAAAAGAAAAGCCGTCATCGTTACATGCCAAATTTTCATCCCACTTAAATTGTAATAAATCCCTCAGGTTACAGGTAAACGAGGTTCATACAGTTGCGGTCCAAATTGTCGACATGTGCTAGCAAGTAAGTAAGAAATGCAGGGTTCAATGTTTTTAGTTGAAAAAAAGAGAAAAAAGTATTCTGTTATCTCTTAACTATCTGTATACTTCTAGGTGCTTTTAGAGGCCTCCCTACGCCATGTCTATAGCAGCCAACCTCTCAATCCAACCAACTATCTCCCTCCTCCTGCTTCCAATATATACAAGATAATGACGGATGGAGTATCTTAGCTCGTTTGCAGAGAATGGTTTCAATTTTCAGAGTCGTCATCACAAGTTCTGTTTTTATAAGTAAAAAGGGGGAGATGAAAACGGAAAGGTGCGGTAAAGAAACAGTAATAAATGGGACAAATACCATCAAAAAGAGAATGCCAAATTCAATCCGCCCTGAGGCTAACTCCCAAATCCCGTGACAGTCATAATATAAAAGTTACTAACTAATCATCGCTTTAGAAGGAACGTTACCCCTATCTCAATAACCCAAATAGCAAAGTAGAAAAAACGTATCTCATAGACATCATCTCGAATCCAATCTGTTCCCTAATCTTCACCTCGTCCCTTTAAAGAAATATCGTTCAAGAGTTTGCTTCATTTTCTTGAATTTAATAGTAAGATCATTTTTAAATTAGAACTGGAGGATCCTAATATATTGATTCAAAATAAGCAGGGGCAAAAAGGCTAACAAAAGGAAAATCCATACCTAAGAAAAGGTCGGTGCAACGTGTCATTCAGGATAGACTGAGAAAAAAATTGTTGTAAGACTTCCCATATTCGTGACATGTATTATGCCTCCAATCCCAGAAAGCCACACTGTGAAAATTGCGAAATTATTTCGAAAGCTCGAAAATCTAGGGATTTAAAAGATATAAATAAGATATAACGACAAATTCAGATTTTTACCCGTTTCGTTCAGTGGTGTCGCTCATGGAGATAGACAATGGTAGTCCATCCGGCACAGCAAGTTTTAACCATCCGATGTGCGCACCAGCAGCATGTTACTGTGAAGTTATTCGAAGACGAAGAGCTGGAGGACGAGGGGCGGGAACATCGCGGCGATTTATTATCTGGTGCATTATTGGATCCCCCTGAACTTGTTTCGGTGAAGGTACTACTGCTACCTCCACCATGCGCAACGAACCCACTGCTGGCCATCGGGTGCTGATGTTGGTGCGGACTGTGGCTATCATCGGTTATCATGTGCTCGATGGGTGGGGGACCGTTGGGGAAGGCAAGTTTAGCATAGACGTCTGATGGCATGTCATGCCAGTATCTACACTGGCAGCAGATCACGAACATCTTGGCAACAGGTGTCCCCCTCCGGGCAGGGTGTTGAACTGAGACCCGACCATTTCCAAAGTTACTGGCAAAGCTTCGCCTGCTGGATGAATCAGGGCGGGAGTCGAAAGTTGGCCCTGATGGGATTTGGTGGTGTCGTTCAGAGGCCTTGAGGTGGGAATCGCTGGATGTCAATGAATTAGTAGTCGCTTGCTTTGTAGGGGGAAATGAGGAGGTTATCGTAGTTGACTGGTTGTTTGAAGATAGGGTAGGAGATGCGTGGCCAGAGGAAGGCTTAAGAATAGATCGCTCTTTCCCTGGGCCGTGGGGTATGTGATTCTTGCTGATGTCTATCGAGATGGAGCGTTTCTTTTTCCCTGGTGTCTCAGTTCCATTGCTCGAAATGCTCATAGTTTCTACGCCACTGGCAGAGCTAGGGCGAGTATTGGTTGGAGTTGGGAATATTCCACTATTGCGTTTGGGGGACTTGGGAGGGATTTTGATGTCGTTTAACATATCATTGCTGGCTGGGGGGCAGAGGTTAAGCTGTCTGGAAGATGCACTGGTAGGCCGTGATGTAATTTCTGGCTTGGATCCCGCAAAGCTGGACAACTCGGAAGTATCTTGTTGCTTCTGCAACACATTTGATCCGGACACCGTCACTTTTGGTAGTTTTGCCTTACCAGTTGTGTTTACCAGTTTACCTTTCATCGAATAACGTCGACTGAAGCCAGCCGAATTCTTTTCTTTCTTGCTCCCATGTCTCAAGATCCGTGAGAAAGAGAACCCTAACTTTTCATGGTTTGATTTGGAAGAGGCGCCAGCACCTCCCTCGTTAGGTATATTCCCTGATTCCATAGTACTTTCTTCGTCTTGGTTATTCAGAGGCGGTCCGGCTAATGGGGAGGATTTAAATGGGACGTCACGATTTATTATTTTTGGTGGTATTCGCATGGGGTTTTCACGTTGTCTCAAGCTAGGAGCAATCACCGCTAGCTCCATGTTGGGGGAATCGGTTATCGTTGCCGTTTCTGGGGTATCAATTGGATCGATCGGTAGTTCTGTTGGTGTCATATTCGGAAAAGATTCAGGTTGCACCTGCGGAAAATCTCCAGCAGCGCCTATATTTTCAGGTGTGACAAGCCAGCTAGCTGGTGAGAGAGAAGGGTCAGATTGAGCAGCATGGCTTCTGAACGCCGCACTGGGCCCATAGTTGGATTCGTAAGGTCCACTAGTTTTGAACTCTTCCACGTCCCCGTTCACTGTTATATGAGAAGATTCCCGACCATGAGCGCGGCGCTTTAGAGAGACCCCGGCGATCCGATCAGAGTAGGTTAATATTTCACTCCATGAATGACTTCGTCCATGCTTACGGTGACTCTCTGTAGGCCTGTACGTTGTCTTTTGTGTACGGTTGGAAGGGGATATCATCGAAATAGTTGATGACGTTTCTTGCTGTTCACTTGAACGGTTTGCATTATTTTCAGTGTGTTGAGGATTAGACGCTTCATGATCTTGTTGACTGGATGAGGGATCCGGGGGGCCAATATTCTCGTGGGGCTCGACAACTGTAATTCGTGAACAATTTTGCGGGCTGGGAGAAAAGATCCCTGCGGTAGTATGGAAATGACTGCTTGTAGGGGTTGATGGCACACTTTGCCTAGTTTTCCGGCTAGATATTGTGCCATTTTCATTTTCCTTATTTGCGGAACTTCTACGTGATGAATACATATGGGGCTCATATTCCGCTTTGAGAGACCTACGTTGGAGCTTCCTTCCGTTAGAATTTGATAGCCGGCGGGTAAGCTCCTGACTCCAGGACGATCTAGGAGGTGCTGTATTAGTATTTGGGGAAATGATGTCCGCAGATTGAAATGCCTTTGCTGCAGCACGTAAGTCCGTATGTTTCTTAGCCATATGAAGGTGGCGTCTTGGCTTATCAGGAGGAGACACTGGTGTGGATGGTGACGAGTCCGAATCGAAAGCACGAGACGAGGTTTTATCATATTCTGGGTCTCGGGTTATTTTTCCTCCAAAACGCTGTGGCAGGTGACCGGTAAATAGAGGCTTTGTATGTTCTGGTGAATCATCCTGCTTCCTGCCAGTTCCTTCAGGGGTTGACGCGTCGAGGCCATGTTTTTCTCGAGTAGAGTTGGGCTTCGATGTGCTATTGGACCAAAATCCCAAAATTGATGGAGCAGTTGACGAGCGTGGAAGGATGCTCTTGATACTCGACGCTCTGCTGGGTGTCTTGGAAGGTTGCTTTTTTGTTAACCGTCGTGGCTCATTGAATGAACTTCGCTCGGATTTCGATGACCGTTCCAACTCTTTCTTCTCCTTGGCGATCCGTTTTAATTCCTTTTTTCTCTCCCTCCTCTCTCTATCCGTTTGCCAGGAGGGAGAAACACAGATCTCGGACCGGCTGTCTGTTTGAGAGACACTGTTGACCACATTGTCTGGGCCTATCGAGTCTGGCGCAGGTGTGCCGAGCCCATCAGTGTTGGTTTGAGAGGCCTGCTCTTAGGGGTCAGCATCTGTTATACCGACGGCCAGAGCATTAAACAAACTAGCTCTTCATGGTGCTCCTACGTGAGCAAGCGAGAAGTGTGCTACGAAACTCGAACTGTTTCGTATCACCGTTTTCATTTCGCAGTGTGCGGAGTATGAATTCGTGCAATCTTTCAAGCTGGGCTACTTTGTGAGAGCTTTGTACCACTCACCTCAACATTTGCGTTCACTGACTGTGGCTCATCAGCAATTATGGAGTTCAATGGCTCCATCCGATATTTCTCACATACCAAACCAGCCACGCTTTCGGGGTTATGAGATTCACGATTACTTATCACGTGTTATGAAGTTGTGTGGAACAGTGGGGATTGAGAGCTGTTCAAGGACCGTAACGGACGCGACGGAGGTCCTTTTCAACCCCGAACACCTGTGTCAAAACTATAACGTAAAACTCTTCTCCAAAAATATATCAAAGTAAAGGGTCGCGCAATTTAATTGAAATGTTGCGAGGGGCTGAGTGTGGGACGTGCTTTAGACGGACGGCCAAACGTTTGCCTCGCACGCGGCGGTGGAAGGTCAAGGGATCAAGGTCGAACAAAACAGCTGAGTAACAAATGCGAATCTCTGGTTGCAAAAATCGTAGAACATAAAAAGACAGTTAGGATAAATGAGAAACACGACAATAGATGCTACAAAATGACCCTTCCTACACAGCAAGTCACCCAAGACACCATATATGAAGGATTGCAAAAGTGAAAAAGACTGTTAAAAAATCTGCTCCTTCAAGAACTTGGTATCTTTCACAAGAGCTGAAAAGTTTCTGAAGCCTATCAGAAACGAACAAACGGTTCCAAGGGTGGCAATATATGCATGCACGGAGCAAAGCTGGAGCAGATTTCTGGGAAGTTGACAGGCGCTGCCAAAATCCCCGGCTAGCGTGAGAGAAGGAGCTGACTGTTTTATTCTAAGTAGCAGCAGACAGGGCGAGCAATATCCCCACAATGGTGTTGCTTGAGCTTGAAATTTTGACAGCGACAGGGTAAAAGCGTGGTTTAAACAGAACTGGAGGAAATGGTTTAATCGAGGTCAGGGGGGGAAAGAAGGGAAACATGAAGAGCAATGAGAACAATCGGAAAAGCCCTCAAGGGATCGGGATGAAACGCTAGGCCCCACCTCTGCTTCTTCGAAGCTCTTGACAAGTTCTACGAGAAGAGGACAAAGGGGATTGGCGTTAGATCGGGATTTATCCCTCAGGATCAGATTTCTTGCTCTGTGTTTCACCAAGGAGCAAGCAAAGCAAGAAGCAACCACAGAAATCACCTGGGCAGTCGCCAAGTCACATGTTGGGCCCTCGGTCTGGAGTATCTACCAGTGAGAGTGCCCACCAAAACCCTGTTTTTCCCAGAAAATGCAGTCCATGCATAATATAAAGCATGGCTTTATAATTGGATGCTGCAGAGTCGGGCTAGGCTTGGTGGACAAGGCCTATCCCAAGGGCTAAGCAGACAATCGACACGACCACCACAGCACCTTGATATGATTCATTATTATTATTTGCCCCTCACTTGGACAGTAGATTGTTTTGCCAGTAAGTAAGAAGCACAATCATCCTCTCACAGATGAAATGCTGCACAAATAAAGGGCATTTCACGGCGACCAAGACTTGCACTTCCCACGACACAAGAGAAAAATCATGGTTTCGATACAGTTTCCGAGTTTTCCAAAATTGCACAAAAGTACTCAGGTACGAAAGGGTTAATTAAAGTGTTACTCCCTCCTAACGATCCCCTGCAGAATGCTAGGTAGAGAGTGTCAAAGAAGGGGATAATCGAACGTAAGATGAAACCAATTGAAAGACAGGCAATAATTTATCTTCAGCTACAGTCGTATCATCACCATAAAGCTAGAAGTGAGATAAAAAATACATATTGTGATTTTCAACTAGGATGAAGTGGAGAGGTTTATGGAGGATCCAGGCTCTAAGACAGGATGTTTCTGTCAGTTCCAGGTATTCTATCTCAGATCAAGCTGGCCGACAAAATCTTGTTCCGCCCACAACCCTGCCAACATTGTTCTGCAACAAAAGAGTGTGGTCACCACCACCTGCCTGACTAACAGTGGTAGACAGTGAGTTTGCCAAGCCCGGTAGCAACCTAACTATCGGGAGTCAAAACTTGGCTGTTCATGTTAGAAGCTTCACCAAAAGAAAAAACTAAATCCTATTGGGTAGTGACTCGCCAGATTACGTCTGCTTAGGGAGCTTAAGGCCTCCAAGAATGCTGAACAGTCGGTGCAAAAATTATTTTACGTGATCCAAGTCTAGGGCCTCTATGACGTCAAGATGGCCATGTGGCTGAGCTCCGTCGTACAGTGCTTGCCCTCTTTGGGAACAGTACAGCTTGACCTCAGCCCGAGAGGTTATCATCTCACAAAAACCAGCCAAATTCAGTTTCTCATGTACTTTGTCTTTTGAGTTCAACATTTTTGGGTTCACTGAACTTGAAACCCCTAGATTCATTGCTGCTACGACCACTCGATGAACGAATCTTCTGACGACCCTCCATTAATAGACCGCATTGCTCGCCACCTCCACATCAGCGTCGATGCTCACGAAACCTCCCTAGGCCTCAACAGCCACAGTAATCACGACCGCAATCCTAGCCTACCCATAGCAGATCCCTCTGTTCAAAAAATTGACTCAACCGACAGCATTGGTAGCCAACCAAGTTGCCAATATGGATCGAAGGCTACCCTCACGAAGGAAGCAACCTCGGTCTGCCCTCCCGCCTCTACGAAATCCAGTACAGGCGATGGAGAAAACTCTGCCTCCATAGAAACTGTGGAGAAAGGATCTCTCATACTTCAAACGTGCCATACCGTACGCTTGATAATTTTGTCAAGCTGGGTCAACTGGGCTCTTCTTTTTGTTCCCGTTGGAATTACCCTGGGCGTGGTGCACCGTATCATGGGCCATAAGAGCCCTATCAGTCCAACCGTGGTATTCTCTATCAACGCTGTGGCCATCGTTCCTCTTGCTTCGCTTCTTGGCTTCGCGACTGAGAATGCTGCGAGAAACTTAAGCGACACAACTGGAGCTCTGTTGAATGTTACATTTGGGAATGCAGTGGAGCTAATTATATTGTATGGTTAACTTCTTTCAACTGTATACTCTCCACTGACGACTGTAGCTAACGATATGGCAGCATGTATGTCTTCGGAAGGAATCTCCAGTTCATTTTTCACAATCATCCCCAGTTCGCCATTCATTTTCTCATCACCCAAAAGACCCTGGCCATGACACTGACTCTGGTTAACACGCGAACAGTATTGCACTTGTAGCTGTAAGTTAGCGCGGTGTTACCTTTTCTCACAGTTGGAGACTGTTAACATAGTTGGATCTACAGAAAGAAGTCCGGGTAGTGCAGGCATCCCTGCTTGGGTCGATTCTGGCAAATTTGCTTCTTATTCTAGGAATGTGCTTCCTATTTGGCGGTCTTCGATATCGAGAACAGGTGAGAGGATTCGAGGTACTAGTGACCGTCTATGTGCTGATTGGGTGTTACCAGCTATATAATTCAAACATTACCCAAATGAGTGCCGCTTTACTCAGTCTCAGTGTCATGAGCCTTCTCTTACCAGTACGATCCATCACATTGTTTCCACACTTCTTCGCCCCTTGTTAATATTTTCTTTTCGTAGACAGCTTTCCACGCATCGTTCAGTAACCTTGAGACTGCTGATACTGTTGTATTGAAAGTGAGCAGGGGCACCAGCGTGGTAAGCTCTTATATCCGACACTGCTTGAAACTTTTTCCCAGCTGACAGATTTAAGATCCTTCTGCTGGTATATGTTTTATACTTGCTATTTCAACTGAAATCTCACGCATACTTCTATGAAAGTACCCCTCAACACAAAATCGACGAAGAATCGCATCCAGGAGTCCTGGCCGACATGTTAAATTCCTCTAGCTCATCGGAATCCAGCTCATCAAGTGACAGTGATAGTGACGGAACAACCGGCTCCAATACACGAGCCTTGCGCATCAAAAACGCCCTCAAGAAACGGCGGCGCCGTAAACATAGCCTTAATTCAAAAGACATGCGACAAAGTCTCTCATCCGCTTCTGCAGTCAGCTGTACCGCTTCGTCAAGTTCACAGCCAATCGCAGTGCCAGCTTTATTTCATCCTGAGCATCATACACAATCTACACAGGCAAGTGTGGAACTAGAAGTCAGCAGGGACGAGAGGAATGTGGATGAGACAAATAATATTCATCTCCTTACCCAACCCATTTCTCGGGATTTTGCGGGCCTGGATTCCTCGGTTAACTCCCCCGAAAACGGTCAAAAGACATCAAGGAAATGCCACAGTCACAACAAAGGTAAAAACCGAGCGGACGCTGGCGATGACCTGTTGGCGAAAGCCAGCGATCAGGTGGATCATTCAACATCCGACTCTACTCCACCTACGCATGCCAGAAGGCAGGTTAACTTTGTCGCTGATATCGCCAATTTTACCGAGCCAGGAACTACAAGACGACCGTTCACTGTACGCAGCCTGTCTACCCGCCCGGTTCTTCCGCGAGTTTTTACAAACAGGCCACAATTGCACTCCACACAATCTACTTCCATGAGTCCCTCTGGCAGCCAGCGCAGTTCCCATGACAATGAATGTAGTCTGAGGCGTACGAATTCGCTTCCTGGCCGCTTGCAAAGCCCGCTTAATCACCAGGTAATGCCTTCAGCTCAGCCACTTCCACACCTCATCACCATGACCCCATCTCAGAGTCCCAACGGGCTTGAAACCGAGATTAAAGGATCGTTTCGCTTGTCCCGCACAGCTTCTATCACTCTCCTAGTGGTGTCCACTGGCCTCGTTGCGGTCTGCGCAGAGTTGCTCGTCCATAGCATCGAATACCTCGTTGAGAATACAGGTGTCAGCCAAGCCTTTATCGGATTGATCATCTTGCCCATTGTTGGTAATGCTGCTGAGCACCTAACTGCAGTGACGGTAGCAGGCAAGAACAAAATGGACCTGGCCATTGGTGTTGCACTGGGGAGCAGTATTCAGATTGCCCTCTTTGTAACTCCCATAATTGTGCTTCTAGGATGGTGCCTTAATACTGAGATGTCGCTCTATTTCAGTCTCTTTGAAACAGTCTCGCTCTTCGCCTCTGCTTTTATCGTAAACTATCTCGTTCTGGATGGCAGGACCAATTACCTCGAAGGGGCTTTGCTGATATCCGCCTATATAATCATTGCCCTGGCGGCTTTCTTTTATCCCTCATGCGAGAATCTCAGCATGGCTAGTGGACCACATGGTGCAAGAGCTTGTTAAATATGACGTTGGCATTATCATCGGTGATGAGGCAAGTGCTAGGTGTTGAGATACGTTGTGTTTCGTCGTTCTATTAAACGTGCCCGCCCTGTTAGTGAGTCAGTATTGGCTGGGAAATCTGTCATTTAAAATTTCTTAAGGGTGTTTATGCGACCAAATTTGTTTAGAGATGGCCAGACCAGACGTTGATAGCATTCTATCCAAATGGACTTCTTCGGCATTTCTTTTAAAGGATTTTATTCGTAGACTCCAAAACTTACTGTTCCGTATGCGCAGCACGTCCTCCCACCCAATGGGATTGCGCATATATAACTAGTGGTAACATTTCCCAACCCCTGCTGGCATCGTGTAGTAAAGTTTGAGGAGCTTTGGGCTATAGTCACCTTGTCTGCGGAATGAAAAGAAGCTGGGGATAACCTGATGTAGGCCTAGATCGGCTGCATAACATCCTAACATATATGGAAAGCTGGGTGTTCAGAATGGAGAATGCATGATACGTAATATAAAACTGTTGCAAAGTGACCACGGTAAATACTAGTAGTACCTTATAATTCATCGAGCATGTATGAACAATTTGGTGTTGCTATCTCATTCGCCTAGTTTCCATTGACAACCGCGTTTTCAGTACTGTGTCCTGCACTTGGTAAAAACCTTACCTCTACTCACATATCGCCTGTCGAGGTAAGTTTCGGGTACGAACGGCTGAACCACGGTTCGAAGATATCGAGGGCCACAAGCTATCCGCAACTTTATTTGAACCTCCCTGCTGACACATCACGGGCACAGCCACCTCGCTCTGGCTCAAATCTCCTGCATTAATTTCATTGAACTTGTATAATCATCAAGAGATAAATTTCTCAAGTACGGAGGCGAACTGTTTCCTTTTGGTATTGATCAGTGGCATTACAATTACATCATTGAGAAAAAAATTTTATAATGGGATATATTTCATTTGTGTGAATTCCTCCCAAGTTAGGCTCTCCGACCTTTCAACCATCTCCTGCGCTTTGAAGTGTGACATATTAGTATTTTGTGGATTTTACGTTTCCAACCGAAGACGATCCCCTCCCTTGTTTGCCTTTATTTCATTTACTTTCGCCAGAACTCGAAGGTACTGGTATTCTTTGTTCGCATTACTGCCAGTGTGCTTAAAACGCCTTGCACACGTCACAAATCTACGAACGCTACATTCTCCATACTTCGCTCTATCACGCCTACAACATCGTGCAAGGAAATCAAATGAATGTGTCACATTAACTCCATATACTTAACCCTTTCTTTGATTGTTTGAAATGGCCTTTTTCTGCTGCGGAGGGGCCGAAAAGGACGAAGTTACCGTGGCAAACCGCCCTAAAGATAATAGAAACACTTCCGCCGGCAAACAAAAGGCAAACGAAGGCCCAGTCACGTCTTCCCCACCTAGAACACAACTGAGAACTCCAAATCTATCAGGTCTTTCTACGGGTGACGAGAAGCAGCGTGTTTTCGGGCCGGCTGAGGCTCGTGTCGTTGCGTCTAGCATGATCCCAGCGATGCCCGACGGAACTTACGACCAAAAGTCAGGACCTCCCCCTGGTTATCACGACGGAGCGCACCATGAAAATACTCAAGTTCCACCTGATAACCCACCTCCTTACCACAACTGGGAAGAAGCTGTGCCAGATACGGCAATGTTTCCTCCTCCCCCGATTGGAGGGTATCTATATTCTAATACGGGAAATGCATCAGAAGCGGATGCTGATCGAGCTCATGACTTCTGTGATAATATCCCGTTGTGGACACCATGCATGCCATCAGATGCGGTATACAATTCAGTTCAAAATTTTGACCTCCGACCTGTTAGACCTCAAGAGTACAACGGGCATCTAGAAGTTGTTGGCCAAGGGATGTGGAGAGGACGCACTCAGGACCAGAATGGAGACTGTATTCTGTTGACGGGTTTACCATTGTACTTTCCAGCAAAGGATTCGCCGCTAATCACAGAACGAACGAAGACGATATACTTCGAAGCGAAACTTCTTGCCCAGTACGATGGAATCAAGGGCCAAGTTGGTGGGTTTTCCATCGGTTTTGCAGCTCAACCATACCCCACATGGCGATCACCTGGATGGGAACGGGGAAGCGTGGGCGTTTTCTCCGATGATGGCTGCAGATTTGTGAACGATTCATGGGGTGGGATGGAGTTTACTAGCGCATTCAAAGTTGGGGAAACGGTTGGATTAGGAATGAAGTTCTCATTACCGTCTCCAGAGTCGTTAACAATATCCCAAACCAATGGGACACCCACAACTCTTCCGGTAGAGGTATTCTTCACACGGGATGGAAAAGTTGTAGGGAGCTGGGATCTACATGAGGAGGTCGATGAGGATGCTGGTGGAGTTAGGGGTCTAGAGGGCGATTTTGATCTCTATGGTGCGCTTGGGTTATTCGGGGGCGTCGAGTTCGAAGTATGCTTTAATCGTTCTGGGTGGTTGTGGGTTCCTCCGACTTCGTAGTCATATATTCACTCTTTATTTTTCTTCCTTTATATTTTTGTTTTCTTGTATATTCCAGCACCATTGTTGAGATGCGTGCAAATAAATAGGCGTATACACATAGGCATTCCCATCTCCTTCAATGTCAGTATTACCCACCATTTTAGAAAACTTGCTATTGCTATCATAACTTGGCGGAAAAAATAACCAGCATACCTCATAATCAACTCTATCAGAGAGTACGGCAACCCAATAATGTAAAGGCTACTTTCGCCTACTCCGCCAACCTCCAGAGGGAAAACCCGACGGAACGCGAAAATGTTATTCCGAAGCCCCTTAACGTTACATCAATCATTCTAAGCTCACCAGATTTAAAATTATGATAACTCTCATTGACTTGAAATATAATGTGGATTTCTTCCTTTAGACTGAAACTGAGTCCTTTTTTTTGCGAATTTCATCCGTTTCCTTGGAGCAAACACACCAGGATCCGTATCGAGCGGATTCAGGCAACCAAAGGCTTTGTAACAACTATTGGAAGATGCCAAATGTGAGGAAACACATACGTAGGTAAGCATCAGACGGCTGATATATAAATAGGGGATATTAAATGTGCGATATAGGCCAAGGTTAATGCGCGATGCTAAACTCTTGACAGAAATATTATTCCGTCCTTGAGCTAACAGATATCTAAATCTAGAAACCGTTCGAGTGGAAAAGTGCTAGTAAATCGAAGGACCTTTTGACAACAATTATTATGCATATGCCCCCTTCTAAGCCAGGTTCATTTATTGGACTGTGACTGCTCACAGAGAATCTAGCTCATATGTTACTGAAAAATTGACACGACATCAATCACAGTTTCTAGATGCATTGAGCTATTTCTGTTCGACAAAAGTTCGTTCGATAAAGCCCAGATATCATTCTCTCCCTTGTGTTCAAGGAAACATGCCTATGTTAAGCATTTCCCCAGCCTCTCTAATTTAACCCTTCTCCATTCACATGTGGTTTTCAAAATAGGGCCAACGTATTCGGATATAATGCCTTCACCTACGTAACCTTTGAGGTAACATGAGCGCGTTGGATGACAGCGACAGCATGCAGTGCTCCTGGGCTTCCCATACTACTATCATCAGCGAATCATCTGATAATATGCCCTCACGAGCTGTCCATACATTCTATTGGCCTCCGTCCTCAGGGATTTCAAAGGGCTGGTACCCACAAAAGGTACCGTGGAACCTCCCTGGTCACATAAATTTCCATGACTCTCCAACCCCCGTCCCTGCGTGATCTCATGTCCCAGGTTTTTCTTTTTCCAGATAACCCTGTACTGCCGTTCTCCTACCCGTGGATGGGACTTCCTCGGAGGCCCGTGCGTGCAACCTCCTTGCACAAGAGCTGCCCCGTAGCCCTGACTAAGGTAGGTTCGATGCAAAGGGTCTGGCTAGTCTCGATACCTTCGCAGCCCACGTTTGGAAGCCTAGCCGAAAAAGCTTCGAGTTCTTCCACTTCCAGGGCTGCAGTTGACCCACTCACTGGTGTAGAAGAGCAAGCCAGCCTAGGCGAGAATCTCACTGTTCTTTCTTCCCGTTTACAAATCCATTAGTGTCTCGTTTCGGTCGTCATGGGATATACAAAAATATTTGCCTAGTTTCTGAGAACGGCTGTATTTCAAGGAATGCCTCTCAGAGAGGACAATGTTTACTTGTGCTATCGACCAAAGAGGTATTGCTTATCTGGCCGAATTAGCTCGATCAAATTGCTAGCCCAATTCTCACTCTACATAGTGATTCAGAAAGGGGCCTCAGTTTCTTACCTAGAACTCACATTGTTATCATAAAAAATGTTTGCTAATACACAAGGCGCCCCGAAAGTGTCAGTAATAAAAATAAGCAATTGGCAACCTTTGGAGTCTGGCAGCATACTTAGATATCACAAATTATATGAGCCCCCTCAGCAACCCCCCCAAATATCCACATTCTACAGGAGTAATGTATAAATTTCAATGCCCCTCAAATTTTGGCAGAAATCACCTGAGATATTCAGGTAAGCCAATTTGTATGAATTCCTTTACAAGATATGGCTCAGCTCTAATTCACTGTGTGCCGATCATCTTCATTGTACTCAATATGAAACGTGCCAATAAAGTAGTAGCTCAAATTGGCTTTGCTAGCAGTTGATCTGAAGCCTAAGTGAATTGAACAAGGCAAGTGATTTTAAATGTCCAACGGTGCTTTTCTCTAATGATGTAACACACCTCTACGAACATTGCATTGAATATTTCCATAATGTAAAGTTTTATATTAGCACTCCCGGCACGATACTCTGACTCGGTTGCGGCTATGAATGCAAAGTCGGATAAATAAGTCGGATAAATAACCTTAATGCATAAAAGTCACTGCCAAACGAGGCTAGTAAGTTAACAAAGAAAGTATTGGTATTTGAAAAGAAGTCTCGTCGCCTTGTATCAGCAGCTTCTCTAATTCAACCCACCCAGACGACACGAGAGATACATCAAGGTCAACTTGCCCAATGAAGCGGCCATTCTTCCAATCACCCTACACTGCACCGATTTCAACAGAAATTTCGTGAACACTACTGACCGGCTCACGAAAAGGTTCTTACATTTTACAAAAAAAGGTTATGCTTTTAATCCTGTTGAATGTTGCTAACCTCCCCATATCTAAAGGTAAAACACGTTGCTCTCATACAGTCTCTCTGAAACAGTCCGTGGGATGGGAAACTATATTTCTGTGTCCGCCGAGAAATAGAAACTAATATAGAAAACAAAAATGCATGGCCATTTCATCGACGGCAGACTATACGAACCATCTGGAGGTTGTCTCAACACCTGAGGCGAGCCAGAGCCGGGCACGATGGTTGCAGCGGACTGTGACAACCTAAAGTGACAAGGATGGGTGCTAAACTCCGCGAACGAGGCTGCGCGCTTCCATGCTCCACATGCACGCCATACAAGGACCCTAGTGAGATTTCTTCCCTTTGCTTTTTCTTTGCTTCTCTTTTCTGTTCGTTTAATCCCCGTGGTTCTTAATGCCATGAAAAATTTGTGTTGCACACGACGCGAAAGCAAGGAAAATGGACAAACTTGCATTTGAGGTCCATGGGTGTTCCTGCATATTGCTCAAAACGGAAATTATAGAGCCTCGTTGGCCAGAACCGCTGAAAACCCCTAACCGCCGTATCAAAGGAGCTTCACGGGCCTCACCAATTTATGGACAAGTTCCGATGCAAATGTGGATGTAACCAGATCCCGGTTATATTTAGAAGTTAGAGCAAAAGCTTCGAAATAATGAACACCTAATGTCTCATGGGCCATATGAAGCCGCTATTTTTCCTTCTTCTTTCCTTTAAACAAGAAGCTAAGGTTTTATTTCGCGTTCCTTGAAACGCGCTTATGATATGCAAAAAAACATCAAAAAAAAATCAAAAATCAAAAATCAATGGCATCCACCAGGCTTAGTGGGGAGGGGGGCCCGGGCCGTGCATGCAGCTTCGGCAACGACCTTTCACAATGGCCTTGACGGATAGCTAAGAGGAAATTATGGAGCAGTCTGCCCAACCGCATATGAATAATCCTACCCTAGCGATGAGAATATCCCGTCAAAAATGCAGATCCATATGCGACCTAGTCGAGCACATCATATATTCAGTTTCCAACATCATGTAGAACGTGAAATTAGCAGGACGCAAATATTGGCTCCAAACCAGAGAGCATTTTTAGCTAATTTTGTACGCGCAATATATCAGGTCAGAGAGACGAATATGAGGATGTTAGGCGATCCCTTCATTTGCACCTCGGTGAAGGTTTCAGAAATTATTTGGTCTGATGTTTTGAAACTATTAAGTTAACCTGAAGTATATCGCTGGGGTATTTATCCACAACGATGAGCACGTGCTGGCAAAAATCATAAAGAATTGGTGGATGGAAGACGGGAACAGGGAGCATCAAATTTCCACTGAGATTTTACGATAGCACAACTATTTTGGTGAATAATAAATTAAGGCTTATTAGGTGCCGCTTGCTCCCGTACGGTTTCGTAGATCGGCAAATCAGTTCATGAAAGGATTCCGAGAATAAGCACAGAAAAACGCTATTATTGGGTAGTACGGCAGCCTATAGGTAGTAAGTTTTTCTTCTTGTAAGGAGAATCCCGGAATCTTCTTACGGGTTCTAGACTCTCCGAAACCCCTGGTGAGTTGAAAGAATGAAAAGACCCAAGCGAGTGCAGATGGCAAGGATGAAAGAGTGCACCTCAACTGCATGCATAATTATGCAGTCTTGAGGCAATAAGTGTCTATTTTTCAATGAAAAATGTAACTATCAGCAATGTCAGCACAAGCTACTCATTCATTGGTTAACAATTGTGGCTTTCTAAAGCCATGTTCCAAATGAATTAAGTGGGAATCCATAATGGTGTGCCATGAATACCAACTGTTGAAACAATATTTTTTATGCTGTATGCATCATGTTTCCTGTCATTGAGCAGAGAACCACTGTGTTAAAATAATAGAACCTAAAACAGTGATGACAAATTCATTATCGTTGGAATTACTTCTGATGTTTTGCGATGTCTCTTGTTTTTTCATAGGAACCATTAACATTGATTGATGGAAACCGTAGAAGGTAGTATTAAACATAATAATGAACTGTCAGAGTACCTAAGCATGGTCTAATAGTTATCAGTGTTTGCAAAAGAGGCAATTTCAAAATAATGTAGCTTTTAGACAAATGATTCGGTCGTGAGTTTGATTGAAATCAAGACGTGCAATGGTAACAAAGGTGGGGATACTGTTTCATGAACGTAGAAAGTATTGTAAAGATAGAGCATAAAGGCCTCGCTCTGATAGAGGAACCATGTTGGACCTACCAGACACAAATACAGCCAAATAAAAAAAATGCAATCTCAGCCCTTAGGAACTGACTTGCTAATTCAAATCATGTTGACACATGTCAGTCGGAAATGACTATCCTCAACTACCACTTGAATTAAGTAATAGTGCTAGGTAACACTTTGTTCATAATTCTGAAGATATCAGATGCTGCAGAAATAGAAATGAAGGATAGGCCTAACCCACATTAAGCCGAAACTGAGCACAAAGTCTCTGGTTAAATATGTTGGTGGCAGTTTGAGTGACATCATGTAATGGTTTTCAAAAAGCAAAAGCTGTGGTGAATTTTGACCTCCATCATAATGAACACTTCACTGCTCCACTAATGTCTTCGTCTTTTGCCTGGATATCATATGGCCCCGATCACTTGATGCCTGATATGCTCTGAACTGCTATCATCGCTTACCATGCTAGTCGTCTGGATGAGATATGGAAGGTGGGTTCTCGCATAGAACGCCCATGTTCCTTTACTAGAATTGCCACCACTTGCTTTGGCAGCAAGTTATGGGAACGGTTTTCACGGATACGTGATACATCGTGAGAAACAACATGTAAACCTCAGGTAGTGAGTTAAGGTCGTTTAGAAAATCTACTGTGTTGAAAGCTGGATCTGGACAAACTCCGGCTTTCCCGCCGTTTAGCTTGGTGCGAGCAGTGATAGACAGGAGAAACCGAAATCCTACCTCCAAGCCAGACACAGCTTCGTCAAAAGAAGATTGAAAGAAACAGTAAATACGTTTAACTTCCAGATGGCACAATCAAATCACCCAGACAATAGAGAATCACAAGACGGGGAAGAATTCCTCACCTAACAAGATACCAGCATCATGCATGCAGTAAGGGTTACTTTTACCACACTGTGGTAATATGAAGTTCTTAGAGATATCGCATATAATGTCCTCAAAAAAGGGTGTTTTGTACAGTGCATTTCTGAGGAACTGAGTGTGGAATGACAAATGCAGCCTCTTGTAGCAATATCAATGGATAACAGTTCTGTTGATGTTGAGATAAAATTCCTGACTAGATTTAAACTTTTATGCTTGCCAGAATGATTACGAAGACCAAGACTGCATCCCATCATTTTTGCTGTGTTCACGGTATATCGTGGTATAATACCGGCCATTCAACCAATTTTTTGTTTCTCTCTGACTTTGGAAATGAAAGGCACATTTTGCCTTCATGTTGTCACTACATTACAAATAAAATTTTCTTGCCCGAAGCCCATTCACGGCGTGCATGCATAAAGCTGTGATGATCCAGAGTCAGTGGGCAAAAAAGACGAGAGCCGAATGCCACTCCAGAATGTCAGGAGCGCGAGACAGGAATTGGGCAAGCCAGTCAATACTGGACTTCAGGTCTGTCAGGAAAACAATATTTATAGTACTGTACCTTGTTATTTCTTACTATATGCTCTTCAAACATTTCGTAGCTAACAAATGACGTGCCAAACCACAGGAGATAGCATTCGCCAGATATAAGCGAATCTCGATATCCACAGCTAGTGCATTTGAATTGGTTCTCCCTTGTTTCTATTCTGGTCCAAATTGCCCATCAGTTTCTACAAGGTTATATCCAGCTTGAGCCGATCCTGGTTAGCGGCTACGCCTCGCCAACAATATGTCTCGTACAGATAGATGATCGCCACTAGGATCATCACCTTTGGCGACGTTTACGCCTCAGCGCGCCACTCTGCGTGGTGGGGAGGGCCTACTGCGTAGAGCCGAGATTGGTTTGGAATCTGGGATGAGACAATGGAGTAGTCGGCCGGGGTAGTTTACGAGAGCAAGCATAGACCAGTATGTAAGAATGATATCAATACGCAGGACTTAAACTCGTTGGCCCTATGGTCTACTCCGTTGTGTTGCTCTCTGTAATTGCAGCTTCTTACTGATGACTGGCAGACAGGAGAAATTAGCAAGAAAGAGAAGGATCCATGGAAAAATTTTTATATCGTGTTCTGCTTTTATCCCCATTTGCTGTAAGCTTCCTTTTATTTGGTTCCAATTCTTAGGAAAGTCGCTCTAGTTGAAGAAAATTCCATCCATTGCCAGAATCCAATGCTGGAAATGTGATTGGAACAGCAGCTTGCCAGTAAAACATTGTGGTTCAACTGGAAGAATGTGACTTCCAATCAACATTTCAGGTGGATTATTTCCCAGCTTGACGATGCGACAGTCACAATAGTCTGGAACACTTCATTAGGCCAGGATACCAATCACAATCTGGACTTCTTGTTCATCCAAAATGTCACATATTACAGGCCAGACGTTATGCTCATCATCCGTGGTTGCTTCGGCAATTTCCAGAGCTAACTCCATCACGATTGCTCCAGTTTTGGCCGTTGGCCAACCTTCTTGGGCATTGATCCTGGTAAGTCCACTCTCAATATTTTCACCACCGCATGTAGGAACGCCCACTAAACGAATCTCGATGCAGATTGCTTGCGAAGCACAGAACAATTGGGTGCTATGTACAGAGGATGTACCCATGGCTGGATTCTTTTCTCTGAAATAACCCTGCCACCTTTTGCGCACGCCAGCTTCCATGAACCTTCGAATGTTACTACCCTAACACTTACGATTATCCTCGTTTGTAATCCTTGCTAGCGCTGGTAGCAAGTACGGCACCTCCCTTGCATGGTATCCATATTACCTGCAGCTGCAAAACACCAAAAGAAATAAAATGAAAATCAAAGAGAATATTTAAGTTGAAAGCAATGAGCATCAATGGTAAGCCAACAGGGAAAAAAGAAAAATTCCCAAGTAGAGAGAATAAATTTGAGAACTGGGATAACAATGGCTAATTTTGTATCGAGTATTTCTCAGCCCAATCCGATTTCTGTTGGTTATTTGCATATGATATCCAGGACTCGAGGGCGGGCTATTCCATGCTGGCCGTTCTCGGAGCTCCCCACAACAAGGTTTTGTATACCCCCCCTCGCCCCCAGTCACTCCTTCGCTTTCATCCTCCTCGCTCTTTATTACTCCGTACTATTTCGTTTATTAATTCGTTTTCTCCCACTTTCCTTCTCACTTTCCAGATTATTTGTTTCAATTCCAACTACTTTTTTGCATCCAGTGCTTCTTCCACTGGGACTGACTGTCGTTTCAATTGTTGGTGACATCGTTTGGTCAATCTTGGTTTTTTGTCATTACCTGTCCTTATCTCTCTGTTTTTCATACGACTGGGCGGATAGAATTCTCTCGGGCGGCATTGTGTTTGCGTACATCTAGAAGTTTCGGGGAAGTGAAACCCCAGGTTCGCCTTTTATGTTAATATGGAGTTCGACAACATGTATTTGGTTTGTTTTAAGATTTTATTGTTAGTGGGCTCCACCCAGGCAACTGTCAATTGGCGGTCGTGGGCATTGCTAGAGTGTTGAAGGTCATGAAGATTGGCTTCTGGGTCCTTTACTGACGTTGGGAATAAAATAGTCTCTATCGATATGTGCGTCTACTTGTTAATTTGATTGCCGTTTGGACATTTCGGTCGATTCCTCCGCCAGAAAACCCGACTTTGACGTCTCAAGATGCAACGATTATCATACCTTCCCTACAAGGCTGTGGAGATGAATTGGAAGAAACGCTTCGAACCATTCTTCTGAACGAACCTTTTCAAATTATTCTTGTGACAATTGATAGCAATAGGGGGAACGCGGAGGAAATGCTCAAGGATATGCCAGCATCAAAAACCCGGATCAAATTGCTTAGCATCCCAAAACCAAACAAAAGACGCCAAATGGTGCGGGCTATTCCCGAGGTCCAGACCAAAATTACCGTTTTTGTTGATGACGATGTAAGCTGGCCACTGAAGGAACTGACATGGCTGCTAGCGGTTTTTGAAGATCCTATTTACGGAGGAGTAGCAACTTGCCAGCGGTTACGGAGATCGGATGCACCTTTGTTCTCTACACAGCGAGTGTGGGACTTCCTAGGTGCGCTGTACTTGGAGCGCAGGAATTTTGATTGCGCCGCAACAACTCAGGTGGACGGAGGGATGCCTTGCCTCTCTGGACGTACTTCTGCGTACCGAACCAAAATCCTTCAGGACCGAGATTTCACCTATAACTTCACACACGAGGAGTGGTGGTTTGGCAAATATGAATTGAACGCAGATGACGATAATTTCCTATCACGTTGGATGGTAACTCATGGATGGGAAACATATTTCCAATACCACCCGGAAGTGGAAATCCAAACGACCCTCGAGAACAACGCAAAATTCCTCAAGCAGTGCGTTCGGTGGTCAAGAAGTAACTGGCGGAGTAATCTCACAACCTTGATCCAGGAGCAGGTTGTTTGGTAGTAAGTTTCTCTCCCCCCTCTAGCTAGCGTCACTCCATCCTCCTCATTTGACGAAGCCCCCCTCCCAACTTCCAACCATTCTCGCCCATTTCGCATTTCGCGAGCCTTGCCTTTTCTTTTTTGAGAGCGAATTCAGTGGCGAAATCATTGAATTCGTTAAGGAGGAATTTTGGCCTCCTTGGCCTTTTTTTTTTTTTTTTTTTTTTTTTTTTTTTGGGGAGGGGGGGGGGGTTATTATTTGCTTGATTTTTCTTATGTGCATACGACTCCGTATTTCATTTTGCCTTTTTTTGCGCTTTCTTTACTCGCCTGTTCTTGTCTTTTCTTCTTCCTTACTTTGCCCTTTTTAGCCCTCCCCTTGGACCTAGCCCCAGCAAATCGCGCAATCAAAGCCCTCTTCAGCCCTGGTGCAGAAGTTGTAACTTGACATCCAGCCTCATCCTTGCTATGATGACGAACCATAATTAGACCAGAAGCTAACCTTAGGGGTCCGTGTTGGCAACCTCTTCCATTAGCCGCCAGCCATGGAGTACCTACGCCGTCTATCTTACCACACTTTCGCCTCCTGCCTTCATTGGGGATCTCGCCCTCGTCGCATTCTGCTATTACGGCACAAAAGAGTGGAGTGAGGAGTCTCGCATGTTCGCACTGAAATCATTAGTTACGTGGATGTTTGTTAGCAAATTCATCAAGCTTCTCGGTCATTACATTCGATATCCAGTGGATTTCCTCCTTCTCCCAGTTTCGATATTGTTCGGATATTTCCACGGACTAATAAAGCTTTACGCTGCATTTACTCTGAATGTGGTAAGTACCACTTCTCCTTGCTCCGTTCCCAGCGAAGTACAGACACATGTGGGTCAGCTAGTTTTACCAACGTTACTTGAACGTCTTGCACACAGTACCTGGCACTGGCGGGGGTTATTGGCAGTTGTTCTAGCCCTTCCTTCTTCATTCCGAACAGCCCCTTCGTTTGCCCACCCTGTAAATCTCCACCTCAAACGTGTGGGTTTCAGGCTAAGTGGGTCTACCGACTTGGTTGGCTGATATTGTGCAGTCCGTCACAAGCGAGCACCAAAATAGCGTCCTTCTCCTTCCATCTCTTACTGTGTTTTGTACCAAGCGATGCCACTCTCTTGCAGGCAGGAAACACTTCCTCTATCATTCAATCGCTGACATGAATGTACTGTTGCAATTCAGACCACATGGGGCACCCGCGATGGTGCAGATGCTAGTGATGCCGAACGAATGCGGGAGAAGCCAGGCGACGAGAAGAATGCGTGGGCAAAATATCCTCTGTTCTGGATCTCGAAGCAATAATATTTTGGACTTTTGTTACGTATGTCCTGACGCCCTTACCACAAAAATCAGCAAAATGCAGAATTTTTCGGACCTGGCCGTATAAAATACGATTCTTTGTATTGCGGAAATTTGATACTGCAACAAAGACCTCCAGCTCCCCACTCCAAGCCCGCACGCTACTGTGCTGGCCTCTTACATTAGCTTATGGAGCCATCCACTCTGTCCCATGCTTCGATGCAGCATGCCAAATCTGGAAGCAACGATTTTCGTTGTCCAAGCCACGATGGAACGTGACAAATGCACGACATGCAATTTACTTTTTCTTACTCCGTCCTTGTCCGTTTCAAGGATGGACCGACCCGTCCCGTTAACAGCCCCAGTCGGAAGCGGTGCATTAACCTAGCCATGCTTCCAGGTCCTCAACGATCATTTGCTTTTTCCCTTTCTGGTTCGACTTCCGGCTCAAAAAATATACCCCTATTTCGTTGTTACTTATTGGCGTCGGCGCACTTGTGATCGTCGAAATCACAATCAGCATCCAATGTCTTGCAAATCGTTGTCATTTCTGCTCTTCAATTTTCGATTTATTTTTAATACCGTTTCTATTTCTTTTCGTTTTCGTTATCTCTTCCTTCCTTCCTATGTCTTATTTTCTTTTCAAATTTTTTCATTACTATTTTTGACCATCACCGGATTCTAAAACATGACGATAATCACGAATCTTCTTGTTATTACGATCGAATTTACCAAAAAATCACGACAGTTTGGGCAATGAGAAAATTCGACAACAACAAAAGTATAGAGCTTTGGGAATAACAGAACCACATTTCTTTGGGTCTTTTCGCCTTTTTGTCTCTTCAGTTCTTATTTAACTACCAAAATTACATGGTTCAGGGTTGGAGCGATTTAATACTAATGTCTCCATGACACGGGAACAGACAAAGAAGGAATATTATTTTATGCTCAGCTGAGAGCTTATCTGTTTTATCTTATTTTATTTTTCAATCTGCATTCTCTTGATGCCTCTTTCAATTTCTTTCAAAATTCGATAACGTAATAATGGTCTTTTCTTCAATAGTTACTACCTCGGATTCTTGTCTCAACCTCATGTTTACATTTCTTTCAAAAAGTTCTGGTTAGGAATATAACAATTTCAACTCTGTTTTCTTATCTTGTCTGATATATTGATGTTTGTTTATATCTCTTGATATATATATACATACTAGTATATATTACTCACTTTATTCTTATCCTACTGCATTCAATACCCAAGTTGTGTTACAAGGAGCATGTCTGGCAGAAAAATCCCACGTCTGTTGATATTTCATGTATTGAGCATTCTCTTTAATCGATTTGCAAATTCCTGAGTTTGTCTGTTCCCTTTTATGGCCCTTTTTACCCACATTCCTGGCCGATGTAATGTGGCGATGTCGAGCAGAGGGAAAGGAATCCATTATTCGTTTTAATCAGACAGGAATAAGGGATAGAAATCACAGGTGGCCTAAACCGGATGGGGAAATGTCCTAGAAAAGTGCTTTGTAGTTTAATTTCATATAATAGTGCTATAATTCTTTTCCACAGCTCCCGAATTAACTCCAGTACATGGCATATTTCATGCTGAAGTACTTTTCTAGTAGCCGTGATCTCATTTTCATATACAGCCTCCTGCCGTGTTTAAAACTATAATCATGATAACCTGAAAGTAGATAGTCCAAAAAGTAAATAACTTCTGCGCTTTAGAAGTTGATATTTGCGACCACATGGGATTTTTAATATTCCTTTTATAAGCGTGCTCATCATTAGGGAGTTTTCCACTAGAGACATAGTATAAAGTCAGGCAAGGTATCAGCTTCACTTACAACCGAAAGTCGGCCACTCGGGCAAGAGCCCGTATTTCTAAAATAAGGCCTTTGCTCAAGCAGTTTGCCTGTTCGGCAGGTCACTAGTTAGCACAGGGTTCTAAAGCAGAGGGTGCAGAATAGTGGAGGATATTATGTGGACGTAAGAAACCCTGAAATGAAAACAATTCGGAAGCATCAAGCCAACGATTTTATAGCATCGCTAGAGGAATGACGACACGATCATTTTAGTCTGTATCCTGGTGTCAAGGGCGTTGGACACCGTTATGCTCTTTTCTTTTTCTGGAGACATGCATGATCTCATAATTCCCATGATCGCCCAAAAGAATGGACACATTCACCCTAATGCACAAATCATGCGGGACACTTCATTTCCCGCGCATGGGGCGCCATATTTCTGGGGTACTTCAGGGTTCTTAATGGCGTGCGGATACACTGCAGGTACCTTGGAAGATCGGTGAGATGTGAAGCGACGTGCGTATGCCCATGTGTTGGTTGTCAGTTACATTGTAAGTAAGTTTCTTGGTATATTCTGCGCTCGGTTCCCTTCCAGGGATGTCCATGCAATAATAAACCAATGCCATGAATCGAGCTGGATTCCGGTATTGGAAAATACACGACGCAAGGACCCCTCTTCGCAGACTCCTAGATAGAGTCAGTGAATCAACGCCGTGATCTTCGTCTGCTAGTGTTGAAGTGGCTCGCAGGAGAAGTGGTCCAGATGCAGACGAGCAGATGTGCTTGCCTATAAAGGGCGAAGTTATTGCTTTAGGCGTGTCGGGACCATAGCGTGCTCCCAGCACTTGATATCGTTATGCTAAACAGAGAGTTTATTAGACGCTCATGTCTTATCGACAGTTCCCTTTATCTTTCCACGTGGTGGCATGATGTCCATTCGGCAAGAGAAACGCAGCTCTGACTTGCGCGAGTCGAGGTTGCTAGTATATTCGCTCCTCGAGAGGGAGATGCAGGCCCAGGTCAGGCTAATGTAAGCATCAACATGGGGTGGTGTTTGGGATTAGTGACGAAACCAAAAAATTCGTAGGGACTATTCCCCATATCCATAAGGCTGTCCAAGCCGATTTCGAGACCTTGGTTCCATGCGAGACCCGCTTTCTGATATTCCAGGTGTGTTTCAGGTTACTCAAGCTTATTCCAGCTTCATTGCCTTCTGTTTTTTTAACCCCGTTCCGTAAACGGGATCAGTCATTGGGCATTATTTTCTGCAGATGTAGAATTAGTTTCACTATATTGGGTAGCTGCAGTGATCCAGAGGACTGGAACGGAACAGGTTTCAATACAAGAAATTAAAAAGGAGACCTGACAAGAGGGCGATATGTGAGAATCCCAAGTGCCATAGCTTCTTGACACCTACTCAAAGGGTAAACACATAAACAGCTTTTAATAAACCATCCTGCTGTCCAGCCAGATTGGAAAGTTAAGGCTCACACCATTGGAGAGAATGTCTGTATTCTCTTTTTACAGAAATATCTGAAACCCCTTGCTGTGAGGCAAGGTCAATGACACAACATAAGACATTAAAAGCATATATTTCAAGATTGCATTCATCGCGAAAGGTTCAGGGGGATTGGGTCAATGGAGAATGGAAAGACACTACTAGCTGCTCGTTCGCATCAGTTCAGCATTTTAATAAGTTAGGAATCCACTTACGATCTTCCGGTGGCTTTGCCAGTTGACTGGCAAGCACATTTAACCAATGTGCCCATGAAACAATTGAAATACTGTTGTTTAAACAGACGGACAATTCCATGCAGCAGATACTAGTTCCAGCATCTATCCCAAGCTCTGGGAGTATTCCCTTTGCCCCGAATTGCCACAGAATTGGTCCCAAAATAATTGCATATATCTTTGCAATGAGGCAAGTCATGGCAAAGCACCTTATGTCAGAATATCTTTTGTCTTGCGGTGCTTCTGGAGTTTCAGCGCGGCCGCCCCAACCCACCAAAGAATCCATGGATGAAATCATAGTCATGTGATTTGTCAAGATAATCCATCATTGGTAGAAATTGACATACAGGGGATTAAACAATCACTGCCAACTCAAGCTTTCTTTTGATATGAAAAGAATAACAACTCTCCGAACTGGGCAGTAAGTCTGGTCATTGACTTTGAAAGGCCCATGTATAGATGTCAAATGCAACGGGAGTGAACTCTCAAAAAACCTATAAGAGCATGCGGACTCACTCAGGGAGGGTGGACAAACAGTGGCAAGGCATTGGACATTACAGTGAGCCACACACACCCTTGGTTGTCATTGTAGTGATTGTACTGTACAAAAATAAGTAAATAACAACAATAGATAATCATAGCATACAAAATGAGACTTAATTCATGTCTGTCATAACCTCCTCAAGATATTATTCGTTGACCTTTTTTTGTGATGGGAAAGTTTGTGGAACCCTTTGCTAACAACCCCAGCTCGCCAAAATTTCCTTCGGAGGAAGGCGCAAGGTTCCGTTGTTGCGTAGCTTTTCTTGAAAAAATGTTTTTTTTTTTTTTTTTCAGAGACCTGATTCCGAAAATGGCACTTCCGCTCAGATCATTCAATATAGCATATCCGGCTTCATCACAAGCAGAGCTCCGAATTTCGGGAGAAATAGTTGGCACTCAATTGGGGGCAGGGAAATCATTGCGTTGAGGTGGTGAGGTTTCATTGTCAAGAGGCAAATAGAGTAATACTACACCAATCAGGTGCCCACTGAGTTGGTTGTGTAGAAAGCACCTAGAGATTCATTGTGTCTGTCTTGTGTACAGCTGGTCTCCTGGTCAATAAGCCTGGCAAGAGAAAATGGCAAATTCTGTGCATTTATCCCAGCTGTGGAATAAACTAGTTGATCAATATCGGCCGCACCGCCTTCCAGACGCTGTTTCTCAACCCCTCTAGTAATATTTTCTCATAGTAGATCCTGAAATGGATGCGTCCATAGGATGAGCATTGAAAGACGAGAATTATCTCATGGATCACCGTTATGGATGCTTGGAAACTGTCACAGCAGAGCGTCCATGTGAAGGGGTGGTCAGATCAAGTGAAGCCTTTGATGGAGATATAATCAGGAACAGCACCATAGACTACGAGCACTCGCCCTATTTTCGCGGCTCCGAACAGGGCTAGGTATGTGTGTTCCGAATCACAAGAAGGCTTTCAGAAACTTCCACTCCACCCTCATGGTTTTCAAGACCGATCTTGCGTTGTAAATTGCAGCAACTGCTTCAATTGGAGATCGCGAAATAGTGAGTATATCGGTTCACAGCTGGCATGCTCCTCTTCCACTTGCAATGAGGTCCCTATCCGACCGGTGAATTGTGCGTGTGAGAGAACTATTGCTTCTTAAACGATTACACCCGGTTGGGGCTGATATTGTAGTTCAGAAAGGGTGACGCCTGCTGTGATGCTCGAAGGCGAAAGTCTTGTGGATTATGTCTGTGATAGACTGTTAACAAAAATCCTTCGGCTTAAGCCATCCGTGGTCATATGGCTAGAAAGCTCAGTCCACCCATCTGAGTAGCTCTTGTTCATGAAATGCAAGCGTTTCTTAACCAAATCTCTCTGCACTTCTAGAGGAATGCGTACGCTGGCTAGTGGGGAGAAGGAGGAGGATTGACCTTGTAGCTGCAGGAACGTACAAGAAAGCAAATGATTCCACAAAAGGTGAGCAAGATGTAGTAGAAGATAGAAACCCAGTGAGGAACAAGGGTTGGGAGAACCACAGACAAGCCACCAATGTATGCAAGCCACAGACAGAGTGTGGCTGTGCAGATATTACAAATATTGCACAGCCAAATTAATCGTAAAGAATTTCGACGTCCCAACTCCAAAGCTGCCACCATGAAATCAATCCCAAGAATACCTATCACATTTAATACTAGGACCTTTTTAGGTCTAACCGGGGTTAGGGTGCCTATTCCCTCGCGACATATACACTCATCAGCAGCAAAAGCGGCCGTTGCGCATCCCATAAACGTCAGAGGGCCACCTCCAAAGCCCCCGGCTCCGTCTCCCGAATTCGTCTCCCGAATTGAGCGGAGAAAGAAGCAATCAGACCTCATACAGCAGGGCAATGTCACAGATTCAGGACAAGGTTCGGCGTCTTCGAAACCGCTGAAAAGACGATTTTGGAAGGATGTGCATGTTAAGGAGGTGGATGGTAAGAAAGACAAGCATCCTTCCTGTTTCCTAGAACATAAATCAGGGGCGTAATGCGCGTGCAATTGAGCTTATTTTTATATTTTATTGTTTTTATTTATTCCTCAACAACGGAATCGTTGATTAGCGTAGAAAATGTTACTGATACGTTAATTATTTATGATTTATGCACAGATGGGTATCAAATCTTCCTAGACTCCCGCGCCGTCCGAACTCCAGCAAAGAAAATCCTCACGATCCCCGCTTCAAAACCACATCTAGCACACGCCATCGCGCTCGAATGGGACCTGCTAGTCTCCGCCCAGCAAGCTCTAAAACAGCACTTAATTCCATTAACCTCCCTCACGGCAAGGGCACAGGATATCGTTGTGGAAGATGCCGCCGGTCAAAATACCATCCGCAACCAAATAACGAAGGCCACAATGCGATATCTAGACACGGACACGCTGCTAAGCTGGGCGCCAGAGAAGAGCATCCATGATCCAGATGTACACGACCTGAATGGGGAGGAGAAATCGGAGAAGTCGCTGCGAGATCTCCAGATTAGAACTGCTCGGCCGATCATCGATTTCCTAACAGCAAAAGTGTGGCCGGGCATTGAGATCAGACCTGCGCTAGAGGAGAATAGCATCATGCCCACACCGCAACTGCCGCTTACCAAGGAGGTTATACGTGGATGGATCTATGGTTTGCCCGCGTACGAGCTAGCTGGGTTGGAAAGGGGTGTTTTGGCGAGCAGAAGTTTGTTGGTTGCTGCACGGTTTGTTATTGAATGGAGTGAGCAATTCCGCCACCTGCAACCGGAGGAGCGCAGGGAGTTTGGCATTGAGCAAGCGGCGGCGGCGTCGACGCTGGAGGTCACATGGCAGACGGATAAGTGGGGGGAGGTGGAAGACACTCACGATGTTGATAGGGAGGATGTTAGGAGGCAACTTGGTTCTGTTGTGCTGCTTGTGGGCGGGGAACAGAGATAGAGGAGGTGGATGACAGCAAGGGCAAGGAGGGGGGTTAGTTAGTTAAGCCATAAAAGTCTTCGATTCGGAGGTTCTAGGTGTGAATGGACATTGTATATTATCATGTGAATTTAAACTTGAATAGACATAAATGACAGGAAGCCGCCTGAATAAACTCCGACCATTGACACGGATGAAGAAGCTTGAAGCTTTGTTCCCAGTGGCATTGGTAAGAGGTCTAAGGACAGAATTTGCCTAGAGACAACTCAATTTGGGCCAGAATCTACCGGTTCAGCTCTGCTGCGGATTCAATAGTATTTTCCACACATTTAACAGTAACAGGTCCCATTATTGGTCTCTAGATTATTGAATCCACGTCATTCAGAGGCGGATTTCTCTGGGCTTGTTGGATTAGGAGGCACACAGACAGACTGGTGTGCGAAGCGTAAGACAGAGCTGGGAATCCCTGCACAGGATGTCCTCTCCATTTGCCAATGGCGAGAAAGCAGAACAGAGGGATCAAAAATCCAGATCCGTTCATATTCGGAGCCGCGTCAACTCGCAACGGGCTTCGCACATGTTGTTTTACTGCGCCATTGTGGCAAAGTTAATGTTGAGAAACTATCTAGTTCATTTAAGGGGGGAAATAAAAACTATGAACAGAGTATCCAACTGGCTTTGGGCGCAGATGGTTTATTTAGGGCAGCGATAACCTCCATTCACCACCACCAGGAATCGGCGCCACAAAGATGATCGGCTGTGTGTCCCAGTTTCCCGCTTCTGCTTCTGATCTCAGGGTCTCTTTGTCGTTTCTCCTGATTCTTCTCTTTACCATTCCTCCAGTTGGCATAGTAGTCAGCCAATTTCAATAGTACCTCTGATTCCATCCTGTACGGACAACCCACACCCTGAAGAAAGGTGCTTTCTCAAGAAGCCGAGAAGAATCGGTGGCATTTCTTTCTATTCAGCGCCGCCTCGGGATAATGGGGGATATGGCAAGGTAAGCAGTTACACGTGCATATCAACAATTTCCTGTTTTTGACGATACTGCTTGATTGTCGAGAAACAGTTCTCTTTGTCACCCGAATACCACCCTCACCCCTTTTCCCTTGCTTGGTTGATGCCTACGCAGTAGGTCAATTGGTGGTTTGAAACTGATGGAGACAAGCTGTTCCTTTGTCCGTTATGCTTCTTAGTCGCAGGGATCACCTACAATTACTGACTACTTATTTCCTCTAGCCACAAACGTTCTAAGAGTGCCCGCGCACTTGCCCTGCTGCATCGCGATAAATCCTCCAGAACCTCCAGGGGCGACAATCCCCAGCAAGAGACCGAAGCTCTCGCAGAATCCCCTGGTCAGAATGGCGTTTCAACCACGGATCCCAAGGCTAGCTCCGTCTCGCCAACCAACAAAGCGTTTCGCCTTTCCCACTCTCACTCGCCTTCCATGACTAATCTGCAGGTCACACCTGTGGGGCCCGACGGTGCCCACTTAAGCAGCAGCACAAGCGCTCGGAGCGCCAACCACGGATCTTGTGGCGAGTTGTATACCTGGCAAACTGGTTCCAGCGACGGTCCTGATCAAAGTGCTGATCTTCCCGCGAGGCCCAGCGACAAAGGAGATGAATTGGCCAGATCAGCCATGTCTATCGAACAATCAGTGCGAACTTTTCGTCTCTTCGAAATCCTACGAAGCGGAGATACGACGGCCATCTTCAAAGCAATCAAGGAGTGTGCGGAGTGCAAAGCGCAAGGAACCCCTCCTCTGGGCACCGGCATCCTCCACCTTGCAATACAGTGTGCTGAACCGCAGGTTGTCGAGTATGTCTTATCTAGTAGTGCTGACCTAGATATTAATGCGCGTGACCGAGATGGCAACACCCCACTACATCTGGCTGCTCAGCTGGGCCGAGTCCCCATCGTCCGCGAACTTCTGGAGCGCCCGGATATTAACGATTCCATCGCCAACTATAACGGCCAGATCCCACTAGACCTTGCGCGAACACCAGAGATTTTTCAGCAGCTCCAACTGTCGCGATCTCTATTTCTGGACAGCAAGACAAAAGAGATCAAGTCCCTGATTGGCCAGGGCGACTACGAAAAACTAGAACGTCTGTTGGTCGAACCGAGGGTTGAGGGTTTGCTGGATATTAACAGCTTGGATCTGGTCACTGATCGAACAACTGTGATTTCGGGTGGAACTTTACTTCACGAGGCTGCCAGAAGGAAGGATACGAAATTAGTACAAATTCTCTTAATGCACGGAGCTGATCCATTCCGGCGCGATAGAAAAGGGAAACTTCCCCAAGACGTCACAAAGGATGATCGAACTCGTGCTATCGTTAAAAAGTCCCCAGCCGCCGTCATAGCCCAGCGAGGTATTCAGGAAAAAGCAATTTTAGGAAGCTCTGCGGGACAAGGCAGCGGAGGGCGACCGGGATCTGGGGAGACAGCCCTGGTAGGAAAGGATGCCCGAGAGATGAAAGGGTATCTAAAGAAATGGACAAACTACACCAGCGGTTATAAGCTGAGATGGTTTGTATTGGAGGATGGCGTGATGAGTTATTACAAGCACCAAGGTATGTTCTTGGTAGTCAACTGCCATTCAGACAAACCCGTCTATTCCATGATACTTATACTAAATATTCGTAGATGATGCCGGCTCTGCTTGTCGAGGGGCAATCAATATGCGGATAGCGACTCTGCACATGGATGCACAGGACAAAACCCGATTCGAGATACAAGGCAAATCGTCAGTCAAGTACCATCTCAAGGCCAACCACATCGTTGAGGCCAAACGGTGGTTCTGGGCGTTGAACAATGCAATCCAATGGGCGAAAGACGAGGCTAAGGAAGATGACAGACGCCGGACGAGAAATGCGGAAAGCCTAAGACAAGCGAAGATGGAGCAATTTGACAAACAAGGGTTAGATTCCCAAAGCGACTCATGCAGCCTTGTTGGAAAGCCAAACGGAAAAACCCTTGCACCTTCATCATCTCTTGGTATACCAAGCCACGCCGGCTCTAGGTTGAGCCTTCAAACTTCAAGAGAGAGCGCTCAAGGTGAAGATGATTCCACTTCTGGGCCGTACGAATCTACCTTCAGCCCGTCGGACTCCAACCGATTGCCAACCCTTGTCACCACCAGCAACCCAGTCGAAGGAGACCTCGAAGATGACGATTATGGGGATTATGCCAGTAGCCAGGAGATGCAACCTTCGAACAAAGACGCTTTCAATATCACCGCGGAATCTGTTAAACTACAACTGGAGGTGCTGAGCAACGTCTCCGCAGCCCTTCAGGAGGAGAAATTATCAAGTCCTCAAACCCCACTTTCAGAGCCCTCAATAGACCAAGCGTTAACTACTTACCAGCGAGGAGTCAGCAATCTCACCTCCCTCGTAGCTGATTTACTCAAAATTTCAAAGGATCGAGACGCATATTGGCAATATCGGCTAGATCGGGAGGCAGATGCGCGCAAGATGTGGGAAGACAGTATGGCTCGGGTTGCCCAAGAACACGAAGAACTTCAAAGTAGGATTGGGGAATCTGAGGAAAAACGAAAGAAAACTAAGAAAGCGCTCAAGGAAGTTCTTGAGCACCCCTCGGCTTCAACTAGTCGTCCTATCAGCCGACGCCTGTCGCATGTCCAAATTCAAGATGCCCTGGAAGCCGTCGTTGAAGCAGGCTCCGAAACTCCCCCCTGTCTCGATCAGGAATTGGCGAGGAAGCGGTCCATAATTACGGAACTAACAAAGTTTTCTGATTCTGAATCTGATGCAGACGAAGAATTCTTTGACGCTGTAGATGCTGGCGAAGTGGAAGTTATTGAAGTTCGACGAGGAAAGCCAGTAGAGGCAGCGGAAGCGATTTCTGATCTCCGAACTTTGAAATACCAGGAGATTGCCCATTCATTTAAGGGATATGAGGACCCAGTTAGAGTGAGGCTTAAGATGGATGCTGACAATAGACCCAAGATTTCTTTATGGGTAGGTTTGATTAAGTATTCTCTCCTCAACTACTAACTATCTGCTAACGCTCTACCTCAGGCTATCCTGAAATCAATGATTGGCAAGGACATGACCAAAATGACACTCCCAGTCTCCTTTAATGAACCAACATCGCTACTCCAACGTGTAGCGGAAGACATGGAATACACAGACCTGCTGGACCACGCTGCGGATCTCCAAGACTCAATGGAACGTATGGTTTATGTCGCTGCCTTTGCAGCGAGTGAATATGCATCCACAATTGGCCGTGTTGCGAAGCCTTTCAACCCACTGCTTGGGGAAACGTTCGAATATGTGAGGCCAGACAAAGGCTATAGATTCTTTATTGAACAAGTCAGCCATCATCCTCCTATTGGCGCCGCCTGGGCTGAGTCTCCGAAATGGGATTACTACGTATGTATTTTCCCTCCTTAAAAATACTATTATCATTACTACGTGTCAATTATTTTTGTCCGAATACTGACTTCACTGTAGGGTGAATCTGCTGTAAAATCAAAGTTTTACGGCAAGTCATTCGATATCAACCCTCTTGGTACATGGTTTTTGAGACTACGTCCGGTCAGTGGTGGTGAGGAGCTCTATACGTGGAAAAAGGTTACGTCGTCGGTTGTTGGTATTATTACTGGCAACCCTACCGTGGACAACTATGGGCCTATGGAAATCAAAAATTGGGCCACTGGTGAAGTCTGTATGCTTGACTTCAAACCACGAGGCTGGAAAGCTTCCTCCGCCTACCATGTTTCCGGCAAAGTGATGGATAAGGAGGGATTCACGAAATGGAGCATTGGTGGTCGTTGGAACGACAAGGTCTACGCCAGACACACTCCAGGATACCAAGATTCGGTCACACCGCCAAGTGAGGACCTTCCTCGTCAGCAAGGATCAACGCAGGCATTCCTTGTTTGGCAATGCAACACGCGACCAACCGGTATCCCATTCAACTTAACACCTTTTGTAATCACGTTGAATGCCATCCCCGATAACCTGAAACATCACCTCCCCCCAACCGACACGCGGCTTCGCCCGGACCAACGTGCTATGGAAGATGGCGAGTATGATTTTGCAGCAACGGAGAAACATCGTGTCGAGGAGAAGCAGAGGGCGAAGCGACGAGAACGGGAGGCCAAAGGCGAGGAGTTTGAGCCAAAGTGGTTTACTAGGGGCAAATGTGAGATCACGGGTGAGGAGTACTGGGTTTACAACGGTCGGTATTGGCGGTGTAGAGATGCTGGTGACTGGTCTGTCTGCGAGGATATATTTTAGGGCGTTGTTACCAGGTTTTACCGGTAATTTTTCTTTTTTTTCCCTCGTTATATTTTATGTTTTGTTTTGTCCCTCCAGCCCAGATGTACTACTTTGTTATGCTTTATTAAGGCTTCTAGTATATCGAGCCTAGAATTAGTTGTTCTTTGATGTGTACACTTATATATTTTTTGTGTTCTTCAGGATTATTATAGTCTTCAATAATATAGAAATTCAATTGATGAGATATGATGATTATCAACGAAATAGATCCATACAAAGATTCTAACCACGTGATGTTCAATTGCTTCCAAGATATTTTTTTCCAACGATACCCTCCTCAGCAGCTAGTCAACACAAATATCCCAACATACAACCGGCCATAATTCCCAATAATAATGGAGTTCACTTGTCAAAAATGTGCACAAGCTCTCCGACTGGGATTTCGGCCACATATTTCTTCAATCCGAGCGCGGACCCTACCCCACCTCAAACGACGATATCACCGACCAAACACGCAGGCATCCAGTTTTCACCGTCAAGCATGCTCAGTATCACGGCCTAGTAATATCAACACTGGAACTATCATAGCAAGATCCGTATCGTCGTCAGTCAGTCAAGTGGCTGCGGCAGACCCTTCCGCAGCGTACAATGCAAAACCCCTATTAAAGCCTGACAACCTCTTCCACTCATTTACCAACTCCCCCTCTCCCGAAATCCGCCAGCGTGCAGCCTTCATAAAGCAGAATGCTTTCTGCCCACACCCAAGTCATCGACAGACGCGCGTTCCTACATCTCCTCATGACTCCGAATCGAGAAAGTCCCCCGAAGCCAGCAGCGATAGCCAACCACCAGCACACTCTCAATTCGAGTGCCCGGACTGCGGCGTACCGATATATTGCTCCGAGGGCCATTGGATGGATGATTTTGAAGCACACCTGGAAGTATGCGAAACCATCCGACAAATAAATGAGGATGATCATGACCTGCGGTCTCGCCGGTTCTTCTCAGAGTTTAACTACCCCGGCCTACAGGAGGATGACTCTATAGTGAATATGACAAATTGGGATACGTTTTTGTACACCAGGCAGTTCGATGCTATTAACAATGATAGACACATGAGGCAGGTAACAAGATTGCTCACGTACCCTGTCACCATTGCAAGTGTGCTGCATGAGCTTAGCCCATATAATATTCGGAAAGGAGGCCGATTGACCCCAGAGGGATTAAAAAGTTTGAGCGGTATGTACATCCGAGGCTAGCCAGCCAGCTTATCAACAAAATGAAATACGTGTTCAGCGGTGAGCACGAGTTCTTTCAAGAATAAAATTACTAATTGGCACTCTCAGCACTCCGCTATACACTCCATCCGCCCAGAACCGGTGAGGGGTCAAAAATGGCTGGCCTCCGTGTGAAAGCACCCCCCGTCCGCATCTTTATTCTAGGCGCACGCGCCGAATCTTCACTTCCCCGCGACGTCTGGCTACAACTCTCCTACCTCTTCCCGCGCGCACTCATAAATCTCATCTTTATCGGCCCAGAGAGCATGGCGAATCGGGATGACGAATTCCCGCTTCCCGAACGCACCCCCTCAAACCCGTTCGGCGGCATCGTCGAAGACCGCCTGCACTCCTTGATGAAGATAACCACGTACGTCGATTACTTCCATACAATGCATCAGGCAAACATGTTCCAGCCGTACGACCCTTACTTTGACTGCTTCATGCTGTTCCACCCGGGTCTGGGGCATCCGGCCAGCTCACACGAGTGGGAAGAGACCCTGCCGCATCTGCTGCAGACCAAAGTGCCGATTCTGTGCACCGGATACTCGGAGTGGGATATGCAGAGGGATATGGATTGGGTGATGGAGAAATGTGGCGGGGAGGTTGATATGTTACTGGAGCCCGGGGAGAATAAATTCCGGAGCCTTAGGTGGGATTTGAATGATATGGATCCGCATGATGTCTCCTGTGGAAATTGGGGTCTGTGGGGATTTAGAGGGAAAAGGTGTGTTGCCTGTCTTTTTGCCTTCCACTTTTTTGATTATATCTCCTGTGCCTTATTTCTCTTCTCTCCTTCTTTTCCACTTTGTTTTCCTTGTTATTTTACTTTGTATGGACTTGCTAACCAAGTATTTCTCTCCGTGTAGATATGAAGCTACCTACAAGGAATCAGGGCCGGAGTAAACCCATTGGTGATGTACGTATGTAGTGTATTTGTCTGGACTTTAACTATTGACTTCCTGGATCTGTATTATTGTACTTTTCATTTCGGGAAATGAAGTTCCGCTCATTCATTCTGAGACATTCATTATCCGGAAAAATCCTTGCCCTCCTATTATTTTACATTGTCCTATCCTTCTTTGATCTTCAATGCTTTGTCACCATACACAATTAATTTCTTCCCAATAACCCATCCGGACAGTTCGTAAGTTAAGGTCAGCTAAGCTTTACCTGCCAACGGACCGATTGAGTCGGATCAGCTATCAGGTTTCGGGTAGAGAATAGACACCAAATTGCCATGACGTCATATGGTACAGTATGAATCGTAATAGAATAGTAATACTAGAATACAAGAAGGGGACTCGGCAAGCAAAGAGAAAGTAACAAATCAACAAATGTCCTCCAAAACAGAAACCGCAACCATCGCAAAACTCGACGCGAACCAGCCGAGATATCGTACAAGTAGGTACTGTGCATGGCAATAAACCAAACCAGATCGAGCGCAGGTCTATGTATAAATGACAGTCGCGAAACAAATAGGGTATCGTCCCAAAAAACCGCAGAAATCAATAAACAAAGACGAGGAATTGAGGACAGGCAAAAAGGAAGTAAAAAAAAAAAAAAAAAAAAACAAGTCATCACAATCATATCAACATAACAGCTGCAATAACCAACGAAGACATAACCCAATACCCGCCCAGTCTCGATAACATAGGAGGGGCAACGACGACACCACTGTCTTCCTGGATGGAAGGGTCCGGATTCGTCGTTCCATTTGCCAAGGTGCCATTCACATATATAGTCGTCGATCCATCATCTTTCGGGACAACTCTAACTGTCGTGGTATTCTCCGGCATGCCATATTGATCCTTCGGACTGAGCAGCTGATCGATATAAGTCGCATTATCGTTCTTCTCGCAGCCGCAGACGCTGAATTGTTGGCAGAGACATTCAATGGGGATCCGAGTCGTGTTGGCGTTGGGCTCAGAGGTGTTGCGATAGTCAAAATAGCCGATGTGATAGGCGTGGGCACCAAAGAGCCACAAACCGGGAAAGAATGCGAGGGCGGCGAGTGGGAGGAAGGCGAACGGAAGAAGCCCTTTCCGCGAAGCCTTGCCAGCTGTGTAGGGGACTGAGGCGCCACCGGCATAGAATCCGCCTCCGCCAAACGAGCGAGGAGTTCCAGAGCCAGATCGCGAAGAACCGCCGAGATTACTGCTCAGAGGAAGGAGGGTCAGCAAATATCCGGATTGAGCAAAGCCTGGCAAAAAGAATTTTGAATGAATAGGTACATACCTTGAAGCGCGGGCACCAGGCGAACTTGAGCTTCCCCGGCCTCCCGCAGCCCCTCCACCACCCTTGGGTCCTCCCCCACCACTGCGGCCTCCCCTTCCCCCGCCAGACCTTCCGCCTCCGCCCCCACCACCCCTTCCACCTCCTCCACCCCCTCTGCGTTTTTGTAGGTCAGAGAACTTGGACCGGGCAGCGATGAGGGATGGGTCAAAAGCGTTTGGAACAGCAAGGGCTGATACATCGACGTCCGTTGAAATGATATTGCGCGGCGCGACTGTGGAGGAGAACGACAGGAGCGTGCAAAGCGCAAGGCCGTACGAAAATTTCATGGCTTCAAACGAAGGAGAGTGATCGCAATGGATAGGGACAAGATAACTATACCACGGGAAATTTTTTTTAAACGTATGTCCAAGTTATGTATCTGTTACTGGGTCGGAGATATCGTAATTGAGGTTTCAAGATTGCGAGAAACGTGTGGGTTTTAAACAATAAAGAGAACAAAGGGGCCAACTTCTGGGAAGTTGGTGGTGAGGATAGTGGAGATTAGTTCCGTTGCTAGAAGGAAAAGGCGCACTCTCGGGTTGTTCTCGTAATGAAACGAAGGGGAACTTCCGCTGAATCCTCAGATGCGCCTGAACACTTGATCTCAGGGTCGAATTGCTTCTTCATCCAACACAATCAACACTGCCTCGGAGATCGGTCGCGTGTTGGCCCCAAGGAACGCCTGGAAATACGGGCAAAGACTGATTGCACCAGTCGATAATCATATGGCGGTTTCCATTAACTATGCCATTCGTGTTCCCCATCATCTGTCATGGCCCGAAGTGCGAGAAGAAAGAAAGTTCTTTGCCGGGGCCAATTGGCCCTCCGCTTCGGGGGCGTGGCATGGCGCACAGCCTCATGCTACAGTGTCCCTAAAGAGTTGCTAAAGTGAAATCTTGTCGTTAGTGAACTAACTAAACCTGGATGAATCACCCACAACCCGCGGGTCTATTCTGCCCTGTCTGCCCCTTCACAGTGACACTGGACGCATGGCAGTCTCCTTCATCGCGGTCGAGGTAATCCATCCGCACGGTTGATAGATACTATTCCAAACATCATCGGTCACCTGACTTGTCCAGGTCGCTTCTTCTCTCTATTGCAGTCATTACAGTCGGTGGTCTCGGCGAGCAGCAGGCGTACTCCATCTGTGCACCGCTCTTGATCAGGAAGTTGAAACGATGGCAGTGGCAGAGCAAACAGAATACCCACAATCTCGCACTGCCAAAAATCCCTCGCTCTCCTTGGTCTCCACACGCAGCATGCCACACAGCACACGGCACAGCATCGCTAGCATGTCGAAACCTGCCATCCCTGACGCTGCGGAATTCGAGAATGCTTCTCGAAGATCGCCTGACCCTTCTTCCCCACAAAAGCGCCAATTACTACTGCTGCCAAGTTGCATAACCCATACCTGATTCTGATGGCGAAACTTGTCCTGGAGGCATAAGCGCGCAGTGGCAAGGCGAAACTCCGCGGTCTATCAAAGTCGGTAACGCTAGCTTTTCAGGCAACCGGAAAACATTTTGGGTTGAATCATCGTCGACCGGAATGAACATATCTATGCCGGCCTCAATGCTGGTTCACCGGGATACGAGAAACAAGATCAAAATCTTTTGTGGGAGCTGGGGGTTAAAAAATGATTTCGCGTAGGGGGCAGAAGACCTATCCCTATTTCCGTTCGTCTTCTTTTCGTGCCATATCTGCGGGATTCATATTGCCTGTGGGAGTGAGAACATCTTCAAGGGTCTGGTCCGCCTTGTCTGCTTCCACTCCCAGGCGCACCCACATCACGTCGAAGGGAAGGGTTGTCGTATGTCAGAACAAGAGCAATACCCGAATATCCAGCTGTTCCTCCAATTTTCGTTGAGATCACGAACCCTTCACACAGCGAAGGACAATCAACATACCTTACACGTCTTGTGTGCATGTTGGTTGGAGCTGGATTTTGGATTCAAGCACCATGCATTCATGTCCAGAGAGGATATTATTTTTGCTTCCTCAGACGCTTTTTGCTGTTCTCTCCTGGCATGTTCTGTCTTTGCTTGCATTGCGAAAGCAAACCACCTTTTAAAAGAACCCTCATAGTTCATGTTTTCTGGGCTTTCTCTCATCTTCCGAGTAGAGATGGCTTTTCCACAGATGAGCATGACTCCTTGCGTCCTACATTCCGAATAAAACTTCTAGATGTTATCAACTCAGCATTCTAACCACAGTTGGTAGTATTGTCGCTATTACCAATTCTGATCAATAAAATATATTTCATTCTCGTGTTAGCTTCCGAATGGGTCCCTATTAAATAAGTCTATTCGTATATACATCAATGTAGTCCTAACATCCACATTGATAAACCCATCAAGATCTTCCCAAATCACAATTTGCTTGACGTCCCTTCGCTCTCATCGGGTATCTTTACGACGACCTTCCCCCAAGTCTCTCGTCCGCCTAGCGCCTGTAGCGCCTTTGGGACACTCTCCAGACCGACGAAGCTTTGATCCGTGAAGCTCGTCCCCCTAAACTTGCGCTGCCTAATCAACTCAAAGATGCCATCCCAAACCACTCCCACTGTGTCCTTCTCGAAATTTACATACTGGCCCCAATGCAACCCCATGATACTAACGTTCTTCAACAATACCCGATTCAGCGCAACTTCCTCGATCTTTCCCGCTGCAAACCCAATCACCAACAGCCGCGCGTTCCAGGCTACGCACTTGAGACTCTGATCAATCATCCCCACAGGGTCATACACAATATCGACGCCAGCCTTGCCATTCCCCGTCCGTTTCTCCGCACATAATTTCTTCACAGCATCCGGCCACTTAGAATCCTTGTAGTCAATCGTGTAATCTGCCCCGAAGGACTTGGCGATCTGTCTCTTCCTGTCTGACCCCGCTGTCGCGATAACGGTTGCCCCCTTGGCCTTTGCAACCTGTACCGCAGCTAGGCCCACCCCGCCTGCTGCGGCGTGCACAAGCACCCAATCCCCGCTCTGCACATTCGCCCGCGTTACGAGGCCTCCATAAGAGGTCGGCGCGGTGATGAAGAGGCCTGCTGCGTCCTCGAAGCTCCAGCCTTCAGGCACCGGTCTCAGCGCAGATTCGTGGGCAAGAATGTGTGTGGCATAGGCGCCCTGAGAGGCTCCGAAGACACGATCGCCGACTTTGAACTTTGGTGAGCTGGCAGCTGTGGGCGGGCTGAGAATTGTCCCGCCAAATTCCATGCCGGATATCCATGGCAAAGGCGGCTGGTGTTGATATTTCCCTTGGATTTGAAGGAGGTCGAAGAAGTTCGTACCGGCGGAGTGAATTTCTATGAGGTATTTGTCTGCAGAAGGGGTTGGAGTTGGGAGCGTTGTGACCGTCAGGTCGAGAGGGCCCTAGATTTATTTATTAATTCATTTTCAACAGATAAAGGTATATTGACTTCCACCCAGCGGACAAGGGTAGGATTGCTGAGTATATCGCAAGCCGTTCATACCTTCACATATTCTCTTACTTGGATTGCGCGCATGGTGAAATAGGGCCAGCTAGGATTGCACAAAGAAACCAACTGTCTCTCACCCTGTCTCCGCTGAAATACAGCTCCAGTCCCTGCGCAAGTCGGGATTCGGGAGCGAGAATGTCCCAAGCAAGGTCAGAGATGCCGAGGTTCGGCAAAAGTCCCCTCTTGACTGAAGGAGTAAACAGACTCTGTCTCACAATTTGAATATATGGCAACATCAATTGCTATGTGATTGATATCTTCTCAAGGTTTTGTGAAGAGTGGCTCAACCACACTTGTCAAAATATAGTATTTACTAATATTATTTATATCTAGGTATATTGATATAGACATTTAGCACACTGTTTATGAGAGATAACATTCCCATTTTACTAGTAGAGATGAGCACGCAAAGCCTACAAGTTTTCTCAAATCCGGAATGGGAATAGCAGCATTGTCCGATATGCAATGCACAATGTTTCATGTACACGTTTTCTCATTTCATTTCATATAGGAATACAGGGAAATCAGTTTCTCTGCGACGTTTAATGCCCTCAGTTATCTTCCCCCACATAACATCATGCTCGTGGATATATGTGTCTCCGATGAAGAGATGGTGGTCCGGCATACGACGTAAGATAAATGGAACCCGGCCTCCAAAAAGCACACAGACTTCATCACCAGGACGCATCATCTGAGGGCCGATACCTAAATAATCCTTCTCTGTAATATAGAAGCGGCGATGGAAACATACAGATCTCACACCATGCTCGAATCGATCAGCATCAGCTCCTCCTTCACCAGCATCCACAGTCGCAAGGCTGCAAAGGTGGTCAAGGAGAATGTCCTTCTGAGGGCCGTATGTTATTGAAAGGTTATCGGCTATAAGGATGTTGGATAGAAGGTACGCAGCAGCGTCCGCTTTGCCCTGCTGCATAAACCTCTCTTTTGTTAAGCCATCCTTATCCCCCATCAGCTGATTAATATCCCCAATTGCCGCTCCCAATGGGGCCGCAAGCAATGTAAGGCAGAAGGCCATTACCAGAGGGGTTTTGTCATGGTACACAGCCATCTGGGCTTGGTCTATCGGGAAGCTGAACATTTGATCCCACAAGCCTTGAAAGGGAAATGAGCCAGTGAGTCTGTATTCTAATACCTCGCTGACAGATTTAACTCTATCCACATGGAAGCCGCGTAACTGGAGTGAGTTCGGCCTTAGAGGCTCCTTTGAAAGCGGCATATCTTCAGCCTCTGCAAAATAACGAAAATGGCCGTCACAAAACCCAGCAAGAAAGCAACCTGCGTCGAAGACACTGCACTGGCGGGGTTGAAACCATTTCGGAATCCAGGATGGGAAGTCGCTCTGAGCTGGGTCATCCGTGTGCTGCACATGCGACAACACAGTAAGAACCCTAGGGCTCTTCCTGATTAAAAATCTGGTAAGATCTCTGTATACCTCAAGCAAATTCTTATTATAATCAGGCCGCAACACCTTGTGTCTGAGGATGTCGACATCCGGGCCGAGGTTATTAACACGCTTTGCTATGCCGATTGCAATTCTGCGGTACAGCATAAGTGCCGGGTTCTGGTCCGAGGTCGACATTGTTTGCGTGAAAGCCATAGTTGGCTCTAAGCCTTCATCGGATATCCCCAATATTGAAAACACCTTGTCCCGTGGATCGGTAACCTTAAAATCTCGCGTTGTTGCGAGCAGCAATGTCAGAGAACCCAATGATCCTTCGACGGCTCCACGGCGAAGTTCGCTTGAAGGTTGCCGGACCATGAATATCATATTCCAGAATTCAAATGGCATTCCGAGCAGTATCTGGTCCCGCTTCACATATATATATGGGGTTGTGGCAATGAGGTCAAAGAAATTCATTTCCAGTCCCTCACACCTCGCTATAGCCCACCTGCTTGCAACAACCTCCTGGATGCACCAATTCCGGAGGAAATACGGTCGATCAAACAACTGGTTGAGGTGATCGAACGCCTCTGGAGCTCCTGCTGCCAGTTCAACAACAGCTTTTTGCAAAGCAGCTTTGTCTGCACCGCAGCGCTCCCGCACCACTGCCAGTCGCTCTGCAAGCTCAAAAGCCATCTCCACGCCGGGAGTCCAGCATCCGAGCCATACGACGACTCGCGTAGCATATTTGTATACAAATCGTATATACCTTACTTGTCTTGACCGTTCTTCTATATTTGACTGATCTATGCAGAGTGCATCCACCCAAACTCTTCTCGCTTGCGTTGGCAGCCTGAGGCTACGGAGAGCTGAGTCCAAGTTTGGCTTTATGGCAATTGGTCGTCCATCGACGTGGATGGAAACTTGTTCTGCCTCCGTGCCCCAAACGTAAGAAAGAGCTTCGTAAGGCGGTATAGGCGCGAAATCCGGATCCAACGCATAGGTTAACAGACTTCCATGGAGTGGGTCGTTAGGTTGACCCGAGCTCAGGAGAAGAAGGCGGGTAAAAGGAGGAGTCTTTCCGACTGAGGCAATGGCTGGAAGAGGTTGATATGTATATTGAGGGAAGCTCTCCATGGGAAAGAGTCTTTTTGACCAGTAACTCAAACTTCATTTCACAGGGAGTGGTTGGGAAATTTCGTGCTCGGGCAATCACCCAAGTGTGAAACCGCAAACTCTTCAAAAGGCCTGTCCGCTCCAGAAAAGAGCGAAATATGTGACCAAACCCAATGCACAATAGGCAATTTACTTTGTACGATGTACTGCGTAGAGAGCTATATTCCCGACGGTAAAAGGATGTTGAGATATGTGGTGCACAGCCGCTTATTTCGTTCCTCGTAGTTGCGGGGATCGCTCGGCTGAAAGTAGCGGACAAAATGCCACCAGACACTCCTCTCAAATTTCCTCATAGTCCTTTTCATGTACAGTATTTCTGAAATGGGTACAGAGTTCCCACAAATAAATGTCCTCATTGTCCTTATCAAAGGACGCTTAACTGTTATTTAGATACCCGGCTCAGGAGCCAGGATTTTGACATTGTTTACCACATTTCAGCGACAGCTCAAGATGCCACCCGGATCAGCCGGGAGACTGTGGCCTGCCATACCAAACCCATGAGTTCGTCAGATCCATAATTCACTTTTGCACGATGTGAACAGAATGTCTAAAATCGCTCCATTAATTAATGAAGGTTGACTCGGCCATTTCAGCTTAAAACTGTGTCGAGGCGATCCTCTCAGGAGGTCAGACTTATTGGGATCATTCCGATCTCTCTTGAACTTGCTTTCCAATTATTCAATCAAATATTTCTGAGCTTTTATTTGTTCCCCCAAGACGGCAAATGGGGGTTATTCATTCGTTATGTGTAGCGTTTGTCTTAACATTTGGTATAAATGGATCGGCAGACCTAGGTCAAACAAGGGATTTGAGCAACAGGAGGTGATACTGGAATTAAGACAGACTGAACACTTGATGCTTGAGGCAGCAGACAGGAACACTGAGACGCCTACCAAGAAGGCCATCGGGTATTTTCCTACACTGGGCTCCGAATTTCCTGACATACACAACGTGTGATACAACCAATCTGTGCATCTTAGCATGGCATGAAAGTTGCACAATATTCCAAGGAAGTTTTCTGAAACGCAGCGGGGCAGCGGGGCAGCGGGGTTGCGCAAGAGAGAAGAAATGTGGTCCTGGCCTCATTATGTTGGTGTCTTGTGGTTGCTCAGAAGCGTTATATTCCCTTGCATTGCTTCCATTTAACGTACGCAGTATAACTAGGAGAAGTTCTATGAGACACCAGGTGCAAAGTTGGCAAATACTTTTGCCCTGGCTCCTCTTTGCATCTTATTAGTTTCCTAGGAAAAAAAGAGGAGATGACAGGATTCTGGAGAAATCCGAAGAGCGAAACAATTTTCGAAACACTGGGTCGAAAGACATCCATTTGTATCGATGCTTGACGCCATGTTCTCTGTTATTGTCCAGCATCTCAATAAGTTTACTTATGCTGAGCGCATAAGTTTGCGAGGCGGAACTCGGGCTCTCTTTTTAAATCTTTAGGACTCTGCTTGCCCAGAGATATATAGTTCCATTAATCTCTTCAATGTCGTTAAATCTGACGTAACGGCATAGAATTCGTATATATTCTGGGCTATCAAATGATGCATCGTTATGAAATTTCAAACTTATACCATAAGGTGCGTTTGCCCTGGAATATCTTTCGATTCCATTATTACCGCCTGTAAGCTACGGTAATTGCATCCCGATCAATCATTGGAAGAATCCAGGGAGGAAAAGAAAGGCCCCCACTCGATGCCCCACCCGCCATCTGAATCGGTCGATGTGAGAACTGCGGGATGTGGACACCCCAACCACCAGCGTCTCATGGTGGCTGGCTGTAGAACGCTCCACAATCCATGGAGCACTCCGTTGCCCGCTGCATCGTTGGAAGGTGTAGCCACCAATTGGATTCTTGAAAGAGCATGTTTGGTTGGGTGGAGCCCGTGATCCGACAATGGAAACTCGGCTCGGAAAATCTTCATGAGGAACAGGAGATCGGAGAGCCTGTTGGTGTCATGCACCTGAGCAAACGGTGGACACACTATTGGTTGTCTGAGTCCGATAAGGCATTCAGTTGATACTGCCAAGATGGTTCATGGTAATGATATCAGATATCATGTATTTAAGTTTTCTCTTGCACACTTCGCATCGAGAAGCACATAGACCCAACTTACGATGCTGAACCAACTTCGTTGCTATTGGAAGAGAATGCAATCCACCAACTCCAGATTTAACCAGGGGCCCCCGGACAAGATCGGGTACTTTAATACGAGGAAATGGCTGAGGATGTCCACGCCGAGTGGCCCCTCTCCCTTCTTGCAGATGAACGCTGAGGACGTGCTCCTGTCAATCGTAAGCTTTGCAGATGTCAAGGTCCAGCACGACAAGGATTGACGTGGCTAGATCTGGAAACTTATGACAAGTCCTAGCCATCAAGATAGGCTGCGGTACCTACGAGTCCCTCTAATTCCCACTGGACCATCACAGACTTCGGCGAACCTTTTAAACTGGAGCGGCTCGAGAATGGAGCTCTCGATGACGCCAGCCAGCCATCCCAGATCAATGTCATCCATCATGACTTTCTCTGAAGGAAATCTCCAGCTCGAACCAGCCTTGTTCCAAGCATCGGCTCCTGGGCTCCCCCACAGGGTTTCTTCTGATTGGGTTTCTGCAATGTCGATCTTGATGGATCTCAGCCCAATGGCGCGCAACGCAGCGCCAGATCAGGAGAAAATCCTTGCCGTTGGGGCGTCGGAGGATCAGTCACACCTATACAGCGTAATCTGCTTCCTTCCGCTGCCAGTCTGAGCTCTCATGGACTTTGGGGAGACAGCATGCACGTTCTTGTACTGTACAAATACTGTACATACATATACAGAGAAGTTGATTCCGCCGTTAGTTGAAGCTTTTTTGTCGTCAGGTTTCTCAACCCCTCATAGTTAAAAAGTGGGGATTGTGAACAGCTTGAAGTTAATGCATCACAAACTCTATTGTCAATAATTGCTTTTATTTCAATTCTTCTTCTTCATAAATATTGAGAGCTTTGGAAAAATTTCTCCATATCAAGCCTCAGGGGTAGATAGGGTCGGTGACAACGCTGCAGAATATGGAGATATTTCAGCGAGGTAAAGTTCTCGATATCAGTTTATTCTTCCTAATATCTGGAGAGTTCAATGTTATTTCAACCAGCGAATTGCCTCCTGACGGGATCCGTATTCTGACATTTCTCATCAGGGCCGAAGTTGATGGTCGTGGCACCATTGGGTCCGTCCGCGCTGACCGCGCCCGAATGAGAATCAACGGGTATTCTGGCATTTACCGGCTTTGAATCGGGCCTTGAACACAAATTACGTGGAACTTGAAATTCTCTATCCAGTGTCCGAGTTAAGTTCACTTACTGCTTGTTCAGTGGGCGATACCGTGCACCGGCACAGTACATATACAGTAAGTAAGTACTACTGAGTTCCCATTATGACTGTGGACGTACCCAACAAACTCTAACGAAACAAGTAACAAATACATCCCGCCCCCAAGGACATACATCGTAGATGCACTCTTCTCCGTGAGGATGGCTGTGGAATATTGATGCAGTAGTGGGGCAAGGATTTCGATACGTGCTGGAGCGGTCGCATTCTGACCGTGCCGAGTCGAGGTTAAGATCTGCTTCAAGCCGATGCGGTGGTTGGCGTATGGGCGAAAAGATTCATCCTTGCTCAGGATCGGTGAGCACTAAGCATCACGAACTAACGGACCGCTAGTGGCTCGGTAACTTAAACTAACAGTAGTGAGCTTTTTTTCAAGTGGATCTCGCAAGAGCTCCAAGACGCCAGGGAACAATCTCTGCTCTTGTCTTCTTGGCATCAACAATGATGAAAACGAGACTTCAGGCAGCCTAAGGCTGCTTTGCGTATATTCGAGGATGTCAGCTCTCCGCTGAACCTGACTTGTCCAGCGTATTGACTGATCAATCCAAGGACAAACCTAGCAAAGCTTTGAATCTTGCTAATTTAGGATGATGCGCAATAACTTACACATTATACGACTTTCTTCTTCGGATCTTCGTTCTAGAGAACGGAATCTTTTTTTCGGGGGGGAAGTCTAAGAATGGTTTCTTCACCAGCAGGGTGACGAAAGCTTTGAAGCCGCTATCGCCCCCTGTAGAAAAAGAAACAAAATGCCTCAAGAAAGATCCTCAATTAGGTCCGATTTGAGGAGAGGATATGTTCATGTGTGCACTAATACACATGCATTGTTTGATGTGCGGAGAAGTGACATGATTTTCACCATATGCACAGTCATCCCGTGCATATGATGCTTCGTTCAGGTTGCATATACATGTACTTTTATGTACTATGCTTGTTGCGGACCAGAGAAATGCCTCTTTTGTAGGATTGGACAAGACAAAGCTTGAACGGTGGGATATCTTGGTGTGCAGCTTTTGCTTGACCAGCAGCGAACCGCCTTGTCAATGGCATAAGGTGCGGTGGCGACCTGTGGATGTGACGGGTAGCACAGCAGCTGCGTGGTCCTTTAGAAGATCAGATCAAACAGCTTACGGACCGAGGGAGAGATAGGTTCTAGTGATGTGGGCATGGAATGTTATTTCGAACGATAACAAGTGTGAAGAATAAGCAACAGAAATTCAAGCTTCACTCTGTCACCTCGGTCGCGCTAATGGCCCAGCTCCTACTGTATAACTTCAGAAAGGCAGTAAACCATAAATTGGGAGTTAAATCGGCCAAGGATGTCATTCAGCTCGAGGATGAGATTTAGAACTGAATTGAGAAAAAAGGTGAAATAGAAATATATTAAATACTGACTGCAGCATACATAGAGATATTGTATATATAAAGCGATCGTCATATCCAAATGCCATAAGATCCCAAAGTTCCTGCCATTCCAAATTATCCCATCCAGAACCCAAAGTACAATGTGGAAAAGAAAGAAAGGATGACAAAACGGTAAACTGGCTGACTCTGCACAAGAGGTTAACAGAGAATTGGCCGTCAAAAGTCAAAGCGAGATGCAAAGTTCCATAATAGCTGAATATCCCATATAATTACCAATACGCTAGGCTTTTTCCGAGGACTCGAAATAGATATAATGATTGTTGATGAAATTTGCAAATTCATGTACATGAATGCTGATCGAAAGATAGGAGAATATTTTTCAACGAAAAATAGCGTGAACAGGGGATTCCCATTTGGTAAGATGGTAATTAAATTCTGCTCAGGTATGAAGCCGGATTCAATTGAACGAACGCCTGGAAGTTTGATGTTGATTGGCTAGGGGTTCGGTGCGGAGTAATTATGGTTCATATCAGACACTGGAGATAACGCGCTTTGACAACTGGAAGTGGTCTCCGGCACCGATAGTGGGGTGTTTGGGTGCGAAGTAGGCTGTGTCATCATTTCTAACTGCGATTGGATTGTTGGTAGACCATGTTTTGTCGATGAAGAATCCTTTTTACGTTTCATTTCTGGCCGGCGTCTTACTAGAGGATCACGGCCGACCCTTGCATTTGTCGTTCCGACACCATCTGGGCGAACATGCGTGAAAGCGGCACGTCTCCAGGCTTTTATTTCAGGATCCAACACTAGCATCTCTAGATTAGAAGCAGGCGGCAGTGCTGGAGGGCCTCCATATTGCTGAGTGTAATCCTCTCTGACTGTTGGCTCATTATATTCCGTATAGTCTGGGATTGATGAGCTTCCGTCACCTATGGTAAAAAGATGGGATGGGCAGGAGTGGGATACGTCAGGTTCAATATAGCCCCATGGAGTCATCGGATTGTTTTCTGTATTCACAGGGCTTGTCTGCAATGACCACTCTCCTTGACACGCCTTCGCAAATGAATCGCTCACTGATATGTTGGTCGCAGAACCTGTAAATCTTGTGTGGCATGCCATAGGCGCATCTATGGCACTGTTTGCGATCGAGCTTGTGGAAGGGTTCGGATGTCCATAGGAATGGACAGAGGATAATGGGGATGGGGTCGTGAAATGCTGTAGCGAGAATGGTGCATGATTGTCATTGGTTATGTGGTTCGACGATGCCCAATCTGCTGCAACTGTCTGTCCTTCGAGCATTGGTGAGTTTTTCAATATGTGTTGTTGGCTATATCCTGATGGCATTATCCATCCTTTGAGATCATTCCATACGACCCGGCCGGAAATAGACGCGGCCTGGGTGGATGGTGGTTCATTCAGGGTGGTCAGTTCTAACCGGTTTGGGTGCTTGACGGTAGGCGATGTCGTCAGTCCGTCACTCTGTTTCTTCCTTTTTTGGCGCGATGGTTTGGTAACTCCCCACTTCTTCAGTCTACTGCGGAGTTGGGTTTCACTGCGGTTGTTTAAGTCAGTGCATGGGATAGGTTGGGGTAAGGGGACAAACTTACGTTGGGTTAAAATCATCGCTTCTGATTTTCTTAATGACTTGTTTCAAAGGCCATTCTTCTTCTTTGTAAAGAGCTGCAATCTCGGCACGTTTGTCTTCCCAAACTTCGGACGGAATCGAATTCTTCATTTTGATTGATGGTTTTGTGAAACGATACAAAGAGATGGGAGGGGAGTTTGAGGACAGGTAGGGGTTTCGGTGAGGAAATTTTGACGTTTCGCAGCAAGCCATTAAATGGAGGAAGTTACCGACTCCATTGCCTCATCATCGACTCGGACAAGATGAAATAAAAGAGATCGGGGGGAAAAGAGTAGAAGAGTGATATGACTGAATATCTAAAAGAAAGAAGGAAGAAGTGCAAGACAGTGGAGCATGCCAAAATCATTAGGACGAATGTAAACGGAGTTGCTGCATTTCGAGGCGGTCGTCTCGCCGATGCGTCAATAATTGACTAGACAGGAGTGGCACCCCACTAGGAAACGAACAACCCTCAACCAGCCACGGAAAAGTTCATCGAACCAGGCTAGCGGTAATTGGAAAGGGGAATCCAGATAAAATAGATTTCTCGAACCAAGCCCTGAAAGATAGCTCATCCACTGAAAGTGAGCCAGCCGATATTCTGCAAGATCGAGAAGATCCAAGCATGAACTAAGTATAGGGCGGTGGCATTGTTGAGCTGTACGCTGGTATCATGGCCATGGTTCCCAGTACGAAGTGCAAATCACAAATATGACAGGGAAAAACAGCATGGGAAATAGCAAGCACTTGGCGATTCATATCCAAGAGATAAGACCAAACGGCGAGACACTGGCTGAGGGAGCATTCGAGCTACTGGAGCTTCCTTCGTAACGACCTAGTCAAGGCAGCAATACAGCTAGCAACGTCATGTCACCACTGATCATGCTCTCAATCCCCTGCAGATTACCCAGGTAAGCTATGGTGGTAATCAGGTTTCCATTGCTACCACGCAACGGCAGCCAGTGAAGTTGAGTGGGGTGGTGACAACAAAGAAGCTGGGCAACAACCCAATCAGACGTGGCTCGGTAGCCCAGCTGGGCGGTTTTGCCCGGGCTGCCGACCATTAGCCCGAAGCTATGACATTACGAGGCAAATCCCTCCAATCGCCACTTGCCGTTTTGAACTGAATCGGTGTAATCGATTCTAGGCGGCTTCCAGGCATTCAGGGCAAAAGTGAGAAAAAGGGATAGCAAGACGTCGTTTTCCATCTTATATTCAAGTAAATGCACCTGGGAGGCATAACAGAGCATTGTCGTGGAGATTGACTTTATCGGTGACCGAATGCCGATCACTGATCATGTAGCAAACCATCCACTAGTAATTGGGTTGTGTATGTGATGGTGTTGGTGAGAACCTTCTCCGGCAACCAGCCAACGGAAAAATCCACATGCAGGACACTTCCCCAGGTCACTCTCCGTGCTGAGGCATGCAGATATTGACTTGGGCGTCAGCCACTGCAGTTTATTTTGTTCTGCAGTACTGCGTATTTTACATTCGAACGTGTATTTCTTGCAACAAGGGCTGACGTTTTAACTTTGGCTCCATCGCGAACCCCCATCGACTGTCCCGTGTTCCAAACGTCGATCTCTTGCGGTTGGCATTGCTTCCCCTCGCATTTCTGGCCCAAAGCTGCGAGGCCAAACATTTTTGCTATATATATATATGTATATTTTTGTTCTTAGCCGCCTGTTCGACCAGCTAATAATGACTTCCGGGGTCACAGTGCTGGAAATGTTCAGCTAACTCAGATAGATAATGATAGCGCTCGGGCTGGCTGTTTGAAAGAAATTGCTGAAGCTATCATAGTTGACCACCGCTTTAGGAAGATTCGTTCAGAATTCCAACAACTTCTTAGTTAAGTTAGCAGGGTTATATTTCGACCACGGTACTGAACATTACAATCCAGTCTAAGGGTGTCGGCCCTCGCGGGATTTGACAACCAGTTTCCATCCTTGATATTAGTCTGAATAATGTTTGGTTGACTTCGTGAAGAGAAAGTCTGAAAGTAGCGGGAAACCAGGAAGAAAACTTGACGTATCACATCTGCTGGCTCTGGCGTATTTGCCATTCCCTTAAGTGGCTTGTGGCTTGCGGCTTGCGGCGCGTTTAAGAAGACAGGCAGCTTTGGAATCCTGGCAATCCTCGCTGAGGAAAGCCAACCAGATCCGCCAAACACACCTCGGCCATGATGGTCGATAAGGGGATCCCGAAAGGTCAACGATTGTCCTCGGCAAACCACGATTGATATGAGGAACTCTTGTGTTACCAACAGCTCCGACCTTAGATTTGGAATACGCGGGGTGGTCGGTTTGCGAGAGCTGGATCCATGAAGCTGCGGCTGGAATGAGAATTGGGAAGGCAAGTTTCCAAGGTTGAGGCGGTTATCACGTGTCGGGGTCAAAGCTCATGTGGGCAGCTGGGGCTTCAAAAGGCACTCCGAAAATTCGAATGAGATGAATCCATAGAAATCCACATTGGAGGGTCAGAATCAAGTTCAGCTTCGCAACAGTGAAACCCAATTTCATAATTCAGCATACTTCGGTGAAGTGGAAACAAAAATTTCAAGAGAGATGATATATATATATACTGTACATGAGTGCGGAATACTTCGTTGTGGAATTACGGGAAGGAGGTATAAAAGAGAATCAGAATACAACGGAGAATAAAAGGGAGAAATATCGTCTATGATGCGGAGCCCTACTTGGTCTTTTCCCCCCCGTAGCCACTATGCCAAAGCCAACGCCCAAACAAATCAAAATACCAAACGCCATTCTGCTTAAAAGATCAAAGCTAAAGGAAGTAAGTAGTCTGTGGAACATATCATCTATGCCTTTTGATTCGATGCTCTTGTCCTCTTCTCGTCTTCCTCTTCCTCTTGTCTGGTGGCAGAACCAAGGGTTCGTCCTTCAGGTTCCATTCCATAAAACGTAAAAGGTAATCATCAATGTGACCGGATTCCGGTTCTTTATCTTGTGCAACCTGAGCTGACGGCGATCCTAGGTGTGCGGGAGTATTGGCATTTCCTGCATGAGTAACGGATGGTTCATACTCTTCAACTTCTGTTGCCATGGGTGTTCCAACTTGGCTGGGTCCGGGCTGACCTGGTGTGTGTGGTACGCTACCCTCCTCGAAGTCGCCATCGTCTGCGTGCTCCAACTCCTTCTCCGCGTTCTTTGCAGCATCGATATCTTCTTTATCCTCTGCCTGTTCGAAGGCCCGAGGTGTTCCGACAACTTTGGTATCAAGAACGCGGTCCATAGCAGCACTCGCTTCATCATGCCCATCCACAACAGCATCAGTTAGCATGCCCCGCACATCCAACTTCTGAAAGTAGTCAGTCGTGAATTCGCCTTCTTGAATAATAACATCGTCGAGCATCCGTTTCTGATTGGCCTTGCGTAGAATATTCGATTCGATTGTGTATTCAGATATAAAGCGATAAATGTGAACGTCACGAGTCTGACCAATGCGATGACACCTATCTTGACATTGTTTATCCATTGCCGGGTTCCAATCCAGATCATAGAATATGACTGTATCTGCACCTGTCAAATTGATTCCTAACCCACCTGACCTGCTAGAAAGAATGAAAGCCAGAATTCGCGTATCATTATTGAAACGTTCGGTCAACATCTGTCGCTGCTCCACTTTGGTAGCACCATCGAGGCGAAGGTATCGGTGGCCATGTATATTGAGAAACTGTTCCAGGATATCAAGCATTTTTGTCATTTGCGTGAAAATCAAAGCACGATGGCCACCTGATTGTAGCTTCCTCAGAAGCTTGTCAAGCTGCTGAAGTTTTCCGCAATCATACTGCAAGAGCCGTTTATCTGGGAACGCGATTGACAGGCGCATCTGTGCCTCATGAAACGGGTCATAATTCGGAACCCTTAGCGCTTTATTGAAATATCGGGACTCCATCGGTGTTAAGGCCGCGGCAGTGACATCCGACGCAACCACCGCAGGAGTGACAAATGCAAACTTCTGTATAATGTTCTCCATCGCAAGAGACCTTTCATTTATTGATAAGATCATTGACGCTATGGCGGGAGATTGGTGCGAAAACCAGTCAATAAGTGAACGGCGTGGAGGTAAACGTTGGGATTTTGATTGTATGCCAATATTTAACGTAATGAAGTCGATTAGGCTCTCCCCATACACAGGTCGTTGTCCGTGTCGCTTCGACTCAAAGTACAGGCACCGTTCTAGCTCTTGCATCCTCCTTTTTCGAGATGAGTTCTCCATTGACGTTAGCACAGACCGGACTGAAGATCCATCAAATTCCATACGCCAGTTAGTGCGATTATATTGGCGCTCACGTAGTGCTTTAAGAGGACCAAAGGCCATGATTCGTGAGGTATCGTCCACAAGCCTCTTCGACGTATTTTCTCTTGATATGGGAACTAAGTTCAAGAAGTCTAAATCTAATTTGCTCAATAGATCCTCTCTTAACAGGCGGCGTCGGACAAATAACTCTTTGATTTCAAAATCCGCTATCGCAGACCTCGTCATCGAAAATGAAGTCGTTATCGGTCGCGTTTCGAAAAGATCAGGGTGATTACAGACTTTTCGTAACTGCATTAAACAGTTAATGATGGAAAGATAATTCCCCGATGCCAATGTTTCTTTCGTTTGAGCCCTCGACATGAATCCGTCATATAAGTATCGTTGGCGCTTTGATAGTCTGCATGGCACAACATGTTCGAACTTCGCGGGCATTTGTTTTTCTACGTCTACTTTGAGACGGCGTAAAATGTAAGGGCGTAGAACAGTGTGCAATTTCGTAACCACTTTTTTTGCTTCATCATCCATTGTTTCCCTCCCGTGTTCGAGAATTTGCTCCACTGGTCGCCGAAACCATTCGGAGAAGTTTCGAAGGTCAGCAAATCCTTCAACACCGGTGTCACCGCCGTCAGATGGCATGAGGAAGAAGAGAAGAGACCATAGTTCGGTCAGGTTATTTTGCAGGGGCGTGCCAGTTAACAAAAGTCTTGCTTTAGTTTTAAACGTGAGGAGTGTTTGCCATCGTTGGGATCGGAAGTTTTTGATATTGTGGGCTTCGTCCAAGACCATGTAATGCCAATTTCGTCTCTTGAACGTTTGCTGATCCTGAAGCACAAGTTGGTATGATGTAATACAAACATGCCAGCGGTCGTCATCCATCCAACCCTTGCGCTTTTGCCTTCTCTCTTCTTGTGAGCCATAATATGTGAGGATTTTGAACCCAGGACACCACTTTTTGAATTCCATTTCCCAGTTGAGCATTACGCTAGTCGGAACAACCACGAGATGAGGCCCCCATACCTCGTGCTCGACAGCCAAGTGCGCCAAGAGCGCTATGGTTTGAATAGTTTTTCCAAGACCCATTTCGTCCGCAAGAATGCCATTGATATTGCTGGTATACAGGCCCGCTAGCCAATCCAAACCAAAATGTTGATATTCACGTAACGTCCCCCGTAAAAGATGTGGGATAGGTGTTTTGATGGGAGGAGATGGTTGAGAAGCTGAATTATCAATCTGACTCTCGTCAAGGTTGTTCTGCTTTGGTTCGTACGAAGGCTCGTATGAAGAAACCGATTCAACCTCTGAACGCTTTGTTGTAGCTGTTTCTGGCGAAGGCTCGCTGCTGGTATCTCTACTCGGGCGAAAGTTGTTAGAAATTTGAGATTTTTGCTCGCTATTAACATTGTCATCATTTCGAGTGGGTTCGTGAATCAGTGATTTTTGGCTTGGTTGGCGGTATTCCGCCGATTCGTCGGGGGAAAGTTGATATTCTCGACCATCCTGCTCGTTTGTCCCATTGGGGACAAGGAGGACTTCGTCTTCATCATCTCCGTCTTCCCCACCTGTTTCGACAAGATCCTGGTTGTGGGAATTATTTCCCTGGTCAACTTTTTCCATTTTTGTGGCAAAAAATCCCATTAAACCAGGACCTTCTTCGTCACTACTACTAGCCTCTTCTTCGTCACTGTCACCCATGTCATCCTCCATTTCCGTCGACTCTTCGTCGCTATCATCCAACAGTACCGAATCAACTTCATCCAGGTCTGCATCATGGTTACCTGTATCACTTGCAGGCAGTGAAAACGTGCCGTCCACTTCGATCTTGGATTTCAGGTCAGGAGAGACATCACCGATAGACATCGAGGAATCCCGCGACGAGCGGTTCGATTTGACATCCACTTCAAAGTTACTCGAAGTAATATGCGCATACTTCATACGAAGCTCCTCTGCCGTCAAGCCTTCATCATGGTTAATATCATCATCATCCCCCTCGCTCTCAGATGTCGTCGACATATTACTTTCATCTTCTGTTCCATCATTGCTAGATTCATCTGTCTCCGAACCCGTTTCAGTATCTGGCTGGCTCTCCTCATGTAGGGAATCATCCGGCCTATCCGGTCTCCTCATTTCAAACAAGAGCGTGGACTGCTTGATAGCTTTGTTCAATGCAAGTTGATCCTCTGCCTTTCTTTGCTCCTCCCATCGGGCCAAGCGGGCTTTCTCTACTTCCGCGCGAACCGCATCAAACTGACGCTGCAAATCCTTAACAAGTTGTTTCCGTTTCTGGCGGATTTCTTCCTGCTGTTCCCTTAATATATCTTCTGGATGTTTGTGTCGCTTCCTCCACACTTCCGCGCACCCTTGAGCAAATAGTTTTGCTAGATGTCGATGCTGCTTATGTTCCTTTTCGAGTAATTTCTTGAAGTACAAGGCATGAGCGACAAGGTGGTCTTGATGGGAGTACTGAAGAGGGGGTTCTTCCGCAGGATCAGGCATGTAACGGGAACAGCGTTCTTTACTTAGTAATTGACCAGGTTGGCCGGCTTCCCAAACTCTCGTTCTCATGCGGGCCTCGGCAAGGGCGGCCTCGGGTGTTGAAAAGCCTGTCTCATCGTCCGTTGCAGCTTCATTTTCCACCCAATCGCGGAACGATAGGTATCTTTTTTCCGGCAAAACATGGGATGGATGTTGTGAAGCCAAAGAAGGCATTTTGACCTTAAACCGTAGCCTTGGTAATTTCTGACCTGAATTCCATCCAGCTTCTTGCCGCTCTGCACCCTCAGTTTCTCGGCTTCTTTCAATTATATTCGAATTTTTCACAGCAACAGGTGGCACTTCCGCAGGGCTAACGTGGCCTCGTTGAGACTTGGAAACACTTTTGCCGTTCGTAATTGAAATAATGGACTTGTTAAGGTTATGAGAAGAAGCAAGGCTAGAAGCTCTAGTTCTCGGCGGCCCGCTTCTAGAGTTGGAATTTTGTGCATTTTGCTGTTTTCCGAACGGGCTTCGGGAACTCGGGTTTCGGAGAGAGCCTTTCCTGGGTGAGGGACTATCAGTGCCATTAGTAGTGCCACTTCCCATTGACAAACGTCTCCCATTTGTTTCTGGCTGGGACGCCATCGGGACTAACGAAGAATTCCCATGCCGTGAAACACGAGTTGGCTTCGATGGGTTCACATAGTTCTGATGAGAGGCACGTGTATGTCTCTTATCCGACTGAGGCAGCAGATCGAGCGGTACGACGTTTGTCCTAGACGACTTCCGCCTACCACCTTCGATGAAGGAGGTTGGCCCATCAACCGCCACGCGCTTCCATGGAGGAGAGATTGGACGAGGCGTACTCCGACCAGAAGAGTCTGCAAGTTTCCGCTTTTTGGGTGGTGGTCGTGAGAGGGTATCGGGGTCCTCATCTTCGTGTCTAGGCTCATTAGAAACTGAATCGTTTACAGAGGAATCAGGATTAGCCTTTGGTGTAGGAAAACTGTGAAGCTTGGCTTCAGGCTCGGATGTCGCGTTGTCGTGGTGGTGCTGGGACGTGCCTCGAAGGCTGCCGTTTTGCATTTCTTGTTAGCTTCAGGACAGGGGCAGAGCCGCAGCAGACCCCGACTATCCCAACGAAAACGCGTTTAAAATGAGTAGGTGTACCATCAATCGATAGCTCGTCTGTCACAAAATTTGCATATAAAGTTTGGCATCGTCATCGGCAAATTTGTGCTGCTGGTGACAAGAAAACGGGTTGCGCTGGTGGATTGTGTGTGGAGTGGTTTTTCCCAGACTTGTGAGGCAATTTCTTTGATAATCAGCTTATGTAAACATCACATGACCAGCCGCCGCAACACCGAACAATCCATCTCATCTTGTGGATTTACCATCACCTCCTGTGGATCACGTTCCAGGACTTTAACGCCTTGTTTTGTTTCGACCTCGTTCGGCGAATCGCCGTGCCAGCCTCTACAGTGGGTAATACTTAGCCAAAATGCCATTGATGCCATAGCTAACTTCCGAGGCCGTTAGATGTTGTCGAGGCATTTTGTGACAGGAGTGAACCTGTCCTCACGGGCAGTTTGCCAGCTCGCTCGTCCCCATGCATTGGCCTCACAAATTCGATTTGCATCGCAGACTACTGTCGAAGACCCAGAGATGGTGGGTTGGCAGCACTATTCTACGTCCTTTACCTAAGCTGATAACCGTACCCTTCCAGAATAACAACTACTACAACCCTCCTGCCCAGAAACGGCAATTCCGCGACCCGTACGGCGACTGGTGGGATAAGCAGGATCGGAGAAACTTTGGAGAGCCCGTTCATGAAGACAATGATATCTTAACCATATTTTCTACCGAAAAATATACCCATTTCAAACCCGCTAAAGGCTTCTTGTTGTTGGGATGTGCTGGGGGTTCTGTCCTTCTCCTCAGCGGAGTTGTCAGCATGTTCTACCCTGACAAACCTAGCTCACCGCGCACATTTGAAGGTGGACTGGAAAGGGAACTTGGCGGACCCAATGCTGTTCGGGTAAGTTTTGGAAAACCATCTCGCCAAACAATTTAGTTTCCTAGAAGCTAACTCTCAAAAGGCTCGTGCACCGGGAGAAGACAAATGGTGATATTGCTTGGAGGCATTGTATTTGATTTAAATGTAAATAAGAGTATTGTGACGGCGTTGGACAGCTTTTTTTCTTTTTTTCCTTTTTTTTTTTTGACGTTGTGCTTACCATAAACTGGGACCAAAATGGATCCTATTTAACTTCATACCTTCCATCACTCAAAGAACAATCCACTATCACAGCATGTGCAATGCAACGAACGGATAACTTGCACGTAGCAACTTTCAAGACACTATACATATCGCTCTGATTAGCATCAATGATGATAACCATTATTATATGATAAAAACAATGAAAATGGTATGTTTACCGAGTACAAAGGTTTTTCAACTTCATACATTCACTTTGTTTATCATTCTAGTACTTTTTTGTCCAAAGTGATATATACACATACAAAACCTGGTTAATTTATTGCAGCCTGAGGGAAAGGCAAGTAAGTAGCTAAGTGTCATTGTCACGCTGAATGGATTGCCAAGCGATCCCCTGAAAGCAATGGATTCCACAGAAGCTTGAAATGGTGCAGTGTTCTTGAAGCTACAGTAAACCTAGATGAGAACTTCATTGGCATAATTTTAAATCACATCATGTACAGTACAAATTGAAGGATCTGTGAGGTTTGATAAGGGCATCATCGATAACATTGCAGCATTGATCTGCGGCATTACCACCAGTGGATGGGATCAAGCTCTTTTCCCGCTTATAGTCCATCCAAAGCATGTTTTGTAAGCCCATCTGGAAATAGTAGAATCACTGAAAAGCCCTTTCTTGCGAACCAAGGAGCCGGGCAAACGCAAGAAACACGTTATGTGTAATCGATGAATGCTCGCGGTCTTGAAATGATGTTTCACCTGTCTGGCTCGTGGTTAATATCGCCTGAATCGGACAATCAAGCGCATGGTCTTAAAAGTCAGTGAATGGTTTGTTTTGAAAATGCGAAACCACATTTCTGATAACCTTGCATGAAGAAAACCTCCTCATCACGTAAAATCGACAAAATCGAAGATTTTTGCGGACCAGAAGTGGAACCGAAAAGGGGATGAAGCCAACAGGGAATAATCTTGAAGCAGCTGGACTGCCGCACTAGCGGGCTAGCGGACCAGGAATAAGCAAGCACTCAGATTCGATGCGCTGTGTAGGGATGGCTTCACTCGACCTTTCCCCACCATCTCACCACCTAGTATTGACCAAATAGATCAAACAACGGTAATTGCCAGCATAACATTCCCCAGTACGGCCAAGAAATCCGCATTTTCAGAGCTCGCAAAACACCCTACGCTTTTCTACTCAGCCAACTCGTTCTGCCAACCTTGGAAGTCACCAGACCCAACACCTGACCTTTCATCGGCATCGCCAGTCTAAGAAACTTTTTATTTTCGGCTTTTGGGCGTTCAAGAGTCACGTCCTAATCCAACCCACATACGTATTGTTGGGCCAGCTGATTATTCTAAATATTTCAGTCTTGTCTCTATCCTGTCGCTTGTGTATATCCATCGACCCGAAGTTGTCCTTGTCCTGCATACGCGTTCCCGGCCGCTGGTGAGCGAGCCTTGGAAAACGTATAACGAACATCCGCATTCCACACTGAATAACAAGAAGATTGTTATTATATTATCTGCAGACTGGCGCCTGCAGGACTCCATGACTATATCTCTTCTCTGGCACTGCTCAACTACCTCTTCGTTCGGATAGAGAGGCAAACACGTGCTAAGGTCTCATGTCGACGGCATCCTCACGTTCTCGCGGCTTTAGTCGACGATTAGATAGCGACAGTGGCCAAAGTCGGGGTCCCCGTTCTCGAAATGTTTCCGTCACTCGAAAGCGGCCTGTCAGTCACAATGATGCGTATTTATATGTTCTTCGAGTAGCATATCTTGCCTACCTTCTCCAAAAACGGCCCCGTCGCACCCAGAGCGTACCAATTCCCCGCCAACGAGCTCACAAATCATCAGCTTCCATAATAAGCGATCTAAGTTTGGTCAAAGATCACAAGAGCACGAGGCTACCTCATGGCTTTGTGGGTCGGCTCGAAAATCGATTGACTGGAGTATTTAAGGGGATCGAAAAGGAAAAAGCTTACCAGGATGAGGCTGTGAGAAGAACATTTGCGGCGTTTTTAAATGAGCTGAGGGAGCCGGGCTTCAACAAGCGCATGAGAGAGGAGAGGCGGGCAGAACCCTTGGTCTTAATATTCTTTTCCAATGCGACCAAAGAACTCTCCAAGGGCCAAGCACCAGATGATACCAACTGGAAGCTTATGGTTGATAGGCATGTGGCTCTCTTTGTGAGGATCATCAGTTTGATTCTCAAAGACCAAGGCTGGGACAAGGATAAACCTGAACTGGCTAGCCAACTTTCTATCTTGGAAACCAAATTGCTTGCGCATGATCAGAATCTTGCGCAGGCATCCCCAAAAGATGGAGGAAACGTAATTACCGAACTCGTGCCCCTGAGCTATAAAGTCGAAGATATGCCATTAGTCCAAGTTGTGGCGAAAGTGTTTGGACTAAGGAATTCGTATGTCCAGTCAGATATAAACAAGTATAAAGATGTATGGACTGCGAAGGCGGCTCTGCAAGACCTTAAAACGTACCAGGTACAGCTCAACCTGAATACTAGGAGGACCCTGTCCAATGAAGACTTCGACTCTATCGAGGCTTTTGAAGCGTGGAAAAAGGCTGAGGATGGCGAACTCTCCCAGATGATGTTCTCTATAATGCAGTCCAACCCAGATACCAAAACAAGTTTGCCCGGTGGCACGCTTTCTCATCTCAGTACCAGATCTAGCGATCCCAATGCATCAGATCTTGGTTATTCCGACACATCAGATATTCCTTCAATAGATGCAGCTTCTTTTTCACAGCCTGATGCGTCCCATGACTGCTCTGATAATCCAAATATTTACACATTCATTCCCCCGGATCCTCAGTCGTTTTACCGTTTTGTACTCCTCCAAGTCGTAAACCACGAGCTGCAAGAAAGATCAACCAATGAATCAGACTCGACCTCGGACTCGCCACCTAAGACTCTTCTCTCGAAGCAAGCTACTGATCTGCTCAACGAAATAAGCCTTCGTTGGCGAATACCAACATCTACGCGTGCTGTATTGTTCCTTGATGTTTTCCGAGAGAAATATGTGGAACAAGAAATTGATCTTGACACTTTGGATTCCGCATTCATTTTTGTGAACCAACCTCCGCCAGAGAAATCGAAACGTGGTAGTAACTTCATAGTCTCATTGCTCTCAAACAGGGAGAATTGGACGCTCGCTGATTTTAGTGTAATGACACACCTGCTTTCCTCTCTCCACGAGGCGCTCCTTCGGCATCTCTATGAGACGATGATGCACTGCTATGACACCAAGGTCCCCCCTATAGGTTCAGTCATGTACATTCTAGAAAACTACGTCGAAGCTGACCCCAACTTTGTTTCCAAACCGGACGACTATGAAAATTTTCGTTCCTATGTGTATAACGGATTAGTGAACAAGGCAAAAGATGTTTATCAAGAACACCTCGACAAGGAAATACCTCCAGAGCAAAATGTGTGGGAGTTCTATCATGTGGTGCAACTCGGGAAAGGTATTTTAAAACTTGCCCAGCGGATACAAAAGAGATATAAGAAAACCCCGGAAATCATAGGGTATGGACCTAAAAATTCGTATTCTCCTGACTTCTAACTGACTTGCGTAGTGTCAATCCTTCAAACATTCTGGCCAAGTGCATTCTTCCAATGTTCGCGGAGGATGCACGCGACATCATTACGCGGATTATACAACAAGCTCAAGATAAAAACGAAGAGATTGGCGTGCAAGATGGCTTTGACTTGTACAAAGAATTGGCTCAAATACGCCAATTTTACACAGAAGTTCTCCCTGGGTAGGAACTAAACCTATACACAATGTTTCTGTGTTCTTTTGCTGAGAATGTTCCAGTGAACCGTTTCCCATACCGATCGAGGAACTACTGTCCAACTTCGTTTGGCGTTGGATACAAGCTACTGATGAGAAGATCGTGGGCTGGGTCAATGAGGCTATCAAACAAGATGACTTCAAAGTGCGGACCGAATCACCTACTGACATACCGACGCAAGATCAACGGCATAGCTTGTCCGTCGTAGACGTTTTCCGGTCGTTTAACGAAGTGATTAATCAAATTGTGCAACTGAATTGGGACGACGATGTGGGATATGCTAAGTTTATGACTGCCATTTCAAAATCTATCGGGAAAGGTATTGCGAGATATTGTGAAGTTCTTGAACTACAATTTAGTAGAGAAATGGATCGCCTTACCCCAGAACAAGAAGCATCTCTATCGCAATCACGACAAGAGAAATGGATGCAAATGGCCAAGGAGGCGTGGAATAATAAAGAAAAGATTGAGCCGTTTCACTTTTTCCCGCAGGTAAGCCTTGCCAATGGAAAAATGCTAATTTCTTTTTTCAATTACTGATCTTTTCTTTCCAGTCCTTTGTCAAACTGAATAATATTGAATATGCTCTCCATCAGTTGGATAAGCTTGAGAAAGACGTAAATGTCGATGCTTGCGCAGATGTACTTGCAAAGAATACGCCTCCTGCTCTACAGCGGCCACGGAAGGTCACTAACTATGTTTTTACGGTCAAAATTGTTGAGGCAGAAGACCTGAAGGGATGTGACATGGATGGACTTAGTGACCCTTACGTTTCCTTGGCCGATGAGTCCCAGCGTATTTTCAAGACCCGCATTATCTATGACAATCTTAATCCCCGGTGGGATGATAGTGTGGACATCATTACGAAAGGACCCCAGAACATTATTGCAACTGTCTGGGACTGGGACGCTGTTGGGAGCCACGATTATATGGGGCGCACTTCTCTCAAGCTTGATCCCGCCCACTTTTCAGACTTTGTCCCAAGAGAATACTGGCTAGACTTGGACACGCAAGGCCGAATCTTGCTTCGTGTGAGTATGGAAGGTGAACGTGATGATATCCAATTTCACTTTGGTAAGGCATTTCGGACTCTCAAGCGTACCGAACGTGAGATGACCCGGAAAACAACAGAGAAGGTATGTTTGCTATGTCAAACTCATTATCCGCATCCGGGGTTAGATATCATCTGCTAACGTGTATATCCAGCTTTCTGCTTATATCAACCATTGTCTTTCTCGCCGTGCTCTCAAAGCTTTGCTGTCGAAAGGCATTACTATGTCGACTGTTTCCAGCTATTTTAATAGGAACAAAACATCAACCACTTCAGGTCCGACGCCGGCAGAGATAGAGGGTGCATTAGACACATTGTTCACTTATTTTGATGACAACTTTTCAATTATGAACCAAACGTTGACAGAAGAAGCCATGAGAACGGTCATGGCTCGCTTGTGGAAAGAAGTTCTAGTAACCGTGGAAGCTCTTTTGGTTCCTCCACTATCCGACAAGCCGTCTAACCAACGGCCGCTCACCCAGCGAGAAGTTGACGTCGTCTCTCGTTGGCTCCTCCTGCTCCTCAACTTTTTCAACGCCGTCGACGAAGAAACCGGAGAAGCAAACGGCGTTCCATTAGATATCCTCAAATCACCGAAATACCACGAAATCCAAAGCCTCTTCTTCTTCTACTTTGAACCAACCGATAGTTTAATTCGAACCTCAGAACGCATGGCATCCTCAACTGCAGCACGACAGCAAACTAACCGAAACCGGCTGTCTACTACGTCCTCATCATTGAGCCCATTTTCGGCGATTGGTGGTGCGGCTGGTATTCCGTCTGCTCGCCGAGGGAAAAGCATCATGCTGTCCCGTAACCTGGGCACTATGAGGAAAGCCAAGGAGGAAAAATGGCGAGAAGCTCAAGCGGAACCGAACGATGATATGGTTCTTCGAATTCTGCGCATGCGACCGGAGGCGCATACGTATATTCGTGATCGCAGTCGACAGAAGGAGAGGCTTGCGACTGCTGCAGCTGCAGATTTAATCGTTAAACAAAGTTTAATGGCTGGCGGTGGAGGAAGAATGGTAGGTACTTTACCGCGAAGGTAACCAGTACTATCAAAGCGTTATCTTTTGGATAAAAGATATATGATTTGTGTTTACGAATGAATATGCTTTTTCTTAACGGCTGCGCTATTTTAGAAGGGAGGGGTTGGACAGGCCGGATTGCTATTCTGAATTTATTTTCCTTTGCAGATTTTTAGTAAAGTTCAAATCCTCGTTCGATTCTTAATATCGAGACCCTAGACATTTCACACGCTATCGCCTCTTTTCCCAAGCCTGCCACCTCTGTTTTCATCTTGTGTTAACCTTGCTGTTATTGTTTTCATCCATGCACGATACCTACCTTTTGTTCCCTCCCAGGCACCCATCCCCTTGCTAGGTTTCATGGTTATTCCGAGCCTCCTTTCGATTTCCCTTTCAAAGACTAAAGTGCATCCTTTCGTTGTTAATGTTAGTAACGTCAAGCGGCCAATGTGTACATGGATACGAGGCGCGCAAACAACCGCATGGAGCGGGTAGCTTCCGATCTCATTTTTCTTAACGTTTTCTAGTGATCGCACGTGTGCATAAAATATAAAGCGGAAACCATTCCATTACTTCTTGATTTAGTTCGTCAATCGGTTATTAATAGAACATTTAACTACTTATTTGAAAACAGCGGGAGTAGAGCTGGCTTCAATTGGAAGAGTCGGTATTTAGCCGGGCTATTGGAAGGGAAGTCAAGTCGTATTTCGTTACAACAGGGGCTCTTCTCTTCGTTTCAATTTTATCTCTTTTTTAATCTTTGAAAAATTTTCAATCATACTCTAACAGCAGTCATTAAAACGAAATTGCACCGCGTCAAAAGAGATAGATCGTTATTTCTCTTCCCACATTGGTTTTTAATTTTGAGTTTTTATCTATTAATTTTCATACTCGACGAAGCCATGATAGGAAATTAGACATCATGCGCAACTTCACTAGCATAATGAAGATGGGAGGTATACAGTGTATACTATATGCGGTACTTGAAGATTCCTGTGGTTTATTGTAGAGCAATACACTCGATCTCGACCGGGACGCCCTTTGGAAGCTGATGGACCGCAACGCAGCTGCGAGCAGGTTTATGCGTGAAGAACTTCTCATATTCGGCGTTCATCTCGGCGAAATCTTTCATATCTGTAAGGAAGACCTGAAAATGTATTTTCCCGGACGCGAATGGAAATGTTCAGTTAGTCACGCATGCGGATTTTGTTACCAAGGGTGTAGTTAACTTTAAGTGGCGAGGCAAGGAACAATTCATCCACAGTTGTTAAACGGGGAATATGGAGTTTCTTTAGGAAATTGTACTTCGTTTAGCAACTTACGTTAACTTTTACCACCCGACTCACGGTCGTTCCAGCCGCGGCCAGCACGGCAGCAATATTCTTGCAGCAGAGAGCAGTTTTCTCTCCAACCGAGCCTTCGATGAGCTTCCCGTTCTCATCTGCTGGGATCGCACCTGAGAGAAACACTTGTCCGTTCGCTTTGATAGCGTGAGACTAGTTTAAAACAGTAAATTGCAGATTAACTTCAATTTCCCAGTCAAAAGTAAAACCGTTGAATCACGGGGACGTACATAGGGGCCCGCAGCTAGATAAGCAGTTAATTGGGATGTTTGAAGTCAAACAGAGGCATTGAATGAAATATCCTTTCAAGGGGTGGGCAGGAATTGGAAAAGCGATGCGCGGGGTAAAATTAGGGTCTGACGAATCCGAACTTACGCGGGCAAGCATCGTTTGCAAAGACGTGGACAATATCAGACATTTTTCTAGAGACGCGCGGGGCAATTGATAGTGTAGAAGGGAATTGACGACAGAGATGAGGAGAGAAGCGAGGAAGACTGCGGGTAATCTGGTTTCTTAGATGCTGGCTCAACATGACCTCAAGAGACGTTGCGGAGTTGGTTCGTCATCACGGAATTGAATGCGGGAAAGTGGAGCGGGGGGTGGAGATCATGTGATTGCGGGTATATTCGGAGCGGTCAGCAAAATGGTTTTGATAAGATCTTGGCTATATCTCAGATCAGGATATCCAACCGGGATACGAACCTTGGAAGGAGGCCAATATCCTCGTGTAAAAGGCAGCTAGCTACCGTTCCTGAAAACTCCTTGTGCAAGTGAGCTCCAAAAACTGCGCAAAGTCATTGTTTCCCGTGGTTTCCACGAAGACCCCCCTGCAAGTATAAATTTTGTGCTGCTGGACTCCTCACCACTTTGGCCAACGCTAATCAGGATCCAAAGAAATATGCTCAATTGTCCTCATTCAAGCGAGACTTGCCCATGTCAATGGCGTCCATCTCACCCTGATCCCTATAAATTGGACCAATGATGGATCTTGCAGTATTTGTGGGCGGTGTTAGCTGCGTATTTCAGTTTCAATTCCGAAGGAACTCGCCCCTTTTCCTTCAGGTACTAGTTACTATCTTGCAAATACCAGTCTCTGCCTTTTAATGCCTGGATGCCCCCAGGTCGGCAAGATTTTTTTTGTTCATCTATCCTCCATCAATTGTTATTTCGCTACCGATTGGAGAGGTGGGCAGCCAAAAGAACATATTACGACAATCGTCGCTGGATAAGTTAATATGACTCGCTTCATTGTTAGCCTTGCCCTCCTACTTCAACTCGTTTCTGCGCATTTCTCTATTAAATACCCTTTCTGGCGTGGCAATTCCTATACATCTCAGTGGACTAGACCATGTGCGTTTCTATGCCCACTCCAGGAGTGCCATACCATCTTGCTCCCTTCCGACTTGCATTTTATTGCACAATATTTCTAATATAATGTTAGGCGGAGGTGTCAATGTGACGACAAACCGAACTGAATGGCCTCTTGGTGGCGGTTCCCTCCTCATCACTCCTTCGCACTCCTGGTCAATAACCTTCGTGAACCTTGGTATTGGATCTGATGATACAGTTATATTCAATATTTCTATGATCGAAGGTTTCAATCAAACCGGAAATGGCGCATTCTGTTTCCCAAAAATTCCAATTCCGCAAGGACTAGGCCTGACCGCTGGGTCTAACGCGAGTATTCAAGTTGTCCAAGTAAATGAACATGGGTCTGCATTGTATAATGTAAACTTCCTTTCTCATTTTCCCTCCTCGTTTCACGTTATTTCCGTTTGCGTCTATCTGAATCGCACGATCATGCCCATCCCAATGCTACATAGAACGGACATTATTTTTGTGTAGATCTAATAATATGTGCTTTCAAATAGTGTGCCGATATCACCTTTTCCGCTAACGCCACGCTTCTGTCTACCGACTTGTGCACCAATTCTTCGGGCATTGGCTGGAAGCCCCTTGGTGCAGAAACAGCCTTAAACAATACTTCACCTAAGCCCGGGGCGGGATCTATGCTTGCAATCGACAAATCCATTCAGAGCTTGGGACTTGGTGCGATTATAGCGATATTGTTCTGGAACTTGTATGTCTAGTTCTAGGGCTGTAAAGGGCTGGTAACGTTAAATTCTTGAGGCTGGAATATAATATTCCACTATGGTCGTATGACATCGACTGAAACCTGGATTGCTTGTTATACCTTCGAGTGGGTGATTGGCGGCTCCGCTTAATTTCAAGGAATGAATCAATGTGAAGATGAGTTGTATACACTTGCGGAACTGAGAATTAAGTGAAAATATCGGGATATCCATCTAGACAACATGTAGCACATGTGCCAAGTAAAAGCGTACACCTTGCGATAAATGGAACCATCGTCTGTTCCAGTAATTGAAGTGCCAGGTGCCCTAAGGATTCTACCATGCAAGCCATAATCGCCGTTCTGTTGATAGCAAATCACAATTTTTTCACTGTTGCCACCCCTAGAGCGTATTCCCAACAGCCTAAATAACGCGTTTCCTCCGCCCTGGGCACCATAGCAAACCCTTGAGACCTGAGTAGCCCGTTTCCCCGCCCGCGGCTATCAGAGCAGGCAGCAAAACAGCTTCCCCATATTGAATAATTAGTGTGTCGATTGAGTCTAGAAAATATTGTTGAATGTTTCTATTTTCACAGTGTGAATGTTCAAGAAAAACTTCTTGTAGAACTAGTAAAGAACAGAGTATAACAAATGAAGCTTGGGAAGGAGAACTTGCGAAGCAGGCTGAGAAAATCACTAGTGGTTAATTTGACATAGTTAGTCAGTGGTTTTAAGGTTTTAAACGCTAATTTAGCGCCGCGTTTATATCAACGGCAAGGATTAGGCGATATAATTTCACGTGACAAAATCTCGACCATCCATGGAACCATGTGGGGATTTGTCTCTCATAGATTATATGAAACCATTCTATGTACTAATACAGTTCCAACTCAGATAACTGCTGTATCCTCTTCACTGGTTGGACCCTCTTTTGGAAGCTCATTCTCACGAAAAACTATTAAACCGCAGGTCGTACATGACTTCCCTAAGTGCCTCATGACCTTGTGGCATTTCAGTAAGAGTTGAAACCTTTTCTCACTTAGATGACCATAGTTACACGGCAATGCTTGCAGAAAACGGAATAACAAAATGAGACGCACTAAGTATGACCTGATGATTCAAATAATGAGGTCATGTTTGCAGATCTGACCAGTGTGCATGCGCAGAGAACGGTCTGAGAACATCGCCCACGAACTGCAGTGGTTCATTTTTGCTGCGATTAGGAGTTATGTTTTAGACTGATTTGCGATCACCAAATTGCCGCGTGAGCGTGGGAACTCCTGGTATTCTGACCTATGAAGTGGTACAGGATCCAGTTATCGATGGCGTACTTCCACCCTAAGATCATGTCTTCACTTTAAATTTGTGAGTGGTGAGCGATGGAGTATTACCGACACTACACCTCCCAATACCAGTCCCAGATTCACACCGTGTGTCTTGCAACGTGGGTTGAGGGTAGTGGATATTCTTCGCTCTCTTTGTTGTGGGGGGTTATGATACATTATTCTGAATTCTGATAGATAATCAGAATTGTGCCTCCCTTTGATAAATACATCTTAAACATTTTCTTCCGCCAAATTTATCTAATTTGGCTACCTTTTTACTTTCTTTTTTATGCTTTTCTTGAAAATGCAAAACAATTCAAGAACGGAAAAGCGGGATTCTCCTGATTCCCCCCAGGTTCTCAGTTCAACTTCACAAATCGGGAGTTGTCCCAACATTTCCCGAAGGATGCTGGTTACAGAACGGTACCGGGAAGAATTGAAGTTACGGGAAGCAAGCCCCGATAAAATATTCTACGATGGTGTGAATTTAAGCGGATTGGATCCTAGTATGTAAATTCTTTGTTAGCCATCACACCCATTATTTACCCATCGGACTAACCTTATTCCCCAAAGATCTTATCACTCTAAGTGCGGAATCGAAAGAAAACCCGCGGGTATTACTCTGTTTCTAAGAATATAATGATTACCTGGCATCCTTTGACAGTGCATAGAGTTGGACCAGGAAGATGAAGTGGACGACTACAACCCTTATGGGAGGCTATTGCTTTTTGCCTCCATTTGCAAGTAAGATTAACCGAGTTTCTACGGAAAGAAGCTTATGGTATACTGCTAGGTACTATATTCGCTCCAGCTCTCCTCCTGGTCATGGCCGATCTTGGTATTAAAAATCCCACCTTGGGCGCCATCCAAATCTCAATATTTGTTTTGGCATTTGCACTTGGCCCTATATTCGCAGCACCGCTTAGCGAGATATATGGAAGAACTATGATCGTGCGTACGTGCAATATTTTGTTTATTGCCTTCTCGATAGGAAGCGGTTTCGCCCAGAATGTAAGTCCTTTCTCGGGGAGTATGTTCTAGCTGAGTTGACTAACTAGATTGCAGGCAGCTCAACTTGCCGTGTGCCGGTTCTTTGCAGGAGTTGGAGGTTCTGGTGGGTTGGCCGTTTTTGGAGGTGTCCTTGCTGATATTTGGGATCTCAAGGAACGAGCAAAAGCATCAGCTTTGATGTCAACTTTACTGTACGTTCACGTATTTCTGTTAAACACAAATACTGGTATTCGTCCTAATTTTCCCCAGAATTTTAGGGCCTGTGGTTGGCCCTGCCTGTGGTGGCTGGATATCTGAACGAGCCTCTTGGAGATGGACTTGTTGGGTCCCTGTATGCCATTCTCCCTTCTTTCTCCTGTGTTTTCAAATTCACACCAAATCTTACCATATCAGGCCATGGCTGCCGCAGCATTGGAAATCATCTCTCTTATTCACATGAAAGAGTCGTATATTCCAATACTTCTTGAACGGAAACTTCAGAGAAATAAGCGATTACATCCAGATATGGACCTATACACGGTAGTCGAATTGCTCTTAGATTTATCCACTCGGAGGGCGGGATCGTTTATCTCCTCTGCCATTCGCCCTGGTATGTATCTTTTTGACACAAAATCTAACGACCTTCTTTGCTAACCCTGCTAGTGATATACTTGCTTGTCGACCCGGTTCTATTTCTGCTGTCGCTCTATTTCGCGTTCGTATTCGGGGAAGTTTACCTCCTTATAGTAACAGTATGAAAATGATCACGCCCTTATAACCCTCCTGGAGTGCACAAAATTTACCACTTACAATGATTAATAGTTCCCAGATATTTTCGGGGACGGATACGGCCATTCAGCTGGATTTGTCGGCATCGACCTCCTGGCCCAGGGGGTAGGTAATATCCTAGGTCTGATTGCAACAGTTAAAGCGCATGGGATTATATACGAACGGCAAACGCGCCCCGATAAGCGTTACAACCCGGAGTCTAGGTGAAAACATACTGAATTCTCTAGGATTATTTATGCTTAAAATTTAGTGCAACTAACACGTACGACATATTAGATTGGTTCCTGCATTCCCTGGTGCCCTTTTAATCGTCGCTGGTCTGTTCTTATATGGCTTTTCTGCACTCAAATATCACTTCATCGTGGTAACTTGCAATACCTTTTCTTTTCCCGTCATTGTTCCTCTTTTTCGTGTCACCAGTCAGCTTCATCCTTCTTCTCCCAAGTCTAACAGACCTTAAGCCTTTAGTTGGTTTCGTAATCTTCGCTGCTGGAGCAATGAATATATTTGTAAGGCCAATATTCTAAGTCTCACAACACATGGGAGCAATATGACTGATGTTCGATATACAGCTGGCAATTCAGCTCTATATTGTGGACTGTTTTGCGTTTCCCGCTTCAGCTGTCGCCTCATGTAAGTTAAGAATCCCCTAGTTACAAAATACTACCTACTAAACTCTGACAGTGTCCTTCCTCCGCTTTGTTTTCGCAGGAGGTAGGCATTTTCCCAACGGTCGTATTATACCCCATCAAAAACATATACACTCAATGAACTAAGCTAGAAACAAACCTTTTTCAGTATTTCCACTTTTCGGCCCAAGACTCTTCCAAACACTGGGAGTTGACTGGGGTACAGGACTTCTCGCATTCTTGTCGCTGGGTCTAGGTCTTCCGTTCCTCCCATTGGTCTGATGGCCCTAGTTGAGTCGATAGTTTTGGATACGAACTAACTCGTCGCATCTAGATTTATATATTTGGTAAGAAGCTCCGCGAAATAGGGAAGTACAATATGCGAAAGATAACTTCACACTAGGTGGTGATACAAAAAGTTTCCTTTAAAGCATGGGAGTTTGCGTGCGGTGGCGAAAAAGCTATGGTGGTGAGATAAATGAAAAGGGGAGGGCATTTGGATCACCTAAAGACAAATCCGAGGTATTCAAATGTTTATAGTCAAACGACGAGGCGATGCGGATATCAGAATTCTACGGAATTATCCTATAATCCAAGTTTTAGCTCAAGATGGATGACTGGAAATTTTTATTAGGGGATAGGAAAAAAACCCCTTTTCCAACTTTGACAGAAGCACAAAACGATTACAAGGCAAAAGCAATTATGGCTTCTATTCCTCAATAAATTGAATGACTGGTCAAACTGCTCATATTAATTGTCTCTACTCGCGCTAACATCATATTTGATATCTACAGCACAAGCCACAACAACTATAACTCCCAAAAATACTAGCATAGCAATCACGGCAAGCAGCTGGTGTATAGGAAGCTGGAACTGCGGGACTAACATTGTGTGGAGGTCGAGGAGAACATTCTCGATAGAAAGTACAAATGTGAAGGCGAGATGGCCAATGCATTGATAATCATACGCCAGTCTATACAAACGGAGAGGAAAAGTCCCAAGCAGCAGCCATTGGTATGGGGTCTGTCAATATAAAAATAATCAGGGCCACATACTTGCACAGAAACGGCATGCGCCAAATGCGTATGCTAAAGATATTTCCATGGCGAGGATAACTAATTTGTAATATTTATGGGAAGTTGGCGAAAGGAAGTCTTCAGTAAAATGGAAGCAACAACAGCTTTGTCGTCGGTGTAGTGACCACAATGGCAGGTAGCAGCCTAGCCAAAGTTGATATATGATGCAGCAAGACCAGTACTAGAAATCTATCTGTCTCGTTAGCCTCTTAAGTAGATTAACTGTTAGCTATGCTTACCATGATCATACAAATCCAAGTATTATCGATCTGAAGGTTGAAAGTATAACATCGGAATAAGCAGAGCAATAATAATCAATCTTGGGCCATGAATTTCCGGGTTTTCGTAATTTCGCGTCTCCCATGTTGCCCTAAAATCGAGAGGGGATATAAACTTGTGGGCAGGCAGTAGAGGGTTGGGGTATTTGAGATTAGAGTTCTAATGTCAAGAAGCGAGACCAGTATCCAGCATCATTGAAGCACCGAGACGTATCCTGACCGACCCTATGCTATAGAGAAGGCAACAGCAAGGCCCACTAGATTGAAGGAGACACACCGTTCTTGAAGCAGGAATTCATGCTTAAAATAACCCCCATCGCGCACTTAGCATATCGAAATCCGTCCATCGGTCAAAGGAGATCCTAAGAGTGAATTACACCAACCCCACATTTCTCCTTCTAATTTCCTATTCCGTTTTCATTTTCGTACAGGAAATGCCATCAAGAGAACGGAAATCCAACATTTTCAACGGACTTCATTCATCCCACGTGCTCGGTTGTTTTCAGGAGTGGACCAACTGGCCGAGCCGTCACCACAATACATCCTCCTTTCTCAAACATCCCATTTGAAATAGAAATGGAAATGAACCGTGATTCTGGTCTAGCCAGATCATATCATAGCATCCCTTGCTCCACTTAGCTTGAAGGGTTGAAGCAGCGAGACAGAGTGGAGTTCAAGGGCGTCGAGGAGAGGGAGGTGCATAATTCATCAACTTCTCGGGCTGAACATATATCTGGAGTCTGGTAGAAAAAGCTGCGTAGCACAAGAAAAGATTTAACGGCGTACAAGAATGGCGGGGCTTCCGACGATTCAATCGAACAATTTTCATGGGAGAAAAACTAAAGAAAGCCACCGTAATGCTCCAAGATCATACAGACTTTCAGCCAGAATGAGGTCAAATGCAAACTCACAAAGAGTCTGTTCAAGCACCCAGGATTTGAAATACTCGCTGCTAAAGATCCAACAAGAGAAGATGTTATTACCTACGTATCACATTTCAAGTCATTCATCCACGAATATTCCAGTAAAATCGCACAGAAATTCATACACAATGGATATCTAGAAAACAAACGAAATCCTTCCCGCCGTCAGAGTGTAGTACATTTATCCACAGGAAACGAACTAAACAGAATTGTCCAAGAATATCCTGAATTCCATATACATTATCATAAGAATATTCATGAAGCAGATAATTGGTCAAAATAAATTACATGCGAAAAAAAAGTTGCCACTAACATATATAGACGGAAATTTATACCACAACTAGGTTACTAATCGGCACACCCTGCGAAATAAACTGATATCTCCTTCGAAAACCCACACCCAAAGCATGCTTAAAGTAGTTGTATGTTTCATCACCGCCGGCAACAAGTATCAAGCTTATCGGATTCAGACGGGGAATTCCGCCAGCAACGGTTTGTATTTCGTCGAGCAAAGGGCGAATGAGGTATGGCTCCTCTGAATCTACCGTTGGGTTCTGGGACGTGGTATCGGAGTGCGTACCTGAGCCGGAGGTTGAAGAAGAGGCCTGTCGGGGATCGCCCAGCTGAGGGTACGAAACCACGATCACAAGCTTGAGGGAATCGCTCGTAGGGCGGAAGGAGGGTATATTTTGGATTTTCGTCGAAAAGCTGCACCCGCCCCGTTTTATGACGATTACATGGTGTGTCTTGGGGACTACTTCAGGAAGCCGATGGTCACAGAGCTCATCTGAGAGGTAAATGGTAGACCATGGAAGGCGGTTAAGCAGCTTTTTGGCTTGTCTGGACTTCGCTTCGGTGGGTGGAGGAAGTACGGCATCTTCAACATCAGGAAGTGATGTCGAGCCCTTGCCGGTAGAAATAGTCGCGGGGACTGAAACGCGGATGGCTGATTTCAGAGATGAAAGGGAGTCCAGTGTGGGTGAGTTAGAGTCATCTCGGAGAAGGGAGGTGACCTGGTTAAAGAAGGATGCAAAAGCTAGTTTCATGTTTGATGCGTCAAATGTTGACGTGTCGAGCGATGCGTGGAGCTCATCGAGTGCACCTATAATGGTTTCGCCATTTGTGGAGGTTGTGAGTATTGACGATACGTTTCCATTGGCTACCTCCGATCTGAGGTCCAAGACAACATCCAACAACGCTGAATCCTGCACCCGCGTGAAGTTTGGGTCTTCAGAGTTCAGAACATCCGTTATTTCCTTCGAGATATAAATCTTTTCATCCTTTCCTAGTGGAATGTTGTTGATAACTTGGACGCGATATCCTTCAGCGAACCCTGATGATTGATCCGTCAATAGTGGAACATCCTGGATCATACCCAAGCGAAGGCCTCCAAGGGACTTCACGAGAAGTCCGTCTTGAACTCTTTCCAGCGATCCAGGGCCAAGGATGATGTTGGTAGCTGGCGGAAATGTAAGGTCAACGGTTGGTCTAACCGTCATTAGTGCACTGGTAGCTTTTGGTGGAATAACCTCGGGTGGTAGCGTCCAAGGGAAATATGTATAGTTTGATGGTGATGTTAAGTCGGACATGGAGATACTCGGATGATCAACAGTATAACCGATGATAGGAGATTCAGCCTGTTGACGAGGTGGCATCAGGTGCAATCTAGCGAGGCTTGCTGCGTGGAAAATATCAGGCCGCGCAGCGGTCGACGAGGCTCCGAAGGGCGGGGGTGGAGCCGGCACTGCACAGGTTGCTCCAACGACAAGTTCTGTACCACCAGGAAACGTGTCTGCTCGCTTCGCCCTTTCCTTAGTGGCGTTCCTAGTCGACTTCGGGATAATAAGGGGGTGGCCTTCGGTATTAAAAACAAACGGAGCATCAAGATCATTTAGGGGGTGCGAAGGGCTAAAAAGTAGAAAGAGATACTTCGTCGTTTCCCCGAGGAAGAAGCTTTCCATCCTGTCACTCAATTGCCCATCTCGAACATCCTGAAGACCAGCCCAGCCACACCTAGTCCAGCATCTCCGCTTGATATCCCTCAATACCATCTCTCCAACATAGTGATACCACGGGTCTTTAGTGGCCATATACAGGTAATAAGTGGACTCGACAAACTCGGGGCGGCCTCCCCACCACCCAAGGCCGTTTTCAATGTTCCCTGTGCCGACATTCCACCGTTCCGGGAAAGCAGAAAATCGAGTCCAAATGGCGGTGTGTAGCAGATGAGCCTCGATGGCCCCAGCCAGATCCCCAGCCAAAGTTAAAAGGCCTGGGAAATATGCACTTAAACTATCTATCCAAAGGGCGCGTGTAGCTCCGGTGATGATGTCGCCTTGGATATAATGAGGATATTGGTAGCCGGAACCGCGATATAAATGGTGGTTTATGGATGCTAGAGATTCCTGCCAAACATTAAGGAATGCATCTGAGGAATGCTGCTCCTCACTAAGGGGGGAGTAAAAATCATCAAGCCAATGAAACGGGCTTGACAGGTTGAAAGACGGGCGGTCACCCTCGGATAACAAGATATGAGATTTAAATGCATATTCGAAGAAACTATCAATCCCAGCACCGATCTGTCATAAAAATTACCTGGTAAGTGATAAATCACACAAGATAATCACAAAAACATTCCCACTTACACCTGTGTATGAGTTCACCCACTTCCCAGACTCGGGATCAATGCCAGCTCCGATCAGGCCAATGTCACTTCGGCGGGACCAAACAGCCCAAAACGCCCTTTTGGCAAATTCTTCAAAACGCCCATCGCCGGTAAGCCTGCTAAGAACCGTAAGTTCCAGAACCAAACTTCCAGCGCCCGCGCTGCATGTTTCTGTAACCTCTGGTGTTTCAGAAGACTTCTCCTCTTCTTTCGCATGGCCTTTACCGGTGCAAGCCGCCGTTTCTGGTACTATATCTGCATTGAAAGGGGAATTGGGGTAAAAGGGGACGCCATGCCGCAGATTAACACGTGGATATGGGATTCCCGTTGCAGTATAGAAAGCAGGTAAAATCCGGGCACCAAGATCCATCGCGAGACGGAGCAGTTGTCCGTTGTAGACGAAGCCATTTTCCCATCTAATCCCGGGGCTGCCTTTAGTCTGTCCACTTTTATTCCATAATTTCGCAAAGGAAGCTTCGTCTTCTGGGGGATCATATCCACGGATAGGCAATTCGCCTATTGCGAAAAGATGCGCGCTGAGAAGGCCGCCTATTTACAAGGACACTCAATGGTTAGAGATGCTGTACATAAATGGTATTCTAAGCATTTCTCCTCACCTAAGCCTCTAATCACTGTTTCAAACACTTGGACCTTGCTATCAAAATCGAAGCCTTTCCCTCTCGATCCTGTACCAGCTGGTCCATCCGACCCATCGCCATATAGCTCTACCAAATCTCGCACACCGTCCTGGAAATACCTCCACGCCTTACGCGAGCTTTCCGAGTCTGAATTCGAAGCGGCTGATCGAGGCAGGGAGGAGGAAAGTATCGCTAAGGTAGACAAACTATCGACGAGCGTTAAGGAGTAATTTCCCAGAACATCATTAATATGTACATGAGCGGGGTTTTCACGATCGCGTGTTAAGGGGCGACAAGAGACGGGTCGCAATTCATCCTCAGGGAATGCATGCTTCATATAATTTTCGAAACCGTGGTAGAACATATGCTCTGTCTCCTTTCTGTACAGAGGATAGAAGCAAGTTGCATGGAAAATTAGCTCTCCGTTTCTCAAAAAATTGTCGCCCGGAGTAATCCGCCCGAGTCACCCCTCAGGCATTCGTTCTCCCTAAAATCAGTCAATAACGTAAATTTAACAATCCACATACCTCAACTCCCAAATCTGGGCCCCGCTCATTGCCCTAGCTAGAGGAACCCAAAAGGAAACAACTGTAACAAAAACGACGGCCCAACCGCAGACAGTCCATTTTGCACCGTTGCGGAAGCGAGACATCGGGAAACAACGACGCCGGCATCTCGAGTGCATCACCGACAATCAAGTGAAGTCCGTGAGCTTAAGAATATCATTGAGAGTCTCCGAATCCGTCAGCGTCGCTGAGCTGGGAAAAAAACAACTTTTTGGTACTTTTCTGTTCTAGTCCGGCTCCCGCGAGAGTTGCTTGAGACTAGGGATAGAGGGGTTTATATGTTCCCGGTGATAAAAAAGTAGGGAGGGGAGGGATATGGCCCCAAATTCCGTCCCATATGCATACTGGTTACGGAGTAGACGGGCAGGTAGAAGCCAAAGAGTCGATGTTGCCCATGGATCTTGTCAACTGAACACATTTTCTTTCCAGCGGAGAGGATAGTTATTATGTCAGCCTCCAAAAAGAATGAGTTAACTAACTAGAGTTAGTCGGGTTATGGTTGAGCGTGGTTTCAAAAATTAACCAAACGTTCAAACCATGTTCAACTTCTACCATCCCATCTAAAACACACCCACACCACACGCTTCATGCTTGACTTCAGTTACATTACAAATGCACACTCACCACCCAGGTTAGGACTGGGGTTAGAAGTTAGGATTGGATTAGGATTAGGGTTGGTTGAGAGATGTCGTTTAAGTCCTCGCATCGTGAGAAACTAACTATCTACACTGTAGTTAACTGCTTGGATAAATAATGTTTCATGGTATATTTTAGTTGAGTTGGTTTTTGATCAGAGATTGTTCAAAGTGTATGCCCAGAATAGTTAACATGTTAACTTTGCGGCTGAGGCGATGGGGATGATGATTGAACGATTACGGCATTTTCTGCTCTCTTCTCTCCTCATATGGCTTATATATGTGTAGATAGAGATATTTTACTATCATTTTCACGCATATGCGATTAAATATGTGTTTGCTGGGGGAGTTTCTTGCATACTGGGCATTTGCACATTCAGTTGCGCTAGATCGAAGATGGCTAGTGGAAACCAACCTTGATGAATCAAGCATAAATCAAACACCTCAAATATAATATCTGGTCGAATGTCAGAAAATCAAGGGGCAACCAAAAAGCATTTCACTATCGGATCCTCCATGGTTTCACTCAACAACACCGGCCGCCTTCCCTACAAAAACGGAGATGAAGAACTTAAGAACAAGACATCCTTCGTCAGAAATCAAGCCTCAGTAGAAAATGAGGAATGAAAAATATGAAAAATATCCTTTTATTTCCTACAAGGGTGATAATACTATACATAATTCACCGCTTCTGCTCCAGAAGCTCTCCAGGCTGAATATCCAAACCGTCAGGTACGTGGAGACGCAACTGTGGCTGCTCATCAATGACGCGATGAAGGTCTCCATCATAGCTCGGGGGACGATTCAGTGCTTCGTGGACGTTATCATTTCCTGTGCCTCTTCCGTGCGAATTAGTTGGGTCGCGTCGCTGCCAGTGGACGAGATTTGGGTTTATTTTCTGCAGCGGATTGGTTCATTAGCCACAGTACTGTCGTAGTTCATGTGTCTTCAAAAAAAAAAACAATGTAGAATCGGTCAAGGCAATGGTCAGAAAATTTTTAAAGTGTTGTGTATGTTATATACGCACCACACTATCCCTCCAGAGGCCATAGGCGGGTGGCGGTGGAGCAAGTCCACCCAAGTGCTTGCTGCTGCCATTGCGATTATTCGAGTCTACTTCCATCATGATCTCTTCATCTCGAGCCAGAATTACCGGTATTGGCTCATCTGGCAGGGCGTACTCCAGGGTGCTGACCGCTTTTGGTGCAGCGGGAGGAAGAGGTGTCGGGCTTGTTCGCCATGAGAGCATGAAAAAAAGAATAAAGGAATGGCAAAAATATATCACAAATACCGTCAAGGCTAGTATTAGCACAATGTGGAATTCACGAGTTTGAACAATGTTAGAAAGGGACAACGAAAGATCTAGCAGCAGATTTAGTATATGTATATGAAAACTGCGCATTCTTGGGTGTCGGAGAGTCTAAATCGGGAAAAGGAGCTAGAGGACTCACATATGATAAAGAGGATTAGAACAAGAGATGAAGCCAAGGCGCAATCAACAAGCTTCTTCCTCGCTTCCTTAGATCTCATCCCAGGGCCGCCACAGAAACGGCCCTGTTTTAATCGATTGTCGTATTTTCGTCTTGCCCGTGCTCCAAAATGATCGGGTGTAGCTCCCGCGATGGTCTGTGACAGATTGTGATGTGAATCATTCACATGCGTTTGAGTTTGGAAGTGTCGTCCTGATAATCCAGCCTCGGCCATTTCAATGCTCGAAGGGTCCAATGGCTGTGTTCTCCTATATCCAACCGTGTGGTCACTCTGTCGTCGTCGAGGCCTTCCGATTCTTTCATCAGAGAAAAGAGACAGCCACATTCGAGGTGCTCGTGCATTAGAAGCGGCAGATCCCACATTTTGTGCACTGATGCTTGATGTACCACGAAACAAGGATCTAGCCCGATTACGGAAGCCATTATCGCACCGCACGGTTCCAGGAGTTTCCTGTTGTCTTGACAAAGAAGTGGAACGCTCCATCACAATTCTCTTCAATTTTTCGCGTTCGGATTTCCAAATGCATAAGAGATATATTCCCTTTTTTTTGGCAAAAAATGGTACCGGGAGCGGAGTTGTTGGTAAATAAATATCTGAATCCGAAATCCTGGATATGATCAAACTTTCTCTGCCAAAACAGCGATTTTCTTCGTCACACAAATAGGCAAAAGCGGTTTCTCAATTCCCCGTGATATCGAGATCGAATGGTAAACAAAATTCGGGATCCGCGTGTCTTTCACAGGGTCTCCCTCCTGCCACCAAGTCGTAGGAGATGATGAGGCAACGCGGTACGAAGGAGAAGATTAATAAACAGAAGAAACGAGTGGCTGTTAACAACCGGGCAAAATATTACTGTGACAGATCCCGCCTATCAATATTCCACTCGATCAAGCATTGTTGACTGCAATTGGTGAAATATGGTGTGACTCAGGCGGAAGGAAGCGTAGCTCCGGATTCAAACTCCTACACGATGTATTAAAAGTAGGGAAACATGAAGATAAAAAACGGCGTTGTTGACCACAGCAATCAAGAAATAAATGCAAGGTAAAGATAAATAAAAACTGGCAACAAAAAGAAAGGAGTCAATCCAACTTGCAAGAACTCGAAGGGGTTAAACCAAAGGACAACAGCAGTGCAAGAGAATCAATCCCATGTGAAAGAGGTGACAAAAATTGTCACAGGCTTTACTGTGCTCACCTGCTCCAGAGACTGGGAATGGCTGTTAAAAACAACTCTGCTAGCAAGAAGTGTTTCAAGCGAAAGTGATTGAGAAAGACGAAGTGAAAAAAGTCACTCGCTCTTGGCCGTCCTCGATCAATTCTTCAGGATATGAATACTCCGAGTCCTTATCCAAACGACCTGGCATACAACGGACAGAGCGAAACAGGAGAACGCAACGCTACAAACTCTAGCACTAGTTTAATATGCAGGGAGGAATAGCTGCAGCATCTGCAGCATCGATGTTTATAATCTTCATGGAGGCAACTTGGGCGAGTGGACCAACAGGGGAAGGTTTGATGGAGGAACTGCCTGCGGCCAGAACTACAACCATTTCAGGATCCATGGGTGACCTGGAATGGGAGTAGATCAGGAGGCAGCTGTGTCTCGGTGTGTTTCGAAACTCCGACAGGACACCAGCTTGTTGGCCAGCAGGCGCGGAGTAGGAGTTGTGGTGGCTGCGCGTGGTTTAGAGTGTTGCGTGGTTGCCAAGGAATATCCGAAGCATGTCCAGGCTTGCTTCATCATGGTTTCAGCTGTTTCACCCGCAGCCAATCTGAACCAACCAGCCCCTGGCGAAGATCCGACAATGGAGGTTCGTGCGCAGAGGCGTGTTGACAAGAGAACCCCGGAAAAGAAGATCAAGAGGGAAGACAAGATAGAAAACGTTGGCTTGAAAACGCATTCGTTTACTTTTGATATACTGAAAATCTATCAACCCAGGGGGAGCTGGCTCCAAAATTCACCACTCCCAATACCACTCCTACTCCTACTGCCTCAATCCATGGATCGATACATCAGTCGATCCGACAAGCCCCACTCTCTCATTTGATAACCCAAAAAGCTCCTACTCCGTGGGTATCAATTCTCTTGGTGTCAGGATAAACCGAGGCATAAATTTATCATGAGGATATATGATATAAATCTATTTTACAGAGGAGTGAAAAAGGAAAGGGGAGAAACCATGGCGGGACAAATATTTGGAAATCATTGAGCTTCGGAGGGCCATACATAAGAATCAAAGGAAAGGAAGTTGGCACAAACATCAGAGACAGTGGCTGTAACATTTTGAGATTGTGAGACATACAGAGGGTGGTCAAGATTAAATTCCCTGGTCGCGCTTGATATAGATCATTTCAACATGCTAGAAAATCAAGGAATGGATAAAACGATTCGTAACGATTATCACACCTGCTGTTTTACTTCCCTAGTTCTCCAAGCATGAGATTTCTATCAGAGGAGCCGGAGACAACTGTAGAAAGGAAATATTCATTAGTAAACCACCGCATCTTTTCGATGACAGAAGAGAAAGTAGTAGGCATATCATGTTAAGTTAAAAGACTTATTTGGGCTTACTTATTGGTTCCTCGCTAGGTGAAAATCGCACGTCATTCACAGTACCCTTATGACCCGGCAGTTTATAGAGCAACTTGCCCGACTTCACATCCCACACGACAACGCTTCTGTCACCGCTGCCAGCCGCAATCCTCTCCCCAGTTGGATTCCAACTAGCTCGGATCAGATTCTTCTCCAACCCAACTGGCGCGCCATCGAAGGTCTTGATATGTCTATCAACCGGCGCGAAAGGCCGGATATCCCACGTGCGCACGGTCGAATCATGCGAATTGGAAAGAAGTGTTTGCGAATCCGGCGAGATCTGGAGCGAGGAGATCGTATCCGTGTGACCCACCATGGAATATGTAATGGCGCATTTTCTTATATCCCAGACATGAATGTCATTATCAATGCCGCCGCTGTAAATCTCGTTGCCGGCCTCTGCCAGCGCGACGGCCGTGACAGGCATCTCAGACTCCAAAAAGTCAATCGCGTCCTTTTGTCGCGGGTCCCATATTCCCACGCACCCGTCGTCGCTGCCACTTATTAGCAATTCTTGGCCCCTTCTGCTGACGTCGAGGCAATTGATGATCTCCTCGTGTCCGGCGTGTCGACGTATTCTTTGCCCAGATTCGGCATCCCAACTGGCAAGGGTCATGTCTGCGGATGCCGTGAAAATGATTTTCGAATCTCGTGACCAGTGTAAATCTAGAACCGCTCCCTTGTGCCCAGTGATTACGCCGTAGTTCTCGCATTGTCCGTATGTTCGCCATAGCACTGCAATTTCGCCCCAGAAGAATGTCAGAGTTAGTTCTCCCATGTTCAAGTACTATCGAAAGAAATATTGGCGATCGACGTTGCAGGACCTAGAGCGCGGCGTACTTATCGACCTATCCATCGAACCTGACGCAATATTCTGACCCGTTGGATCAAACCTTGTAGCAAAAATCTCTCCTGAATGACCTATGCAAGATTCCAAATATCAGTGCCATGCCATAACCAAAATCACCCAGCCCTCAATGTCCCCATAATAAACGCACCTGTAAGCTCCATGATAGGCGCCTCAAGACCACTCGTGCGCGGGATCTAGAGAAAAGCAACCAAAGCAGCCAGCCACATTACGCATTAGCCCATCAATTCACATCCAATCCCAAGCACCAATATATCATTCTCTTCTCTTTCTTTCGTATTTTTGCCCTGGGTAATCAAAATTGAGAAGGACGAAAAAAAAAGTTTTTTCGGGCGTACTGCTTGTATAAGAGCTCCATTCTGTGCCGAGTTATTTACAACAGCAACCGCCCTCCCATCGCCCAGATTTGAATCTGACCTCGGCCGTTTGACCAGCTGGGTGGATCGAAAAGAGTCCAGCGCAGGACGCTTTTCCGCAGACATCATTGTATTCTGCTTCTCATGCGACAATGGTCCTCGTTGTTTACCGGATCAGGGAGAGCTGTGGAAGGATGCTTCGCTCAAGTGGCGAAAAAAATGGAGGTGATTTTTAGAATTCAGTCAACGGCAAAAAAAGCCACCGGAAGCATGCAAGATGAAATCAAAAAGTAAAATACGGAAATGATATAACCGTCGACGAATTGCGCTTTGGGGAGCAGCGAGGGTGTAAATGGGTTAAATTCGAGCTTCCAACCCGTCCTTCTTGGGCTCGTTGGCGAGCGCTTATTTTAACGCCAAGCCAAGCGAACTCGTTGAGTTTTCGCGTTCAAACCTTTGCCGCGCGGGGGCAAAATGGGAGGACACCACCAACCGTCCAATCTATCGTTGTCATTCGTTGAGTTTTCGCATACCCCACGACTACTCCACGTGCCCGAATGAGTTCGGTGTTTTGCGATTGAAATATGTAATGTGCAACAATTATCACGGCTATTACTCCTACTCCATATTTCCTTCCCTACGAGACGATTCCCGAGAACACAAGAGAACCTTCACAGTTTCTGCACGATTAGATAGCTCCAGACATCTAGCCTATTTTAGCTCCATTTCCAGCATATAAGAAAAGAAATGGCCTCGACCAAGACGTCAACGTCAAGAATAGGTGAAGAGTACGTTTTCCCACCCTAATGTCCCACGGTTTAACAAAAAACTTCGGTACGCAAGAAGTGCTAACCTCAACGAGCGTCCTAGGACATGGAAGTGAGCTTTTCTGGCATTGATCCCTCGAATACCCCCTTGCGCTTCCCCACAGCCCTCTTAAACGCTCCCCACCCCCGGCCTTATTTCCAATTCTCAGAGCAACATAAAACTTAACCACCGGACAAAACACTAACCTCCCGAACCCAGAACGAAAGTCGACAAAGTCAACGCCGAGCTCGTGACGCTGACATACGGCACGATCGTCGCGCAACTCTGCGACGACTACGACAGCGACTATGCGGAAGTAAACAAGCAGCTGGATAAGATGGGATATAACATCGGCATGCGGCTGATCGAGGACTTCCTGGCCAGGTCGGATACCGGCCGCTGTGCGAATTTCAGAGAGACGGCGGATATGATTTCGAAGGTGCGATCACTTGTCATTAATTACAGTATTTTTATTAGTAGTGTCTATTTTATCTGCGTATATGAAGTGCATATCAGAGAACTAACCTGAATCAACTCATTCGCCTGCTGCTACTGCTCCAGGTTGGATTCAAAATATTCCTCAACATCACGCCGACAATCACGAACTGGACGAGCGATAACAAATCCTTCTCTCTGGTGTTCGATGAGAACCCGCTTGCGGACTTTGTGGAGTTGCCCGATGACGGGCGGGCGCAGGATGAGTTGTGGTTTTCGAATATTCTATGTGGCGTGCTACGAGGGGCGTTGGAGATGGTGAGTGTTTTGTTTTATTCATTTTAAATTTTAATTTCAGTTATTTATTGGCACTTTTCTTCCGCTCTTTCTTCGAGTGGCAAATTTTAACCATGCTGCGGCGCAGTTTTGGTTTATAATTTCTTTCTTGGAGCTGCAAAGACGGGTTTAGTTTAATTGATTGGAAAATTAACGAGTACTAATATTAACAATGTGGAAATTGCTGCAGGTCCAAATGCAAGTTGAAGCACATTTTGTGAGCGATGTGCTGCGCGGAAATGATACGACGGAGATGCGGGTGTCGTTAGTCCGGTATCTCGAAGACGAGTTGCCGCCAGACGATGAATGAATGAGTGTATGTATGTATGAATGAATGAATGAACTTTATTCTTTTGCTATTTTCCCCGCTTCCTTTCCTTATACAACCGTTCTAGTCAGCTTTCCCCCTTTGTCCCTTGTTTCTTGATGTTTGAACATGTATTCTATTATTGCCTGCCGTAGGAAGGGGGGTGAGTATAAGGAGCCACATCTATAAGAGCAAATGGTTGGGTATAAGGATATTAATATGTCAAAAATGGGGCTGGGAGGTTCTTTCATTCATTTTCAATGCCTGCGATAAAGGCGTAGTCGACTGTTTCCTTAAACATGGCTACTATATATAAAGATATTTTTCTTTGTGGAACGTTAGTTATTATTATTACATGGACTGTGCATGTCCAGGGTACATATACATGACATTTATTAGATTAGAGCTAGCTGGTGAAGGCTATCCCCCATCCATACCCCTTGATATGCTTAAGTTGGTGGGATCTAGGCCAGGCTGGAGGTCTCCATACTGGTTAGCTAGTTAGGTATCCCGGAGTCGATCATTTTGTTACATAAGCGCCGTTTTCCGATGTCGTCGCTTCCGCCAAGCCGCACGCCCTTGTCAAAAGTCAATTGCTACGACTGCGAGAGGTCTCTGCTGTGCCAAAGGTAGACAACGGAGATAGAGAACGATTGATATATCGCGAGAAAGAAGAAAGGACGGAAGGACGGTAAGGAAGGAAGAAAGAAAGAAAGAAAAGGAGGAGATATAAATAGGCAGGGGAAAAAACGAACTGCGAGAGAGCGAGAGAGGCAGAGACAGAGAGAGTTTGAGGTCTCGCTGCTGCGCACGCAGTATATCTATTAATACACACACCAGAAGCAGGCCCCTCCTTGTCGTGGGATATATCTTATTTACCCTTATTCCCTTACTCTTCCTTACTTCTGTCGTCACGCTCTTTCTCTCCAGGTTCTGCACTCGACATTCCTATTTTGTGGCTATTGTGATTATACCATCAATATCCAAGCCCGACCCACACAGACCCAGTACCTGGGCATTATCACCCAGGGTAAGGCAAGCCACCTACATCCGTCAACACTGTCAACAACCGCCAATTCCAGCGAGGAGGTAGATATACTTTGCACCCTCACCATCCCCGTCCACAGCTGCCTACACGGCTCCCACCACGGCTCACTCCAACCTCCACCCCTCTTTCCGGGTCCCTTCAGTCCTCGCTTGGGTTGCCTTATCGGGCCCGCTGCCGAGCCCGCTCGTGACACTCTCGTGACCAGAAGTTCTGCGGCCACGGGTTCAGCTGGGACCGGGAGAAACAGATAATCCGCTCCCGCACTTGGCACTGCGCTTATCGCCACTACCAGCCACGCCCATCGCCCACACCCGCCAGCACGCCAGCCCGCTTATCTCCACTTCCTCCACCTCTACCTCCACCTCTACCTCCACGCCCCACGCCGTCGCCCTTACTCCCACCCACCGTCAGCCGCCAACCTCAACTCCCTCGCTCCTCACCATCGATCGCATCTCCGTCGCCATCACCTCCACCACCGGCCATCGTCCGCCATCGCCTGCCGTCGCTCCTCCACCCTCCTCCACCCTCTGCCGCGCAGGAACAAGGCCAACCGTCGCGGATGTGACTTTCCCAATACGCGGGGTCCGCTGCTTTTCTGGCGTCTGTGTGTCTTGTCTGTCTGTGTTTGGCTGTCGGTTCGGCCTGTCTCTGCTGTCTGACTTTCCAACCACGCCCAAAATAGCCACTCGGTTTGGCTTTTGACTTCGCTCCTCCTTCTCTCTCTCTCTCTCCCCTTCTGCCAACCAACCCTCCATCGTCTCTCTCCGCCCAAAGTGAAGGAGGATCTGTCGCCTCTCCCGCTCCGCCTCTCTCTTTTAACTCCCTCAGATCAAACAACTTCTCATCGTCGTTGTCTTTGAATCTTCCTCTTCTTCGTCACCCTCCTCCACTTCCGGCACATATTTTATCCTCGCTTTCTCCCCCCCGGGTTTATTCAGCTCCCACGTTAGACCCATTAAATTATATCTCCTCCCATCCTCTTTCCAGGTACAGAGTCCACTCCACTCCACTCCACTCTTCTCTACTCACTCTCCACGCCATTCCATACCGCAACACAGACTTTCTTTATTCCATGCCTGTGGCTATTCATCGAACTAACTCTGCGCTTGCTACCGTCGTAAAAAGGCTTCTTCCTCTTATCGCCACCCCGTCCGTAAATCACACGCACCACATCACAGCCGCACCGCACCGTCTTAACAACCTTCCAACCTAACCAACGCTCGCGCAAAAGCCGATCGATCGCCCTCTGTAATAATACATCTTCTTACTCACCACCCACTGTCCTTTGACGAGATACCACGATTCCCGGTCATCGTTTGACACCAGGACCTTGACCCATATTATTACTGCCTATTTTCGTTTTCATTTCCTCCGGCCTCTCGTCCCAGAGTTTCGACTTCATGCTCCAACTCTGAAAAACGAACGCCTGTCAAAAATCGCGTCGTCGCCGCATCCAACTCCAGTCGGCGGCGATCATCAAATAAGTCATCTCTACGATCCATTTATCCATTTTTGTATTTTACTCAACAAAAATTGTCCGCTCCCATCTCCTCTGATTCGCCTTGTGTGCGCAACCGACTCTCTTTTTATACCTCAAAACGTACCACACTGACTGTTACTGCAACTCCCACCTACTTACTTTCTTTAAATCTCGTGCCTTGTCTATCGACGCTTGTCTTGTGACCAGCACTCCCTTGGGAGTTCTACCGAACCAAAAAGATTGATCGGAAAGGTTTGACCCACTCTCTGGACAAGAGTGCCAAGTTGGCTGGCCTAACTCGCTCCAACCATGAATCAGATGAATGTCGCTGGAATGAACCCGGGAGCAGGTGGTCCCGTCGGTGGCATTCCCATGATGAACAATGGTTCTACAGCTCCGCGCAGTGATCCCAATGGCCAGAATCTTCAGGGAGATAATGTCATGCAATTAAACACCTACATCTACGACTATTTTCTGAAACGCGGCTATCACGAGTGCGCAAGGGCCTTGATACAAGATGAATCGTTTACCATGAGCACTTCTCCTGCGTCCAAGTCGACACCATCCCACCGCCGCGATGGCGAAATGAATGGCGTTGACGCTGATGCAATGGCAACAGACTCCAAGGACGATGTGAATAAACCAAGAATACCCGATGACTTTCCGCGACCAAATATACCGCCAGGCCCAGGCGGAGCTGACGTGCAACAAACCCCATTTCTCCTGGACTGGTTTAACCTCTTCTGGGATATTTTCTTGGCCCAACGGAAACGAAGTAAGAACCCTGACGCGATGCACTACGTGCAACAGACCCAGGTATGTCCATATATACATAATTCTCTCTTCAAACGACTTTTTTCTCTCACGGTAATAATACTAATAAACGCATAATGCGCTACTCCTCAGCAACTACTTCGCATGCAAAACCAACAAATGATGCGCCAATCACAAATCATGCCGGGCCAATATAACATACGTGGAGCCCGTGGTGGCATGATTCCTGCGAATATTCAAAAAACCATTTTGCAAAACCCAAATATGTACGTTCATATATATATAGACAATATCTAATTTCCACCACCTCTTGACTAACTGTTTTATAGGACACCCCAACAAATGGCGCAGTTGCAGAAAAATCAACAAATGCTCCATCATCAAATGCAACGAGAGCCTTCCGAAATGGAAATGAATGGCCATCGACCACAGTCGCCGTCTTCTGCTGAAAACGCTCCATCGCCTTCAAAACGTCCTCGTCTGGACGGTTCGCAGGTAAATGGGATGCAAATGGCACCGAACGGGCGTGGGCAAGGGCAAATGCCTGGTCGTCCCGCCCACCAGGCCAATGCGATGTTGATGCAACATGGGATAAACCCGAGCAACTTGACTCCTGCACAGTTCAGTTCGTTCCAGGCGCAGAATCCGTCTGTACAAGCAAAATCTCTCCAGGTATATAATCAAAGCATGGCTCTACATAACAATCGCTCAGCAATGAATAACCAGGGGATGCCGAATGGCTTAATGAATCCTGGAGTCATGCCAAACCAAGGGGACATGATGCCCATGCACGATAGTCAACTCTTAACAATGCATGAATACTACGGCGCAAACGGCCAAATGCCCCAAGTTCCGCGACCACAAATGCAAACGGCCGGCGGCGGGAATCATGCCCTCCAAGATTATCAAATGCAGCTGATGCTTCTAGAGCAGCAGAATAAACGCCGTCTGCTCATGGCTCGTCAAGAGCAAGATAGCATCACCCGAGGCGATGGCCAGCCTGGCATGCCTGGCCAGCCTAACCTGGCCCCTGGCACATCCCCGCAAGGAAGCCGCGCCGGTACGTCCCCGAACCCGAATGATCAGATGAAGCGAGGCACACCCAAGATGCCTCAGTCAGGTCTACCTGGTTCTCCTTCTGTTGGTGATGCGATGGCCCAGGGCCGTAGCTCTCCTGCTTCCATGAACTTTGGAGGACAGATGCCGCAAGAACTGGGCGGGCCGTTTTTCATGAACAAGAATATGCCAGAGGGTGTCGTTCAAAACGGAATGAGGCCGCCAAGTTCGAACCCGGCATTTAGTGGTCCTCAGATGGCCCAGCCTATGGATGCCATGTCGCGACCGCAAGGGCCTGGCGCCGCTGGTAATCGAATGCCAAGTGGCAACTGGCAGAGCCAGGGACAGCCCATGATCCCACAGCAGCAACAGGTGGGTCAACAGCCACAACCAGCTGGGACCCCACAAGAGCGTAATGCTATGCCACCACCTCAAGCACCCCCAGCAGGTGTTGCAGGTGCCGGCAGGGCGCAACCTTCCTCTCCCCAATCCGGCGCGGCTCCTCCGACTCCGCAGCAGTCTAACAAGCCAGCGCCCAAGGGGAAGAAGGAACCTAAGGAAAACCCAAGAAAGGTAAAGCAAAAGTTCATTTTTTCATCCATTCATTTTTTAAAAAATATATATCAAAATAAAGGTTTAAGCGGACGCTAAGCTAACAAATCATTAACCAGCGTCCTACAAAGAAACCGTCCACAGCTAACGCCTCGAATACTGCTGCGACTCCATCCTCGGAGGCTGAACCCCCTCCGACTCCCACTCCATCAACTCCAATCACTCCCGTCCATCCGAATTCATTTAACAAAAACACTGCCAACCCAACTACAAACCCTCCTCAGCCCACTTCCGCACCAGCAGCACAAAATATTGTTCCGCAACAGGATCCTAACCAGACATTTGACATGAATCTTTCCGATGTAAGCCTTAAACCTCCTCCCCTCCCCCTTTCCCCTAATTTTTATTTAAATCTAACATATCACCATAACAGACCAACAATTACAATCTTGACTTCACCGCTCTGGATAACCCCGATATCCTGGAGAATTTCGACTTTGATTCGTTCCTAAACACAGATGATCCCAATGGATTCGCTTTTGACCCAACCATGTCATACCCAACTGATGGAGTTGAAGCGGGTGCAGGAGACGGCTTGTAATCTTTCATTTTCAGCCTTTTTTATTCGATTTGTCCACGTGGGGTGGGGGGAGGGAGGGTGTTGTTTCTGTTGATTATAACTCTCTCCAACTCTTTGGTTATTTCTAATTTTATTTTATTTTTATTTTTTTTGGTTTCCCTTGTCCTCTCTTTTCTCATTCATTTTAACTAATATTCTCCTTATTCTCACTTTAAGTGTGTGTCATGTATGTGTGTGTGTGTTTCCCCTCCCTTCCGTACATTTTCTCTCCTTTTCATTGCTTTTTATTTTGCTATCTTAAAAAAGGAGTGAATTGGAAAACCATTACTGCTGCCGCTACTACTACTAGTAGTAGTAGAAGAGGCAAGCAAAAAAAAGGCGATTGCGAGTTATATTTGATGGTTGAAATGTGGAAAAGAATTGATTTCCCTCCTGCATTATTGTTTATTTCCTTTCTTAATTTTTGGTTTTCTTTTTTGGCGCTGCTAAAATTCATACCCCAGCTCTCTTCTTCCCTCATTCTTCTCCTTTTTCTTATTCATGCCTTATTCTGTCATGTTATACTTAAATTTTTTTTCTATTTAAGTCATCCGTCTATCTCTCATGTTTAATTAAAATATTGTTCTTGTCTATTCTTTGTCTTCTACCACTTCATTTTGTTATTATTATTATTATTACTATTATTATTATTATTACTACTATTATTATCTATTTCTTACTTTCTTTACATCTCTGACTTCACTATCTCCCTTTTTTCCACTGTCCTTTCTTTTCTATTCAATGCTCGATCTTTCATCTCATTGCTGTTATTTAGTTATTTAAGATAACTCTTTTTCTTTCCCTTTGAATTGTGGTTTTATCATACATGCATTGATTGTCTGTCTTATACTCTTATTGCAATCACAAACACATCACACACATTTTCCTTTCTGGGATTTTTCATACTTTTTCTATATTACATCATGTGTATATGTTCAACTCAATAAATCTGTTCTATTATGCCTCTTTTTTCAACTCACTTCTCCCACTGTCTTTCTGTGTCTCACTTCCCGTTCCGCCTCTTCTCACAACTCAAATGTTTTTTATTATCTTATACTGTCATTATATATCTATATGTTGTGCTATCAGAGCTTATAGTGTACTAAGTAGTTAAGTATAAAGATGAAATTAATACTTTCTGATCTTCTATCAATCGCCTCTTCACTACCATGTATATATATTATGAGTAGATTTCTATACATCTAATTGATTAAAATGCTGGTGGTCTGCGCTTTGTTTTGTGCTGTGAGGGCTTGACTTTAGTACTAGTTTATAATTGACATAGATATTTATCTGACTATCTATCTATCAATCTACTCAATATCTAATTGATTGGTAATAAACTAGAAAATGCTATCTGCCTACTTACCTATCTGCTATATATTTGATTGATTGATGATTGAATTGAGAATGCTAGCTAGATAGCTAGCTCTCTCGCTACCTACTAACCAAGCGGCCTGTTCAATATTCAATCAATCTCTATGAGAATAAACATCACCATTTAGCTACCCATCTATCAATCAATGTTAAAATGATATGCATTGTTGATGATATATACCGATGATATCTGCAATGATATCTAATGATATCTACCGATGATATATTGAACAATGCAGTGATATGAATTAAATAAAGGATGAAGACAGTGATTCACAACAGCCCAGGTTAGCATTAATATAGTGATTATTGCCAGCCACACGTCTTCAGGGATGGAGAGACAATAGTATCGTAACTTCATCAAATATCAACAAGAATATAGCCACAGCAATTTTTCAAGATGATTTAACGCCAGCATATAGCATGCCAAAGTTAATTTTACCAAGCTTCTCACTAGACGTGCCAGCATGCGCAACACTACCTTCCTCGCTCTTGTGACCCCAATATAACCGCCCACCTTTTGTCGGCCATTCATCGATCAAGTTGGCTAGCGTCTGTAGGTGGCCAAACGCCGCAGGCTGAGGCCCCTTTGGAGGCTTAAAAATGATTGCGGTCGCGAACAGGGCCAGGCATAAAGCGCCAACAGTCAAGTACGAGATCTGGACCGGCATCATGTTAAAGCCAGAATCGAAATAAACAGTCATCGAAAGTCCATAAAGCCGGTGTATCAACGGCTTGAAGCAGAACAGTGTGATTGACTGCCACGAGGTTCCCATCTTCTTGAGGATATTACGATCTCGCTTCAAGCCGCCCTCAGACGATGCGAGCCGCCAAGCTGTTTCATCATTGGAGCATTTAACATGAAGCTCAGCACAATGAAGTGCAAGTGTGATAACCGTCTGAAGCCCCGATACGAAGAAGAATGTCCAAACAAATATACTTGCTGGAAGTGTCTCACCATTGACGAACCAGCCCATGTTAAGGGAAGGGATTTGACTGTTCGGAAGAAGCGACCAGCCACTTTTGTCGCTAATCCCATTCATGAACCCCGTCCTATCCTAATAACAACAAAGATGATGATTGCCCACAGCAAACCCAGGCCCGCTGTAGCCCAGAGAGCCCAAAGAACCTTCCGAACCTCTGAATGTGCGTAGTAAGCTGCCTGCTGCCTGTGCCGGGGAGGAACAGGAATTGTTGGAGCTGCTATATTGTGCACACTTTGCATACATCGGCCAGGAATCCTGTGAAGAGAGCCTTCCAAAATGCAAGCTGCAACTGTGTCCAGAGGGTCGACGCTCCAAGTTGGCGCATGGTGTGTATTTGGCAGAGACCACCAGGCAACGGCCCATTGACCCAGAAGGCATATAGCGAGAGAGATGATAGCGGCGCCACAGATTCATGTCACTGGCTCATCATCAGAGCCATTCAAGTGATCCTTCAGAAAAACAAGCGATGAGGATGAGTATGAGCCTATGATGCAACATAGCATAAACAAATTTGTGTACCATTTGTTAGGCCTCGAGGAGCGTGAGCTGGTCAGCAGCCGAAAGTTGGAATTGAAGGTGAGTCTACCTTTACGTTATAATGCCCATCGTAGGGATACACCGTGAACATACCCATATATTTCGTTCACGAGTGTGATGAGAAGGTTCAAGCCGAGCGAGATGACCTCTCCGCGGGCTCCTTGCTGTCCGATAGAGATTGGAAGAATAGAGGTGTAGATACCAGCTGCTAGACAAGCAACCCCCAGAACTAGGCCCAGGTACAGCCCAATAATGCAGATATTTCTAGAAAGCTGTCGTCGATTGAAGTACGGTCCCCTGGATGGCTCACTTAGCATTTCCACCTCGAATTCCACATTTGGTGACAGGTGAGAGTAAAACATCCCTTGAACGAGATCTATTGAAATAAGTGGGTTAGAGCAACACGATCATTTTTTTTCCAGGATCAGAAGAATTTGGCAAATTGATGTATTATATGGTTTCAGGATGCATTGAGGAAAGAAACAAATTCCATTGTCAAAGAGCTACTACTCTACTCAACAACCCCAACACTCTAACAGCTGGCACAGTCTCCACTCGAATCTGAAAGTGCACCATCATGCCACCATACCAAGCCACGCGAAGATGCTGTTGGACGGTTCCATTAGAATGCAGGCAGTTGAGGCATCCTCCGCTGTCAAGCCTAGCCTAGTGGTTGCATGGGCGGCCACTCAAGCCCCATCCCACGTGACCCTCCCACACATACATTAGCTGTCACTAGATAGATAACAACCAACCACGGTTTATGAAGCCCTTGCATTTCTATAATATAACTAAGAGTTGAATAAGAAATATTATAACTACAACTTTACTACAGCTTGTATATATATTTGAAATTTAGGCAATTACCCTGTTCTGGCCTAGCACTGATTGCTTGCTTTGGCCGAGCGCTAGCACCTTAAGTGCGGGTTTCTTACAGGGAACCACTAAACAGGCTCTTCTGCTTCTGCTTCTGCTTCTTTCAAGTATATATCTCTCCGTTTCAGACTTGACATCTCTTAAAAATAACACTATGCTGCTCGCCTATCACTATTCCATGCAAATTCTATATACAATTGCAAAATTGCGAGGTGTAGTAGCACTCCAAGATAGAACAGAAATGGCCAGCATATGATAATGAAGTATATATAGTTAGAACTACATGCGTATAAAATTCAAAGTTGCTTAACTACTAGAAAAAAACTATAAAATGGGATATTAGCTACACTAAGCCTTTGTAGCGGCAAGCTTCTGCACAGGAAACTAACTCCCCATAATGTGATATCAGAGCTGTTTAATCACCTTGAATTTTCAAAGTGGGAAAAAAAAAATGAAAAGGGAAGAAAAGCCTGCATCAACAATAATAGAGGCTACGTAGAACCCACACAAAGAAAAGGGGACAGTCAGCATTTCTCCCGTACAAATAGTTACCACACCTTTCCTTTCTGTTCTCTCAACACTGAGGTCCTCTCCCCTCCTACCCCCTAGCAGATTTCGCCATCCTACTACTCCTCCTCCCCTTTCTCGATTTTCACACATTCCTCCAATGGAATGAAATCATACATGGCATCTGAACCAAAAGGATCAACCCCAGGATTTTTCCCCAATGCGCCCCGTGCAGCATGAGAATCCACGGTAACCCCCAATTCAGATACACCAACAGAAACGGCGGCCGTAGCAGCCATCTGTTCCCACTTACGAATATTCTCCTCCGTCTTCTCTTTCGGATCTGCCCACTCCTCGTCTTCCTTAACCATCTTAATCAAATAGTCAACCACTTGCGCAGCGCATTTCTCCTTGGCAATTTGTATCGAATAAATAAACTTGGATCGCCCAATACTTCCAACCCGCGCAAGGAATGGATCATTCGGGAACCGAGCCGTCGCACTGAACCATGTAGCAGGCCCATCCACCTGCAGCTCGGTCATGTGGTATTCTGGCTGGTCTATGGATAAAAGAGAGCATATCTCTTTATAATCGAAAAAAGAATGGATGCGAAGGTGAGGCCAGAGCTATCGGGCGCGCTCCTCAAGGGAGCGTGCCAGCGACCGGCACATCGTAGAATAAAAAGTCAGTAAAAGAGATTTTTGAAGGGGGCATGGCTCAGAGCGGGTATGTAAAGGGGGATTGGGGAATCTTTACTTTCAACGCGCTCGCACGGATTCCAATATTGGCTCGTCACCAATCTGAGATCCCTTGATGATATTTTCTCGTTTTTGGTACTCGAAGCTGTGACTTCTGCAGTTGGTAGCCTCTGGCTCCTCGTAGGAATTGGCAACAAATTGGCATTCTCTCGTTTTGCCTTCTTTTTGGCCCTCTTTTTGGCCTTCTTACCCACTTGCTTCGATGGTCCAGGTGGCAATAGATCTGACCCAGACATAGTGCTTACATTTGATCTCCCAGCGGGTAGATCCGGGTCACCAGACAGTATTTTGTTTTTTCCCGCATGTCGTTTCCGCTTAACTTGGGTAATCTGTTTGACACAAGTTAGCAACGGACAAAATCTTGGAAAACTCCACTGGCGAAAAACATCATAGCGTAATTGCTTCCCTGAGGCTGAAGAGATGGCTTCTGAATTGGTGCAGTTGCAGTTTCGTTGTTATTATTAACACTGTTCGTCAGTAAACTACCGGCAAACCCAACCCCTTGAAACAATGGCGTAACCTCAAGGCTGGTGATTAATAGACTATAAAGAGCTGCATGAGCAGAGGCATGTATAGCCTCAGTAGCTGTTTTATAGAACTTATTGGCCCCGAAGCAGGATATCCCTCCCACATCCACTTCATACCGGCATCCATCATGATGCTCGTATTTGGTATAGACTGGACGGGCTACTTTGTTTTGTTCGCAATATTCTATTTTTCGGAAGATTCAACGCCGTTAGCTTTCATCTCGTGTATGAAAGGGAGCCGCAATTTCCCATAGGAAGAGGTAGAAGATATCATACCCTGAAGTAGGGTAGTCCAAATCCACCCGCCAAGCAGCACCTGTGGGCCCGGAAGCTCAGGCAAAGTCCAGCCAGAATACTTCTCCTTCAAGCCTTCCAGAGCAGAACGGCATGTCTCCGCCTTAGCAAGAAATTTATCCTCATAAGCACCATCCTTCGAGACCGTGGCACCCCAGTACGTGAGAAAAGCTCTCCAGTTCCCACCAGCAGTTCTTGCATAGCTGAAACTTGGGCGCAGATTGGCCACAACGGCGAGAACACCAAAGTAGAAGACGGCCTCGTTGAGGCCAACAGAGTCAATGTCTAGATTCTCAAATTTTTGGCTCTGGGGCTGCTCGATGGCTGCTGCGGCCGCGGCAGTCATCACGTCATCAGCACTTTCGAGTTCGGTCATTTCCCCAGATTCAACGGGACTGCAACTGCGGCCATCAACGCTGCTACTCCCAAACATCTCAACAACAGCCTTGTGGTTACGGGACGTCGTTGGCTGCGGCCAAGGAGGTAGCAGTATCGGAGTTACAGGAGCAAATGCCCCTCTGCCTCCCGTGCTTTCAAAGGAACTCACATCAGGCCTAGGGGACCCCTGCAGCTTAGTGTAACTTGCATCAAGTAACCCAGGCCTGGCTGCATGCCCAGCGCATCCAACCTCTCCTAGGGGTGAAAAGGTTGTAGGTTTGCTATTTTCCTGGAGGGCACCCGAGCCAGCAAGCTTCAAGGCCTGCTCTGGTAGGAGAGGGGGCGCTGACGCCCGTGGATTGAGATGGGGCTTTAGAGACTCTGTTGCTGAGTTGTGGGGCATCGCGTTCAAGGCGGTAGGTCTTGAGAGATTGTCCATTTTGCCGGATGAGACAGAGAGGGGCTCGAGGACCTTATCCGGTACTGAACCATCTTCTGGAAGTCGGTGTTGGTAGCTGGTCACAGAAGGCAGTGTCACGTTGTTTTGGGATCTATAAGCTCGGCAGCCAGCATATTGTTTGGGGGAGTTGTCTGGGTAACGACTGTTCTGCCTATTTCCTGTGTCGTCTTGGGCTGAAATGGTTTGAGAATCCATAATGGAAGCTGAAATTGAGCCAGAAGCCAAACGTCGCGTCATACAATGCACTTAATGACGTCAAAGAGAATGTCAGAAACCATCAATGGTATGGCCTAGAATGTTCATGACTAGTATTTGGGTTAGGGAAAACAGGAAACACAGTGACTGAAACCCTTAAGGACAATGGAGGTGAAGCAGTAGTTGACAGAAGACCAGCGATTGGGGAGTGAAGGCGCAAGCTCACAGCCAATATCAGGGAATCTCCAAGAAGCAACAATCCAGTATCCGATATCAAGTATCATGTATCATGTATCACGATGGAAAGAACAATCGGCGGAAGATCCGCCCAGCGGAGCCTCGGCAGGGGAGGAGGCAGGCGCAGCGGAGGCTTGGTTCCTCGCTGGGAAATAGTAAAGCAGCATGGGAAAGCGGCAAAGAGGAGTCGCTACTGCAGAGACGGGGCCTTTGCTGCCCGAATTATAAATTTAATAAAGGAAACACCAAAGAGATACATCACAACACACCCCATGGATGCTATAAGCCTAGTCCATGGAAGCTTTTAAAGGCTGATAAAAATCCGTTCTGCCTGAGTGAGGCCGTTAAAATTCGAAACGATAAGGCAGAAAGAGAACAAAGAACAGGACGCCGGAACAACGAATAAGGAAAAGAATTACAATAAATTTGAAATTACGTTAATCAGGCCATTCCATAGAATGGTCTTTTCGTTGTAGGAATGTTGCTGGTAACGAGTGGTGGAGGGGTGATGCCTTATCAGTAGTAGTAGTAATAATCCTGTATCCTCCCAGCCAATAATTTTTATATTGCCGGCTTTTACTGCGGTAAGTTGCAGACCTCCATCAACTGACAATTTCAACCCAACTGTGGGCCATTTACTCTGAGTTTTCTGTTTCCCGTCTTGTGGCAGTGACCCTTGTTCTTGCTTCCAGGGCTTCTTCGAGTGTGGGCCGCGGGCTAACGTCCTCGGCATTCAAGCGAGACATTTTTCTGGTCGGTGAAGGGCTGCCAGATTTGTTGTCTTCTGCGATTTCCACTTGGTCCGATGTGCCGAGTCTTTTGCGTTTTGATTCGGCGGATGCCATAATGCTACTCTTTGATCGTCTGATCGTTTTTGCACTGTTCGTGAGTACCTTGCTAGAACCACGGAGGGGGGTGTCTACCTCACTCCCAGCGCCTTCTTTCTTCCCCTTCACCTTCGGATTCGGGCTGAGCAGACTTGTCGGAAGGGGCGCATTTTCGCTTCCAAAACCCTCATCGCTATCTGATCGGGCACTTGATCCTGAGACGCCACGTACTCCCGGTTGGGGCAGTTCCTTTAGCGCTCCGGGGCGGTTTGGGTGTTTAGAGTGGGATCTAGGAGCTCGAGGCTCCGCAGCTGCTGAATGTTTGGACGCTACAGGATGAGCAGAGGATGGTGTGTTTGTGGGTGCATAAGTACCGCTGGTCAATTTCGCTGGGCTCAGCGCTTCGATCAGCTGGCTATACTGTTCATCATTAATCGGCACAGAAACACTAGGCTGTTTACTGTGCTGTCCGAAACTGACACCTGTCATGTTGGATATGGCTCGACTACCATTTGAGCTTGATCCCGTGTAGTCTGGCATTGGCACATCATCCAAGGTCGAGCGGGAACGCCGACTAAAGCCCGGCTCTCTGAAAGTATCAACGAACGGGTCCTGGACTATAGGCTGCAAGGGCCATCTAGAGTCTCTCTCCGGCAATGCGGGCCGCGCCCAAGACGTCTGAGGGGTAGGATAAAGTCGGTGGTGCCAGGTTGTAAATTGCGAAGAACGGCCAGCATCCGAGAATCCAATCCCACGAGGCTCTAAGCGCGTTGGAGAGTGGGAATGGGCATCCTCTTGTTCCCGAATACTACCATAATCCACCCCAAGATTATATTTAAAAACGGGGCGGGAGGCTTGATGCCACATTCCCGGGTTTGGCCAGGCTAAATTCGAACCTTCTAAAATATCTGCAGTACAATGATGAGTTTCTGCCACGCTGTAAGGGCTGCCTAAGGGTCTGGCTTACTTAGTGGGGCATGTTGGAAAGAGAAGAAAACGAGATTTCTAACTCTTTCGAATGGTGGATTTCGATTGGGCCGAGAAAATCCTTCCGCGATTACAACTTTAATACGACCAAATTCTTCTCCAGCCTCCCAGTGGCTCTGTTGAAGCATCTCTTCGTGGAAAGGGGGAAAATGCAAACAATCCTGGCCTCCATTTTTGTCCACATCTGATACACAAATCGTTTAATTATTAGCAAGCCGCAAAAACCGCTGCTTACATTAGTTATAGATCTACTTACGAGAACTAGAATCTAGAACATGCTGTTAGCAAAAACGAATCAGAATAATATATATCGTAGGATATCACATACCAATAACTTGAGGCCAACAAGTCCGCTGGTTGGTCAAGCTCCCACTTCAAGAAAAATAGATAAAATTAGTGCCGTATATCTGGGATCTACAACGTCGTTTAGTCCACCAACTTGATACGTACGCAATGAAACGTCCATCGATGAGAACCCGCATCTCAAACATGACAGCGTCATCCGGCTGCATCAAGCTCTCCATCATTCTCGTGGGGTTCGGCTTTTTCCAGCTGTGGATAGATATCCTAAACGGACTGTTGCGAGACATGCTTGGGACAAAAGTAGTCAAGATAGGGGTGTAGCCAAAGATCCCCTGGGCGTAATTAGGTTGCAGAGGATGGGAGGTCGGATTAGCTAAAGAATCGACATGCATGAAGGGAGATTCTGGAAAAATAAAGTATTCCCAGCGAAAACATCGCTCAGCCTTCGGTCTTATGGATGTCATAAAAAAAAGGGAAAATTTAATATAGCAACACTGGAGGACGATAACTGACCATTGTCCCTAGTCACGAAGCATTGGGTCTTGAACTCCTGAACGGGCACTTTCGACCCCTCGGGGAAAAGGAGTATGTCCCAGTTCTCGAAACGCATGGCTGGCGAGGGATAGTAAAAGATCCAACCGATCAAGGAATCTTTCTTCCCCTATGCCGACGAGGAGGGAATGGGTATCAAGCAGCAAGACAGAGATTGGACAGAGCAAACGTTAAGCAGAGCAGTCCACGCCCAAGAAGAGAACAAAAAAGGGGGGGGGTGTTTTCAAACACAGTCCTATCCTTGCCGACGTGATAGTAACGATGGCAAGAGGATGGAATGAGGGAGCTGAGCTGGATGCATGAGGAAGAGAAGAAGAAGCAAAACAGTAAACAGAGCAAAAGGCTTCATTCTTATATGCGGGAGTCTCTGTGCCGGGAAATACACGGGGGAGGCAGGCGGTAGTCACTCGGGGATACGCCAGGAAGGGACGCCAAATCGGCAGTCGCACCCGTCAACAAATGGCTGTGGCAAGCGCTGCTCTCTGCGCACCCGGCAGCGGCAGATTCGGGGGCAAAAGCGGGATGGTTTGCTTGTGGAGGTTGAGGCATGGGTGTCAAGGGAACAACAGCCTGACCCTTTCACTCGCGATTGAGCCCATGCAGGCAGGACACGGAGTCAACTGCCTGGGATAGCATTCCGGGCACGGAGATTCTCCTTTGTCAGGCGCAACCATAGCTAAGAGCCATTGTTATTATGTTGTCGAATGCACCTAGTTACTTCCAAGTTTTGCTGTGATGAAGCTCGATTGGATCAAACTCGATCGGTACGTACGCGCCTATCAGCTGGTGATTCTTCTGCAAGCGTGAACCTCCCAATGAAGCTCCTGCATCTGCCGGGCTACCATCCTTTTCACGAACAGGAGGGACACACCTGGGTAGACCTCCGAAGCAGAATTACCTACAAGTAACTAATTCGTTCGACGATGCAATTGACATGGCTTACCTAAGATAAAAGTTCATCAGCTCCAACTTCATCAGATTTTTGAGAAATTTTCTTGTCTCATCTTGTAACCAGATCATTGTATGAATTACATTACAAGTCATTGAATTGAAGAGATAAAATAATCAACTCAATATTCTGAATCAGTATATAACATTCAATTCTCTCTCTCCCTCTCCCTCTCTCTCTATATATACACCATACAGACGCATAAGTGCCGAAAAAACAAAATATCAAATAGAAAAGCGAACATTCAAAAAAGAAAGAAGAAATTCCATAACTGAGGGAAGATGCATAGAGAGATCTGTGATTCCTTCAGAGTTCAGAGGTATCCATCTAAGATATGTACATATATACATACATATATATATATATATATATATATATACACAAGAAAAAATGAAATAATTGAAAGAAATTCTCCACAACTGCAACTTTTATAGTAACGATATAAAAAAAGTCTCTCATTCAAAGCTAGCGCAATTTTTTCTTACATATAACCATAAACACTGTTACATGTACATGTTACATACAGTAGATAATCAAAGTTCCCTTAAGGCGGAGGAGAGGATAAAAGAATTCTAGCATAAGCAATTTTCAAAACAAAATTGAAGAAAGAAGAAGGCGAAAACAGAAAAAAAGGAAGGGGGAAGGGGGCGGGTAAGAGGAAAAAAATAAGTACAGTACTTACAAGGTGAAAAAAGGCTTGAATTGATCATTACATTTCTCATTCATAATAAACAAAGCATAGACCTGGAGGACAAAAGATGATAAGCAATTTATGAAAGATGGAAAAAAATAATAGTTCACAATTGTTTCAGGAACAAAAGCAACAGTAAAGTAGAAAAGAGAAGAGAGGAAAAACCATAATTGATTAAAAAGAAGTCAGTTGAATAGGAAAAAAATGAAAGGCTTTCTCGACATAAGATATAAAATAAGCCGCTCATAAATAAGATAAAAACAGCGGAGAATATGTGTTGCACTTTAATTGTAGTGCCAGTGGCGAAAGAAGAAATAGTAGCTGTAGTAGCAGCAGTAGCAGCAGTAGCAGCAATAGCAGCAGTAGTAGAACAGGTTAGATAAATAAGTAGAATAATCAAAGTGAAGTTAGAATAAAACGAGTTGCAAAATATTAAAGTAAACGAAGGAAGTCACAATTTCATACGCACACACAACAGCAATCTCTCTCTAACTCACACAAAATTAAAGTAAGCAAAAAGCAAGAGAAAAGAAAATGGCAAGAAAAAAAGTAGGCAATTTTGAAGAGAAATCACACTCATCAAGAGTTTTAAAGAGTAGGTAACATGAGTCATTGGAAAATAATTCAAGAGGGGCTTTGTTTCAATGGGTGGAAAATGAAAAGGGGGAGGAAAGAAAGAAACAAAAAAATTGACAGAAGCGGCTTTTCCTTTTTGATTTGATACAACGCAAGAACCAAGACCAAGACCCATCCTTTTTGGAAAAAGGAACACAAAAAAACTCCTGCTGGTGCTTCACGACGAAAGGGACGCGTTTACTGCTAGAGAGTTACATAGTCACATTAGTAAGGAAAGTTCGTTAAAAGGTGTGCTGGGGCAACAGAGAGGAAGTGTAAAACACGTTCAACTTGACGACGGGGAGGAATTTAGCGCAAACGTACCTTCATTGGCGCGAAGCCACCACCATATGAGTGGGAAGGTGGCATACCCATGGAGGAATACATGGGTGGTGGCGGAGCGGGGCGATAAGGTGACCCAGCGGGTCCAGAATTGTTCTGAGAACGACCCCAGCTAAGCCTGACACGCGAGTTTCCAATTGGATATCCTTGCATCTGGTTGATGGCCATCTCGGCTGCGTGGCGCTGAACAAACTGGACAAAACCGCAGCCTTTTCCTGGTGGGATCTTGACATAGGTAATCTCGCCGAAGCCCTGGAAGAAAGAACGAAGTTCATCCTCGGTGACGTAGCCGGAAAGTCCTCCAACGAACACGGTGGTGTTGTTGGGATCTGTGAATTGGTTCATTGGCTGAGGAGCACCGTAGTATCCCATCGGAGGGCCACCCATAGGAGGAAACATACCAGCGGGGCCAGCTCCAGGCATACCCATTGCGCCAGGCCCAGCACCAGCACCCTTGTTCTTGGGAGTAGCAGTGGAAATACGCATAGGGCGGTTGCCGCAATATACACCTTGCATCTCAGTGAGGGCGCGTTGCTGGTCGGTCTCGTCGGAAAAGCGCACGAATCCATATCCACGCGACATGCCACTGATGGGATCCGTCATGATCTTGGCTGATTTGCAAGATGGGAAGCGGCTCTGGAAGAGCGAGACCAGGACGTATTCGTTAACCTCCGGACCAAGATCACCAACGAAGATGGAGAACTCAGGGCCACGTTCCTCACGGCTACGGAAAGGTGAGTGAGTTAATGCGGTACAGAAGGTTGCACCAGAATTTGGAAGTGTACCTACCTGCGATCAGCCAGACCGCCACCGGAAGCCCAGTTGAGCTTGAAGGTACGCGAGGTGTTGGGAATGGGAGTTCCGCTCAGGGTCAGTGCCTTAGCTGCTGCAGCTGGGGTAGTAAAATCGACGAAACAGTATCCGGCGTTACTTCTAGGGATATCAATGTTAGAGCGTGAACTTTCATGTTGTTTCCTTTATTCTTTTCGCCATCGAGTAGCACAAGCAGATTGGAAGGAGAAAAAGATTTAAAAGCTAAGCTCAGAAGTAGCGTAGCGCCACGTACCCAGAGAATTTGTCGCGGATCATCTTGACGTTAACTTGCTCCCCCATTTGGAACCAGAGATTGCGGATGAAATTCTCGTCAATCCAGGGCTCGAGCTCACCCATCCTAACCAATGAAAAAGTAATGAAAAAAATCAGCCAAGAAGCATTCCAAAATGGCATTATAACCCATCGCATGCATTGCGCCGCTTAGAGGACAAGCAAAAAGAGTTAACAGGCGCAATCGAATTTAATAGCATACCAAAGCGTGGTTTTGGCTTCGCCGGCCTGCTGAGCAGAGCCCGACGCAGGCTCGCCGGAAGCAGGGGCTTGAAAGGGAGCAGGAGAGGGATCCGACTGCCCAGCCATAGCAGATTCCGCGGGCGCAGGAGCACCAGTTCCGGCAGTAGCAGCATCAGCAGCGCCGTGCTGATTTTGGAAAGAATCGAAGTTCTGGAACGACATGATGATGAACGGTTGAGAAAGGTGCGAAATATGCGAATTATACAACACCAGGGAAGAAAGACTTAAAAGACGACGTGGGTGAATCGATGAAAATCGAAGAAAACGTAAGAGACGAAGTGCTAGGAACCTAAGTTGGGCGCAAGATGGTAGTCAGCATATGATTGCTTCAAGATTTCTGTTTTCAAGAAAAAAAATTTTCAAGAATTTTTTTTGCGTCCTCCAGCGACAGGCAGAGTGTCACCACACTGGGAGTTTAAACAGGTCAAAGGATCGCTGCATAAGCTCAAGAAGAAAGGGAAGCTAATGAGTGCTAGGCAAGTGTGAAAGAACACGAATTCCGTAGCAATTGCGACAAGCTATCGTTTTTGGGCGAGATGAAAAAGAGCGCCGACACAAAAGGACACACAACGCACACGCACACGAACACGCACACGCACCTCTTGCGCCCAAATAAACCCTTGTAATGCGTTGGTATTCTTCGAACACGGCCGTTGCGACTTGAACTCGTAGGGGGTCGTTAAGGAGAGACGAGCGATGAACACCTGGTTTTTAAGAAAAGTCTAGGATCGACAAGGAAGGATAATTCACGTTTCTGCAGCGACAAATCGGGAGCAAAGATGGTTAGTAGATCGATCAAAGGTGATGGTGACGGATGAAAAGGACGAGGGAGTAGAGGGAATAGGTGGGGTGGTGGTGGTGGAGGAGGAGGAGGAGGAGAGAAGGGAGTGAATTGACCAGCGACACAATAATAGAAGAGTCAATCAAAAGAAACAATGAATCGGACCACGCGTCGAAAGCGACAGGAAGTGACAGCAAATTGTCAGAATGAAAGGAACACTGGGACTGGAAGAAGGAAGAAAAACTGAAAACAGCGACAATAAACAACGACAACAACAATAACGTTGAATGGTAAGGGAAGGTGGAAAAGTGATGAAGGTGAATGAAGAGGAAAAAGTGAAGATGATGGACAAAGAGAGAGGAAAAGAGCGTCGAGTGGACGAAGCAAAGTAGGACTAAGACAAGCGTGCGGGGACGAGAGAAGGAAAAAAGAAAGAAAAAAAGGAAAACGAAAAAAAAAAACCAAGGCAGAAAGGAAGGAAGCGGAGGAAGCGCCAAAGGAGAAGAAAACAGCGAATGAGTTGCAGGAGACGAGGCAGGCAAGGGAACACCGACTAGAGCAGCAGCTAGCAGCAGCAACTAACCACTCTCGGTCGGGTGAGAGAGGAAACGAGCCTTGGAAATTGGTGGTTGGGTGCGGGCGTGGCAGGTGAGCTGCCAAGTGTGTTGCAACGACGGGCGGTGCAGAGGGGGGAAATTATATCACAGAAGCTAGAGAGTGAGATGGAGACAAGAGGGAGATGGAGATGGATTGATGGAGATGTAGGCGTAGGGGCAACAGAATGCACGGGGGAATGAAGCGAGGACCCGGGTGCCGGGTTGCCGTGGGATCAAAAACGATGAGGACAACAGACTCGCAACTCCACTCCCGTATGCCCATTGCCATGGCGATTGATGGTCTCTTGTGCCCTCGATGCCTTGGATATATATATGTGTATGCATGTGTGAAGGGTGGGGGGGGCAAATGGACGCTCCCTCAGCCAGCCACCTCTCGACAGACAAGCTACTTCTTCTCCATCATGTCCTTGCAGTCAAGCAGCCACTCTCGCAACCCGACAAGACCAGCAAGATATCGCAACGATGGCGATGGCGATGGGGATGCCAGATGCGCGATGAGGCTGACGCTGGCTGTGGTTGGCGCCCGCGATGCTTCTCTTCCGCTGAGGCTCTGCGGCGATGCGCAAATCCCTTCCACAGAGCTTCCACGGATGACGCCAAACACACGCGATCGAAAAGGGGGGACATGGAGAATCGCACAGAGGACCCAACACGCAGATGGAGAAAAAGGAAGACGCAAGAAATGAAATGACGGAGAATCTGGTACTCACCACAGGCTGTATCTTTCGAATAAGTTTCAACTCCGAACTTGATCCCAGGGCAAGAAGTTACGATTTTCAAGGCTGCCTATACCAAATAAAATACACAGCAAAGAAATCTTGAAATGAGAAAAACCCTCCCCAAATGATAAAAAGGACGGATTTTGGCTGGGAGTTATTTTTCTCTTTTAATTGAGTCGAAGGAGGGATTGGACTTTTGCGCGGTTTTTTTTGTTGATCTGATAAAGGCGACGGAAAAATTGGATTTTTTTTTTTTTTAACTCCGTGGTCGCGAAAACGGCAAACGATGAAGCCGACGACGCAAAAGATCAACCAACGAAACAGGGAGAACAATGTGTGTCCTTTCCTTTGTCGACAGGGAGAGATGGACGGGGGATGGATAGTGATGAGGAGGAGATGGGGAGAGGAGGCTTTCTTTCCTGTAAAAAAAAGAAAACCGAATTAATAAAAAAACACCGAACGAAACTTCTTTGCCGGGCGGGGAGGGGTGATGGTGGGGCGCGAAACGAAAATGGAAAAAACAGCAAGATAATATAATAAGAGCCACGAAATAACAGCTCCGTTAATTAATAAAGCGAAAAAAAAAGGGGGAACACACAATAAAAAAAATAAAAAAAACTAACCAGAAAATGGAGATAACAGATGGAATGCAAGGAGACGATGAACGATGAACGATGAACGACGAACGACGAACGACGACCAACGACCAACGACCAACGATGCGAAAGGAGAAGCAAAAGCAACCGGGACGAGCTGGGACGGAAGAGGAGGGATGAAAGGGGGAAGAAAGGGAGAGGAAGAAGAGAAAGAAGAAAAGAGGAAGAGAGGGAAGAAGGCCGGAGGAAACCAAGCAGAGGGGCGAAAATGAACTAAGAATTTCCGTTTTAGTGGTGGGAGGGGGGTGAGAAGAAAGAAAGTAAAAAGGGCTGCAAGGAACAGACAAGAAAAGAAAAAGTAAAAACCAAGACGTAAAACAACGAGGGGGGAAAAGGGTTCGATCTATCCATGGATACTGCACCCTGTGCTGGAGGCATCTTCCTACTTATCTTACGCAGCATGCAACCGCGGGGCCACCAAAAGAGCGCTGGTATCTCCATCTACTACTACCTGGTTGTTCCGTCGGTATGTATGTGTGTATGTATGTGCGATTACTACGTGCATCCATCCCAGGAAGAGCTGATCTCCCGACATAGTACATATATTCTATGTGGATGTGTACAGTACCTGTAAATGGGAAGCCCAACCATGATCAAAGCCCTATCATGGTTGACGGCGCTGCCATTCTCATGTTGTCGGAAGCGAGGAAACCAAAAAAGCTTACCAGGCAGAGCATGCTCACGCACACAACATTATCCAGCAGAGAAAGTTTAACTACAAGCATTTTTTTTCTTTTTTTCTTTTGAATTTGAAGCATGGACCAGTATATCCAGCAGCCCTTTGCGGTGGGATTGTAACCGGCGAAAGATACCTTAATCATAAAAGGTGGTACCTAGGGAGAAAGAATCAACCTTATAAAGAAAGTATATATTTATATTTTAAATTTGTAACCTTTTTTTTCCCATCAATTGTTACTGATTGTTTGGTTTAAGCTGTGTAACTGAGTTGCCTGCCTAGGTACTGTAACTACATGTAACTTTCAGTCCCCATGCATCTCTCTAATTATCCATAGTATGTTCTGCTTATAGCCCACCAACCCGCAGCCACCAACCACGGCAAAAACGGGAGTGCGAAAAGAAGCAAAAAGGGCGCATCATCACTCCGGGTGTTGGTCAGCGGGTGATTTCATCATCATGCATCGTCCCTGTTGGCTTCTTCTTTCCGCATTACGATTCCCCCCGCCCCCTACACTTTTTACAAAAACCGAAAAGCTCCGCCAATTGAGAAAGGGGGAAAAGTCAGAGGAGTGAGAAAGGTGAGATTTAAGTTGGTTGATCAGCCTGTTTTTGAAAAAAAAAAAAAAAATTTTTTTGTAGGCGCGGGCACAGCGCGTCAGCGGTTCTGTGAAGTTTAAATATTCCCCTCCAAAAAATATGATTTTCCCCTTTCATTATGATGATGGTTTTCAACTTATATTTATATTTTATATTTATTTTTTTAATCCTCAGAATGACTGACCTCTTTCCTTCTACACTCGCGACGCAGCTGTACAGTACATGACATTACAACCCAGAAACAAGAAAAAAGCAAGCAGAAGAGGTTGTTGTTGATCGGTGTTTAGTTGGAACAGTTTGCAAAAAGCACTCACGGGATCTGATCTAGCCATGTGGATTTCAACCCATAGCAAAAACTCCCAAAGGCCCCTCCCTGTTCAATGAATCCCGTGTACCCCTGAGCAACTTGTTTTCCATCCCGCTACTTCCGAATGACGCTGCGTTCAATATAGGATTTGAAGCGATTGCTATGAATAGTTAGTGGTAGTATTTTCGAGATTCTAGCTTGAACTAGCATCGTATGGCGGGCCCAATCATCCAATCAGCGAACGATACAATATGGCACCGGTCTCTAACCCGATGCTGAGCTTCCTTGCTACTTACTAGTCGATATGCCAGATGATAGACGACTGTTGCAGAGCGGAAGAAGGGTCGTCGAAATATCTGCTGCAGTTCGTTTGCGTCGTGGGCGGCTATATTATTGAATTAAAATTTATTTACATTGTGTCTTCGGCTCAGAGCCTCCAATCCACCTATTCCGTCATGATCACCACTAGCCGAGCAGTTAAGTGATGCTCAAAGGATGACAAGAGGGTCCCCTGGCACCTTTAGTTTTCAGCAGTGCCAGAAGGCCTGCTGTTACACTTATTTTCATATCTGAGTTCTGAAAATAATTCTCTATACTCTTCAATGCTCTGTCTATGTATCAGAAGAATTATCTTGAAGTGTTTTGATGAGAAAAGAAAGTATAGAGAGAGAACGAACTTCGACACTGTCACTATGGCCTTATCTGTATGTGTACTGATAGTAGATATTGTTACAACTGTGTTGGTTATGTGATGTTATATATATAGTTATAGTTATATTTAAACAAACCTGGATAAAATGCCCTAAGGGCTTTGTGCCAAATTGCTCGGCTAGCTGCTTGATGGTAATGAGTAACAAATCCACGTTGATAGAAGCCGATCGCTTCAAGTCCGGCTACTTTTGCTATGCTCTTTTGGCAACTTTTTGCCGACTTGCCCCCGTCGATAGCTGGTAAGCAAGTTCAAACAGGAGCAGATTCTAGACCGGCCATCACTGTGCCCATTTGCTTTGCTCCAGTAACTTCTCTAAATGTAGCCTAGATTGCACATAGCACACCTGCCTGCATATGAAATGCATTTCTGTTTTGATAGGGGTTAATCGACCAGGATTCGTCAGGGCTGCCTTCAGCATACTGTCCTAATGTAGGAACATGCTAAGATAACAATATCTGATTCAAAGCTAATCGCTGATCTCCCAGAAACTGCGGATATCAGCGAGCATTTTATAGATAATGTTCCCACCATCTACTTCCATGGGGTTCCATCATCTTTGAACGCTTCTTTGCCACTTCTAAATATAGATATCTCTGTAATTCCCTATTACAATTATCTCCCTTCTTCAAAGGCCTGGTCCCCTTATCCATAATGTGTGAAGTTTGTATTGGTAGTTGCGTAGTTGGTGTTATATAGAACTCGCAGCATTGAAATCGGAATAATATCGGGAAATATATCCGAAGTGTTGTGGGTTTGGATGATAGGTTTTCCAGTTCTGGTGTTGCTGCCGTCCAATAGTAACATCCCCTGAACCCCTATCTTTAACTTTCCACACAAAAAACCTATTACCTCCAAATTACCACCAGCACCACTAAACGATTTTTTATTTAAAAAGAATATACCAGTTTATCGAGAAAAAGTGAGTCTTATCCTCCTATGTGAATTTTACTGCGAAGTTCAAAGTTTTGGTTGTGTGGTTGTGTGGTTGCGTGGTTGCGTGGTTGCTTTTTTTGTTCTAGGTCGATTTTGTGTTGTTGAATTCCCTCCAAGGATTTTGGAATATGGGGTTCATGGGGTTCAACCATCAACATTTGTTCGTTCCCTGCTGTATTTTTGTTCCTTCTCCCCTTTTGTATAAGGTTCTCGTGCTGATCAAGATAATAATGATAGAATATCCGAACCAGCTGTCTCTGTTGCTGGCTCGGAGCCTATGGAGGTTGATATGCTGTCCACCATCGAGAGCATATGCTTGGGCTGCGTCCCCAAATTGAGAGATGTCGATTTGTGGTGTGTTTTTGGGCCTAAGACCTGAAAGTGTTGTGGGACATGTGCCTCTGCAGGGGAAACCTGCAACCCTGTGAGTATTCCCCTTTTAACCTGTTATTTTCCCAGATGGCACAAGGCAGCATTTTATATAGGTAAGTCGCGTCTTAAGCAATACAGATATGCTGACAATTATGCTAGGTGTGTGATCCACCTCTATTGAGGTGCGCCATGCATGGGCGCGCGTTTATTTTCTGCGGGGTGGCGGGTGGGAGCTAATTCCCTCTGGTCCCGCCGCCGGGCTGCTGCTGTGCCTGGGGGTATGCAGGCAATGGAGGCCGTGGTTGTGCCTGCTCCTGGTGCATGGGTGCACGATGAAGAGAAGGAGGTTGAGAAGGAGGTGGAAGGGGTCGAGGAGGAGGATATGGGGATTCTTGGGGGTTGGAGCTCCGGGGGATCGGTGGGAGAATCGGCGGGGGGGTTGTTGGGGGTTTGGTAGGAAAGCGGTGGAAGAGGTACCGAAGACGCCTGAGGCGTATACTCGGGCGGTTGGCGTGCTTTGGCATCGGTGGAGGGGGGAGAGGAGGTGCCCCCGACCGTGGAGGATTGGTCGCCTCGTTGGTAAGGGGAGGAATGGGGAGGGGGACTCCTTGTGGCAAGGGCATGTGCCGTTGCCCCTCCCTAAATGAGCGATGGTGGTGCAGCACTCCGTTAAGTGCTACAGGGAGAGGATGGCGGATTGTTGGGGGGGGGGGGGGGATGAGACGCGTATTCGCGAATACGGGGTTTCCTTTGACCATGGTAAACTGTGACTGATCTTTGTTGATTGAGTGCAATAAGGCCTCTTCAGCATGTTCAATCATTATGGTCGGGTCTCCGACTTCGATTCTCGCTGCCGCAAGTGCGTCACAGTGGCCGTCAGGTGTTGTCAGTGGCGAATCGGGCGTTGCTGACTGCTCCTTAGCTGTCTGGAGTCGCTGCTCGAGGGCGGCTTTCCTGCCTGTCGAAGACAGGTCGAGAGCCGGGGGTCTTATTTCAAAAGATACTTTTGAATTTGGTCTGACCAACTGTTGACGGATAAGAGGAAGGAGTCACAGGAAGGAGAAGAAGATGCGAGTACAGGTCTGTCAGTATTTTCAGTTGAAGAGACAAGAGGTGATGTGATGTACAGTACAAAGAGCCACATGTCCTGTTTGTACCAGAGAGCCATTGATCCAAGTACCGTACCTAGTCAAGTAGGCGTATTGTCAAAACGATTGCTCAAATATCATTATTCGACCAGGAGCCATCTGACCCACAACCAACGAAAAGGGAAGGAAGGAGAAGAACGGGCTTATTTGAATGTTTGTGCGTATGACACCAGAGAGTGTCACATAACAGTGGCAGAAAGCAGTCGTCACCATAACATTAAGAAAATTAAAGAACATCTGTAGGTGCTCTAGGTCCACAGGTGGATAACTCTCTCCCCAACCACCCAATAGGTATGTTCAGTACATTATGGGAATTCACGCTCCGATGTTTCTTGCCCTTAGACAAGGAATAAAATGTTGTTGGAGCTCCTTCGGATCTTCGGATTCATGCCCAGGAGGCTGTTCATGATTGGTAAAAGTCCCAAATAGAAAGGAGCACCCTCGGCGTAGACAACATTTACGTACCTCCGTACATACATACCTGCCCTCCAGATATTGAGCAGGTTTTGTATCCATGGTCGCTCTTGCCGAGCTTCTGTATCATATAAATAAAAACATCCATTTGTGATGCTCAGCACCTTCCAAAAGCACAAGAAAACAAAGGGTATAAAGCTGAGCTCCCCCGTCCCGGATTTTCTCCTCTTTCATCTTCACTCATCTATTGGTATTTCAGCATCCTCCGTCCCCATCTCCTTGAGTAGGGTTAGGACGGGCCAAGTTAGCTGGCCGAGTTGATGCACATGTACACACATGTACAAACCATCCCTTAAACATGTTTCCAATCAATAGCTATCGTATCTGAGGTTGGCAGGGCTATCTTCCTGCCCTCAGGAGGACACCCGAGGGCATCCATGTTAGACTGCCCTCATCAGATAATGCGTGGATTTGCTAATGTCCAAGGTGGGAAACATTGTAATGAGGTAATTTCACCCAACTCCTCGCTCCCTCTCAGACCATTTGGCGGATGCTGATATCCTTCTTACATGTAGAAAGTTATACAAAATCAAGCTGAATAACGGATTGGTGAGGTGGAGAGTCAGAAAATTGAACCAAGGACTGTCCTAATCACTGACACACTCAAAACATTCGCGAAAGAACGTGAAGTTTTGAAATAGGAAGGATAGAAGTTATACAAAATCAAGCTGAATAACGGATTGGTGAGGTGGAGAGTCAGAAAATTGAACCAAGGACTGTCCTAATCACTGACACACTCAAAACATTCGCGAAAGAACGTGAAGTTTTGAAATAGGAAGGATAGGAAGGCCAATCGAAATTATCTGTTGGTTTATGCTCTTTCATCATACTCTCAGGTACGATCAAACAGTTTCGTACTCAATAGTTTCCCCCAGTGAATGATGATAAAAAAAAACCTTGTTACGATCTGAGAACCTAGGTTCGATGATGAAAATTAACAAGCCTGACACTATGCGTTAGCATACGGGGGGTCTGGTGTTTCTCAATTAAGAGATTTGCTTTGGCGTTGCTGGAAAAGCGCCTACAGAGAGGCTGACCTCTCTGTAGTTAACAGGTTTCGTGCAGAATAACGTCACAAGATTACAGCGAAGAGGACAGGGCGGTCGGTAGGGTTGAGGGCAAATATAATATATATTGGGAGAGGGGGTAATACTTACCAGAAGCTATGATGGTGGAAGATAAGGGTTTTGGAAGGGGGAGAAGGTCATTTTATGTATGTGTGATGAGTCATTGGTTGCATCAGTTAGCGTTTCTCGGCCACTTTGTACCCTACGCCAATTTAGTCAAACAAGACAAACACAAGCAGGTACACTCTCATACTAAATTGGCGTGATGGTACAAAATGGCTAGTTAATTAGCTAGTCATCAACTGGATTTTTCTCTCGGGTTAACTAATTAAGCTTGGTTAGCTCACTAGTTGGTTGACTGTATAAACTTTATTTGGAATTTAGACTGGGAAAGACATCCTAATTTTGAGTTTAACTTTGGGCTGCAATAACCACATGGAAAGAGTACCGGAATAAACCAAGACGCAGTTTTTCAGCTTCCTTCCCACCCCCGAATGATGGAACCTGTAGCTGAGATTCTTGAGAGTATATCCATCTCTGCACCCACACGCAGGTTCGTTTAGAGATATATCCGGCAGCCAGGCTGCCATCCCCCACGAATCCCAGCCCAATTGCCTGGGATATATCAACACAAAATTTACTTTACAAAACTCAGTTTGATTAGAGAGACCATTTCCAGGGTCAAGATAGTACTCTGTACTCGGGTATTAATTCACTCGCGATGGGTCCTTGTTTTCCATGGTAGAAACACTCCCCTCCCGATTTGCGTGTGAGTACGAGTGTCTCTCCTTTCATCGCCATCTCCCTGAAGTCAACTCTCTTGATGTTGTACCAGCGACAGTATGGCAGTATATCTCCGCGAGCTATGCCAATGCTCGACGGGGTTGCAACTGCCCTGGGTTCGCCATGGGGGCTAGCCAACCAACATCGTGCTTGTGGTATGTCACAGTAGCACCTTAAGATTTTTAGAAGGGTAATGCATTCCGAACTGTGATAGAGCCAGGGTATCTCTAAACCTCCAAACATGGGGAGTGCTAATTCTAAAGATCCCGGGTGCTTGTGACAAGATAACTGAATACCGCTGTCTTGCTTAGCTAGTATATTTCCATACATGTCATAAGCATTGGGTTGTTTAAGGGTAGAAAATGAGTGCTTACATTAGGTACCCAGTTAGTAAAGACTATATATAGAAAAACCGATGCCGAAGATCTTCCATAGACTATCTAGTCACTATCACCAGACTTCCATCCCATTATCACCGCCGCCATTGCATCAATGTTGCTCTTATGATCATGTAGGGGGCGTATACGGGGTGGGAAGGCCATATCGTGATATGTTGGTTCATATGTATTGTAAATGCGTAAGCATGTTGAGGAATTATGATTTTTCCGTTGTATACTTCATACATTCGTTTATTCGTTCATTCATGACCTGGTAATTATCAGAGATCGTGTGTCCTATATATAAAACGAAAAGCAAGGGGGGGAAGAAGGAAAAGAAACTAGGAAGTCATTGAAACAAAGGGGAATAAGAGAGACACCAACCTCATATCATAATACAGTTTACCCATCCTGCTTCCCTAGCTCATCGCCCAATATCTGAATAGTCCTCTCATATACCCTCCCGGATTCCGTCTCCCATTTCCCAAGTTCATCCCCAAAAACCTCAAAGCCCGGCCTTTCCCCCTGCCCACTATCGTAATCCGCATCGCCATCGTCATCATCGTCGTCATCTATATCCATACATACACCGCCTTCCCCGTCCTCATTCCCTTGCGCACTGACAACAATAATCCGCGTGCTCTCCGCAATGCTCTTAATCCTCACCTTCTCTGTCATGGAAACCACTCCAAGCTTGCCTTCGAAGCCCGGCAATGGATTACCGGTTTGCAAGTCTTTCCCAAGCAGCAGAGAAGCGAAAATGGTGTCAAGTTTATTGATAAGTTTAAAGGTCGCCCGTGCGGAAAAAGGGAAGTCCGGGAGGTAGGTATTTAGTAGGACTGCCAGAGAGATGAGGTAGGGGACTTGGAGGGATGCTGTTGGGTTTTGCCCAGAAATGTTGGTACAGATTGAGGGGAAGTAAAAATTTGCAAGGGATATGAGTAAGAGGAGGTGCCAAGATGTGGATGGAAGCAGGGCACGACGGGATAAAGAAAAAACTTAGTGTAAAGGAGAAGGGAGGAAAACGACTTACGAGTCCCACTAACCCAAAGCACATCAACGATCGTTTCCATGTCCTTTGCAACCTCCCGGAAATTCTCATAGCCACGGTCCGCCTCACACTCGTCCTCAGCGAACGCACTACTGAATTTTTTTGCGTGGCGTCGGTTTATGGCTATTATGTGACTGTCGACAAAGTTTATGACTGTCATCTCTTTGGCACTTCCTGGCCTCAGGGACTGTTTTCTTTGTTGTGGGAGACTCGGCGTGACGGTAGAGTTCGAGTTGACTGACGATGCAGGCGGAGAGGGGAGAGAAGAGGCTATGAATCCTCCGCCCCCTCCGCCTGTGCCACCTCCTATTACTGTATTTGATTCCGATCCCATAACCAGCGTATCATCCATTGCGGTTGGCTAATCTAGAAGCAAGGCAATACGGCGAAATGATGGTTATGCCTTGGTGGACTATTACCAATGCTTCTAAACGATCTGGAATTAGTTTGCGACGGTGGTCACTCCCTTGACACGAAGAAGTGACGAGACGAAGAGAGTATATTGGCTTTTTATAATGTCAAGGATAGGATATTTGTTATAAGGGAACATTGGCATAGTAGATTGTTATATCCGGTCATCCAGATGGAGGGGCAACATGGATTTCTGATTGGTTGAAATGGTATGGTATTTCTTGATAGCGAGTTAACAAAATGAGTTGATTCGGTTTCAAGTGCGGTCGCATGCGAGAGGACTAAACGAAGCAGCCATAAATAATATGATTTATTTTGAACTCAATATGTCGAGATATGGCGGTTTGCACATTGCTGGACATCAAGGATGAGGTAATCCTAGAAATGACGTAACTAGCAGGCCAGTCTGTACGTGACCGGTTCCTCCACACAATTGTGTATTCCATTGCTAGATAAATTATCCTAGCTTTACAAATTGCATGGGTGCAAATTTGCATTTTATAACAGCTTTATTTGTGATTGTTAAGTGTAAATTGTGCGGGTGTGGTTAAAATTAATATCCGCAATTTAAAACGCTTGCAATGCTGACACTGTAACATGTTCCTGGAGATATTGGCCTTAAAATATATCGGATGTCTTCATCGCCTGAGGCTGCAAGTTATTTCATTTCGGACATTATTGTGTCACGTTGCGGACCGTATGCGTTCTATATTCCAGGTTGATCCGGATGGCTAGAAGGGTATCGAGAGAAAGCAACCCAAGGGTCATTTGTATCCTTGTTGGATTCCAACACAGCGGAATTGGTATGAGAGCACACATGTCCTCTCATACAATAGCAAAAGCTACGCGACTATAGATCATATTCGATATACCACCCATACTGGTGGGTGTCTTCGAACTACGGCATGGATGGAGTCGTCCCGAGCTGTCAAATTCCGCACTACTAAATATTGTATCATCATTTCTTGAATGCCCACCTTCACGATTTCTTTACTCCGGCTGAGGAAAAGGTCAGCAACAACTCAGAATCACAACATTCTGCCTGCGTGAAAAAAAACCAAAAATAAAGACTGGGGGGAGGACGAATGTAAATAGAAGTAAAATAATAAAAAGTAACATACCTTGACCTTTCCCCTCCTCCTCTTCATTTCCTCCACTTTCCTCTTATCCTCCTCAAACTTCTTCAACAACTCCGTCTGCCTCTCCTTCCTCTTCTCCCGCATCTGGAACCGGTAGAAATCCTGAAGCCCCTTACTCTTCTCCTTATGTTTCTCCATCAACGCTCTCAACTCCTCCTCCCTCGCTACATCGTTTATCTTCGGTCCCCGCGTAACCTTCACAAAACCATCTTCATCCAACACTTCAGCCCCCCTCGCCGCCTCGCGCGAACGAGCTTCCTCAAACCTGCCAAAGATGCTCATGTAATCATTCACGATACGAAGTAGCTCCGCACGTGCGGGATATCGTAGCCTGTTATGTGATTTGTAGCGTTGGATTCCGAGGGCAGGAAAACGGTTGTCCTTCTCGTTGTCTATTCCCTGGCCCCAAACGATTTTGGCGTGGGTTTTTGCAGCCCTTTTCGCAGCCTTGAGGCTGGCTTCCATACTGGGGCGGTCGACGAAGACGACAATCGCGTGCGCGCCGCTAGTATGCAGTTCGCGATCCCATGTTCGCGGGAGCGCCGTTGCGTCTAACTCTACTTGTAGCTCGTCTGTGGTGTCGCGTTTTCGTTTCTTGGGATTGGAGGTTATTGTGATGGTGGTTGAGGGTTTTTCGGAAGCGGTGCCGTGGAATTCAACACGTTCAACTCGGCCAGAGGATAATTGGGCGCCAAACAGATGTCGCAAATGTGTTTCTGTGGTGCTTACTGGAACATTTACAATGAAAATGGAACGGGCGGAGTCTGGGTCAGGAACTCTCGGTTCATGGGGACGGAGGTAGAGGTAGTGTGTTGCGGAGGTTGGGAATGAAGGAACTGGTGGGAGCTCGATGGGTAGAACTGAGTAGCCGGATATGCTCTGTGGAGAGAGTCGTTTGGGCGCCATGGTTGTAGCTCAATATACCTTGGCTACGTTTTCCGATGTTGGTCTGGGATAATTTTTCGTGAATTCAATGAATTTTCAGATAAAGATATTTTACATGAGAAGCAAAAGCTTGGCGCTACGGCTAATCCTTCTTCCCCTTGTAATTTTCAATACAGGTTCCTTGAAAGCTAAAAGACATTACATGGATGGATAGTTAAGACACGAAATCAAACAGCATGTAAGATTGTGGATTTATTTCTACGTCAAGCTGGTTACCGTCTGAAACCTCGAGTTTATATCTTGTCTGGATCATTGATCCCTCCATTCGTGATCACGTAGATGGCCTCACGCTCCGGACAATCTGTGAAAAAACCATAGTGAATAAAACATATCATGACACTTGTTTTTTGATATCTTTGGTCAAATTATTACCTGGAGAATCTTGGATCTTTGCGACTCTTTCATCACCTCGACCTTTCCGAAGCAAGACCCGAGTGGTTGAAGCGTGTGCTAAGATATGCCCTCCAACCGGTTTGCGTCCATCTGCGCCTGCAAAAAGGGCACTCGCGCCAGGATCGCTCTGTACCTGATTTGTCTGTGTTGTGGGATAAGCATGAATACCAAGAAGAGTTAAGCTTTCTCTGTTCTTCGAGGTGCATACCATCAAAACGCAAACGTTAAATTCTGGAGCGCGAATTGTGAGCCAAGACAGTCCATGGAAGATGCAGAGCGATATCGTCATACACACCTTCTGCCATGTGCGCGAGTTTCATTAAGAACTGGTTCAACTTTTGCTGTCGATCCGCTAGTTCCCCACGCCCACAGTAATCGACGCGGAAACAGTTCATTATGCTATCGATGATCAATAGGCGGTACTCACCACCCACAAACTCCTTTGACAATGTGTTCAGAAGTTCCAGCTGGTGCTCGCTGTTCAGTGCTCTAGCATAAGCAATATTCTCCAACGCGGAATCAGGGTCAACACCAAACCGCTCCGCAATTTGTGCGATTCTTTCAGGCCGGAATGTGCCTTCTGTATCGATATAGGCCACTTTCCCTTCCGCACCGCCCATGTCCTTTGGCAGCTGAGCCATGACGGACATCGTGTGCGAAAGCTGTGTTTTACCACAGCGAAACTCGCCATATACCTCGCTGATACTCATGCTCTGAAATCCACTGCACAGAGGCTTGAGTCAATGTCTCTACTCAAGGACCTTCACGCTCGGGATAATGCTAAACACACCCTGCCAAGATAGAGTCGAATTGCTTGCTCCCTGTGGAAATTTTTACAACTCGCTTCCTCTGGTGGCCTAGTTCCATTGCAGTTATGAAACCAGAAGCTGAGGGCTACGTGTATGTCCATGTTAGTCAAAAAAAAAAAAAAAAAAAAAAAATAGATTTCCCTATGCCACCAGTGGCAACCGCTGGACGAGCGAAACAATTTTGGAAGAGAGGTACATACCTGGCATTTCTGAATAGCCTCTTTAATTTTCTCTACCTTGACTTCACTGAAGCCCCTGATTTTCAACAACGTCTTTCTCGTGGCTCCATGAACAGACTAGAATATATCCGATCATCCCCATTTCCATTGCCACGAATGTTAGTCTTTTACTAATTTCAAATACGACTAAGACACGTAAAATGAGAGTAGTGGGACTGCCATCATTAATTAAAAGGTAAGGAAGGAGAATAGTGAATGAGGTTTGGAAACTAATCCCGTACAGCAACAGTATAAAATCCATTTGCTTTCAGTTTCGTAATATCTGCAGCTCCCACCCCTTAACACACGAGGACCACCATAAAATTGCTGTTAGCTGAGCTGTTTTTATCCTTCTGGTATGAAAAATGGCCTGATAACTGAGAAGAGGAGGTAGGAACTAACCATGAGCTTGGATACCGTCGATATCGACGATGAAGACATCCTGTAGAACAATGGATAGATGTAGGGTTAATCGAATGTGGCCTCTTCGATAGTACCTCAACCGCGATGGGAATCAAGGCTCTTTCTCACATCATCAAACTCATCGCTGGCATTCGACGCAGGCATGGCTTTTGCTTGCTACTGAGCTATCTACCGTCGTCCGTAAATGGAGATTTTGGATCGGAGGGAAATATTTAAAGAACTTGCAGATATGGCAACGTACAATGCAGTAAGATTGTGGAAGCAGTCTAGAGCGGCAAAGTGATAAACTGATATCGATAGATGACTGGTGGACATTCTTCAAGATGGGAAGAGAGAGCGAGAAAGGGAGAACTCAAAAGGGGTTGGTCGTGTCGAGGCAGAGCCTCCGCGAGTCACGAGAATTTCCCGATCAGGAGCGGAGGGCGCGTAGAATTCAGCCTCATTCCGCCCGCGAAGGATATTCCGCTGGGACATCTAATGCTCTGTGCAGCGGAGAGATAAGAGAACAAAGCAGTTTGACACAAGTCTGCTCATATGCATGTATATGCATAGGAAAATGAATATATAGAAAGAACCAATTTAATTCATAGTTAGCGAGGCTCCTATGAAAATTTTAATCCGGACGAGCATTTCCTTTCCTTTCTCACCCCTTCCCCGGTTATTCTGTTGACACACAACCGCCAGCAAATTTGACGCCTGGTATAATGTTACAGAAGGAAAATGCCAGCCTTGCTTTTTGGATCCCAGACGAGACAGAAGAAGAGAAGAGAGAAACAAGGTGAGGAAAGTTGGCGTTTTAATAAAATAAAACAAGACCATAAATGTAGAATAAATGACCACGCCATGTTCCATAGAAAGAGGGAAGAGAGGCCCCCCACGCTTATATTTAGGAAGGGTTTTCGGGTTAAAAGGGAGTAAAAATAAAGCAAAGAAAAATAAAAGCGAGGGGGTGGTCCAGTTACCGACAATTTAATATCATAAATCCACGACCCCGTTACAACTTTGGTAGGAACTTGAATACTTAACAAACCCAAATCCTCCTTTTCTCAGTCCACCATTCATTGGCCTTGCCAAAACATATTTTTCGATTCCTTCTCACAGATTTCCCTGCGGAGAGAGGAAAGCCAGATTGAAAGTTGTTCCTTCCCCAACCCTTTTTATTTTAAATGTCCCCCAACCTTGTTAGCCAATTGGCGCCGTTTCATGGGGCTTATTATGTAAATAAAACCAGATGCCGAATTCCGGATCAAAGAAATTCTTTGTGTTTGCGTCGTGAAAACCTTTTCGTTGGCAAATCGTATATATAAAGACCTCACCCCGTAGTCTGGAGAATCTGACATGGGAGACGTAATATGTGCAAAATATTTCAAGGGAAAAAGAAGAAATAATAGGAGTAAGTTTAGCAATAGTGGGCAGAATTCGGCTAGACAGATACAAAGGGAAAGTAAAGAGAAAGAAAAATAGAGAAGTGGTGAGTTCCATCACATGAGTCTGATCGATTGAAGGGTGAGATGGGATGTATAGGGAAATGATGTCTAGGGAAATTGATTTTAAGCCACTGCGGTTGTGGGTGCTGAAGCAGCGGGGGCAACACTATCCGCAGCAGCAACTTCAGTAGTAGGTTCCGCAGCACTAGGAGCAACGGTTTCGTTGGTATTGGTAGGGCAATCGCGAGAGATATGGCCAGCCAAAGAGCATTTGTAGCAAACTTTCCCTGCGGAGCTCAGCGGCCCACCGTTCGGAGCCGGGCAATCACGAGAGATATGGCCCTGTATGTTGTTAGATAACGATAAACACATTGCCTTTATTTCACTTGGACATTTGTTAAAGTCCCTTTGGAGGGGAATTACTAACCAATTTTCCACAAGCATAGCATTTCATAGCTTGGGCCTGACAATCCCGTGCAAAGTGGTTCGGGCCGCCGCATTTGTAGCACATCGCGGTTCTGGAATACCCCGCGAATCCTCCACGGAAGGCAGAGTTGAAACCGCCACGGATAACTGGAGCGCCTCTCCCGGCACCATGCATACCGGCAGATGGGCAGGTCCGCTATATCTTAGTCAGCAAAACAGGCTTCATGCTGACAGGGAAGGGGAATGCCGAAGAAGAAACAGAGAAACCCTTACAGCCAAGTGGCCGGGCAGATGGCAAATGTAGCAGCGGCCGCCCGTGGTACCTCCGCTGATGCGCAGAGTAGGGCAGTCAGCTTGCACATGTCCTAGACCCTGGCAATGATAGCATTGTTTCGCTGCGGGACGGAAAGTGTTATTATGCTTCTGCACTATCGAAAACTAGGGCAAAGGGCCAGGCCCTCCTTACTTTCTGTTGTGCGAGGACGCGGGCAACCATTCGACTCATGTCCTAAACCGATCATTTAGTTATATGAAACCAATTTCGATATCGTCTCCGTCATTCACAAATTGGATCTTACCCGGTTGTTTGCCTACAAGAAATCGATTAGTCTTGTATTCTAGGAAGAGAAAATGCCTCCGGAGGAGTGGTAGGATAAAGGACAGGATGAAGGGGGAGATCTTACAGTTATAGCAAAGGCGTTCCGCAGACGAGCAGACCTCTATATTTTAGGATGAGCATAAGTTCTCAACTTACGGCAGAATCTGGGTTTTCCGGTTATTTCTCAACTAACCCGCATAATGGCCAATGTTGCCACATTTGTAGCATGCGCGGCGCGATGACAACATCTTGGCAGGATCTCTGGCTGTCGTTTAAATTGTTAGCCCGAAAACGTTTTAATCGGGTATGGCTGCAGCTTTAAGCAAATTGTATCGCAAGGCTGGGGAAAGGGTAGCAGGTTGCATGTTCTCGGGTCGTATTGATAAGCTGCCTATCTGTCCAACAAGAAGGCGAAACGAGATCGACGGAACACTAACTGGCAAGATTGAAAAGAAAAGGTGCACCTTTATGCGCACACAACAGCTCTTCGCGACAAGAGGGACTCACAATTCAGAAAAATCTGTCCCTTGACAAAAAAAAGAAAGAAAAACGAAAACGAAAAAACGTCACTCAAGGCTCCGGTCCAGCGTTCTTGATAGCCTGTCTTGTTAGCCTGGAGAACTACAGTGGCATTCGTGCTTCCCTAGGTACTATGAATGCCAGGGAGCGTTCTCGAATAAATCCCCAAGATCAGGGTCGGCTTTTGCACAAAATAAGGGATGATAAAAGGGGGAGGAACTTACTGACAACTCGGCACGCCAATCTAAAGCCCTCACTTCTTCTCTCCGGTCCCACCAGGCCACAGAAAAATTCCTTCCAGGGTGTAAAGAGACACAACTGTTGTCAATATGTGGTTGCAAGCTCGAGACAAGAAGTTGTCGGGCTGGGGAAAGCAGAAATGAGAAAATCTTTTGGAAGCTTGCCGACCAAGCCGAAACGGGATTAGCGCTGATTCCTTCCCAAGGCTCTGGGAATCGGATAACAAAAAACCTGCTAAACTGATATTTCTGTTTGTAAAAGTGAGCAGGAGAAGGTAGTTCCAAATTCGGGGGCTACTTCTTGAGAGTGGATCATCACCCAGTTTTGAATGGACTCATACTATGGAGCACATATTCTACACATATTACTAATACGCCGGTTAGGATTAATTAGGGATAGGGTTTAACCCGAGAATCAGAAAGGATTGAGACAACACTGTCACGTATATGACCATGTCTCCAGCACTGTTCTAACTAACGTTCAGCTGTATGCTGGTACATGACTATTTTACTTGGAAAATATTTCGTTGAATTGCCGCGATGTTAAATATTAGTAGAAAGAATATAGGTGTTTTCCCCTTCGTGCAGTAGTCAAATAATGCTGGATGTCTAACAAATACCCTCCCCAATCGTCCGATTAATGCCGGACTTGTGGAAATACGCTGTTTTACCTGGTGGTATCGTAATGAGTGTTGTTACCGAAATCGATTTTGATGTTTGATTCAAGCGCCTGCAGTCTCGCGTTCAATTACCGCTGGTGCTTTGATAGTTCTACCTTTCAGGAAGTCCAGTCCCTCTCCAGCCTACATGAATTAGTTTTATGGTCAGTGTTTGTTTAGGGCCGGCCGTGTAATAGAAGAAACAAAGTGGAGGGCGTCTTCTTACGTAGCTTATCAGAGGAGAAACTTCAACGCCAGACGTTTCATCCGATTCAGCCTCGACAACGCCGCCTGCAGCTCGAATCCACCGCGCACCCTGGCGCATGATATCCCTCTTGCTGGTATCGGGGTCATCCTCCCCTTTGCCCCGAGCGTTTTTCAATGGCGAAAATTCATCTTCCCGCTTAACTTCAATGGATGCAAATTTGTCAAGGGGTAGTAATGGAAATACGTCGAAAACAAACTGTTCTAATTTGATCCCATTGGGTCTCTCGGGTTTAATGACATCCCCTGTCTTAGTATCGATGCAAGGGATTTTCTTGCGAGCAACATGGTGTGGCAAGTTGGGTGCCCAGACTTCGATGGATTCGAGGAAATGGAATGAGTAGTAATGGTTCACAATATTCGCTGCACGGAACTTGAGGACATCAGGGTGTTTCGGATCCTGGGCTTCAGCAGTTTCCTTGTCTATTTCGGAGTATTCCACAACATCTGGCTTTCCATTTCTCAACAGGATCAGGCCGACAGACTCGGTAGCATTCCGCTTGCGTACGACTTTAGTAGCGATGTCAACTCCCTTGGATGCCGCAAAACCGAGGAAGATAGGGTCGGCAACCTTCACAAGGCAATTGTCGACGCAGTAAGCATGGATATGCTCGATGCCTCTATTCTTCATGTCTGTTCGGATGCCCCACGTTAAAAGCGCTTGGTATATGCCACCATTACCGTCAGGTGCCACGGCGACCTATTTTGCATCATGCATGTTAGTTAGGATAAGAAAATAACAATAACACGATGGGAAGCACGGGGGAAGGCACGGGAAGCGTAGGAAGACGGCTGGTAGAATCCCCCCAAAAAAAGGAAACATGATATATATACCTTTGACTTGCTTTCCATTAATATTTTGCCTTCGTTAGATATGCAGGGTAGCACGCCTTGCTCAAAGATTATAACGTTTTTCTTATCCAGGCCAAAGAAGTTATGCTCCTCAAAGAACGACTGGGTTGGCTGTCGAGTTGGCCCACTGGTCATTACATACCACGGAATAACCACGTTATCTTTACCAGATGACTCCCGGGCCAATTTTTGCAGCTTTATAATTCTCTCCGCCTGTATCTGGAAAAGCGACTTTTTGCTTGGCAGCCCAATATCAAAGCAACCCTTTGGAGCAGCGCTGCCTAACCGAGTTCCCTGGCCGCCAGCCATCAGCACAACGGCTACCTTGTTGGCGGCAATCAATTGTAACCCGGATGCGTAGAATCGCGGTAGACAATCGGTATCTGAATCGATCATGGATGCCGTCGAAGATTCTGGTAGAGGTTCGAGGGTGGCTTTTTTACCGTCCTGTGAGGCGGCAGCAGGGTTGAGTGCTTTGTTGGCAAGCTCGTTGATGCGGTTTGGATCGAACTTGGAAAGCTGCTGGAAGAGTTGGGCTTTTTCGGTAGATTTCAGCTCATCGAAGAAGGCAAACACTTGCTCCTGTCCTGCATTTTCGTATTTTTGTTTCAGGGCATTGACCTCATCCCGCGTTGGCTCGCGGGGTAGAGCTGGGTCTTCCTTTCCACCAAGGTGGAGGTGGTCGTTGATATTTGACATGGGCATGGACATTGTAGCAAATTACAAATTAGCAGGTAATACGGGAGAAGGTAGAATGGTTCGGGTGCTGGTTAATTGATGGTTTTATCTTCAAAAAAACAAGCAAAAAAGGGAATGGAGTTGAAGTTATATAAATAAAGCCAACAAAGAGTTCGATGGCACAAACGCGAAGCCTTAGCTGAAACCCCACCAAACAAATATGTATTTTTGGCGTGTGATGTCAGCGGGAACTGGGGTTCATGAACTTCAGGTGCTTCAGCCAAATCCAACAAGCATTCACTCCCCTGTTAGGGTCATTGCCAGGGGGAGAGACAAAAATGAAAATTATTCGATAGTGCCAGAGGCTGAGCAGCGCGCTTTTAAGACATGGTGGGCGCAAGCCAGCCCAACCCTGGCCTGATCCTGCTGGCTTGGCTGCTTGGGTGGCTCAATCACAGTGGCGCAACGAACACGATCCAGCTCAAAACTCAGGAACTTTCAGAGCGAACATTTCCCGTTTTAACTTTTCTACGGAGACAAATTTTTAAATGACAAGGAGAATATATTGCACATCGGGCATTGAATTTACAGGAGATGGCTATTTGTCACCGCGGACGCCCTTCGCTTTCCCGCTTGTATCTCCAGGAGTCCTTGCTCTGTCGGTACCGTCCAACACCATCATCTTCATACCGGCGACGCGATGGAGACCTGCTCCGATGTCTATGTCGTCTGGCTGGGCTTCGACTCCGAGAACGCCTGTAAGATTCAATATCCCCCCTCCTGCGCATATCCTCTTTATCGAATACCATTCCATAACCATCTCGTCCTGGCGCCTCGGAAGCTCTGTATTGACGCCGCTTCTCTAAGCCGGATATTCCCCCAAACCCACCCTGTTGACTGGCTCTCTTGGAATTTGTGGCATTTCGCCAACTATCTGATAATTTCGAAACCTAGGTGGAAAATCAACAAGCTGGCATACAAAGTACGTTGTAGCATGGTAGCAGGCGAACTCACACTTTGAGAGAAGTCGACATGGATTCGATGGTCATCAATCAAAACACCTTGCATTTTAAAATAAGCTTGTTCACAGTCCTTTTGGTTCTCAAATTCGATAAATGCATACTGCAGACTGTCGCCTGTCCGCTTATCCCTTATCACCTCACAGGAGAGGATCGGTCCAAATCGACTAAAAATGAGATGAAGATCCTCATCTATTGCGGTTAGTTTGGTCTGGCGGCTCACTACAAGAGCGTAAAGAAAAAATGTGACCACGTACCTTGAGTTACAGGATTTAGTTTGCATACGAAGAGCACGTTCTCTGGTGGCTTAACCTCAGCAAACGGCAAATCCCCAACCATTTCTAAGGTTAACGCCTGCGCCCGAGCCTCGCGTTCCCGCCGTAGCTTTTCCACCGCCTCCTCATCAATGTTTTCGTCCAACTCTTCATCGTCTGCAATCATTACCGTCGCCAGTTGCGCCTTCGAAGGGAGCGGGCTCTCTGTGGGTACCACAAGACCTGGAGGGTCATCAAATGGGTCGTCTAAGATCACCGTATGCCGAATTCGGATATCTTTAAGTGGACGCCCCTTATCATCAATGAACGCATCATTAATCTTCTCCAAGACATCGAATCCCTCTACCACCTTCCCAAATATAGCAGCTTTCCCATCGAGATAGTCCAGATTATCTCCAAGAGTTATGATGAACTGACTGGCGGCAAGGCGCTCGTCAGGATCTTTTGTGGAAGGGACCGTAGCCATGCTAACCGTGCCACGTTCTGCATGCTTCATCTTGGGCGGCAACTCGATTAGAAATGTTCTTCGCGAAGGCCCATTGAGGAGGCCCCAGATAGAAGACCCTCCATCGCTATCTTTGGAGTCAGGGCCAATAGGGTCGCCAGTTTGGAAGGAGAAATTCTTCTGGACGTTGTATACCGGTGAAAAATTGTAATACTTGACCTTGCATAACTTCAAAAAACTGGATCGCAATGGTTTGGAAATCTTAGTTTTCCCCTTCAGCCACTTCACCTTTGTACAACATGGGAGACGTAAAATACCAAGGACAGGGTTATAGGCAGGGCTTCCCACTTACTTCTCACAAGCTTTGGGGGAAGAATCGATCAAAAGATCTATAACGATATCACCCAAGGAAGTCTCCAAGATGACGCTCATGGTCGCGAAGATATCGAGCCAGGGTAAGAGTGAGGCAACTGATTACTTCAGTCATGGGGTGTGTTAATTGTGAAATTGGGTGGGGGAAGGACGTGAGTCATATCGCTATATAGTTCGCGGTGCAAAAGCTTGCTTCAAGGCGTGGTTGTTTCCGGGGTTCGCGGGATTCGCGATGTTTTCGTGTGAGGAGGTGAGGAAGTGAGGCTCAAGCAGAGCTTGGAGATATCCCGGAATGACGACGGTGCGGGTTTGGCCGCTTTGGGTTAGGCCAATCAGACTGGGGCTGCACTGTTTTTGCCGTGTCGAGTTGCACGCGATGACCTATCCCCGATTTCCCATCTTCTGTATTTTATATTCTCCTTGCAAGATATGTTACAACACGGAACAATATGGTATTCTATGATGTTTTATGATGATCTGTGTTTACATATATGATCGGTTATCTGCTCAGCTATCTATTAACCCTTTAGCAAATGCCTTTCTTCCGGGTTATCCCGATGAGGGTTCTCAAACAATTTTGTAAGCATACTATGGGGCTCCCACGTTTCATTTATACCTGACGAGTTCATTTAAGACGGTGTATATCTATGAATTCGAGAGTTGTTTGTTGTCCTGCCCTCTCGCGGAATACCGTTCCGACTCCAATGCTGATGGCCCTCCCAATTCCAATTGCAGCGGCGCGAGATGTCAACGGTTCGTCACATACTTTTGATTGACAGAGGGTCAATGCAAGTCAAACTGTTTTTTAAAAAGGAAAAAGCCGAAAAGAAGAAAATGTCCCTCGTGTTCAATCAAGGGCCTTACCTCAGTACAGTCCTGGTTCGCCTCAATAAATATTCAGCTTTCAACCGTTTCACCGACCGTTGAAACCCTGTTTACTCGCATGAGATTTTCTAATATGTTTAACCCCAACCATTTCATCTTGTATGTTTTGCGATTGCTGCGTGCACGTGGAGGGCGGGCCGGGCAATCTATGGGGCCTAATGACAGCAATGCTGTTTGATGGGTCTTACCATCAGTCCATTCAAGCCTCATGCATGAGGCTGTAATATACATTAACCTTCCAGGGGAGCTTCCCGCTTCCCGGGACCCAGCAGGACCCCAACCTGTTGATTTCAATACTTCCTCATCGTTTACATTAGCTAATCTACAGGGTTTTCTTTTTGTCCATGTGGACACGAACATTTTCGAAACGGTGTATACGAAGAATTTAGCATGAGAACCATTTTCTGACTGGCATGGCAAAGCATAACTTGATTCTCCTTGGTGAAACATAAATCTTCAGCAGGACTCCGCGCTTATTTGTCCCAGCTGTGCTGTGGTTTCACATCGCTTATAAATGGCACATACATATAAGTGGAATATATCTTACATACTCTGTTTCTTCATAAAAGCCCTGGGAACTGAAAACAATATTTAGCCGTCCTGGTAGCGTCCTGTGCGTTCCTTTTCCTGGAAGCCGTTGAATTCCTCCAATCACGGTAGAACACACAATGATACATATCATCAACCAAACCAAACCGATCTGAAGAAGACACAATCTAGAACCCGTCATTTTTACTTCTCCTCACAGGCCCCTTTCTTGGAATATATTATTTTCAGGTTACTGCAGTGATTTAAATTATATCACCTGGAGCGGAATGCTAGCATATCATTCCAATCTGATGTTTGAATGAGCGTTTTGCCGCGGTCATCGCCAAGATCCTCACACGGGAGCAGTATTGGTGTTGTAGTGCCTTAGGTCTCATCATCTCTTGCTGGTACATATTACACCTATTTGCACTGGAGCTTTTACTGAGCATCACGACAGCGATTCATGTGGTAAATGCCGTTTTACGAGTGACAGCGGCGGATGTTTGCTCTGTGCTTTGATCAGCAAGGAGCAAACAACTCAATCAGCATCTGCATTTTTGCACTGGCAAACGCTTTTCGCTTTCGGCTACTTGCTCGAATCAAAGTCACCTCTGCACCCGTCTCGCCTGTTTAAACCTATTTTATGTTTTTTTCTTATCTATTATTCTTTGTTTGTTTCTCCGTCTGTGTACACGGCCAATTCTGTTCTGAATAGAATATAATTTTTGCTTTCTGAATATTTTTCTTCGTCCAATTTTGGATGGACTATTTATCCTCTTTTCTACTACACTCGATTTCCCAATGGTCACGCTGCATTTTACGGTATCACTTCATCACCCACCATGAGGATGGCGTCCAGCGTGTGAAATACAATTGGGACACTTTTTCCGTGGCACTGGGCACTCAAGCCTAACAACCCTGTTATTCAAATAAGCTGCACGACTTTCTTCAGCTACGAACCCTGCGTCCAGGAAGCAGAACGTATCGGGTTGATACATGGGAACACCGTGGAACTTATTAGAGAATATGTACCATCAAACTAACTTGCTAATAATAAACTGGACATAATGGGTAACCCCGGCAAAACTATGGTCAGGTTTATCGCCTCCAGAGTCCTGCATATGCCTTTGAAGTAAGGGATGGAAACTACCAGAGAAAAATTTGGCAGATATACCTGCACAACATCTTTAAAACCTACACCATGCCCTGATACGTTGCCCAACTTGCTTTATTCCCAGCTATGGCTAGGATATATTAAGGATACCCAATATTACTCTTCCCTTTCAAAATTGTTTCTTGCTCGCCTTCCCGAAGCTTGTCGATTGTTACACGCAGGGTGAGCTAGGGACATATAGGAGCGGCCATATCTTCTGATCTTTGCTTGCTTGCAACAAAAGCGGACAGAATATATTATGCCTCCAGCTTACTACGAAACCCAGGAAGACTTGCAATTCTGTCGGAATTCTGCACGGGGAATGAGCTACCCAGTTTCCCAGCCACTGCGAGGAGATGCTCAACAACCCGCGGGTGGATATAGTAATCGAATATGCTCGACAACAGAACCAGAGATGAAGAGCAGCGGTACATCTGCTCGCCGGCGTATTCCGGTTGCTGTAGGTCCATTGATGCAGCTAAAATACCCATCCCTCTATTTATCGGTTCGTTGCTTATCATTTTTATTGAAGTGCGGCCGATGTCGACGAAGAAAGATCAAATGTAGTGGGGACATTGGCAATGGCCAATGTACTAACTGTCGGAACGCAGGAACGCAGGGTTGCCAATTTTTGCGGGTTTGTTGACATACCCTATTTAATAACAGCCGTGTATACAATGATCGCAGTTGTTGCTAACGAAACACAGGTCAATTCGTTCAATACTCAGACCAAATCACATTACGGTTGCTCCTGGCCATATCCGGGTGCCGGGCCCCTGGGTGGCCCCTTTGTAAGCAACACAGGATATGAGGCACAGGTTAGCAGCAGAACCAACTCAATCTCAATCCATTCGATGGCTCCCACATTCCCGCAATATTCAAAGTCTCAATGTGCTTATGATCAAGCAACCCAGTTTGCTCCAATTTCGAGGAGCCCGTATATCTCTGTCAACTACGAAGGCGATTCCTCCCCGTACAGCGTATCATCTCCACCATACATTCTTCCTAACACCGATTCCTCAGGAAGCTCCAGTTACTATTCATTCACAGGAAGCCCTCGGACCTCTCCAGTTGGCAAAACCCCAAATGAAGATATTTACCATGACCAAGATGGCCATCCCACCCTTGGGTCAAATTACAACTACATGACGCAAACGCAACCTCCCGCATCCGTATCAACCGAACTTCGTTCCGCACATGGCCTTCTCAGCGCAATGTCATCATCGTCATCAGGGTCTGACAGGATATTGCCAAACCCTGCAGCGAGTCGAAATGGCCGTGATAACGGGAGTACAATGAACGCTCATTCGCCAGAGACTTCGCTTCCTTCCTATGGAACTAGCCCAGGGTTGAATGCCAGATCCTCAAGCCATTCGCCATTGGAGGGTTTGTCGTCAAGCAGTCAGCAGAACACGATGAGGACAACGACGACGCCATCTACCATGGCCAACAGTGCAAATTCGCCAAGTACTAGCAAGCCCTTGATAGGACCCACTGATATGGGATTCGGGTACGTCCTATCCAGCAATCCCCCAGCCACAACAATGCCTTCAACAACATTCTCGGGAACGGAGTCAGTGGCGGGTTTCAGCCCTCCTACAGAGAATACGCTGAGCGGTCCATCCCACCGGGGCGATGAGCTCCGACAGCGAACCAGCTGCGGAGCGCAGTCCTATGGCCATAGCACTATGTTGTCTGCACACAGCTCATCAGGTACTTTGTCAAATGGAAAAGTGTACACCCGTCTTCCTCCTTTCAAGCCGTCGGCATCAAGGTGCTCAGAGCCCACAGTGAGCCCGACGTCTAATCTTCCAGTTCACAAAACAGATAACTTTTAGGGATAGCTCGATTCACAATTTTTTAACCTTTAATTTTTCAGGTTTTTTTTTTGGTCTTAGCGGCCCCGAGTTCATATATCTCAACGGTAGTTAACGAGTCTCCTTGGAATCTCGTTTCCCGCTTGTGTGCGTGTGCCGAATATCAGTTTAATACGGGAATGGTTGGAAAAGGTGCAATACTTTCTTGTTATTATTCCTGCACGGATCTCCTATGTCTAGAAATGTGAGATATTGTCTCTCTTATGTCAAAGACACGGTTGGATTTGATTCGTTTGCTGCGCAATTACATGCACAAAATCGTGTACTCCTTTCCTTTACTCGCAGATAGAAAGCGTGTTTTATGGAAGCGTTGGGCTATTTTTCGTTTTCTCTTGTGCAGTCGGCAAACTCCAAGTTGCCGGTTTAAATGGACGCATTTTGGCTTACACACAAACCGTCCCTACCGTGTATTAGACCACATCTGTTCTTTCCTAGTTGTTTGTTACATCTCTAAACATACCCAATGGCTGGTACCGATTTTTCGGGTATCAAAAGATATTTGAGACAATATATGGCGTGCGGTGATTGGAGTACTTGGTGGAGTGCCTTTTCATTACTTCGTTAGTGTGGAACGAAGTTGGCCTGTTGTCCCCTTGTTGCTGGTTGGGGATCTGCCCGTCATTATCGCCACTAAATTTTGATAGATTATCGTATAAATGAGAAAAAGGGTTGTCCATGTACCGTCTGCAAAATTGTAGTGGAGTGAGGCAATAAATATGAGTGAAAAGGCGTTATTTCACGAAATGGCTTGATTTTCGGCTAAAGTACATCATTGATGTAGGTAGATAAAGAAAAAAATTTCATCCAGCGCATTTTGGGGTCCTTAAATCAAAAATCCCATGTCGTGATATCTCCGCCGAGCACCGTAAAAACCAAATAAGCAAAGAAACACGGATTCCTCCTCTATTTACCCTTCTTGTCCTTCTTTGGTCCCTTGGTCTTTTCTGTGCCCCGGAACTTCTTTGACCGGTTTTTCCTTTGTTTGCCTGTATATCAAGTAGATCCACTTGTCAGTGAAATCCCAACTTATATTATCCAAATACGGAGGATTGGGATATGCCAAAAACATACGTTGCTGCCTGCTGGCTTTCTCAATCTTCTCCGCAGCTCCGATGCGGACGAGGCGGTAACGGGGTTCAAATTTCTTCAGGGCTTCGGTCGAGTCGTAGATGAGAGCGAAACCGGTGGTTTTACCACCACCATAGTGCGTGCGGAGACCGAATACGGAGACTTGGTCCTTTTTGGACTTGTAAAGTTCTGAGAGTTTCCCACGGAGCTCATCCTTGGAGATGTTGGCACGGTTGGGGTGGAGGATGTCACTGATGTGTGCGATAATGAAAATCCCCGTTAGGAAACCATTGTATCATCTTAAAACCCGAAAATAAAAAAATCAAGCGCGCATTTCCATCTGCAAAATTGCGATCGTGATCCCCCAAGGCGTCTATTCGGAATTCGCACAAAAATGAAAAGAGCAACTTACACAACCATCTGCTTTCTACCCAAAAGCGGGTTCCGGATGAACTTGCGCGTCCGCAGAGTCACCGCAGGTTCAGCCATGGTTGCAGAATTTCAAGAAGGGAGCCACCGGCAGTTCGAAAAGTCTGCTTCGACGAAGGGGGAGATTGTCGGCTGCTGGGGTTTGTCAGTTGTCGCTGTCGTCAAAGAAGTTGAGCGTTTCGATGTATTTTTGATTTTGCCAGATGTGGGTTCTCGGCTAGGGCCATTCACCCACGCACTAGTCCCGATACGGCAGTTTCCATGAGGTCAGATTTCTCTGTTAGGCCTATTGAGATTTGTTTCCAGACCTCACCAACACTGATAGTTACGCAGCGCGCAATAATTATCATAATGATGCAGCCTCTCATTGAAAGCCAAGTGGATTTACTCGTGTCTCAGTATCTCCAGCTGCTTGAACCACAATACCTCTGTTTCCCGCCAAATAATGCTCTTCTCAGACCCGCTGTTCAGCAGCTGATCTACCAGAGAATGTTCGATGAAACACTGGTTTGGCCTATCCCTCCACCAGGCTATCGTATCCGGGTCCTAAAAATGCTTATATCTAAACTGGAGAAGTCAATTTCTAACACTGACGAGGATGTATGACTCCTTTCATTCTCGTTTTCGCTACCGCAAATCAGGGGCTTACCACCACCATGATTTGTCACATTTCTCTTTGTCATTTCCCCTGACGATATCTCAATCTCCCAGGAGGTCTTAGATGATCTCATGAGGAGCTATAGTGATCTCATCAGTTGCCCACGATTGCCCCCTTTTGAAGAAGCGCAGAAGTTGTCTTACATTCGCTACACAGCCCCCAAAGCTTCATGCGGACGCCGTAATGATCAATTCGTCATAACGTTAGAAAACCGCAATCTCATACTTGCTTCGAGAACTACCGGATTCCGCACATGGGAAGCGGCCTTGCATCTTGGCACTTACCTTACAACCCCGGAAGGCAGGTCGCTAATTGAAGAGAAGAATGTCGTTGAGCTCGGGAGTGGTACGGGGCTTCTTTCCATGTATTGTTTGAAATGTCTTGGTGCCCGGAGAGTGACGGCTACGGACAGAGACCCTGCATTGATATCTAGCATCAAGGACTGTGCAATCCGGAACGATCTTTCTCGCAGTAGAATCGATGCAGAGATATGGGAATGGGGAACTCCATTACAACCTAACCAGCCTCCCTCGTCAAAAGAACCGTACCAATCATTTGATGTTGCACTTGGAGCTGATCTGGTATGCATGCGACACTCTCAAGTCATTTTCCCAATATCGTCGTTAGTGGCTGATGAAGATGGCGACGCATTTGCGTTGTGACTTCTATAAATGCGCAGATATATGACATGGACCTTGTACCCCTTTTATTATCAACGTTACGAGAATTATTTGACAAGCACGGAATCAAAGTGTTCATTATATCTGCCACACTTCGAAACCCGGAAACGTTTAATGATTTTCTTAAAAAATGCGGTGCGCGATAAATTTCCCTACATCTAAATCGTCATTTCATGTCCTCTTCGTGAAACGTTGCCAGTGTGCTGACGGCCTTCTCTTGGCCAGAATGGAGCGGTTTAAACTCTCATCGGGTAGATTTTGAATCTCCACCCTTAGGATCCCAGGATGGATTTTTCCACAAAACTGACGTTCCCATCCGGACGTACAGGATCTCAGCCCCCTTACTTCCTTGAGAATGTTCCATACTTTATGAAGTCTTCTGTCCGATTATAGTTTGCGTTTGATATACCTAGATTTACCCCTGCTCTATGTCCATAGATCAAATAAGTTTCTGTGGACATGACAGTGGATTAATCCTTGGTCGTACCATCTATTCTCCCTTTTCGTATTCCTATTTTCTCTCGGAGAAGAAATATTAGACTATGTCTCGCGGGGGCATTTCGCAAAAACGACGGAGCTACTTATATCCGTATCTCGTGTCGGAGGTTACTAGAAGCGGAAGCAATAGAAGCAGACAAGAATATTTTAGAATCACAAATCAAAGAAACACAATTTCCCTCTCTCCCGCCTGCCGGAAAGGCACGAAAACCATCTTTTACCTATGTCCTTCAGCTAAAGGACAATGGAGACAGGCATGCATGCGTACAACTTAATATGCAAAACATACCTGCATATCCACCCGCCCGCAAGCCCTACCTCATGCAGCCAAACAATCCCATTATATTCGTCAGTGCCAGCCTCATATCGCGTCGTGCTTTCAACTCCTTTCTTGTTTTTTTCATCCCTCCAGAGCCCATCATATTCGAAACATGTTGCCCCAGCAAGAACACACATTATACATATGTACGCATGTATGTATTGTACTATACATACATGCATTGACAACTAATCCTCATAGAATAGAATGCAATTTGGACTTTTCCATTTCCTCCATTGTCTCTATTTGTATTTGTACACAGTACCCTTCCTAGCAGTGCTGGTGTGCGTCGTAACTGTGTGCAGAGCATGGACTACGCCGTATCATCTGCCCTTTTCGACAGTTGGGATGAATGGGTAGGCTAGAGGTATAGATATATTGGAAAGCGGGCACGAATCAGGTAGATGAATCTACCACAGGTATATGTGCATCTCTATATGCATGTTTCAATAGAAACTCTCCACAAGCGTATCTATAGAAAAATGAGAAACGCTTACAGAAATGTGCGATGCAATTTAGTGAAACAACTGTTTCTTTTAACGCCGCCATTCCTGCTGAAGGCCAAGTCGACAAATGAATCCATTTCCCAAAACTAGTTCACCTGAAACCTATTCAAATTTTAAACAAAATAGTGATCGTAAGGATTCTCCTTACCTCAATCCAACCTCCGAGGCACATGAATGATGTAGCCTCCGCACACAGCATCATATTAACTAACTCCAACAGCAAATTCGTCATCTAAACTGCCTATATACAATGCACAGCATTGCATAGCCAACCCCTTGTGTCCGCCTTTCGGCCCGAACCTAGCCATGTATCTATGCGTATGTAGGTACCCTTGTCACTATTGATTTGAGTGGCTGGAGCTTTAGCCAAAACCCATTGCCGTTGTGGACGGTACATGTATCACGAAACCGTATGTTTTTATTTCTTTTCCGCTAGAATATTCATTTATGAGGGGAATGAGGTTTAGGTGAACTGCATCTAAATTATCTAGCCGCTGAGGGAGGGCCATTTTTACAGTCTGGGGAGAAAAGTACATTGGCAGAGGACTGCCTGAGGAAGTACAGTACGCAGTACACGCATGTAGATACAGTCTGCCAAACTAACCTTCCCGAGCTCTCATACATACATACATAGCTATATTATACACCGTTATATCTTCTATGTTACACGCATGGATATAAGATAGCTCTCAATTTGGACAGTTAGGGTTTGAATGGCTGACGACGCATGCATATCAGTTGTTAGTTGTGTGGACATGCATACGCAGGGAATAGAGCACATACAGATTGATCTGTGTAACAGTTGACAGACAACAAATAACAACCCCAGTTCTCTCCCATTATGTCATTTTAAGAATCAAGGTTTTACAAGGATGGAAAATAGAGGCTCCTATCAATAGCATAACTAGTAATCTCTGTTTGTGAATAGCACAAAGTCTGGTTGTAAGGGAAAGGACTGATATATTCTATGTATACAATTTCGAGAGGGGGGGGAGGAAGGAAATAAAATGTAATAGCTCATATGAAAATGTAATTGTGTAATATATTATATGCATGGGGATGATATTATGGGTTGCGCCATGTTATATATTAGAAAAATAGACAAAACAAGGGAGAATGAATATGAAATAACGGAGCTAGTGTCTCCAGTGCATAGGAAGCTGCCGTTGATTAAAACCAAAGAATCTGTCCGAGAGGAAGAAAATCGAAATTGGAGAATAAAAAAACATTGCCCAGACACTATAGTCAACTTGAAAGAGAGCAAGAAATACATTAGATTCAATGTTCGTTAATACATAGGAAAATCTCTAATATATAGGGAGCGTGTTACTGTAGCTCGTGCGATGGAAAAGAGTGGAACGAAACAGCTGTGTATCAGATGAAGCTTTATATAAAGAATTGAATGAAAAGATATATCAGAAGAAAGGATAACGAAAGAAACATACATATTGGGTATCAAATGCAAGTATGGGAAACGATCAGAAATGACCAAGGACGTGGCAAAGGAATGTAGGTGATAGTTGGGCATCCAAAGTTAAGGTTACTCGAGTAAGGTTGCCTGCAGTAGCTCCTCATCAATTTCCTGGGGCTGTATAGCCGTAGGCGCCTTTGCGGGAGGACGGAGCCCCGGGATAGGACCCTTTTGGTTCACCCCGGTTGGTCTGGCCATGGTCGTTGACGCAGTCGTTGAAGAAAAGCCAAATGAAGCGGATACAGAAGTGGATACAGATGACACAGCGGAGATGGATGGCGGCCTTGGTGGACGAGAAGAGGATGCCAACGACGAACGACGCGAGGATCTGGGTGAATGCGAGTCTGCAGTTGATGCTATTGGAGTCATCCCCCATCTGCCAAAAACCCACCCACCAATCTTCTTGCTGAAACTGGTTGCCTGACGAGATGCGAAGATATCATCTGGATGGTGAATAGGAGAGGTGTTGTTCGGCAGGGAGCCTGTTGGGGTTGCGTTTGGGTCTGCCGCAGCTGCAGCGGCGACCAAGGACAGTAGGGAGCGTGAGTCGGAGCCTTTGTCCCCATTGCTAAGGGATACAGTAGGGACGATGATGTTCGTTCGTGAAATGATGGGAGGAGTGAAGGATACATCCGTCCCAGCGGATGTGATACGGCTGGGTGTTCTGATAGGAAATGCTGCATAAGGGCTGAGCATTTGTGATGGCCGGGAGCGAAGCGTATGGATATCCATCCCTGAAATGGAGAGGAGACTGTCATGAGAGGACGCACGTTTTATTGTGCGATACTGTAATTGTGGCGAGAGTTCAGGCTCAGGTTCATGTTCATGTTCGGGTTCAGCTGGGCAAGTTGATAGTTGGGATTGGGTTGCATCTTCATTGGTGACTTCTTGAGCCGAAGCTTCTGACTCTTCCAGGATAGGAGCTTCGAAATAAGGTGAACTCTCATCTGCAGAGAAATTACCACCTAGCCCTTGAACTTTGTCACCTGGAGGAGCTACAGACATATCTTGTACCTCAGGTGGGCCAGATATCGATCGGAAGGGCACATCGAAGGATCCTTTGCGATGATTGTATGGCCTAACGGATGGGGATGCAAACCCAATGCTCTCCGGGCTGGTAGGGCGAGAGGACTCAAAGCCATGGTCTACGCGATCGAAAATTGACGAGGTTCTATACGCAGACTGCGGAGAGCTCGGCATTGACGACGACATTGATCCTGCTACTGCGTAAGCGAAGGGTGGGGTCGACCAATTGCGGTTGTTCGAGGATGGAGGAATGGAGACTGAAGTTTGGGAGAGAATGGTCGACGTGGAGGAATTGGAAGCGTGTGGACGAGGTGATACTGGTGACATCCGCGAGGAAAAGCGAGACGGGGACTCGAGAAGCGGAGATGATATCATGGGTCTCTTTCTCCTCTGACGGCGATGGATAGGGAGCTGTACCTTTTCCTTTCGCTGGGAAACAGTAGGTACAGGCCAGTGGTAATGGTGATGGACGTGGAACTCCTGGGAGGCCACTGGCGAGTACTTAGCATCCAGTTCGACACTAAGCGGGAGTCCCCTCTGTCGGGGCTGTCGTTCATTCGGCTCCGGGGTTAGTGGTTGATGGAGGAGGACTTGTTCCCGCAGGTTCTGCACCTCCTCATTTGAGTTCTGAAGCATTTCCCTGAGCTCGACGATGCCCATTTGGAGGTTTGCATTATCTTGTAAAATGTCGCGCACGAAGTTGCTAACCACCCCTGGTTTATTCTGGCCGAGGGAGGAGGCCGCCGCGGCACCTTTAAGTCGACCTGCAGCGCTATCCAATTCTCGTTCAACATTCCTCCTCCGCTCCATGCGTGCAAGTAACTCCACGTGCTTTTCCTGTTCCTCCCTCGTCTCCTTCTCTATCCTCTCGAGTTGATCCTGAAGATTGCGCAAATTACATTCAGCTTGCCTCCATCGTTGGACAGCTGATTTCTCATCTTCTTTTGTAACAATAAATTTTGCCTGAAGCTCCTCCTGTTCTCTCTCCATCGCGACAATCTGCGACTCGAGTTGGGCTACCCGCGACGCTGAAATCGACAGTCGTTTAACCTGGAGCTGCGTACTCTCGAGGGTATCCGTGAGAGTCTTGATTTGAGCATCCGATTCCACGACCAAATTGTTCATGTCCTCCAGCTGTCCCAAGAGCTCGCGATTTTCTTGAACGATCCGCGCATTTTCGGTTTGGGCCCGGCACTTGTCCCGCTCAAGAAGTTCCATTTCTAATATCAGCTTTCCTCGATCCCGTTCTGCATCTGTCATGTAAGACTCATGGCGCTGTAATAATGCCTACAGGGAGGTAAAGCATCAGTAGGTACCCACATGGCGACTAGCAAAGCTAAATAGATAGAGGAAATGAAGACATAGAATGAAATAATTACACACTTGGCCCAGCTGAGCAGCAGTTTCAACGTCCTTTTCCAGGTCCGCCAGCACAGCAGTACTATGCTGGAGATAGGCACATTGTGAACTCCCACAACAGCATTTCAGCGCGGTCGAATGATGGAGGCGCGGGGACGTTCTTAGCGGACCTGCGTCATGCAGTGATGGAAATATGTGGTCCATTAAGAGAGGCTATGTAATCAGTCCAAGGAAGTAGACCATTTTTCGGCGCCCCGTAGAGCGCTGTACATGTATTGCTCCAGCTCTGCCACAACAACACAAAGCCGGCCGAGACGCGAATGAATAAAATGTTTAACTTCGAACTGGTGAAAAGGAGAATGTGTTTCATTAATGAGTGCGCTGGGACGTCTTTTTTCTGCCTGGCTATTCTTAGAATAAAACAGCGTGTTTGGAGGGTCGGGTGGGCATGACGCCAGGATGGAGAACGAGCAGGGCACATTTGAGCACTAAAAAATACCGAGATCGGGCAAATGGCTGGGCAAATCAACGCCCATTATTTTCATCGCGAACCATCAATGGTGTGTTTCCAATTTATTGGCTCCACACGGCTCATTTGGGAATAAACAAATGATGATTCTCAAACACATTACTTTGTTGATTTAAAATGTCAATGTTTTATATTCCCCAGAACAAAGCATTGTCAAGAAATGCGATACCTATGTCGTTAACTGCCCTGTCCCCTGCTGATACCAACCATGCCCTTGTTTACGAGGATTCAATACCCCGCGAGGGGTAGTTAGTTCTTTGCGAACGGGAACATTGTCACAATCATTGCTCATGATCTTTTGGCCTACCTAAGATTTCTTTTTCCCCGAGGCACTTTGCAACAAGTAAACGGAATAGCACACCGCAAATTCATTTATGAAACTCATCCCTCAGTTTAAAGTTGGGTTCTTGTTATGCTACAACTCTTCCATGTCTATAAGCTCTGACAAACTATTGATATATTCACCGTCCCAAATTCCCACTTTGAGATCCAGAAAATCTAGCAAATATCTCATACTAATGTAACTATGAGTGAAGACAGTTGATTCTGGTATATAATGCATATCATACAAGTTTGTTAAAATGATCCGTTTAACGCCGCCCCAAACCGGATTCTATCGTGTATACTATATATAGTACAAGTGACACCAAAGAAGCATTGGCCATCGTTCCGTGGTCGAAAAGCCATTCGGCTCAGAGACCTTCTCTTCCAGTGTTGGATGAAGGATAATAGCATGATCTAAATTGCACCTCGCATCCGTATGGCCCTTCTCACCACATTGACGCCATCGTTGCGCTAGAGGCAATTGTTTATTTCCCTTTCGAAACGGAAATAAATTGAATGGAACCCAAAATGGCTGTGGGTACGCTTTCCCGCTTCGAATGGCTCGTCCTGGCAAGGCGGGAAGCGGAGTTTGAAGCACATCGTCCGACTATGATGTGCTCTGACTGACGCCCATCCCGGTTGTACCGTCTATTCTCTCTCCATTTCGGTTATCTGACACGGTTTGGATTTTGCGGTACTCAGCTTCCAGTGCCCGTTGCATCTCAAAGTCCGCTTGTCGCTCTCGTTTGATCCGCTGGTTCTCCAAATCTCGTTGCACACCGGCATGCATGGCCTAACAGTTATTTGCATCCAAAATCAGCAATCAAGAGTAAATAAACATATATAGCGTAGTCCAATCAGCCAAAACATACAGCCTTGTCAGCTTCCTGCGTCCAGTGGACAAAGTAGACAATGCCAGCAGTCATTAGCGAAGTGCCGACCAAGGTAAATTTTGAAGCGCGCGACATGTCCCTCCTCGACCTTTTCTTGCGTCATATGCTTGGGGTGGTTTGGAAGAAATAAAGTGTCCTCCGGTCTATTTTGAGTAATTTAACCTTCAGTAAAAATTTGGGTCGTTATTTACCAAAGCTGCGATGTAATTCCGAAAATTATGGTCAGAGCCCTTGAGCGGTGTCGAGCGGCAGAAGCGGAGATTGTGACCTCCACCTCTGGAAGCTCTATAACGTTACTGCATCTAATAACCAATTTTACTTGGTATCGACGCTGAACTTAGAGGATTTTTTTTTCCGAAAAGAGATTTGAAGATGGTACGCTTCTTATTCCTTTCATGTAAACACTTTCAGGAGTCACTTGTTAACTAGTGTGCATTTCTTCAGTCTGCCCAGAACTCCGCAGGTATCCAGACCTTGCTTGACGTAGGCCAATCTCCAAACTATCCCCAACCACGGACCTCTACGTCTAGATCCATAATGGCTTTCTCAAATGGAGAATATGGAGAGCTAACGAATCCTCCATGAGTAAATAGGCAGAAAGAGAGGCACAGAAAATCGTACAGAACGGTAAGAGCTTCCTTCAGGGTGGATTTAGCCTACTACCCTTCCCCCTATTCCTGGTTATTGATTGCTAATCAGCCTGTTTTCTACTCCAGCCCGAGAATGTCCGTATGATTTCTTTCTTCTATTGTATTCACAGACGGATACCAAATATTCCCTTCCCTCTGTAACTCTCCCACTCTAACTTGATTTTCATATCTATGTAGACCGTACAAAGCGGATAAAGGACGCCCGAACCGAAGCTCAAAATGAAATCGAAGAATACCGACAAAAAAAGGAAGAGGAGTTCAAAAAATTTGAGGCTGAGGTGAGGAAATATGACCTTTTTCCAATCCTTAAGCGGACATTTGGATCCACGTGATCTTTCTACTTCAAAAAGACATACGTATATTATATCCCTACGTATAAGGAAATGACTAGAAGACTAACTGGTATTCTCGTCCCTCTTACTTATTTCATTTAGCACTCGAGTGGCAACAAGGTAGCCGAAGACGAAGCCAACAAAGAAGCTGAGGTGAAAGTCCAAGAGATAAAAAATATTGGCAAGAAAAAGGGCGGCCAAGTCATTGGGGATCTCATTCACGCTGTTACCGACGTTAATCCGCAAGTGCCACAAAAGCTTGCGGGGAATTCCTGAATTATTTACTTGATAACGAGCACGTTTGGAGAGGGATTGAATGTATGAGCAGCATGGGAAATGCTAATTGGACCAGGGCGTAATGATTTTTCTTCTTCTGTTTATGTTGCTTTCTGTTTCCTTTTCTCTTTCCTTTTTATGAATGATCCGTGAAAGGAATACACCCTTTTCCTGGGAAGGTGGTATTGTCCAATGTTTTATCATAGATATTAATAATATCACTTCATTGAACTCACACAATATATGCTACTGGTCCTTCTCTGCAGTTAAACTTCTATTTGAATTTTTTATATTGCAGTGTCCTTTAAATAAGGTTCCCATTTCCTAATTTTGCACACGTTGGATGGGTAGAAATAATCAAATTCGGTTTCGCTATCCAGGGTTTTGCATCTAAGGGATATATTTAGCACACCTACAGTGATGGCGTCATTTCCTGGAACCCTCGGAAAAATAAGTTAATTTTCAGCTTCATTCTACACTCATGAATTGACGATGCAAATGGAGCATTTTACAGTCCATAAACGTACAGAATGAGGTATGCGGTCAGAAACCCAGCCCTTTGGTGGATGTCCAAAGCAGTGTCTCCATGTCAACAGACAAACAATGTTCGGGCACTCGCTGCCTTTCGAACTCGGCAATTCAGCTCCACATCGACATATGCGTCCAAGCTCCATCTGAGGGATCCTTTCTTGGAGAATTTGGAGCCCTTGATTGAGGGCCGATACTCGGCTCTTCGAGATACATACCGTCAGTAACGCATAAAGACAAAGAAGTCGAATGTCAAATTAGCAACAGAGCACTTGTGATTAGATTGAGTTTACCTAACTTGAGTTCCGAGGTGATATTCTCTACAGTCAAGCCAAAACACCCGATAGTGCTGGCGCATGGTCTGTTAGGATTCGACGAGTTGAGACTGGGCGGGAAATATCTTCCGCCAATACAGTATTGGCGGGGTATCAAGAAGGCGTTCTCCCAGCAGGGAATTGATGTTATTACGGTTCCTGTCTTGCCTTTAGGGTCCATTGAGCAACGAGCCAAAGCGCTTTCGAGTGGGATTGAGGCTCAGATTCAGGGCGAGGCAGTGAATATTATTGCGTGAGTTTGACATTTTGAAGTTTAGCCTTTCATACATAACTTCTGGCACTGTTTTGATGCCAATCATTTTTGCTAACCATTATTTATAGACACAGCATGGTACGTTGAAACTACTGGAAGTTTTCAGAATCTTCATTACTTCCCTTCCTTCCGTTTTGTTACGTTCCTTTGTCTTTTTAATATGTGCTTATCTTATAAATTCAGGGGTAGGCGCTTTTTGAATTATTCACCCATATTATACACAGGATTGAAATAGCTGTTCTGACAGCGGAATCAGGGGACTGGACTCCCGCTATATGATTAGCAAGCTTCGCTCTATGAGGTTCCGCGTTTTATCACTGACTACGATTTCAACCCCTCATCGAGGTTGGTCCCGTCTCAAATCACCCTTCGGAATTATTGCTAACTAGAGTAGGGAGTGCATTTGCAGATTATGTCTTTGGGCAGCTTGGAGGTCAGTCATATGCTCTCTAGAACGCGGGTAATATCGTATTCACATTTAGAGCATAGAGAAACGAGTCACAGTTATATATAGCGTCCTCGCACGGTTAAACATCGAATCGGGGGCATTCATGCAACTCACTCGAAAATATATGCAGGAAGAATTCAATCCGAATATTCCGGACTGTGATGATGTGAGGTTCGTACCAGCCCCCACTCGCAGCAATGACAGTAACCCTTCACTGACTACCAGGAACAACTCAGGTACTTTTCGTACGGGGCATCATTAACCCCTAGTATATGGTCTTTGTTTCGCCAGTCACATCGGATAATCGAGCAGGAAGAAGGCCCGAATGACGGGTTGGTTAGCGTTCGAAGCAGCAAATGGGGAGGCCAAGGAGGTTATAAAGGCACCCTCATCGACGTTAGTCATTTTGACTTGATCAACTGGACCAACCGTTTCCAGTGGCTCGTCTCTGACTTAAGCGGGGACAGGAGGAAGTGGGTATCATAAAAACACCTGCGATATTTCATGTTAAGCAAGGCCATCTCTTGGTGACATACTAATGTCCTTTTTGGGGACCACAGATTTAATGCTCTCGCCCTATATCTGGATATTGCTGGTAAGGTCACCCGTCCACCAGTGGCATTTAGATCAGGCTAACTCCTTTTGGATCTGGTGGACTAGATATGCTTGCAAAACAAGGGCTATAAACCCCCGCTCGAGGTATATATGTCTAACTTTGACCCGGCACCTGAATCATCCCACGCGACGTTGTCCTCGAAACATGTATTCTAGTTCTAGACAGTATAGATTTTTATAGGCAAGCCGCACTATAGGTTTGTTTTGGTTAGTGAATAATAGATAGCAAAGGTTTGTTTTTGTTTTTCTTCCCTTGAAGATTCAATCATTCAAAGTATATCCAGAATTTCTAGGGCATTATGTACTGGACATACGTTCCCTTCAGGAGGCGATGTGTGGAGGAGGCTAAGGCGGTCAGCTGTTACAGGAGTACACAGCTACCAACCAACTACATATCGTAGCTCAGGGTCCCGTAACAGGGAATGTGGAGTATCTCATCATTCGGGGGTGGGAAGGAAGCTGAAAAACTGCGTTGGTTTGGTTTATCCCAGTACTCTTTCCATGCGGTTAATGTGGTTATAAACATGTTCGCCATAATGATTATTAGCGCTAGCCGAAAAGGCTCAAACGCCATTAAATGTTTGATCTGGCGCCTCCAGTCAGTTAGCTTAAATGCATTTCTGAAGCTTGTTTGGTAATCTATGCCTTAATGAACGTAGTTGGAACTTTGCCAGTATGAACTATCTTGAAGTTCTTGACAGCACCAGCAGAGTTCTATATATAGTGGCTGAGACTTGGCACAAACGTCATCCGCTTTCGGACCGCTAGTCGAAGTTCAGATCCCCGCCGCAACATGCCGGAACAAGCAAAACTAATCCCTTTTGTGCGTCTCTGCATCATTCTCTGAAAATCCAGGGATACTCCATACCTACTTGCCTTGAGCAAATAACACTCGCTTCTGGATTCCGTCTGAGTTTTGATTTGACCTTCCCATCGTTTGTTACTTATTTCTCACCTCCAATGTACTCACCCCACGTCTAGCTCTCCTCTACTGGACAATCGCTTTACGCATGAATCTCGCTCGGAATAAGCCAATTATTCGCAATGTCTGTTCGAATCCATCTTGACAGACCGCATGCCCACTTCACGAACTTAGACTTCATCACAGGGAGAGTCATCCTTGTACTAGCTACCGATACTCCCATATCGAGTGTTGTTGTAAAACTTGAAGGCGAGAGCAGGACCCGGCTTGCGGCTCCGAAATATCCCAATAGTGACCGCAATGAGAAGAAGAGGACGGAGGTGGAATCACACAAAGTATGTGCGCCTGTTTATCAATAGAAATCGCGCCTGGAGAAATTTTTGATCCGGGATTGAGAGTTCTGACTGCTTACTCTGCATTTAAAATCCACAGCTCCTATACAAAGTCCTTACCTTATTTCCGGCCGAGGATGCGGCTGAGCTCGTCGGAAATAACATGTACTATACCCTTCCGCCAGGCCGTCATGAATATCCCTTTCGGTTCAAAGTGAGTTGAAGGAGATTCGTCTTTATATTATTTGTATTGGGCGACTAGGAATTTGGACGAAGCGACTAATTTCCTTTTTTATTGGGTGCTGTTTAGTTTCCCTTCAACAATGACTGCAGTCAACATATGAGCACTAATCTCAACATGGGCGCGATAAGACTAGAGGTTGCACGCGATACGAATAGACACGTCCGAAAGGCGCTTCCACCGTCACTGACGGGATTTCCAGGCGAGGCGGAGATTAGATATTATGTGAAGGCGACGGTTGGGCGGCCACAATTTTACAAGGAGAACTACAGAGGGGTATGTATTATCTGGGATATATAGTTCGCGTCCTCAGGCGTTCGCTGCGATGCCAGCTAGGTTACAAGGCTGATAGAGACTCGATATAGTTCGCGGACGTCAAATTCCTGCCAATCGAACCTCCCAAGGCAACAGAATCCGGTGCGGAGTCGTACGCTAGACGTCAGCAACAATTTTCAAAAGCAGGCAACATACAGAGAAAGAAGGGTCTTTTCGGAAAATCTAGTCCACCGGCTTTGATCGATCTCGAGGATGAACCTCCCAGATTTTCAGTCGATGCCAGATTACCTAGTCCTCCAATCATCACTTGCAACGAACCACTTCCCTTACGAATACTAGTAAAAAAACTCAACGAGAGCCCAGACACGATCTTCTTGCAGATGCTGCAGGTCGAATTAATCGCATATACGCACATCCGGGCCCACGATCTTGCCCGATCTGAAAGCGGGAGCTGGGTTATTGTCAGTCACAGTAATATGAACATGCCACTTGGGGATGGGAGTGCCCCCGCTGGGAAAGAGTGGAAAATAGATTCCAGCATGTGGGATCGTATCCCATTACCCAGCTCTGTGGCACCGTCCTTCGATACCTGCAATATATCACGGACGTACGATTTGGATATACGAGTCGGGTTAACACATGGATCTTCCGGTGTAATGAAGGTGCGTTAGTAAACAGTTTCCAGATATGCATTCTAATGGCCCCCGAGATCTTCATACTGCTCGATCGGTGGTTCACTTGAAATTTCATATTTGAGCACCTGATAACCTTAAATGAATATTCCTTATTCTAGCCCGAGCTCATCGTCCTTCCACTCCGGATGGCCGTTCAAGTCTACTCTGGAATAGCCCCTCCCCAAGCCCTCTTAGATGCCATCCGGCGGACACCTGGTAAGGCTAGCAAGGCATCTGATGATCCGCCTCCCCAGCCTCCTCGGCCCGAAGTTGCCCCGACAGTTCCCCCTGTGCAGGACGAGTACGACGATGCTCCTCCAAGTTATGAAGACGCCATGGCAGATGCTCTTGGGCCAGTGGACGGCCCGCGGCGCGAGTATAACCCCCCAGAGCCAGGATCATGGGCAGGGGCTGATAATAAGGGTTCAGCGAAAAATAATAAAGACGACGAGCGGCTCTTCCCCAATAGCGACCCGCGGAATGCATCAACGGAGTCTTTCTTCGATAGCTATCATGCGAATGCGACTTCTCTGGATGGACATGGTGCTAACCGGCTGGCGCAATCGACATCAGCTGGGCAAGTTCAACAAACACAAGTTGTCTGGGAAACTCCATCCCCGGCGCAACAACTACTACAGCTACCAAAGCCACCGCAGTCACCACAGTCACCACAATCACCACAGTCACCACAAGCACCACAAACACCACAAGCACGACAGGAGCAACCACAACGAAGACCAATGCCGTTCATGGGAGTTCCCAGTAGAAAACCCGTACCTGGGGCGGGAAAACACTGAAGGCTCGGGAATAACCCCTGGGAATGTCTGAGTCCTTATCCCACAGAATATAGTGGGACCATCTGTCATCTGGTGGATGCGAGCGGCTAGATAGAATATAGCATTTGGGTGCGGTCATGTCATCGTCTCCATCAAATGTTTCATTCCCTTTATTTCCACAACCGTCTTTCCTTTGGTTTTTCTACCCATAGTATATTTTTCTATTTGGATAACGACATGTCATGACAGCGAGAGCTCAGGGACTCGTATAACGAAAGCGTTTTTTTATTTTATTTTATTTCTTCTTTCCTCGCCTCCACTCATTGGATTTGGACTTCAACTTATGGAAAATGGAACATACTACTGGGTTTTTTTTTTTTTTTTTTTTTTTAAAAAAAAAAAAGAAGAAGAAAGAATGTGAGGATAATGACAACTTTGACCGGAATTACAAATTTATTACCACCTTGGATTTCAATAGAGATCAAATATTAAATATGGCTCATTGAGATAAGTTTCTCAAATAGCTGTTCTTCGACGGTCTTTGAATTGTGGAAATAAAATAAAGGGGAATAAGGGTGGCGCTAGACTCGGATAGGCAGCTTTTTAGATGAAGGCTAACTACCACCAAAAGTGATCAGTGTCAAGACACTGAGAGCTAAAAGAAAATGGTAATGGTGCGACTGGAATCAATCACTACATGATTGTTTCCTGCACCTTCGTTATCCTGGCTCTAGATCAGATCGCCAGCCTACTGGCTCGCTTACCCTGGTGCCAGACTGCCTGACGCCTGCTATATCCCTTTAACAAAAAATAACTTCCACATGCAAGATCCAACTAACTAAGGCTGCTGAAATACGGGATATTTACCGCAAGGCTTAGGAGAAGAAAAAGAAATTGATAGGGTCCATATCCTACCATTGCCCCGACACCTTTCCACGTCCTAAACCCAAAACACACCGCCATGCGTCTCCACCTCGTTATACAGCGGCACGGTCTCCCCACCACCCGTGTCCTCTGGACGACATCCTCGCCCAGCTCTGCTTCTTCCAAAGCCAATTCCGCTGTCTTGTCCTTCGCGACTGTGTCATCTTCTACTCTTACGTCAACGCGCGCGCCAAATTCTGGCTTTGGAGCTGGCGCCTCCGCCGCGGCTTCGGGAAGCGGGGGGTTGACCATTGCACAATTGCTGGAAGATGTGAATGAGGTTATTCCGCTTGAGACACACGTTGAGGATGGTATTGGTGATGCGGGACAATGGGGCCTGGAGGATTATGCGGTAGAAGTTATGGGGTTTGAGTGCTTACATTTCATGGAGGTTGATGGGCTGCTGAGAGATGGAGATGAGGTTGTGTATGTTTATCCTTTGGTCAAGTTCTTTCTATATATTTTTTTTTTCGTTTCTTTTATTTGGCTTATGATTTACTGACTCTGGGACCCTTTTCCATTGCGGGCTGTAGAATACGTGCACTACAACTTAGCGATCTTATGGCCAGGAGACTCACGGGCCGGCATCAGATTACTATCGATGGGAAACATTTAATCGATGGTGTTCCATTTGGGAAACCTTACATTCAAAAAGCCACGTCGTCAAGGCCGCCTATTACAATCCCACCACGGAAGAAAAGGCGTTTGAACTTTGGTGGATGGCGGATCGATGACGCTCTTGCAGGAGACTATAACGATGAAGATGAATATGATGAAGAGAACGACCCAGAGTGGAAAGAAGAGGTGGACGGGGCTGGGAAAGAGCTTGTGGTTGCGGCCAGGGATGTAGACCACAGTGACGAGGATGACGATGAATATGAATATCAGAGCGAGAGCGAGAGCGATGAATCTGCTGTAACCCCATCTGAGGAAGCAATAATGTCCTATGCGCGACGAACTGAGGGGCAGCCTGGAGCGAAAGCGACCGGCTCATTGCCGTCCACACGTGGGTCGAAAAAACAAGCGACCAAGCGACAGAAGCGAGAAGCACAAGCGAACCTTGGTGTTGTGGAACGTAAAGTCCACGGGATCTTGCATCGAAAAGGCCAGACAGGCTCCACATCTTCACAAAAGCAAAGTGCCAGTGTAAGCTTCGAGGATCAACAGAACGTTGATTTCGAGGGATCAAAAGCCTCTGATGCGGAATCGGTTAGCGATGGTGTTTCTGTTTCTAGTACTGATCAGTCAAGCGACGAGAATGAAACAAGCTCCATTTCTTCTAGCGACTCCAGCTCGAGCGGAGCGTCGTCCGAAGCCTCTTCAAATTCAAGTGGCAATTCATCAACTTCAGGATCTGAAGCTATCAAATCCCCTACTTTCAGTGCCAAACGGCAAACGACAACTTCTTTAACGGAAACTGATACAAAGTCCACCATAGCTGCTCCCCGGGTAATTGATCATCCTCCCGGTACTGGCTCTCGAAAGACGAAAAACACCAATAGGAGAAATAAGTTACGGAGAAAACTCGAAAAATTGAAGGAGCTCGGAATACTTCATAAAGATGCTAATTTCGACGATCTGCGCAAGTGGTGCGAGGCTAATCCAGGCCCGTTTCCGGAGGTATTGGGTGAAGCGACCCCAGGAACTCAAACGAAAGTCGTTGATGAGCAAGCAGAATTCGAGCGGAAGCGTGAACAGCTATTGCGTGATATTTCAAACGGAGTACACGGGAGCCCACGGCTTACCAGGAACACTAATACATTTAGTCCTCCGGAATCTTTGTCAACCACACCTATAAATGGGCCCAATGGAGCTCCAAGCAAAACTGGAAAATCATCGAAGAGAAAATCGATATCAGATGTTCCCAGCTCTCGGCAACTTGTATTTGATTCGCTGGGTTTGAAGCGCCCCAAGACCAAGGAAAATGAAGGGGCATTACCAGAGAAGCTCACTCCAAAAGAATTGCCGTTGGTTGAAGACGTCGATAAACCTACGGAGGCGAAGATCGATATAATTGAAAACTGGCAAGATCGACTCATTCTCCAAGCTACGGAATGTCTTTATGACGATGTAAAGTTATCTGCACCGCCGTTCCCTTTCGTTCAACGATGGGATAAGGATGCCCAGGCCAAAATCCGCGAACTTAAAGGGAGTCAACAAGTTAGTGGCAAGAAGCGGAAGCGTAAATCTCGAAATCACCGGGTAGAAGACTATCATGACGATTGTTGCAACGGAGAAGCCAGTTTTTCAAACGAAAATCATCTAGATTATGGAGGTGATGGGGCTGGTGAACATCCAGCAACCCCAGCTAAGTCGCTTAACAGAGCTGCCCCTGGTCCGCAAATCCAGGATGCTACTGGTATGGAGGCCACTCCTCTGGGAAGGGGTGCGTCCACCGATGATCTTCCAAGTTTACCAGACGATGTATCAACGTTGAAAGATGCACAAGGCGCTGATATGAAGCCTGGAACAATCATCGCTTTTAAGCAATTGGACATGTCTAAAGCTACGAACTGGCAACCATTGGTGTCAGAATATCGCACTGCCGTGGTCGAAAGTGTTGTGGATGGGACTTTGACAATGCGACTTGCGCGACAACATAGAGAGCAACCCCCGCAAAGCCATGACGACAACGACAATGGAGTGGCACAGTACACCAAGTTTGAGATGCCTGGTTATGATGAATGGGAAGGCGAAGATGATGGATTTAGGGAAATGCAATTTGAAGAGCTCATAGAACCGAAATTGCTGTCCGCGGGGTCTGGGGATAGTCTGGTGGAGGTGGCGGAGGAGACACAGAACCATCTGTTGGTATAAATTCTCCTTTGATGTTAATGCGCCTGCCAGCTTACCCGATACCTGAACCAGTTTCACTGAACTTCCCCCGTCGATTCCTGAAGTCGTCACCGTTTCCTCCCCGACGCGACACAAAATTTCAACAATGATTCGAGAGGCTGGGTTCCGATCAGGATTCGACTCGGACTTTCTCCCTCCTGAAGCTCCTGAAGATGCATTCTTCGACGCCCAAAGTTCTAGAACAAACAATGGATTTGATGGAGTGGCCACGCCAATAGTTAAATCCCCTATTTTTGCTGGCTTTACCTCAAGCCCACCACTAAGTCCCTCAAGACATTGTCACCGAAACGACTCACTTGTGTCTAAGTCTTCAGGAAACTGCTCTCCACTAGATGTGCCTGGAAAGAGAATCATCGCGGAGGTGCTCAGTTCCTCTTCATGTATACAAGATGTTATGACCGATCCCTTTGCATTCAAGCCGGAGCCCGAGCATCAGAAATCGCCGGCATTATTATCGGGCGATCAACCTCAGACTCTGGAGTCCGGCTATCTGCTCGTCCAGGATTCCATACCGTCGACCAAGGACCAAGCAACCACCGCACAGCTTGACCCTCCAATTGATGAGACACACATTGAAACCGATTTAGACCCTGGAACGAAATCAGCCGATGATGTTCCAATTGATGACTGTGCGCAGCATGTTCAGCCGATGGCCCTTCTGTCTGCGGACATTTACCACTCCTCATTTGCATCACTTAAGCTGGATCGGATGACTCTGGATCATGATGACTCCCAGTTTTCAGTTCTTGCTTCCGCTGTAGAAGACAGCCAGCCAGCTGAACACCGCCCGGATTCAAGTGGTGAATCTGTAATCACTAATCCCTTCTACGAACCCGATAGGGGTTTTCCAATTGTATCACCACCCATGGCGCGATTCGTCTCCACTGCCCCACCCCGCACAACAACAGCGGCAGAGAATTCCCCGCCCAGGCCTGCAGTTAGAAAAAACAACCGCAAAGCCCTCTCATCGCCACACCAGCTATCATTTTCACCCCATCAGAAACCCCAGTGCTACGACGAGCGGTCAGATCTCCCAGCTATTGCCGAGGCTGATAAGGAGTCGACGCAGCATTCCAAATATATCCCCAAGCGAGGAATGTCACAAGAGAGCTGTAGTTCTATTGTAGATTTAACAATATCTAGCGAACTAGAGTCGCCTGGGAATTCAGACGGAGATTTCGCGGCGTCTCAGGGACTTCCACAGGGCCCTGGATGGATTAAGAAACGGAACGTTAGAGGCCGCGGGCCCCGCGGGGCAGAAGTCCCTTCAGTTCGAACACGGAGGAAAGGTCTACGGGGAAAGAGTGTGATATAGTTGTTATTCAAGGCTGAAGTGAGAATACCGAGTTGTGAGAGAGCGTAGATGGAGTTGACTGGGTCCTGGACATCTTATTGGAACTACTCATTGGAACTACTTATTTGCATGTATATCTCATCTAGACATTGTTAGCACTCAAAATATGGAAAATGTCAACCTGTGCCAACTGGGTGAGACAAAACCGCCAATGACGTCACGACAAGCGCCCTGGCCAATCTCCCTGCAAACGCAGGACCAACACTGGGCAATTTATAGTTCTGATGAGATCGATATACTCAAAAAATCCATTATCCTGTCTCATTCCTATCGCCCTTGGGTATTTAAACTGGCGTCATTCCATAGTATGTCCTTCTGCCCTTGCCCCACTTCCAGCTCCATCATCACCCGTTGCAGTGTAACCCAATTCACACATCCTCTGTTGTACCCTTCTGCTCCAGTTATTGCTGTAGGTTCCTTAACCAGGAATCGTGCATTGTGGAAGCCGCTTCGCACGTCATTGATCCTTGCATCCTGTCGCCCGCAAGAAGCTGTAAACTTTCCCCGCATCAAGCACGTCCATACCTCTCGAATCGTCAACCCCAGGAAGAACAACTCCAGCAACAGCAGTGGTAACAGCAGCAGCAGCAGCAATTCTACAATAATAACAAGGGCCAAAGCACGCATAAACCACTTCACAACTTCACCACAGTTGTCCGCGTCAAATTTAAAAATGTCATCAACATCTACTTTCAAAATCAAGGGCCTGACCTCACTTGATCTCCCTTCTGACAAGATAGAAGTAGAGGTCGAGAACATCGAGAAGGGGAAACTCTTGCTCTTGAAACATGGCGGCCAGATCCATGCACTCACTGCCAATTGTACGCATTATGGGGCGCCGCTGGTAAAGGGCGTGCTCACTCCGGATGCAAGACTGACTTGTCCATGGCATGGTGGTATGTACTAGTATTTATGTTCAGATGGAAGTTATATTTTACAATTCTTACCTATATTTATATATTCTCTTCTTTTTTGGCGCACATAATCAAATTTCATCGAAAGAGATATCGAATTAGTCTGCGCTAACAGGTTCCATATTTTGATATGCGTCAGCTTGTTTTAATATTACAACTGGAGACGTGGAAGACGCGCCAGCTTTGAATGCGCTGCATAAATATGAAGTATTTGAGAAGGATGGCGGTGTCTATGTCAAAGCGGATGAAGCCACCTTCAAGGAAAATGGCAGACTTCCCGTATCTTCCTGCAGTGTTGCGCAACAAGATCAGAAGGTTGTGATTATCGGAGGGTCAGTCTGGAGAATTTCCCTCCTCTCTACACAATGCAGCTACTAACACAATTCTCCCCATCCAGCGGAAGCGCAACAATCGGAGCAGTAGAAGTACTCCGCGAGCATGGCTTCAACGGCCAGATCACAATAATTTCCAAGGAGGCTAACCTCCCCCTTGACAGAACAAAGCTCTCCAAAGCCCTGATCCCAGACCCAGAGAAGCTCCTCCTGAGACCTCAAGAGTGGTACACCTCTGTCTCCATCTCCGTGGTCTCGGACGAAGCCACCTCTGTCGATTTCACAAACAAAACCATAGCTACCAAATCCGGCAAGTCCATTCCATATACAAAGCTAATCCTCGCTACAGGTGGAACCCCTCGCCACCTGCCACTACCCGGCTTCAAAGAGCTGGGGAACATCTTCGTCCTCCGCACCATACAAGACGTGCAGGCCATCCTAGCCGCTGTGGGTTCTACCAAGAAGAAAGAAATTGTAGTAATCGGCAGCTCCTTCATCGGCATGGAAGTAGGTAACGCGCTCTCCAAAGAGAACAATGTAAAAATCATCGGCATTGAATCCGCCCCGCTCGAGCGCATAATGGGTGCGAAAATCGGGCGCATTTTCCAAAATAACCTGGAGAAAAACGGCGTTAAGTTCTACATGTCTGCTTCCGTCGACAAAGCGACACCGTCTTCCGCGGATCCGTCAAAGGTAGGCGCAGTCCACTTCAAGGACGGTACCTCTCTGCCGGCTGATCTCGTCATCCTGGGCGTCGGGGTCAGCCCAGCCACTGAATTCCTCCGCGATAACCCCAGCGTAACCCTGGAACGCGACGGGTCCCTCAGGACGGACGAATACTTTGCCGTCGAGTGCCTGAAGGGAAACAACAGCGACGGCGGCAGCAGCGATGTCTACGCAATCGGCGACATCGCCACATACCCCTATCTCGGGCCTGGAGCAGGGCAAGGCGGCCATTCGCATGTACGCATCGAGCACTGGGATGTAGCACAAAATGCAGGGAGAAGCGTTGGGCGTACCATCGCCCACGCCTTCTCGAGTAACAGTTCCGTGCCTCTGAAAGCGAAATCGTTCATTCCGATCTTCTGGTCAGCGCTGGGTGGGCAGCTGCGTTACTGTGGAAATACGATGAATGGCTATGACGATTTGATTGTCAAGGGGGAACCTGAGGCGGCGAAGTTTGTGGCGTATTATGTGCTGGGTGAGACGGTGGTGGCAGTTGCGAGTCTGGGAATGGACCCAATTGTTATGAAGTGTGCAGAGTTGATGAAGAGAGGGAAGATGTTAGGGAAAAAAGAGGTGATCGAGGGGGTGGATGTGTTGAAGGTAGATTTGGCATGAGAAAAAGTGTATACATATGTGTTTTTGAAACTGAAATTTGATTTTTTTTTTTTTCTCGGGAAAGGGGGTTTACTTATCCTGGATTACTGGATGGGATGGGACAGGCCCAGATTGAGCTTTGGGGGAACGTATCATGATGATGCAAGGAAACGCCTGCCCCTATTTACAAGAATGGCAGTGGAATATATCTGAGAATTCCAAAGGACAAAAAAGATCCGAAATAAAAATCTTCGTAAATGAAATGTTCTGTGGACTTTCTCATCCCTGAAGAAATGGTAATCCGCTCTATATTCTCAGAGCATGCTCCCAAAAATAAAAGTGGGTGGAGGGAAAAGAGAAGCAAGATCATGCAATAACAAGGAAGATTCTCCCAAAACATAGATACATGACCAACATCAACAATGATGGTGCAAATTGAAAATATAGGAAATCGACATCTTTCTCCTTCCCTTCTATCAGATCTAAAAGAGTTGAAAAAGAAAAAAGGAATAAAAGTAAAGAAGATGGAGTATATGCCAAAGCCAACTGCCCATCCAACACTTTTCAAAACCTCGTCTTCCGCCATCGCCTTGAAACCTCTCACCAGGTCTTCACAGAGTCGTCTTCTTTTCTTTCTTCTTCTTCTTCTTCTCCTTCTCCTTTTCCTTCTCTTTCCCCTTCTTCCGCCGCACGGGTATCTCCGCGTCCGGTTCTTCCTCGGTTTCAACAGCAGCAGAAGCAGTAGAAGCACTCGATGTCCCCAGGCCACCGGACATCACCGCCTGCCGAGGTGCAGCATTGCCACTTCCACCCGATACTCCTGCCGCCGCCGCCGCAACCGCTGACGAGGACGAGGAAGGAGCAAACCCAGCCCTCTTACGCTCCTCCTCCACCAGCTTCGCCTCCTCCTCAGGACTCAGCATCGTCCCTTCAATGCTTATAAAACCCTTATCATGCTCCGCACCGGGAATGACATCCACATCTCTTACACGGAAGCGGACCATCCCGCGAACCCGTCGCCCCGAGCGTGTCTGGAAGTAACCCGCCGAGGCATCCTCGAATGCTTCGAACGGTGGCTCCAAGCCGCCATTGCTCTGATACTGGGTGCTGTGGTCAAGCATCGCAGCGGACGACGCAGGCAGGGGGCGGAAATTCTCCTTATCAGAATCGAAGTCTGAAGACTTGTCCTCGTCGTCGTCATCGTCATCGTCGTCGACGCCGACGCCAACACTGCCGCCACGATCTTTAGGCGCAACCGCTTCCGATGTTGATGTAGTCGACTCCTGGCCCGGCGCCACCCATCTCCAGTCAGCGGGGAGCCGGCGCCGCTCAATCCCGACGGAGAAAAGATTGTACACCACGGCGCCAAGGAAGCCGTCGGATTGAACGTTTATCCACCCCTCGAGCGGCTGTCCGCGCTCTGGGCGAAACACCAAAAATGTGGCTGTCAGGTAGACGTAAAGGACGCCGTACTCACCCGCGCTCATGGCGAGGGTTAACGGTTGTGGCTTTGGGCTCTCATCCGGGTTGTGCGGGGTTGACGGGGAGGATGGCGAGGGAGGAGTGGAGGATATGGAGGCGTTAGAGTAGGCGAGCACGATGCCGCGGACGGGTGGGAAGTAGGTAAGTAGGAGCGGAGAGAGGTGTTCAGCTTGTAGGGAGGAGAGTGCGTGCGTTGGGGAGATGGAGATTGGAGACAGAGGAACGTAGAGCGTTGCGGTTATGAGGTGGAAGGGGGAGGATTCCATCGAGTCTGTGGATGTGGATTCCAATCGTGATGCGGAGGCCTTAGTGAGAGGTTTTCTGGAGGTTGTTGGGGGTTCTTCTTCTTCATCATCCTGGGTTGCTGGGGACTGATGTTTGTGCTTCTTGGTAATTTGTGATCGTGGATTGGGGGAAGCTGGTAGCGTCGGCGCAGATGGCTCGAAGTCATCATGATGCTTATGTTTCTTGTGTTCCCTATCCTTCTTTTCTTTCTTCTTGGGCTTTGGCGAAGACTCTTCTGCCTCCGGTTGCGCGGCGTAGTTGCTCACTTCATGTTTGCGCTTTTTGGCTGAGTGGCCGTCCTTTTCTCTATTTTTGCGCTTTCTCTCTGGTGAGACGGGAACGGAGTCAATGTCCATTGCGTCCAATGACATAGCGCATGCCGGTATACCACCTTGTTGTTGTGACTTGCAGCTTGAATGTTTGAATGTATGTGTGCAGATATTGATTCTTTTTTTTTTTTGTAGAGACTTTTTTTGTCCCACGGAATCACGGGGTGCTTGCCAAGATATCCAGCTAGCCGCCGCGCAGACAACACAAACACCCGATCTAGATATCATTGATCATTCAACAGCCGGTATTCTGTTCCTTAATTTGCCTAACCTTTGGTCTTGCAGAGCATTCGCCGTTTCTTATACGTGCCGGTACTAAGAGGAGACATGTACACCATACTTTTGTTGACCCCTTAAATTGCTTCGTTCTTTGCCTGTGAAATTCTATGCGTTTGTGAGCTTCGACAGTTCATCTTCCGCAAATATGGCCGACGACATTCTTTCCACGGTCCTCTCCTACGCCGGCTGGGCATTTCTCCCGAGAGTGAACTTTCTTCCTTTACATATGCGCATAAATATACCCTGAGCTAACAAGTGCGCTACAGTATGTGACCTCCTTCCTCCAGAACATCTACTACCGCATCACCATTCGCGCCGGCGACCCTCATCCCTCCCCCTCCAGCCCCCGCTACGCCCGCCACTACCGAAGAATCTACATCGCCGTCATAGCCTCCTACCTCCTCTACACCCTTTACGAAACATACCACAAACTCCGCGTAGAGGGCGACTTCTACCAACTGCTAGGGGTGCTCCCGACATCGAACGATCGCACTATCAAATCACGCTTCCGTCGCCTAGCCGCCCTGCACCACCCGGACAAGCGCCAAAGCCAGCAGTACATTCTCAACAGCGATGGTGATGGCTATGAATCGCCCGACGCGCTCTTTGTGCAGCTGAGGCTGGCGCAGGACACGCTGCTGGATCCCGTCAAGCGATTTGCGTACGATCGGTTTGGGCAGGCGGTGGTGGAAGGGTCGAAGGCGAAGACGATGGGCGAGTTTCTGTTTGCGGGATTGCGGGTGCTGTTGCCCCAATACATAGGCGGGTTTATCGTGATGGTGCTGATGAATCTGTTCTGGCTCTCTGCTTGGGGTCGATATGTAGGTTTTCGCTCCCTCTCTTCTTTCTTTTTTGTTTTGTTGAACCGGTTCACCGTGTCCTCTAGAGTAGAAGAAGAAGAAGAAGAAGAAGAAGAAGAAAAACTAACCACTTGAGAAAAACACAGTGGCGCTTCTACATCTCCTTCGCTCTCCTCACCCTCGAACTGGCTCTCCTCACCCATCAAAACGGCACCTTCATTCCAGCCTCCCACTTCCCTACCTGGCTTTCTACCCTCCTCCACCTCGACGCCTTCTACCTCCTCCCCTTCCAAAGCCTCATCCTAGCCCGCAACGCCTCCATGACGCTAAACATTTTCATCTCCCATCTGACACCACCAGACTCTTCCTCTTCATCATCCTCGTCAAGGTCAGCGTCGGCCGGAAATGGCGGCTTAACCCCCCAGACTCAGGCGCAGCTCACGCAGCTGGTGAATCTGGCGCGGGCGAATGAGGCTGAGGCGACGAGGCTGTTGCAACTGGGGCTGGTGCCGTTCAAAGGGGATGAGGAGAGTGCGGGGAAGTTGCGGAGGGGGATGAAGGAAGGGTTGGTATTGGGGTCTGTAAGGGATGCGCCAGAGGTTAAGGAGGCGGTGAGGATGGTTATGGAGAGGAGGGGTGGGGTCGGGATTTGAAAGGAGGTTGTTTTTCTTTTGGTTGTTCTTTTACTTCATGGGATGGGATGGGATGGCATGGGTGGGGGTGATTTTGTCAGATTTTGATTGGTGGAGCGGGATTGCATGTTTCTGCTCTGTTGTTGGACGGAGAGCCGTGTATTTCCTCGCATCTCCTTATTTGGTTATTGGGGTTTAACTGTAGATGGCGTACCTATGATGTCCATTCATTCTAGATCAACTGCTGCTAGATTATAGCTAGAACCAGCGACAGACGCTGCATCAATTCATTTTTTGTCCTTTCTCCTGCGAAGTTACTTTTCTAATAATAGATCAGCTAATATATATATATATATATATATCCAGTCTGGAGGATATGGCTCTATCTGCGAAGTGAAAACCGCGGAGCAGCGAAGGGATGTAATTCATATAGATCATCCCCCTGTCTGCTGAGTATGTTCCCATTGTGGACACATGCGTATCTGGATGGTCTACCGCAATATTACAGCGGTGAATTTGGCTGAATTTGGTGTTTCCTTGTCTTCTCTCCTCCGTATGTGGGTGTATACGCCTCGATGGTACTTACAATTGAGTATGGGTGGTACGGATGTCGACGTTACTTTTCCTCATAGCTGGTCAGCCATGATAAGGGACTATGTAAGAGAGACTTCAGACCTCCCATCCAAGAATAGGGGTTGTTTAGTCATCGGACTGGGTGGTTACTAACAAGCTAAGTTAAGGTCAGTCAAGTCTAGCCCCGAGCTGTCAGGACACCGTAAGATACAGGAATTTGCGTCTGAAATAGCTGCCAGAGGGCGTATCGGCACGGTACTGGGGGCACCTGGAACCTTCTCTTGGCGCGGCCCAGCTCTTCCCCAGCGCCCGTTCGCCCATGCTGCGAGCGCTGTGTTGCACCCACACCCACACCGCGGCGGTTGTCTGGCTGCGCTTCCCGCCGCTTCCACTTCCCACGCTGAATTATAATAATAACACCTCACGCCGGTTTCTCGTCGTCTCGTCGTGACAATGAAACTCTCAGCCCGCGCCTGGCTGGCAACCCGCGCCCACCTCCTCATATTAACTCTGCCCGCCGCCCATCCTCCCTGATTTCTTCCCTTCACCACCACCACCACCACCACCACCAACGCTCCTATCACCACCCTCACCACCTTCACCGTTATCGTCTTCACCACCCTCTCTAAACGTCAAACTCTTCCAAGATAGGCAATCCACCAGTTTTAGAGCCACCTCGCCTCTTGAGTCTCCTCACCCTCCCCTCGCCGCTACGAGAGAACCCCATCCCTGGAAACGATTAATCCTCTCTTTGCCGGAAAAGAATTATTTAGAAGGCAATTACTACGTTAAACTTTTTTTTTCTTATTTGAAAAGTTTTATATTTTTTGCATGAATAAAAGGGCATCCCTTCTTCCATCCACCGTCGCGGAGAATTCTTCTTCCCAAGAAAGGGATTTCACCACCCTTTTTCGGACCCCCAGAAAGGGACGAGCAAATTTGCTGTAATTATTTTACACATCACCAGCAAGCATAGACATGCCATCATCCACCAGGGATCCCTCCTCCTCCTCCGCCTCCTCTTCCACACACTCCTCATCTGCTGGCAGATCATCATCCAAACCGTCCTTCAAACTCACAAACCCGCTCGTCCTCAAGCTCTCTTCTTCTCTCCTATCGCGCTTCCCCAGCGTCCCTGGTCCGACCACAGAGGAACCTTCCCCAGAGGACAACGGAAGGAACAACGCTATCAAATCCAAACCTTCCTCTTCGCCTTCGCCCTCCTCCTCCTCCTCTTCCTCCTCGCCGTCCTCAACTTCCGCCTCCGCCTCCGCAGCAGCAGTTACCCCTACTGTTGTGGCCCCCGTGTCCTTTGCTGATCATGCCTCAGACGCAACCTCCACTCCTACGACTCAATCCGACGCCCAGAGACGGAAGGGGATCCCGGGTCCCAAACCTGGGAGCAAAAGAGGTCTAGGACAAGGCGTGGATCTCAATACCACGCCGAAACTGAGAGGGAAGCCTGGGCCCAAGAAGAAACCCAGATTGTATGTTTCCTTTTTTTCCCCTGCAATTTTATTATTATTATTTTTTTTTAAAGTATTATATATGTAAAAAGAAAACCCTTAATTGTTTTCCCTTGCCACGTTGGATAAAATCTGTGTTTCCCACAAATTCATATCCATCTGAAACAACAATTGCTAATATAGTGAAAACAAAACCTACAGAGAGGATGGCTCCATTGACCCCAGCGCTCGCCCCAACCTCAACGGGATAGGCACAGGCAATGCCTCAACTAGCACAGGTGGGCAAGCACCAACACCGTCACACAAACTCGGACCCAAAGCGAACCAAGGCGCCATCAATGCGGGACTGCGCGCCCTCGACCGCACAGGCAAACCTTGTCGCAAATGGGAGCGGAAGACGTTTAACTTAAAGAGCTTTACGGGGGTTGTTTGGCAGGTGCCGACGTGGGCTGCGCCGCCGAAGGCTGATGCTGCTGTCGCCGTTGATGTTGTTGATGGTGTCAGTATTATGGAGGATGTGCGGCCTACGGCAACGAGTGGGAAAGGCGCCCAGGGAAAAGAGCAACATGGCAAAAACAAACAGCAGAGTGCCAGCGGTGGCGGGAAAGATGCGGGTGGTGCTACTACTACCACCAATATAACTAACGGCACAGGTGCTGCTGCTTCCACTCCCACTTCTGCTCTTGCTCTTGCCGACAGCAGCGACGCGCCAGCCACTGACGAAGCTGATGGCAAGATGAATCACAGCATCAAGACCACCACCGCTACCAATGCCATTACGAATGAAGAGAAGAAAGGTCTCAATCATATACGCGACGGGGATGGCCAAGAAGCGGAGGGGGAGGCCGATGTGACAATGGCCACAACTACAAATACGAATGCTAACTCCGATAACAATCATAATGGCAACATTGATAGCAGCAATACTGCTGAGGGTTCGCCTACGGCTGTCTCTGTCGCTGTTGCGTCGTGATATAGGTTGGCGGAACAAATAAAGAGGGGAAAAGCAAAAAAATTAAGAAAACCGATTCGGGCTGAGAAGTTGAAAAATTTAAAAAACCGAAAAAATTTTTTCGCTGTTCCTTCCTCTGTTTGTCCTTCGTCCCGGTCTGTATTTCCATCTGCCTGTCGACAATAGATTTTCTTCTTGCCTTCGTTGGATATCGTTGTCGTCTCCATTTCTCGCCGTTAAGGAGGGTTGAGGGAGAGGAGAGGGTATTGTTTTCTGATATAGCTCTGATCGCCTTCCCTCTTCCCCTAGGTGGTTTCGATCCCTACCGCTTGTATCACCTTCATTCCCTGTATTCATAATTTGTCATATTAACGATATGCCCTTCTGGGTTTTGTTTTTGTACAGGTGCAATGGGGTTTCTTATTAGTTTTAATATTTTTTTCTGGGTTCTTTTTCTCCGTCTTCTCAGCTGCTTCACACCACACAGAAATGCAAAAAAAGTATTTGAAGAGAGAGACTGGCATTCTCCCCCGTTCATTTTTGTTTTTGCTAGATAAGAAAGGGTTTTCTTTTCATTCAACTATGTTGTTTAATTCAGCTTTTAAAGGTTTCTTTCGGGTGGTTAGCTTACACACAAAAATGTTTCTTCTTCTTTCTCCTTTTTTTAGCCCGAAGCAAGTAAATGTTTGAAGATCATATATTGTGTGTTTTGTACAGTACAGCTATTTTGCAAGATATTTTTTTTCCCTTTTTCTTTTGTTACATATTTTTTAAGTCTTTGCACGGCGGGAGAAGTGGTGCTGACTCTTGAAGTAAATTAAAATAACTACAATAACAATAAAAGACTAAAAAGGAGAAGGGGAAAGGGTCGGGGGGGATCAAAAAAGGATGACTTCCTGCAACTTTGTTCTCCTGCCTCTGGTTAAAATAAAATATATGGATGTATTATGTTCGAGGCCCCCGGTTGTTAAGGTAAAGCGGATAAATAGATAACTAACTACTAGTTAACTAGTTACTTAGTTCGTAGTAATGACGGCAATTGACAATGATACGCTGCACGGAAACCCCCTTCTCACGCGATGTCTCTTGCGGGTTGAGAGTTGAGAGAAAATTACGAGCAGAGCGGTAGGTTGAATGAATTCGGACTGAACGAACGGGCGAAGTGTGTATGTACAGTACTACTAGGTAGCATTATTTACTGGCCCCCAACGCAACCCAAGGCACAGTCGGTCATAGTTGCTTGAGGGTCAAACGAGGGTTCGGGTTGGTTTTTCCCCCGGCGCGCCGGTTGAGGATATGTACGCAACTGTGGGGAGAGAGATTGGTTGGGAGAAGAGACAAGAGTGGGTTGAGCGATGGTGAAGCTGGTGGCCGTGCGTCCCTGTCGAACTTCGGACTATATATATGATTCCTCATAACTTCACCATATAACATGTAGATACAGATAGGATATGTTATTCTGGTGTCCGAAAGTGGAGTGCATTGTGTTTTCTTTTAAAAGTTCCAGTCTCTTTCCTTTCGCCAACAACTCTCCTCGTAGCCTGCCACTACTATGAGTATTTAACTAGTTGCTAGTAAATGGGAAGAACGTCACCGGCAGACGGATAGCATTGACTGGCTGACCCTTCACCCATCACAGGAATCAAAGATTAAATATTAACCATATCTACTGAGCCTGAGCCTGAGCCTGAGCCTGACCGCCGCCAGACACCTGATCCTGTCCGTCTCGTCACTCTCGTGTGCCCTGTTGGCTGGCCCCTGCTCTCTCGCGGGCTGGAGTTCCCATGGTGCTGCCGTTGTGAGGTCATTCCACTCTGTCGTCCAGATCTCTCCACTCCACGACCTCTCTCTCTGCATCACCACCTTTTAATCCTCCTCCTCCTCCTCCTCCTCCTCCTCCCCCTCCTCCTCTCCCTCTCCCCTCTACTATGACAAATAATGTTCCCCCCCCAAGCTCCGGCGGTGGAGCTCCTCCGATTTCCTACCCCTCAGGGCCGTCCTTCTCGTCCATTCCCCGTCGTTCCTCGTACGCTTCTGTTGTCTCCGGCACCGCTGCTCTAGCCAACTCCACGACATCCAACCCCAACTCCACCACCAATAACATATCTACAGCTGCCAATACAGCCGCCGACTCCCTAAATCCGGCTTCGACCCAGCAACTCCTACGCCACCAGCAGCAGCTCCTCCAACTACAGCTGCAACTCCACCATCAACAACAGCATCCGTCGGCCTGGTCAGGTCAACCCCCTCCGTCCTTCCTATCCTCTGCTTCCGCGTCCGCCACCCCAAGCAACTCGTACCCCCCGCACTACGTTCCCCTGGATTCCAGAGCAGCGAGCAGCACCAGACTTTCCTGGCTCGATAATATCCACTACAACAACAGCAACATGCAGACGAACGGTGGTAGTAGCGCGGGGGGAGGAGGGGTTGCAGGTGGGCCAGCAGGAAGCGGATGGCGGAGGTCCCTCCCTCCCTCCGGCACAGCAACCACTCCTGCACCTATATCAGCTCTCCCGCTTTACTCGCGGCAGTTCGCAACTTACCCAGACTATTACTCGCCTTCTTCGTCGTCCTACCCGGGTTTCCTGCATGGCTCTGCTGCTCCCCCCTTCTTCACCCCCTCCTATCTCAAAAACTCGAAATACATAGCCCAGCTCGCCGCAGCTCATAGGTCAAATGCCCTCAATGCCGTTTCCTCATCCTCCTCCTCCTCCTCAGCCGTAGCAGGATCGACTACTCAGAAGGACTCCAATGCAAACCACGCCTCAACCTCCACCTCCGCAAACGCCGCCGATAATGCAGGTCGGGACCGATACCAAT